CCTAACCCTAACCCTAACCCTAACCCTAACCCTAACCCTAACCCTAACCCTAACCCTAACCCTAACCCTAACCCTAACCCTAACCCTAACCCTACAGGCAACAGGATGGTGCCAATCACGTGTCATAGGGGTGACCCCATGACACGCACTAGCTTGTGGATCATGTTAAAATAAAAAAAATATTATCTAAGTTATAATAGTAGTTTATTTATATATATATTATAAAGTCATTTCTCGCCGGAAAGTGGCTTCCATCTCACGACGGACTGCAACCACCTGGCTTTTCTCGCTATACTCCACATCAGCCCAGCTCAGGCGTTGTCCTTGCTTTATGTCTCGCCTTATTTTAAGTCCATGAGCCTGTAATTATCAGCTTAAATCATTTGCTATATATATGCATAATATTCTTACCAATCCTATTGGCAGACCCTCCAGAGCCAGTGATGCTGTCGCAGGCATAAGCTTACCATATACCATATAGCCACCTTCACCATCAAGAATCTCCCCGGCCTTTAGATCTCTCTTGGCCGTCGCAACAACATCTCCTGACCAAGTCTTGGTTTGACCCGTTGGCTCGCCGCGAACCATAATTGAGGCAATTGAAACTCCAAGTTCTAGCCCTATCAAATGATAAGGTTTGAATTGTGCAGCATAGCGACCACTAGAGTCGGTTTTGAGACCATACTGTTTGAAGCAGTCTCTTTGATAGTCTCCAGGCGCTTCTATCACAACATACACACCCCATCTCAGGTTGTTGAATACCTCTCTTCCATCAAGTTCTAGGCATGATACTACCTCCACTGTTCCTTTTTGTTCTAGTTGGCCAAGTCCACCGGATGATTTCGGTTTGAGAACTTCGGGCAGATCCCAGATACCACAAGGTGGAAATTGAAGTCCATTACTTGGAGGGGTAAGGTTGCAACCATTAGCGACTGCTGCCATTTCGAGTGCCGATTTTGTTCCGTCCAAAAATGAATTGAACCTATCTCTCTACTTAGTTGCGTAATATAATATGTTAGGCTTAAAAGCACCAACATTTGAGGATTGAAATCCCCGCTAGCTAGCTGCTCTTCTGTAAAGCCGTAATGTATCCAAACGGTATCTGGTGTTGAGAAATGATATTGAGGCATATGTTTAGTACCTTTACCCGCGCAAACTACATCACTGTACTACTTATAAGCTTTCAAACACTTTCTCTTGCAATGATTCTATTTAAACTCACAAACCTGCAGTGCGTGCCCAGTCGACCATTTCCGCAATCAAGGCTGGTTGATCTCCATAAGCCATGGAATATATGATGCCTGCTTCCTTTGCTTTACGAACCAGCAACGGTCCAGCGAGGACATCAGCTTCGACATTTACCATGACGATATGTTTCTTATGCTCGCAGCACTAAAGTTGTAAGGTTTTTGTTGTCAAAATCTTTTCATAAAACTTACAAGTAAAGCATGGCGAACGCCTGCAGCAGGGTTGCCTGTTACTTCAAGGATAACGTCTATCCCTGGTGCGGCGATTAATGCAGCTGAATCTGTCGTGATTACTGTCTTCCCAGTTTTCATTCCCTCTTCCAGCGTCATTATAGTTGTCTCATCATATTTTTCTGGCGGATATCCCGTGCGTTTTAGCGACGCCAGCGCGCGTTCTTTGGACAAGTCTGCAATTCCAGCTAGCCTCAGACCTGTTGTGCGATGTGATTGCGAAATGCTAAGTCTACATGTTATGCATTTTCATCGTGCCCAGGAAGCTTTGATGACACATACAACATAGAGCCGAATTTGCCAGCGCCAATGATGCCAACTTGAATGGGTTTGCCTAACGCCTCAAGCTCAGCGAGCTTCGTCGAAAGGCTTGTCATTTTGATGGGATATAGAAGTCTTTTCAATTTTAATTATGACAAACTTGTTAATAGTTTTGGCAAAAAAGTTAGATCTAAGTGATTGATAGCCAAACTGAGTTCTCCAATCGTAATATATATCTCTTATTTTGATCTTGACCTCCTGTCCGCGAATCCGATCGGATGATTTTCCGATTTCCCGCCGACAGACCGAATTCGCGTCCCATACTTCTTCACAAATTTGTACTACCCCGGAGAATCTAGTAGTCATGTCCTTAGTTATCTTCAAGGATATCAATACCCCAGATTTTCTCCGGGATTCGTCTCGCCGAAACCCCGGTTGAGTACTATTTGAGCATTGCATATATCGAATATGTAGAACCAACAGCTGCTCGATTTTCGACTTTTATAAATTTGCCTTCTCATCCCCGAAAGATTATAATATCTTCTCAGTGGTTGTGCTATTTTTAAAATGTCTTCCAATAAGAACAAATCTTCCACGATGCAAGAGGTTGAAGATACCCCATCTGGTGAAATCGTATCCAGAAATCGATTAATGGAAAAAATCGCCGCATGGTCTCCAGTAGAGAGAGAAGAGAAAGAAAGAAAACTTATTCGGAAAATTGATCTAAGATTACTACCAATACTTGTAAGTTCAGGCTATCTGAATTAGCCAAAGGATAGGAGAGGAGTAACAAGTCGCATTATAGATTGTCATGTACATTATGAACTACATCGACAGAAACGCTCTTCCTCAAGCCAGAATTCAAGGTCTTGTCAAAGACATCGGGTTGAAAGGTGTCGAGTATAACATTGTTCTTTCTCTTACCTTCATTGGCTACATTCTTATGCAAATTCCAAGCAACATGCTTCTGGGAAAATTTCGACCAAGTCGTTATCTTTCTATGGTTATGATACTTTGGGGAATTGTAAGTGGCTGCTCTGGTGCTGTTCAGAATTTTGGGGGCATAGCGGCATGTCGATTTTTTCTCGGTATTACTGAGGCCCCTTTCTTCGCCGGGGTTGCCTTTTTATTCAGTGGCTGGTACACTAGAAAGGAGTTAGGAAAGCGCTTAGGACTTTTCTTCTGTGGTGCAATGATTTCTGGAGCATTTGGCGGGCTTTTTGCGGCTGGAATAGCAGCAGGATTCAAGCATAACCACATACATAGTTGGAGGTATGTGACCCGGGACTTACGTTTCAGAGAAGTACTGATAAGTTTTCAGATGGCTCTTCATTATAGAGGGTGCTGCAACGGTAGCTTTTGCAGTAGCGACGGCGTTCATCATTCCCGACTGGCCAACTACAACGAAGTGGCTAAACGAAGAAGAGAAAATGCTCGGAATGATTCGGCTTATTGAAGACGTGGGAGATGAGGAGACCGAGATAAAGACATTTGCTGCATTTAAAATGGCATTGACAGACTATCGTGTATGGCTCTGCATTGTTGGTCAGGTAACAGTACCTAGCAAAACGATACCTCAGCAGCCTTGTGTCTGACAAATTGCAGATGGGTGTGCAGGCGGTCGCGTCTTTGACCAACTTTCTGCCGTCTCTTGTCGCAACCTTCGGATTCTCCACTGTGCATACTCTCTTGCTTACTGCACCGGTAAGGATACATCTAGTTGCTTATAAAATTAATACAGTCAGCTGACACTAGTAGCCATACCTCTTCACAGCGATTTTCTGCCTCTGCAGCTCATATCTTTCAGATAGAACATCAAGACGTTCACCTTTCATCATGGCTCCGATTGCTGTGGCTGCAGTTGGCATTATAATCACCCTAGTAACGACCAACACTGCGGCACGATATTTCTCCCTTTTTCTCATGTTGCCTGGTTCCTACGGTTGCTTCCAAATATCAAATGCGTGGATGGCCAATATTGGTGCGCGACCCCAAAAGAAGCGTGCCGTTGCGCTTGCAATGAACAATGCATTTGGCAACACGGCCCTTGTGTGGACTCCTTATCTTTATCCGTCTACAGCAGCTCCTAAATACACTGTTGGTAGGTTTCTGAGGCTTCTTTCGACACCTTTGAGAGTAAACTGACAAAACACTAAGCGTGGTCGGTTAATCTTGCACTCTGCGTCGTTGTTTTCGTTTCCACGTATATACTTAGCTTCTGTCTGAGGAGAGACAATAAGAAAATGGATCAGATAGAAGCTGCCGAATTCGTTCCCCGAGACGCTGCAGGGGAAAAGAACGGGATTAATACGCGCTACGAGCATGCAAGAAGCTCCGGTTTTGCTGCTCGTTATGACATCTAGGACCATGGATTTCAATCGAATAATGCCATAATATAGTCCACCGGTGTTTTGTCAATGTAACGAGAGGTTGAAGAACTATCTATGCACATACTGAATCACGATTTGATCAGTCGTATTTGCTGGTGTTGAAAGATTCATTTTTTTTGTTCTCAAGAGCTGTCTTTCATAGTGGCTGCTTGATCCCTTTCGGATAAATTTTAACTTGGTTAACTTAGCGGAAAATGCACGGCCTGATTTAAAGCAAAATAATCCAACATTAATACTCCGTGTAGCAGGGATGAAATAATTGACAGTCTGGTCCTGAGTGCTGTGGCTGACGAACAGCGAATACCGTTGCACGATATTTCTGACCATTGTGAGTCAGCTTTATCCGATTTTGCTGGTTGAAGGCCACAACACCGCCGACAAATTCGGCGCTTGCGGATCAGTCCTCGGTTAAAATACCGATTTCCCGGTGTATAACTTACTCAATATGGACAAGTTCGTATGCGAACTTGCTCTTAAGATTGCCACTCACAAACCCCAGAGCCAGCTATGCGGTTCATAATATCCGGGTATTGAAGCGGCCGGTATATGTGCTGCGCAACCGACGTCAAGTCGTTCAATCGAGCCATGTCACCGCGATGCAGCCGGACTATCCAGCGATTTGTGCACGCGTAGATTCGTTCAATGCGCAAAATGAAGTTGGTCAAATTGCGACACTAGAAATGGCTGAACAGGAGTTTCGATCTAGCCAGCCTAGCAGCGCAGGTGGAAAATCCACGTCTGGACCTGGTCGGAAGTCAAAGGCCTGTATGTGCAACGAACAAATTCATCCTGAGTAAGATGTTACACAGCAGGCTGATCAAATTGTTCAGGTCAGAACTGCAGGCGGCTGAAAATGAAGTGTGAAACCACGTTAGGAAATACAAAATGTACGCGTTGTGTTCGAAGGCACTTAGACTGCATTCAAAATCGGGGGTCATGGCAACCTCGAGAGCAGTTGCTGAGCCAACATTACGAGTTTGGTTTCCCCCGGTCAAGCATTGTGTAGACGCTCACGTAGTTTAGAGCAAGGATTGATCTTATGTACGATCAAATCCAGCAACTGCAACAAACTTTAAACACATTTACGGAGCAACTTACCGCAAACGATCCGTCCACTATGCAAACGAGAGCAGTCAGTGTTGTCGCACAAGCAACAAGCCCACTATCTTTACATTCAGAACGTGTTGCTTTGAATGGTCCTCTTACTTCAATGAGCAATGCTTCCGAATCTGTTCATTCGACCAAGACAGCAGAAAACACTAGAATGGATATGACCCGCGAGAACAGCCCAGAAATGACGACGAGGGAAGATCAACAAGATCCCGTATCGCTTACAGAACCAATGGGATCTTTGTACGAAGTAACAAGGCTTCGAAATATACGCAGCAACCAATCGAAGACCTACAGATCTGAAACACGAGATGAGAGCGAGCCAAGTGACTTCATTAGCAGAGGTCTATTAAGCGAGTCCGAAGCGTATGAGCTGTACAAAATTTTTCATGCATCTCTAAACCATTACTTGTGGGTAGGGCTTGAGGAGATTCACGCAGATTTCGCATCGGTGCGCAGATCGAGTCCGCTTCTTACAGCCACTATTCTTACTGTGACGGCATTGCATGTCCCGACAAGTACAGAGACATTTGATAAATGCTACAAAGAATTCCTTGAGTTAGTTTCCTCGAGTATGTTCTCACGATATCATGCCATAGACGACGTTAGAGCGCTTGTAATTGCTGCATTTTGGCTTTCGGATGTATCTTGGAAGCTGTCAGGCCATGCAATACGTATAGCTACAGAGCTAAATATTCACCAGTCATTCTACAAAGCGTTGGAAGGAGATCGCGAGCATTTTCTAAGAGCTAGGTTATGGTACATGCTCTATGTATGTGATCATCACTTCAGTAAGCTGATCAGTCCCAATTTTTGAGAGTCCCCAGCTAACATTGATGTGAAGGTATTGCTTACGGACGGCCGCCCATGATAAGTGAGAGTCCACAGATTCGTCAGATCGACCAATTCCTACAGAATCCACATGCCAATGCCCTTGATGAGCGTATTCTTTCTCAAGTAGCACTCATGCATATCCTAACAAGAGTTCACGATAGCTTTGCTGAGCGCAGATTGCCACAGCAACATGATGCTAGTAGAGCTTTGCTATCAGAAGAGGATTTTCCACTAATGAGGAGTTTCAATCTCGAGATTGATCAATGGAGAATCAAATGGCACTCCATGCAAAGTATGCATGAATCTTGGATTACAAAAGAATGAACTAATCGCTAAAAGGGAATAACACATACATTGGAACTTTTCCTCCCAAAGGCATTCTTCTCTACTCATATTTTGCTAAACTTCAATTAAACGCATTTGCGATCAGAGGTATCGGGATTGGACATGGACGGCTTTCAACGGAACGGAAAGAATTCGCCAATATGGCCATATCTGCTGCCGCGAGTATCTTGACATTTGTGCTTGAGGAAGAAGATCTGCGAAGAGCACTTGTTGGTACTCCATTGCAAGTTATTTGTCTGGTTCTTATATTTAACTTCAACCCACTAACCAGTTTATAGATATGTTCATACGATGATCGCCTTCGCGTCTGTTTTCCTATTGAAAGTGACAACGAAGTGGAATAAGGCTCTCGGTCTCAATGTTGAGCAAGCATTCGTTTGGAGTCTGATAGAGAGAATGATACAGCTTTTAAAAGAGTCAGTGACATCGTCACGCCACCTACTATACCATATTGCGGCAGGCTTGGAAAAGATGCTGGCACAACACGACCTCTCACAGCAGCCGATAAATTCGGGAGAGCACGCCTCCAATAGCGAAGCCCGGCTGGTTAGTCGAGAGCATCATAATTTAACTACTATTCATCATTTTTCTTCGGACCAAACATCAGGGCCAATTTGGAATTCACCTTCCTCCAGACTGATTTTAAATGAGAGTGGAAGGCCAACTGAAAGTAATTTGAATGACCTCACCATCATGAATAATGACATGATCTGGGAGTCTTTTGGTGGTGAATCGGTACAAGACATATATAATTTACTGAGCAGTCAGTTTTCTTACTAGAAAATTGTAGCTTTATTACCTTCCTAGCGAATAATATGAGTCTATCTATCGGAGCGAGGATCGAATCGTCGAACTATGTCGAGCAGTGTGTCGTTGTTTCCAACATTTCCGGGAAAAACGATATAAGGCATGCCTGGCCATTTGCTATTCGGTTCGTCACACTGCCACATAGGCACTCCTGGAGCAGCCTGACCAATGACCACGGCGCGGCGCATTCGTAGACCCTTTGTCGCACAGTCCGAGGAAGTTATGCCACCCTAAAGTATTAATCAGCCACCATTGAAAGCAAAGTCTCTTGTGAAAGGAAGCGAAACGGAAGATTGCATTACCTTCGCAATAAGATATCTCGGCCTGGTTTCGAGCTTTTTGATAAATAGCACCAACGAGCTTGCAACCCTTGCACCAATATCCAAACTCGTCTTCTCATCCGAACCTCTGATAAGCTTCCTGCTTGTCATTATAAGTACGTCTTGAGCACGTTTTAACTCGTCTCGTGCCTTATCTAACACTTCTCTAAGGACCAATTCTGCTTCCTCTCGTGAGGCGAGAAGCTTTTCTACGTTGAGGACAACTTTAGTTAGCTTCGCTCCTCGCCCAGTGGTAAGAGATTCAAGCTGAGCGGTAGTCTTCGGAACATAGCTTCCAGCGACGATTAAGCCGCCAGTAGCGTCTGAAAGTGACAGTGTAGATGCTGAAATAGGTGGAATAGGCAATATACCCAGACGCGCCGAGACAAACGCTGCTCCTGTCCTGAATAAAAAGCGCCTGCCTTTTGGAGCTGCTTTTTGTATGTTATCACTGTACCCTGCAAAGATTCTAGATTTGAGCAATTACCATTTAGCAAACCAACGACTACAATGTCGACATCTTCCTCAGCAGCGGCATTGACAACAATAACTGAACCTTTTGCGCAGTCTGTGAGAACTTTACATACTTGAGCCGGACCACCCTTCCTAATATCCTCCAGAGACAACGACAGCACATTTGCTCTTGGAATTGTCTCTCTGCTCTTTTCAACGACCCAATCTTTTAAATTGGAACTTCTGTATCCGAACGAGGCGTCTTTTGCAAATGCTGTGTCTCCTACTGGGACAAGAATTTCACCTTCGGCAACATAATGCACATCGCCAATGGTATATCTACCTCCTTGCAGGAAGAAAGGACACAAAATCCATGCGTCAGGCGCTCCGAGTATGGCATCAACGGCTAACGGCTCCGTCGGAAAATGGCCGCGTAATGTAGAGTCTCCACGAAGTACGACCTCAAACGTAACTCCAACTTGCTTCGCTGCCGTTTTTAGATTATAGCAGATAGTGGTGATCAGTTCATAAGCTTCTGGTGGGTGTAATGCGCGTGAATTCGTCAGAATGAAAAAGCCACCTCCACGTCGAATTCGGCTAAATTCGACCGCAAGAGTTTCCACATTCCATTCCATCAGGACAATAATGTCGTGGCATGTTTGTGTACCGGTGGGATCATCGTCAAGAACGACAAGTATTGGCAACTCTTTGGACGAAGTGGCTATCAGCTCCCTGGTTTTGGTGCGGTAGTCAGTAGATAGTAACGGTGGAAGAGATGATAACATTTCCTTCAGGTTCACATTCCCGAGCATTTTGGTGGCCATTGTGTTTTTCCCTGCTTCTTTTGTATTAATTCCCGTAGCCATGCATGCGATTTTAACTTTTTTTCCTGAATATGCTAGCAAAGATGAGCGGAGCGACCCATGATAATACTGCAAAAGCCGACGCTATATGGATATATACTATTTCCCGATTTTCCGGTGGCCTTTTCTTCATTTCCTTTGACCCCATGTTGGCTGCGTGAAGATCATATGTTGAACAACGTAAAATAGTATGGCTACGACCGGTATACGAGGCTAATTACCGGCTTCACCTAGGAAGCAATTATTTGTTTTGGCCGAGTAGGGAGGCTCTTCTCGTTCCCAATTATCTCATGCCGTGCAAATGCTCAATTTGTAGGCAGTAATCATTACCTCTATCCAATCAATACTCGCTTGAATTGAATCCAATTGAAAGAAAATGGGAGCAACTGTTCATGGAATGACCTAAATCAAAAACTCGATGAGCCAACACCAAATTCATGTTATGATCAATTTTCAAGTGTTTCTACTTCCTGTCCGTCATGCGCAGCACCAAACTATTAAATAACATAACCTAGTTTGAGTAATCTAGAAATAAGGTCTAATACGAACAAAAAATTAGCAATTTTCAAAATGAAAAGTTTTTCCCCAGTTATCGACTGCTTAGTTAGTTTATGATATCAAATTAAAATTATTCACTAAGTGACATCATGTTTCTTAATGTGCACAAACTTTATACTAGAAGTAATAAGGCGAATGATATCAACCTGAACAAGGCATCTACAATGCACAAAAGCAAAGAATATTTTTGCACAATTGCTTACTTGTATTTTATCCAATACAACTTTACAGAAAGTACTCCAATATCCGTATGCGAAAAGAAACCCTAGTAGATCAGAGGAAGATATATAAGAAAGGATTAAAATGATCGTGCTGAATTAGTACAAAGAACGAATGTAAACATAGGTCGAAGAGAGGAGCACTGTACTGGGGCACGCGTTACAGGATGTTGACGCACGGAAATGATGGTACAGAATGAGAAGTACGAGGCCATTTGCTATCAAGAGTTAATAGAATAGGGCATTACCGAAGTTAAACTTAATTGGATATAGATATGAGAGACGATGAAACGGGGGTGTAGGGAGCAAGAGAGGAAAGAGAGACTTTTCCTTCACTTCACTTTGCTGTTTCTCACTTTCTTTATCCTGCTTTGCTTTCGTTCTGCTTTGATTCCCCCTTGCTCCGACTTATTCTTTTCTGTCCCAGTCTTGTTAATACTATTTGTCTATCTATTAAGCCATACTGGATGCTTTTCACATCTGAAAACTAGGAATAAGCACTTTCCATTCTTTTTCCTAGCTATAGCCTCATTCCTCTTGCCTAGGATAGAATCTCTTCTCTGTCTCCTTATCTCAGTAGCGGCCTTGACATCAGGTGTCACCGGCTCCAATAAGTGCTCAGCCCTAGAACATACACGATACGCACAACGGTAGCTGATGTATGAGTTGAGCTTCAGAGGAGCCTCTGATCAATGTATTATTGCAAAATTGAACTCCTCATGTCACCCGTGTGAGTCTATAGTGGCTAGATATGATAAGAAGCAGCGAAAGATGTAGGGAGATTTGATGAATTACGAATAAATATTCTTATGACAGCTGCTTCAGCTACTTTAACGAATATATTTAGCAGCGTAAGCTTGTGTATTTTAGGTTTTGAGCGTTTGACTTGAAACAATTGTTCTAGTATTATTCAAATATTGTATCATCTGATGCCATAACGTGAAAATATGGCTGATAATGGTGTCTGCAAGATAAATGATCCAACGCAGCGCAGCCGTTTTGCACTTTGAGGTACTGGTACTTGCCAGTGATTCTAAGAAATGAGAAGTTGAGTTCACACACACTGAATACCTCCAGCAAAAACAAGATAGTGTATACAATGAGGGCGACGCTATGAGGCTTCCAATTGAGAAGCATTATCAACCCCCCAAAAATGAAATCCAATCAAAATCGCTGATTCCGTTTTCTACAATGCGAAGCTCTTCATCGCTTTGGAAGTGTTCTCTTGATAAAATATATGGCACTCCAAATCAATGAAATCTTTGAATGGACTTTACACGTGCATACCTCTGCAAACAGTGTCACGCTGAGTAAAAGTGATGTCCGAGGGTGTAATAGCCTACTATTTAGAACGGTCTCTGACTTGGATAATACTCGTGGGTCTTGTTTGACCAGCTATGAGTCTTACAGCTCGTATCAGAGCAAAGGGCATTGGCAGACGTCAATTTGCAGGCATGCAAAATGCAATAGAGGTAAACCAAAGTAATTGGCAGCCGAAATGCTGCTGTGAAAGAATTGCTTCATTCGAATGCACTATAAACACTTGGCACTATGTCTTCTTTTCTATTAGAACACTTAGACCATGTTTGGTAGCCTTTACAGAAATATTCGATCAAGAGAGCACCCAGAAATACATGTCGTCGTGAAGCAGGCCAAATTACGGAGAGACAGATAGGCAGAAAGAAGTACCAAAATCACCGCGATCAGTTCAATAAATATTTTTACTGCCCTGACCAGTCAAGCATCGACATCCTGCGCAGAAATGCTTGCAGGCAGGAACAGTTACATGTACTCGATAACAAGGCTGCTCTCCTATGTTGCCTCGTAAATGCCACATGAACTCGTCGATTCGAACAATTTCGGGTTAAGATATGTCTTGTAATCATAGTTTTGCAAATCCTTCTCTTTTGACATAGTTTTCAGCTATGTAGCCGAATGCTACCGGATTGACCAGACCGTTGTTGAATCCGATCATGGGGAATGGAGGTTTTCGAAGAGCTGGGGTGAAAAAGACGGGATGACACTTTGCGGGATCGAATGGCTGGAATGCTGTCCGGAGGGTCAGTGCAGGCGGCATCGCCTCAATCTGACTTTTGGGTTTGTGGTCGTGGGAGGTGGGAGGAGGCGTTATATTGCCCGTATGGCGACGCTGTGTAGCGCTTAAAGGGTTGGAGATAGGACGTGGATTTTGGACAACCTGTCGACCGTCAAAAATAGATCAAATAACCGCACCAGCAGGCTATCTTACCTGGGGCCGGTGTGGTTGCAAAGCCTGTATCATAGTTGTTAAGGCTCACATGCTGCATACAGCTGATGGATGTTTTCGTCTCTGCGGTAGCATGTCAGCTACTCCACCACACAACCGAGGCACTAGACCGAATGACGTTGCTGCTTGAAATGAGCAGTCGGAACCAGAGGGCTCGATTCAGGATCCAACAATTGTTCTGTAAGTTACTGCGCTGTTCATCGAACTACGCAGCTCCCACCAATACCTGGGCCTGACAGTTGGAAGCTAGCACGTGGTAGAACTGTATTCTGCCTCAGGCAGAATGGCAACCATGCTAAGCGCGTTGGAAAAGACCTTCAATTGTTTCTCATAGACGACCCTCTGAGCGCGTATGTTGCTGCAAGGCCGGAAGCGGGATGCAGAGAACTTTGGCGCTGCGAGTTGCACAATCAATCGCCAAAAATGACAGGCCACCTGTAATACGCATCGCCAATGGCACATTCTACCATAGCCATCCTTCTGCAGGACAATCGCTGAATGCCATCAGCAATGAAAGCCAAACGTTGTTTCCTGGATTGAGCTTCACCCTTCCGGCCTTCACTTCACCCGTGGAAAAATGGAGTGTTTTAAGCAAGAGTTCGGCCGCGCGCACTGCCTTGCTGCACGTTTTACGAGGGCAGTATATATGCATACCACCGACAGCCCGATCATATCCCTATCTTGCGACGGATGAGGTTGCACAAAAGGATCCTCGACTACGAAGTGCGCATAATGCTATACAATACGTTGGATTTGATGCTGAGCGGGGCCAGTCCAGTGGTAGTGGAATGCGTGGTGCGTACCTGTCAGCGCGGTACGAGAGCCTACGAGAGGAAACCGATTTTTCCCTACTGGACTTTTTGATGGGAAATACGGAGCTGAACCCAGACGAGAGATTGGCAAGACATCCGGACCCACGTCTTCTGGAGAGGATCATGAAAGATCTGAAGCTGCAGGAATTGGCTGATATGCCGGTTACCCATTTAAGCAATGGCCAGACTAGACGTGCGAAAATCGCAAAAGCTTTATTGAGCGGACCTGAAGTGCTGCTACTGGATGGCCCCTTCATGGGCCTGGATCCGCCAACTCTTAAGCACCTGTCACAGATGTTGGGCGACTTGGCGGAAGCACAATCTCCGAGACTCATTTTATCGCTAAAACCTGATGAGCATATCCCGGACTGGATCACACACATGGCATTCGTCACACAGAGATACGAGCTGGCGGCGTCTGGAAGGCGGAATGACGTTATACGCTTCATTCACAACAGATCAAAAGAGCTGAGATTGGCGAATAAGGTGACCGCATCGAGTCCCTTGGACGAGGAATGTGTCGAATATGCCGAAGTTTCACGTCATCTTTGGGCGCACACCCCTTCCAATACCATTTTTTCAGATCGTCGCGAGGAATTAGCTTATCACCGAGAGTATAGAGAGCTCATGAAAGAATACAAAGAAGGCGAGAAGAAGGTTAAAAGGAACATTGGGATCGAAGTAATCTCGAGAGACGGTTTTCGTATGGACACACCAACACCTCCCCCAGGAGATACCGTGATCGATATGGAGGGGGTGAAAGTCCAATATGGTGAAAAAATTGTCCTCGGAAATTGGAGTCAAGGTGCCGAGGGAGACAAAAAGGACGGATTATACTGGAAGGTCCGACAGGGTCAACGATGGGGTGTCTTTGGTCCAAACGGCTCGGGCAAGACGACGCTGATATCACTAATTACATCGGATCATCCACAGACCTATTCTCTTCCGATCAAGCTCTTCGGACGTACACGTTTGCCTCAGCCAGGCGAACCTGGAATAAGCATATTTGACCTGCAAAAGCGGATTGGTCATTCTAGCCCTGAAGTTCACGTCTTTTTCCCTAAACATCTTTCTCTCCGGAGAACAATCGAGTCTGCATGGGCAGAAACTCCACTCACGAAACCAAAGCTGACATTCGATCTGGACGATAAAGTCAACGCCGCACTCATGTGGTTTCGAGGCGAACTTGTACCGTCGTTAGGGCCTCCCAGTTGGATGAAGACGGAGATGGAACGTGCTGTTCAAGGCGTCGATAGCGGGTTCTTTGAGCCAAACGGCGAGCCGCGAGTACCCGAAAGAGCAAGATACCATCTACGGCGTTCGAGTGAAGCAATCATGCAAGAACTACAGAAGATGGAAGACGAAGACTGGGCTGACAAAATCAAATTTGGCGAGCTCAGCTTCTCTGCACAGCGAGTGGCTCTTTTCATACGTGCGGTCATCCGAAATCCCGATCTCGTTGTTTTGGACGAAGCATTTAGTGGCATGGACGATTTTGCAAGGGACAAGTGCCATTTATTTTTGAGCCATGGTGAAGAGGCCATATTCCATCTAAAGCGAAAGGGTGAGCGAGCTGATATGCCAAAAATCACGAGAAGCGACTTGAGCAGGCTTGGGATGGCCAAGATTCGAGGCTTACAAAACAGCCAAGCCTTAATCGTGGTGAGTCACAAGAAGGAAGAGGTTCCAGGCTGTGTAAGAGACTGGATTTGCTTGCCGGAAAGCGGGCACGGCGTGCCTCGCTTTGGACATCTCAATGGTCCGCTAGAGCTGGACAGTGTTGGTTGGAAGGAGATATGGGGTGAGAAAGTGGGTAAGCCCTTCTCGCAAACCCTTACACCGGACAAATAAACTCATGTAGGCTAGGTCGAACGCTAGAACGGCGCAAACAAAAACTCGAGGCTCTAAAAGCACTTACTTCTCGCGATGATTGGCCCAAGGAGACGAAGTCTGAGCGGGAGGCTCGTCTTGCACGTATTGACGCTCTTGTGGCCCAGGTCCAGAGCGAGTTCGATGTCAGACTGTCAAAAGTGAGCGCCAAAGAACGAGCGCAGCTTTCCAGCAATGGCCGTGCCATTAGCGTTAAAGAGCCGGAGGTCTTGCGTGAAAGGAAGAGAGTCAGATCACGGCTAGCTCTTGCTGCGGAATTACCGGAAGAGAAAGAGAGGAGACTTCAAAAAGTGCGTATCAGATGGCATGCTCGATCGGCCAGCATGACACCAGAGGAGCGGGTACAATATTCTCGTGAGAGGAATGCAAAGTATCTTGAGGGTCGGCCTGACCGCGTTGAGAGGATTAGGGAGCAAGCGCGCCGAGCAGCCCAACGGCAGCGTGAGAAGCTCACGGATGAAAAACGTCGTGCCAGGAACGAAAAGGCACGAGAAGCCCGGCAGAGAAAATTGGCAAACATGTCAGATGAGGAGAAAGAGGCAATGCGGGAAGCGAGAAGAGCAAGATACAGGAAGTCGTTAGCAGATGTAGACGCGAAGGAGAAACTGCAGTCTGACCAGCGAACTCGGATGAGGCAATGGAGAGCTAAACAGAAGGAAAAGAAGGACGAAAGTAGGAATACACTGCCTACGTGAGCAAGAGCAAACAAACGGCAAAACAAGAGAGGCCTGCATGGACGAACTAGCGCCAGCACTGAGGTGGTTTGTGTAACATGTCGCAGCTCTTTATCAGGATACCCTAAAAGCGAGTGTGCTGTTATTGCATTTCTCATGGCTGCAATCATTCGGCTGATGCCGCGTGCAATAGCTTTTATCATGAAAAAGGTCTAAAGTTTTGCCTGAGTCAACCTCACCAATGACACGGTGCCATACTACTACGAACTTCGCTGCCGAGCCCTACGACGAAAATAGAAACCGAAGGGAAGTGGCCTTGAACCAGTCCACGTCGCCTTCAAATCCCTTCACCAAGCAGCTATTTCCAAATCTGACACACTCGACGAGCTTATCCCCCTTTGGCCATCCATACCTCCATGAGATGACCACGATGTGTATTCCAAAGTGCATTGCAATCTGCAATGCAAACTGCTCGTCCTGCCCAGCAGCGTAGCCAGAGATGAATCCGCGCATGACGTGCAGAGGCGCTTGCGCCTCGTAAAAATGATACACCATCCAGAGCTCAGCGAGACACTGGGCAAGGTCTTGAGAACGGGAACCTAGCTGGGAAACCTCGAAGTCGAGGATGAAGATCTTGTCAACCTCCCCTTCTCGGCTTCGATTCTCTTTTGCAGGAGCTCTGTCGGGGAGGATCATGTTGCCTGTCCAAAAGTCTCCGTGTATGCCACCTTCACGGCGTTGGTACATGGCCCTGACAGCCTTTTCAATCCGCCCCATTTGCTCGTCAGACGGCCAGTCGACCTCGGTAGGGAACTGGGCCATGCTATCTCGGTAGCTACCAATGTAGAGATACTCACGCGGTCCCGCCATGGGGTTGTGTTGAATCTTGTTGCGCACAGCCACGGCTTCCTCGTCGTCTCCGTCAATCCAGCCGTGGAACCAGGAAAGCCATCTTCCTATGGCAGTCCCAAGCTCGGACGCAACCTCGCTCTGGAGGTCAGCTCCGTACTTGGAGAGATACGCTTTCACGGTTGTCGAATTTGGCAGGTCTTCAATAAGCTTCGTGTGCTCAAACGACCCGAGAGCCTTTGGCGACCGAACCAGGAAGCTGTCGGTTCTTGCGGGGGGCTTTGGGGACAGGGTGGATAGCATGAACCATTCGTAGTCTGAGCGTCCTACGTCGAGTTGATAGTCGGCGTTCAAGGCCGCAAAAGGCTCGCTGTGCTTTATGACGATTGTCCCGTTCCCGGATTCAAGGTAGCCTCTATAGGTGAAATTTGCATTGCCACCAGCGATGCGCTCCAGTCGTGAAACCTTCCAGTCCGTTTTCGAAAGCGTGCATTTGATCTTCTCGGCAATGGTGTCGTCCATTGCGTGTGCAGAATCGTGAACGTATTTTGGGAAAAAGAAAAAAGTTTCGTCCTTCGCTCTTCAAGTCCGGAAAGAATTCGCCGCTCTGTGAGTGGTTACCTACTTTGGACACCGGATGACATGTTCCCCGTACGGTCAAGTTTAGCCCTTTGGATCTCGATAAAGAACAAAACACTTTCACCCTTCGTTGTGCCATGGGAATTACCTGGGAAACGGAAAATTTCGCACGACATGGTGGCAGGATGAGTGATCATCTTTTCTTCGTGAGCGCTCACTACGTAAATAGACGTGGGGCAACAGAGTATGATCTGAACACTGCGTGTCGCTTCTCGCAAAGCACCTGTAAAAGACGGGCACTGCACTGAGCCCTTTTCTTGAATGCTTCATCTTGTCTAAATGGCCATCCGAGAGACTTTTGGGACACATCGAAGCCACTCGGAGAACCGTTTGGACCCAAAAAAAAAATCCAACACTTCAATACCTGGCATATGACTACAATCACGTTAAGGAAGACATGTTCGATCCGATTTCACTTGTTGGCCCACGCGATCATAGAAGCCCGACGTCTTGAACTCAGATCGGCTTGCCTTCTGCTCTTGGGCCTCCAAGCTGCGTTCGACCTTGAGCTTCGATCTCACATGATCAAGCGAGGAGAGTTGGACCGCGGACAGCAGTCAACGTTCGGTATCATGAAATTCGGCCCAAGAATGACACGAGATCTCATGCGCCCTGAACTCCTTTGGCGGGTTGAGCGTCTCGTTCCTCTCACACAATGTTTTCGCTAGGAGGCTCGGAACGTGCGGGAGGAAAAAAAAAAGAATGAGAAAATAAAAAAACAGTCCCAGCCTTGTCTTGGTGGGATTTTGGATAGTATTTTCCAAAAAAGTCAACGACTTGGTGTTCGTCATGTTGTGCGTGATCAGTACAACGATGACCAATGTGCAGCCCAGCGTGGGATGAAGCCGTCGTGGTGATGATGTTCTGCTCCGTAAAGCCAATCCGGCCTTGTCGATGACAAAGAAGGCCTTGTTGTCATCTGACAGCAGATGGAAAAGTAAAGGCATGCAGGGTGCCACTCAAAGAATTCTTTTACAAAAAAAACATAAAATAAGAAAAAACACATTCAGTGAAATTTTGTTACGATCTCGACCTTTTCCTAGTCCGATCCTTTTGCTCTACGAATGCAGACCGTTGTAAACCCCCTTGACCGAAAATGTACATGCACCTCGTACATACTTCGGAGAGCTCCACAACCGTATCGTCTGCAAATCAAAACCGTATCGCTTTGTCGGTATGTCTGCTTGAGGAACATGATGTAGATTTGGCAACGAGCATTCCGTGCATGGGGAATGAGCAATCTAAGTTCACTTATTCCCCGCGCATAGGTCTTACGTGCAAGCAACAGCGACCCAAAACGCGATTCCCTGGCCGTATGGCTGACTCCAGCGTCCTCCGTAGGCATATGGGAACGGCGCGACAGATTAGCCTTGTCAAAATCCAGGACAGGTCGATCAATGGCTACTGTTCCTAGATAGATCCTCTTTCGAAATATTAGGGGGGGCAAGTAAGCGCCAACCGTTCCATTTTTTCTTTTTTTTTTCCTTCTCTTTCTCGCCCTCTCAAGACCAGAAACTGAGAGTGTTCAATGTCTGTTCATGTGTGCGGCCGCTTCATCATGCTGCCTACCTGTGTCAACAGTTCTGAGCGTGTGAGGAGGGCACAAACGAGCGACATCCAAACTGCGAAAAGTCTAATGGCCACGCATGTGCCGGATGCTCGGATCTCACGTCCTAGCCATCAGTCTAAAATGTGGCGACGGCAGCAAGCTGGGGTCGTCGTAGTCGCCATCGCTTTCGTCGTCATCAGCTTCGATGATGCCCGCTGCCTGGATCAGCGCCGGGTGTTGGTTGATGCTGCTGCTTTGCAAGTGTGCTCGCTCCTTGTGCTTCCCATCTTGTTCCTGGCCGTCCCTCTCGAGTTGCATCATTTCCCCATCCTCCTCCTCCTCCTTCTTCTCATCCTCCTTCTCATCCTCCTTCTCACCCTCCACTCTCTTGGCATCCGCAGCAGCTTTTCGCGCCAGCTCCTCGAGTTCGCGGTTGCTGATAGCGATGACCTCTTCAAATGCAGCCCTGGCACCGGCCAACTCTTCTCCGCAATCACCGTCCCTTAGAAACTGGTGGGCGCCCTTTTCACAGAATTCCTGGGCTTTGTCCAATGCCGCGTCGGCCTCCTCCCTGGCATCCGTCCGCTTGACGGCAGTGTCTGATTTGACCTCGGCGCCGAGTTGGGCCATTGGTGGCGGTCTCAAACTTGCTAGGCGGCCTGATAAGCGGAGGCTCTCTTCGATGTACGCGTTGAACCTTGGCATACCTGAAGCGCTCCTGACAGTCCTCAACAAGGGGAGGGCGTTTTCACCCGAGAAGGGGGGCTGGTTGGCGGTGTTGTGCATGTTTGCCATGTTTGCGACACGCTCGGCCAAGCGCGACTTTCGGATGTTGTTACGTCCCGTGCTTATGTTGCGGACGATGCGGTCAAAGACGTCCTGCACTTCGCTGTCGTAGTAGACGGTGACGGCGGCGCGAGAGCGGTATTTGTGCGTGCCAGACGCGGCGGAGAGGAGCGAGGCCGTCTTTCGCTTGCGACACGGCGTGATCATCTGGCCGTTTGCGGTATTGGATTGTTGGCCATCGTGCGGCTGCGGGGCCGACGTCAGCTCCAGACCGGTCGAGGGAGTGCTTGTTTCGGGGCGGCTGTGTCGGAGGGATTCGTTGGAAGACGTCTTTTTCACCTTCTGGACCGCGGGCACGGCTACTCTGGCAAGTTCGATCTGACGGCGTTGTATTCTGGCCTGGAGCTCGTCGAGGCTCTTGATCCACAAGGGCGCGTTGTCGGCCAGATACTGCAAACATAAACGAGCATCTGTCATGGCTGGGGGAGGCGCTGGGAGGATGGCAGCGGTGGGAGCGGTGGCAGACGTGAGAGCGGGGGTTCCTGTGTGCAACGGGACGCGGTCGGTGAGCGCAGGACGTCCGTCCGCGAGAGCAAGAGGTTCGCTGCCAGCGCGGCGGGGTGTGAGCAAGTCCTATATGATGGAGCAGCAAGACGGGATGGATTTGGCGAGCCGTTGGAGTTTCGACGGGCGGGTGTAGGCCGCGGGAGCGGGCGCGGGAGCCCTTGGCGCCGATCGGTTGCAAAGTAGGGCGGTGATCGGCTGGACCACAGCGTCCAGGGCGTTCAGTAGCAGGGCTAGGGTAGATTCTGGGCGTCCTTGCAGAGCGTGGGAAACGGAGGGCAGCCCCAGGCTTGAGACAGCAAAGGGGGAAGATGGCGGGAAAAGACAAGTCAGCGAGCAGGAAGAGCGGAAATCACGCGGTCAAGGCAGGCGAAGAGATATCTCATGCGAGAGCTGCGGTCTGAGGGCGAGACAGACAGGGAGAGAGAGAGCGCGAGGGCAGAGAGCGCGGTTGAGCGTGGGGAGGGCGGCCAGCAGAGGGGGCACCGAGTGAGCGGGCCGCAGAAACGATAATAACAAAGCAGGTTGGTGGAGGTGAAGCAAGGACGCAAGCACAGCAAGCAGACAAACCAGTCGATCTGAGGCCCGTCAGGAGCTCAGCTCATCAGTCAACCACGCCGAGCGGACGCCGGTTGGGATGGCGGCTGCAGCAGGGCTGGGTCGAGTTGGCACGAAGATTCGGCCCGCGCAGACGCAAGAGAAGGGATTCACGGCGCTCTTGTGTGCGTCTGTCCCGGCGTGCGTCGACGGCGGCGTTCTGCGCCGGCCTGCGTTGCTTGCGCCCGCACCCGCGCACCGCCAATCGCCGTCGCCGTCCTTCTCTGACGGCCGCGGCGAGCACCACCGCCAGCACCGCCATGTGCGTCTCTGTCGCATGTCCCTCGTCGGCCGGGCATGCTGCACGCCCGCGAAGGATCCACGAAGGATTTGGCATCCGCCCGCTCGTCGCTTGCCCCACGCACGTTACGTGCGTTATTCACACAAGCGCGCACACGCCCACTGACACGCTGGACACGCACGCTCGCTCGCCCACCCGCGCTCTCAATCTCTCTCTCTGTCTCTCGTCGCCGTCGCCGCCCGTCTCTCTCGCCGTCGCCCTCTGTCGCACATGCACAACGCCCCCGCATGTGCGATTCGTGCCGAGCCATGTTGACGCACACGCGCACGCAACGTCGAGGTGCAGGCATCCACCAAGCACGCAACAGTACCTGTCGACCTGCCCGACCTGTCGTGTGGAATGGACGCCTTGACGAAGGAACGCTCGGTCACGCGTGCCAACTTTTGTCCACGTTGCCGTCGCTGAAGAAGCCCATCCACAGCTCTGGAACGCAGGAATTCATGTGCTTGCTCGTTTACTAGCGTCCTCCACCCCGGCCCACGTTTCCGCCCCAGGCTTTGCCGTTGAGCCCCCCCCATGCACCGCGCTTAGAGGCGTCAAGCTCTGCGTTGCGAAATAGGAACTGAGAGAAGTACACGTACAGCGGAGGGGGGTGGGATGGCAACGAAAAAAAGAAAAGAGGCAAGAGAAAGCCGCCGGTTGGCAACACATGAAACCACACACAGCCACCCAACCATCCTTGACCTCTCGCTGCCTCTCAGCATGCGTCGTCTGTCAGAATGCTTGCTTCCGACGTTGCATGCTCGACCACCCCCGGGCCATCGCTGTCGTTGGCAAGTTGCTTAGCTGCCTCAACCTATGTTTACGCAGCAGCAGCGGGGGCAGTAGACTGAACCGGCCTCTCGGTGCTCGAAATTTGCTCTTGCTGCTCCGGAGAAAAGAAGGAGAAACAGAGAATTGAAGAAGGATCATGCTGGTCCTGTCCGCCGAGACTATCTCGTCGTCCACACCGCCCATTTCGTGCCCTCTCTCTCCCCTCAATCTCTGTGGCAATCAAGCCATGACCAGTTTCTTACACGTACGGCGCAGGGTGATGCCCAAGTATCTGGGACGTCGCTGAATCTAGCACACTCTCGCTCGTGCTTTGCACATCCACGCACATACGACTCGTTCTCTCGACACACCGCCGCCCGTTGTCCTTCTGCGCCCGTTTGCTCTAACCCCTTTCTGCCCGTCCCATTTTTTTCTGGACTTGCTCTTCACTTCAGTTACCCGCGATCATATTCCTGTGCGAAAAACCAGTCACAACACACGGCCAGATTCTGCAGAGTCTCTCCCCGCCTCCTCCTCCTCCGCCGCCGCCTCCGCTGCTACTGCTGCTGCTTATTGCTGCTACTGCTTCCTCTTCACAGTTCTTCCGGTGCAGCGTTCCGACCCCGACCCTCGTCCAGCTCGCTGACTCCGCCCGGCCGACGTGTGCTCCCGAGTAGATGGTCGACCACACACGCCATCACAATCCTGAAGCAGCGTGACGGGCAGTTGGTCGGCGACTAGACCCGAGCCGTTGGTGTTTGTGTGTACTCCGTACACTCCTGCACCTCCGTGCGACGACGCCCTCTTCTGAACGCTGTCCATGCACGTTCTGGCGAAAGCACCAAGCCGGTTTTTTCTCCCGTGCACCTCATCTGACCTTCGCAGACCTAGTCGACTTTCTCCAAATATGCATGCCGTAATTGGCGTGCTGCATATTTTGCAGCCTGTTCTTCACAAGCCAGCCATCGCGCCTCCGTTTGCCGCGCTTGAGACTGTTCTGTAAGCCGCATCCGGAAATGGGTGACGTGAATCCTGCCTAGTTCCTATTCTTCATATCCCATCAATCACCTGTTATAAAGGGCGCATGGCATCCCAGCCGTCAATGCCAATAATGGTCGACCCACATGTGGCCAGCTGTGTGTTTGAGCCTTTCTAATTGTCATGCTCGCCATAGCGCAAACGTGGCAATGTAACTCGACTTTCAGAAACAGCCATTCACCGATGATGCCCTGTACTTCATGTGAAGCCCGCCTCCCCCGACAGAGACTTGTTTCATTTTATGTGCTGTGTTAATTCTTGCGCTGGCTCTATCCAGGTTCAACTCGTTTCGACCGGCACGCGGATCTCAGGCTCGACAGGCCTGATGAGCCTTTCTCCACACAAAAATATCGTAGCACATTTTCACGTTCATCTACTCGGATTGAACACACCCTCTCTCTCTCTCTCCTTCTCTTTCTCTATCTCTTGCGATCTTTCGGCCCCCTTGTAGTGCATGTAGATACCGATGATCCCGTCTACTGCTGCCGCGGTTCAGGCCCCATTCCGAAATGGTCAATGACAATGAGCTGAGTTGATGAGCCCAGATGCATCTCACACTCACCCATGGATAACAACGTCCACTCGGGTCGAATAGTCGTCTCACATCGTTTACGTGATTCTAACGTACGGCAACCATGCTCACGATGAGCACCATGTAGTCAATCACTTGGTCTTTGGCGTGTCTGCTGAAATGCTCGCTATTGCTAACACACCCTGCCTCCTGCTCTATATGTTTGAAGGACGGTATTTGTCAAGCTTCTGATCCGGATCTGTCCCCCGGATAGCCGATGCAGGACGTTGGCAAGAAAGATCACTTTTCGCCGCAATTTTCTACGCGCTCAGCTTGCGTTGACGGCCCAGTCACCTTCTCTTAACACATTTCAAGTTAGGTTAACGCTCGCTGCAGCGTTTGCATCAAACGAAGGACCCGCTATGCATCCACCCAAAGTAAATGTTTCTTTTATACGCAGCATATGCATCGCTGTGTAAGCTCGAGCGCATGTGTGCTCAAAACGACATCGGACAAAAGAATACTCTGCTTTTGTGCTCACTCTCCAAGACGTGCTTCTATGGGGGTTTTTTTTTTTTGTCAACCCCAATCTAGAAATATAACTATGAGTTAAAGCAAGTGATGAAGTCATTCACCCCAGTAACTAACTACATTTGCTCGACGTAAAGCTCACCAAGCTTCCGCTGCGCCCTTGCATGTCGCCCTCCATCCCGATCTTTTGACCTAAATATTTTGTTCACACATAGCAACCGGAGTCATTGATAAGAGCGTGACGCTGGCTCAAAAAGCATCTGCACGTCTCATCTGTCTCGCACGAGCCATGTCGTCCACCAGCTCTCGTGCGTCCTCGTCGATGCCGCCGTGGAAACAAGCGTTTAGTGAACACATCGCCAAGGTTGGCTCGCCCGAATTCGTGCTCTCGACGTTGGCAAAGGCTCCCGAAAACTCGGCCACTCCGTACGTCCCGCGAGCACGCTTTTGCATATTTCGCGGCTTCTGGGCAGAGCTCCCGGACAACGTGCACAACCCGGCACAGAAGAACGCCAGGGTGTTTGAGAGCGACCTGCTCACCTTTACCACCGACGTACGTATGCAGAAGGTCGGTCAGCTGTTTAGCAGCAGCAGCGGACGCGCGGACAGACACGAGCTAGTGCAGGGCAGTGGAGGGGGAGGCCCCGTCGAAGCCGTGTTCTGGGTCAAGGAGACGAGCACGCAATGGCGGATACGAGGCAACGCGTACGTGGTGGCGGACGACATTGATGAGAACAGCGAGAGCAGCGGCGTGCGGACGGTCAAGAGTGAAATCGGCGCGAGGATGAGAGCGGTGCAGCCGGGCCAGGAGGGCGGCTGGAGCTGGAAACGAGAGCTCGACGGCCACTTTGGCAACCTGAGTCCCGGCATGAGAGGCAGCTTCAAGTCACCTCCGCCCGGACGGCCCACGTCGCAGCCGTTTGACGAGACGAAGAACAGGCTCGCCACAAAGGTCGACGACCTGCACGAGCCCGCCGCTCGCGAAAACTTCAGGGTTGTGATCATCAAGCCGGACTGGGTCGAGCAGACCGACGTGAGCGGCACAGAGCAAGCCCGGCGGTATCAATATGAGTACGACCCGTCTTCCGACAGTTGGACGACTACGGAGACGTGGCCCTAGATTAAACTAGATAAAGAAAACAAAAAAGAAAAAAAAAAGGACACGCATTCTCAATCTTGTTTTTTTCTCTTCGCGCCATCTTTTCCTTCGCTCTCTCTCTCTCTGCACCGCAGCGCCTGGTCCTAGCAAAGCACTTTGGGGCAGCTTGAGCAAAGAAACCGTGAAGGGTCAGGCCGCTGACGTAGAAGCTTTGCTCGGGGTCGACCTTAGATGCATCCGGCGCCACGTAGGGGTGGGCGTGGATATCTAAAAGCGAATACTCCCTCGTATCAACCTAGAGCGAATGCTCCCTCTTATCAGTTCCGTCTTCTCCAGGAGCCAAACCCAGCAGACCAGCCGGGTTGGCTCAACCCTGATCCGCTGTGTTGAAGGAGCGAGAAAAAACAGGGAGCCGGCAGTAAATCTTTCGCGCTCAACTCGGATTCTCACTCCTCATCTAACTCTGCGCTGCCCAAATAATGGCGTGGTGAAGTTGTAAAGGGGCTTCCGCAGTTCATCTCCTCGATCCAGCACTGTCCACCATGGCACGTTCCCGGTCTCGCGCTTCCACATGGGATTCGGCAAGGTTGAGCCAGCGGTTTCGGCGCGCCGCGGGCTGGAGGTCAATTTTCAACGAGCCCCAACGACTTTCAACTACAAACGGAGAGAAACTGAGGCGATTGTGTCTACCAGTGCTTGCGTACAGACCAATGGTGTTCGCTTCCAATTGCTTACACCACGTAGCGGAATTTGGATGAGGATAGCTTTTGTCCCCACCCCCGACGTACCTTCAGCGAATAGAAACTAAGCTGCCGTGCGAGCTTGCCGTGTTGTTCTGCTCTCAAAGCTGGACAAGGCGTTTACAAGATGGCATCAAGCGGCAGAGATGGCCTAGACGAGAGCCAGCTAAGGGAGAGGCTCACTTGTCATCCCGAAGCTCCCCAGCTTGCGAAGTCGACGCAAGTGGCGGAGAGGACGGTTCAAGCTCTGAACGACGAACAAGAGAAGGACGCTGAGAAGGAGAAGAGGACGTATGGCAGAACTCCGGACGGGACCATATTCACGGTGCCGGAAACGCACGACATGGTCTCGCAGCTCCTGTCGCCGTCGCAACCCAAGAATCTGTCCGACTTCGTCATCCTCGCCGTCCTTGGCGTGCTCGTCCTCCTGCTTGTGGTCCTGCCTAGCAGCATCCGCGTACCCTTCTTCGCGCTCACATTCTTGTTCTGGAGAGCATGCTACAATGCTGGCCTCGGCTATCTGCTCCAAGTGCAGTCCGACGACAGATTGCTGGTCGTGTGGGCGAAGAAGTCCGGCATCTTCGAAGACCCGGCGACGGGAAAGAATCCACACCCAAGGTTGCACGCGCTCCTGAAGCGGGAGATGGAGACCAAGATCCCCAAGCATTACAAGTTCGAGGAGGCACCCAGCGAGTACAACACCTGGCTTACCTTTCGCCGCCTCGTCGACCTGATCCTGATGTGCGACTTCGTCTCGTACTGCTGCTTTGCGATCGCCTGCATGCGCCATCCGCCCGCAGAAACGTGGTACATCACCCTGGGTCGCTGGCTCGGCGGGATCGTGCTCGTTCTCTTCAACCTCTGGGTCAAGCTTGATGCGCATCGCGTCGTCAAAGACTATGCGTGGTACTGGGGTGACTTCTTCTACCTCATCGACCAAGAGCTCACCTTCGATGGCGTGTTCGAAATGGCGCCCCACCCTATGTACTCGGTCGGATACGCTGGCTACTACGGAATCTCGCTCATGACGGCTAGCTACAAGGTGCTATTCATCTCGATCCTCGCCCACGCAGCGCAGTTTGCGTTCCTGACTCTGGTCGAGAACCCGCACATCGACAAGACGTACAACAAGCCGCCGCCGCGCACCGAGGAAGACAAGCTCCGCGACATGATGGACGACGGTCGCAGGAAGTCCAGGTTCTCTGGCATCAAGCCCTCGGACATCCACAAGCTCTTGGGTCTTCAGAACCTAGACCTTCATCGCGTCACCGACACCTCCGTTCTGCTTCTGCAGTTCTACATCTTCACCTCAGCCCTGTTGACGCCATCCACCACGTCTTGGCAAACGTTGTTCGTGCTCAACGCCGTGTTTTGGAGGCTGTGGTTCTCCGTCGGAATCGCTTTCATCTTGAACCGACAGTCCAACAAGAAGGCGTGGACCAGGCACTTCATCAAGTACGGAGATAGCACGGAAGAAGCGTGGCGCCAGTGGAAAGGCTTCTATCACCTCAGCATGACCATGTGCTATGCCAGCTTCATCGCGGCCGCCTGGAAGATGTACACACTTCCGGAGAACTGGTCGTACGGAATGGTCCTTCTTCGACACGTGCTCGGCGCAGCTTTGATTGCTCTTCACTTGTGGACGATCATCAGCATCTACGATTCCCTGGGCGAGTTCGGCTGGTTCTACGGCGACTTCTTCTTCGACCACGCGCCGAAGCTCACCTACAGCGGCATATATCGCTTCTTGAACAATCCGGAGCGATTTCTCGGGCTGGCTGGCGTGTGGGGGTTGGCCATCATAACGTGGAGCAAGGCCATTTTCCTCCTGGCTATCATGAGCCACACACTCACGCTCATGTTCATCCAGTTCGTGGAACGCCCGCACATGCAGAAACTGTATGGCGAAAGCATCCGACAGGACTCGGGAGTCAGCAAGAGCATCAAACGCTCGCTGCCTCCGAAAGTACGGGCGTGGCAGACGAGCGTTGACGAGGCATTCATGCGAGCGGGCGACCGGCTGGAGGACTTCATGGCGCAACTGCGCAGCAAAATCAGCTCCGACTACGTGTCGCTAGTCAACGACTCCAAGCAGCTTTTTAATCCTGCGAAGCTCCAGCTGACCCGCGAGGCGAAAGACCTGAACGGCTTCGACCGAAGCTCGTACACGTTGTCCATCGAAGGCACGCCCACCTCCGACCTGGCCTGGCTGGATCGACGCAGTGGCCGCGAAGGCGAAGACGCACGTCAACCACCCGTCAGGACGAATTCGGCGTTCAGACCGCACATCTTCGAGTACGGCGCTCCTATCAAAGTGCGCTGGACGGCCCCCAAAAACCACGGCAGGAAGGACTGGATCGGCTTGTACATGGTCTCCGACACGATCGACCGGGAGGTGACCCGCGTATCGAGCCGCGGACGCTGGGTAGCGACTACAAAGGGACAGTACGATTCCGCCCGCGCTGATTCCGGTATCGTGTCTAGCGACACGCCGGTCGAGGCAAGGGGCGTTCTGGGCGAAGAACTCGTCACTGGCGAGGTCGTGTTCACGGGCGACAAGCTCTGGTGGACGACCGGCGTGTTTGAGTTCCGCTACCACCACGACGGCAAGCATACCGTCATGGCAATCTCGCACCCCTTCGAAATTCGAGTCGGAAAATTCGACGAGGACGATGTCGAGCTCGATCTCAGCAATCTCGGCACCAATGAGCAAGGAGGGCCGATGCGCCGTGCGGTCGAGCAAGCACTTCTCCCTGTTGTTCAAAACTGCTTTGATCGTAACCCGGACATCGCACCCAGCACGGTGGACGAGAGCTTTGGAAGCCTTGTGAGACGAGACGACAAGTATAGCCGAAGGGTTGTGTTCGCCGTGGCTCATATGTTTGGAATTGAGTTTGCGCCAGAGGTCGTGCAGGCGGACGGGAACGTGCGCAATCTTGCCTGGAGAATTTGCAACGCAAAGAGAGTCTTGGTACGTATCTCAGGGTAGTGGAATTGGGGGGGGCGGGGCCGACGCAAGCAAGCCCGATAAACCATGCGCTGACAGCTTCGAACAATAGGCACCGTACTCTTTATCGCCTTCGAAGGGCACGTCAACACCGAGCGAGCCATTTTGAGATGCAACAGTACAAAACCATGCACGCGCTAGCGGCAAATCACTGACGTACGGTCGCCATACTGCCAATGGCCGGTAGACGAGAAAATCGAACGGAAGGAAGAACTGGAGAGGAAAGAAGTAGAAAAGAAAAGTAGTTTTAGAATTTATTTTTTTTAAACCCCTGCAATAGGCCCCCTTCCCCCTTTAGAAGATATCAAATCGCACGATAGTCTTATTTTCCACCCTATTTTAGAAGTCTCAGAGCCTGCCTCCGTCAGAAAGCACACACGGGCATGTCAGAAACGGTGAGCTGGTGTCTGCCTCTTCCCGTCCCTTCGTCGGTCGCTGTCCTTGTGCTTTCATTGAGCTCGTCGCTTAAAGGAACTTCGTCCCTACCCTTTTGTCACAGCCATCTCTCTCTTCGTGGCCTTTCTCTGCCTTCATGACTGGCCGCCAAACGTAGATGCCGCCCGCTCGGTTCCGTCGTGTCCAACGCAGCTTCTGGCTTGTGCTGAACGGGCGTCAGTCAAAGAGAAGGGGTGAGGGGGGTTTTCTGCATCCTGGCTCTCCCGTTCTGGCAAACTGCTGAGAAGCGCAAAGACACTGTGCCCAGCTGCTACAGGCGCTTGAGGCGCCCGTCCGCGTCACAAGTTTGGAGGGCTGGCTTGCTAGGTGCCGTGTCGAGGTCCCGTGTGTGCATCTTTTTGGACCGTCCAGACTATGCGGAACGGACTATCCAACGTACAGAGAGATGTTGGGCGACAAAACGCTGGTTCGGCATTGCACGCAGGTGTATGGATGGATTCAAAAAAAAAAAAAAAAAAAAAAAAGATCCTCTCCTGGAAACGCTGGGGACATTTTGAGATTGGTGACCAATTCCAGGTGTGTACAGTGCGATTTACCACAACTATATATACTTTGGAACAGCATCAACAAAGAAAATTCTTAAAAAAAAAATAAAAATTAATAACGCTTAGGCAATTTCATACCACATATAAATTCATCGTCTGGACCGTTTCTTTCTTCTCCCACTCCCAAAAAAAGGGGAGGAATGATTTACAATCTCGAATCAAAGCCTGACCACCTGCCCTCACCAGGCCAATGCACGTCGGGCCAGACGACGCGCAACGCTTCCCAAATATGTTGCACCTTGATAATCTTGAGACCCGTCTTTACCTCCTCGGGGAGGTCCTTAACGTCCTTGCGGTTCCCATACGGGATCATGACCGTCTTGACACCGGCCCTGAGCGCACCGATCAGCTTCTCCTTGATGCCACCGACGGGCGTGACCTTGCCGCGAAGGCTGATCTCGCCGGTCATGGCGATGGTGGGGTCGACAGAGCGAGCGCTGAACAGAGAGATGAGCGCGATGGTGTGGGCAAGCCCGGCGGAGGGCCCGTCCTTTGGAATCGCGCCGCTCGGGCAGTGCACGTGGATGGAGCGCGACTTCATGATATCTTCCTCCACGGAGCTGGTCAGACCGAGTTCGAACGCGTGGCTCTTGACCCATGTCAAGGCGACTTCAACGGACTCCTTGAGCACGTCGCCCAGCTTGCCCGTCAGCTGCACACGTCCCGTGCCAGGCATGTCGGCGACCTCGATGAAGAGGATCGAGCCCTGCCCGCCCGTGGAGTAGGCGACGAGACCCGTCACAACACCGGGACGGCCCGTCCGCTCAGCGAGCTCCTCTTCGAAGCGCCGCACTCCAAGGATCTCTTCCAGGTCTTCGACCTTGACTTCGGGGTTGTATTTGACGTGGCCCTTGCCCGTCTTCTCCGACTCCACGGATTCGGCATACTCGACGGCCTTGTAGCGGCACACGCTACCGATCTCACGCTCGAGGTTGCGGACGCCGCTTTCTCGTGTGTAGCCGGTGATAATCTCATCGATAACCTCGGCTGAGAGCTTGACGTCCTGCGGTTGCAAGCCGTTGGACATGATCTGCTTGGGTAGAAGATGTCGCATGGCGATGTGGCGCTTCTCCAGCGTGGTGTAACCGCTCAGCTGGATGGTCTCCATGCGGTCGAGGAGCGGCGGAGGGATCGTTTCCAGCGAGTTGGCGGTCGCGATGAAGAGGATCTTGGACAGATCGATGGGAATGTTGACGTAGTGGTCGACAAAGGTGTGGTTCTGCTCCGGGTCTAGCACCTCCAGCATGGCCGCGCTTGGGTCACCCTGGAAGTTGGCGTGGCCGAGTTTGTCGAGCTCGTCGAGTAGGAACACGGGGTTAGCAACGCCCACTTTCTTGAGGCCGTTGACTATGAGGCCAGGCATGGCGGCGACGTACGTGCGTCGGTGGCCGCGGACTTCGGCCTCGTCCCGGACACCGCCAAGTGAGATGCGATGGAACTTGCGACCGAGTGCGGTCGCGATGGACTTTGCCAGTGACGTCTTTCCGGTACCAGGTGGGCCGACGAGAAGCAGGATGGGGGCCTTGTCCACCATTCTCTTCTTCTCCCGGATGGCAATCTCCTTGTCGCTCATCTCGCTGTCCCTGGGGTCTTGCTGTCGCTCTTCCTCGACCGAGCCTCTGCTGTTTTCGACAATCTTTCTGATCTGGGCTTCGAGGTTGGCATTGACCTGTTGCTTGAGCTTCAGCACGGCCAGGTACTCCAACAGTCGCTTCTTGATCTTCTCCAGGCCGTAGTGATCGTCGTCGAGCTGCTTCCGGGCACGTGCCAAGACACCGGCATCCAGGTTGTCCTCCGTGACTTTGGACCACGGGATCTCGGCCAAATTCTCTAGATAGTTACGGCACACCTGGTACTCCGCCATGGCGGGGTTCATCTTCTGCAAGCGACCCAACTCCCTCTGAGCGACCTTAGATGCCTCGGGCGTCAGCTTTGCGTCGTCCAGTCGTTTCTTCAGTTCCTCCAGCTCGTTCTCCTCTCCCGGACCCTGGCCCCCCATACCAGGCGGCATCATGGCGGCCGGGTTCCGCAGGCCGCCGATCGTGCTGTTCTTCAGCGCGTTTAGCCACCTCTCCATCTCCGGCCCTTCCTTGGGGGCGTCTCGTACGTTGTTCGAGGTAAGGGTTACGCTCGTGCGACCGTTGCCCTGCAGTGCGGATATCTGCTTCTGCAAGACATCAATGACGCGCTCGAGCCTCTCTCTCACGCCCAGCGCGGCCAGAATCAGGAGCCTGTCGTCGTGGGTGCATTCGATGATGTTGGCCATGAAGTCGGCCAGGCTGCCGGCTTCTTGCACGTCCTTCCTCGCGATGTACAGCTCCAGTCGCCTTGCGAGCAGGGGCGTGAGCTGCAGCGAAGGCGGGCGCGGGAGGAGACTGCTGAGCCGGATGAGGGCCAGGAATTCTCGGCTCAGCTGCTTCAGCTCGCCGAACAGGGTGTGAATGGCGACGTCGGTCGGGTTGACGTCCGCATCCTGCAGCGGAATGACGTACGCCTCGAAGTAGGGCCTCTCCTTCACGACCTTTTCGACCACGCACCTCTCCAGACCTTCCACGATTAGGCTCAAGCCGGTGTGTCCGCGACCTTGCTGCACGCCACTGACCCTGGCGACGCAGCCGAGGCCGAAAAGATCCTCCTTGCGGGCAACCGCAGGATGGACATCTTGGGTCATATGCTTGTCCTTGCCCTCTGGCACCGCAGCATCGATCAGTCGCTTGCCGTCTGGGCTGAGAAGCGGCGAGCCCAGGGGCACGCATGCAACGGTCACAGTGTCGTCGGCTGCAGAGCGCTGGGAGGATGAGGTACTGTACAGACGTGCAAGCAAGGCGGCGACATCGGGGCGGTTGACAACGGAGATTCGCAGAGAGACTCCGGGCAGCAGGACCTGACCCTTTGGAAGCGGGACGACGGGCAGAAGCCGCGACTTGGAGCTCGCCTTGCCCATGGTGCGATGCTCGGTGTTCCTTTCCCTTTTACAAAGCGACGTCCGCTGGGCGGGCGGGTTGAGGACGACGGTAGTGTAAGATCTGATCTGTCGAGTGCGAACAGTCCGGCACGTATGTGGTGGGTGTGCGGTTGTACGTGGGTGCTGCTATGCGAGGATGAGGATGCGGCTGTTCGCCCAGATAGCCGGATACTGATACCAGCAGACCAGCTCGGCTTTAAAAGTGGAGAAATGGGGCGACGGCACGCGACGCAGATGCGGAAGCGCGTACGCACGAGCAAAGATAGAAAAGAGTAGAGCCAGATGGCGGTAGATGTATTTCACATATACAAAAAGAAGAAGCAGTCAGCCAAACAAAAGGGACAAAAAGATTAAGGCTGCAGGAGGCGCCCGGATGAGGACGAGCGGATTGGCAAGCAGAACGTTAAATGGTCGGACAGAGAGGACGGGGCAGACGAGAGGGAGGGGGAGGAGAGGGAGAATGGAGGTTGAGTGATGACGATGTCGGTGCGATGAAGACGGCGTGGTGTTCGAGAGCGTTCCAGCGAGTTCACGACGGCGCTGCGCGTCCGCCTACACTTCTGTCTCTCCTCGGGTCGTTCGAGCCAGAACCGACGGCCGATCCGTGGGCGTGCGGGCGGTTTCTGAGCAGGACATCCTCGGCTCGCCCCCAGACGTCGCGCGCGGCCAGCCCGTTGCTTTCGATCACCATCTTGCCTGTCTCGCCTTTCCGCCTTTCTGCAGCTCCAGCCCGATGTGCCCAGAAGCTCTCGCGATCCCGCCCCCCACGTCTTTCGCCCCTCAGCGCTGCTGCTGCTGTGGCTGCACCGCCGGTGGAAACCCGGCTGGCGACACCTGGAGCGTCGGCGGAACCAGCTGCGGGGTCGAACCGGCGCGAACTACTTGTACAAGTTGGCAAGCCAGCGTCCGCGTCGCGCACGTGAAAATGGAGTCCAGCCTGATGATGCGTCATCGTGCGCTCGTTTGTGCGCTCGACGTGCGTTCCGACTGCTGCCTTGTCATGCCGCGGTCTGAGACTCGAAGAGAGACCAAGCTCGCTTTGTTTCTCCTCTGGGCCGCTGGCTCGCTGGCTGGACACTGAATCGCCGGGGCTTCAAAGGCTCCATACAAGATAGTGCAAAGAGATGGAATCACAGGACCGCCGGAACCTGCGATCCGTGGCCTGTGTCCTGCGTCCTGCTCGAGCGAATGAATGACGAGGAGATCAGACGTCACCGTGCAGCGTTGTATTCTCTTGCTTTCATATCTTCTACCTCACCTGTCGAAAGGTTCACCCTTCACGGTGCCTTGATCATTCAAAAGTGTCCGAAGCTGTGATTATGTACACGTCGTCCTTCCTCCCTCATCCCATGGTGTAAAAAGCAAACAAGCAAGCTGAACGATGGTCGTGGTAGAGATGTCTATCGTGGCATTTTCATCAATGCATCCGGAGATCCCCCCCTCCCTTTTCTCCCAAAAGTCTTGCCCAAGGCAACATATGCAAAACGTGGTCTCAATTGCCCATTACCCGGCTGTTCCAGTCCACCTCTGTCTTTGGTGCAAAAACGCCGTCCCTAATTCAAGAGGGAAGATGAAAATAAGAAAACAAAAGTAAAGAAACAAATCCATCAAATCGGCACGGAATGCAGTGCTTGGGATGGCGAATCTGGAGAAGAATGGTGAGCACGGGCGATGGTCCTGTCCGACATGACAGGGGTCACCGCTCGCAATCACGGTCATAGACTCAGCCTGAAACGATCGTGTTGGAACGACCTCGCAGAGCCTACGAGATGAAGGTTGCCTCCGTGAACAAAATACCCTCTTCCTCCTTCTCCTCGTCGCCGATCTTGAGCTTCAGCTTGAGTCTTGGCGTGTACTGGTAGATGTACGGGCGCGTGCCTGCCGCCGTTTCAGCAATCTTCTTGATGAAGCCGGGCACTTCGGCCATGACATCTATTCTGTCCTGCCTCTTGCCCAGCTGACCCATGAGGTGCGCCTCGAAGGGTTTCCCATCTGCAGTTGTGCCCTTCCACCAGTAGCTCGTCACCGTCGGCTCGGGCCATCGCGCCTCGGGATCTTCCGTCTTCTCGACATGCTCGGCCGTGTTGTCGACGCCGGCGTACAGGATGGAACCATCGGCAGCGATTCCGCCGACATTGACGACAGTGCTGCCGTACGAGGGCGGTGTTGTGAACTCCATCATGAGCGCACTGTAGGTTGGCGAGTGGAAGTTGACAAAGTTCCACCGGTTGGCTACACGTCATGTCATTAAGCAAAACCAGGCGAGAGGACAGAGAGTAGGAAAGCGGAAGAGAGGGGCCAAGGAGAGGGAACCAGAGAGGTAACGCGTGAAGCCATCTGCACTACATACCTGCGTGATGCGGCTTCATGCCCTGAAGCGCAAAACTATATGCACCCTTGCCGGCAAAATCAATGGGCCCACTAGGAGTAATAAAGCTGCCCTCAACGCGGCACCTGGGCCAGAAGGCGTGAAACATCTGGCCCCAGGGCTGGTTGGGGTCGGTTCCGTAGGTGGACGTGCCGTTCCTGCCAGCCATGAAGCCAGGTGCGACCTTTGTGATTTTGATGTCGACAATGCTTTTGGTGCTGCGCGAGGACTTGAGCGAGTACGTGGAGCCGTCCTCGGACAACTCAAAAGATACGTTGTCGGCGTAGAAGTTGAAGCGGTCATCGGAGATGCGGTGGTTGTCGAGCGGGTCGGTCGAGAACAGGGGAGGGGTGGCGTTGTCTGGATAGAAGATCTTGGAGCTGAACTGGCACGTCGTCTTGACGCCCATGACGACGGAGTAGATGCTGCAGCCGGGCATGGGTCAGTGGGATTGTGAAGCCGGCAAGCTGAGGACGGAGTTTAAGAATGCGACGAGGGAAGGAAAAGCGGACAGAAAAGTAAATAGCAAGGAGAGGAGTAGAGACGTACATCTGAGCCATGCCAATGTGACCGCTGTCGGCGGTAAAGTCTGGTGAGCAAAAGATTAACACACAAGCCGAAGAAAGAGAGTGTAGATATCAGCAGAGGCAGGCGTACAGAAGGTCTGGGTCTCGACGTTTGTGCCTCCAAGACCCTTCCACTTCAGGTCGTCTTTTTTCAACTCGGTGTACTGCACGCCCTGCTTGGTGACGGGCTGGATGGCTTCGGGGCCATAGAGGGGCTCCTCGGTGCCGGCGATGTCGGCCATGGCCTTCTTCACAAAGTTGAACATGGCGAAAGACGGGGATTGGCGCGTGTGCGTAGCGGATACGTGTGGTTGAAGAAGGAGTCAAGAGCGGAGGCGGCGGGGAGAGTTGGGAGAGACGAGAGGCTGCGGCGGAGCAGAAGCGACAAGGACCTGAACGACGACGAGGACGAAAAAGAAGTTCAGGTGTGTTGCAGGCTTTGGCGGAGAGCCAGGAGGAGTCGAGTGGCAAGAGCACGCGAACGATATGTCAGATCAGATAGAAGAATAGGCGGTGACGACAAGCGCGCGGTATCCGGCAGCAGCCGCGACCAGAGTCCAACGCGGGGGGGGTTTCGGGCCTGGGCTTCTCTTTGTTCTCTTGGATGACGGGACGGCAACGCTGCGTAGTCGGCCTAGTGTGCACGCAGGACGCGAGCGTGCGAGACTGAGGCTGACGGAGAGAGAGGGGAGAAAGAGCGCGCGGAGCGTGTGTTTGTGTGAGTGTGTGCGTGGTGCGGACGTATCTGGTGTGTGTATGTGGATGTGTGCGAGCGCGTGCTTGTGTGTGTGCTTGTGTGCGCGTGGAGCCCGCAGCGACGCTTTGACTGGTTCCGTACTTGTACGGTGCGTGCCTGTGCATACGGGAAGCAAAGCGATCTTCACATGGCCCCCCTATGTCTGCTTCTCTGGTTTAACGCGCGCGCGAAACACGGGTCTCAAGACGAGCCCGGCTGCGAGCAGACACGTACGACAGCAGGAGAACTGCAGAGCGGAAGCCGGGGGCTGCTACACGGCGACAGCATTGTGATGGCATTGTCGCCTCAGCACAGCGGAAGAGGCGCGGTGCAGTCGTGCAGCTGGCGTGGAGCGCTCACTGTCGGCTTGTGAACAAACAAGCGCAAGATCAAAGCTGGGGGGAGGACTCGTAGTGGGCCATGCTGAAAGGTGCCGGGGCGTGCTACAGAATACTGACGAGGAGCAGGACATCGCCTGCCCGGTGTGTGGTAGAAACAGCGTCACACTGGTGTGCCTCGGCCACAGCATCAGCGTCCGCAGGCGGTTGGTACGCGTTCGAGGGCGTTGGAAGGTCCGTGGCAGCACTGGACTGCCCTGACAGCGCCATGCGCTCTTCGACGCCAGCATGGCCACAACACGGCCCGGCGCCGTGATGCACAGCTGCGCTTGGTGCCGTCGCCGTCGCCGTCGCCGTCGTTGCGTCGTGGTCCCGCCGCTCCTGATCTTCTGCTCCGGCCGACATGGTTCTCCCTCCCGTCAGGCTGCACGGCCGTCTGTGCACGCCCAAGGCAGCTGGAAAGCGCTGCTAAGCTGGACTTGAGTGGGGCGCACGGCCACGGCCTGTTCGTAAGAGGAACCACTCAACTACACAAGCGCACGATGAAGACGAAGACGAGGAGCGGACGAAAAAAAATTCCAGTCAGACAGGCCGGCCGGCGTGTGAAATCTCTGTTGGCCATACCGGCATCCCATCCGCCCTTCACAAGCGCCTAATCTTCTGCTCTTCTACTGTCTCTTTTCCTTTCCCTCCCTTTCTTTTTGATCCTTTCCCTCCTCTCCGCCCCGACCCAGGGCCTCGCCGTCCGCCCGCCCACCTGCTTTCGCAGTCTCAGTCTCCGTCCGCTCTCGCATCCGCACCCGCACTCGCAGCCGCCAGCCAATCCGTGGCCTCCCTCGTCCTGCCCGTCAGAAAGGCCGGCCTCTGTTGTTCCGAGGCCCCATTCATCCTCCCCTCCCCCCCAAACCCGACAACGGCGACGACGCGCCGTGGTCAATTGCTCTGCTACGCCGCCTTGCTCTGCACCGGGACGTTGGGTTTGGCACACGCATCCGCTGTTCTGCTGGCATGTTTTGTATCTAGGCCCCGCTCCACAACCTCCTCCCGCCTCAAAGAGCCCTCTCTCCCTCCGCTGCCCCGCGCTATTCTCATTATCTTTGTCTTTCCTTTTGCTCCGTCCCCCTTCCCCAGCCCTTCTATCTCTCTTTCCGCCTCTCCCGCCTTCTATTCGGAGCCGTGCCTACGTGCGTACGAGTGAGCGGACGAGCGAGCGAGCGAGCGTGCGCGCGTACGTGCTCTGCAGCCCGCCCATAAGCAGACGTTCCGGCCGCTTCCACTTCCGCTGCCACCTACGTCGCCGCCCCTCTACTGATTCCCTCCGTCCACCAAATTCACAACGAACACAACCGGCGTGAACACCACCAACCCACTCTCTAAGCACCAGGTTTCTTGTTTGGCACGTTCTTTGTCTCTGCCACTTTCTCTGGTCCTTCCATTCGACCAATCTCTCAACCTCGTGCGACTTCATTCACGACCACAGTCCGGCCTGTACGTACATCCATCCAGCACACTGCTACATTTCCGCATGCACACGCTTCCATATGTAAAATCGCCGACCCCTTCATACCCACAGAAAACGGCGCTGGCAGATCTTCCTTCGGCTGGAGAAGAAGGAGTCGAAGAAGAAGAAGAAGGCCTTTGCATCGGATGGAAAACGCACGCAGACGTTCGCATGAACAGGCATACACGCGCTCGCCCTGTGCTGCAGGTGGGGTACATGTCAACACTCATGCTGGGTCTTACCCACGCCAAAGTTCATCGCAAGCGCCCAAACTCCTAGTACACGAACACGCATCGCAAATATAGTCGTGTCTGGCATAGATGTGCATTCGGCGCCTTACCACGAGTCTGCTTCCAAGTCTGCGCGTGTGCGTGCTCGTGTGTCTGCTCGGCCTGGATTTCCCTTCGTCCCCATCCCACCCTCACCCTTGGTCATGAATATTCCTCAGCGGTTCGGCTGTTCTTGTTTGCCGTCAATGACTGACTCCTCGTCTTTGTAGGACGCTGCACGTTTCGTCAGCATGAGCACCGGACCCTCCGAACCGACCGTGCGCTTCGAGTCACAGGTCGAGGAGATCGAGCCCGAGCACTCGCTCGACCAAGTGCGAACCCTCACCGGCCACGATGGCCGTGAAGAGCTCTCACCAGAGGCGCGACAGGAGCTGAGGTCGCTCGCAGTGAACATGCAAGTATGTCTGGGGGCGCACCGCTGACTCCGGTCCCTTCATGTCACGCTGCGCGTGCTGACACGAGCGATGCAGAAGACAAGGTTGCAGAACTTCAATTACGAGCCCGTCTCTCTACCCGTCTCTCGAGTGAGTCTCGCATCTAACCTTCCCCCTCCCTCTCAATCTCGTAGCCCCAGATCTTACCCTCCGCCCTGCTGTCCACGGAGAGAGGAGGAAAGGCCGCAGCTCCCCCCGGTGTCGCCCCCTCGTGGACGCCGACGAAGACATGCCGCTGGAGCTGTGCACTGTGTGCGAGGTGGATGGGCAACTTCAGATGTTCTTGGCCAGCCAGAGTAAGGCTGACCTCATACCACGCAGGTCCCTTCCGAGTCCAGTCAGCACCAAAGTGCGCGCGCTTCGCCCCACCATAGCCCATCCATCTCCGCTGTACATACACCGCCGCTCACGCCAGCCGCGTCGGACTCTAGAGATGTACGCGCTGCAGCCGGAGCCGACAACAAAGGGCCAGCGCCCTCAGTGATGACGCCGCAGATCTCTCCACCTCATGAGGCGCCGCCCACCTCTATTCCGACCACGAACATCTCGTCCAACGAGCAGAGACCGTCCGCCGCCGCGCAGGCGCGATTACCACGCTCCTCAGGTGCCCGCTCCAGGTCATCTTTTGAAGGCTCCGCAGGCGTGCCGACGCATCCGAAGCAACCGCCGTCGCACATCCTCCCGCGAGGTGACTCGCCTGCCACATCGCAGGACCCGAGTCCAACCAGCACGCCCCGGCCGGGAACGCCGTCAACACCCGGCGGGGCTCACTCACCTCGCCCGCAAACCCCGACGTCCGTCGTGCCGGTGGACCCGTATGGTGCCGCCCGCGCTCTTCAGAATCTCGAGGAACGCATACCGAGAGCTCGTGGCAGCGATACGAGACCGAGGAGCATGTATGGAGGCCCTGGTTCCAATGGTGCCGGTGGGCTGAAACCTGACAACAAGCGCCACACCGGACTGTTCTCGAGGCATGAAGACAAGTCCCACCATGGATCCATGTCCGACCTGAAGCGGTTCTTCAAGTTTGGCGGCAAGAAGGACAGGAAACACGAAAGTAGGAGTCGGCAGAGCTCGCCTAGCCGGCCCCCTTCCTCTGTCGTTGCACCGGAGGCCGGAGCCGTCACACCCCCGTCCGCGCGCAGCTCGATTGCGCTACCCTTTGCCGACGACCATGGCATTGAGGCCAAGTACGGAAAATTTGGCAAGGTGCTTGGGTCTGGTGCTGGCGGGTCCGTCCGGTTGATGAAGCGTGCGAGCGATGGCGTGACATTCGCCGTGAAACAATTTAGAGATCGCCACTCGTACGAATCGGAGCGTGAGTACAACAAGAAGGTCACGGCCGAGTTCTGTATCGGCTCCACCCTGCACCACGGCAACATCATCGAGACGATGGACATCATCCAGGAGAAGGGCAAGTGGTATGAGGTCATGGAGTATGCACCGTACGACCTGTTCGCCATTGTCATGACGGGAAAGATGACGAGGGAGGAGATCTGCTGCTGTACACTCCAGATCATTTCCGGCGTGCACTACCTTCACAGTATGGGTCTCGCCCACAGAGATCTGAAGCTTGATAACGTCGTCGTCAACGAACATGGAATCATGAAGATCATAGATTTCGGCAGTGCTGTCGTGTTTAGATATCCTTTCGAGAACGACATCGTCCTTGCAACCGGTACGTAACCGTCCACCCTGAATCCCCGCTGTCTTACTGCACATCACTCCTCTCCCCCAACGTTCCTTCAACAGTCCACCGACGCTGTTTCGCAACAATGTCGTCTTACCTAACGGACGAACCTCGCTCTTCCAGATGTTTACTTTCCTTTTCCGTTTTCTTTGGCTGTGCACGACAAGCTGATCTTATTACGCACCCATAGGCATCGTTGGCTCTGATCCCTACCTTGCTCCCGAAGTGTATGAGCTTCCCAAGTACGACCCCCGGCCCACGGACATCTGGTCGCTTGCCATCATCTTCTGTTGCATGACTCTCCGTCGCTTTCCCTGGAAAGCTCCCCGCGTGTCTGACAACTCGTATAAACTTTTCATCACAGAGCCGTCCGAGGAGGAACGTCGTTCCGGTCTTTACCCGCAGAGGCCATATTCCGAACCTGCATCACGTGCGCAATCAGGTCCCAACCAAGGCGAGCCTCCCCGAAAGGAAGGGAGCGAAGCCGGCAAGTCCGAGCCCGAAGACAAACGTGCAAGCTCAAGCACGGCAAGCACACAAACATCCACGCCAGCACAGCCGCAGACGATCAAGGGCCCATGGAGACTGCTCAGGCTCCTGCCTCGGGAGACACGACACATCATCGGAAGGATGTTGGAGATAGACCCCAAGAAAAGAGCTACGCTCGAAGAGGTGCTCAGCGATCCGTGGGTGTACAACAACATGCATGCAAACAGAGTGTGTTCGCAAGATCCGAATGGCATTATCCACCGAGGTGAAGGTCACGAGCACACTTTGGAGCCGGGTGGTGGAGGAAGTGCACCACCTAGCAAAGCAAAGTAAACCCCGAAATTTAGACGAGAGGGCAAAGAAAAAAGCACGCTCAAGAGCACGCACTATCTGTAGAGAGGAAGTCACAGCGAGCCAGAGAGCGAGTTGATTCAGAAGCAGGCGATAGAGCAGTCAGGGTTTGCAATTGTGTTACGATTGGGTGAGGTCAATTCTCATTATCCCAGCCCTCTCTTTCATAATGCAGATGTGTCGAAAAAAAAAAGATAATAATTATTCCTTTCTGCAAAGGTGCTTGAATACATCTCTGTGCGCGCGCAGCGCGAGCTGGAAAAAACCTTTTTGTGAAAATTTGTTTGGAAAGGGTAAATACGACATCACTACTCATACGTTCGCTCGGCGAAGAGAGAGCGAAAAGGCGGCCACGATTCACATGTACATATGAATTAAGACGGTTCAAAGAGAGGGTTGATGGGTTCAAATGTTTTGGTGTTTATTAACCGAGCTGTAGCTAATCATATTGTTCTGTCATTCGACGCAAATCAAGGACTAGCATACGCAAACTTGTCGATTACATCCCCCCTTTCCCTAATCCTAACACTCTCCCTCATCGTTACCTGCGTTCATGGCAAACTGACTTTTCGACAGTGGAGTCTAAGTGAGCCAATTGAGCTCTCACGACCCACGATCAGTACAAAGTTTATTCGGAGGCGAAGGTGAGCCCCGATGGCAAAAAAAAAAAAAAAAGCATGCCCTACCACAGTCTATGTCTTGTAATCACAAATGAAGGCGAAAGGGCGCCGTATTTCTTGAATCTGTCTCCGTGAACGTATCTAAGCTGTTGCGCCGGAAAAGAGCAAATGGGCGGCGAATCGGAAGCCGAGCTGTACAAAGATCTGTTAGGTCGAGACAGTGCATGGGAGACAATTACAAACAGGGAAGGCAATGAGGACGAGCATAGCTCTGGGCTCGTCAGCGACGATAACGACGAGCACTACTACACGCCGGTCGAGGACGAGCACCCATCGGAAGCACGTCAGAATACTGGTTCCGCTGGTGGTGATCATGGCAAAAAGCTCCTGAGGAAACGCGGTGCCTACGAGGCTGGTGATGCGAACGAACGCGAAGACGATGATGTCGCCTCAAGACGGGCTAGCACGATGATGGCTGGGTCAGTCGGACGACAAGACAGTGTTGAAGGGAACCAGAAGCGGGTGGCCAGAAGTCCTTGCTTGGCTCTGTCGAAAGCGAAGGCAAGGACGGTGAACAGACATTCGAACTCTTCACCAAGCGCATCGTCCGAGGCCGACTGGTCGCGGCGTCATAGGCCGGGTGATAGATTGTACGGCCGATTTACGACACTCAGCCCGTCTCCGGGACAGCACGCAGGCGACGATGAGAGCGGCGGTTCAAGACGCTGTGAAGGCGTCGAAGTTGGACCAAGAGCGACTACGCCTGTCCACCAGTCGACGACGCGACCCACCGTGCTCTCAGTGCCAAACCCAGACGGCAAACAAGCCATGTCAAGTGCCAGGAGCGAAATCAGGGGCTCACCGCCCCAGGTAGAGATCTGCAGCGACGACGACGGATGCCAAGATGCCTGCTCGTCGTTGGCGAACGTGTCGCCGTCGCTGTATTCCTCCGATCTGAGTCCCGACACCGTAAATAACCATGGTGCAACGCTCGTGCAAAAACTCGCGAGGCGGAAGAAGCGTGTTACTTTCCACATCGACAACGACAGCAGCGACGCCGCCGCGGCCGGCGACGTCGACGACGACGACGATAAAGAAGAAGAAGAGTGCCAGCGCGTCTCGTCTCTCACCGGCGGCATACAGAGACTCTTTCCTCTTGCTGGTGGCATTGTGCAATCCAAGCCCACAAGCTCGAGGTATAGGACTGCGCGCTTCGATTCCGAACAGAGCCGAGACGGCGCCCTTGCGCCTTTGTGTTCTTCGGACTCTTCTGAGACGGAAGCCGATCACGGTCCTCGCGCGACGCGGCCTCTCAACTACAGGTCAAGCCTGGAGAGTATGTTGACGCTCATGGCCCCTGAGTTGGGCATGGTCGAGTGCGAGCTGGATCGCGAAGTTGGCCTTGCCGATGAAGAGGGTGGCTTTTGCACTGGTTCGAGCTGTCAAGGTCGTTCGAAAGCCGGGCATGTCAACAGCTATCTGCAGCAGCCAACCGCGCGGAAGGTGGCACCCGTGGAGACGCATGTTGCTGTTGAAAATCCCCCCCAATTCCCACGCTTGAGGTCGACAAGGGCCTGGTGGCAGAAGTACGGGCGGAACATGGCTCTACGGGCGCATTACGAACTGAAATTGACGACTCGTCACCAGACCAGAAACCCGCCCGATTGTAGTTCTTCTCAGTCTTCTCGATGGGCAAGTGAAAGAACCAGCAAGCCGTCGAACCGCTTGGGAGGTCCTGCAAGGCCACTTGTTGAACCAACTCGGGCCAGAGGAGCTACGAGCGGTTCTGAATATCCTCCAAACCTCGAGAGGAACAGTGTAGACGCGTCTCAGCCAACTGAAGTCGTGCTCATCAACACCAGCTCTCGCTCCGCAGAGAACAATAGAACGCTCAGATCCGGCTTGTCGTTGCGGTCAGATCCAAATCCAGCCTTGCCGATGGATGCGAAAACGGCGGTAGGAAACAGAGGCCAGATCCTTGACGCGGTCGCGGCCTCGCGCTCCTCGTCAAGCTCTACGAAATCGCAAAACTTCTCTCGGCCGTTTAGGCAGCCTGGCCAGCCATCTGTGAACGGGGCCTGTTCGGGCGCCTCAACAATCAAGGGAGGCGCCGTCACGAGCGGCGAGGCCGCGCCGACTGCACCGGCGCCCAGGTCTATCGCGTCGTCGCACCACCGCCCTTTCCGGCCCTCTTACTCCGAGTCGTCCCGGCTGCAGCTGTCCCGGCACCACGCGTGGACGATCCGCGAACGGATGCTGGTCCAGGCGCGACGGGGTTCGGCGTCGCGGCGACGCCGTGTGTCAAGACAGCGTCTGCCCGACGACGCAACGGTCAGCCTCGACGCTGCCTGCACGTACTGGAACGCGCAGGTGCGACTGCTCCAGAGGCTCGACAAGACGTGCAAAAGGACGCCCGTGAGAACCGCCCTGCCGCCATCGCCGTGCTCTTCCTGCACTGGATTCCCCGACGCGTTCGAATACAGACAGACGACCTGGTCTCGAGTCGAGCGGGCCTTCAGCGGGCTGTGCCACTTCCTGTCCCGGTTTCCGTCCCCCAAGTCATGCCTCGGACAACCGGCAAACCAAACCGCGTTGGTGAAGTATCCCCGAGCCTTGGGCGGGTCATATTCACGCGCGCAAGACTGGACTCGAAGAACGGACGAAGTTGCACGCGTCCGGTTTCGAGGCAATCAAGACATTGACGTCGAAAGCAAGTCGGATTTGAGGATCACGTATCCGGAGTGATGGAAACGTAGACGACACAAATGCTATCTTCATATGATGGATCGTCTTCAGCCATGTTAGCATTTCTATCAATTTATTGTATTCTTTTTTTTTTGATTGTTCTTCGCTTCTTGTTGACGCTGAATATTATGGTCTGCACTAACTAGTGGCCGTGTCCGTCATCTTCGGCTCTTTGCTCAGGATCCAGCTTCACTAGCGTGTCGATACGCATGATCGCCACACACGCTTCCACCGCGCTCTTTAGTTGCTTCACCTTGCTCATGCTAGGTTCCAATACACCGAGCTTGATACTGTCGGCCACACGCCCTTTGGTTAGGTCCAGTCCGTAGTTCTTGTAATTCTTCTTGCGTGCTAGAGTTTTCTCATCCTCCGTGCTCGAAGGTTGTGACTCTCCTCGCTCTGGGGGATGTAGGTTTGCGTCTGTGCGTTGAGAGAGTGCATGTCGAGAGCGCAGCTGTGCGACAAGCTCAGACGCATCGAGTGCTGCATTGATGGCGAGGGTTTTTGGAACAATAAGCAACGACTGTGCAAAAGCAGCGATTGCCAATTGCTCGCGTGACCCCACACTGGTTGCCCACTCCTCGAGATAGATGTGCAGAGCAGTCTCCACTGCGCCGCCTCCGGGTACGATTTTGCCGCTTTCCAATGTCCTCTTTACGGCAGACAGCGAGTCGTGTATGGACCGCTCCATTTCGTCTAGGGAGTAATCATTTGGGCCTCGTAGGATGATAGATGCACTCGAGAAGGCTTTGGTACCCTTCACGAGAATGCATTCATCATCGCTGATGCGTTCTTGCACGACCTCGTCGGCATGACCCAAACTGGATGCCTCAAAGACTTCGTCACCATCCAAGTTGGACAAAGTGCTGATAAGAGTAGCACCAGTAGCTTTAGCTATCCTCCGTAGATCTTCCTTCTTACAACGACGCACGCCGATAGCATTGGCTTCAACGAGGCGTTTCAAACATAGATCGTCAATTCCTGTAGCGAATTAGCGCCAAAAAAAGACGGCTTAAATGAATAAGAACGAACCTTTAGTCGTAAGAATGACATTTGCACCTGTGACAAGGATCAGCACATGCTGCGAAGCAGTAACTTCACAGCCGATATACTACATACCTGCTTTGAGAATCATGTCTATGCGATCCAATACAAGAGTAGCCTCTCTCTCGCGAATTTTCTCTAGTTGAGCTGGGTCGTCAATAGTCACCTTGTGCCATAGTTAGCCAAGAGGTTAAACATGGAAACATAGGTGCGAAATAGCACTTACCTGCACCCCCAACTTCAAGCGCTCTTTCTGGAAATTCATGTCAAAGCATGCGATCTTAGCGTTAGTTATCCTCGTCTTCATGGCCTGACTTGCGACTGTGCAATTGAGTGCATATCCCTTGACGAGAATGCTCTCCCGAGCGGACTGTCCATGTGCCTTAAGAATATTAACAGCCTTGACGGGATATTTAACCTCCTTTTTCTGGTTCACAGACTTCACGGCTTGCATAGCGTCTACAACCATGTTGGCAAAAAAATCCGAGTCGCTGCCGATTATTTTCGATGACATCGAAGTCTTGGCGATGTTGAGAAGAGGCTCTCGCCCAAGTGTGTCCACTGTGATGGACACGTTTTCATTCATATATCGCACGGCTTCTCTGAGTGCTAGACGATAACCGGTGATTATGGTAGTGGGATGAACGCGGTTTTTCATCAATTCGTTGGCACGGCGCAGCAGCTCAGCTGCGATGAGGACGACGGAGGTGGTCCCATCACCTACCTCCTTATCTTGCTGTTGAGCGAGGTCGACTAGTATGCGCCCGGCAGCGTGCTGTACATCGAGCAAGGAAAGTATGGTAGCGCCCTGTAAGGAGTTAGCACGAAATGAACTCTCGGGAGAGCGCAGCACCCATACATCGTTTGTAACCGTCACATCGCCAACATCGTCCACCATCATCTGGACTGGGTCAGAACAAGTGCGTCAAGAAGGGCGCATAGATAGAACATGCCTTGTCAAGCCCACTTGGTCCAAAGGAAGATTTGAGGGAGTTGCTTATGGCCTGCGTAGCGAGCACGAACTCGTCTCGAACATCCTGTACAAACATAGCGGTCAGTATACTCAACTCTCTCGACGGTCATGGAGCAACGTACCTGTCCGCTTTTCTTGGTTCCGCCGAGGACTTTTCCATGTCAAAACACTGCATCACCAAAGCTACGGGCAACTTACACAGAGTCCCCGACTGTCTGGGTACGTCAAATAGGGCTGCCATGCTGTTTGCTTCGTAAACGTCGGTGTGGGGTGAAGTTTTGCCAACGCGAACGCGTGCGCCAAAATTCTTAAGTTAGCCCGCCAGCACCACAGCTTTGGCAGCGGTCTCAGCTAGTGCCACAATTAGTTACTGTATCGTACAGAAAACTGAGGGATTTCGAAACGAATCGATGCCTGACGAACAAGCGTTCAGAGCCTTGCACCGCCACACGGACCATGCCTGGCCTGCCTCGTCCATTCGCAGACGGAGGTATGAACCAAGGCTTGTGTCTGTTTTCAAAGTCAATTCTATCCTGTACCTTTTCTCCCAGATCTCTCCTGCTCACAACATCTTTGAGTCCTGAGTTTCATCAACGGGTCCTCATGTGGCCTTGTGGCCTTGCATGCGTCATCGAGACGGAAACTTGTGCTTGAAGACATTAAGTCCACGGGCCGATCTTGCTGGAAGCATTGTCCAACGCGAAAGGAATTTCAATTTTTGACAGTGACGAATCAGGTCAAGGGTTTGAAAGTTATGGAGAAGAAACCATATAGTCTTTGCGCGGGAGCGATGGAGAACTAAGAGATCTAAGCACTGATGCCATGAAATCGTTGCACCAGTGTTATTAGGACAATGAGCTTATTCGTGAATCTCGTGCACGGAGATACTGCATATTTTGTCTAACGAGTACGAATCCCGAGTCTAGTGTCCTCATTAAATCGGCCTGTATATCTAATTCCTCTCCAGTACAGAAGGTCGCAGTTAGTTTCTATCTTGTGTCCCAACACAGGGTGTGGACCATTGTGCCATCTCATCTCTACTCCTGTTCGATCGTCCCTGGCGGCTTGCTGGTCGGATCATACACACAGCGGCTCACGCCTTTGACTTCATTGCATATCCGCCTCATGACTGCCTTCAAGAACTTCCAATCAAACTCGAACCCATCCGCCGTCATGAAGTCTGTCGTCGTCACTGCGCGAAGCACTACCACATACTCATGCACACGTTTATCGCCGGCCACACCGACGGCTTTCACGCTGTACAGCCCTGCATACGCCTGGCTAATTTGACGGTACAGGCCGGCTTCTCGAATAGCACTAATAAAGATGTGGTCTGCTTCGCGAACAATGCGAAGCTTTTCGCGGTCAACGGAGCCAACGATGCGGATACCAAGACCTGGTCCTGGGAAAGGATGACGCCAGACGAGATGCTCGGGAATACCTAAAGTTGTTCCGAGCTCGCGCACTAGATTGTCCTGTCAGCACCATTCCCGTATCCTGTCACGTTTCAAGATACCTTCATCTTTGAAAAGCTCACGCAGAGGCTCGATCAGCTTGAGCTTCATCTTCGCTGGTAAGCCTCCAACGTTATGATGCGTTTTGATCGTGGCACTTGGCCCTTTGAATGAGATTGACTCAATAACATCAGGGTATAGCGTGCCCTGAAGTAGGAATTCGATTTCTCCAGCATTTGGTGTGTTGTGGGCCTCCGCTTCAATCTCCTTCGCTTTTTCGAGGAAGCAATCGATGAAAGTGTTGCCAATGATCTTTCGTTTCTTTTCGGGGTCATCCGAGATGCCCTCAAGTCTCGCGAGGAAAAGGTCCGCAGCATCAACGACGCTGAGGTTAATGCCCAACGCCTCAGTAAGGGTTTTCTTTACTTCTTGTGCCTCGTTCAGGCGGAGGAGACCATTGTCAACCAAAACAGCGTGAAAGCGATCTCCAATTGCTTCTTGCATCAATTTTGCAGCAACTGTGGAGTCGACACCTCCAGACACCGCACCGATAACTTGGCCTTTTGGTCCGACCAATGCTCGAATTCTTTCGATTTCCTGTGTGACAAAATTTCCCATCGTCCAATCTGCCGAACAATGACAGATATCAAGCGCAAAGTTGCGAATGATCTCTTTACCCTTGGAAGTGTGTGTTACTTCAGGGTGGAATTGGATACCGTAATATTGCTTCTTAGTATGAGCAATTCCAGCAAAGGGGGCATTATCAGTTGTCGCTATGGTGACAAAGTCTTCTGGAAGGTGTGACAGCTTGTCGCCGTGCGACATCCAAACATCAATGGGTCCCTCGATTCCATTGAACAGCGATCTAACATGCGCGGGGCCGTCATGGCTTGGATTGAGCGTTAGAGATGCGTGACCGTATTCTCTCTTTTCTCCGGCCGACACGTTTTTGCCGAAGTGCCAGGCAATCTCTTGCAATCCGTAGCATATGCCAAGGATGGGTATGCCCGCATCGAACACGGCAGGATCGACATGGGGCGCGTTTTCTTCATATACCGAATAAGGGCCACCTGACAGAATAATACCTTTGGGCTTCCATGATAAGTCCGCTAGTTTTTGCGTGCACGGGAGCATCTCCGAGTAAACATTGAATTCACGAAGTCGACGGGTGATCAAGTGGGAATATTGAGAGCCGAAGTCTAGAACAAGCACACAGTCGAATAACTCATGAGCCTCCTTTTTGACGGCCGCTTCGTTCGCATCTACATTGTTGGTCGCCATGTTTGAATGCGCTGAATATTTTGCTATTCACGCAATACAGCACAAAATAGCGAGGTGAAAAATTTAAGCTGCCAGGAAACTTGTCACTATAGGGAAGCGGTTTTAGAACAAAGCCACAAAATAGAACTCACATGTTGGTAATTCCTTCGACTGTTTTGTACCTACAATCTGGACATTCAGCTTCGACGAGGTTCGTGCTGGAATGTATCAATCCACAGCAACTTAATTATGAGTCTTCGATTTGACTATCAAATTTTGTGGACCAATCGGAGTGCAGTATTTAGCTCTACTGGAATGGTGACTAGGGACCAAGGTCCTTACGCTGATCGCATATCGCAAGTTTCACTTCAGCACTTGAAATATGAAACTAGCCGCACTACAAGCGTGGAAAACTACTCTCCGGCCGCAATCTGGATATCCAGCCTTTTTTTCACAGAAAAAAATCGTCAGATGGGTTTACGTTGCAATATGCTTAATCGCCAACGACGACAAGACTCTCCGTTTCTTCTTGGCCCTTCTCGTTTGATACAAGAGGTCAGTTCGCAATGCATTGCAATAGGGAAGCAAGATCAAATTATTTTGAGTCAAGTTGACAAGGACTTAGAAATGGTCATGTGCAGACAATGTCCTGTATGTCTTTCACGTTGACCTAGTAAATACGCTCAAATTGAGGTCGACTACGCAGAGACGTGGAGCCCAACAAACCCTAACATAAAGGAAATATGGGCTATTTTGTTTTTCCAGGAAGACTTATCCAAATGCGTTGTATCCGAGCAAGAGGATTTGCGGCTGTCACGATGCTACGAGCTGCGGATTGTAGCAGCCCAGATAAGGAAAGCAGACACTGCTCCAAATAATAAATAAACGACCCGCTGGATATCAATAGAACTGGTAACAATATACGTTCCTCACCCGAACTTAATGTCCGTGGTGTTTCACGGAAGTTAAAATCGTGGACGTTCTGGAGCAGTCATCTGCAGAGGGTTCAGAAATCTGACAGTTCATGAGGCAAATTGCCGTACTGACATAAGCGACAAGTCTGCATCCAACTGTGCGTTATCACCGATAAAGGGGCCACATTTATGCAACCTGGATCACCTCGTGACTCCGATTTACCTCAAGAATTGATTCCTGCCGACTTGAGACCAACGAAAGTCATGCCGAATTCGGGGCGATCCACCGCGAGCGGTGTCGTTACGTAGTCCACCGGATCATGGTACTTCTATTCAATTATTGCTTCAGAATTTCCTGAACTTCTTTGATGTCTATGTAATTGAATACTTGCTTGACTATAATGGACCAGTACAAATTTCCGTCATCACCAATTGCCAATCCGGAGGCAGTTGTGAGAGGTCCAAACTATCGATTTTCATTGCTAAACAACAACGTCATTAGATATGAATGGGCTGCGGATGGGGTCTTTGAAGATCGAGCCTCGACTTTCGTAATCAATCGGAACTTTCCCAAGCCCAATTTTCATGTCGTGGACCAAGAGCACCAGCTCGAAATCATTACGCCACCTTTTCAGCTGACGTATGACAAGCAAAGATTCAGTCCTAACGGACTTTTTGCTGCAGTCAATGGAAAACAGCTCAAGTGGGGGATTGAGTGGCGGTATGGGGTCAAGGATAAGTTCAATCTCGGCGGTACGGCGAGGACGCTAGACGACATTGATGGACGTATAGACATGGGACAGGGCGTTATCTCCAGAGCTGGATATGCTGAGATTGATGACACCAATTCCATGTTATTTGACGGGAATGGATTTGTCACTACACGTCGCCCTGGTGATCGCATCGACGGATATCTCTTTTTTTATGGTTTGGACTTCAAAGCCGCGATGAAGTCGTTCTATGCTATTTCGGGTGAACAGCCAGCTATTCCGCGTTGGTGTCTTGGAAATTGGTGGAGCAGATACCATGCTTACGAACAAGAGGAATATCTCGAGTTGATTGATAAGTTCAAAGACCAGAAAATTCCGCTTTCCGTTGCGGTCATAGACATGGACTGGCATTGGGTTTCGGAAGCGTTTGTTCCCCATGCTGGCTGGACCGGTTATTCTTGGAACACACAGCTCTTCCCAAACCCAGAGAAGTTTCAGAAAGAGCTTCACGATCGAGCGCTTCGGGTTACATTGAATGATCATCCTCGTGACGGCGTCCATTCTCACGAAGATGCATACGAGGAGTTGGCAGAGGTCCTAGGTCATGATGCCAGTAGCAAGGCCCCGATCTTATTCGACCCAACATCTCCAAAGTTCATGCACGCATTTTTGAACGTGCTCCATCGCAAATTGGAGAAGCAAGGTTGTGATTTTTGGTGGATCGATTGGCAACAGGGCTCCTTCTCACGTGTGCCCGGTTTCGACCCTCTCTGGCTATTGAATCATTTTCAATATTTAGACACCAGACAAAACATGGGCTCGTCCAATGCCATAATTTTTTCACGATATGCCGGTCCAGGAAGTCATAGGTATCCAATTGGATTTTCAGGTGACACGATATCTAGCTGGGAATCTCTTCGTTTCCAGCCGGAGTTTACTGCTACAGCTTCTAACATAGGCTTTGGCTGGTGGAGTCATGATATTGGAGGTCATATCTTCGGCTCTCGAGATGACGAATGCACCGTCCGTTGGGTGCAGTCAGGCGTATTCTCTCCCATAATGCGCTTGCACTCGACGCAGAATCGATGGATGAGTAAAGAGCCTTGGCTCTACCGCGCTGAGTGCGAAGAGATCATTCGAAAGTTCATGCAGCTTCGCCATCGCTTGGTGCCTTACATTTATTCATCTAGCTTGATCCAAGAGGAATTCAATCTTCCGTTGATCCAGCCCCTGTATTGGAATTTTCCACGGGAAGTGGCAGCATACCGTCATCCAGCGGAATACTATTTCGGCCCTGGACTAGTTGTGGCCCCTGTGCTTAGTCAAAGAGACAAGAGAACAAATCTTGCAAAGACTCAAGTTTGGGTACCACCAGGAAGATACGTAGACATCTTCTCTGGCGTCGTCTACGATGGAGAACAAGAAGTCGATATGTTCCGGCCGCTAGGCCAAGTTCCTGCCCTGGCACCTGAGGGTGCAATCATACCCCTTGACAGAGAGATCGTACCAGCTAATGGTTGCCCAAACCCCGACTCTTTTGAAGTGCTTGTTATTGTTGGGTCCGACGGTTTTTTTGAGATTGTTGAGAATAGCCGGGACGATACGGGCACAAAATCGCGGTCAGAATGTTTGCGAAGAATTCCCATTAAGTATGATCACACTTCCGGTCGACTTTCAGTAGCTAGTGCAGGAAAGTCGTGGACGTTTCGATTCATTTCCGCAAGCATTGAAGCGGACAGAATTCAAGTGAAGCACGGGAGTCAACTTGCTGAAAACATAGAGATAGAGATCGGATACACAGGTGACGTTCCTTGCACAGTCGTGAAAGTCCCAAAGGCTATTTCTTCAGAGACCGAGATTGAGATTAATCTAGGTCAAACTCCTCATTTAAACGTTTGGGATCACACAAAGGCTATTTCAGATCTCATACTTGACTATCAAATTGAGTTTAGTACGAAAGACAGGATATGGGAAATAATCGAGGCTAAGCAGCCTAAGCAAACTAAGATTGCAAGACTCATCAGTCTTGGACTTGATTATACGCTAATCGGCCCAATCATGGAACTTTTGCTCGCCGACAGCCGTAATTAATAGAAGTAATTTAGATCAGAGATAGTTTCTTGATAGGCTACAGGTAGTCTTCATTTTGATACAGTGGCACTATTTTGTGACGTTTTCTTAGAAAATCGCTATTGCTTCTCACGACACAAGGTGTCATCATCACTCTTTGCAAAGACTCTCAACGCCCTTCAATTTCATTTGGAATTCTTGGGAGTGAGATTTTCATATTTTTCCACGTCACAAATATGTTCTGCTAAGCCTCGATATGGTGTTGAACTTGCTCGGACTTGAATTTATTGACGCGCCTGCAACATTAACGCATTGAAATATTTATTAAATTTACGCTTCAAGGCAGAAGTTCGTCTTAAAAGTACTACTTGTAGGCAGATGTCCCGTTAGAATGATGATCCTGCAGATCGATGAGAGGATCCAAGGAGGTGTCATGCTCTGGAATGTGGTTCCTGGATATGCTGGTGCAGATCTTATGTGGACCTGCATGATGTCACAACAGCGTAAGATAATAACCAAGCACAAGACCAATTCCTTTCCCGTGTCACTATATAATCCTCTATCGGGGTTCTGGCGAAAGTACAGGGTCTCATAAAACCACAAGCATTGGATTCAATCAATATGTCTCAATCAAAGGTCGGAAACTCTCAAGTCTACGAGGCTGGAGACCAGGTAAGGTTGAAAAGTGGTCGATAAGATGCACAGTCTAACATGAGTCACAGCGCAATTACAAAAATGAAGAACTTAATGAGTCTGATCGGTACAATGAGGGCAAGGAAAACTCGCATAAGCTCAATGATTCTAAAGACGAGCGGAGCATTGCCAACAAGCTCGCCGCAGCCCAGAAGGTAGGCTTGTGCACGCCACGATCTCTGATCCCAGCCGCCCAATGTTCCTAGAGTTGAATGAACATATGCTGATACATAAGACAAAGTTCCAAGATCAAGACGAACCAAAGAGTCTAGAGAAGCAGCGACTGGACAAGGATGCAACTCTGCCAGCCAGAGCACACGGCAACGAGCCCAGTAAAGGAGCAAAGATTGACCAGGAATTGAGGGAAGAGGAAGAGGCAGAGCTAGCGCGGAAGGGTAAGAAGTAAAATTTTCTTCTGTGGGCATCACGTTTTTGGTGTTTCCGAATAGATTTGTACAAACATCATTAGATGGATATGGCGCTCATATGCAAATGGAGCATGAAAAATATGCCTCACATCTCTCTCTTCATGGCCAGACCTTGGCGATTTGCAATCCCGTGACGAGTGCAAATTGCTACGATGGCGGCTTCAGATAGTCGGCGATTGCTTTAACTGCATCCGCAAATCTTGAAGCCTCGATAAGTATCAAGTGACCCATGGGCTTGATACCAGCTTCGCTGAACACCCGTCTGGCGTCACTCGCCCCATCATCTTGCTTAATCTCGTACTCAAAGTTACCGTAGGCAAGTGAGTACTTATGTAGGATCTCGTCCTCGGGGTGGAAGTAGAATACTTCATCACTCATGCCCTGTTTGCTCGCTTTGGACTTCTTCTTCGGTCGTTCAGCATCTTCCGCGTCTAAGGTTGAAACTACTTCATGATACACTTTTGACCAAATAAGATAATGTGTGAACTCGTATGGTTCTTTCTCTTCCAAGGCCCATTGTATTTCCTCTAGAAGCATGGTGTACATAGGGGGCGATATCTCGGAAGGCATGTTCAGTAGACGTTCGGTGAGGATGAGACCAACCTGTGAGTTGGAACCGGCGGACAAGAGATCTGGTAACTTCGAGAGATGGCCGGAAGCTTGCCTCGCAAGATAATTTGTAAGGTTCTTGATGACTGGGAGCTCCTGGATCGGGGTGAGCAGACGCGGTTGTATGGCTTAAAATATAGATCATGGCTTACTCGATGCACATGCAGGTTTAACACAGTGAGGAATGCATACGGATCCGTCTCGTTGCCATCCACTTTGACCGTCGACCCCAGCAACGGCTGCGAAAGAATCAATTCCACCAGTGCGGACAAGTCAAACAATTGCGCGTCAATATCGAACAATTGCCGGCAAAGCGTCTTCAATCCGTGGAAGTCAAACTGCGGCTGAGGATCAAACCATTCAAAGTCTACATCGAGCATCTCCAAGTCCTGCTGAGCGCGGTTAGGACGAAATTCTCTGGTGGAAAAAGCTCGAGAGCCTGAATTACCGACTCATCATCCGACTCGTCTTGGCCGCGGCCATTGCTCTGGGGATTGGAATTTTCGCTCTTTCGCTTCGGCATGTTGCTTGGGTCGAGAGCGTTTGCAATTTTGCGAACACGAATTGACACTCGGCGGGCTGATGTCGCCGCCGAAAACTTTTGGGTGTTTTTTGAGTTAAAGCTGCCGAGTTGGGCTAGTGCAGCAGCCGGAAACGTCGCCGGTAGAACTATCGATAAGATGAGATGGTCCAGCTGTTGATCCTTGGGCAGTAGTCCTACTACGTCTCAAATTACGAGCACACGGCTTACCTATGTACTCATAATCTATGTTCGCGTACAATGTCGGACAGGTCTTGGAGGATCCAAGATGTTTGGAAGCATTCAAAGGCCAGAATGAAGTCGTTCCGTGTGTTCGCCGATAATCACCACGACGTGCAGAAAGCGCTGGCTCAATAGCGTGATGTCGATTTAGCTCGATATTATACACAGGCTCCTCAATGATGGAGGGAACTGACGAAGAACCCAAAAATTTTCTGTTAAAAAAAGCAACAATTGTATGCGATCGAAGGCTGTTCCCGTCAATTCAGTCAAAAATTTCATCAACGGCGCTATTGACGATGTTCAGGTTATGAAATATTTCCAATTTATACAGGAGGTGAAAATTCCACGACCTAACTTTGGTATCCACTTGCTGTGAAGTTTGGACACGCGTGTGCTCTCATCAGTAAACGCGAGCACTGGTTATGTTAATGCTATTAGCTGTATGTGAGATAAGACTGATGGCACGAGGAGTAACGCAAGGTCAAAAGGGACTTTGCGCATGATATCAGCGTTTTTGAGAATCCTATCAATTGCGTCAGCAATACCGCCAGATTTGGTACTCGTGGTTCCACTAATCTTTCGAGGATAAAACTGGAGGAATAGGCAGGCATGTAGTACGTGAATGCGATCACTACGAACATGCGGCATGCGGCTCACAAGCGATCAAGTAAGAATCTTTGGCCGGGCGATTCATTTCAGCACATTTGTCTGTGGACGCATCTAGGAATGAAAAGTACAAGGATTCTTAGTTCGCAGTTTCAAGATCTAGTAGTTTGAACTGGATCAACCAAAGTTCTCTTGGTCTTCTCGGGCCGTCAGGATGATCCCTCCAAATTCTCACCAAGAGTTGATTGCTTTTCGAACTAGATATTTTCTCAGCGAACGTGAAATGCATTAAGGACTGGACTTCTCGCCCTTGATGCTTCTGAATATGTGGGAAATAAAATTGCATCCTGAGACGGCTTCCCCAGCCCCTTGCTAGAAAACGATTTTTGAGCGGCTAATCATTTACGCAGCGCATGAGATTCACGGCCGTGAACAACCACATGGTCTGCGAAAATCAAGAAGAATAGTTATAACTACCATGACGATGTCCGATCGTGTTACTCCACTCGTTGCTTAGTTCCACGTCGACGCAGGTGGCTTGACGCAGGGTCCTTCGGTCGCATCCCATTTTTTTTAACTTGACGATGCTGAGGCCGCAGCCAACCCTTCGACAACCGTACAACACCGATACAGTACTTGTCGCCTTTGTGGGGCTCTTAAGGCCCAGAAAAATCTAAACATTTGCGCGTCCGGCAGCTTTGTCTTACTCGATCAGCACAATGGCAACTGATGCGCAACTGTTCATCTCCTCGTTCCAACTCGACACCTCCCCCGCGGCGCTTGAGACGCAGTCCAAAGCTCGCTACGATCGCGTGACACGCTATACAGCCCTCAGTACCGGTGATGCATCTATAAAGCTCATACTAGATGTTAACACGGATCTTTACACACTGAGCCCCGACACACAATTCGACCTCTGCCTGGCGAGCACGCTGAATCTGGACGGAACTAAAGATGAGGGTAAGAGCGGTGGCTGGAGGGAAAAGCAACCAGGCGAGAGCGATCTGAGCGACGGATGGGACTACGTGTGTTACGGCAAGGTATACAAGTTCGACGAGGGCAAAGACGGCGAAGAGATGTGTGTTTGTAACGAGGTTCGTACGCTTTCACAACAGAGGCTGACAATTCAACAGTAAGATGTATGCGAGCTTCGGCGGGCTTCTCATGTATTTGGAAGGCCCTTACAGGAAACTCACATCGCTACGTGTGGATGACATATATCTCTTGATAAAAAAATGAGATCCTTAGATCATCAAGCCTCACTTTTTTTCCCAGGGCGTCGTATGAATGATCAAAAGCAGGCTATACACGTACTGTGAATCTGAGTTGGCGCGAGAGAAGCTATTGTCATTGAATAGACGCAATCTAGGATACGCAGATGTCTACCTATTCAAGAGCAATGTGTTGGAGCTGTTTGATGCTTTTCTACACAGAAGCAGTATCCATGGAAAACAGCCATCAAACTTGCTTGCGAACAGCACCGGTGTCAGTGCAAACAGAGATACGCAAATGAAAAAGAGATGGGGTGTTCTACTCTATCCCTTTCCTTCAGAAATCTTTCAGCCCATCGGAAATTCCAGCCTCCTATGACATCGAGTCACAATTTCAGCATAGTTCCTCTCGTTTTCCTTCGTAATGTATCCGTGTCGTACCAAAAACTCGATCATAACGAGCGCACAGTTGGGCTTGAATTCGCCGTTTCCCAACGCAGTAATTACCTGTTCTACATCGAGCAGCTCAAAGGCTTCTACCTCTTCGTCGTTCGGCTTGCATACCACGCCGTCACCATGCTCGTCTTTCGCGCCGGTCAAGTCTAGGTCATATATGTACTGGCATTCAGGCTGCAGCAGCCCTGTTTCTCCACCAGCTCGTTCATCTCTGATATAAAAGTATGTGACACAGCCCGCAGCCTTCGCCTTCCGTGAGATCGCTTCGGGTAAGCTCGCCTCCTCCATGGCTTCTCTGACAAGACATTCAAATGGCTCCTCTCCAGCCGCGATGCCTCCGGCGACGGAATTATCCAGCATAGACGGGTACGTTTGCTTGTTCTTGGCCCGTCGCGGAATCCATATCTTCATAGCTCCACTGTCCACATCGCGCGTGTAGCATGTCAAGTGGACGCCGTAGGTAACAACGCCGAAGAGCGGGCTCGCAGAACGCTCGATCGCGAAAGCCATATCGCCATCAGGCCCATACACTGCGTACAGCTCGTTCCGCCACTTTTCAAGGACTTTCCAATGTCCCGTCTGCCTCATTGCAGTCACAGTCTTTGCGACAATCGCACTTCTCTCCTGTTCGTTTGTGCCATTGATCAGAGTAATGGTTCGAGGCTGCGCATCTTCCTCGGAAACTTCCCAATCAGGGAGGCCACGAAGTGTTAATGCTACTGATGGTAAAAGAAACCCAAGCGTAACGTCTGGATATGCGGCCACACGGAGGTGATAATATGTCCCGATGTGCTGACTATAAAGCACGGGGTCTGTGGAGGGGTACGGGAATGAGTCGCACTCCTTCAGTAGATCAAGATGAGATTTCTTGGGCGCCATGCTCAGAGGTTCATTAGCATGCCAAGAATACCCCCTGAGATATTTGTGCGATATGCTTTTCAATTGCGGTTTTTAGAAAGTGTGAAGCATACAACTGTGAGTGTCAAGGTAACAAAAACAAGCTTTAACATAGGTGGCAGACGAACACTCCGATATGCGGAAGGAATTTTACAAACATCGCTTGATAAGATTTACTGGCATTAGCACAGCCAACTTTGTTCTTCATCATGTCATTTCGCAAACGAAATGTAGTTCTTGCGCAGAAAGGCGAAAATCCAACAGTTTCACAAAAGCAAACCGCCCCGGGCGTGCGTCCAAGCCCAGTTACTGGTCACCCGACTACATCGACTGGCACCGAGTCACTGGACAAGCTGCTTGCATTAGGTGGAGGCCTGGCCCTCGGCTCCAACCTAATGTTGGAAGAAGATGGCGCCACGGAGTTTGCAAAGTCGCTCTTGTCATGTTATGCCGCAGAAGGTGTGCTGCAGGGACATGCTGTATTCGTCGTGGGACCGGACGGCAGCCTGTTAATGCCCGGAGTTGCTGAAGAAAACATGACAGCTCAAAGGAACAAGGCCCCAGAAGGTGAACGAATGAAGATTGCATGGCGGTATGAGAGATTGGGGACGTTTGGTGAAAGAGAAAGAGGTCGGTCATGCCCATACTGTGCTCTTTGTTTATAATAAATCAAAGCTTCTCTCTTTTACCATGACCTAATTTACGATTTTCTCGTCACTTATCATTGGTCTGCAGGTTCTACTCAACAGCAAAAGCCGATCAATGCTAGCTCGGGTGTACAAGATCAAGTGCTAGAGCCATTCTGTCACACTTTCGACCTTACCAAGCGGCTCAGCGTTCCGCCTTCAAGGAGGCCACCTGCGTACATAGCGCCAACAAACCCAACAGACGAGAACTCGTCGCCATTTGCATCCATCGTTAAATCGCTGGCGCTTCATTTGGACGCAAATCCATCAACACCAACTCGACTCGTAATCCCCTCTCTGCTCAATCCACTCATCTATAGCCCTTTATGTTGTCAACCTCAAATGCTTCTGGGCTTCCTCCATAGCGTACGCTCACTTCTTCGCAAGCACAGCACTGTACTCACTTCTATGTTCTCATGGCCCTTGGCACTGTTTCCAGACACACATCCACTAACTCGATGGGCACGGCATCTCTCCGACGGAGTGATCGCGCTCCATCCTTTCCCACATAGCTTCAGTATAGAAGCCATTGATCTTGACATCAAGGGCGGAAGTGGCAGCAACGAGAAGGTGAAGACGGAAGAGAAAATGCAGGGCTTGATAAAGATGCTCAAACTGCCAGTATTGACCGAAAAGGGAGTCGGCTTGGGAAGTGGGGAGGATATGGCGTTTGCAGTTGGTCGGAGGAGATTTTTGATAAGGCCATTCCATCTACCTCCTCTTGAAGGGGAGACAAAGGACACGGCGCACGACGGAGATTCCACCATTGAAAGCAATAAATTGGAGTTTTGACAACCGAAAAACTCATGTGCATACTAGCATCACACAAACTCAGGGACCATACGACGTGTAAACTAATTGGAGATCAAATGCGTCAAGAGAAAGGGCAGCTGATGAACGGCCCAGTTGACTTGAAGGTCTTAATATGAAAGCATGATGTAATCATCGAGTTGCGAAGACGCATAGCCAGACCAAATGCACGGAGTCCTATGATGAGGATGTGAATCATGTGCAACGTCGGATAACAACCGACGTGCTGTCAGGCATTTGCAGACAATGATTGTTGAGACCAGGCTGGCTGCCACCTCACCAAGTGTGGCTAAGGCTGGATGGATGGCGACGATGGCTGGATCCAGGGAACGCCCAGTAATCGATAGGTGCCCGAGGGTTGGTTGTTTGGCACTCAAGTCGACGAAAACCTCCACCGGGCCGGAGTCCATTGACTCGATCAGCAGATGCCCGCCAGCCTCCAGGGATTGGTTTTGCAGCGTGCTCAGAGACGCTTAGCGAATGAAATCATAGCCCGAGCATTGAGTCAACGCAAACGAGAGCTGAATGCTGGAGCGTTGTAGGTGTACGTCCGTGATTGAGCGAGACAAAACTCCGCGAGGATCCACTTCCTGATCCGGACTAGTGCGGGCAGCATCGAGCCTCATATTGGGCACGCAGATACAAATTGTCGTCACTCTGCCAGCGTGAATCGCAGCGTATAACAATTCCTCTCTGGCTTTGCGTCCAGGCTGACATTGAAATACAACCGGTATGTTACCTGCAGGCAGCGCCGACATTGATCACAGAACCCCGCACGGCAATATCGACGAGGTGCCCAAATTTTGGCTTTGTGCTAACACAAACATCAGCCACCAACATGTCGAACCTAGACAGCTGGGAGCAAGACGAGGATGCTCAGCAGCCGCAGCAGCCGCAGCAGGGCAGTGGCATGCGAGCAGATGGCAACACATTCCAGCCCGGAGCCATGAGCTTTCAGCCCACCGCGCAGAGCTTCCAACCTGGAATGCAGCATTACGGCGGTTACGGCCAGTATCCCCAGTACAATCAAGCATACAACCAGAATTTCGGGCAAGGTGGATATCCGCAATATGCCCAACAGCCCTATGCACAACAGGGTTTCCCTCAATACGGACAGCAAATGTATGGGCAGCAGTACGGCAATTTTGTCCCCCAACAGACTTATCAGCACCCGAATGTCGGCAGCCAGCAGAGAGCCCAAGCACCTGTTACCATTGCAAAACGTGGGGATGGCACAGAGGAAGGAACAGCTGCCTCTGCTGCTGCCCCTAAGACAGCAGCTGCTTCGGGCGACTCAGTGGCTCCAAAAATGAAGACACTCAGCATAACCGCCGACCCGCCAAAGCCTAAGGTTGAGAGCACTGGAACGACAAAAGTAATGAGCATCGGTGTACCCACACAGCCAAAGGATGCAAAGGGTCCTAAAGCGGCAGAGGCGGGCGCCAAAGCAACCGCGACAAAGGCGATTGAAAAGACTGGCGAGCCTACCGGCAAGACCTCCCCAACTCCGTCCTCGGGCCGGGAGTCACCTTCTCGTGCAACTACGGGATCTTCCAAGGCAGCAGTTAGCTCGAACGCCGTACAGATCGAGATGGAGTCAGCAGCCAACGCCGAGATTTTGAAGGAGATGGACCTGAAGGAACACGTGAACGTCATCTTTCTGGGCCACGTCGATGCTGGAAAGTCTACACTTGGTGGCTCAATTCTGGTGTCAACTGGAATGGTCGATGAGCGAACATTGGAGAAATTTAAGAGAGACGCTAAAGAGGCGGGTAGAGAGACTTGGTATTTGTCGTGGGCTCTAGATTTGACCAAGGAAGAACGTGCAAAAGGCAAGACTGTCGAGGTCGGCAGAGGATTTTTTGAGACGGACAAACGGCGCTACTCAATCTTGGATGCTCCAGGGCACAAGAACTTCGTACCAAATATGCTGGGAGGTGCTGCTCAAGCGGACATTGGTGTACTCGTCATCTCCGCACGGAAAGGCGAATTCGAAACGGGCTTTGAGAGAGGAGGTCAGACCCGAGAACATGCCATGTTAGCAAAGACGCAGGGTGTAAACAAATTGGTGGTTGTCATCAACAAGATGGACGACCCGACTGTGGAGTGGTCAAAGGCACGATACGATGAGGTCATTTCCAAGATTACGCCGTATTTGAAGGGAATCGGATACCATCCCAAAAACGATCTGTTCTTCATGCCTGTGTCAGCGCAGACAATGACCGGTATCAAGGACCGAGTGCCAAAGGAGACAGCGTCATGGTGGGAAGGCCCATCACTACTCGAGTACCTGGACAACATGCAAGCACTCGAGCGCAAGGTCGCCGCACCGTTGATGATGCCAATCGCTGCAAAATATCGTGACCTTGGAACTATGATTGAGGGTAAGATTGAAGCCGGCATCCTTGACAAGACGAAGACCTATCTTATGATGCCAAACCGCGAACAAATCTCTATCGCCGCTCTTTACGGGGAGCAAGAGGATGAGATTGAAGGTGGAAAAGCCTTTGCTGGCGATCAGGTGCGCCTACGTATCCGTGGCGTGGAGGAAGAAGATATTCTACCGGGATTTGTGCTTTGTTCGACGATGAGACCTGTCAATTACGTCTCCGCATTTCAAGCGCAAGTTCATATTCTCCCGTATGTTCCCAAAAAATATTCTTTGCGATGTCATCTAGAAGCTAACGCGCTTTGTATAGGGAACTCAAGTCCATTCTCTCAGCTGGGTACAATTGTGTCATGCATGTTCACACGGCACAAGTCGAAGTAACGTTCAGCGCGCTGCTACATAAACTGGAGAAGGGAACGGGTAGAAAAAGCAAGAAGCCCCCAGGTTTTGCGACAAAGGGTATGCAGATTATTGCCAGGCTTGAGGTCATTGGTGGCACAGGTTCAGTGTGTCTAGAACGTTACGAGGATTATGCACAAATGGTAACTATCGCCTATTTCACTTTGTGGGAACAGAGCGCTTCTAACCAGTCCAACAGGGTCGATTCACACTTCGTGACCAAGGAACTACGATCGCTATTGGAAAGGTTCTCAAGTTGGAGAGCTCAGAGTAGCTGTGGACCTGTGATCTTCTGCAACGTGATCATTGTGGTCTGGCCTTTTCAAGCTGCGAAAGGACGCTGCACTAGCTATTAGGAGGACAACACTGCCTCAGATGTGCCATTTGCATAGTAGGGCATTATGCCGTCCCGCTTGCAAAACTGCGATCGCAAATATAAAGAAACTATGTAGCTGCATTACCAATATAGAGAAAAACACATGTCCACATGTAAACTTGACCGATCAGTTCTCCATCTCCGCGTTGAATATCTCTTCCATTTGATGGCTCCCCGCCCCCTCCATTCATTGTCGCGCGAGTGAGATCGGCAAAGATTGGACCAAGCGCTGCAACGAAGCTGCGGCATAGGATTTATTGGTTTCTGTCGACTCCATTCGAAACAACCCTTGCATAACCTTCTTCATGCAATGAGGCTGGATTTCGGCACAGCCTCTTTTCTTCTCATCCGTTTCGGGCCATATGCAGTCGGGACAATCGCCGCCGTGCCACGCCCGCATTGCAAAAGGATTCAGTCCCGCGCTTAGGCATCGACATCTGCCGCTGTGATTTAAATCCTACCACTCCCGCAACCCCATCAACGCTGCACCAGTCTTTGCCATTCGCTCTTCGTTCAAAGTAGTAATGCTCTTCTTGTTCGGTATGTAAGAGGAGCTTGGCTTCAGAACGAGACCGAAAAAAGAAAAAAAAATGGCAACACCGTCAGCGTCATCGTCATCAAGAGCAGGTGATCCAGGCCCACAGTCTTCTGCCTACGCCCGCGCCAGAGTGCTCCAGTCCACGCCAGCATTTGGGCCGGGTCGTGGCAAAGGCTCGGGGGGTCTGGGTAAAGGCTTTGGAATGAAAAGACATCGGTATCTCAGAACTGATCTCGTCCAAAGGGTCGTTTCCTGCGAAGCTGATGCGGTGTAGAAAAATACTACGCGACAATATTAAGGGTATCACCAAAGGTTCAATCAGGTAATGAGCACGCGACCTTGATCGAACGCAAGGACTCGATGCCAACCAGACACAAACTTCAGGCGTCTCGCAAGGCGAGGAGGCGTGAAGAGAATCTCCGCCGGCATCTACGACGAAATTCGCGGTGTGATCAAGTCCAGACTTACGGAGGTGCGTCTTCAACTTGGCCCTGGCACCTTAAGTCTTTAGTACTCGACTGACACCTCCAGATACTTCAACAATGCTCCATCATCGCCGAGCATCGCCTCCACAAGACGGTCACTGCTCTGGATGTATGTGATAACTTTCATCTTCTGCTGGCCTGATTCTAACTTTCTGCTAGGTTATCTTCGTTCTGAACAGAGTATGTCTAACTTGTCCTTTTGCTTGTTCACATGCGAGAGATAGGTCAACTAACAGTCTGCTTGTAGCTTGGCACTCCCATCTATGTAAGTAAGCTAGACTGCTGATGAAAAACAAATGTTGACAAAACTTGTTATTTCACAGGGGTTTGAATCTCGTCAGAAGCCGTAGTTTCGCTGCAAACACGAGTTGCTTTAGTTTGTACTCCTTTTCAACGTCTATTCAAAGATACCCCTCAGATCTGTCGAGACAGCAACTTGATAGTTTTTTTTTTTGTGGCAATGAGACTTTGCCCAAGTATTTGCTCAATCCAGCTTAGATTCTCCTCTTCCAACCGTCTCTTGGACATGATTGGTAGGCTCGCAGTCTACGCACCCAATTTGCGAAAGCAAGGCACAAGGCAAATTACATACATATACCTCAGGAGATGGGAATGAAGGTTCTCTGGACGCAGGTTGAAGTCAGCAGCAAGGAATGATATTATAGATAGTAAACTTTCACCAAACTCGCCGAATATTGAATGATGGTGAAGCAGTGCTTGACGAAACAACTGGTGTTCTGCACTTGCATTATGTGAATTCGAACACTTAAACCCGATTTGCACAACTTTTAGCAAAGCAATGAAGACTTATTTAGTATGGAGGAACTCCGGAAAACTAGAAATTGCTGCTGTTGCTCACATCACAGTCGAGGAGCTTGAATGTCCCCCTCATCTTTGCAGCAAAACCTAGCAACGGCAATAACAATGTCCTTCCAAACCTCAAATTCCTCGTCCGTTCGTGGTGCATATATCAATGTATACGTCCAGGGCAAAAAGCCACCTGAAAGTCTATGTCTTTGTCCCCAACCTTTTGCAATGACTTCCTCGGAATCGGCGAGGGACAAAACCAGATGCGTGCTTCCATCAGGTGGGTGAATGTGAGCGATTTCCCCACGGGTTTTGTCGAGGAAACTCGGCCCGTTTACACCGTCTTTGAGCTGCAAGGCCGGAACGGGACCTTCGAGGCAAGATAATTCTGATTGCAACATAGAGTCATTCATCTCAACCAACGACTTTATGTACGCAAACATGTCTCGTTTTCTCGATTCGGTCGCGATTTCAGTAACTTGGCGTTGGGGAGCAACGAACCCAGGAATTCGAGGCCGTTCCCCGACACGGGGGGTCAGCGGCTTCGATAGAAAGGAGGTCTTCGCATGGGCGCCGAGGGCCTTTGCAACAACAGATTCATCGTACGGAGCATGAGCTGTGACGTCCTTGCGAGCCCTGCGCGCCATCATCAACTGCCGCTGCCAACCGTAAAAGTTGTCTGGCAGCCCGTGCGGTCCCATGGCGACGTACGCACGATAGTCTCGATAGGCTATCACGAGTCCGAATAAAGCAGCCGTCGTGGCCAAGCTGAGTGTCGCGTGGCTACGCAAAGAATTGAACACTGCCATGAGGGATGGTAAGATAGAAGTCATCGTGTCAGACTCAACGACATGAATAAAATGCTCTTCAGAAGTCAGCCTAGGTCTGCGGCCCGAGGAGTGTTGTATGGATTACGAAGTAGTTCTTGCGTTCTCTTTCTCGTTAAAGTACACCATACTTATACTCTCATGCCTTACAAGGGACGGTACCATAACTTTCGACGTATCTCTGCGTGCCCAAGAATTAGGCAACAGCATTGTAACCATGTACGTTGGATTGCGAACGATGGGATGAAGGTCGCGTAGATGGACGGAGCCGAATCGTACGGCGAACGTTCGATTTCCGAAGGCGTGCTCGGTGGTGCGTTTTGCACCGAGCTACCTTCAACCAGATTTCGTACAGGACGTAGCCCAGTTCAAAATTTGCAAAGTTCCAACTACAAAAGTTTGGCTGTCATCAGCTAAATGTCGAAGTCGGTCCCGAGGAGTTTCCAATACTTGCGGAGGTGACCATGAACTTTTCAGCTTCCACTCAAAGCCTTCACGGCTCGACATCAATATATCGTAGCTAAGCCTAATGTAATTGCGTTGAGTGATCTTCGCGTGATATTTTGTTCGGCTCCTGCAAAGCTTCCTTGAAGTCCTTTATATTCAATAGAGATTAAAGCGTTGCCGGGAATAAAATCAGGAGAAAGACATGGCGGGAAGCGCAGGAAGTCTTTTGCTGGCATTGTGTGTATATTTATTTTGATATCTGATTCAACCCCATGTCCCTCCTCCTCCCCTACCTGCTCTCCTCTGCGCGCTCAGCCTCCAGTCATCTTCTCCAGCAAACTTGTTATGCAGTGGCTGAATTCTCTCTGCTTTCTTCCTCTTACTCATGCCACCTTCCGCGCTCGCGACCTTGAAGAATGTTGGGGCCGCTTCAACCAGCCACTTTGGTTCGATTACGGTTACCATATGCATATACTCCTTCGTAGTTTCCACCAAGCTATGGTATATGACATATTCGGCAGGCTTGCCAAATAGCGCTGAGGAGGGATGCAGATAGACAGGTGTGCCTTCCACTAGGGTCGTGTAGTTCCCTTCAGGACTTTTGCGCGCTGCGTTACGGAAGAAGCCGCTGCAAAGGGCTTGTCGAACCTTGATCGTATTTCGTCCGCACGATATGATTGGTAATTTGTGCCTTTGGAAGATTTGCGCCAGTTGGTCACGTACATCACGTACACGCTGCATGTTCCGTGGTTGTACGAAGTTCTCGATGCAGAATGGCTTGGAGTATCCCGATCTTTTCCAGGCGTTGTACAGGTTAAGATAAGTGAGATGATCTCCATGCTGGTCATGAAACTTGGCCTTCTTCTTGTCGGCTTGCTCTTGCTTGTCCTTCGGCCTGTGCCAGATGTTCGCGGGTCCTGATATCATGCTAACAATGGTCAAAAGTTCTTCGGAGCAGTCCATTTTCGCCGACGCAATCAATGACTTTGCTAGTGCTGGATCCATAGGGAAGTCCGCCATCTGACGGCCGAGTCTTGTCAACAGCCCTTCTTCATCCAGAGCGCCCAACTGGTATAGCTCCTCTAATGCAGTCAACATCGTGTTCGTTGGCGGCGGATCCATGAAGTCGAAGTGGAGAAGGTCGTTGATGCCCATTGCCTTCAGCATCAAAATCGTGTTGGCCAAATTTTGACGCTGGATTTCCGGAATCTACATAGCGGTTAGCTTCGTTGCCTAGGCACCGCCAATCGAAGCCATTGGGAAAGAGAAACTTACAGTTGTAGGCGTCATTTCGGAGTTGAACGCCGACTCAGTATATAACCTAAAACATTTTCCAGGTCCGGTTCTCCCAGCTCTTCCAGCTCTTTGCTTCGCTTGTGCCTGACTGATTGGCGTCACCTGTAATCTATCCATACCTAGTTTCGCGTCATACGCGTTTTGCTTCACGAAACCTGGATCGACGACATAGTAAATTCCATCGATTGTTATTGAAGTTTCTGCGATATTTGTTGCAATGACCACCTTCCTCTCGCCTGGCGGCGCGGGATCGAAAATTTTGGTCGCGGTTTCTGAAGGAAGCGCACCGTATATAGGAAGAACAATGAGATTCGGCACGGTCTTCCCCAAGGCTCGCATTCTCTCTGTTAGAATCTCGCAAGCCGTATCAATTTCTTCCTTTCCGGTCAAAAACAAGAGTATGTCACCTGGGGGCTCCGCAATGTGGATCTGCATGACAGTTGTCAACGCCGCATCGAGGTAGTCACTTTCTGGCTCCCTCGAATACAGAATTTCGACAGGGAAAGTTCTACCTGGAATCGAAAAGATGGGGCAGCCGTAGAAATACTCTGAGAACTTATCCGCGTCTAGAGTAGCGGATGTAACGATCAGTTTCATGTCCGGCCTACGTTTCAATGTCTTTTTGAGAAGACCAAAAAGGACATCCGTAGCAATGGTGCGCTCGTGAGCTTCATCGAGCATGATAGCACTGTACCTGCTAAGCATTGGGTCTAGCAAGATCTCACGTTGTAGGATGCCGTCGGTCATATACTTGATCTTTGTCTCCGCGCTTGTGTGGTCCTCAAATCGAATGGTGTAGCCAACAGTTGAACCCAGCTTGCAGCCTACTTCTTCCGCAACACGCTGGGCAACGCTCATAGCTGCCACACGACGGGGTTGTGTGCATCCAATTATTCCGTTATTCGCGAATCCCGCCTCAGCGAGGTACTGAGTTAATTGCGTCGTCTTGCCTGATCCAGTCTCGCCCACGACAATGAGTATTTGGTGGTCCTGAACAGCCTTAATTAACTGGCTGCGAAATTTATACACAGGCAGAGACCTGCGCTGCTCAGCAATAGACATGTTTGTTCTCTTGCCGAGCTCCCTCTCTTGCCCTTGCGATATCCGCTTCCACTCCGGTGGCGGTTCTTTCGCTGCGTTGGCGCGTGCCTGGCGAAGCTCGCTTGCGAGCTTCCGCTCTGCAAGAGGATCCTGCCACGATGCTTGAATCTCCTCTCCGCTCGCTGCTTGTGCAGCCCTGTCACGAGCCTCTTGATCCTTCAATTCTCGTCGTTCCTTAGTAAGTTCGGCTTGATGGATGGCGGCTCTGTTCAAGGAGCCATCAGGAGCCTTGACGACACGGATAGGGGATAGCTCCAGCGACTGTTTAGTCTGGCCGGCCAGGAAAGGAGGCTCCTCCTCTCTGACCTCAATGTCAACATCTTCCTCCTCCTCTATCTCGCCTGACGCGTTCATGTTGTGGTTATCGTACTCATCAATGTCCGGATACTGATCTCTTGATATCGCACCAGAAGCGATGAGCTGCTTGATTTCCCAGCGTTCAGGTGTAGTCAGTCGTTTCCTACGTTCATGCTTCCTAGGATCGTAGCCATCCTCAACCACTGGCACACCTGGATCTACCATGGATGTGAAGTCCTCGTCGTCATTTGTTGATTTCCTGCCGAGACCTTGCATATTCGCACCTGTACCGAATCGCTTCTCTGGCCGAAGATCTCTCCCCGTCCGCTGATCTACCTCTTTCATCGACAAGCTGAACTTTCCATTTTCCGACTTAATGACCTTAACCTTAACCTCTTGACCTGGTGACACAATATCCGAAGGGTGGTTCACACGTCCGTCGATGAATTGTGAGACATGAACCAATCCGTCCACCTTTCCACGTACGCCTTGCAGGTTCACAAATGCGCCATAGTCCTTGATCCCAGTTACTCTACCAGTGTAGACTTTGAACAACTCAGGGGTATCGTCTAACTCTGGAGTAGGTGTTCTTCGTAATGCCTCTTCATCTGAACTGTCTCTCCTTCTTCTGCTTCTGCGAACATCCTTACTGTGGGCATGCCCGTTCCTATCTCTGCGCGGCTGCCTGAACTCGTCGTCATCAAACACATAGTCGTGTGTGCCACCATTTCGGCGTAGCTTCGTTTTGTCTTTGTATGGGCTCACAGACCGTGATCTCGAGCTGGACCGTGACTCGTGCTTCGAGCGCTTGAGATATTTTCCCCGTCCTCTGTCATCGGGGCTAGCACTTCTCTTGCGACTTGCCTTGCCTGCTAACCCTTCTAGCGCCGCGAATGTATCATCCAACGCGTCTCCCTCGTCCTCGGTTTTTGTTACTGTCATCTCTTGATCTGGGATTGCAAGGCCTTTGAATATAGTTGCTGACCTCTTCGTTTCAATCTTCGACTCTGTACTCGACTCCGCTCTCACATTCTTATACTTGGGATGCAGAGTCTTTACTAGCCTGTCGATGGATTCCACTAGGCTGGGAGGGAACTCCGCTCCGAATTCATCGAGGGCTTTTCTAAAGTCCTCTGAACTGTTTGCCTTGACATGCTGGTCGATAATGAATTCTGCAAGAGTATTGTCACCGAGTCCCAGGTGATTCTGTAGCTCAGAAGTGACTTTTGCAACGAGCGACAGGAACTCTAGATTTTCAAGATCGTCCATGGCGATATTGACATGCAAGAAATGGACGGCAGAAGGTGTCGGAGCGAATGCGTCGGGCTTAAGAATTTCTGGAACGCGCCTAGTAACTGGCAAGGTTATACGACTAAACAGCTACCTATTGTTTCGCTAAGTGGCAACCCCACTCAGATACTGCAGAACCGTGCGTGGCCTCTTGATAATCATAACACTACATTGCGTATCAAACTTCCATTTTATATATGTGCAAATAAACAGTCAAGCCTAGGTAAAGTGATTAGAGGTTGTCGCGGCCTGATGTCGGAGTTTACTCCGTTATTGCATCACGCGTTAAGTGTCAATTGTACAGTGGGTATCATTTTATACAAAAAGCTAGCGAATGAATACACGTTGCCAATCATCATCTCTCGGTGCGTTCTTCTCTTTCCAGAGCGTGTTTATTTCGCTCACCAAACGATCCGCGCTACTTCCTTTCTCACACTGCTTCCACTCGTTGGCATCTCGAATGCACCTTACACTCTCATTCAGTCTGATCGTACAACTCATGGTTACGCCGACTTCACTCGAATGTCTCACACTTGATCGGAGCAGCCCTGTGCCGAATGCGCCCTCATCTCGACTAGCGCATTCATTGAGCTTTTCGAACGCTATGCCATGTTCCAAAGCACAGTCATGCACAAGCTCCCTGCTGGGGATATCAGGATACTGCTTGCTCATGCACAGTGTGAAACCAAGGTAAATCTTGGGATCCGGATACAGGTATGCGGCACACAGCTCAAGGATGTTGCCCAAGCACTCGCCGGGGCCGTGCATGCAGGCTACACCGTCGTCGGGTTCTGTAGGCGTTCCGATGTATGACAGCGTGAAATTTACTTTAGAAGCCACGCGAGACATGGCAGGCACAACAAGCTCCTGCAAACAATACAGGGCGTCGGGACACTTGGACCTGTGCAGTATTATCATTAGCCCGGCAAACGAAACGATCCGAAGCGGAACATACATGATGTGGACATCGAGCGGGACCTTCCATTCAGTGTAGCTGGCCTCAACAGTGTCAAAATATGCCTTATCTTCCTGCTTAAATGGCGACTGGTTGTCCCCCTCGAGCGCAAAGTGTGCGTAACCGATCACGAGCAAGAGTGCCAAAGCTAGGGTGAACAGAGATCTCAGCACCCAACTCAGTCTGGTTCTCCTGATTCTTCGCGGCGGTGAAACAGCGGGGGGCTCTGCGAGCTCCCCCAACAGAGATGGTTTCTCGTTCATGACGGCGTTTGTTGAACGCGACGAGGACAAAATGATGGACAAGACTGGACTACTGCGGTTGGACGGTTGATGTGGCGCACTCCAGGGTCTGCACAGCCACGAGCGAACAAAGCTCGCTCGCGATGATTCCCCGCGCTTGTGGCGTCAATTCGCTCTCAAGCTCTTGTGGGGTTTGTCGAACGCTCGTTCATCACCACCAAAGCACAGGCAGAACGCGAAAGAATACTCTGCCAGCACACGCCATCTGACATATCTTTCCTTTGCTGAATCTCAGAAAGGAATTTGAGATTCATATAAGATCGAGCTTTACAAGTTCGCGCTTGTTTTGCAACGTTCCGCTCCGAACCCAGTCAACCGGATATCAGCGTCACCTTTGCAGCCTGATCATTGCACAGCCCGGTCTTGAGGCCTCAAGCATTTAAGGCCTTTGCCCACTTCGACTTCCTGCACGGAAAACCGATAACCATCAACTTTATAGTTTATTCGCCACTTTGCAACATGTCTTCCACAATTGGTAATCCGCTCAGCGCTGGTTCGCTGTCGACGATCATGGCGAAAAGCTTGCCAAGCGGCGCCTCTATCGAGAATGCCTTCGAAGCGATCGCATTGGCAGTTCACAGTGGAATGATTGCAGTGGGATTCAGACTCAAAGGCCTCGGAGAGGATCACAGAATACGTATGTACTATTTCCATCGGTATCCTTCATGTTCGTTGAGTGCTTGTCCAGCTCCCTGCAGCTGATTTGCGCAGGTACCTCAAGTGCACTCTCTTCGACATAGAACAACGGCTTAAACTCTTGGAGTGCTAGCGCATATTTGCTAACACTTTCTCTAGAGGCATCGGCGGATTCAGATGCTCCGCAACAGCTGCCTGCGGAGTGGAAAGCGTCATCAAACTACGTATTCCGATACTCACATCCTCAGTCGAGTATGGAATTCGTTGTCAAAGTTGGGCGCTTGGGATCGAAAGCTACCGTCGACGCCATCGCCATAGGAGATGATAAGCGCGCATCATTTGATATTACAGCCTACGACTATGTCTCTCGCAGCAATCTACCATCGAACCCCATGACCGACTCCACGAAGGAGGAAGAATCCAAACAAAAGCTGCTAGATGTTTTTATCTCAGCCGGCCGGTTATCAGATCTAGGCTCACTCTTGAAGCTCAAAATAATCCAGAAAGTCGCGCCAGGGATTTCAAAGGAAGGCTACGAGGAAGAGAACACTGCAAGCCCGTCGCAACGCAGGGATCCCAACGAGACCGGCGAGCCCAATTTGCGTGAGCCCCAACACCCGTCGTACAACCCCCTGCACGATCCGCAATTTCACAACCCACCAACCCGTCCGCACCCGTTCAACGACCCAAACATCCCACAACCGAGTCGACCTCCAGTTCCACCTGGTCTGGAGCCTCCTGGCTTCGAAGACGAATACGACATCCTCCGCCAGCCAGGTGGACGCCGAGGCCCACCGCGCAACCCGCTCAGCATCGGTCACGACGATTTGTATCCGGCAGGCCTGGGACCTCACGATCCCATCTACGGCGGAGGTGTAGGCCCCATGAGAGGGGGTCTCGGTGGCAGCGGCGGTATGCACCCCACGTTCGACGACCCTATATTTGGCGGCGGCCAGGGGGAGAGAAGGGGTGATCCCCAGGTCCCGGGTGGCGCAAGGTACGATCCTGTCTACCCCGGAGATCCAAGGGGCGGACCGGGCCACTTCCCCGGCGCGGGACACCGAGGGCCATTCGGTGGTGGCGGATCCTCTAATCCATTCGGTGGATTTGGAGGTGGTGATTTCATTTGAGCGCACGTGGCAACCAGGCTTGCTAATTCTCCCAGCATGAGTCGAATAGTGATCTTGTCATCTGGACGTGTGACATGTGAAAATTATCATGCTTCATGTATGTAATGAACAAACGAGAGAATTCAAAGTGTTCACGTAAAACGTAAAGATTTCATAGCTATCATTCCAGTTCCATATATACGAGCGTTGCTCAAGTTTCCTCTCAAGTAGATCTTTATAGTGGAAGCCCATCACTTCGAAAAATATGTGCATCTCAAAAATCTGGCCAGTCGGGGGTGACGATATGAACAGAAACTTTTAGCCTGTCGCTGGCTATATTCTGAATACCTCACTCAGGCTCTTGACGCCATCAAAGACACACGTATTGTCCACAGGTATGTACTGCTTCGTTATCACTTTGATGATCTCCTGCGCGATGATGCCTCCCGCGAGCGAGGCCACATTATGCAGCTCCGCGCCACCCGCACGTGTAAGTTCCTGACAATATTGAGTCAGGCGCTGCTTTATGCCTTCCCATTCTTCCTTCTCGCCATCGGAGTTGTAATCCCTGCCCGCTTCTGCCAGAATGCCTGAAATGATTCTTGTAGCTATGTCGGCGAGAGTCTGTGTGTCTTCTTCCACGCCGGCGGCGTCCGCACCAGGTGCTCGTGGGCTAGGGAGATTCTCGTTTGTGCGATTCGTGGCACAAAATTCGTCGTAGGCAAGGAAGGCAATGTACAACAAGATCAGGCTCGAGTCATCGACCAGAGCATTACTGGCGAATTTCGCTCGATCACCCCAAGTAAGACCAGCATATTGCTCTCCTGGTTTAACGATATGCAACGGACGACCACGGATGAGCTTGACGTGCGCTGCACCTTTGCAGAAAGCTTCTACTTCAGAGTCGGGAATTGACGGTCTTGATCTAGAAAGCTGCTGCTCTAAATTTCGTACGGTCAAGAGGACTTTCTGCACGTCTTCCCTCGCCTTTGTCTTGTACACGTTCTGCAGGGCAATATAATCAGCAGACTGTGCCTTCATATCTGGAATCGAGCCCGGAAGCGGTAACACGCCTTCTGAAGCATAGAATTGAGATATGGCGTTAGCAATGATCCAGAAGTTCGCGCTATCTGGTGTCAGGTTTTGACACTCTTCGGCGGCAAACACTTCCTTGATACCGGAACTAGCTGTAGGTTCGTTAAGACTTTTTAGAACAGCGGCGATAGCTTCTTCGAAGTTTTCTTCACCACCTTCAGCGTTCTTTGTGCGCATTGCTGCCCGCACTAGTTCCCGGAACTCGGTCTTCTCCCTGTACGTAACGGGAAGCTTGCCGTCATGCATTGCCTTCCACTGTTCTAAATAATGCAGCAAGATTACAATATAGGGAACATGTCCATGATCATGATCGTTCATTTCATCAAGACCAGCAGACTTAAGTGCCGCGAATTCACTCAACGCCGGCCATGGTTTCAATAGACGTAGGTCTGTGGTAGATGCGGGATCGGGATGTGTGTCGACGATCGGGAAGGTGGGAGGGAGGTACAGGGAGAATTGCGCGTAGAAGCCGACGCAGTGAATATAGATAACCGGCTTGTGAGTTAGTCGTGCATGTTCGGATATACTCTCTAGGACAACAGGAGCTATCGGAGAGGCGACGAGTATGTGGGAGTAGCGTGTAAGGCTATCGGGTCGAGATATGAAGGTCTCTACAGGCTGTCATTAAAGAAAAGTTAGCTTCGCCAACGCCATTCGAATAGGCGAACCGCACCTCTGATATCGAAAATCCTCTTACGTCTGGGTTGAGCTCTTGCAGGTATCTGCACGTCTCAGCCGCGCGCGACTTGCCCAAGCTCTGTTCATCCAGGAAGAAGTTGACGCCGAGGTCTTCTTCCCGAACCGTGGCTGAATCCAGGATTGTGAACTGCCCCATACCTACAGGGAGTGAGGATCAGCTATGTACGCCTCAAAAGGACATATGCAATGTCTTATTAAGAGCTCTCTAACAATCGAGAGCCCAACGTTCACGACAAGGTCCGCGGGCATCCTTGACCCTAGCTACAAGTCTTTAGTTAAACTTACCAGGCAAGACCAGATTCTTTAGTGCTTCTATTCCAGCAACACCGCTGCCAGCGTTGACAAGCAGCAAATGCGCCTCCTCAAGGGCTGCCTGGCCACTCGCCGCCCAAAGCCGTAGTTGTCTATCATACTTCTTCTCCTTCGCAGTCGGGCCGTGCAACACTGGCGGGGTTGTTGTGCCCTCTGTGGCCATATTGGATCTCGATGCAAAAGGAGAAACACAGAAGAAGGGGGGGAGAATGAAGGGAGGGACTGTGGGCGAGCTAATGCGCTGGTATCATCATATGTCGCAAGGGAAGCGAGCGAGCTACTGCGCAGCCTGGAATAATTGATGAGCAAAGGTTAAGCCTCAGGGTCCAGTGTGATGTGACGAGGCACCAGAGCGCTCAGACGCCGATCATCCGATGACGGAAGGGACAGGAAACGCGAAATCCAGTGACTGGATTTGCTCCTGAGAAAGGAGAAAGGTCGTTGCTTAGCTTATAACCAATGGTCTTGGGCACTTGAAAGTGGCCTCGCGCGCACTCTGATCCCGCGTCTTGGGATGTACCATGCACGAGCGAAGTACTGCGTTTTCGCTAATCATGCAGCTTCGACGGCAAAGCACTGCCAAACACATCTGCATTGGTAGCGCTCTGGTGCCGGTACGATGAGGTACGAGGAGGATTGTCATCATTTTGAAGCCGTTGTGAAGCATAGACGATGTTTTGATAGTTCATCTATACCTTTGCGAACTCACAGCTTTGGCGGCCAAGCCAAAGCCGCCTGACCAACTAATCGTACAGCTTCAAGTGCCGACCCGTAGCTGGTTTGATAGCCAAAGCCTCCGTGCCCGTACTGATGCACCACCTCTACGTCCCCAATTCTCTCTCTCTCAACTCGTGGGCCTGCATCTCTCAGCGGCCGCAATCCCACGCCGTGTCGTATCACGCTCAAGGCCTCGATGCCTTTTCCTCCTGTGAGCTCGGGACATAAATCCACGCAGCGCTTCATGATCCGTATAGCCAAGTTCGGATCTGGCTGTGACTCCCAGTTGTGCTGCTGGAAGCTTCCCCCGAGTATCGTCCCCCCGCCAGCTGCGCGCTGCATGATATAGCACACCTCATCGCCCCCATCGTCTGTACCCGACGTGCCTGTCATGACCTGAGGATCATTCCTCACGACGACGATTTGGCCCCTGGCTGGATACACGCTCTGATCTTGCACGCCTCCAAGGAACCGCGATGAGAGACCTGTGCAGTTCACCACGATGGAAGCACGCTGCCCGCTGTGATGCATGTCTGCAGCCTCGTTCACATGCTTGCAAACACCCCGCTTAACGACCACACCGTTCTTGAGACACTGTCCCAAAAGCCAGGGAAGATAGATGGCCGTGTTGATGCAGACTGATGAAAACTCGGTTGCGGAGTCCATGCCAGTCCTCAACTCTGATTTTTCCATGACACGAAACTGTTCCAGTCCATCAACATGTCACTCTTGTCACGTGCCTCTGGCAATCTTCGCAGAAGGTATGCGTCCTACGACTCACGTTTGGTACTACGTCTTTGAACCACGCGTCGGTTTTGAGCAACTCAGCGAACCAGTGGCCCGTATGTGTGCCCACATCCTTTTTCCTGTTGTACACCGTGGTTCTTTGGAAATGGACTCCCGCCTCTGGAACGGCTCGAGCGAGGCGAGCTAGCTCTGGCCATGTCTCCCGTTCGAATTGAGCCTTTTGAGACCCGGGTGTGCCAACCTGATGTTTTAATAAGCCGAGGAGCTTTCGATGCTTTGCTGCTTGTCGCCCAAGGAAACAGGCTCATTTTTTATTTTGATTTTCCTTTCCAGATACTTTTGAAGAAATTCAGCACGCATGCTTATCCTCTGTGGAGAAGATGTCGCTGAGAAACTGAGGAATAGCGAAAAGCGACGGACAAATTCCCTCATTCATTCTTGAGCGAATATAGCACTTACGGGCAGGAAGTTTGCACCGGCCCTTTTGGCGGTCTCACTGTTAGTTTCATCTAATGACGAGATGTTCAGGCCAAAGCACGAGGTGCATACCATGGACTCGCATATTCGATATCATAGTCACCTTCGGTAGCTGTCAGTAAAAAGCCTCACAAGCCTTGAGCAATAGTTGTTGTGGTTCTTGTTCATTTTTCCTTTTCTTCTTTTTTTTTAAAGAGAGCAGTGGTTAGTGGGATAAAGTCAATTACCGGGCATGTGCTTCGCGATAATGGTGACGGTGTATTTTTTGTCGCTGGACAACAGCAAGGCTGTCGTTAGCCCGACAACGCCGGCTCTGCGGTCAATCTCAGCCGAACTAGTTCACCGCACAGATGCGTTTTTCTCTGGAGATTATGCTATGCAGAAAGGTCAAGGCGAGCACGAACCCGAGGACCGACACATTGACGCGATTAGCCATAGCTTAAGCGGGTTCACGCACGGGTTCGGCAAACACCAACGGCAGCAAGCACTCCGTGCAATACTGAGAGAACCAACAAGAGACTCTTGTGGTGATGAGGTCATCGAATGACAAATGGAATTATGGGACTGTCCCGGCCGTTTAAACGAGAGTGGCCTCGAGCTTGAAATTTTGCGAGATGTGCTGGTGACGGCCTTCTGTTCCCACCGTTGACGAGAGGTGTGACTTTACCAAAACAGGCCACGTCAAAAGTCAAGCGGACTCGCTAACGAGTCAAAACGGGTCGAGACATTGTGGGATTACGGCGATGGGAAGAGAAGGAGGAAATTCAATCGCCGGGCCAAGGCTGCGGACGGACGGATGGACAGATGGCTGGTTGCAGTAAAGATCGAGACAACGATGACAGGACGAGGTTAGGAACAGAAAGCGACAACGACTGTGTGTACAGACAGAGTCAGGACCAGACGTCGGGCATCAGGTACAGCCAAAGCGGTAGGGTGAGATCATCAGGAGATAAGAACAGCGCTCTTTACGTCGTCGACACGGCGCCAAAGCACAAGCTTCGAGGTACATCCATCACTTGTGCAGCACTCCACAGCCAGAACTGAATGCGGACCCCCCGCCGGCCCGCAGCCAGGCCTTCGATTGTTGGCGTCCAGTGCAGCTGTGAGATTCCTTACGGGCCAAGGCAGCGCGGGTCATGCAGTAGATTGGCACGAAGGACGTTGCTGTACGGTGCGGTAGTTCTACCGCAGGCACGTCGCGACAGCTAAGCTTCTGGCTCATCCGTGCCAGCTCGGTGCTTGTTCCGCGTGTTCAGAACGTCCAGAACAGACGCGATTCGCCACTGGCTTTGCGCCTTTTCGGGCTTGCTGGCTCGCCTTTGCGTCCTAATGACACACACAGTCGGCATCCGCACCGGACCGGCTCGCCCTACAAGCTGAGGCACCGCCGTGTGCGGATCCCCAGCAGCTGGGCCCAGCAGGCGCCGCCCGCATAAAGGGGGATTCTGCAATCCCCACTGCAGGTAGGCCCCCCCCCCTAATCATCCCGGCGTCGCTCTGATTCGCCCGCCAGCTCTTCCCAAGCAACCAACGCAGGCAAGCATACACCAGCGTGAACTTTGGCTCTCTCCGCCTAAACAGGTTGCCTGCCAATTCTCGTCTCCCTCTGGACATTTATCCCACCGTCGGATGCAGACAGTTCAAGGGCATCGCTGATGACGTGCCCTTCTGCATCTCGACTTTCTCATCGTCTGCTTTCGCTCGCCCACTATGTCGGACGAGTTCCCGCTTTTGCCTGACTTGGGACTGTATGCTGCTGATATCAAGGGCGACGGTATGTCGAATGCACGACCCTCGCAAGACTGTGCAACCGTGATGGCCGGTGCTTCCGGAGCATACGCTGACCTTGAGCACCAGGCAATTGTCTCTTCAACGCGTTGTCCGACCAAATCTACGGCGACCAGACCCGTCACCTCGACATACGCGCTCGTGTGATCGAATTTATGCGAGAACATGCCGATTACTACAAGGGATTTCTCGACGTACAGCCCGGCGGCGGCACGCGACGCAACCCAAAGCGAAAGAATGCCGGCGCCTACTCATCGCCCAGCACCTACAAGGCTCCCACGCCCGAGGAGATCGATAGGGCCTTCGAGCAGCACATACAGCGCATGGCCAAGGGTGGCACGTGGGGCGACAACATGGAGATTGTGGCCTTTGCTGCCGCCTTCAACACAGACGTGCGGATCTACATGTCCGACTTTACATACATGGTGCCTGGCCAAGGCGACGAGAGCTCGCGAGGCATAGCACACATCGCGTACCACGTAAGACCATCGGATATACAAGTGACGATTCCTCTCCGCCTTCTGATGCTGACACGCGTTCTAGGAATGGGAACACTACTCTTCGATACGGAACATCGATGGCCCGCACACTGGTCTCCCTCACGTGCAGTGGAAGAAGATTGATCCAGAGCAGGAAAGCAGATTGAATCAACGCGCGGCGTCACACGCCAAGGAGAAGTCTTATGTCGAGCCGTGGAAGATTAAGATCGTTATGAGCTCGCTGCCCTTCCTCACCGACTCTCAGACCATAAAGCACACCCTGGAGAAATGCAGAGGCAACGTCAATGATGCTGTGTCGATGCTGATCGAGGCCGACGAGGCAGGCAGCATTTCGTCAACGCAAGAGAGCTCCAGCGTAGAGCGTGATTACGACAGCGATGACGAACAGATATGGGGCCCTAACAAGCGTGCAAACCGAAGTCGGTTGTCGCGGGTTGCTCGGAACCTGATGAAAGATTCGCATCGACAGAGGGCGGAGATGGCCGCAAAGCTCGCCCGGAATGACGGCTCGCAAGAGTCCGTCAGCAAGGCCGTAGCAGACCTTGAAATACCGGACAGCAAGGACAATTCGCCCGCGCCGTTCGACGAGGAGGATGAATGGGTGCCATCTAGCAGCGATGTTCCGCAGGACGTCTCTTCAGCCGCTCAACAAGGCCCAGCGCGGTTGAAAATCAACGTCACGAACTCCAAGGTTGGCAAGACACAGGTACGGAACCAAGGTCCCCGTCCAAGGGCGAACATGACGGCCCGCGACCGCAAGGAGGCCCGCAAACGCCAGCAGAAGGAGGATCGAAAAAAACGCGCCCAGCAGGACAGCAAGACAGCATCTGCTGGCCAGGATCAGCTTCCTATCCTCACAAAGGGTGACGGTGCAACCGGCTCGTCTACCCCCAGTCATGTCGACGGCCCCATGAAAACGCTGTACATTTAAGCTCATCTAGTGCGTCATAATGCGTATTTTCACCACTGCATTCCCAGAGCTCATTACTCCGACGCAGCAGACACGACGCAACTTCAGCAAGGAACTCGAGGTCATCATTTTTCCCGCTCTCTCGTCATCGCAGACGAGAAGGCATGGATTGCAATTTTTTTCGATTTCATGGTAAACGCGCAAAACGTTACGCACAATGATACCCAGAAGAGTAAAGAGCATCATCCACCCATCTATCCATTCATCCATCGGTTGACGGAGCTGCATGACACTTTATTCGGCATATTGTACTTGCATACTGCTCCGTTCTTTCGTGAGCGAAGCGAAGCGGCAAAGCGAGCAGCGACAAAGGCGTTCTTGGTATTTTTGCATGGCGATGGCGTCTGGAAAAAAAAAGCCCCCCATACACAGGAGGCAGCAGGAAGGCGTGTGGTAGTCATGCGTGTGCTTCTTCACCCAACAGAGAGTCTAGACATGGCTGGTAATTTCACATAAAAGCATTCGAGGCGTTGGACGGATGGCTGAACTATAACAAAGTCTTGGAGCCTCCGGGCGAGACACGACGACGTGATCAAAGTGATCATGTTCTGGTATACCACAAGCTGAGCTTTGCATGGCGGACTTCAGGTGCGTAGTCGCATCTATCTTGAGAACGAGGATGGGCTGAAATCCGTGTCTTTGTTATCTCGGCACACTTGTTAGCCAACCCTCCATCTCGCAGTCATAAGACAAATTCAAGAGCCAACTGGACTTGAAAGGCAGCAGAAATGGAATCTGCAAGTTTGCTACACCCATGGCTAGCTGTCCTACTTTATACTCTTGTCCACGGCATTTGCCCCTCCAGTAGCAGGCCACAGACTGATTTCTCGGCATAAGCCGTGGACACTGCGCCATCCTTAGTCTAAACACGTGACTGCGCCGCTCATGTTGTGAACCGACTCCAAAGACTCGAGGTTCTCGCCCCCAAAGAGAATCTTCGCGTTTGTGTGAGACGGTATGGAGGACATTGATCCAACCTCACGCAAACCATTTCTTCTCTCTCTGCGCAACGTCTCATCAGACACGGTTGCTGCTTGAATCTTGTTCTTCCACGATTCCGCAAGGCAGACCAGCCGCCACTCGAGACCCCAGCTTGTATCTGATAGCCGCGCGACACAACGCTGCTCACGATCTTGGCTTGAAGAGTACCTCTGTCCTGTGTACCGCGAGAAGCATTGGCGCCGCGCGCTGTGCGCCAACCCAAGCGACAAGGCGGATCTTGCCGTACGGCCCATGCCCAGCGAACATCGACGTGTGCGCGCGTCGGCTGGAACGACAGGATAAGGGGAGGAGCCAGTCAACGAGGCTCAGTGGGCTGCCAGACAACGTGCTCCTGCGATCCGTCGTCTTGCGCTCGGGTTTTGTTTTCTGGGTTCAGATCTTGGCCCGCACTACCAAAGACACTGGGCTCGCGATCCACAAAAGGTTGTGAGCAGCAGAACTGTGATAAAATGCTGTGGCGGTGGCCTTGTCGTTCCACCGCTTTTGAACCTAATTAATTTTTTTGGGTCCTGCTTATTCCTTTCCTTTATCTTGCCGGGTCTTCTCCCAGAGTCTACCTTCTATCGCTGTTTGTCGTTTGGTATTTTGCTTTCTGAATGCCAGCGTGTACGTTCAGGTCTTTTGATGACCGGCGTCCCGTGATGCAGTGGGCAGGCCTGCTGGCGCTTTGCGCTGTTCTACTCTCCGAACGTGTATTATCCGCGAGTATCATCTCGACCTTTTCGGACAGCAACTGTCAAGATTCAGTCACCAGCTTGTACGGGCCAAATGGGTATCCCAATGGGACATGTACAGATATTCGGAGGAGCGGTCCGTACGGTAGCTTTCAGATTGTAGGGCTTGATCCAGGTTGCACAGGTAAGATACTTTCATATTCGCGCAAGCGAGCCCACGTGTGGTTGGTTCTTTTCACTCAAAGCTACGTTCTCGAAGTCTTCTCCTCTCTATCCAGATTTGGGAGTATTGACGGGTGCTTTACGCAGTTACACTATATATGTTTGACAACACGACGGATATCTGCGGGGGCTTCCAAGACGAGCATACACAAATCGCCGTCTGCTACAATTCGACCTGGGCATTTTACAGCATCGATTTCTGCGATCCTGCCGCTGCAGGTTCGGGTAACTCGACGTCGTCGTCGAACTCCCAAAACAATGGAAGCGGCTCCTCTAGCCATACCGGCGCGATCGTGGGTGGCGTGGTTGGAGGTGTGCTCGGTCTAGCTGCCATAATCGGCGCTACTGTATACTTCACGCGAAGGAGCGTCACCAGGGCAAATGCCGACGACGGACCGCCGGAGAATACCAGGCCTCATGTCAGCGAGATGTTTTCAGAACACGCCAAGGAATTGCCGGTCCAGCCAGAAGTTTACGAGAAGACTGCAAATTCGGTTCGGCTGCCGCCCGTTGAACTTCCTGCTGAACATTACGACAGGTATAGAGTTCGGCCGAACACACCGCCTACATGAGGTGCATTCTCTTGGTTTGGGTTCACGGCTTAAAGATTGGGCGAGGCAGGGAATGCGACGCTGAGCCATACGTCTCAGACAGACGGTGTATTTCAAGGGCTGGACCATAATGCTCATTATCTGCCATATGGCTCATTATATTAATTCGATCACAAATCTTGCCTTGAGTCGAAACAGTTCACGCTACATCTGCGACTCCAAGGTCCTCTGCTAGCAGATCAAGGTAGCGCGTGCTCAGTAATTCTATAGTCAGTCATATTGATCAACGTTGGGATGGGCTCGAGAAAGATGGTTCGCAAACTTGTCTCTTTGATCTCCACTGCACACTCTTTTTTTGAACGCATTTAGCACTGCCTGTACACGCGACGCATGAATGCTCAACCAGATACATTTCGAGCTCTACGCCGCCGAACTTTTTTACGCAGAAAAGGGCATGTCGTACCTCTTGCATAGAACTCAACCCCCCAAAATGTACTTGTACTAGTACAAAGCGCTTTGGACCTCACGAAGATGGTACGAAATAACGACGCTATGCGCTCAGGATCACCAACGCGCCTTGTGAAGAGCCGAGGGCGTCTAGAGAGACTTAAAATAGTAATCCTACCTATTCTCACCACGTGCCAACGATCCGATCAACTTTGCCTGCAGTTGGTACAAGTGACTTTCCCAGACATGTATCACGCCGAGAGCCACTGGCTTTTGTAAGCTAATACGAAAAAAAAAAATATCGGCGGGCCATATTTTCATGTTTTATATTTCATAAAGTTAGAATGCGATGTTAAAAGGACAAGATGAAGAGGAGAGCAAAAATTGCGTAGAGAACCAAGTAAGATACGAATTACGTGCGAACTAGCTGTAAGTTCACAGCGCGTCGGTATTTGATGACGGCTAGCCCTCTGCTTTGTGGATCTTTCGATTAAACGGAAATCCAGCTACATTCAATCGCTTGCCAGTGTCTCTTCCTCGGCCTCAAGGCTAGAAGCAGACTTAAAGGCGGTTAGTCTTCCCGTTCAATGTATATTTGCATTTTATGCGTGAACAGCTCGAAGCTGTCGCCAAGGTAAGAGTTTACAAACTCTCCTGTGGTTTTTGAGACACTTCGCAAGATGCGACTCGAGGGCGAGTGAAGAATTTGTGCTTTTGAGCGTCGCCCTGCTCAAAACCAAATTTTAATCAATTCCTCGCTGACTGCGCTCGGTGTCAGAACACCGCTCTCGGTGATGATGCCCGAGATGTACTCCGGCGGAGTGAAGTCCACAGCCTCGCTGACGCCGTTGCTTCCACTTCTTGACTTTGCAAAGTATCCCTCTTCGCCGCCCTCGATGGCTTTCTTCTCGTCCGCCTCGGTCTTGAAGTCGATTATGCGCTGGTCGATGGGCAAATCGTACTGACCAAGCGGAAAGAGCCGCACGAACTTGTGTGCCTCGGCGACAACGTAGAATGGCTTGTTCGTGACCTTTGCGAGCATGGCAAGCTGGTAGGTGCCCAGCCTTGAGATGACGCCGCCGTTCTCCACCACGCCTTCGGCACCAACGATGACCATGTCCACCTTCCCCATTGCATATCCTACCGCGCCTTCTGGTATCGTAGCTACAGGCACGCCCTTGTGCCGTAGTGAAGCAACGATATTCGAGCCCTCCAGTTCCTTACCCTCGGCCGACGCCGAGGGCAACACGTATATGACTTTGAACCTCACACTTCCGCCGCTGGCCTCTGCAGCCTCTCTCAGTAGCGCGCCCACCACTCTCGACCCGCCGGTCGTGAGCACCGTGCATCCGTCTCGGATGAAGTGTGTGCCAAACGCCGCGATCTGATCCCTCGCCGCCTTCGCCCTCTCGGCAAACTGCTTGCCGTGGCTCAGCAAGTGCTGCCTGACTTGCTGAAAGTCCCCTGTGCCTAGTCCGCTGCCCGGCCGCAAACTTGCGATGAGATATCTTTGGAAAAGGTCCGTGCCTGCGGACAGCGAGATCGGGTTCGGCGTGGACGCGATCAGCTGGTCCGTCAAGGATTTGAGGTACTCGAGCGTCTCCGTGATTGTGGAAGTGGGGTGGTGTGCCAGAGCGAGCACGAGAGACTCAATTGCGGCAACGGGCATGGTCAGGTCGGGGTCATCGCGAAGCAGGCTTTTGTACGTGCCCACAATGTCGAAGCTCTCGACGGCGGTCGTTGCGCCGGGCATCTTGAACCGTGGTGCGAAAGAAAAAAAACCAGCGGTGTCGTGGACGCGACTCTACATCCAACTGGAACACATGCGCGACGATACGAGCAGGAGGAGCCGGCAAGTTTGTTTGGCAAAGTCGGGGACTCTTGCGATCGCGGCCAAAAAGGTATCAAATCTCAAGAGTCATAACTGCAAGAATTCTCCACACAAAAAACTGGTGGCTTGAAGCTCAGACGGTCCAGTCGCTCGGGCTCGGCGGCCTCTCCGCTCGCCGACATTCAGTACGGTGCGGTGGATCTGCGGCTAGCTTCGCGTCCCCATTCGACAACCGATCGGAGGAAGCTGAGTGTTCCTACTCTTCGATGCCCAACAAGAAGGATTGCTCCTACAAGTCAACCGCTTGGGACAAGGGTTTTCTCCTGACCATCTGCGGCCTGCTCTCTGTCGGCATCCTCTACGGCCTGAACCATCTGCTTTCAGACGACGTGGGCGGTGACGACGCTGGATCTGCCGGCAGTGGTGACGGAAACGGGGACGGTGACGAATAAAGCCTCCTCACTTTTTTTTTTTTTTTTAAAAAAAAAAAAAATAATCAGTGCTGTAACGCTGTCGGCCCGGGACCTGCGCGCTTTTCGCCCTTTCCAACCAAATAACGCAAAACGTCGGCGGTCAACAGCATCATGGACAAAGACCCCGTTACCGGTCGACCCTACCCGTCGGACGCGATCCAGCGTATCCTCTACGTCACCAAGAAAGTGCACGTCTACCGAATCCCCCCCATCACGTCCACCAAAGGCTTCAACGCCGCGTCATGGACCCAGAATCCCAAGGATCTGATCTTCACCTGCCGTCTCCGCGTCGTCGAGACGGCCATCCCTCCTCCCGCAAACGCCCCCGCTGACGCTTCCGAAAAGGTCTTTGTGAACATCCTGCTGGAAGACCCCAACTCGGGCCAGCTGTTCGCCGCCGCGCCGTACACCAACCCACACGTCGTAGAACAGGCGCTCGATTCGTCGAGGTTCTTCGCCATCCGCGTTGCGGGCGAAGGCGGCATGAAAGCCACCTTGGGCATCGGATGGGAGGAGAGGCCCGAGGCGTTCGACTTTGGAGTCTGTCTTCAGGACGTGCGGCGGATCCTTGGCATGGATCCTGCTGGTGGGCAGGCGGGCCAGGCCCAATCAGCCAGGAGAGGGCCGCCAGGACGGCCGACTGCGCCCAAGCCCGCTGTCGCCGAGGTCAAACGCGACTTCAGTCTGAAGGAGGGCGAAACGATCACGGTCAACATAGGAGGCAAGAGCAGAATAGGCAAGTCCTCTGGTTTTGCTGGCCAGGGCAGCACCGGTGGAGGAGGCCTCTTTGCTATTCCCCCACCTCCGGGGAAGAGCTCGGGCTCAGGCAGTGCAAGTGTTCCAGTCCTACCGCCGCCGCCAAGTGCTAGCGACGTGAAGAGCGGAGCGACCGCGACCGATCGGAAACAGCCCACCGCCGAGGAGCTTGGCTTCGATGACGGCGAGTTTGGCGAATTCCAATGAAGGGGGTGTTTCAAGCACAACGGGACGTTTTCGTGACTGATAGATACCCACAATGAACGAATAGAAAACGAAAGAACGAGTCGAAGGACAGGTCCTGATGAGCAAGGCACCGTTTGGAAGTTTCTGCAGTGTACATGTAGCCTATGCACAAAATCATGACTGGAGGCACATCCGACGAGGACTCTGTGCATGTCTATTATTATCTCTGCAGCCCGATTCAAAGTAAGCCCGACCAGAAAATGCCATAAGAACGGGTATTTCCCGGAAGTTTCCTATCGTTGCAAGCCTTTCCCAAGCGCCTCGCAATAAAAGGAGAATTGCGTCAAAGAAATCAGGAAATGAGACGTTTCTGAAACGATTTAGTGACTTTCCTCTTCCATCTCTTGTAATTGCCTATTCATAGCAGCAACCTGTTCCGCCAGCCGATCCCTCTCGCGCCTAATGCGCTCCATCCTCTCCTCCCTGGTCTCCTGATTCCCTGAGCTCATAGCATCAACGTGGCTCTCTGCACGTCTCGCATAACTAGACAGGTTTGGATCGATGGATTCCGCATTCGAACGCTCGCCAAACGTCGAAACTTGACGATCTGCTGTTTCGGATAATGTTCTTTTTTTCGCATTAGTACGGGAGACATCCGCGGAATATAGATGAAATGAAGGATTCGGAAGCGGAAGCTCCTTGTGCGACCTTGAGGGCACCGGGGCTGAAGTGTAATGTGTGAAGTCTACGGGGGGTGGCCCGTACGACTGTGTTGGGGGTTCCATCAACCTTTGGGCGTCATGCTGAATACCTCCATTCGCAGGCCGATCATGATGAGGTAGATTCAGCTGCTGGTTTGGTGTAAACTCGTCGCGCGCCATGGTGTTGTTTATCGGTGCGGCTTGAGGGTCAGGTGAAACAGAAGAATCGTTGGTAGCGTGCGGAGGAGTGTGTCCAGAGGTCGCGGGCATTACTCTCTTTCTACGCTTGATATGTTCCTTCTTCATGCCAGACGGCCGATGCCGTCCATGCAATTTGTAGTATAAGCCTGTTTTAAACGATAAGATTGATTAGATTTTGATCTGATAAAATTTCCCACACGCACAGCCAGGATGCGATGCTAACAGTTTTGCTAGGGGATGTGCGATATCGGCGAGCTTTTGACAAGAAGAGGAAGCGAAAGACAGGGAAGGACAAACTTACCGCAAGCATTGCAGATCGTATGGCCGTTATCATCGCGACGCCATAGTGGAGTGACCGTGGTCCCGCAGTTTTGACAAGCAGGCACGACGACACTGGTGCCAGACGCTGGGAGATTTCCGTTCATATGGCCAGACGCTGACTTGCCATTCTGTGTGAGCTGTGTTTCTGCTGAGGAGGTAGATGCCAGTTGCTGGGTCTTCGCTATACGGTTGTTGAATGCTGGACAGCCACTGCATCCAGCATGGCCACCAGTCCCGTTGCAACGGCCACCACCAGGGCAAGTTCCTGGCAAAGACGTCTCGACGGGAACGAAGGTGGCCTGAGGCGTACTTGTTGAGTTTGAAATTTGACTACCTGGTTCGCTGGAACTTCCAGTGTTGGCTGTGGGTTGGAGATTGCGTTTGAGATTCGTCGGTCTCATCTGATTTCGTGCTTTGTAATATAGGCCGCATGCGTTACATATCGTCTTGCCTTCAGGTGATCGCCTCCATAGTGGCGTCCTCGTTGTTCCACAGTTGCTGAGACGGGTCAGTATGGATTCTTAGCCGCGAAAAGAAAAAAATTTTGTTTGAGGAGTGCAATAACCAAAGCTTCTTCGGAGCGGAAGATGTTTGAACAGTGACCAGTGGCTTGCAAGCACACGCTGCGCTGATACTTCCATTCGTTTGCGGCCTGGACGTATTGCGGGCTTTCAATCATAGCTTACCTGCACACTTGACCGGTGCTTGTTGCGGCACTTGGAGAATGTGCACTCGTTGAGGATGGACCGGACTCGTCGTGGAAACGGTTTGGGTGATCTCCTTGATTTGAATAGCTGACGGTGTCATCCAATGAATGATACTCCTGGACCTCGGAAGCTTTCGAACTCCTCGACGGAGAAGGTGGATATCCGGAGCCTTGACGCTCTTCCCGGGAACTGTTGGCATACGTTGGCGAATGCCTGCGCTCTGTGCTTCGCTTGAGGGCAAGCAACGTTTCAGCGTCAGATCGCTCGTCTTGTGTTCTCTCGGCCTGCGTCCTCAAGTCGGACGCTGTTGAAGCTGCAGGAACGGCGGTGCTCGGCGACGAGTAGGTGGCCGCCATGATGGCAGGCATGACGTCGACCTCGGTGTTATTGCAGCATGGAAAAACTCGCGGATCTGTGAGCGAATGAAGCTTTCACGGCAAGAAGCAGAATCACGAGACGGGAGGCGTGATTCGCGGCCGGAGCGGAGGTCAACCTATGGTTTGTCCTCGATCTTGAGGGGCGGGTCCAGGCTCCAGCACAACCGCGAGAGATCCAGTCGACTGCAAACAGGCCGTTCAAATGTAAGAAGACGTTCTGAAATGTGCTCTGCAGGTGAGCAGAAGCACGAACAGGCGGCCCAAGACCGACTTTCACGACCTTGGCAGAGAGATGGCGCTTCCAGAAGAGCGGATTTGGAAGTCTGGGGAAGAGTAGGTCGGACACAAGAGGCTTTGTATCACTCGGCCAATCGCCACCCGCCAATTTCTCATCTGCGTACATCTCTGCTCAACGGTCGAGCCGAAACGGGATTAGCGCGTCCGCCGGCTTTTCGGAGATCGAGCTGCATGGCGCGAGCGAGGCGCAACGTTCACGACATCTGCTCGGCTTTCTCGCCCGGCTGAGAACGAGCAGTGCAGTGAGACTGTGCCTCTGCTGCGGAGCGCGTGCTTCTTCATTGGCTTGTCGAGCGACTTGCGCGGCCTTCGTCGCTGCTGCGTGCTGACAACGTCGTCCAGCTGCGACGCCCGAACGACGCTGTCGACGAAGGTGGAGTTTCAGCACACAGGACGTTCACTCTATTGCAGGATCCATTCAAGGCAGGGAATGCTCTCACTTGAAACACGATAGGCGCTGATGCTGTCGTTGAATGGAGGGCCAATAGTCCTGGGATCGTCCGCACGCTGTACCAATCTCCCTGCTAACGCAATGCTCGCTGAGAGGACTCCTTGAAAGTCCCACTTCCACATCACCAGGCTTGAGAAAAAGCCTCCTTCCAGCTCCTTGACTAGCGTTCACCCATGTCTGATGTCCCGTCAGGTCTCAGGAACGGCATTGGAGGCAAGGATCCGCGGAACGGGCTAGCGAGACCATGAAGCTCTACTCCAGTAGGCTTTGCGATCAGACGCCTGCGCGCTATTTTCTCCAGTTGTGAATGCAAGTGCAACAGACCTAATTCAGCCGACTTGGACATGGGACGTGATGGAGCTTGGGGGGAGCAAAAGCAATGGTGGTTGTTACCACAAACCTTTCCACTCTGGTTGGTGCGTCAAAAAGCGTACCTCCACGGGACAGAAATTCTATGTGCTCTGTAAAGTAGCCAGCTCAGAGAGGTCCAAGTGAGTCTTCAAGTGGTCGAAATGTAGAGCAGACAAGAATCTTGATTTTGTCCTGGCATATAACATGCACGTCTTCCAAACACGCGTCTGACAATGATCGTACAAGTGTCCATACTGTACATGATCTCAACAAAGCCCAACCGTACCATGAGACCGAGTGCAGAGAACGACCTCCTACTGGAAGAAAAATGCTTCCAGCGATCGGCCTGTTCGTGACTGAACTCTAACGTTCATCGCAGCAGACAGATCGAACACCTTAGCCCTTCCACACGCCTGAATCTCACCGCCTCGTCCAAATCCCAGCGTATTAGACCTGTTCTGCACCCCAGCCAGCGTCCGCTTCTCGCATGTTCGCCGGTGGTTCGATTGAGGGGATGAACTCGAGGACGGCGTAGCCGATGCCGACGATACCGATGATTGTTCCGGCTACATACTTTGTCCAATGGTCGCCGACAATGATGCTGCCAATGAAGATGTAGACTGCGCTCATCAGCAAAGCGCTCGAGAAAGCCGTTCGCAAAGGTTACTCACAAATTCCCCTCCCGAGGAAAGAGAACATGAAAGAAGCATACCGCGACACTTGTGGCGGTATTTGAAACTCGAGCAAGGCCGTCGCAAGCCCGAAGATGATGGTGTAACATCCAACAATGACATTTTGACTGTGAAAGGCTCGTCAGTTTGCTGCTTCTCATCTCTTTCGCCATTTGTTGTGCAGTTGTCAGCCCGAAGACGAGAAGCAATGAATCTCACAGTTGGAAACTCATGCACTGGCTATTCACCAGTCGATGTCGGGCTAATGGCGATAAGAGGTATGGTGTCGGTTCGCATACTTACATTCCAATGCTGGGGAAAAACTGGCCGATGCCACCTAGCACCATAAGCACACCGACGCCAAGGTTGACAATTCGACTAAAAGAGCAGGTCAGCGGAGTCACAATATTACAAACGCATGAGGCAGGACGGCGGCAGACATTGCGAAACGTATCACGCCTCCTAACACGGACAGTGTCGGCAATCGAGGTCTCAAAGGGAGAAATCTAAGATCAAAGCGCTAACACTTCGAAAGAGAGGACTAGGATAAGGCGAGCATCTCATCCATCTCAACGAGAGCGACGCGCGACAGCGCCATCAGCGCGGGCCTGCGACCTCGTGGGATGATACAGGACGGTATCACAGCAGATACGGACTGAGACAAGCCAACCTCCGCCATGCATCCAGCTCATAGTGAATTGGATCAAAGACTCACAAAGCGTCCGAGAAATCCATTGCGCCGGGGCTGCTCCAAGACAAAAGACTTCCGTTGAGAAGGGTCGCTTGACGAAGGCCGGTTGGGGAGAAGGGCGGGCGGCTACGAGACGGTGACGACGTTTCGCGGGGTTTGCGTTAGAGGTCGGCTCAGATGGAGGGCGCGAACGGACTACACGGACAGGTGCAGCCTCGTTTTGTTTGTTGTAAAAGTAGTAGTTAAAGAAGAGACGGGAGGGATCTTTGTGGTTTGCGCAAGGCAGCTCCCAAAACGAAATGGCAAGGTTGCGCTTTCGAGCACGGCCAAGCTTGGGCCCCTGACCATGGATGTGGCCACGACGTCACACGAACTGCACACCCAGCTGGGCGGTTGGCTCACCAGGCAGAAGCCCACGCTTACCACTAATTACTGTAGACGGAGTTGATCAGTTGATCTCCGTCTGCACTGAATTCACTCACGTTTCAATTAGAAACTGTTCATCGACCTGTGGCTTGTACAGCTCTGGAAAAGCCTATGCTTTGGGCTCTGGTCCCTATCGCGCTCTATATTGTGTCGTACCTAGTTTACATGCTGACCATGTGCACTTTTGTGTATTCAAATGCATCCATATCATCTACGGGTCGGTGATGGCGGATCGGCGTCTCTTGCATCATCCGTTTCCTCTGCCTCAAGTCTTCTCTCCTTGTCTTTCTCTTCGGCACCCTTCCACCCCGTGCAAGCTTGTAGAACAAATGTAACAATTGCCAGACCTACGCCAGCAAGGAAAAGTGTCCGCAGAGCGTCGACATAGCCCTGCACGGCTGCTTTCAAAGCAAACCCCTTCAAAGTCTGCACCGCTCTTGGACTGCCGACCAATTTGCGCAGGAGAGGGTCAGGAAGGACGATATCTTCTTCGTTGAATCGGCGTATGAGCGCGGCTTTGAGGGCACGATTGAAAATACCACCGCCAACCGTGGCTCCAAACGTACCTGCAAATCCGCGGAAGGTGAAAAAGATCGATATGGCAATGAGTCGCACGTCCGTGTGCACGAGATGCTGAATATGAGCCAGAGTGTAATTCATGCCGCCGCCGGCGCAGAGACCATTCCAAAGTAGGATGAAGTAATACAGTACCATGGAAACCGTAGCGGTGGTTGAAACGGCCAGCCAAAGAATGCTGACTGGAAAGAGTGCAAACACGCTCAGACACGCGACGTAGAAACTGCCGTCACGCCGGATGTGAAGAAGCCCACTGAGCAGCGATCCTAGCGCAAAGCCGATGTTTGTGGGTATGAGAACTGCGCCAGCTTCTGGAGGAGATAAACCGCGGACAGCTGTTCCATATACCGGGGAGTAGAAGAGTACAGCCCATCTGGCCATCATGTAGCCCAGCGTCGCCATGCACGCGAAGAAGACAGACCGGTTGCGAAGCACTTTGACAGGAACGACGGGATCAGGGTGCCTGTAAGACTCCTGGTAGATGAACAGAGGTAGGAAAACGAAGAAGCCGAGGGCCATAGCAATAATCTCAACCAATCCAAATCCTGGAGCTGCAAAACCGTATAGCAGAAGACTGATGCTGGCAACGAGCAAAAACGCTCCAAGATAATCGATCTGTATCAATTTCGTGAGGACAGTTGTGTCGTTCCGTTCCTTGCCTGGTGGAAGGAGGCCCTTGAGTTTGGATGGGATTGCAAACACAAGCACCAGAGCAGAAACGATGGTAAGTGGTAGCTGGAACCAGAAGATGGCTCGCCAGCCCAAGTGCGGTTGAATTGCACCAGCGAGAATGGCTCCAGAGGCCACACCCACTGTGTAACCTGTGTTTACACCACCCTGTGCAAATCCCCGCTGCTTCTCAGGGGCGTATTGGATCAGCACCTGAGTGACGGATACAATGCCCGCAGCTCCAATTCCTCCTAGGATTCTGCCAAGTAAGAATGGTGCTACAGTTGTTGTCAGAGCAGAAGTGAGAGATCCAATGGCGAGGATCGTCGCAGCAAATGCTATCACGTATCTAGCCGCAAAGATATAGCTAAGCTTGCCATATACCGGCCCTGTACTTGACATAGCGAGTAAGTACGACGACATGAACCACGTCGTCGAGTCGTACGCGTTGAGATCTTCGGCGATCACGCCTTGTACGGTCGTCAGAAGTGATATGTTGGATGCTTGAAGAAACAGTAGCACTGCCATCGAAAGCACTATGAGAATGGCTCGTGTTCGAGTAAACGTCGGTATCCACTCGAGAAGTTCCGAATCCTGCTCTCCATCATCGTCTACGTCAGTATTCAAAGAGACTTCCGGGAGGGCGTCGTCGGCTTCTGCTGCTTGCTTGGCATTTGAAGGCGTGACGGTCGAACTCGACGCCCAGCTCTCATGATCTGGAAATGATCGGTAGGACGCGGCGACTGACGGGGTTCGTTCTGCACCCGAAAGAAGCGGGTCACGTTCGTCAGGCTGATGTCGACGCCTTGAGCGATTGTTCCTGCTGCTTGATCGAGACATTACACCAAGTGCCGAACACGTGGGCGATTATGTTGGTTCGAGAATGGAGCACGGATTCACTGGTTCAAATACGTCGCGCGAATTCTGGATTGATACGTCGAAGGTCTCCACGATGCGCGACCGCAGTGCACGTCTAACACGTTCGTTGCAGCCACGACGGTTGCGAAACGCAAGCGCGAAAGGTCAATTTCGCGCCTGACTAAGGACTGCAAACCTTAAGGATCCGGAGTGGTCGGCCACGAACGGGATGTGTGAAATGAAAGATTGGTGATGGAAGATATGCTTTCCAGCATTCTAAGACGAGAAGATTCGCTGCGAAGGGAAGCAAAAGCTAAGGGAAGTTCGTAATTTGCTGGCGGCGGAGAAATGATGAGTTGATGATAAATCGAAGTTCGATCGGATGGAGCGGTTCCACGTTGGGCCGAGATGCGCATCTTCGCCAGGTACCGCCGACCTGTGGCATCGGCATCGACTCCCCCCCAACACAGAGCGCTGATCCCGAGTAATTTCCTAGAAATCATGGGGCATGGCAGTAAGCTATTTATATAACTTTCCAAAGATAACTCGGTGCGACTCGACCTCAGACAAGATTTCTTTAGTTAAGCCTGAAGTCTGGCAAACCGGGTGTCACGTGCTCAGTAAATCATGCTTCCAGTGACTGCACACTGTGCATCGAGGCAAGGACCGTCCATTGAATGAGCTTTTGTTGGTCCTTAGCTGTCCCTCCTTTGTGGCCAATGGAATACATGGAGAAAGAAACGGCAGGACTTCCTTGAAGAGAATTTTTAAAAAATTGGAGTAACTAGTGTACATGTGTCGTCTTAATAAGATTCAAAACATTAAATGTGAAAAAGTAGGAAGAGCATTCTTAAACGACAGCACCAACATGCATTGCATCTGGTCTGAAAATAACATGCATATCGCCGTCTTAAAAGACCTGGACTTGAAGGTTCGGTCCTAAATTTTGGGCGAACTCGTCAGTCGGAGGACATAACTCCGCCAGATTCAAGAGGAAAAGGCTTCTGAGAAATCCACCGTTTGACGGGTTCATAACGGTAGTTAACAAATCGCATGAAACGCATCACGGAACGATCATGTCCTGTTTGCCTCAGTCTTTCTGAAAAGTAGACTAGCCGTCACTAATGAAAGGTTTCTAGTTGTTGGCAGTGTTTGCAAAAAAACAAATCGAGTCTCTACGCAGCGGCTTGTCAGATAGTTCTGAGCTACGCAAGATGAACAACATGTAAGAAGGCATTTGCCATTAAAAGATGTTGCAACAAAAGACGAGGTCGTTGTTACTATCATCGGCGCAATTTTCGGTCCGTCCATGAATTCTTCAACCAGTGCTCCAGACTTTTAACTTTAGGATCTGCTCCTCTGGTCAGCCGAACTCGTTTCAACTTCGGTGGTGGAAACGAGCACTAGGCACCATCAGATCTGTTTGAGCAAAGCTCTTCCCTGGCGATCTTAAATGAAACTTGCGCTTGTCCTTTGAGATGGTCAGATCGTGAAGCACGTGAATACTGCGAGCTTCAGGATCAATTAGGAAAGTATCGTGAAGAGCTAAAATCGACGTCAAGGTCCACTCGAGGTCATTCGGTCCGATGCATAATTGGCAGAGAGGAGCAGTTCTAAGACGATTTTCACTTGATCCACAATCATGCCGAGGATCGTCCGGATATGAAAGGTAGTCCTCTAAGTCAGGTCAATGCTGTATGTAAGATGCATCTATTGTAAGATGCCTCAACTCCGCCTCTACTCTGCCTCCGGTGGAACTTGTCCACAGCTCAATTGACCTCGACGATCTGGTTCCGGCCAGATCGCGTCAAGTCGAACGGCACTCGGTCCTCATCTAAATTCAGCCATTGAAAGTCATCTTCTCCCCAGCTGTTCCTCTCGTTCCGCCGCAACCAAAGCCGGAGCCGAAAGCGATATCTGGCTTTCGTCAACAGTTGGAGATATTATTCTGAAGAGAAAATGAGGAGATGCGAAATCGTGAATCCCGCCTTGGACATATCGTGGTGCAGGCCTTTTTTGATCTCATCAGCTAAACTTTAAGTTAAACGATGGGCTGCATCCGTGCCAGCCTTGCTGTTGTCGAATCGGACCCTTGCATCCTGACCTGCGTCACCGGACAACCAAAGCATTCACCTATAAGCACCATCCGCCATTACTTCGCCGGAGAGCCGTTCATTCTTACGCCAACGATGAAAGATCCCACCTCTCCGCGATGCAGCGAGCTCGCCCACCCGTCCGTTCCCACGACCGCGCTAGCGCTCTTCATCGTCGTTGGCATTCTCGTCTCTTACCTGCCGCAGCACCTGCGCATCGTGTTTAGGCGCTCGTCCGAGGGCCTGTCGCCGTACTTCGTTCTCCTGGGAACGACGTCGAGCACCTTCGCCATCGCGAACATTCTTACGCTTCCGCAGAGCCAGCAGGACATAGCATGCTGCAGGGAGATTAGCAGGTTCGCCTGCATGGCTGGCCTGTTGGGCATTGCACAGGTGGCCGTGCAATGGGGATGCTTCAGCCTTATGTACGTATCCTCCAAACTATATTACACCAAGAAGGTCGACTCAGAGTGCTAACGCGACCTCTAGCATGTTCCTTTTTCTTATCTTCTTCCCGACTCCAGGACCGGAAGAACATGTTCCGGGCGCGCCTCCTCCGCCAACCTGGCGCGACGCCCTCGTCGTCGTGCTCACCTGCGTGGTCCACTTCGTCGTCGTCGTGATCATATCGGCAGTCTTTGAACTGTGGTACCCGAACTTGCTTGGAAGCTGGGCGAACTTCCTCGGGATTTGTGCAGCGCTGCTCGCGTGCATCCAGTACATCCCTCAACTGTGGACGACGTGGCGATTGCAGCATGTCATGAGTTTGAGCATTCCCATGATGTGCATCCAGACGCCAGGCAGCTTCGTGTTCGCAGCCAGCCTGGCCATTCGATTAGGCGCAGGAGGTTGGAGTGCGTGGGGTGTATACATTGTCACTGGGTGCTTGCAAGGGTGTTTGCTTGCCATGGGCATCCGGTTCGAGCTGAGGGACAGACGCAAGAGAATGCTGGAAGAGCAAGACGCAGATTCTGGAAGCGACGAAACTTCTGCCCTTCTAGGCGGTAACAGAGCGAACGGGCAGTCATACGGAGCAGAACATCAGCAGAACAGATAATGGTACATGAGATTCGTTAAGCGCTCTACGGGGGTATACTATCCGATGCTTGCCCAAAATACACCGCCATGAAAACGCCTCGTACAGCTGACCGAAAAACATATAAAGCTTGAAACACGTATGAGAAGCGCGAAGATGTTGGTACACAGCTTCCCTGTGCCTCCGTTGATCATAAGTTTTGTTGAATCGTGTTCCTGGCGCTCTCTCCGTCCTCCGCCATCGGCCTTTGACTGGGGGGTTCAATGCACCAAGTCTCCCGTTCACCGCCACACGGGTTTACCAGGCGAGAACCCTGCACAACATCCTCTCGATGCTCCCAAGTGATTGAAAGCATTTTTTTCGTATCTCTGCTGAAGGTTCGATCTCTGAGACAATGCCAACACACTGCCAGGCCGAGAATTGGGCCGTGTTCGAAGCCAAGGGAATGGGGAGTTGATCATGGTCGGATTTGACGGTGGAAAGGTTCTGCGCGACGGCTTGTGTTGTCCAGGGCGGGCGAAGAATCACGCGAAGATGACGGCGTGCTTGTCATTCGCCATGTGCGTGGGCTCATTGGTGGTGTGGGGAAGAGCGAGAGGAGCCATTCTTCTTGAAGCGCGCTTGATGAGTGATATGCGTACAACGAGGTGTACTTTGCTACACCCATTGTTGGCAGTTGAGGCTCGGCTGGACTTGTGTCTAGTCGAGAGGCCGGTTGGGGGACTTAAAAAAACAAATCGATCGATGATAGAGTTTGCCTTTTCGATATGCTCGAGGAAGCAACCAAGCCGCACAGAAGCTTTGCGTGGGGTTGGGGTTTTTTTTTTTTTTTGCGCTGGTGAGGCTGCACAAAAAGTCTGAATATGCTTTGGGTATGGAGATTGCTGAACTGTGTATGCTGCACCGCAGCTCTGGGGGGGAAAGAGTGTCTGGATCTCTATATACTTGTCGAAGCTGAGTGAATCAGCTGGGCCGGGCCGTTGCTATTTCCAGCGCCACAATACATTATCGAAGTGTATGTACAACAACGCAGCCAGACACTGGCAAGCTCCTGTACAGCACGACGGCCAAGCCGGACACACCGCCAGGGGAACAAGGTAAATGAAGGCATGGCGTTGCCTGCGTGACACATCAGAGTGCAGACCGCATCGAGCTGTCAGAAGGGTGCGGCTTGCATGGCACTACCGACCGTTCTGGAGGATGGACGCGTTTGGCTTCAGCAAACCGCACGGAAAGGGGAACGGTGGCCAGACACTGGACAGAGCAGGTCTACTCGACTGCGGTGGGCGTTTTTGTGGCGCCAAAATAGAAACTGATCTCGGCCTGCAACTCCGGCCGCCCTGCAGCAGCGCCCGCAGTCTGGGTCGACGCCAAACGAGTTCCCCTCATCAATATCCTCTGCGGTCGACCCCTCCCCGCCTTTTCGTGCCTGTGTCGGTGCCTGTGCCTGACGCAGCATCGCGATGGTCTCGTTGCTTTGCATATCGTAGTGCCGTGGCGGCCTGCGCGTGATGCTGCGCTGCGCTTTTTATGCGCTGGTCTGAGACGGTCCAGCCGACGTCCTGGATGATGCCATCGTACGTTCGCATCTGCTGGACGGCAGCGTACTCGACGGCCGGAGTCTGGGCTGCCGAATGAGATTGAAGTGCGCGCGCATTCTTGAGACGATGCCGACGTCCAGTGTCCCCCCCCTACGTATCGGTTTTTGGATTGCAAATCAACCTGCATCGACCTCGTGGCCGCGGGAGTCAGCATCGGGGACAGCGCGGCCTTCCGCGCTTCTGGCCCTTTGCTTATTTCCCCCTACGAGATTCTTCGTTTGTCGTTGCAAAGTACCTATCACCGGCAAGCGCTCGAGAGAGTAGCAAAAGTTGACGTGCCTGCATTGTGCGACTGAGGATCCACTCGGCGACGCGTGCACAGTGCAGATCTTACGCACAGCGACCTCCTTCTGGCCATGATCTGAACAAGGACAGTCTCCGTACTTCTAAACTGGGTTTGTTTAGACAACGAGCGTCAAAACAAAGGAGAACAACCCGTCGATGTCCTCCGTCCATGGATCCTTCTCAGAAGCACGAGGCAGCATCGTGGCCAAAGACTTTGGGCGCAGTGGAGAGGAGCCTTTTCAGCTTAGAGCACGTGATAGCTGCTCTTTTCGTGTCCTTAGAATCTTATTTTGACGCCAGAACGACGAGATCTCAAACGGCACGGTTGATGCGGAGAGAAGTGAAATGGAGCCGCTTTGAGGCGTCGTCGATGCGGAAGATACATTCACCAACAGTGTACGTATCGTTGGTTTTCTTCCTCTTTCCAGGCCGGGCTACATAATCAAATTTCCAAAGGCACAGGCGGCTTGAGGTCTACTACGGAATTGAGTCCTCACTCTACCGTGCTAACCTACCTATGTCGCCTCCATTCTGCGCTTCTAAGGTAAAGAAGCGAGAAAGGCGTCTCTCTTGATTTGACATTTGCTATTGCTCACAAACACTGTCGGCTAGGTCTTCATATTTTTCTTCGGCCTGTAAACGATATCGTAGACATGGACAAGTCTACTGATGCAGTGCATTGACGGACTTTCACTATTCTGTTGATGTGGTGCCAAGCCACTGGAGCCTCTTAGGAACTACGGCCAGTGATCCTCGCAAGATCGCTCTAACCGTGCTCATATCTGGTCAGCTATTTCATTGGTTGTCTCGTACGTCGGACACTGTCCTGCTCCAGCTATACAAGTAGCTTGTTAAAAGTAGTGCGCTATGTTCGACACGGCTCGAACGCCCGACGGAACCCCACGGAGATCTGCGCAAGAATTCGTGACTATTGATGATCATTAAAGGTAGATCATGTATTAACGATACAGGCGGAACAAGTGTTATCCGTCTTCAAATATATCCTTTTAAAATTGCTGCTTCACAGTTCAACACGCTGCTACCAGCCGCTCCGATAATCGTATTGTGGCTGAGCGCCACAAATTTGATGTCAAAGATCCCAGACTCATCTTCTCGCACACGCCCTACACTAACCGCATAGCCGCGCTCCAAGTTGCGGTCGAGTCGCGGCTGTGGCCGCGTCGGATCTTCGTGTACAACGATGGCGCGCGCAGGCGCTGAGTGACATCCAAGGGTTTGCGCTTCACTGACGTAAGACTGCAGTGCAGCTTTGACAGCCGAGACAGAGGGTGGTGGACGTGTGGCGAAACGGAGAGATACACAAGCAGTGTGGCCATCAAGGACGGGGACACTGTATAGGAAGGCCAGTCAGCAAAGCGGAAGTCGAACACGGGGCTTGCAATAGGAAGAAGCATCAAGGTTCGAGCTTACCGATTACAGGCTGCGGACACCCGCATCTGTTGTGGCACAACCTGATTCTGCTCGGAGTTCAAAGTGCCCAAAATCTTACAGGCTTCTGTTTCAATCTTGGATTCCTCGGAGGCGATATACGGTACGATGTTGTCGATAATGTCCATGGATGAAACGCCTGGATAGCCAGCGCCCGACAACGCCTGGAGCGTAACAACACTAACGTCGGAGATTGGACCGAACTTTGCTTGGAGAGCCGCGAAAGGGATCACAATCCCGATCACGGCGCTAAGGAGAAGGTCAATCATTTTTGTGAACGTAAGATGTTGAGAGAGGGAAAGAATAGATAATTTACCAGTTTGAATTCGTCACCAAAAAGCCCTTTCCTTCAGACTTCAAATGCTGTCTCTGAGACGGAATCATGCTCAAGTGGGACAAATTCACCGTGGGGACGACGAGAGGCGTCAACGGATCCATTCTGTATGCAGAAGCATTCGAGAAAACTGCATAGAATTTGGCAAACTCCGGCTCGACCTCTCGCGCTTTTGCTGTGTCGAGGCCTGAGAAGATGATATCGCAGCCCTTGAAGTGTTCAGGCTGGCAAGTTTGCACAGTAAGACCCGCAACTGACGCCGGAACGGGCTCTAATTGACGCCATTGAACGGCTTCTGCGTAGCTTTTTCCCGCACTCCTCTCAGAGGCGCCGAGGGCAGCAATCTCGAGATATGGATGCTCAGACAGAAGAAGAATGAAGCGTTGGCCAACGGCGCCTGTGGCCCCGAGAATGCCTAAAGGAGATGATCAGTCACATGTATCAAGTAAGGCGCAAAACGTCCGCGATGTGGACCGTGGACCTAAACAATATACTGCTCGAAAACTGTCGGAGGACAAGGCTGAGGACCAAAGTCCGGGGCGAAGAACGAGCAAAACAAAGAAGGCTGGTGCGTACCACATCGCTTTTTGGGCGCTTTCTGCTCGTTCGAGAGGAATTGACTTGCCATGACTGTTCGTGTCCAAAAGGTGTTCTCAGCAGAACGAAAAAATGAAGACAGTCATTCACGAATTCCGACGTCGGAAGGGGATTTTTAAGGAACTAGTTCTAATGCACACAGCTCGCAGCGTCTCAGGACCATCCACTAATGGACCACTGGAGTCTTCACGGCTGCCTAAGGCTGTCAAATTTCTGTTTGGTTACTTTTGATATGTTTTGCTTCAACAGAACAAAAGATGTATTGACATGATTGTACAACTGTATTTCTGATGCTGCCAGTTTCGTGACAGTGACCGTCATGCCGAATCCATGGGTTCGCCAGAGAGCACCTAGTTAAAGCCCACTGCTCATGGGCAATACACTAGATCGAGGGAGAACTGCATCTCCGCATATGGTGCCCCCGTCGAGACGACGAGACGTTCTTGTAGCGTTTTGACCCCTCCGCAAGGTGCGAAGCTGGCAGGCGATTCCTTCTTGGCGCTAATTGCTCGCTCAGCAGATAAGCATATGGAGAGAATCCAGTGCTTAGCGCACGTCACTATGTGAAATCGAGTCAATCATGCTGTTCCTTGCGAAATAGATGAATGTATTTTGGTAGACGAGACTCCTGCTAGACATCAGTATACTTTTGTCCTCACGTTCCAAGCCTGGCGCTTCTTCCAACAAGTCGAAAGTAAATGCCTAAAAAGACTCTTAACGTCGCGAAGCGGGGAAACAAATATTTCCACCTTTGAAGAACGTAGAAATGAGAAAGGCGGTAAAGAGAATGGTTTCAGTGCTCGATAAACCTGATCTTATCTCCCTCGACAAAGCTTTATTGCCGGCAAAGCGAAAGCATCCTAGACCGGAGTGATGGCATCAACATCAACACAACTGCTGTTGGCCTCTCGTGCAAGACGCAGCGAAGGAAAAGCCCGGCTGGCACTCGATTCTGCACCCGATCCAGGAGCCTCAGCCTCGTTCCCAGTCGACTTCCTCAGCTCTGACCCTTCGACAGACTCCGAGCCCAGAGTCTGCTCTTCCTCGGGGATGTGTATGCCGGCCTGGTGTTGATCCTCGGCATCCTTCCCCTTCTCCCGATTCGGCTCGTTATACGGCCATTTTATCTGCGCGAATATGAAGACGGCGAGACCGAACAGGAAGGGCACCGCAATGAGCAGGAAGGGTGCGAGGATCTGCCACGGTCTCGATCGATGTGTCGCCATGCTGGAGCGCGCACAGTGTTTCTAGCGCGTGTGATACCAGCGAGTTTTCAAGGATCGGCCGTTGAAACTTGAAAGGTTGTATTTTTTTAAACCTAAATCTTTTCTGGTTGCAGGATGAAATGGCGATTCTCGTTTCGGTCGAGGCTGACTCTCTTAATACGCCTTTCGCCTAGTTATGAGCTGTAGGAATTGGTTCTGCGTTGGCTTTCTCGATCCTGGTGTGATAGCAGACTGAAGAAAAAAAAAGAGGGCTCCGTTGCTTCTCGGCACAACGACATGCAACAGCCAATCGCGTCCAAATGTGACTCTCAAGAGGACAGAGCGCGAGTAGGAAACACCTTGTGCTGAGCAGAAGGGGGGTTTAGGGGCATCCGCCAACAATACGTGAGAAGATGTTGGATGGGTCTCCTTGGAGGCTGCAGTGGCGCGCTTTTTATTGTCGTTCTTGCATTCTCTTCCCAGAGGGTGGCAACAACGACGAGCAGGACCTTGGATGCAGTACGAATCCCATTTGGGACGTCTCAAGCTCGAACCTTCTGCTAAAGGCGGGGAAAAGCGCGAATGGTTCACCGAAACGACAGCCTTGCGCTTCGTCTGATAACCCAGCTGTGCAAGCGCTGTGGAGAGAACTGGACCAACCAAAGAGACCGTAGATCGCCTGTGGAACCTTGCCATGAGGTTGGTGTGTCTGACCACGCGATGACTCTCAAAATTTTCTTTCAGCGGTTTCCGACGCTGGTCGTACGCAGTCCGGATATGCCCTCTTAGCTTGTCTTGTGCTCTTATCAGACCTTAGATCTGACTGCTCCTCGAGATCTACGACTCTGGCTGCAAATAAATGACAAATTCTGCTTACAAACTATCCCATTGGTGTTGCTTTCGGTTAAGCGTATACAGTACTGTACACGAGAAACGGACCTGAATCTTTCGTATATCAGCAGCCTAGATATCGCTCCTCAACCCATCTGCTTTCCTGGTCATCCACAATTCGGCCGACCACTACTCTTATATCTGGGAAGACACTCATCAGACGGCCTATTCCAATCTTGCCCGCCATGTAGCTGACGAACACGATCTTCTCTTCTGGCACGCCGTGATCAACCAACACCTTTACCGCCATGAGCGCGGCGCCGCCGCTACTCATTTGCGCATCGAGCAAAAGAACCAATCCGTGAGAGTCGAGATCGTTCGGAAGCTTTAGATAGTGCAACTCCGGTTCGCCGGTGCGGTAATTGGTCTGAATCAATAGCCGGCCTGTCCGACAGTCGGGGATTACTCGCTTTAAACCTGTCTCGAGGGCAGAGCCTCCACGTAGAATGACTACGGCAGAAACCTCTCCTTGAGCCTCAAGGCCGATATATGGCGTGAGAGACGTCATGATCTGCGTTGGCTGGTATTCCTGACATGCTGTTGCACGTTCGATCAAATTGACAACTACGCGGTCGAAATAAAATATAAATTCCTCACGAGGCAGTGTGGGCGACATAAGCAGCGTATGTATCGCCAATATTTGTCTGCGCTGGGGCAGCAATATCACATTCTCGCTGAGCGGATTATTTTCGACGTTCTTGCCGAGACGGCTGAGCTCCAACTGATGCATCTTGCTTTTTTCCTTGAGCGTCTTGGAAATTTGATCAGAGATCATGCGAATGGCGACTTTGTTTTCGATACCTCGGGGCACGATGATGTCGGCAACCTCGCGTTGAGGGTGCACGTACTTGTGAAAGTTGGGCTTCACAAAGGCGAACCACTGCTTCATGCAACCTTCGACATCACGACCACGGTATCTGACATCACGTAGTACGCGACGTGAAAGGCAGACATCTGGATCGGCCTCAGCGAAAACCTTTAGGTCGAGCATGTCGAGGATACGTTGGTCATGAAGAGCGAAGATGCCCTCGAGGATAAGTACATGAGGCGAGTAGATGGTGCTGGTGCGTTCCTCGCGTGCATGTTTCTCGAAGGAATAGACTGGAACCTCAACCTTTTTGCCCTCTTTGATCTCACGCAATTTCTCAACAAGCAGATCGAAGTCGATGGCGTCGGGAGAGTCAAAATCGAACTCATTTCTGAACGCTGCCTTGGACTGCTCTGGTGTAAGCTGCTTGTAGAACGAATCCTGCCAGGACCTCAGCATACTACGACATGCAAGCAGACATGCAACGAGACTGTACCATAGATAAGATGACGACCCAAGGCAGATTAAGACCGGACACGACAGCCAGAGCAAGGCTGGTCTTGCCAGAGCCAGAGCTGCCAGCAACACCAATGATGCTCGTATTGTTCCATGGCGGACAATAATGAGCGCGCTGCGTAATACTGTTCTTCCTTTGCCGGACGGACATTAACTTCGAGGATTCAGCAGCAAAAGTACATTTTCTGATAAGTTAGAGGCCCGGGCACGTGACGTTACTCTGCCGAGACGCCAAGGTGGAGCTTCGGCGGGATCGTGCACGGGCGCTCTTCTTTAAGTTCTTTGCTTTTCGCTCTGAACATCCAACACCCAAGCTTTTCCGCAGCTTCACTTCTCCAGCAAAACTTTGACCGGAAAGAAGCTTCCCACTGCCCTCGCGAAGCCGGCACTTCGTAGGATCCTGGGGCTTCTAACCTTTAGAGTCCTGTACGTGAGGACTTGCGTGCGCGCGCGTGCGTGCGTGTGGGTTTGTGTGTGCTTGTGAGAGAGTTCGCGTGTGAAGCGGTGTGCTTGTGTGTACGACGGTTCAGGATGAGTTCCTCTACCGCATCGATGCCGACACCGACACCCCACAGCTTCAATAGGCTTGTGGAGGATCAGAAGCCGTCCAAAACGTAAGTCCAGCCCCTTCTGTCTCTAGTTGCCATGTGCGGTGGCAGACAGTAGCCCACGACTTCAAATGATGTGATAACAAACAAGATGGGAATCTCTCCGAGAAATTAAGCTTGTGGAAAACAAATATATCTTGAATTCTGATGAAATCATGACTACCACGTCTTTTTGAGTAGAGCTATGTACCAGGTGGATGTGCTAACAACTCACCGGCGAAATAGGGACATTAATAGCGTGATAATGGATTATCTGATCAAAGAGGGCTACCCGGACTCGGCGAGGAAGTTTGCACTCGAAGCAAACATTAAGCAAGGCGCCAGAGATGAGGAGGCCATCAGGGCGAGGGTAGAGGTCAAGAATGCGATTCACTCGGGCCAGATTCAGACGGCTATCGAGCGGATCAACGAACTGGATCCTGAGGTATGTCTCGCGCTGTCGCCCACTCGCCTAAAGCAATCTGTTCTCTATGATTATCTATGTTTCATGCACCACTCATAGCTTCCGAGCTCTGATGAAAAAAGAAACTACTTCAGTCCTCAGTATGACCTGAACGCTACAACAATATTTTCTGTTAGCTGTTTTTCAATCCTTTTAGTCATCGTACTGACTTCGTGCTTGGCAATAGATCCTCGACCTGGATGCGCCTTTGCACTTCGCTCTCCTCCGGCTTCAGCTGATTGAAATCATCCGCTCATGCTCTGTTAATGCTTCAGGCAACCCTGATATATCACCAGCCATTACCTTTGCTAAAGAGCAGCTTGCTCCCAGGGCTAGCATCAACCGTGAGTTCCTACACGACCTCGAGCAGACGATGTCTCTGCTTGTGTTCCAAACCGACTCCCTTAGCCCGCAACTTGCTGCTCTTCTCAAGCCTGATCTCCGCCGCGAAGTTGCGGACCGCGTCAATTCGGCAATCTTGAAGAGACAAGGTTACGACGTTGATGCGAGGATCAAGGAGTGGGTGAAGGCTCGCACTTGGGCAGAGCAATATGCTCGTAAGACGAAGAAGGATATTCCATCGCGGATAGTTATAGGCCTTGACGGGGATGAAGAGCCTCAATACGATGAAGCGAATGGAGATGCTATGGTCACTTCGGGATGACCAAATTTCATCTTTATTTAGCCTTCGCCAATGCCTGCTGCTGAAGCAAAGAAGCTCGAGCTGCCTGATTCCCACCGGACAAAGCCGTACGATGCCCTTCTCGGCGCTACCATTTGAAGGTACAAGTGCGTTTGGTCTCCGATCATGGTTACCAAGGAGAAGTGGAATATCGTTTTAAAGAGGAAAGAAATGATGAGTGAATGAGTGAAATGAGTTCACGAACGATTGAAATGATTAAGATTGAGCAAATGCCCGTAATTCTAGAGATGGGAAGGTTGGAATGATTGTATGAATAATACATACATGATTTGCATCAGCGTGGTCGGAGGAGCCCCAGTAGGATCGCGGTGATTAGTGCACCGACGACCGCTCCTTCCAGAGCTACTGTGCTCATATCAACCATGCGAACTGTAATGTTACGCTCGCTGAAGAGATCTACCACCTTTTCCTTGATAGAGGTCTGCGGGGCAAGGGGTTCTAAATCTCCTGGCGCCGTGGTATCAAGAACAGGCTCAGCCGGGCCCACTGTAGATGTAGCAACAAAGCCAGTGGCAGCCTCGACCTCAATCGGCATGGGGTTGGGCTCACTCTCGTGGTGCGAATCGTCCTCCACAACTTCTGCTACGCCCGGCTCGTCATTGGCACTTGGCTGCGCTAATGTAGCTGCCGGGGGAAGCGTTCTGCTCTCTTCCAGGGCAGCCTTGATCTCCCTGACCATCCGCTTCCGCCGCCACGGTTCCACGACTCCCATGGTGACGAGCAGCAACAAGATGTTGACGCCCATGAGTCCGAATGTCACCCATGTGCTGTTCCTGCGTATCGTATCGCTCCAGATCTGCTCCTCGTGGTACTGCATGCGCTCCATCTTTTCCAGCTTGTTACGCGCGGCAGCGAGCGCGGCCTCTGCATCTGCGACGCGGTCCTTGGCTGATTGCACGGCCTGATCGTTGAGATGCTCGGAGCGGATGAGCGACATGTAGCGCTCGAGGTCCGTGTCGGACCACGAGTGGCGACGCTCGAGTAGGGAGACGACCTCTTTGCGGGACAGCGACTCGGCCGAGCGGGCGGATTCGAGCGCCTCCTTGGCCTCGACGAGCTGTGCGTGCTGGAACTTGACGAGTTTCTCTGCAACGAAGGTTAGCTGCCGATGCCCGTTACGTGCGTGAGGAGCCGCCGGGGTCAGAAGGCACCTTGCTCAATGATCTCTTTCCGCAGGGCCTCAATGCCGGAGTAATCTGTTCCGGTGTAGGTGTTGATCCGCTGGCTTGCCAGGGCTAGCTTGGGCATGAGGTTGTCCATGACCTTGTTCATGTACTTTGAGACTCGCCATCGTATCTCCTCTCTGTGCGACGGCAGCTGGTCCCGCGTAGCAGGGCTAACAGTGCCGTTCGATGCCGCTGACGATTGTTCCGATTCTCCAGATGTCGATGGTGATTCTGCGTCGACCTTCTTCACCTCGTCCTGCCGCTTGCCCGCCGTCCACGAGAAACCTCTTCGATGCCCGTACCGCGTAACCACATTTTTGTACCTGTCGTTCACGGCGACGCTCTTCAGACCGGCCAGGTGCTGGCACCGCCGGCATATAAACGGCTGCCGGTGACGTAGCGAGACCGCCGAACGTGTTCCGCACAGCGTCGTGCGTGCAGCTACATCCCACGCATTGTGAAGCGTCGACCTCATCTCCTTCTCCTACCCAAAAGGCGGAGACAAGGTGAAGAGCCAGAAGTCAGGCGACAATTGATGGTGAAACGGGGGAGAGAAAACCAAAAGAGCGAGGTCGTTTCGAAATTGATAAATTTCGACGCGGGTCGCAGGCTTCGAGGCGCAGTTTGGCGTGGGCACTCTCGGAACTTTGGCGGCGTAGACGCAAGGCACGACGCAATTCGTGACCCGTTTTTCTCGAGCAATTCGGGCACCGTCTCTGCCAATCTCTGACAGCGCATAGGTCGAGTGAGCAGGAGGGAGAAAAATAAAAGCTATCAGATACGAAGATTCGGGCTCTTTCCTCATCACTCCGCCCTCATCTACCAGTAGCACTCCTGCCATCGCTTTGCTCCCGCGTCACCTCGCCTTTTCCATTTTTTGCTTCGCCTGAACTCTCGCTCCGCGCCTCAAGATGGGATCGCATATCGAAGAGCTGCCCTACCTGAAGACGGACCCCAAGTTCATCTTCTTTACGGACTTCGATGGCACAATCACCTTGCAAGACAGTAAGATCCCTTCTTTTTCCACCACCTCGAACAGCCTCTTGGGGGAGGTTTTTTTTTTGTTTCCCAACACTCATTCCTCTCGGATAGTTGCCCGATTCGGCATGCCGTGGAGTCAGACACACATCAACACCGGATATTCACACGAGCTGAACTATTCTCTGTGACGTGCTTTGTTTTATTCTACCCTTTCTGAGCTTCTATGCTAACGCTGTCGACAGGCAATGATTACATGGTCAGAGAGCAAACTCACGACTTGGCATGGCGGGATGAAAGCTAACATGCGGTTTGGACGCAGACCGACAACATCGGATTTGGGGCCGAGAAGCGCCGGCAGGGAAACAAGGACACGCTGGAAAACAAGGTCACGTTCCGCGAGTCGTTCGCCGAGATGATGGACTCCATCTCGAAGCCGTTCCCGGAGTGCATCAAGTACCTCACGGACAACATTCAGCTGGACCCTTACTTCACGCAGTTTCTCGAGTATGCCCGCGCCAACAACATCCCCGTCGTGGTGCTGTCCTCGGGCATGGCTCCTATCATCGAGGCGCTGCTGAAGAAGCTTGTCGGCGAGGATCTGAGCCGCGACATCGCTATCGTGGCCAACGACGTCAAAGCCCGGCCCGGTAAGACGCTCGACGACGAGGGCGGCTGGCAGATTGTCTTCCATGACGACAGCGGCTTTGGGCACGATAAATCTCTCACCATCCGCCCGTACGCCAGTCTGCCGGCCGACAAGAGGCCCACCATGTTCTACGCCGGCGACGGCGTCAGCGACCTGAGCGCCGCGCGGGAGACGGACCTGCTGTTTGCCAAGAAGGGCAAGGACCTGGTCACGTATTGTGTGCGGGAGGACGTACCTTTTACCCTGTTCGAAGACTGGAGCAGCATCACCGCAAAGGTCAAGGACATTGTGTACGTTTCCGCTTCTACGCTTTGACGTTTTCCGTTTCGGTGACATTTGGACTGACGGCTATCTGCAGCGAAGGAAAAACAACAGTGAAGGAAGCGGCTGCGGAGGGATATAGTCTTTACAAGCAGAGCTTGAAGACTGCGTAGATTACACCCCGTGTCCCCCCGGTCACGCAAGCGCCGCATTCCGCACACCGCCGCATCACGTTCGCATCATTACATAGACGGCGCCTGCCTCGTCTTCTTCCTTTCTTTACTTTTTCTCTCTATAGACGATCATTCCGCAAACGGCGAGCTTGGTAGCACGCGCTAGACGGTAGATAGTAGACGACCAGATAGACAAATGCCATGGCCATTAGAATGCCTCTTTTCAGCCCGGAAGTTCCGCGATTTCGTAGCTCATCGGCTCGTGAATCGGTTTGCGGCGCACCGCGCTCTGTCCCGAAAGCTCCCAGCCAGCGCGGTGATCGCCCAGCTCGTTTTGCATCGATGGTGTTGAGTCGACCTCGTATGGGGCGCGTTGAAGCTCTTCGTCCGCGGGAGGAGGCCAATTGCCCTTTGCGAGGTCAATCTCTGCCTGCTTCACGTATTCTTTCAGACGATCGGCCAGCTCTGCCCTCAGCTTCTCCTTGCGCGCCGGCTCCTCTGCAGAGGCGACTACGGCGCTCGGCGTTCCGTCCTCGCGGAGGCGGAACGACGACGTGAATTTGCGCGTCGCATAGGCGCTTTCGGTGAGCTTGAAGCCCCACAGGTTGCGAAAGCTGAGTTTGCGAAATTTGATGACGAAGCACTCATAGTAGGCGATGCGGTCGTGCGTCTGTGAAAGCCGCAGTAAATACTCGGAGTGCCGTATCTTCCACTCGACGGCGTACGTGTTCAACGCGTACCGGATCGCCTCGACGAGCCACTCGATCGAGTTCTTTGTCACGTATACTAGCTTCTTCGAGCTTCCGAACGACGTAGACGGTATGGACGTTGTGCTGATCGGCGTTCGCGGCCGGCTGAGCTCGAAGAGCAGTCTGATCGAGCTCTTCACTTGGAAGAATGGATCCTGAGGCAGTGGCCAGGACTTTTGCGCCACCAGGGGCTGGATGAGAAAGCCCTCAGCGATGGAAACGTTCTGCTGCATCCGTCGCGGCACGTACTCACTTTTCTGATGCCGGCTCAGATCTTGCAACGTGGACGTTACGATGGTGAACTTGTGTGTACTGGCCAAGTTGGACAGGATGGTGCTGGCGTCTCGATTCGAGTTTGTGAAGGCGTTTGTGAGGATTATAAGGCCGCTGGTGTGCAAGTTGAGCTCGTGTACGTCCTCGAGCATGTGGAGTGTGGCGGCCTTGTCTTGCGGAATCTTCCTCGAGGTAGCGTAATACGCGACGGCCCATGCCAGCGCCGCGTTGACGACTTGGCTCGACATTATGCACGTCTCGCCGAGCCATCTCGCCGCGGCAATGTCGCCATCATCGAAGACCAGCTGCGACACATTCGGCCCGGATAGCACAGACTCAAACGCCTCACGCGCCTTGATAAAGTCACCAGATAGGCTGTGGCAGACACCGAGCAGATGCCTGAGGATGCGCTCATCAGGCTGCTGCGGGAAGCCGCACACATCGACGATCTCGCCGCGCTCGACGCACGCGATCTGGGCCTCGATGTTGTCTCGCGCCTGCCGCCACTCGCGCCGATTCCAGTGGTAGCTGATGCGCTGGGCGTTCCATAAAATGTTGCTCTCTGGAGGCTCTGGTTCTATGGGCGACGGCGGCTCGTCCATATTGATCGTGGACGCATGGTTCAGCACGTCCGTCGACACGACCGGCCGCAGGGACGGTGGTGACACTGATGGTTGACGCCTTATTTCGGCCGCTAGTATGGGAGGTGACGCAGAACGGGCCATTTGCGGGGCCCCGCTCATTGACTGTGCGCGAGAGTACTCCGGAGGGCTGCTCATCGATGACGGACGTAGGTGACCAGGAAGCGTTCCGACGGAGACTGAGTGGACAAGCGTCGGGGCCGTGCTGGTCACGATCACGGGCGTCTTTGGTGGACGAGGTGGTGGCACCTGGGGCAGCTGCAAGGTGGCAGACTCGACGGGCATCTTTTCATCCGTAAGCACGCCGGCATTGATCGCGCGTAGAATCCAGTCAATGATGTAGTCCTTGTGACTAGCTATGACACTGTGCGCGACGCCCAAGTCACCAAGGTCGCGGGTGATCTGCGCCCAGCCAGCGTCGTCATCCGGGTCGAGAGCGGTGGTACTCAGGGACGTGGCCGTCATGGTTTCGTGTCGTCCATTCGAGACTTCCCTTGCGAGGACCTGCAGTGCGCGGTCGATCTGCGCCGTGGGCGACTCTCGTAGCCTGTTGCATAACGACTCAAGCTGCAATGGAAGTTGGCCAAGACGCTGCCGCAGGCTGATCTCGTCGGCTTGACCCCAGCTCATTCGATCCCAGGTTCGTTGCGCCTGGAGTGGCAGGCTGTTGAACTTGTCGACTAGGTCCGCAAGCTCATGGAGAGCGCTTTCGCAGGTAACAATGATACCGTTTAGGTCGTCGTTGATCGTAATGTCCGCAGGACTTTGAGCAAGCGTATCGTCGACGTCTTGCAGGCCGTTCTGCACGGCCCGAACATGATTTGTAAACGTCTTGTACTCGCCTGTGTACCTAACATCTTAGCGGCTCCGAAACACCTCACCGGAGAAGTATGCATGCAGCACTTTGGCGCACCTTCGCAATTGCGACCTACAACGGCCGGTCAGCCTAGAAGCCTTTTGATTAGGGAATGGCTCCTTCGAGCGCTTCCAATATGTACGTACATTTCGCGTAGACCGCCCTAGCCAGCCTCTCCACGTCTCGAATCTTGTCCGCATCCATGGCGCGGAGTAGGGGCAGCACCGGTCACGATTCAAACATACTCCTGTATCGCGTCGCGTCTTCGTACGTGGACTAGTCGTGCGCGTATATGCGTGATGATGTGCAGTATAGTTGTCGCTTGTCCACAGGAGGTCAGGCTGAAGCTCCCACGACGACCGCCCCCAGGGCAGAACGTCGATTTTAAGCTTCTGCCGTGCCATAAGCCTCAAAACCTGTGTCGATCGTCGTTCGCTGATTCTCCAAGCCACGGACTTAAGCCCTCTGCTGGACACTGCCCCCGCGCGGGGGCGCATTTGGCTGCGGGGGATGTCGGCTTACCAAGAATAGATCCCATCCGCACTAACTAGGCGTAATTGGCTGGCAGGGTGGGTCGGGTGCGTCGGCTAAGGTGCCAAAGTTTCCAGGCCATGTTCTTGCTGCCGCTTGGTTGACGTTTTGTGGGAAAGGTACCAATACACCGCGTGAAGATGGTGGAGGGGGAAGGGGGGGTTCCCATTCTGCCGCTGCTTGCATGTATACGAATGCACCGTTTGGCTGTGACAATGGTGTTTGTCATGACATGTAGCTCAGCAACCAATCCACCGGGGTTGTTCGTACATTTATGCATTGATCTGCTATACGAGGAGATCTCGGAATTTCATCTAGGCCTTGACACCGAAACTGTATTCCGTGGCATGTACAATTAATCGGAAAATATATTGAAAAAAAAATTTCGCGCGTCAAGTCAGACATCCACTTGAAGGCTCATGAGTCAGTAGAGGCCCAAAATTTGAAAAAATGTCTAGCCAAGGTCTATGTATGCAGTGTATGCGGTGAATGCTCTTTTTGTCTCGCTGATCCCACTGGGCGAGAAATTGTCATCACGTGCGTGAAATTCATTCCACTTCAGCCATCCGAGCCAGCGATGGCACCATCCACTTCTATAGGCCGCTCTGAGTTCGGCGTCGTCTCGCCCTCTGGCGGCTTTCCCCTTCGCTCCCAGTCTCGTCCTAGCCGCTCCTCGTCATCTTCGACGAGCTCATACGCGGGGCGAAACTCAACATGGGGCGTACCCGTACCGGATACTGATCGGCGACGCAGAGCAGGGTTGCGGTGCGTATCTGTAGTCCCGCCAAGCGACGTGTAGCCCATATCATACAGCGGGCAATACGGAATGTTAAGGCGTCGAATGAACTATGTAGTCGGGTATCACATCAGCCTTCAATTCATTTCTCCAACGCAGTTGTCGCACTCTGAGAAGGAAGGGTTGGGACATAGGAGATGGGAATTGCAGACGTACCGTCCAGACATCCACGTAATGCCAGTCAATGACGGGATGAACCCTCATAAAGGCCGGCCAGCCGTGGTCGGTAGGGTCGAAATGTGTCAGATTCGCACCGTGCGGGTCGGTCCTTCGCGTGCCCACGAAGATGGCTTTCACGGAGGGATAGTCGCGAAGATAGTCCGTGAAGGCGTCCTTCATACCCTTGGCGTAACGTACCAGCTGCAGCGAGCACGTCTTCGAAGAAGAGGCCACGAAATCCTCGACCTCCTGGAAGGGATGCTTGGAAACTATGTACACGCTCTGGATAGCGTGAGAGGTATTACGGGAGGATGTGAGGGAGGGGTGATCGTGCAGAGCGCATAGGTAGAGGATGAGTAGGACGAGGCAGTCCTTGCCGCCATTGTATGATAGGGAAAGCTCGGGGAGCCTGGAGGGTAGCCATTGTTAGTTCGGTTCGCACAGAGAATCAAAAGATAGACACAGTCATGGTGGCACCATGAGCGGGATGCGAGCTTGGTGGGGGCGGGGAGGGCGTGGTTCCTACGTATATCTCTTCAGGGCTTCCGCTATGACGCCGAGCGAGATCCGCGTCTGCTGCTGCACGTTGCGCACACGCTCGGAGGGCGCATCTTGGGCGAGAAACAGAGACACGCGTTCGTGTATGGAGCGACACAGGTCAAGCAGCGGCACTGGGTGCGAGGGTAGCAGGGGTGTGGTGGCGATGGGCAGCGCGTCGACGTCCACGCCGTTGGCCTGAGTATTGACGGCAGCCCGCTGGTCGGAGGATTGCATTGCAGGAAAGCGAGTGGTTCAGACATGAGCAAGAGGTAGAAGGAGACGATAAGAGCGGCGAGAGCAGCGTAGGAGGCAGCACGCGGAAGATTACGAGGGGCGCGACATCGTATGGTTTGGTGTATTGGATGCCGGGAGAAAGGATAGGTGAGACTGTCGGCTCGAGGGAGGAGAGTACTTGCGGCGGTGAATATTTTCCTGCCGCGCACACTGACTCCGGGCTCACGTCGTGATCGTCAGGGGAAGATCGCTGGACAGGGAAGACTCATACGGGCGGGGAGGACGAGGAGCGGTGACGGAGTCGGCGTCGAGGTGCTCGAAAGTAGACGGACTGGAAGTAGATGGAATCGCCGCGGCCTTGGGCAGGTTTTACCTTGGGCCTTTTTCGTCCCGCACCCGCGCCTCGCTCGCGGTCTTCCCGCGGCCACCCCGCCAGTCTTGGGCGTCCCCTCCCCGAACATCACTGACCCAGTAGCCGAGATCTCAGCCCGTTTGCCGCTCGCGGTCACGGTCACCGAGCCGCAAACAACAAACCGCACTCGACTCTCGTCAGCACCAAGCCTGCGCCAGCTATGCGGACCAAGTCCAAGCTTTGTCTCTCGCTGCGAGCCAACCCGGCCCTTTCGGCCAATACTCCGAAGCTCGTTTGTAACCCCATTTTCTCTCTTTGTTTCGCTCCGCTCATGAGTTTCTTTTGCTCTTCCGACGTACATGACGCGATCCCAAGCCACCGAAAGGTGCACCTGCCATGAACGCCGATATCGGCCTTCCCGCGAAGCTCTGCGCCACACGCAAACGAATCAGCGTTTGCCGATTGGCCGAAGCTGTGGCTGTGCATCGCAAACCTGCGCTGGAGCTTCCACCACAAACCAGGCACAAGCAACCCACAAGCAAGGCGCTGATGTCGTCCTCGTTCTCGCTGTCTTGCGTTATCACATTGTCGCAATGACGGGTTGTCGTTCCTAGAGGCACGACCTCTGTGGAGGAACACCGGCCCAGACGCGCACTCCTGTCCGCGCCGTGTATCGGTTGAATAATCACCTGGCAAACGATGAGGGTCCAGGCGCGGAGCACGCCATTGCGCCATCGACAAGGCCGACTGACAATGAAAAACATCTACGCCGCCATTGGACCATAGCACTTTTTTCTCCAGAAGAAATCAATTATTCCGTACCTCTGCTCTCGAGGGCTTCGATTCTTTTCTCTTTTCTCTCCTTCTCTGTCTCGCGGCTTCTCTTTTTTCCTTTCTGGTTTTGCTTGCCTTTTCTCGTCCCCAAATCTCTGGAGGGGGAAGAACCGAAGGGGAAAAGGAAGTATACCAAGAGAGAGAAAGAAAAGTATTAGTTATGGCCACAATCTCTGCCGCTGGCGATGCCGGTATGTCATCGTTCACCTGAGCCGTCTTGCCTCCCTTTCTTCTGTGTCTACCTGTACGAAATAGCTGACCATCTGCTGAACTCAGTCGCCCGCATCGCCTATCTCGCAAGCGATGTTGTAGTGTCCGTCCAGCAGTCACTGGCTTCGGACTCGGAATTCTCACCCTCCTTGAAGGCATTGGCTGCCAACAAGACCCCTGGCTTGGTTGCAAAGGGATTGCCTGAGGTACGTGCCTTATTGCGTCCCTCGTTCCGCGCGGCAGTCAGTCGGAGTGATGCATTTGATACTAATCATCCACGCAATCCAGGTCCTCTCGGTGCGAGCTAACACCGACCCTCTCCTCTCGGCTTTGGACTCTTTGCGGGCTGGTAAAGTCACCTCTGTCACGGCATCTTCGTCAGTCCTCCTCCAGTCCATACCCCATCTCTATAAACTGGCTCAGTACCCAGTTGTCCTGCACGTGGCTTTGCACCCGGCCGGCTTCCCCGACTATTTCGACGTTGCCTCCGTTCGACAGACAGGATTTACATTCCTTCATTCCGAATCGTTGCAGGAGGTCCAGGATCTTGCTGTGACTGCTCATGCACTGGCCGTTAAGTCGGGTAAGGGTGTCTTGCACTTCTTCGACGCCGCTGCTGTCGAGCGGAACGAAGCGATCCCCGTAGAGAGCAGGGAGCTTGTGCGAGCGCTGCTGGATGCCGATTCTGTGCGCCGCTTCCAAGAAGCGCCATCGGGTCCATCAACCATCTATGCCGACGACGGTAAGAAAGCGTCATTGAAGGTCGTTTCCAGTGCATCAAGATCCACAAGTGGTCCGTCAAACGGCACCTCAAATGGTCTCAATGGTGCTGGCGAGGGTGCTTTAACGCAGGATGCCACGTCAAAGGATTCTTCAGTCGAATCATCGAGGAGGGGAAGCAGCACGGAGAGCGCACTTGCTTCGTCGGTCACTTCAGTCGAGTCTCTCGTCAGCAAACCTGTCACCACGGACGACATTGTTAGCTTCCTGTCACATATATGGCTCACTCTTGCCGAGGCCACTGGACGTAACTACCAGCCCTTTGAGTACACTGGCGACGCCAAGGCCAAATCTGCAATCTTCGTGTTCGGCAGCTCGAGCGGCTTGATCGCGCAAACAATTGCCAGTGCAGGGCCTTCTGACCTGTACGCAGGAGCTGCTGTGCTGCGGGCCAGAGTGTATAGACCATGGTTGGGCGCCTCACTCGCCTCCATGCTGCCAGCCTCGATTAAGAAGATCGCCGTGCTGGAGCAGATCAAAAGGCGTACCACTAAATGGGGTCCTATACTGCTTGACGTGCTTATGTCTCTCAAGGACTCGGGTCGGAGCGTTATTGGCTTCCAGCTCGGATATGTGGATGCATCCACGGTCAGGCAGGCGCTCCGTGATGTTTATCAGAACCTTGAGAGTGGCTCACCCGCACAGAATATCCACATTGGCTCGACTGAAGGACCAGAGGAGAGGGTCGAACTGAAGCAGCCAGCCATTGAAAATGCGTATATGAAGGTTTTGAGGCAGCTTTTTGGCGAGAAGCTGTTCATTGCCAACGACGCATCCGCAAACTCAGCTAGCGGACTTCCAACCCAGACCAGAACCACGCCTGAGTTCGGCCTCGGTGCTCTCTTCGCACGACAGGAGCGCCGCGCAGGATTTGTTAAAGAAGTCCAGCAGGCGACTAAAAATTCGAGTTTTGAGACCAGTGCTTCCAAGGACTTGCTATCGCGATGGCTACTCGTTGCTGAGCAGGGTCGCAAGGCGAATGAACTCGCTCCAGAAGTCATCGCAAGGCTGACAGCGGACGGATCGCCAGCGGCAAACTCCGTTCTCGAGCATAAAGAATTCTTGTACAAGGAGTCACAGTGGCTAATTGGCTCAGATGCATGGGCCTATGATTTGGGCAACTCGGCGGTTCATCATGCACTTGCGTCGGGCGCCAATGTTAACATGCTCGTCATTGACTCGCAACCGTACTCCGACCGTGCTTCAGCCGACGCGACGCGAAGGAAGAAGGACATTGGACTGTATGCCATGAACTTTGGCAATGCGTACGTCGCTTCTGTCGCCGTGTACAGTTCGTACACGCAGGTTTTGGCTGCCCTGCTTGAGGCGGAGCAATTCGAAGGCCCATCTGTTGTTCTGGCGTATTTGCCGTACTTCAGCGAAAACGACAGCCCGCTGACTGTGCTGCAAGAGACTAAGAAGGCCGTCGATGCCGGATATTGGCCACTGTACAGATGGGACCCCTCGGCGGAGGAGCGTGGCGATGAGAAGTTCAAACTAGAGTCAGAGCGTGTTAAGAAGGAGCTCGAAGAGTTCCTACGTCGCGACAACTACCTCACCCAGCTGACAAAGCGATACCCAGAGTTTGCCAGCAACTTGTCGGGCTCGTACGGCACCGAAGTTCGACAGCTGCAGAAGCGAAGGGCAAAGGATGCGTACGATCAGCTGCTCGAAGGTCTGCAAGGTGCACCGGTTACGATTCTTTTCGCATCTGACAATGGAAATGCTGAGAATGTCGCGAAGAGGTTGGGCAACAGGTCCAAGGCTAGAGGCTTGAAACCCCTCGTAATGGCTATGGATGACTATCCTCTGGAGGATCTTGGAACAGAGGAAAACATCGTCTTGATTACCTCGACAGCAGGCCAAGGCGAATTCCCACAGAATGGGCGAGCCTTCTGGGAAGGCGTCAAGAACTCTACGGACATCGACCTCGCAACCGTACATTTCGCTGTTTTTGGCCTCGGCGACAGCCACTACTGGCCCAGGAAGGAGGACAAGATCTACTACAACAAGCCTGCCAAAGACTTGCATGCCCGGCTACTGGCCCTCGGAGGCCAGCCACTCACGGACATTGGGCTTGGAGACGACCAAGACCCGGATACCTATCAGACTGGCTACTCCGAGTGGGAACCAAAGCTGTGGGAAGCACTAGGGGTTGCGAACGTTGAGGGATTGCCCGAGGAACCTCCACCACTGACTAATGAAGACATCAAGCTTGCTTCGAACTACCTACGCGGTACCATCGCCGAGGGCTTGCGTGACACGTCGACGGGCGCCATATCAGCGGCCGACCAGCAGCTTACCAAGTTTCACGGCACATACATGCAGGACGATCGTGATCTGCGCGACGAACGTAAGGCTCAGGGTCTTGAGCCTGCTTACAGTTTCATGATCCGTTGCCGTCTGCCTGGTGGTGTCGCAACGCCGCAGCAATGGGTGCAGATGGATGACATTAGCACACAACTTGGCAACCAAACGATGAAGCTCACCACGCGTCAGACTTTCCAATTCCACGGCGTAGTTAAGGGCAAGCTCCGTCCTGCTATGCAAGCGATCAATCGGGCTCTGATGACGACTATTGCTGCATGCGGCGACGTGAACCGCAATGTTATGTGCAGCAGCTTGCCAACCATGTCCAAATACCATGCGGAGGTACACCAGGTTGCCAAGAGAATATCAGATCATCTCCTCCCTTCGACAACGGCGTATCATGAGATCTGGCTAGCGGACGAGAATGACAAGAAGACACAGATTGCTGGTGACGCTGTCGTGGACCACGAGCCACTCTATGGACCAACCTATCTGCCGCGAAAGTTCAAGATCACAATCGCCATTCCTCCACACAATGATACTGACGTGTATGCTCATGACATTGGGCTTATCGCAATCAAGAAGCCGAATGGCCATCTTGAGGGCTTCAACATTCTTGCCGGCGGTGGCATGGGTGCTACCCACAACATGAAGAAGACATTCCCTCAGATCGGTCGCATGTTCGGATACGTCCCTGCGGAGGAGGCGCATATTGTTTGCGAAAAGATCATGTTGGTCCAGCGTGATCATGGTGACCGCAAGAACCGCAAGCACGCCAGGCTAAAGTATACCATTGACGATATGGGTCTCGACGTGTTCAAGGCCAAAGTGGAGGAGCTACTCGGCTGGAAGTTCATGGAGCCACGTCCTTTCAAGTTCGAGAGCAACATCGACACGTTTGGCTGGCAGAAGGACGAGAACGGCATGAACCACTTCACCATGTTCATCGAGAACGGGCGTGTTGAGGACACTGCCGATTTCCAGATGAAGACTGGGCTGCGCGAGATTGCCAAGGCGCACAAGGGTGAATTCAGACTCACAGGCAACCAGCACCTGATTCTGTCGAACGTGTCGGACGCAGAGCTGCCTAAGATGAAGGCGCTGCTCGCTAAGTACAAGCTCGACAACACCAACTTTTCAGGCCTGCGTCTCTCTTCATCGGCTTGCGTCGCGTTCCCAACATGTGGCCTCGCAATGGCGGAGTCGGAGCGCTATCTCCCAGAATTGATCACCAAGCTCGAGTCAACGCTGGAAGAGGCTGGCTTGCGCCAAGACAGCATCGTCATGCGAATGACAGGTTGCCCGAACGGCTGTGCACGTCCTTGGCTCGCTGAAGTTGCCTTCGTCGGAAAGGCGTACGGTGCATACAACATGTACCTCGGTGGCGGCTATCACGGCCAGCGTCTCAACAAGTTGTATAGGAGCAGCATCAAGGAAGACGAAATCTTGGAGATCATGAGGCCCATGATCAAGCGCTACGCGAAGGAGAGGCACGAGGGTGAGCACTTCGGCGACTGGACTATTCGCGCTGGCATCATCGTCGCGACGAAGTGGGGAACGGACTTCCATGACAATGTGAGTTTCTCCGTCCACATTCTAAAGGGTTATGGGCGCAAACTAACAGGAGATACTTGCAGACGGCAGAAGTGGAGTCAGACGAGGAATAGGCAATGGACTTTTTTGGGGGGCGCTTGCCAGTCGTGCGGGCCCCCCAGATCTTCTAGGACTGCGTGTGAGAATATTGCATATGCATGTGCGGCGTTCACGTCTTTTGGCAGGCGCTTTAGTCGGCAAATTTGGGTTGTTGTTAACGACATCTTCGCATCTAGAATCAAAAAGTTTGTTGTTATTGCAATCTTTCATTCAACTTGTCTACTTTCAGATTCCTCTCTGACCGTCTGGGCGTCTCACGCTGTCCGTCTGTTGTGTCCATTACTCCCTCCCAATGTAACGGAGTAACCGTCTTCTCAGAAACACGAGGGCACTGGCGCTCGTATCTATTAACGATTGCCGCGTGCAATTCGCCACGTCTTCCTTGCGAATCTTGAAGAAGAGCTGGGCTATCTTATCACACTGTGTGCTAATTATCCCTCCCTTACCGTCATCCTTCATTCCGTTCGGTCGATTATGGTGTGGCACTGACTCTCCTTCGAAATATTGGGGGGGAAAAGATATCCGCTTCGAAGACAGGATCATGATGACATGAGCCTGGCTCCGCTGCGTCCCTCACAACCGCCAGCTAGGTGGTTGCTCAAATGTCAAAGCGCACATCTGATATCTTCAGGCTTCTCCATGTGCTGGAAGGCCTAGAAGGTAACAAGCGAGACCGATCGCGCCAATGGGGTCAATGTCGAGATTATGATCAGAAGAACAATAGACAATGTACTGCAGCGAAGTTCGTAATCTCCTCCGGAACATAATTTTGGTCACGTACCTTGCCAATGTCAGTCGATTGCGTTGCATGGGAAGAGCGTGGAGGGAGAAAGGGAGGGGGAGAAAAATAAAAAGGCGACGGACGGCGGTGAACTACCTGGATATGCGCTTGGTCCTTGAGGTACGACAACCTAGAGACTAGACGGAGGACTTGGTTTACCAAGCAACAGACCAAAAAAAGACACTGTTCAAATTGCGCCTAGTTCCACCACGGGTGGAGCAGCACGTTCATAGTGATTCCTGTCTTGCCCAGAGCTTCGTCCATCTGCATGGCTTCCTCCATGGCTTCGTACAAGAGCTTCTTGCACCTGATCCTCAGCTTCGTCAGACCCTGCAGCGCCGCTCCCAGTCTTTGCACCTCACTCTTGAGCTGCTCGCCGAGGGGGAACATCTGGGCCACCAGAGCCTTCAAATCGTCGACGTCGGCCATGTTCAGGATCACGCTCTGCCATCTCCGTCGGTCTTCCTCCGTCGCGGAGTAGATCAGCTCGTTCTTGTGCCCGAGGAAGTAGTTCTGCTCTTCAAACGCGACGTTCTGGACGGCGAAGCTCACTTCAGCGCAGGCTTCGCGGAAGGCCGCCTCCAAGACCTCCTTCTCCTGGCAGGAGAGGTAGTTCCATTCCAGCGCCTGTCGGATACAGGCATGCACGTTCCGCAGCTCTTCGGGCAGCAGCTTCAGAGGCAGCAGGACCGGGTCGATGCTTTCGAAGAGCGCGGATCGGCGAGAGTAGATGTCCAGTTTGGCCCGGTGCAAGTCGCGCTCCGTCGCGGCGACCACTCTGTTGACTTGAATCAGGCGCATCGCAACGTCCTCGCCAATCTTAGGCGGCCTCGGCGTGTCGTCTGAATGCCTGGGCTGCGAATCACGGTCAGCCGAGAGTGAACGAGCGGTACAGAATTGGAGTGCCTTCTATGTTCTCGCGTACTATATGGACAATGGTAGACCCAGATATCGGCTTGCGTTGCGGCACCTTTGCTGGCGAACGTGCGGCCATGTTCGATCCAAGCTGTTCGACTTGGAACTTCGTTCGCGGCAACCATCAAAGTAAAGAAAAAGGAGGTGAAAAAAAAACCGTAGATACAGATGTCGCAAATGAGATGCCAAAAAGGCGTTCTGAAGGTCCTTCAACCTGTGGATGAAGTCGAATCCGCTGTTGCTATTCTATGCGCAAGTTTGTGTGACGCAGGTAGACGACAATACTACGTTGGAATGACGATGTACTACCATTCACTGTACACGCTTGACTGTCACGACATTGCCGTCTTCTACGCTTCATGCCTAGCGAAAATCCATAATATCCAAGAATTCATAGTCGATTGTGTCCTATGTTAGAAACTTCGTGCCTTGAGCGTCCAATCCAAAGCTGCCTCGCCGGTAGTCGAAAATAAACGCGGTCGAGATCCTGCACGCGTGTTCCCCACAACCACAACCTTTTGCGGATGAAGTTTCTCCATGTTTTGCGCTTTCAAGTGGCAATTCTTGGATTTTCTCGTCGGCGGTCACCACATTTATCTGGGAAACAGTCGTACTGGACACATCCCTGGGCCCCTCCCATGCGTGGAGCGGTAAGGCTCTCTATTTTGGGTAGTCCTTGACGTGATAGCTCTTCAACTTGACAAACTGGTCAAACCCAAACTTGCTCAGCGTCTGTCCCTTGCCGGAATCTTTCCATCCAATCCACGCCAGATCCGGACTTGGGTAGTCGCACCGATTAACGAAGACCGTGCCAGCCTCGATGTCCTCGGTGAGCTCTTGACCTTTGGCAACGTCTTTCGTCCACACGCTAGCCGTGAGACCAAACACGGAGTCGTTCATGAGTTTGACGGCTTCCTCGTCGCTCGAGACCTTCATGATTGGAATCACTGGGCCGAAGGTTTCCTCCGTCATAACCAGCATGTCGTGGTTCACATTCGTAAGCAGTGTCGGGGCAACATAATTGCCGTCCGGCGGCGGCTTCTTGAAGCTCTCGTTTTCCGGAGTCGCATCCTTCGCTCCCTTCTCGAGAGCGTCTTTGATATGCCCTCTTATCGTATCCGCGGAGCGTTTCGAGATGACCGGCCCAACGTGTGTCTTCGTATCCATCGGGTCGCCGAGAACGTAGCCCTTGAGCACTTCCTGGACTTCCTTCACGAACTCGTCGTGTACGCTGTCGGCCACATACACTCTCTCAATACTGCAACAGCTCTGGCCAGAGTTGAAGACGGCGCCGTCCACGATCTCGGCCGCGGCCCACTTCAGATCCACGTCCGCCCTCACATAGGCAGGGTCTTTCCCTCCCAGCTCAAGCCCTACGCGCACAGCGACACGATCGCTGGCCGCCTTCTGAACAGCTAAGCCTCCAGCCACAGAGCCAGTGAAGCAAATCAGCTGAATCTCTGGGTTCCGGATAAGCGCTTCCACCTGAGTGTAGCTGCCGGAGTGGAAGTACTGCAGCACGCCGGCCGGGAGGCCGGCCTCCTCGAATATCTTGGCCATGTGCTCCACGATCGTGGGCGTCTGTGGGCTCGGTTTCAGGATCACACTGTTGCCCGCCAAGATGGCGGGGACAAGCGAGTTCACGAGGATGAGATACGGATAGTTCCACGCAAACAGGATGAGCGTCGGTCCCACGGGCACCTTCTTGATCCATCGTTTGAACCCCTTCTCCTCTTCCCCCGGCGTATCTCTCAGCGCGTCCTCGCTGATCTTGAGAAGGTACTCGCCACGCTTCACCGCGGTGGCGATCTCCGAGCCAGTGTAGGAGATGGGTCGCCCCATCTGCTCGGTGAGCTCCTTCGCGAGTTCATCTTTCTTGTCGCCGAGAAGCTTGAGCGCCTTCTTGACAATGGCCTGTCGCTCCGCAAGCGAAGTCCGGCGAAAGGAGCTAAACGCTTTGGTGGCGGTTTGCGGCAGGTCCTTAAGATCTTGCTCGCTCAGACCACTTCGCTCCAATATGGGCTTGTTCGTCGATGGCGAGATTGTAGTGAGCTTTTCGACGGACATGGTGGTTTCTGTTGTTGATCTCAGCTTTTGGGTCCAGAGGCTGATGCTAACCAATGCTACTCGCTGCGGATCAATTTGTATATTTAACGAATATGACGTTTCTTTGCCGATGTCGGACAACGAAGGCCAAATGGATCGGACAATTTAGTCCGACAGAAATGATACGCAGTGTCAGCACCCACTGCTCGAGAACTTCACATTCCGTGAATATGCTTTTGCTAGGCAGCAAAATTATTGATATCTCAATTGCATTCATATCGCCAGCGCCGTTCACGCAGCAATGTTATGGGGTATCAAAATACAGTGTCAATGTCACTTCACTTTCCGAGTGAGGAGATCCGCCTAAGCGTCTGCCAAAATTCACTCCTTAGCCATGCCCAATATAGTCGACCAAAACGCCGCGAGCAATTGGCTTTCTTTGCTCTAAAATGAACCTCGACTCAGAAGTCGTCATCCTCATCTGTGCTGCCGCCTTTGCTCTTCATCCTTTGCAAACCCTGTGGCCGATGCTTCTTCTTCGGCGTATCTCCCATGTTCTTCGTTCTCTTAGCAGAAGGTGTTCCCATGGGGCCCACAGAGCCTCTTCTTTTTCTGCCTTTTCCAGTGCTGCCGGCGTTGCTGGCTGTTTCTCGATCTTCGTCAGGAGTCTCGTACCCAGCCGCTTGTTTAGCAAGCTCAGCTTCATCGTTCTCTTCGTCAGAAGCAATCTTGTGCTCTTGATCCACTGCAACAATTTCGGCAAAGCTTTTGCACTGCGCAATCATCGCTGAAGGATCATCTAGAGAAGACATGATGGATTCGATTTTCTCCAACAGCTCACTTCTGTAGAACGGCGTCTTCGTTGCAGGTTTGTTAAGATCCTTGGCCTGCGTTTTAAAACCGTTCTTATTCTGCTTCGCCAAACCCCAGAGTTGTCGTAGATGCGTGCGCGTTTCCCAGACCATTGACAGAATCATAGAAGCGACAGTCAGGTGTTTGAGGCGCTCAGCAGTAGGGAGGGGCACGGCGATAGGATTTTGCGGGTCTTGAATCGAAAACAATCCGGGATCAGCTCCGGTTGGTAAAGAAGTGTTTGCCCCATGGGCACCCTGCGGTAGTTGTACCTTCAAGATCTCAACCTCAATGGCGTGGGCCACGGTTGTACCGACGCCATGAACAACGAGCTTCTCGAGGCACGACACAAGGTGGAGCAGTTCGTCAATGCGCACATAATCGAAAAACCCGAGGTTCTCCAAAACGAACCGCGCAAAGAGTAAAGCAGTTGGAATCTCACCATCAAGTTCCAGCTTTGGCAGCTCGAAATCCATACGCTGAACAAGATTTCCAAGGAACCGCTTACGTACCTTCCCGCTTCCAATCTTTAAGACGTCAAAAAGCATGTGCAATTTCGGCTGCGTAGGCTGTAAAGTTACACCGCGAGGATCGTGAATGATATTGCGTTGATACTCGAACGTCTGTTGGACAGCGCGCATGTACTCTTTGTCGAAAACGTTCTCCTGACGTTGATGTTGGATTTTGTGTTCTGTGTATGCAATTTCCGCTATTGTTTTGTTTGTTGACGTTTCCAATACCACGAGGGTGATTCCGCACTCCTTGGGATGCACAAGGCCCTGACGGCTAATACTTGCAATGACCTGCGTAGCCGTCAAGGCAAGGTCATCAAGAGAAGAGCGAGCGACCCGAAGAATGTGTGGAAGGAATTTCTGAGCAATAGTCGTGGCTCCTGCATCGCCATCTCCGGAAATGAAGGATTGTTGCAGACGTTCATGGCCCTTGGCTGCGCCCTGACCAACCTTAGTCTCCGCGCCAGTCTCCGACTTCCTTTCTTCTTGTTTGAAGAACAACAAGAAGCCACTGAGTACGACCTGCATGAATCGTCGGTCTTCATTGCGGAACACGAGATCAAACGCAGTGCTGACGTCAGGTCGTTGGTAGTGTTGCGGCCATCCCTGGCAAACAGTAGCGATACTATCCAATGCGGATTCTCTCAGGGGCTCAGGATACTTCTGCCTCGTAAACGGGCAGAAGAGGTCGATGATCAAACCAGAAACAGATTTGCCCTTCCAGAAGGGAAGCACTGCTCTGAATAGCTCAGCGTGTTCGTCGACATTGCACTCACGACCGAAAAAGCCAACAATCGCCATGTAACGCCTAACATGGCTAAGTGCCTTCTCATTTGCTGGATCTTTAAAGTCCAGCTCCTTGCGTTGATTGACTTGCACAAGTGCCGACCGCATGAGGGCAACGATCTTCTCGTTCTTTACAATGCCGTGTAGTACCCAGAGACAGGCCGCCGCCTCGGCCAGCTCCTCTTTAGGTAGTTTCGAAATCGGAGCCATCAGCTTGGCCTGTATCTCGAGAAGAAGATCACGATCTGCCGCCGACAGCGTGGGAACGACATATCGCATTATCACAGCGCAGAATCGATATAACAGCAAATGTTCATTACTTGTTAGATTCTGCAGATAAGGCACCAAGAGCTTCAGCTGATTGCTGCTGAACATTTTCGGCTCTGCCTTGGCAAAGACCGTTAGGGCTTGTGCTAGGTGCTGCTGTGACGGGCGATCCGGTCGCTCTTCGTTGTCTATGATCTCATCAAATATAAGTCGCACCATGTCCTTGCAGACTTCAAGGTTTGCGCTGCGAGTTTTCGACTCTGGACTGAGTACATTGTGCAGAAGCGTATCCAGCACTTGCACGGCGTCTTCACCACGCTGAACCGTTTTGACGATGAGCACGACTTGAGCCTTCAGCTCCATCTCGCGTTGTACGGGATCTTTGCGTGCCGTTCGATAGAATGGTACCATCCAGAGTTCCTCAAAAGTTTGTTGCGCCATCTCCGCGACGTTTGGCTCGATATCGTGGATACGGGCCATCAGGGCCGCAGAAATATGGGCCTGAAGATTCTGATCTTTGGAGCGCAGATAGATATCCTTCAAGAGCTTCATCGCATGCTTGCGAACAGACTTGGATTCATCAGAGGCAAGCTGAATGATGCGCGAATACACGAACCCGTCAGCAAGCTTGGGTCGGAGCACTAGACACTTGTCAAGAAGCATCAACGCAGAATCGCGGACTTGTGGTGACGAATCCTGCATGCCTTTGACAATGCTGTGGAGAACTGATCTGTTTCTTTCCAAGATTGCGGGGTCCTTCTCAATAAGCTCAGTCACACTCTTAAGACTTCGGCTCTTGAGATTACTCTGGGGGCTCGTCATGAATTTTACGAGATTGTCCAGAATAGATGCTAGATGTTGGCCCGTTGGCGAAGCGATGGTGATGATAGACGCGGCAAGACGTGCCTGAGCTGGAGTGATGCTGGTCTCAACCGCATCGTAATTGTTTTGCAGCCACTCTGAGTCGAGAATCATGTTTCGAAGTTGCATAGGCAGGTCTGCTGCGACCTCTGGTCGATTTTCATCTTCCCGGTCCATGTACACGAGCGTAGTCTTGGCCCACTGTGTAAGATGGAGACCCCGTGCGCTTGGCGCCTGGGCATCACTCAATGACTGCGAATGGAGATACTCCATCATGACACGATACGGTCCACGGAACTTGTTGACCTGCTGCTCATCTCCGTTGTTCAAATAATCACTTGCAATTTTGGCCAGCGTGGCACCCAATGGTGAATCACTGCTTTCAGCGGTGTGACTTGCATGCTCAACGAACATCTGTAGATCGATGATACCGCTTCCAATCGTGCCTAAAATCTCAAGTGCCATATTTTTAGCCGGTCCAGAGGACTTGTCATCGCTCAAGATTCGGAAGAGCTTCGACAACAGCGCTCTAAGCAGCATTTCCGCGCCCGGCCACATGGGAAGCCCTAGCACACTGATGAAATCTTCAACAAAAATTTCAAGCAATTTTCTATACGGCTGGTCGCCAGACTTCGTTGTGTTTTGCGCTCGACTGACTAGGTACGAGATTAAGTAGGATGCGTCTGTCATGGCACTGGAGTACAGCGGTTCAGCTAGCTTGCGAAGGTCGTAGCTAGCAGCTTCAGTGTCGAGATCGTCGTCTACTTCCATGTCACCATGTTGCACTGCCATGACCGGTGAAGATTCCCGCACAGAATCATTGTCTTCCTCGGATGAATCCTCGGTTGATTTTGGCTGTGAGTCGACATGCTTTCTAATGCTCGTAGACCTCGTAGCACTAGTTTGAACGAGTCGCATCAGTAAAGCCGAGACCAGTTGAATTGACTTTCCTTCGTGAGCTTTGAATTGACGAGCGCTTTGTCGAGCCACAGGTACTTTCTCCAGCGAGGTGATGATGTCGTTGAAGACAATCTGTCGCTGTGCAGGGTAGCGATGGTAGATAGATGCAACAACGTGCATTGCTCTCGTTCTTAGCTTCTCGAAGCGGGCTATTCCAAGGGTGGAATCTTTGTCTGTGTACGCATTTTCGACGAAGATCAACTTCGTAGATATATCCTGAATTTTGGAGATAACCGCATCGACATCCACCTTGGCAACCAAGTCACTCAGAAGCCGTAGCGTTTGGCCATACATGTTGAACAACGAGCTGAGCGGCTTGCGATTAGCGGAATATATCTTGAACAGGCCTTCTTCATTGCCGGAGTTACGACATTCGACAACCGGAATGATGGCTCTATTCATGACAAGGTCCAGGCACTCGGCAATTGTTTGCAGGGAGTTTTCTGAGTAAAGTTCCTTATCCTCACGGCCGGCAGTTAGGATTCGAAGGAGGATTCGAGCTGCTTGAAGAGAGTTCTCGGTTAACCTAACACGTTGCAGCCACTCTTCAACGTCTTCTGATGAGGCTTCTGAGTCAATAGAAAGCGCTAAAGCCTCGATCAAGCTCAAAGTGCTTTCACATAACTTCTGCATCTTGACCAGGCTAGAAACAGGCGCTTTGTTGAAGCATGACGAATCGACAGCCTTGACAATGGCAGCTTCAAGTCGTTCTTGGATTTGACGAGTCAGGATGAGAGTATCCTCTTCGTTGTACGCGGTCTGTGCGAAGTAGAAGGATGTGTCGTATGCAACCTTGTTCCGCAGTTTTTCTTCCATGCTTCCAATCTCATACATCGTCCGCTCGAGCGCCTTCAATGATTCTTCAGATCGAGCACGTTGATCAATGCAAATATCCAGTCCCTCATCGTTGACTTCGCGCTTCCGCTTCTGACCCACGGCAGAGTCCTGCCTGACAGACGAAAAGTCCTGGTAGTCTGAACGTTGCATGGTTGGGGCGGGCGCAGAAATCACCACAGCAGGCGCTGGTGTCGGTGGTTGCGACATGGGTGGAGGAGTAGCACTTTGTCGGGTTGGTGTTGAGAATTGCGACGACGCGAGCGTGGAGAGCTGTGATGATGATGCGGGAATAGCGGAGACAACTTGGTTTTGCTGATAGGAAAAGTTGTTCTGTACTTGCGTTGAAAAAGGCTGAGGACGTTGAAGTTCTCTTGGATCAATCGTCAGAGGCATTTCAGGAGCAGGTGCCGAGAGAGTTGGCTTTGATGTGGTGTAAGGGAGCAAGCTGTGCGATTGACGGGGGGAGACTTCGATGCGATCCAAGACCATCTTGTTTTTCGGAGGTGCGACGACTGTTTCGCCCTGCGTGTCGCCACTGCGCTGAGGCGGCAAACGCGGCGCTGTCTTAATTTTGTCCTTAGTTTGGTTTACATGTCTCCTGGATGGTGAGTCTGGCAAGGTCGTGGCTGTGTTAGCTGAAGGTGAGGCTGTTGATTCCACTGGGTTTGAATAACGATACGGCACTTTCGCACTGTTTAGGACAGCACGAGCGAACGGACCCAGGTTTGAATGCCGCTCTTCCTGAGCTTGGATTTGTTGTTTGCTCGGTCGAGGCGGACCAGGATGGCTGGGAAGCTTGAAGTCGCTGCACATCGTGAGCGTCACCTTTGCATTTGTGATCTAACCACGTACTATGTCGTCAAATTTGTCCCTTTGAGTAGCTGGTTGACCTTTTGTAAGCACTGAACGTGAAGCTCCGAATTGCTTGCCGCCTCCCTGTCTAGGGATTCCAGCTGCGATCTAGCGAGCCGACGTTGCTCCTCGTTTGCGAAAAGGCTTGGCCTTGAAGACGACGCAGGTGTTGGTATTGTGAGCAAATCTGTACGAGAAATCGTTAGCTCTTTGTTTCCTGGCGGGCTCGAAACGTGACCAAAGACAACACTCGCGTGCGGTGAGGGGGAGTCGAGAATGCAATTCAGCGAATTGCAGGCCCCCGAACTTGGAAAGAACTCAAGCTGCATCGGTCGTCTTTGCGACGCAGCTGAGGAACAGTCCGAGTCAGTCGTGTGACTGGAAGAGAACATACCTGGGGTGACGGGGACAACGCTCGTCAGTGGTGTGAAAGGCAGAGCCTCCAGGACCGTGGGCGCGCGGTACTTGGAGCTGTACTGGGGCGTCTGGCTGTTGCTGTCGCTGCTGCTGCTCGTCGCGCCATGCGTGTGGTACTGAGGGGCAGTACTGTACTGCATCGAATGGCTGGGCTGCCTCCAGCCAGAACCACCGAACATGGGTGAATTCGCAAAGGGATTCATGGTGGGCGACGTCGTGATGCCGACAGCCGAAGGTCCAACATACGCGATCGTGTAGGAGATAAGGGTGTCAGCCGTGGGAGGACGCCATCGGAGGCGAAGTCGGCGCAGGACACGGGAGGACGAGGGTCGAGAAGGACAGTCTCAAGAATTGAACGGACGCCGCACGCGGTCGCTCATGAGGCCACCAACGAATCCAGCCAGTGGACGAATCACGCGGAGGCTGAGCGGATCGCTAGCGAGCGCGAGCCACAGAACGTGTGGCGGGTGCGACGTGCCTGGTCCCTCCCGTCAATTTTTCCTCGTGAAACTCGAGCCGGCAAAAGACTCATCTACAGAGCGCGACAACGGCACGGACGACTGCCTTCCGTCTTTGACTCCAAGTGCGAAGCGGAGAGCCTCTACTCACTTTTTGGATTGGCTCGAAGGTGCCGAGCAGGAGATGGCGGCGATAGGATCCCTTGTCTTCTGCACCGACTGCGGAAACCTGCTCGACAGCGCGCACGGCGACGACACTGTGGAGCTGGTTTGCGACGTTTGTGGCTGCAAGTGCAAAGGTACGTCGATAAACCACCGAAGCTGAGACCAAGTCAGCGTGTTTGTGGGAGCCGGGTAATGTTGTAGGTGCGCTTTGTTGTCGTCGGCGGTGCCGAGGAAGACATTGTGCAGGAGACCAGCACTGTGTCCGCAGCCATGCAGAGGATGACGGCTATCCAAGTGCTCTTCGTAGCCCGCAAACCGGAATCTTCTTCACCCTTTCCTCCTGCACCTGAGATGGTCCTCCCCTCGCCGTCTCTTTGCACCTGGTGTGACGTCGTCCTTGGTCAACTCCGTCTTAACCCGTTTGTCGCAGACACCTCGGCCAAGACGATCGTGACAGTCTCGAAGCCGACCTCTTTCCCCTCGAAGCTGCGCGACAAGCTGTCCGGAGACGTTCAAGCCGTCGGTGAATCTTCCAAGGATAACGAGCAAGAAGCCAGCGAGCCGTGCGAGAAATGTGGCGCCTACGAGGTCAGGTTCCACACTCTTCAAATCAGAAGCGCAGACGAAGGTAGCACGGTATTCTACACGTGCCACAAGTGCGGCCACAAGTACGTCATGACGTTGAGCCTGTCTTGCCAGATTGGGTATCATGCTGATGGTATATTGCTACAGATGGAACACGAACAATTGATCTACCAACGACGCCTTTTGGACATGCACGCTCCTCTAACTTTTATATCGTTATCTTCATGCCGATGCCTCGATCTGCTTCGCTGATTCCGGAACCAATGCGTATTCAGTCTCGCCGCTACGCTCATACTCGGCCATGTCCAGAGCCACAATGACGCTCTCCCTCACCACTTGCTCAGCGTCGTTCAGGAACTGTTTCAACACCTCCTCCACGCCTTCCTCCTCACCCAGGCTACCTAAAGCTTCCGCAGCCTCGTGCCGAACCATACTTGCTTCCTCTTTGTTGCTTAGCGTGGCGACAAGACTGGGTATCGACGCTGGATGTGACAGCTGTCCAAAGACGAATGCAATTTCGTGGCGGAAAAGCGCCGATGGGTCGGTGAAGCCTTTGGCGAGGGCTTGTATGGCCGGTATGGCTGTGGGAAGATCCGGAGGAGAGGAGAGGTCGCGCAGCGCAAACATAGCGCGGTACCGCTGGAACAAGGGCAGCTTGGTGTCGAGAAGCGTCTTTTCCAGCTCTGGAATGGACGGCCGTTCCGCATCCTGTGGCAAAGGAGGTGCCGGATCTATAGAAGCGAAGTCACTGCGGTATATTAGACTTCTTCCAACATTTTTAGCAATAAACAAGTGGCCGTCCTCTTGCGTACCTCTGCTTCAACTTCTCCGCTTTGCGTCTCTCAGCATCGTGCTCCCACTCCACCCTCTCAACCGCGATCTCGCACGTCTCTCTGACCACAACCTCCTCGTCCTCCCGATCCCTCAGTTCCTTGAGCAAGGGCAGGCTTCCCACGTCTCCAAGCGCGCCCAGTGCCTCTGCGGCTTCGTGTCTGCACATCGGATCCTCCTGCCGATCCTTCAGCACATTTGTCAAGTACGGCACGGCGGCCTCGTTGCGTGTCTGGCCGAGGCAGTACGCCAGCTCGTGCTTGAGCAACGCGGACGGGGATGAGAAGGCTGCGGCTATGGCTGCTATGGCCGGGAGCGTCTGTGCAGTCGGCGGATGGGCGGACGCGAGGTGCTTCAGGGAGAAGAGCGCACGGAATCGCTTTGCCAGCGGCGTGGACTCGGAGCACAGAGTGTCCCGGAGTGCGGCGACGGTGGCGTCTTCCTGGACGGCCATGGCTCTTCTCTGTCTTTTCGATTGCAAAGGATCCTGTGTCTGAAGGAAGTTATTCGACTGTCTGAAGGAGCGCTTGCGAAACTATCACGAGCCTGCACGTGCATGGGAATTTTTTTGGCGGAGGGGGCTCTTGGGCGCAGCTCCGATATCGGATGTGGCGCTTCCGCGTCCTGTCTTCCATCAACGAGGCTGAGGCTGCGTGTCTTAAATCACATAACGAGGAACAGGCTGGATGTACTTGGTCTCGATTGAGTGTGCTTGGAATCAAGCAGGACGTCCGCAGCCTAGACTGCTGAGCAATCTGCTTTGTCCTATCCGGCAAAGCCGTTCGTTCCAAATCGCCTTGAGGGTGCGAATGTTTAAAAGCAAAAGAAACAAGAGAGTTCACACCCCTGATGTCCAAGGCTGGGTTGAAATGTGAACAAAATACATGCATGTGGTGGAACGCGACAGGCTAGCTCCTGTACGTAGTTGTTGTCGTCCACTTTGTCATTAGACTTGCCGCCACAATCATCGCACTTCTGTTCTCTGTTTACGAAAAAACACTTGGCGTTTCTTATCCGCAGTCAACGACAACGTGACGCCCTGGCTATTCGGCATATCTGCGAATCTCGACGCCAAGGCATCCGACGACCACACCACAGAAACTAAAGGGCATTGCTCTGCAAGGTTATTGATTCCCCAACTCAGGTTCTGCCAGAGTACGCGTCTCTCGAAATAGGCAGTCTCAGCGAAGCGCTGCACTCTTGTGAATCTAACACATATTCTGCCGGCGAAGGAAATACTCCGCCACATCCTGACAAGATGCGTGCTAATGATGAAAGGTGGCTCAAATTGTACAGCCATTCAAGTCTTGGCTAGACGGACTCGCACCTTCATCCCATCTACCGTCTTGCTCGTGATGCGATGCGTCGAGTACATCTCGCTTTTGAGCCTGAGCGTCCCATCCTCGCCCAGCACGGGCTGGCCGTTCTCATCCAGCTGCAGCTCGCCCAGGCCGACCTTTTCGAACTCGTATCGTCTCGCTGCACACGCGATGATGACTCTTGCCTCGATGTTGGCCAGCTCCTGGCCAATGCAGTTTCTTGGGCCGCGCTCAAACGGCCGCCATGCTGACACCGGAATTGCGCTGCCTTCCTGCCGAGCCGCCGACGGCTCGTCGGCTTCCATCCATGTGTTTGTATTTCCCACCCAGCGTTCGGGGACCCATTTGCTGGCTGTGGGCCCGTAGACACTCTCGTCTCGCTGGATGATGTAGTGGCACAAGTACACAATACCGAAGAGGGGCAACTCGGCGCCCGTCTTAGGATCATGAACCATGAATGCCTCATCCTCGGGCACGATCCGTGCCGATCCCGCGGGCGGATAAAGTCGCAGCGTCTCTTTGATGATAGCGCTCGTGTACTGCAATTTTCTGACCGCGTCCTCGCCTCTCTCCATCAGCTGCCGCGCGACATCGTCTGGAGACGTTCCGCGCCCAAAAACCTCGTCCAGCTCCGCAAAAAGTTTCTCGCGGACACGGGGATGAATGGACAGGTTGTAGAACACCCACTGCAGCAGCGTGCTCGTCGTGTCGTGGCCCGCAAACAGGAAGGTCTTCACCTGGTCGGCGGTATATTGCAAGATCTCTGGTGTCAACTCTTCAACGTCCTGTAGGGCAAGCTGGACGACACTACGGCCGATTGACGTGCCTCCCCTGCTACGGGCCGCCTTAAGCTCTTCGAACTTCTGGGCGACGACCTTCTTGATTTCGGCGTCGGCGCGTTTGGCGACCATTTTCTGCTTCCACCGTACCCACGGCGCCGTCAAGTTAGCAGCAGCGCCACTCCGAGCCGCAAAAAGATCAATGAGCTTCGCATACTGGCTCACGATGGGGTGCTGTAGTTGGCGCTCACGCTGCGAATTGAAGTCCACATCCAACGCGACGGCACCGATGATATCGAACGTGAGCGTCGTGCACAAGTCGTCCAGCTCAAACACCTCACCTGTCTCGCAGCGCTCGTCCAGCCGATGAAGGAAACGCTTGGTGCGGTCCAAGATCGTGGGCAACAGCGTGATGAGATGGGCGGGCGCGAACCCGGGATTGAACCGCTTGCGCAGCGCTTTCCAGGACTCGCCCTCGTGCGTCAGCATAGACAGATCGCCAAGCACGGGCGCGAGCCGTTTGTTGGTGTACGACTTGGGCAGCGAGTACTTGAACTGCTTGGACGGCTTGGAGCATTCCTCGGCGACGCTGTGCGAGAAAACGACGGCCAGCGGCGTGCCCAGAGCAGGGCGCATGTCGAACAGCAAGTACGGAGCATCCGGCGCATACTTGTTCCGCAGAATCTGCCAGGAATAGTCTAAAAGGTGGTCGAGACGTTAACTTGCGCCGTCTCTCACATCACCTGTGTTTGAGCGACACTCACCGCTATGCGCTCCCTTGGGCAGGGACGGCAGCGTCTCACCGATCCACTTGAGGTGGCCCCAAAACCAGTGCGGCTCAAGCCGCAAGTAAGACTTGAACTGCTCGACGCGGTACCATATCAGCAGTCGGTAGAGGTACACGCAGCCCGATGCGAGCACAGCGAGTGCTGCAACCGAAGTCCCAGACGGGTAGTACATGTTCGTCGCCAGCGCATACGCGTCAGCGCATCCAGCACGGCCACAAGACGTCGCAATCTGCCTAAAAACGGCGTATACAACCCCGGGGACACGGAGAGAATTGGACCAAATCCGAATCGGCCGATCTTGAGATCGGATCTGCGTCGCTCTCCAGACGCACAAGCAACGCCTCTCGACGCAACGCGTCTTGCGAGCCAAGAAAATCGCAGACGGAGAGTCGGACCAACGGACGAGAGAGCGCAGTCCTGTCGAAGAATCGCCTGGGGGATGACGAGCTTAAGTCTCGCACAGCGTGCTTGTTGCCGTATGTCATGAAAGCGACGGCGTTGGCGCAAAGGCCCAATCACAGGGGGCTCTTTGCGCATCTCAGATCTCATGGCAACACTAGCGTCTTTCAGCTGTCGTGCCCAGCATGCAGGCTGTCGTAATCAAGCTACGACTGCCGTGGTCCTTACCTTTCTACTTGTGACATTCGGATTATGGTCTCTAGTGTTACCTTTTTGGCGACTGGATCAGATGCCTCCGCACAATAGCTGCGTCGTACTCCCCCAATGCGGCCAGCATTATCAATCCATGCTGCGAAGTCGTTGAAGCAGAAAGATCTAAATTGCAAAGGAACCTCGGAAAGGCTTCCCGCCAGCGTCAAAAGGCGCAAAGTAGCCCAAAAAAATATACAGTTCCCGTTCTCATATTCAACACCTAATTCTTTGTATGTCCTGACCTCTCGTTCATCGCGAAATACAGCTCATACATACATGAGACCGTATGGAAAAAGCAACAAAGTAAGAGCAAGCAACGCGCTCAGCGAGAGAATTCCGAATGTCGGCAGACTCATGCGACAAGCACTCGTATCAAATGTGCCCCTTTGTCCCAGTAGTGATTCTCCCTCCCCCCTAAGCGGAAACAACTTCTATAATTCATGTACACGATATAGGAAAAGGAGAAGGTGTCAAAATTTTCACTTTCGACAGAAAATCCCATATACCCCATGAAAACGCCAGATTATGTTTTGTCATACACCACCGACTTATGGAGAAGACCGTGGAAGGGAATGATGTCGAAACTCACCAGCCAGTGCATAGTCCCTGCCAGATGCCCTATGATATACATGATGGACACAAGGATGAAGACGACGCGTGTGATGACTTGCATCGAGCTCCCCGCATAGACCACGACGCAGATCAGCCCATATTAAAAACCACGGCAGACTTCGCCTAAGACAGGCGTTCTAAAAATATATAGAAGATCTTGTTGGATGGAAAGGGAAGAGAGGGATAGAAGCGTGCGCGAGATCGAGAAAAAGAAGTGAATGTCCAGATTTAGGACTGCTCCTTTTCGTACCCGGCAGGCTTGTGCATGTCATTGAGATCGAAGAAGCGGGTCAGGCCTGTTGAAGATTCATGTCGTCAGTCGAACCGTTTGCTCTTTTCTACCTGCATGATAGGCCGGGGAATGAGACTTACAAGAGTAACCCTGCCAATCAAAGTTATCCTTCGGGTTGCAGTGGCATTTGTGGTCCATGCGATATTGCTCTCCTGTCGGGCAGTGTGTGAACGGGACGTGGTAGTAGGCGATGTCGTTGAAGAAGTGAATTTCCTCCTTTGGCAGCATGAGCGCGGCAGCAATTGAGTGCACGGGCGCGTCGCCCCAGCGTTCGTAGAAAAAGCCGCCGTCCTTGTCGAGACGCTCAAAGTAGTCGAGGTAGGCCTTGGAGCGCAGCCAGTCGAGATTGCCAATTTCGAAGTTGGACCAGAAGTGGCAGTGGTTGTACGTCGCGCCACCGTCATCGGACAGGAAGGCCATGGAATTGCCCTTAGCAATGTGCTCTGGGTGTTCTTTCATGAAGGTCTTGACGCTGTTCCACAGCGTAGGGATCGTCTCGACGTACTCGTATAGCGAGAGCACAAACGAGTATTTCTTGCCGTTGTCGGCCATGAACTTGAACGTGTCGTAGTTGATGTCGCAGAACAGCTCGATGGATGGCTCGACGCGCCAGTACCACTCGTAGTCAAGCATGAGCGGGTGATGGAAGAAGAAGCCAGACTCGTAGCGGCACATATGGCGATAGGAGACGGAGTCGCCGTAGATGACCTTCTTCTCGCGCATCTCCTCGCGCACCTTGGCCGCCTTGTCGACGTCGATCCACTCGGGGAAGGACCAGTGCTCCTTGGGGATCTTGCCGTACTTGGTCTTGCCAGAAGTCAGGGCGGACGTGACCTTCTTGAATGTGTCGTCAAACTCAGCATCGTTGAGGAAGACCCAGTCGTAGTTGAACTTGCGGTTGAAGCGATCCTCGACTTGGCGGATGGAGCGCGCGATCTCCCAGACATCGCTGTTGCGGGCGAGGGTGACAAAGGTGGCATTCATGCGCTTGCCAGGGGCGGTTCCGACGAGTGTGTCAACAGGTTTCGGAGTGGTACCCTTGTCCAGGCTGTCGCCAGAGGATTTCTCAGGGGCGAAGCCCGCATTGGAACCACCCGTGCTAGGTGTGAGGCTGCCCAAACCGGGCGTGGGTGAGGACGAGGTGATAAAGTACAGGACGGCTATGCACTACAAATCCGAATCAGTTTGGAGATGCCGGCCGAGTGTGCTTCAATGGAGCCAAAGCTGGCGGTGACGTACAAATAGCGCAAAGCCGATGTAGCGCACATAGCGCTGTGAGCCTGCCATTCTCCTGCGACTCGGGGATGAGAAGCGGCCACCCTTCTCAGCTCCAAACGCTCCCTTGAAAGAATCCAGCTTGGGCCAAAGATGCGGAAGTTCAATCGATGGCTTTGCGCAGTCAACACTGGCGTCGAATGAATCGTAAATAGGAAGAAGGAGCGACGAGAAGGGAAGACGGCTGAGGGCGAAAAAGCGACTTGGGAGTCAAGTAAGAAGCTGTTCTCTTATGGGTTCAAGTGCAGAGGGTGTGAAAGGAGGGAGGTGGAGATCGACTGCACGATTAGGACAGGTGGAACGCGCCGTGGTGTGTGCCTTATTAGAATAGGGAGAACACCAAGGAGAAGGATGAGAGAACAAGGACGAACAGGAGCGCGCTCTGCAGTCTCGATGAGGGTATGTACCGAGCCGCACAAAGGGAAGAGGGAAGAGAGAAGAGTGCGCAGAGAATCGAACGCAGATGGAAAAGAAAGTGGGAAAGGGGAGACAATAAAAGGTGATGAAGAGCACACGTAGTTGCGTGTAGCATACGCAAGCCGGCCAGAGAGGAGTTCGCAGGGGACTTTCTATGCGCACGCCCACTGGCCAGCTGGCGGGCGGCGAGAGCCAAGGAGCGGATGCGGCTTGCGTCAACGGGCTTAGTGCGACTTCCGCTGGTGCATGAGCCGAAAAGGGGAGGGCGCCGGAAGGGGGGGGACGGCGTTGGTCTAGAGGGTGGCCTGGTGGGGGGGGGGCCCTAAGCCAGCGAGCAACGCAGGCGGCCCAGGAGAACCCAGCGGGGCCCGAATAGAGCCGGACAGAGCCTGGACACGGCAGCGGGCGCCCCCGGCGTGCATGGCCGGGCACAAGCAGCAGTCAGCTCGTGCGGCCTGCTGGGAAGAACACAGCCCGGAAAACCCGAGCGGACCCCCTCTACATCCCGCCTGGCTGCGGCGGAGATTGCCCGCTGCTGGGGGCGGGCTGCCCCCCACTCCCGCCGAGCGAGACCTCCCACCAGCTCCCTTCAGAACATCAAAACTTCCCCCCAAGTATCAGACCCACGTTGAATCCAAATATCGTCACCGTCCTCACCACCGCCATCGCCCCCAGCGACAGCGACAACAGGAACCGCAACAACAAAAGTCACCCACACCGTTCTACCAAGTATTTTTCATCTTTTTTGGCATCGTCCCTCCTCTTCTCCTTTCGCGCATGCTTCTCGTCCCCGTCGGACCCGGTCCTTTGTGGCCTCGCTCTCGTGTCACTTTCTAATCGTTCTTTGACCTGCTCTGCACTCAAAAGCCGTCGCGAGCGCATCCAGCGTTCCAACTGCATTCCTCTCATCTCTTTTCGGTTCCAGTTCCCAATTGCTCCCTGCATACACTTCCAAATAGTCTAGCACACAAAGCTTTTGGTTAGCTTCCTCTGCCGTCATGTCCTTCTTTGGCTTCGACACCACCCTGCCGAGGGACAAGGCCCATCAAACATCTGGACTCGGCTTCAGCGCGCCGCAGGATGCCTTTGCGGGTCTATCCGGCAACCCGGACGACGAAGAGGCGTGAGTAACCACGCGTCCACGTAGCTGACGGTGACAGCCCAGCGGTTCTGAAAATGGGTTGCTAATTCGAAATTATGACCACAGCTTCGACTTCGAAGAGACATACGACGGCCTCGCCTCGCAGCTTGATGAGGACAACGATGCCTTCAACGACGACACCTTCGGCAGCGGGCCTGCGACCCAGACAAGCATAGGCAAGGATTTCGACTTCTCGGGTCAGACCGACAGCGTCGCACGCGCCATCGAAGAGGAGCGCATGCGCTTCGCTGCCCAGCGTCAGGTCCCCAGAGCCGCCAGTCCGCCAAAACAGGCATCCAAACCGCGTCGCACGGGCTACGAGAGCTACATTCCTCAGCTGGAGGCTGACGCCAGCATCTGGGGTTTGCCGGCCAAACCTACGCCGAAGCCGGCCTCGAATCAAGGTCAGACAGGTCAGACTGCGTCCGCTGCCGGGAAGAAGTTCCTGAGCTTGGAGGAAGTCGAGGCCGAGCTGGCAAGACAGAGTGCGTCAGCCGCTCAACCGCCCGCCGAGCCGTCGCAGCTGCCCGGCTTCAGCCATCCACAGCAACAACCGGTTCATTCGCAGCAGCCCGGCTATGGCCAGCCACCGCCGCCTCAGCAGCCCATGAACTACTCGCATCCGCCTCAAATTCTGCAGCGCCGTCCTCAACAGCAGTCGCAGGAGCTGCCAGGCTCGCAGCCGAAGCAACCTGAGCTTCCTGACTATAGCATGCACCAGCCACAGATCTTGCAGAGGCCGAGACAACAGGAAGCCCGGCCGACACGAGGGCCCCAGGCTGTTCAAGCGCAGAGGGGTGGTCTTCAGGGTAGTTCGCCTCAACCGCGACAGATCTTGCAGAACCCCAACCGTCTCTCCGGGCCAGGACAGCCCTTGGCGCCCTTGCGCAGTGCTCCCCCCCACGGCTCATCACACCATCGTGGTCCCTCTTACAACGGACCGGTGATCACTAACCCACAGCAGATTCTCCAGCTCTCGGACGAGGATCGAGCCGCATTCCTGCAAGACGAAGCTCGCCGTGCCAAGCGCAACCACAAGATCCATCTGCTCTCCAAGAATAACGGGCTCATGACACCTCAAGACAAAAACTTCATCACCCGCATCCAGCTGCAACAGCTTGTCACAGCCACGGGTAGTCTCGACGCCCAGGACCCAGAGTCGCAACTCAACGAGGACTTCTACTACCAAGTGTACGCGCAGATTCGCGGTGCAACGCGCCAAAACCCGAACCAGCCAGCCAGCCAGTTTGCCCACACGTATCTGTTCCAGACGGGTGGCCGCTACGGGCACCGGCGGGGCATGCGCCACGGGGACAGCCATCTTGCCAGAATGGAGCAACAGGTCGCGCGTGCAGTGGAGGCTGCCAAAGCGAAGCCCAAGAACAAGCAGCTCGTCATCGAGGGCAGCTTGGGCAAGATCTCGTACAGCAATGCTAAGACGCCGAAGCCGTTACTCAACTTCACGCGGCCCGAGGCCGAGAAGGCCAAGAGCGCTTCGACAACAAAGAAGGCAAACGACCCTGCGGCCGAGAGAAGGGCTACGCTAAGGGACATTGAGAATGTGTACATGGATTTGATGAAGCTTGAAGATCACGAGAGGCAGATACCACCAAGACTGACGCCGGAGAGCGACCCAGAGACCATCCAAAGGCACATGGAGTGGCGCGAAAAACTGACCGCGTTGAACGGCAAGCTGTGGGCTGACCTCAAGATCATGGAGGCCATAGATCCGAAGTACGTTGATTTTCACAACGTTCCTTGACTTCATAACACTAATACAAATGCGCAGCTCCATCTCGCAGCACCCGTTCATTGCCATGCTCTCCCACGCCAAGGGCAAGAAAGCCATGCCTCGTGTCTTCCGTCATCTAGATGATCAGCAGCGTCTCACAACCCTCACCATGATCTTTGTGTCCCTCGATCAGCTTGATGTGGTCGCCAAGGCACTTCCCAACCCGGCGAAGCCAGACGCACCTGTCCCGCTACCGGTGCGCGAGGAGATCGACCTGTTCTCTCAGACGGTAATGCCCGCATTGTTCAGCTCTGTTGGAGAAAGTCCCCTGTCGATCATCTCAGGTATCATCGGTGTGCTTATCGATCGCACCAATGTACCACTCATCTCATTGACAAAGATCGGTTTGTCCGTGCTGACTATGGTTCTCTCCCGCGCTGAGGTTCTGCGTGAGTCGCAGCAGCCTCCCCCGTCATCTCCAGAGGGTGCACAGGACTGGGCTGCCTGGAATGAGCTATACAATCGACTGTTCGATCTTCTGGAGCCGGCTCTGCCGCACATCTTCCCTGGTAAAGTTACAGAGGCCGATGACGTGCACGTGTGGCAGTTCCTTGCGGCCATGGGCGTAGGTGCCAGCCCGGAACAGCAACAGAGACTGGTCATCGGGGTGAAGGATCGGGTCATGGAGACGGTAGCAGTTGCGAGAACTCTGCCCAGGGACATGGGGGAGCAGAGACTGGGCCACGTCAATCTGTTTATGAGAGCTATCGGACTTGATGTAGAGCTGTTGGGAGGTTGAACGGCGGAGAAGTCGAAGAAAATTCTAGGCGGCGACGGCCAACAAAAAATACCAAGCGTGGTCTAAGCGTAGGGCCCATCCCTGCGTGAATGCGCCTCAATGATAGAAAGTGTCTTTGCAACGTCCACATAGCAGCGTTTGCAATGCATTGTAGCATGTAGTGGTAGTAAGGGACTGCAATAGCGGTGCCTAAAGTGAGTTAAAAAGCCAAACGCGGAAGTTATGGTCTAGATTATGTTGCCGTGAAATGTTCCTCTCTTTTTTTTTAAAAAAAAAAAAAAATAAATAAATAAATAAATATAAAAATAAAATATGTATATTTACATCCGCCTGCTGGCTTTCCGCATGCGTCTATAAGGCGTACAAATCACTTTTTGGCTGTAGTGAAATTGGTGACCACTCTAAGCTGTAAGGAACACACATAGAGACTACGGTCCAAAAAAAAAAAAAGAAATCCTCATCTGCTCGCAGCTCCCTCTTCAGAGGGGAAGAATGGTTGCCGGAGAGGGTTAAAAGGCACACTACTTTACACTAGTGGCTCAAGTGGTCAAATAATCCTGATTATGGTATGTGAGACAGTGGTAAATCCCCCTCATAGCTGCTGAGCTATTCAAAGTTCCACGACCTGACACCGGCTTCGTCCCCTGTCTTCGTCTTTCCAAATCCCATCTTCGCTACTTCAACATTCACCTTGATAGGCGGCCGTTGCATCAGTCATAGCTCACTCCCTTTCGGCGTGCCCACAAGCATTATTCTCCATTCTACACGATGATTACACACTACCTTTACTGCCAAACTATTGATCTGCGTAGCCTTGATAGGACCCCGTTGGCTTCTTCCGCTACGAGAGTTCCAATGTATCTATGCGCAAACTACAATACCTGATGTCCAAGCATCCGCGTGCTTATGAGCACTTTGCGTTTACATGTTTTTCATAGCTCTCGTGCGTCTAGCGCTGGCCTTTGCAACCACAGGGACCCATTCGCTGTCGTCGTGGTCGTCGTCGTGGTCAACACTATCAGCCAGTCTCTCCCTCCTTAGCGTTTCATGTACCGGCACCATCTTCGGAATAGAACGATCTTTAGCCTTGTCACGTAGCGCATCGTCGCCTGCTGTCGATCGAGAGATTGAGGCAAAGGGCAACGAGTTGATCCGCATACCTGACGGCGATTTTCCGGCCCTTGTTGAGTTCAGATCGGTGACTTGATCCGAAGCTCTCCTGCCGATCCTGGAAATGGCCCGTTGCGTACTGACGGCGACGTCGTGAGCGTTGTTGGCGTCTGAAATCCAGGCCGAGTCGGTGCCACACCCCGCTCTATCGACAATGCGTAGAACGAGGGGTGTCTGGGAAGCTGGTGCCGTGACGCGGTTCTTCTCTAATTCCTCGGCGCGAACACGTTCGGCCAGGTGTGAGGGCAAGCGAGGTGCTGCATGCAACACATGGCCTCCGCGACGCCTGTCATTCCGGGGAGACTCCTGTCCAGATTCTGCCGTGGAAGAGCGCCTTTCTGAAGTGTTTGCGTCGTCCACAGCCGCGAACGGGCATCTTTCGGTGAAATCTGTGTCCTTCAAGGCATCGTTGTCTAAACCGTCCTCGCCGTCTGTGTTGCCCTCGACTTCGATCACCTCGCCCAGCGTGTCCACATCCCATCGATCCCCCTCGTCTCGTCGACTTAGCCTCTCTCTCGTGTTGATATCCCAGTTCTCATGGTGCAGCGCCATCTTCTCGACCGCCCCTTGCGTAACCCACTGCGCGTAGATGATGCGCCGCTTTTTCATCTCCAGGTCCGTCTTCCACTGGATCTCAACGTCGTCCATGATGGCGCACTTGATCTTCTCCAGCGCCAACTTTGCTTGCTTGCTTCGAGGTTCCGCCATCTTGTAGCTTGCAATCACGCGGCGGGCCTCAAGTTCTAGGTCGGGCTTCTTCTTCGGAGGCGCCACAAGCGCATCGAGCATGCTTTTTTCCGACAAGATGGTCGTTGAACTCTTCACCGAAAGAGCACGTGCAAGTGCCTTGTTGGCGTCTTCCGTGTTGCTGTCGGGCGGATAAATGATGGCATGCAAGCGGGATATGTCAGCCTGGGTGATGATATCCAGCCTAACTGAAGTCCTAGCAGCCTTCTTGAGGGCTTTTCTTTCCTTCTTCTTCATACCTTCGTATTGATGCCCCGAGGCAGCAGCAGCAGACCCTGTGACGATTTCAGATTCGGCCTCTTCGTTCTCCTTTTGATAGATCTGCATCAGAAGGAGTATAGTTCGGTGACGCTTCTCCTGTTGTTCCTTTGCGTGAACACATCTGCGCAATGGTCAGCCACTGTCCATGGGCTTGCACTTCACGCTTACGCTCTACACGTATGAGCCTTGCCGATGAAATGGAACATGAAATGGTAGTTCGCACATATAACCTCATGCTTGCCAATACAAGTCGAAAGGGAGCTGGGATTACTGAAGGGCGTTTGGCAGACGCCGCAATGATGCTCTGGCAGCTGAATTAGCCGAGCACGATCCATTCAAACGTACTTGGAGCAGCAAGGTAGCTCACTGAGTGCACTGATCTGTTCAAACTTTGGCAGATGCATAGTGTGAGTGGAAGGCAAGAACGGGTGTGAGAAGATCACGCTGGATGTACGTCCCTGTCGACGTGTGGTGGACTACTTGCAAAGACTCCGTTTGGATTCCCGAACCAGAATGACAGAAACGGGTCAGTTTAAAGGCTGGCTTTCGTCAGCCCAGCTGTCGGTTTTTGAACTTGATCGTGTCCACAGACCGCAAATTTCCAGCAGGACGAGCAGCGACGGTGCAGGAAGCGCTGGATCAGAGCCGCGGTGAAAGTGAAAAGAAAGAAAAACGGTGAGTGGGCTGTTGAAGATATTTGACCCCGACGCCTTGTTTCTTTCCTTTGCTGATCACAAGAGGCTAGCTGCAGGCCAGCGTGCTTTAGCGGCGGCCTCGTGGTGATGACAGCGGACCGGTAACTATGGTGTTGATATTAACTTCTCGCACAGAGTAAATCGCGCAATCATGAATGCATTCACCACACATGGCTATACGGAGGCAGAAAGAAACTAGAATCATGTCTTGCGAGCCGTTTGAGAAACAGAAAGGGATCTCGGGAATCAATCAACGGGGCTTTCAGACCGAGCTGGGACGGACCATGGTGGTGTTGTCAACGAGGCTGAGACGGCTTGTTGCACGACCAGGGACGCTGGTTTCTTCCGCTACAGTCCCTCGTCCAACGGCGTGGTTGCATGGACGCCGGAAAGACGGGAAGCGGCAGGAATCTACTGACGTGATATGACCTGTCGTGATTGTGTGTTTGCACAGATCTACAGTGCCTCACTTTGAATCGAGCACATCGAAGCATGGAAGAAAAGCTTGGCGACACTTTTGAGTTGGATTCATTTCATGCACGAGGAGCTATCTAACGAGCGTCATAAAGTGGGAAATCTGCGCAAAGGATCCTCCCCGGAGAAGTTTTTGTTCAGCAGATGATTCGAGACCAAGGCTTGCCCACGCACCGACAAGGCTGACGTTAAGGCTAAGAAAGTTAGACGAACCCTCCAACGTGGCGCCAGTGCTGCCCTCCGATATTTTTTTTCTTCTGGCCACGTCTTGACCGATGGTCATTTCAAAGATCTCGCACAAGGCGTGCTCCCGCCCAAACAAAAGGATAATTCCGCTGGTACCAGTTGACACTATTCTTAATGTCAGCCCGAAGATTATGTTTTTAAATGGAACAAACACGTGACTAACAAGGATCTGCGACCTGCAATTCGGGGGTGAGTAGCCCAGGACCCACCCAGAACGATGTTATGCTTCTTGTCGAAGAAGTCCGCTGCTCCGTCGTTAGTGGCCCGTAGGTGAAGCACCAAGAAATACGATTTTACCTGTGTAGCCGGGATACAGCTGCATGGGCTCAAAACCCTCATGTTTTTCCAGCACAGTGCTAGTCCATTCCCAAACACCACCGAGCTCACCTTGTCCTGCAAGATTGTCGCCATGGGCAGTTACGGGCAGCGGATGCCAGTGTTTGAAGCCAACATTCGCATCTTCAAGGTCAACAAAAAGACGATGAGGGGAAGGACCAACAGATGCGCTGGGCTCGCCATTGGCTGAATGGCGGTGCGGTGGTGTTTCTTCCACACCGTCGTTTATGAGGTGACTGAGTAGTATTAGTGCAAACGATTCCGTGTAGCACTTTGGATTACGTACCCATTGACCGCGGGTATGGTCTCTCCCAGTGCATTCACAAAGTCTTTCACCTTAAGCTCCTCAGCGTATTCATATATGCTCTTTACTTCCTCCATCGTGGGGATTCGACCACCAGCCCAATGTGCGAAGCCCAAAAGTTCGTCGTAGGAAGCCATAACCGGCCAGTCGAGCGCTAGCTTGAGTGGAATGGATCCAAATACGGTCTTAACTTCTTTTCCATCAACAAAATTTTCACCGTTAACAGCAGCATTTGCTACTCCATTCGAGTCGCCGTTCATATGCCCGTTAAAATGACCATTTGGCGTTGACTTGGTGCTCGACCAAGATGCGGGCAGTTTCTCTGAACCAATGGCCTTCAGGTATTCCACATATTCCCCGTTCGTGATGGGTCGGGCCTGTGCAGAGAACGACTTGACTTTCACCCTTCTTTGTGGTTTTTCGTTATCCCAGCCGAAATATCTGTTTGTTGTGGTGTCTTTGTCGTCGTCGTTGAGACCCAAAGTGACCGTGCGAGATGGTACAGTGAACCACTTATTAGGAACAGTCTTCGCTTTCGCTTCGCACGCCAGTGCTTCAAAGTCAGGGTGGATCACCCCCGGAGGAGGCAATGTCTTCTCGCTTTGAATAAGCATGTAAAGAAGGGTCTCTATATGCATAACTTCATGCTCAAAGCTAATCCAAAGCGCCTTACGAATAGCATGACTCGATTCATGCATTCTAGAATCGTAAATTTGCTTCACCTGATCCCTGACCTTGCTCTGGAACGCTAAAATCTCGACCTCCGGCGGCCATTCATCTGGTATCTCACTATGATCGTGGCACAGCTCTGGGTTATCGACATCCGGATCAATGCCTCGTTCAAAAATGCGTTGGTAGTCGCGCAATCCAGCCACTCCTTCGCATGAGGCTTTCTCGAGATGAATCGCTAAGAACGTTGGTATATGTCCCAGGTAAAATATACACGCATTTCTTAATTTGATTGGCTTAGCGAGCAGCTCCTCCTTTGGAATCATTTGCTGGGTAACCAAATCCCAGATGGTCCACAAGTCCTTCCATTCAGCGAGCGTCGGCACCGCGGATGCTGCATATTCCTCTGGTTTAGAGGAGAACTGGACTTTTGGTTTGTATGCCATATGTAGACCTGTTAATATCAGCTTGCTGATCTGCTTCTAGATACCTGGTTGAACGTAGGTAAGAGTACACACAAGTGGTTACATAAATATCATGCAATATTCATGCAAGCCAAGTTACAAAAAAAGCGGGGCAAGGCTGGCAGGGGGAGGAACAAAACTGTACCGTAGTTTGCTTCAGCGTTGGTCCAGGATGCACCCTCGATGAGGCCGGCGCCCTCCCAGAGCCTGCTTCTGTCAATCAAGTCATATTTGAAGCTTTCTTCTATGCGGATTCTTTCCCCAGCCTTGATTAATATCCCGTCGATGTTCATATCCTGCACAGGTGATACAAACGCGTGGTGTTTCCCATTAACCTCATCGTACTCGCCAATTACTCTCCACTTCTCGACGTCAAAGGCGTCGTGACCCAGCAGCTGGTTCGCATGCTGGAGACCGTTGAGGACAAATTCGTGTGTTACTCCTTGGCTATCGTTGTATGCGCGAAAAACTTTGTCAGGATCCTTGCAAGCATCAATGCCAATTAAGAGAACGTCGCTGGTCTGCAGCACATCTGAAAAGCTTCTCAGAAACCGCACGGCCTCATGTCTGGCAAAATTTCCAATGCTCGAGCCCATGCTAAGTATGGCCTTGGATCTTTTGGCAATCTGCTCTGACTTAAGCCATTGAAGACCGTCATCGTAGGTTCCATGAAGGCCAAAGCACTTAACATGCTTGAAAGCACCAACTGGGATTGCAGCAAGTGTTCTCTCAAGCTCAACACGGGAGACATCAAGGGCGTAGTATTCCACTGGTTTCTTTGCTGCTTCAAAGGCGTCCAAGAGGATCTTGATCTTTCTCAGGTTGCTGCTCTGCATTAGCCTCTTCTACTAGCAAACATATATCCCCACAACTCTCGCGTGTCATTCTCACCCGCTACCTAGTTCCAGCACAATTGAGTTTGGGCTGATTCGATCCGCAATGTTGCCTGCCCATTTGTGTAAAACTTCGATCTCTGCATTCGTCAGGTAATACTCGTCGAGAAAGGTAATCTTCTCGAAGAGCTTTAAACCTGGCTCATCGTACAGAAGCAGAGTTGGTAGAGTCTTTCTCCCAGGTCCGGAAGCACGTAGCCCACTTTTGATATCTATGAGCAAATCAAGCTCCTCTCGATCCTGACGGATTTCAATGATGCTCGACAACGGGCTGTGAGGCTTGGCGGCTTTGGTGTGCACGTTGCTAGAAGAGAAATCAGCAAAACCAAGCCCTGCAGAATCTCCAATCATGATTCTCGTAAGAACGTTCGCAAAAAGTCCGGTACTAGTTTCGAGACTGATATTTAAAACCAAAAGAATTGGACGAGCTCAGCTAGAGTGGGCAGAGGTAGACTCGCCAAGATTTTATCCGTTATTCTTCATGTACGATTTCAGGTCGTCGAATTTAAGGGTTTTCATGGAACGAAGTAGGCTGACTATATATAGTTTCATTAACTCCGGTGTCTCTAGATGCAAAAACGCTAATTGAAGAACACGAAGCGTAAGCAACGCCGTAATGTGCCGCTCTAGCATGTGCATAAGGTCATCAGCCCATTGTTCCGGAGAAGCACAACATTCTCGCGACGCGTGCATCCATGGTTTACTGCCTGGAAGCTAGTATCAGGGCAAGCTGCTCAAAGCCAATAAGGTTCCCCTCGTGGCGGAAGTTTCCGCAGTAGAAGGTCTAACGGGACCTGTCCATGACGTCTCGAGCCGTAAAGATGCTCAAGGATGTACGCTCCACAACGAACCTTGTTTAAGGACATTGGAAGAGAGTTATGCAAGTCAGGACAAGGGTAAATGCAGCTAAGTAACAGGTACAAACCAGATTTCCCCTTAGAGACCGTAATGAGCAGTTTTTCGCGTCATGAAATGCGGGGTCGCGGATACAGGCGGAGGAACATTGACAAAAATGATAAGATAATCATGCCGCGAAGACGAAACTTCAGAGAGATTGATTTGGCCCCCTTTCGGGCGGTGTTCCGAAAAGTTGTCAGGTACGAAGGAATGTGCAGCAGATCAAGATCCGGGGAGCGAGCGTGCCAAACCGTTCTGGCCGAATTTGAGATGATGGATACGAGCACGTGAAGCTCGGATCAGATTCCAACCTGGACAAGGACGTCGATCGATGCGGCAAAGTGTGGCGAGGTTATGCGCAAGGCAAAAGCGAAGTCTGATCGATATCGTAAGGCTGATCTCACGGAGATGATCAGGTGAGAGCGCGTACAGCTCGTGCATCCTGCCGTGCTTGATACTGGGATGGATGGAACCGCAGCTCGCTCGCTTATCTGCGATTAGGAATCGACGAAGCACCAGCGATATTGACCTTTTGCAGCCAGAAGTGCCGCCGAGATGGGTGACTCACCAGTGTTTGATGACAAATTGCCGGAGGGTGGAAAGCGTGAGATTCGGGCCATCAATCTCGGGTTTCGCAAACGACGCGGGATGGTGGAGGTACAGAACGTAGCTGACTTCCTCTTCCAGCCTGCACGTTTTCCTAATCTGGTATGCTCATTGAATACGGGGGTACTTGCATTGCTACATACGCAAGCGGCCAGCGCTCCCATCCCCACAGATACTACTTCAATAGTGGTGCTGAATATCATATGGTGTAGTGTGCCACGAAACTCCGTGCTCCGCTAAGACTCCTCTCGACGCCGATTTTCAGATTTCCCCGAGTTCCCCCAGCCGTGAATTTTCTTCCATCATCACAGATCGTTGAGTCTTTCAGGTTTTTATTCATCTCTCTTCATCTTCTTTGGTAGAAACGCCCAACAACCGAGCATAACCGCGAAAAGACCAATACAGATCGGATGCAGGACCCAAGTCCCAGCAGCCTGAGCTACCAAGCCAGTCATGAATGGAGCAATAGCACCTCCAGAGCTTCCAGCACTTGAGACAAAACTGACGCTGCTGGTTTGAATATTGCTCGGCAACAGCCGCAGGAACAGCACGGTTGACGAGGGTGCAATCGGACCTAGCAACAGGCCAACAATTGACACGGCCACTGCATCACCGACGACATTCGGAACCAGCCAGACCACAAGCTCGAAGACAATTGCTCCAATGGCCAGGACAAACAGTGAACGCTTCTCGCCTAGACGGCCGATCGCATGGCTGAATGCAAATCGGCCGACTGTAATGCCCCCCCAGAAGCCCGCTGTGACATATCCAACGCTACTGGGGTTTCCGTGGCGATAATTGATGAGGAAAGATATGACCCAGCCTGAAATCGACACCTCGGCGCCTTGATACGCGAATGTGTAAAGTGCGCCTACCAGAGTGACACGGCTTTTCAAGGCCATGGCAAGTAAGCGAGGCTTGCTAGGCATTCCAGCACTAGCCGTGCGATGTAGAGCATGGAGTAGACGTGAAGTTGCTTCCCTCTCATAGTCCCAGAACGCCCATCCGTCAAATAGAAAGCAGATGACCCTCAGTCCAACAGCGACACAGTAAAATCTTGACCACAGTATGCCCCTCGAGACAATTGTAGTAGCAACAATGGGGCCAACTGTGGCACCGATTCCATACGCCCCTTGCGCGAAACCTAGCAAGACGGTCGAGTCCGCCAGTGTACCCACAAACACATTGTTCATGGCAAGCGTAAGCGCAAAAGCAAAGCCCAGGAAGTAGAACGATACGACAACAAGCGGGAACGGTGGAGTGCAGACGGTAATGGTATAGCCAACAATGAGCAGAGCTTCTGCCAACATCAAGGTCTTTGCTCGTCCAATTTTGTGAAGAATCATATCCGCGACAAACGCTGCGCTGAGAAAACCCACTGCGTTCGTGACGAAGATTAACGAAACCACGGCATAGCCGATGTTATAGTGTGTCTCCATGTATGGAATCAGAGCGCCAGCTGCGCCGTCGGAGAACCCATTTCCAAAATATGTGAGGGATACACACGGAACTCGCCACTTGTTCATGGGCGGACTACACCAGCTAGCAACAATAGGCACGGCGAGGTCTTCGCTTGGCGTTGGAGGCCGACTGATCAAATAGTCTCGCTGAGTCCCTGGCGTTGCAGGCACGATTGGTGTCTGTGTACCCGTTTGCGAGCCCGAGGTATCATTGTTCAGAATGCCGAATTCTAGGTTGTCTAATTCCAGTGGCGAAGGCGGAGGAAAGTGTTTTGCATGCGCTGTTGGTGGTTGACTGACTTCATTGGGTCGTGACTCGATAGTGACCAGCGCGCCGAAGTGAGAAGTCATAATGCTGGACTTTTTTTAACAGTACCAGGCAAAAAAAAGAGAACAAATTCTTGTTCACAGAAAGATCTTCTTAACGAGAGGAGAGGTACAGCATTGAACACTCGCAGCTGGCTGTTCACCATAAATGGGACCCTATTCATCACATGTCAAACCCTATCGTCACTCTTACCCTAGTTTTCATAGAATTTTCAGACTTGTTGAACGTTGGTGCATGCCATGTGGATCCAATCGAGACCAAGATGTTACTGTAAACGGACATCCTTCCGCCTGGTCGGAAGATTGTACAGCGAGCGGTAGATCAACCATTGGTACAGATGCACTGACAACCGTTCATGACCCGGCAAAGTAGCTCCATCGTGACAGTCAAAGAACGTCGATATGGAAATCATAGCCGCAAAAAGACATTGACTGGAACGCGTTTCTGAAAAAGAGATGCCGGTGGGCGGCGATGTGCAGTGTTCAGGATTTTACACGTCGGCAGCTCGAATGAACCCGAAAGGACGAGCCAGATTACAAATACGGGTCATAGTATCGCCATAAAAGCCGATAACGTCTGCTGTGGTCTTGCCACAATATTGCAGGCAATGTTCGGGGATTTGGGCCTCTGAGATGAGGCTGACCGTGGCTGAGATGAGGGTTAGAAGCTGGAGAAGGAAAATTCATGCCTCAGGCGTGCAGGCAGCAAATGACGAGACACCAAACAACACCTACCAGGTTGAGCTTGTACAAGCCCATCACGACAAGAAATAGACAAGATACCCAACCGGAACATATTCGAGGAGTGCCTTTCCCGCATCTACCTGCGCCTCTTGAGCTTCTTCGTCGCCTCGTCGAAGACACCACGTTGCCTACGACCGATCCTCCTATTTTGAGCTTCATCCTTGCGTAGTCTTGGGCCGACAGCACAAGTCACTAACGACAATATTCATAAAGGCTTAGACAAGTGATACCCATAGTACCGCCGCAACTGAGTATACAAGCAATATGGATTCACCTATGCAGGATGTCGACCGGATTCCAGAGCCGGCAGCATCGTCGGCTCCCCTCGAACCAACAACCATTCCCACACTTGACGGGTGGATTGAAAGCTTAATGAACTGCAAGCAGCTTTCGGAGCAAGATGTGCAGAGGCTTTGCGACAAGGTATGAATCATACTAAAGGTTGTCCGGGAGTGGGGAGAATCTTTGTTGCTGAGCTAATATGAGCACACGACAGGCTCGAGAGATATTGCAAGAGGAGTCCAATGTGCAGCCAGTAGTAAGTACCAGGAAACAGCGACATGGTGATCATTCGTGGCCTAATGCTTTGCTAGAAATGTCCAGTCACCGTCTGTGGCGATATACATGGGCAGTTCCACGACTTGATGGAGCTGTTCAAAATTGGTGGCCCAAATCCAGATACCAACTATCTTTTCATGGGTATGTATACGTCAACTGTCGCCTAAAAGCTCGTTCTCATCGAATCAGGTGACTACGTTGACCGTGGATACTTCTCCGTTGAGACTGTCACCCTTCTCGTAGCTCTCAAAATTCGTTATCCTCAACGAATCACCATTCTGCGAGGCAACCACGAGTCGCGCCAGATCACTCAAGTTTATGGCTTCTATGATGAGTGCCTCAGGAAGTACGGAAATGCCAATGTGTGGAAGTACTTCACTGATCTCTTCGATTTCCTTCCCCTCACTGCACTGATTGAGAACCAAATTTTCTGTCTTCACGGGGGTCTCTCACCCAGCATCGATACCCTTGACAACATACGTGCTCTGGACAGAATACAGGAGGTTCCTCACGAAGGTCCCATGTGCGATCTGCTCTGGTCCGACCCGGATGATCGCTGTGGCTGGGGTATCTCGCCACGGGGGGCGGGCTATACATTTGGACAGGATATCTCGGAAGCATTCAATCATAACAACGGCTTGACGCTGGTTGCAAGAGCCCACCAGTTAGTTATGGAAGGTTATAACTGGTCACAAGACAGGAATGTGGTTACCATCTTCTCCGCGCCAAATTACTGTTACAGATGCGGTAATCAGGCAGCGATAATGGAGATTGATGAGCATCTAAAATATACATTGTAAGTTTAACGCTGCGGCAACATCAACGAATCGATAGCTAACAAGTGCAACAGCCTACAATTCGACCCGTGCCCAAGAGCTGGTGAGCCAATGGTCTCGCGCAGGACGCCCGACTATTTCCTCTAATCAATGCACCATCATCATACATATTGCACTACAGGGCTGTTTCGCACCAAAAGAAGTGTACATGTTGAGCCCAGACGTCTCACCCCTTTTCGCCCCGGGTGGTGAACAGGAAGGCTGCATTCACGATCATGCGTTTCTTCGAGAAAATTACCCGCATTTAGCATGTGGTCTCTAGGAGGATCCTTGGGCAGCGAATACTGCGATTGTGGCTGTTGCTGCTGCATATGAGGAGGTGGTTGTGCATTTGGCTGTCTGTACGATTAGCATGAAGAATAGACAAAATGACTTGAGGAATAATGGATGATTTCGGCGTTTTCGAAAAGTGTAGCAGTTGTCACGCTGAATACTCTCCCTTAATGCTATTGGATCAGTTATATGGCCGTTATCTTTCGAGCTTCTGATGGCCCTCTCCCCGCATTTCATCCCAAGCGGTTGATTTGCCTGGAAAGTCCAGGGTTGAAGACGTCGTCGCCGGATCTAGCAATATGATTGAATATGTCACGTGAGTGGCATAAGAGAATCGCGCTAGCCCGAGATTTCGCTTGGCAAGCGCGACTTGGACGCGTCGCACCTTCCCTCACAATTTGCTTTACTCTCCATCGTGAATAGTGACCACTTTTCCAATTTTACAACCACCGCAGCCATGTCTTCCTTCATTGACGGCATATTTGGCTCAGATCAGCCCAATCCAAGCACGCCTGCTTCGAGTGGGCTTCCTCAGGCGAGGAGGAGAGTCGATCGCTCATCATCAAGACCAAGGGGTCCGCCATCTGAGAGCGCCGGCGCCCCGAGTGAGATCGACGGCTTCCATGACGACGAGATTGTTGGTGCCAGAGGCACAATTCCAAGGCCTCGAGGCCCCCCAGGCGATATCCCCAAGGTGGTTGACAGGTTAGGGGAGGCACTAGTGGGGATTTTCGAGACATTCCTTGAGAAGTGGGTATTACGAATAGAATGCGCACTACGCCTTTTACTTACTGTATGCAGCTACACAGAAGACCCATCCTCGTCGGGTGTGCCGACTTCTAGTGTGTTAGGAACAGATAAATATTACATCGCTCAGATACATGGGCTGCGCACATATGGCCTCTCGACGCTCTATGTTGATTTTAGACATATTATGCGGTACAATGGCGGCGAACTATCGGATGCCGTTCTGGGACACTACTACAGGTTCTTACCGTATATGACACGCGCGCTGAACAACAAGATTGCCGAGCATGAGCCACAGTACTACCGTCAGCACAGGCAACCAAACTCGAACACTTCTGCTGCATCACTGGCAGGCAATGCAGACACACAAGCCTCAGATATGGCAAAAGACACAATTAACCAACCTACGGACAAGCTGTTCACGCTCGCGTTTTACAATCTGCCTTTAGTCACCCGTGTTCGCCAATTAAGAACGAATCAGATTGGCCATCTGCTTTCAATATCTGGAACCGTGACAAGAACCTCTGAGGTTCGTCCCGAACTCTCCTCTGCAACGTTTATCTGCGAAGTCTGCAACACGGTGGTACCCAACATTGAGCAGACTTTCCGCTATACCGAACCTACACAGTGCCCCAATCTGACTTGCGGCAACCGAACGGGCTGGAGATTGGATGTCAGACAGAGCACATTCGTGGACTGGCAAAAAGTCCGTATCCAGGAGAACAGCTCCGAAATTCCTACTGGAAGCATGCCTCGAACTATGGATGTCATTCTTCGAGGTGAGATGGTTGATAGAGCTAAAGCTGGCGAGAAATGCATTTTCACCGGTACATTGATCGTCATTCCCGACGTTAGTCAATTCAGAGTTCCAGGTACACGTGTAACTGCAACAAGAGACAATTCCGGAGCTCCAAGGGGCGCTGATGTTGGTGGTAGTGGCGTTACTGGACTCAAAGCGCTCGGCGTTCGGGATCTTACATATAGGCTTGCTTTTATGGCATGTATGGTCACGCCAGACACGTCAACACCAGGTCAGAGCACGGCACAGCTTAATGGCCAAGCAGATAACATCCTGGCATCTCTCGGACAGTCCGTACCTCTAGACTCCAGCACTGGCGAAGAAGCTCAGGCCGCGTACCTTGCAACACTTTCGCCAGCAGAGATCCAAGACTTGAGGGATATGGTTCACATGCCGAATATTTTCATGCGACTGGTTGACTCCATTGCACCTATGGTTTATGGCCACCAGGTAATCAAGAAGGGTCTTTTATTACAGCTGATGGGTGGTGTGAGCAAGTCTACCAAGGAAGGTATGGCTCTCAGAGGAGATATCAATATCTGCATAGTCGGTGATCCATCTACGAGCAAGTCACAATTCCTCAAGTACATCTGCTCCTTCCTACCTCGGGCTGTATATACCTCAGGCAAAGCTTCTTCAGCGGCAGGTCTTACGGCTGCTGTGGTTAAAGATGAGGAGACTGGCGAATTTACCATTGAGGCAGGCGCACTTATGCTGGCAGACAATGGAATATGTGCCATTGATGAGTTCGATAAGATGGACATTGCTGATCAAGTCGCGATCCACGAAGCAATGGAACAACAGACAATCTCAATTGCCAAAGCAGGCATCCAGGCTACTCTTAATGCACGAACAAGCATTCTTGCTGCAGCAAACCCAGTTGGTGGCCGATACAATAGAAAGGCTACTCTCCGAGCGAACATCAACATGAGCGCCCCAATCATGTCGCGATTTGATTTGTTCTTTGTGGTTCTGGATGAGTGTGATGAGAATATCGATCGTCATCTCGCGGAGCACATTGTTGGTGTCCATCGTTTACGGGATGATGCCGTACAGCCGGAATTCAGTACCGAGCAGTTGCAGCGTTACATCCGCTTTGCGCGAACATTCCGTCCAGAATTCACACCTGAGGCGAAGGTAACCCTTGTTGAGAAGTACAAAGAGCTTCGTGCAGATGATGCTCAAGGTGGCATTGGGCGGAACAGCTACAGAATCACCGTGCGTCAACTTGAGAGTATGATCCGTCTCAGCGAAGCTATCGCAAAGGCGAATTGCGTCACCGAAGTCACCCCTGAGTTTGTACGTGAGGCATACAACCTGCTCCGTCAATCAATCATCTCCGTTGAGAAGGATGACGTTGAGGTCGAAGAGGATGATGTACCCGGTGATTCCCGAAATGGTGAGGTAGACCAAACCATGGAGAATGGTGTGAACGACAGAGCAGAATCAGTCACACCAGCACCAAGGAAAGAGAAGACGAAGATAACGTACGACAAATATATGAGCATTCTTAACACGATGGTAAGACGTGTCAATGAAGATCAGTTGTCAGCTGAAGATGGTGTTGAGGAAGAGGAATTACTTGTGTGGTACTTGGAGCAACGTGAGCAAGAGATAGAGACTCAAGAGGATCTTGAAACAGAAAGAGACCTAGCCAGAAAGGTTCTAAGAAGGATGGTCAAGGTATGTCCCCAGCACTTTATTTCAGCTCAAACATAGCTGATAGATGATTTACAGGACAACATCCTCATGCAAATCCGTGGCGAAGGCTTAGCAGATGAAAACGGTCAGCCACTAGAACAGGGCAAGGTTAAGTACGTTCTGCACCCTAATTGTGCAGTCGAAGAAATGGGCTGAGATGGTTATTTGGATATGGAGTTTAAGCGATTAACGGATGATGTAATTGATACCTGTTAGCAAAGAATAACGAGGCAATGTGATGGAAAATGGCGCGCACGAAGTCGGTGCATTGGCTGCATGACAGCAAATCGCTTAGATTATTTAAACGCATTTCGCAATCTAGATCTCGTCTTCGACATCCCTTTGGCTTTGGCGGTCGTTGCAACGTGAAGAAATGAAGGCTGATGCATTTATCGACCGATCTCCGTCATTCAGTATCCTTCATGCTCATTTTGTTGAAGACGTTACGGAGTTGCTTATCATTTAAATCTAAGACTGGAGTATCACATGGCTTACCAACAAATATGAACTGAACGTGGATGCAATCCACTTCCTCATGTTCAAAAGAAGCAAGCATTCAGTCAATAGGGATCCTTCAAGTAAGATGGTCGCACTAAAGCTTGGACCGAGATTTGCTTGGATATGTATGTCCCAGTCTAGACCCAGCAGGATGCACTGTACCGCGATTCAGCATCCATTGCCATGAAAATGATAACTTGTCTGTCCATGGGCATGCGATCCGATGGACCGCACGATAAGAGAAAGAGAACTGACGCATGCTGATCAAAACCTTAGCAACCGAGCTATCCGAAACACGATCGTAATAACGAGCGCCAACATCTCTTCGTCGTTGCAAAAAATCCGTACGAAATCAAACTTCAGCAAACCTCGAGCTCATCAGCTCATCCACGTGCGAATGTTGTGCCTTGACGTTCTCCTCTTCCTGCTCCTGCAGAAGGACCGCCAAGACTTCGATTGGTGGCTTCAAGCCTAACTTATGCGCTCTCTTCCATCGTTTTATCCGTGCGATTCCTACGCACGGCTAATTTTTCAGGTTAGTTTATAGATCGGAGGACGGGAGAAGCTGTAGTTACGTACGCCATACCGCCCGTCCGTGTCGAACTCTCTACAGATCTTCTCGTGCAGACTGAGGCCGTCCTGATGCACTCTTGGCGCCTTCCTCAGACTTTCCTTCTCCTGCCAGTACTTTTTGATCTGCGCCTCCTTCACCTTGCTCGCCTCCACCTCTTCTGGCGTCAGCGGCGCCTCCGCTTCTGTCTTCGCTTGCTTCGCGATCGAAACCTCCGTAGTCGTCGACTTCTTGACGTCGGGCTCCGCCTCGGTCGGAATCTCAATCGCATCCGCAGGGCCCAAAGCCGGCGAATCTTGTTTTAGCTTGCCCGATGCGATCCCACTCCCGGGCTTGGTGATTTTGTTGGACTTGCCATGGAAGGCGAGGGTAGATTGCGATCTCGACTTCGCCTTCGAGGACGCGGTCGGGCCACCCGATGTGCGGCGTTTTGCTGCGGGCATGTTTTATTCAGTCACGGCGTCGGTCTTCCCTTTGGATGCTACGGGGTCTGCGGTGGTGAGAAACACTGGCCGGTCTTTTTGGTGGTGACGTTCACAGGCATTGGCCGCGGTGGTGAGTGAGCACGGTCCGCTCGTTTCCCAGGTGACAGAACGCGACCCCGACGCCAAGAACGCCTTGGACGCTTCGCGTCAACGCGTGACCACCAAGCAAACAATTAGTTGTCCTCCTTTGGCACAGTAAGTCTGAACCCGCTCATTTCCTGACGCTTCGTTGATGCAATAATATGCCGCCTCGAAATTTGTCGTCGTCGAAAGCCTTCAAGTTGGCCGCTCTGAAGGTCCGTCTCAGGACTACTTAAGATTCATGTCCCTCGAAGTAGGCTTCCCAATGACGGATTGCAACACTTTCAACGGCATCAGCCATGCCTTTTCGCGGTTAAGGGTACAATACGATATGATTTAGTTTTGATTGTCACCACCTACTGGCTACGGGGAGAACTGTTCCGATTTTGGGTCTAGAGTCAACAAAGTTGGCTGAGCGCAGTGCTTCTGAGACAGTGCTCTCCTCGGACACGTGAGCATCGGAGTCGCTGATATTGGGCCACCTTTGGATTGCGACAAGGGTATGGGAAGTCTGCGGATTCGTAGATGAAGGCATACCAGTTCCTGAAAGAACCTTCTTACACGACTTATCGCATGTAGCCAAACGGGGACAAAGATCAAGCCTTCGACGAAGTTACATCGCAGCCTCTCCAAGTATTCTGCTATGGCCTGACATTTTAATGGATTTTGCGCTCAAAAACTTCACTTCAATGCATATTTTCAAGAGTCAAAATCAAAAGAATGTTGCCTTGCTTAATGCTCCGTTTTTTGAATAGGCTGACGCGATAAGATGAGACCTAACATCTGAATACTTTGGTTTGCGTTGCATGGTAGCCAAATCTAGAGCTTGTGTTAACTCTAGCATATATCGATCATGCCATTCCTCGATTTTACCGCGAATATCTATGCTCCTAAATTTTTCTGAATCCCAAACAGCACTGTTCTTGAAGTGGTATTAGCGTTGCACTATGTATGCGCCCACAGTGGAAACTTTTGGCATTTGACGGCGGCGACTTGTTCAAGCTTGTGGTTGTCTCTGGTAAAGCTATGGTAGCTTTCCCTCCTTCAGCGGCCCAAAGACTTCCGTCCATAGTTCGCTGGCTTCTCCCAAATGATATCCCAGAGTTACGTCGGCCATGCTCTTACCTTCGCCCATCGCCTCCAGCTGCCCGATTAAGTTGTCCAGACCGAACGCCTTGCCCACGGCTTGCGTTGCGCCGGCTTCAAACATGACATGGACGACGTGCACGTGGAAGTGGTAGTACGTGGGCTGGTAGTGCACGTATAGTTTCAACTGGTCCCGCTCTACATCCGGGTACAGCTTGTGGGTGGCGCTCAAGATCTTCGCGGACATGTCCTTCAGCCAAGGGACGTGCGCGTGCGAGAGGTCGCGAAGCGACCAGATGTCCCTCCGCTCGACGAGCGCGAGGACGTGTAGGTTCAGCAGCGTCGTCCTGTCCCAGTTCAGGTCCGGGAGGATGAGGAAGCCGTCCGGGCCGGGCTCGCGGAAGAACACGTCGTCCTGCTCGGTGCGGCCCTCGAGGATGTTGTACATCCAGTCCAGCCGTCCGTCGGACCGCTGCCTCTCCATGTACGGCCTCACGTACTTGCGATACACCTCCGGGGTCTCGCTGACCATGCGGAGCAGCTGCTGAGAGTACTTCTTGACGTGCTTCGGCGTGCACGGATAGATGAGGTTGACCTTCAGGTCCGGCGGCTGCTTGGTCGCCGCGCCGTCCTCGACAGGCGTGGACGTTGCCGAGGTCGACGACGAGGCCATAAACCAGAAGTAGATGTCATTGTTACCCAGATTCTTGATCTTCGAAAGCGACTGGGCAAGCGACGAGACGTGCGCAACGTCGTTTGCGAACGGCGCTCTCTCTACCACAAGCAGCGCTGGTTTGGACGCTATGCTACCCAAGAGCGATATGCGACGTCCAGCTTGGTCTGTTGATGGACGGAAAGGTACATTAGCTTATATTTTATTTATTCTCTATAGGCGATTTCAGACGAGACGATTCTAGTCACCTTGATTGAGCAGCCTCTCGAATACGAATTGAGGTATCAAAGCCTCGGCCTCAGCTGCGGGTAGGCTGCCTTCTCCCATCTTCACCCAAAGCAAAAGGTTATATAATGTACGATGTGGAGATTTGGTTGTGATTCGATTCGTTAATTTTTTTTTTCCTTTGTTTTGATTTACGTTTTTCGTGGTCGCGGCAGTGTCGGTTGGCCCGAAAATTTATCACATTCGGCAGGTAAAGTTTTTGATTGACTCGAAGGTTGTTGGTAGCGTTTTCGATTGGGATGATTCACGAGAAGAACGCAAAAGAAAAAAACAGTTGTCTCAAAACACACGAGAATATAGGTCAGATATAGCATACATACGGACCTCTAGCATGTACAATCTTCCTCTATCTTCTACAAATTCTCCAATGTGTCAGCAGCTCCACACTCCCACCACGCCGTCCTTCCGTCCTTCTACACAGTAACCGTCCTTTATCCTGACTCTCTCCACATTCGCCACAGCGCCTTCATTATCCTCCTGCACACCTGGCCCGCAGTTCCAGTGTCTCCCGTCTGCTTTATCGTAGACCTTCACGACAGGCTCACCAGCTGCCGCCACGATGCGACGAGTGTCGAACATCATGCTTGAAATTGGGTTATCGTACGCGAAGGCGTCATATATACTACCTGTGCGCAAGTCCCATATCTGCAGAGAAGAAAAAATGTCAGTCGTGTGCTTGAATGCACAAGCGAAAAACAATCATGCTCAAGAGAGCCGGAGAAACTTACGCGAATACTTCGATCCAGCGAAGCAGTCACCAGGTGGACGTCGTCAAACTGCAAACTTGAAATAGGCCCTGTGTGTCCCACAAGACTCCTATGCACAAGCCCGCTCCTCAGATCCCACAGTCGGACCATTCCGTCCGCCGTCCCACACGCAAGCGCAGCATCGAAGCACTGCAGCGCTCCCACAAAGTCTGCATCAGGATCAGGAAGGCGTCCTCCACCAATGATACCTTTCCACTGTCCATCGTGCAGTCCGTGTGAGGCCGAGGCTTGGGCCGCCGCCCACAGTACATCCAGCGTTTGAACACACCGCCCCTTTTCAAGATCCCATTGCCGCAATGTTTTGTCGGCGGAGCCTGAGACAAGGGTGTTCCCTCTGAAATGAAGAGCTGTAACTTCGGCGACGTGTGCTTGGAGGGTAAAGAGAGGGCAGTCTGCCATGGAATTTGGAGGAGGAGGCGGAGGTTGGTCTCCTTCATTCTGGAACCCAAGGCCGTCATCTTCGTCCTCCTCATCTTCTTCGTCGTGTCCATGTTTGTGGATGTGATTCGTATCCTTGGGTGCGTATTGTGCACGGCTCAAGTCCCAAAGCCGTATCGTCGCGTCCATGGAACCGGTGGCTACGATTTCGTCTTCAACCTGGAGACATCTGACCGAGGACAGATGACCTTCCAGCATACCCATACAACGTCCAGCGTGCAAATCCCATACTCGCACCGTGTCGTCTAGGGCAGCGGTGACAAGCGTGCCGTAGGGATAGTCAAAGTCCAGAGCTGTGATGACGTCGTTATGCGCCTGCATCTCTCGTATTTTTGAGCCAGGCTCTAGATATTCGTGCAATATCGGCATCGAAATTCTTCTCGTAACTCTCATCCTCCGCCTTGTCCTTGGGGAGGGCAACTTCTCATATATCGATTCGGACATAAACTCGCCCGCTCTTTCACCGAGACCATTTTCCTCATCCCCTCCAGAGGTGGCTTGCGAACTCTTGCGTGCTAGCGCAGCTGCATCTTCCAATTCTTCCCGCAGATCCTCTAATCTGTTGTCGACGCCGAGCAATTCCTGTTCCAGATCCACCTCTTCCTGCTCCAGGTTTGCCATTCGCTCCAGAACAATCTTCCGCATCGTATTCAGGTTCGAGATCTTGGTGTCTATCTCTCGTATCTCGGAGCTGCACATGTTCTTGCGTATGCCCAGCATCTCCAGTCTATGTCTCAACGTGAACTTCTCGTTTTTCAGCTCTACCAGTTCTGGCGGCCCATCTAGATCTTCATCCTCGTCACGCGCAGCCCTTTCTGCGTCCGTGAGTAGCTTCCTTCCCCTCCCTTCCTCCCTGCCTTTTATCCTTTTCCTCAAAAGACTCTCTCGGTCCTCGGGCAAGCTCGCCTGAAATCCCTCGAAAAGACTGTAGCCATTGTTTGCTTCCGGTATGTTCTTTAACAGTTCATCGGGAAGGTATGCCAATGCCCTATGCTGTATCTCTGTCGTCTTCACGTTGCGGATCAATTCCTTGGGCGAGTTCTGGGCAAAGGAGAACATAGAGCGCTGGATGATAGGGCGGCGCATCTCCCTGTGGATCTCGCCGAGTGCATTCTGATAGTGATGTGAGATCGACCCGCTGCCCTCAAGGGGGCCCATCAGGTGCGATGCTGTGGCGGTAACTTTGCGCGAGAAGGCTTCGATTTGGCGGGTCTGCGTTGGATCATTAACTTCCAAAGCCAGGTCATGGAGTAGAAGAGATGCATACAGGGAGGATGGAGTCATCGACCGAGCCGCCCAGCGATGGACGCGCACTGTGTGAACGGCCCTCAGCCATGGTTTACATGTATTGTGATGCCCAGTAGCAGAACGAAGACTATGCTCGGACAGATGCAGCCAATGCTATGGAGCACGCGTCATTATTAATGATTGTAAGAGCAGGAAAAGGCGAGGATATCGGCGATGGCGTAGGAGATCGGAGAGTCAACGGGGGTGGTCGCGTGTGCGCATGTCTTAGCGACGATGATGTTCCTCATAGGAAAGTTGAACAGCCTGTTTGCGGCCGAGTCGCTCCCGCAGCGCCCGTCGTTGTGCAGTGCGCCGCACGTCAAACGCCACACAACAGCGGCCCCGCAGACGAGCTCTGCCGTGTTCCTTGCACGTAACCGCCGCCGCCGCAGTCACCACAACCAGGACGCTCTGCTTCTGCCATATTATTCTTGGATCTTGCGAGAAACTCTGCTGAGCTGCACCAAAGACACTCGTCCAGCCATGGACTCGGCAATTGAGCACCGAGACCCCTCCAAGATCCTCGATCTGTCAAACATCCGCTTCCAGCTTATGTACGACTTCGCCGCCTTCTCCAGTTGACCGGACTCGCCTATGGCCTTTGCTTTGCTTGCTGACTCTCCAATCCAGCCGTCTCGAAGATACGATAACCTTCCACCTAATAGAGCGTGTTCAATTCCCCCTCAACTCCGCAATCTACAAGCCTGGTGCAATTCCTATACCCAACTCTGACCTCTCCCTCTTCGACTTCATCCTGCGCGATACCGAGCGTCTGCACTCTCTTGTGCGGCGCTACCAATCTCCGGATGAGTACCCCTTCTTCCCGGAGGCGATAGAAGAGCCCATCCTCAAGCCTCTGTCTTACCCCAAGGTTCTGCACGAGAACAACGTGGTGGTGAATGACAGATTGAAGGAAGCATACATCAACAAGATCCTGCCCGCGTGTTGCAGTCAGCCGAATCGCCCGGAAAGGGGTGAAGACCAAGAGAACTATGGCTCTGCGGCGACCATGGACGTGCTGTGTCTGCAGGCTCTTTCCCGGCGCATCCACTACGGCAAGTTCGTGGCGGAGTCCAAATTTCGGTCCGATACGGCTCGGTTTGTCTCTTTAATCAAAGCCAAGGACATCGCTGGTCTGGACGCTGCAATCACGGATGCTAAGGTGGAGAAAAAGGTGCTCGAGCGGCTGAGGCTGAAGGCGAAGACATACGGTACCGATCCGGACCTTACCAGCAACGACCAGGGGAAGATAAACGTAGAGGCAGTAGTAGACATGTACAGAGACTATGTCATTCCGCTTACCAAGGTTGTAGAGGTAGAGTATCTGCTGCAACGGCTGAAGGGCACAGAATGGGAGTGATGGATTGCTTGCGAGAGACCTGTACTAGATTGCTCGGGTTTGCATCCAATTTTTTTTCTCCTTTTCGAAACCGCATAGATGATCCACATTTAGACGCTGCTTGACAGCAGAACATGCAGCAGTGCAATTCGCATCTAACGTATGGGTATCGTGTTAAACGCTACAACAAAACAAAAGGGCGATACCGCGCTAGAACAGCAAGGCTAACCTAACCAACAAAATACTGACTTTGGCGTTTTTCAGCCTATCATCCCAGACGTTGGGCCCATTTGGTTCCCTCACTCTTCATTTTGACTTGACTCCAACCATGTTCTTGAAATCAAGCCCCGCTTCCCCTAGAACGGCGCAGTGCTCCAACGCTATCTCCATACATTTCGTGTATGTCTCGCTTTCCTTCTCCACGCTGCTCAATTGTCGTTCCAGCATCGCGTTGAAATCATCGACGTGCTCCTTCACCCACTTAACGCAAGCAGACATCATAGCCATGGGGAAACATGCTTGGTAAATAAGCGCAGTGTCCTTGAGGGATGTGAATGTGATGAAAGCCAGTTGGTAGATGTAATGCTGGAGGTCGCCTTCGAAGATGACTTGGCTGTTCGGCACAGTTCAGCATGTTGAACACTACTGCAACACAGAAATACGTACCGAATGTGCTTTTTGATGGTCTCTGTGCGTGCCTCAAGATACGCTTCCCGTGCGCGATCTTCGAATCCGAGACGCACCAGCCAATCCACATGCCTTTTGGTCGCAGTCATCCAACTTGGCGTATCCTTGAGATACCTTACGATGACATGCTCTAATTTTGCCGCTCGTTCATTCAGCTTTAACGTGATTAGACTCTGCGCAACATTGTTGTTCTTAATGCCTTTCGCGATACGTCTAAATTTCTCTACCCGGGAGACTGCCGCCTCAAATCGCTGGAGGGCTATGTCGATATCTAGTTCGTCGATCTGGGACTCGACCCACCGCAGAGATTGCGGCTTGCCGTCCACATCAATGAGAATATCTGAGCGCGGCGTGCTCGTTTCGGTAATTGCTTCTACAAGCTCCGCATTCTGGAGAACACCTGGGTCTCGGCCAGCCCAATAGCCAGCAACGTCAGATCTCTTGTCACGATTGAGATTCTCCTCCTCTTCTAGAGATTTCCGCAGGTCCTCTTGCGCGCGTCGAAAGTTGGTCAAGAGTTGCATCTTGACTTCGGCGTCAGCGCTGCCAGTTGCGAACGTGTATGATTCTGTGCCCACACGCACGTTGATCGCGTTGGAAGAGGGTGATTTCTGGCCCGCTCCACCAGGTAGCGCTCGAGTGGACAAGTCTGCAAGTTGTACGTCCTGCAGTGGCCAGCAACGAACAGCTACGAGTTGCCCCTGGCCTTGCGTTTGCTTACCCCCGGGTGCAGGGCCGTCAGCACGCTTCTTTTCTGCTGCAACAAGAAAGTGGTCATTCAGCAGGATAATATATACTCGTCTCCTAGGTTTCCACGTTGCCGAATTCAGTTCTACCCACCGAAAGTTCTCGTACACGATATGTCTGCCGGGTATTGCGGGCAGATACTTTTGCGAGCCTTCCACGCGCTTCCACAGCGCTGCCAATTGCGTGTTCCATAGAGCCTCGAGGTTGGCGACCGAGCTTCTGTTCGCTATCCGGCGTACCTTCTTAGTGTCTGCGCTGGCGTTGCTATTGGAACCACCGCTAGCAAGTGTGGCTTGTCCCAATGCGCCTGTAAGTTCCGCCATCAGGTTCCGCAGAGTACGCATCTCGCCCTTGAGTTTCTCTGCTTCCTTGCTGATCTTGATGAATTGGGAGCGATTGCGAAATACATTCTGGGTTAGGTCGGCCGAGGTCCTATTCTTAGCTTCGCGTAGATCGTATTGGTAGTTCTGGATTGCTTCTTCGGAGGCGTCAGCAAGTAGTGATGAAACGTCTGTGAGGCATGTTAGCTCAAGAGAACCGCATATCAGCTGTGGGTGCCTACACTGATCTGGCTTGAGGCCTGGGTTGGATAAAGCTTTGATGTCTATTTGAATTCTTGTACCTGAGTCCGTGGACGGCCGCCCATCTCTTGAAGGCGGCTGAACAGCAAAACTACCGGTAATCTTGGGCACGCTTGGTACCGGCGGCGCCGAAGCATCAAAGTCGGGCGGGAGGTTCGCAAACCGCGTCGAATATCGCCGCTGGATCAAATCTGCCGTAGTATCTCCATTCTGTGGCCTTGGGCGTGGCTTAGGTGCACCAGGAAGACCAGGCCTTTCTACAGAATTTTTGGTCCTGACACTGCTGTTGCTCAGAGAGTCGGTCGAAGCGTTGATCGGTAGCGGTCCGGAGATCTGCTTAGGTGCGCTGATCTTGGGTTTGACGGTGCGTTTCTTGCGAAGGGAAATGCCCCGTTTCTCTTTTTCATCTGACTTGCTTGAATTCATGGCGCCAGAGGTGCAGTCAAAACATGCAGTGTCGTCAATTGCATACCAGCTGGCAGGAGCATGTCGGGAGGTACATCATCCGCGCGGCTTGAGGCTTGCGGCCTGAGGCGATGAACTTGTCGTGTGGCTCAAGAAATTATGAGCGAATCTGGATCGGTGCCCTTCACGAATTAAATGAGTTTGAACAAAATCATATGAAATCGTGAAAAATGTTCTCTCTCTTCAATATCGGGAGTCTTCCATCTGGCAAGTTCAATGAGAGATGCCATTACGAGAAGCCGCTAATCTTTCTTATAGAAGCACTCGAGCTATGGCATGTGCACAGAACACCAATTATATTGGCCATAGCCGTGATTCTCATTGTCTTCCGGGTATGGATACGGTTCTCCTGCAGAGATCAAGAAGATATCATCGATTTGAACAGAGAGAAATCCATCGACTCCGCGGAAACGCGGACCATGAATCATAAGCCACCAATTGATCATGCTCCGATTGAGTTTGGCTTCGATGATAATAATTTTAAAGCTGCTGATGTGACTAAAACGTCGAAAGTTCGTGGCAAGTTGAGCCCGAAAAGAGTGAATGGGAAGAAGAGGCAGGCAAAGCCTTTTTCTAACCTGCCCAGTCAGGGCTTCGATCCTGAGCAAGACTCCGTCAAGCCCCTAGTTTTCTTTTGCTCTCTGGGAGGCAATACTGAAAAGGCTGCAAAAGACTTCGCCGCCGATATCAACTCGTGGCGAAAAACTCTGGACGCCCCTTGTAAAGACCGCATCCTGGAGCCAGAAATACTCGATCTATCTTACATTGAGTATGAAGAGTACTTCGTCACCCCTCCGGCAGATAGCAAGGTCGAAAGTGCAAATAAGCGACCCAAGTATTTCTACACGATCCTGCTTCCAACATACAACATTGATTCTATTCTCGACAATTTTCTGGACCATCTCAAGGAGACACACAATGACTTCCGGATTGATACAGCACCGCTTTCACCGCTTCTAGGTTACTCTGTTTTCGGGCTCGGGGACAGGGAGGGCTGGCCGACTGAGCAAGAAGGATTTTGCTCTCAAGCCAGGGAAGTTGATAAATGGATGGCGAAGCTGACGGGAAGAAAGCGCGCGTTTCCTCTTGGAATGGGTGACATGAAGCTTGACGGCAAGCAGAGACTGTTCGAATGGAGAACAGGACTACAGGATGTGGTTCTTGAGATTGCCAAGGGTAATGGGTTAGGCGAAGGTGTTGTCGGTAGCGGGGATGCTATCGAGAGTGATGAAGATGATACTGATACCGAAGAAGCGAATGCATCGCAATCGCTGGACGACGTGGAAGATCTCTGGAAATCATATCGCAATCGTATGAATGGGCCAGTGCCTGTTGACTTTACGAACTACAACTCCAATTCAAAACCAGCTGATTCAACACCTCTTAAGGAAATGGTACCAAAAACATCACCCACCTACGCTGCACTCACTAAACAAGGCTACACCATTGTCGGCTCTCACAGCGGGGTGAAAATCTGCCGTTGGACGAAATCTGCGCTAAGGGGACGGGGTTCATGCTATAAGTATTCGTTCTACGGTATTAAATCGCACCTTTGCATGGAGACTACACCGTCGCTATCGTGTAGTAATAAGTGCGTGTTCTGCTGGCGGCATGGGACTAATCCCGTGGGAACGACATGGCGATGGAAGGTTGATCCTCCTGAGATGATCTTTGAAGGCGTTAAGGAGGGTCATTACAAAAAGATCAAAATGATGAAAGGTGTTCCTGGAGTAAGGGCGGACCGGTTCGCAGAAGCAATGCAGATCAAACATTGCGCCTTGAGTCTGGTCGGTGAGCCGATTTTTTATCCGCATATCAACGAGTTCACCAGGATGCTTCACAAGGAACATATATCTTCCTTCTTGGTGTGCAATGCTCAGCACCCCGATCAGTTGGCTGCATTAAATCACGTCACACAATTGTACGTCTCGATTGATGCATCTAACAAAGATTCCCTCCGCAAGATTGACCGTCCGCTGCATCGCGACTTCTGGGAACGCTTCATACGCTGCTTGGACATTCTTCGCGAAAAACGATTCACTCAACGCACTGTCTTCCGACTCACCCTCGTGAAGGGCTTCAACATCGACGACGAGGCGGAAGGGTACGCAGATCTCGTTGCTCGCGGATTGCCGTGCTTCGTTGAGATCAAAGGAGTAACTTTCTGCGGTACATCTACATCATCCTCTGCAGGTTTAACGATGCAAAATGTTCCCTTCTATTCTGAGGTATGCGCTTTTGTCGTAGCCCTGTCGAAGGCGCTGTCCAATCGAGGACTCAAGTACGGTATCGCAGCTGAGCATGCACATAGTTGCTGTGTGCTACTCGGTGATACAGATCGGTTCTTGATAAATGGAAGATGGCACACTCAGATTGGGTATGAAAAATTTTTCCAGTGCCTAGAGAGTGGAAAGGAGTTTGGGCCGGAAGATTACATTGGCGACCCGACTCCAGAGTGGGCCCTTTGGGGGAATGGAGGTTTCGATCCAAGAGATGAGAAAGTTGATCGGAAAGGCAATAAGCAAGATCTGCCGGTGAGCGGTGCAAGATTGGTGGAAATATAATGTCCTTAAACCGTCTTACGTGATTGACCTGAACATCTTATGCTGATTTATACGCGACTGTTGAAGATTTTCCGATAGTCAGCTTTTTCTGCTAATCACCAGAGAGTGACTTTCTCGAAATAAAAAATTCATTTTCGGCGTCCCAAAATAGGGGCTTCTAAAGAAAAACTGTATGATAATTTGCCCCGCAATAAGAGCTGCTTCCAACACGTGTGACGAATCACGGGCTGGCAACTGTTCGATATTTTCTTCTGTTACATGGTATCTTATATTGTTATTTCTTATATAGACCGGTACTAATGGAGTTCCCTCCCAGATGCTAGGCATCAGACGTGTGTCGTTAGCTGTTTTTGGGTGTCGAGTTAATTTAACTATTTTATAGGTATAGCGTGCTGTCAAAGAAACAAGAATTGATGGGAACAAAACTTGCCGTGCATTTCCAGGGATATTTTCTTCTCCTCAATAAACATGAAGCATACATATATTTCTTCAGCGCCACAAAGAGCGAGAAGCAGCTAAACTCATGCAGTCAGATCTAGGTAGCATTCGACAAGCGCTTAAACTGACTTTGAAGTAACCTTCATACAAATCGACGTGAGTCTGGCCAATTATGTGGCCCTGAAGCTTGAGCTTCGAGAGCGTCTTACGCTTAGCTTACCAATACCAAGAAAATGGGGGCCGGACAAGAGTGAATACATAAATGCCGAGTTTGCAAACATCAGAGAAAAGCGTAGATATTATAGGTGCAATTCACATTGAGCACAGAATACTGGCTATTTGCCGAAAGTACTTATCATATCCTGCCTGGACAAGTTAAAATGAGCAGCACAAAAGATGTCGTCTTCGTCTTGGTCCCTGGATCCTTTGCCACAACAGTGATGTATGACAAAGTCATACCGATTCTCGAAGAGAGAGGATGTACTGTTAAGCGAGTTGAGCTTCTCTCGGCTAATGATGGCAGCCGTAAACCTGCACCACAGATGCAAGATGATGCAACTGAAATCAGGTCTCATATCCTGCCCATTCTTGATTCGGGTAAAAATGTCGTCCTTTGTCTGCAGTCGTACTCCGGGATTCCGGGCAGCGAGGCTTGCAAAGGACTCAGCAAGAAAGATCGAGGAGATGGCAGTCCTGCAGTTGTTGGCATACTGTATGCCGCATCGTTCTTACCCGACGTGGGCGAGAGCGTGCGCTCAATCATGGATGCATATATTCCTGAAGTCTACAAAGTCGGAGTGCCAGGAGGCTATTTTCCACCCGTGCCTCCTGAAGTTGCGGCGGCCACTTTCAACGATGTAGCCGATCACGAAGAGGTTTCAAAGTATGGCCGTTCTATGACCGGACAAAGTTCGGATACGTATAGTGGCAAAGCATCATACGCCGCGTGGAAAGATATTCGGGGCACAACCATCATCCCTCAGGCGGATCTCATTATCGCGCCAATGGAGCAGGAGAAGATGTACGAGCGAGCCAATGCGATGGGTGCACCCATAAAATGCATCTTAGTGAAGGGAGGCGGGCATGGTATAACAGTTTCTCAGCCAAAATTAGTAGCTGATGAACTGATGGCTCTGGCCGAGGCCTAGGCAATAGGTGTGAACAAGGCTTAATTGTAAAGCAGAGTACGCTAAGATGTCAACACATTCTCAGTAGTACTTTGGAATCATGATGATTCAAAGCTATTTTTTCATGGCGACATACAGTGCCTGAAGTGTTGCCATGGAGAACCCCCCTTTAACACGAGATCGGGGTTCCAGCCGAGAGATGTTGTGATGACAAGCATATACATTGATTCTACCATTTTCCCATTTCTTGGGGGGGAATGCATAATTACTGTAATCCTTAATGAATATAACCGATAATGATCGACATCACTTCGGTACCGCTGAGCATGAGACCGCCGAGCATGAGACCGCCGGTCCACGGTTCTATTCTAATTGAAAATGAGAATTCCAAGCAAACGCGTCAATGAATAATGAACTTCATGATCATTAACAGTAAAGCTTCTGTTTTGCAAACTAGGTGTTTCTAAGGAGTCGATTTGTAAATGTGGCTATTGTATTCGGTGGTCGACGTACCGCTGTATCATTTGGTATTATGCCTCAAAGCCTTGTTATTGTGGCTGTGCTGTTACCCCGTTCACTGCGCTATGTGGCGCATGAGAATACGTCACTTCCAGTCTTGTACATGATGCATTCTTCACCAGCAGTACGCTACAGCAAGCATAATTTCGAGCCTATTTGATCATCTCTTATCATAGGTGCTATCATGGCTTCGTCTTCGTCTGCATCTTCACCGCTCCTCTATTCGTGTATCGCCTATAACACCACCATCCTGGCCGAGCACACGACGTCGGCTTCCTCACAAACAAGCAGCCTTGCCTCCCTCATCCTACCAAAAATCACTCATCAGCAACCACAAAAACTCACATACACAAGTGGATCCAATTTTATACACTATATTGCCCTTGCGCCCTCGGAGTACCCGAATGCCCCGTCAGCGGGTGGTTTGACCTTCCTGTGCGTTGCCAATGAATCGCTAGGCCGCCGTGTGCCTTTTGGATACCTCCTCGAAGTCAAGAAAAAGTTCCTCGGCGATTATGCGCCTGAATCTACAGACTTCGCAAGTCTTCCACCGTATGGCTGCGCAGCTTTCAACACTACGATGAAGAAGTTGATGATCAGTCACGGAACAACCGAGGCGGGGCAGAATGACGCGATCAGAAATGTGCAGCGGGAGATGGACGACGTACGAGAGATTATGAGTGAGAACATCGAGCGAGTTCTCGAGAGAGGGGAACGGATAGATCTCCTTGTGGACAAGACGGATCGATTGGGTGGCAGCGCAAGAGATTTCAGGGTGAGAAGTAGAGGACTGAGGCGAAGGATGTGGTGGAAGAACGTCAAGTTGATGGTGCTGTTGTGTGTCGTCATTGTCTTTCTGATCTACCTACTAGTCGGCATGGGTTGTGGCCTCCCTGGTTGGGGTAGATGCATACATCACTGATTATCAAGCGCAAGGTGGTCTGGTGAATGTGTAAAGACTTTCATTTCTGTTAACAGCGGTTACTCTTGTACAATTAGTGTGTATATGTGAAGTTCTGATGAGACCTTTGACAATCTACAGTTTTGCAGTCTCGGCTTTGATCTCTCTGAGCGCCTCTTCTCTCAACAACCGCTTCAATATCTTTCCGCTAGCAGTCTTTGGGATGGTGGGCACAAATTTGACACCGCCTGTCAAGTGTTTGTAGCTTGCTAGCTGAGGCTGTACATAGTCCAACACCTCCCTTTCAGATAGTTCATCGCCTTCTCGCAGCACGACGCGTGCTTGGACAAGTTCAGCATCAGGACTGCTAGGCAGCGACAGTCCAATAACTGCGGCGTCGATGATTGATGGATGAGACAGAAGAATTCCCTCGATCTCATTCGGTGCAACTTGGAAGCCGCGAACCTTGATTAGCTCTTTTTTACGGTCCACAATGTACAACTTCCCAGTACTTTTCTCTATATATCCTACATCTCCACTGTGGTAGAAGCCATCCGCGTCAAAATCTCTGGAATTTGCCACTGGATCATTGAAATAGCCGCGGATGATGTTAGGTCCACGAACGCACATTTCGCCTGGCACGTTAGACTCCAGGATCTCCTCGCCATTATCATTGACAAATTTAATATCGTGATTGGGGAGCAGATAGCCCACCGTAGCCAAACCTGATTCCGGATATGGTGTCATTGAGATTACGCAGGAAGACTCAGTCATTCCCCAAACTAGCAATATCAAGTCAATTCTACATGCTATATAGATTTGTGACTGTGGAGTATATCATACCTTGCGTGACTGCCCCATCGATGAGGTTCTCAAACCGCTGTTGCAGATCAGGATCCAGCGGCGCTGCTCCAACAGTGGCACGTTTCAGACAGCTGAAATCATAGTTCTTGACGTTAGGGCTCATGACGATCCTGAGGACCACGGGCGGCACGACCATTATCTCCGTTGGCCTGTACTTGTGTATCGCAGCCATGAATTCGTCCACGTCAAATTTTCTCATCAGGTGCATTACAAATCCGGATCTAAGTGCAGAAGTGTGCACCATTGGGGCCATTGCAGCGTGAAACATGGGCAAAGCTATGATGGTGCGAAGATCGTAAGGTTTCTTTGGGATCTGGCTTTCCCACACCAGCGTATGCTGGGAGACGAGATTGTGGTGCGACAGTTCGGCCGCTTTAGGCAGTCCCGTGGTCCCCGAGGTGGTAAGCCGCATTGCGGTGGTGTTCTTAGATTCGTTTTCGTCCTCGAAGCGAACCCAGTCTTGCTCACCATGGTCAAGTAGGCTTTGCCAACTAGGCAGCTCACTATTTTGCTGGCTGTAGGGGTCGAAAAGGAAAACCTTCGAGCTGTCGATGCTAGAACGTTTCATTGCTTCCAACACTGGTGATAAGAGCTCAGGTTCTACTAAGAAGAGCTTTGCTTTCGTGACTGAAATATGATGAGTGAGTTCGCGCGGCGTATACGCCGGGTTTGTACCCGTGTAAACGCATCCTGCCCCTATGATACCGAGAACAGTTATGGGATAGTATAACTAGGCAAAATCAGTCTTTGAGATTTGGAGCTGTTTTTCTAAACCCACGTTGTTGAAGGAGTGCACGCACACCGCGTCTCCCTTTTGCAATCCTGCACTGTGGAAGCCAGCTACAAGACGCCGAATCATCGACCTTGCCTGTCGTGCGCTGATCGATTTTGACGGATCTGCGGCATCTATATAGACTGGCATATCCGAATCATAGCCAATATCATCAAAGATCCATGATATGAGGTCTTTTTTAGGGATTGGCACATGTTCCTTTGCCAGAAATGGCATCTTGGTGCAACAGAGCAAGTCGAAAACAAAAGTATCTTCTCAGCCACACTGAAATTCTACAGTGAACGATGGAATAGGATGTGGAAAGAAAGTTTGATATGCAGACCGTAGATGCCAGTCTATATCGAAGTCGTAACATTAAAGTTTTTGCAAATGAATGAAATGTCTCACCATTCGTCTACCAATGGGTGTTACCCTGGCTTCAGCTTATGTCAGATCTGCATACGGGGAAGGCTTTTATGTCGGTGCATCTTCCTTTTGCGGCTTACTTTGAATAAAAACAGCAATGGTTTGATTACTGATTGCAACTTCACAACGGGTTATGCAGCTTGTTGATACGTTCGGCCAATTATTTGAGTGGAGGGTGGTGTGAACAGAGATGCCTATCGGTTTTCACTACGGCATACACGGGATGCGTTGCGTGAATTCTGAATGGTTAGCATAGGTAAGTTTCTATTAGGCAGACGAAATCCAACAAGCAGGCATCTGAATGCTCCTTTAAGTGAATGCCTAGGTTAGTACTCACAGATAGCACGCGGGATCGGAGGATGTAGAAAAACATTACATCAGGACGCCAGCATAAGTAAACGTGCTTTCTATGAATTTCACTGGCGATATAATGAGACTAACCTGAGGTTCAGCTAGGAGACTGACACATGCGTTCATGAGGAGAAAATAGTCCGCGGAACTGGTCTACGAGTCATTTACCGTCTTCATCCCAGAGAACATGCATCATCTCTCTGCGTCGTTAGCATAACTAGGAGAATTCTCAAAATTCTTAGAGGTTATGCTTGCATGAGTGTCCTATATCAGTACTTGCCTCTTAAATTTGAATTAATCGTCTTTTTGGATGAACGCGGAAGCCCGAAGCCCGAAAGGTTTGTTGTTCAGCCGATTCGGCATTTGACACGCCCATCATGACCAAATTGAGACGGTCGTCTTACACGAAGGAACAACGGACAAGTAACTTAGTCTCAGTTCTTGATTACAAATCACGACGACACTTCACATTCACTTTGTAGTTTCAACCTCTTGGAATGGAATCTATGCTGTTGCTAGTACTTCAGCCATGTCGCAAATTGTTCTCTTTGACCTCCCTTCAAAAGATCGATGTGCCTGCTGGTCTTACAACCCGTGGAAAAGCAAGCTTTGAAATCCTCTACAGGCAGTAAAATTTAGACTAATGTTGCAACATAGCCCGATTGTCCCTAAATTTCAAAAATCTAGACTACGAAACAGAATGGATCGAATATCCGGATATAGCCCCAAAATTTAAGTCCTTGTTCGTACACTCAATTTCCTTGGTATACATAAGCTGGACCTGACCTAAAAATAAAGCGGCATTCCAGAAAACAAATCCGGGACAAAGTATACAATTCCTGCAGTGCGCCTTACAGATGGAACATACCTGATGGACTCCCTTCCAATTGCGAAGGCTCTCGAGAAGGAATATCCCACGCCATCGTTGCATCTCGATTGGGAGACTTTGCCGAAGGTATTCGAGAAAACGACGCAAATTTTGGACATCACCACACCCTGGTGGAAAGCTAAGATTCCGCGAAATGTCCTCTTGCCACGATCGGCCGAGTACTTTTCACGCACTCGGGCTGAGAGACATGGCATGCCTCTGGAGCAGCTTGAGAGCGATTTTGCAACCGAGCAGGTCTGGTCGCAAGTAAAGCCTGTCGCTGAGCAGCTTGGTGCGATTCTGAAAGCCAGTGGAGGCCCGTACTACATGGGATCATATCGTGAGTGTAGTCTGTCTACGAAGCAGGCATCGATGAAATCTGATTCGAACTTCTAGCGTCCTATGCTGATTTCGTTACCGTTGGTGCCCTCCAGTGCTTAAAAAGGGCTGATGAAATTGTATTTCAGAAGCTTGTTGGCCTTGAACCAGAGTTGCTGAAGCTTTATGACGCGTGCCGGGAATGGCTGGAAAGGGACGATCATTAAGTTAGCCATAACTCTAGTTGCTCTAACTACTCATGTAAGTTGTCTTCGAGAATATCAAAGCATAAGCTGAAAAAGGTAACCTCACCTTTGATATTTCCGCGTCAAAGCATCTCGTTGTCAGCAATTGTCCTTGTGATTGTACCCTGTCCTCTCTCACTCTCCCTCCCTTTCCCTCCCTCTCGTGAACATGGGCGCTGAAAGGCAAAGCCGAGTCTAGATCTAGCAACAATCTGTACCGATTTCAATATTCTAAGGCATAAATTGAGCATTTTGAAACATCGTAGATACAATACCTACTATCAATACAGAGCACTTATTGCATCTCATGATTAATGAATGCAGAACCCTGCTCAGGGGAATTTCATGACTCTTTTTTCATGTATAAGAGCTTCGAACGAGATTCGGAGGCCATCACCTAAGCAAAATTCTCATGAAGAGAGGGTCTTGTTCATGACTGGATATCTTGATCAAAAAATGTCTAGGTGTTTGACCGGCTACGTTGAGCAAAAACTGGCTCAACTCTGCAAGGTGAAGAGACTCCCAGTCAACGAGGATAGATCACGGCCTTGGCAATTCGGCGAGTCAAACGTATTCCCAAAAAAAATCGATTAGAGCAAGGTGGGAATCATTGAAGTTCTTAGTAACCTTTCACGTCATTACATATCAAATACTAGCGTCGTGGGCGAAAACAGTGCGAGAGATCTCCATTTACATTGTGGACAGGTCTGAGGGATTTTTCAATTCAATTCTAAGCTTATCAAAACAGCGAGAGGACGGCGAGCGCGCAATCCAATAGAGCGCGTGGCCAGCATTACCGTCCAATATTTCCTATGCAGAACGCCACGCCAAATGCCTTTGCAATTATAGCAACCCCAGCAAGCTTCCATGATCACTCCTCGTGGTTCATACATGAGATCTCTCTAGGTAAAGCCATCTGGATCACGGGCTCTTCACCAGATGCGGTGACGGCTTTGGGGGGCCAGTGCCCGCGCGACGCCGCCTCTCACGCTCACGTGGACTTACATCCACATGCTTACGATTAAACTTACTGCCCATGGTTCGCAGCCAAATATCGTCTTCGGCATCACGACCAAGCCAGTAGCTGCGTCCAAGGCCAACCATAACTCGGCCAAGCTTGCCCTGCCAGCCTTGGCCATCCTCCTTATGCGCTTCAAACGGGTTCTCGGCAAGATCTGAGCTCTGGCTGCCATCGTATAGGTTGTAATTGTGCGTGCTCGTAACTTGGATGTGATGATGCAGCATTTGGCGCGCATAAGCCATAACGACGAAAACAGCGTAGAGGCGAAGAATCCAGAAGCCGCCAATGATAGCAAGACTCATCATGCTTCCTGGACCTGTAAATGCAGCCCATAGGCCAGGTCCTCCACTGGCTGGTGAATCTGCAGGATAGCCGCCAACCACCGCATCTTGGGCTGGTTTTGCGCCATCCGCTGGAGTAGCAATCACATCAACATGGCTGACATTGTGCTTCGGGTTCGTGAATCCGCTCGCATCGCTCAAGGTCTTGCCGCCGGGCGTACTTGTGCGATTGTCATGACTAGCGACAACCATGAACCATGCGACGGCGAAGAATCCGGTGTATACAGCGTTGATCACAGTGTCGATGGCGTACATTTGCGCAAAGGCAAGACAATGCCATGCTGACCCAGTCTTGATATGCGGTGACAGATAGACTGTAGCAGCGAGGACAACAAGAGAATAGATGTACATGGAAAGCTGAAACGCGGAGATTGGGTACCCGGTAAGGAGGGCGAGGATACCGTAGAGGCCAGTGACTTTGTTGATGAGGTGAGTTAGGAGGATAAGCTGTACTCCAGTGCGTAATGACATGAACACCAGGAACTTCTGCATGAAATCTTATCAGTTTATCACGTCCTGTAAGCTGCAATCCTTTTTAAGGGTCACGCACCGTAGGTCGGGGCACCATCAGCGCCGACCGCCCGAGCCGGAGCGCCATGATATGAGTTTGCTTGAGGAAGCGAGGCGCAAATCGGACAGGCGGGCCGGTTGCAACGTTGTTGGTTATGGTGGGCAGTTAGGCCATGAGGGAAGAAAGTATGTTGTTCATGGCGGAAGGTTCGGATGTAGCCACTGCCAAGAAATGAAGGAGCGGTCAGCGAATCAGAGTCCGCCGTGCACATGGAGTTCTAGCTCACCAGTCTCCTTCAATCTTGAGATGGTTGCGAACAAGATTGCTTGTTCAGAAGTTGCTCGCATAGTGCTGTCAGTATTCACTCCACTACCACACCATATACACACGTGATGCGATGCTTTCTCTCTTTGTAGTGCTGCTCGCACGTATTTCCCCATTCAGCTCACACGTGCACCAGCATGGGTCCGTCTAAGCTGGGTAATCTTCGCAGGGGGGGTTCGCCTCCTCTCCAGCACGCAGTAATGCTACTAGCCAAAAACGATAGATCTTGGCCTCGGAATGGCCTTTAGATAGCCTGTAGGCTGGGCCAGTATGCCTGATCATGCGCTAATCAGAGTGTACTCGTGAAACAAGCGATTCATAGTCTAACAGTTGGCTCATTAAATTAATTTTGCTCGATTGCAGATACTATTTCGAGCCAAACGGTATCTTATAAGGAGTCATGGCCGGACAGACGACGGTAGTCGTCATATCTGCCCTCATTCTCTTGGGAAGCGGACTGTTCAGCTGGTGGAAAACCTCGACGATCGACTTCTTGTTCTTGCTTGACACATGTCTTAGTTCTCTGCCTGCTTCTGATATCAAGTCGAATCTCTTAGCTTCAATAAAGGCAAGCTACTTCGTTCAGATCCAAGCTGAGATATTCGGAAATTCACGCTAATTTTCTAGCAGGACTTCACAATGGCGGTGTCTTCCGCTGGTCAACTATTCGGAAGCATTGCCACCGTCATCTTGGTCCATATCCAGCTTGCTTTGGCACAGAATGTGTCTACAGGATTCAGCCTCGGCGCTCGTGCTCTGGCGCCATTGGACCCTCCTGTCAAGACTGCGGATCCGCTGGGTACTTACGGTGTTGGCGTTCGAAGAGAGACGTACGATTTCGAAGATCGTCAGTTGAACGTGAGCTGGTGGTACCCAGCAAACACAGCCTCTGGTTGCAAGATATATCTCGAAAGCGGCGGCATATACGGTACTGCTTGCTCGGAAGCGCCGTTGGATACATCGGGTGGACCATACCCACTGATCCTGTTCTCACCTGGCCTTGCTGCTCATGATGACACCTACTTCTTTTACTGTCAGAACCTTGCAAGTTATGGATATATCGTTGTCAGTATCAATCACCTGGATGCTACCAAGGCTGCTGTTGCTGCCAATCCAATCGCATACATTTCGGCCATTGTACAAGCACTTTTGAACAATTCCAGTTGGACCGTCTGGCTGATATACTCCAACTGGTTCCGATCTACACACTTTGCACTCACTTATCGCCCACAAGAGCAGCAATTCATCCTCGACCAGGCCATCGCGGCTGCTAGCAATTCATCGTCCTTCTTTAATGGTATGATCGACACGAACAACATTGGAATGAGCGGCCATTCCTTGGGCGGCTTCTACACCTTGATTAAGGGAGGCGGCTTGGCAATATACTGTGATAAACCACTATCAGCCTCAGAGAGTAATACTCAGAATATTCTTGTCACCGAAATCAGCATTTGTGCGTGGCCTGAGGCTAAGAACCTCACCTCTCCGCAGGCTCTACACGACCCACGCATAAAAGCAATAATTTCCCTCGCTCCTCCTCTGTTCTTCCAGTCAGAGGATGAGATTTCACGAGCGGCAGCAGCCATTAAAACACCCATGATGATCATAACCGGCAACGATCCAAAGCTAGAATCTACTCTTGCTCCTCAAGAACAAGTCTATGATTCTGCTACAACGCCAAAATATATAGTCGAAATAGATAATACCGATCACTTACTAGTCAGTGAAGCCTACCAATTCAATAAAGGTCCTGGCTCCTTAATCAGTGCGGAGGATAAGGCGAACTTTACAGAAAAAGCCACTGTGTATGAGGTTTACTCAAGTGCGTTCTTCGATGTGTACTTGAAAAATATGACGGAAAGGAAGGGTGTCATGCATAGCAAGAGCTCGGAATTTGTGGCTAAGCTTGAATATAATGATTAGCTTCTAGCCTTCAAATGCGTACTTCTAAAGTGAATGCAGGAGCGTCTAGGACAAGTGCGATCCTCTGTGGAAACATACTTCGTGCTGGGCGTTTATACCCGGTGTCAATCACCGCGCAATAGTTTTTCGTAATTCTCAAGTGAATACTAGGTCATATATGCAAACGCTTGGCAAGCGAGAGGTCCGCCTTCATCTCGATGTGAAAATGGCTAAGTTGAGTGAGATCAACGCATCTCTTGATTTACCTGTTGTGCTTGATAATTTTTTGCACATGCAATCAGAACCTCTGCACTTACTTTGATCCATATCATTGATGACGGGCTCCTGGCCAGTCAGCATATAAGATCAAAATCCTTTCATCTAAGTCACCAAACACTACATATTATCAAAGGTACAACTACATCGTCCAAATCCAAGCTTCATAGCCTATCTTTGCCAAGCCATTGAACAAACAACGCTTCCAATCGTCTACCAGTCACAATGGCGCATTTGGATATGTTAAAATCTGGCGACTACGCAGCTGTGATTGCGTATGTCACTGAATACGTGGTGGTGGTTGACTTTCTTCATTCGAGTGAGATAACACTCGACTTGGTGGTGGGTGAAGAAGTCGAAGTGATCTTCAGAGATGACGGTAAGGCCCTCAACTCAAGAGATCGAAGTTTTATAGCGATACTCAAACTCGTCAGAGAAGTGGTGGTTTGGCCGTCTTATTGGGACGCACGAGAAGGGTGTGTTTCCGGCATCATGCGTAAGGAAGAAATGGCCAGTGCCTCTAACTGGCCATGGCCGTAACGACCGCCACTTCACATCTTTCACAGCTCTTCCAAGCCATATTCGAGAGAAGATATATGATCAATACTTTGGCTTGGAAGAAGATGCAGCGATTCGCGTCGTGCGACCAGCAGAACGCGATGCTATCCTGGCTCAGCCGACTCAGCTTTGGATTTACCAAGACTCGGCTGGAGTCACCCGTACCACAAGGCTGCTTAGGAAAACGGATATCTTCGCAACCAGTCGTTTTGTGGCCAAAGATATCGTTCATTGGCTCATCTTGCGGTATAGGTTGCGTATTGTGACATACGATACGACTACCAGCTGGTTCCAAGAGAGAGACGATGCGAGCGACGATTTTTTCTATCCACCTCGAACGGCAAGCCTCACGCTTCCGCTGGTGCGATTCACAAGAGCTGTTAATCGGCTCGAAGTTGACGTCAAGTACCTCATCAACATCCCTCAGATGATTGCCAAGAGCTGCGATCTCTGCAAGATCACAAGCCTTCGGTTGACCTTCAGGGCGTACAGCACTGCCATAAAGGGCTACTATCTGACCTTCAAAGACGTTGTACACGAACTTGAAAGCTTGGAGCATCTGCGCGTGAAAGATGAAGTAGAATTTATATGGATAGAAATGGAAGAGATGTGTGAGACGTATTCTGCGTTGGACAGAGAAACGTATTGCAGAGGGTTCCTAGAGGCTGTAGAGATATTGAAGCGGAAGATTCGAACGAACTGGATAAAGCAGTATGCGCCGCAGCGTTTACTAACACCATTAGGTGTCACAAAGAATATATTTAAAAAGTAAAAATAGGGCGGTTGCAAGCGGTTCAAAGCGAATGGCAAGGGCATGTATTCATCATATAATGGCTTTTACGGCATTAATACAATTTGTATGACGATGATCATATTGAGAAAGCACGTGACAGCGTCATTGGGCCTTCTGAGTTCTAATCAGAGCAATCTTCAATAGTTTATGTCAAAACCATCGTCAGCGCAGAAGAACTCAACTTATGCAGAGTTTTGGTTTTGATGTTATCAAGGTCCTATAAAAACGCATTCGAACCCCTTTGCTATCCAATCATGAATTTTTCTTCCGAGCACGTCGAAGGTTTTTAAACAGTCCGGCTTTCACCTCGGAAATTCGCAAGGGTCGCTAGAGTGAGCGACGAGAAATCACAGCACGTTCTCGACGCTCAAACATGACTTGCATCTAGTTTCCGCCTTCTGTTGTCAAAGAAAATCCGAAATGTCGAACAGATCGCTGAAACCTCTAGTGACGATCACTCAGGGTTGGCCCAGATCCCTATTCGTACGAACCGCGAGACGTTGACACTCCTGTATATATTCGCCAGCCTCTTGGCCCTCTCCTTTAAATAACCAGCTCCACCAAATATCTGCCTCTGGTTTGCCGTGTCTCCTTACTCGTAGCGACGATATACGAATGGTGATATGAAATACCGTGATGCCTGCGAAACGCCGTGGAGCCCTCCAAGGCCATACCTAGGGCTCAATCGTTCAGCTGATTGAGCGACGGCCCTCGCCTCCCGAGGTAATGAGACCCACTACGCCGACAAACATGCAAGAGTGCATGAATTCTAGGTGAGCCATTCCAAGGGATTCTCTCGCTAGGATGGGGCTTTTGTGCTTTCTATGCTACGAATGTGCGTCTCTTAGAGTCATGCGATGGAACTCAGCTAGTGTTTGGTCATATTGCTTCTTTGTTGCTCTGCCTTCATGTACCTATGCCTCCTATTCCCGACGCATATAGCATGTACTATCCGTAGAGGTAGCCATTTGCAAAACTGGCTTTCAATCATCTCGTTCTTTTCCCTTCTTCGTTCGGCATACCCTTCAACACACGATGTCTTCCAGAATGTTTATTATAATCAGAATATTGACGTTCTGCCCGTTTTTGGCCTATTCTTGGAGTATGATCGATAAATTCGACGCTAATACTTGGTCTAGCAATATGTACTTTGAAACTGTGAGCAGGATTGTGCTTTCAGTCAGATTGAGCTGAGTTCATACAGGAGGCTATGAATGGCGAATTTGTAAACTATCTCGCTAAAGAAGCCGCTGTATCGAGCGGCCTAGTCCAGAATAAAAATGGACAACTCTATCTCGGAGTCGATAGTTGGTCGACACTGGATCCTAACGGCGTAGGACGTGCTAGTGTACGAATCCGGAGCAATAAATACTACAATTCTGGAACATTGATCATCGGTGACTTTGCCCATATAACTTCCAACGTGTGCGGAATTTGGCCTTCATTCTGGATGGTTGGCCCGCAGTGGCCGACGAATGGTGAAATTGACATCCTCGAAGGCGTAAATGAGGCGACACAAAATCAAGTCACCATTCATACGACTCCAGGGTGTGTTCCATATGTGGACTCGGAGGGCCAAACCGGAGCTATCATCGCAAATGCGGATTGTGGTGCTGGAGGAGGCGATGTTGGTTGTGGTGTCCTCAACACGAAATCCACTGGATGGGCTCCTGGGTTTAATCAAGTGGGCGGAGGTATTTATGCCGCTCTTTGGACTGGGTCCGCTATCAAGGTATGGCAGTTTCCGCGAGGTCAGATTCCTGGAGACATTTCCAGGGGGGAACCATGGCCCGAGAGCTGGGGCACTCCCGTCGCAAATTGGGTTGGATGTGACTTCTCACAGCTCATGAACAACATGCAGATTGTAGGATCTATAGAACCTCGTGTGCTTCCCGGGCTAACATTGATAGAGATTGTGAACACCGCCTTTTGTGGCAACTGGGCTGGGTTAGTGTGGAGTTCGGGTTCATGTGCATCAGCCGCAGCCACGTGCCATGCATTTGTTGCTGCTAACCCACAAGCATATTCAGACGCGTACTGGTTGATCAACTCGATCAAAGTCTATCAATAGCGCATTTTCGGCTTATGTACGTAACCTCTATGCAATACGGAAATCGAATATAGCACAATTGTCGCCTCCTGATCCGAATTTCAGATGCGTCGATGTTCCCAGAGATGATTTCTGTATCGCAAGAAGAAAAGACAAGAAGTGAACTAATGCTATAGTTAATTCTCCCGTAGAAGGGTGAAATTCCCAACTGCTCGACTTGATATAGATTTTGATTAATTAAGTTATGACTAGTTAGCCTTGTAATATTGTGACGAAATTATGGGCTTCATTGAAAACTATGTCATTACACAGACGTCGCGTTGACGACTGTGTCCAAGAAGTTCGCCCCCAGATGATTCTGTGCAGAAGCTCGAAGCGCAGTAATGCCGCTTGAGAAGTCATTAAACAAAGTGCTTACTATCGAAGCTCCACATTCTTGCTCTGAATGTGACGAATAGTCCACCTCACGCTTCCTTTGCTTGAGATTTATACCTGGACTAACCACTACACAGTTGTACTGAGACTCGGCTGCGCGCAGTTGGCAAATTGTATCCGTCTTGCAGCTTCCAGTGCATGCAGAGACGTCCCAACCCCTTGACTTCCGACTGATATAGTCCTGGAAAATACCATCGTCGTTCTCAAAAAGAGTGGTCACGTTATGCCAGAATTCGGGAGTTAACTCGGCGGCAGCGTCCGTTACTGCTGGCACGAGCAGCGAGCCGTATGTCTCCTTTGCAGAATAATACTTTTCCCACGTGGGCTTCGTTTGGTACGTCGGATCCGACATGTTCGCAATGTATGTCGTGAAATCCAGTACTCCAAATGTCACAGGGTCCACAGAATAGACACGAAAAGTAGGATTTCCAGAAGTGGGAGTGAGTGCTGGAGCAATATACGACATCATTGTCGCAGTGCTTGCGCTGGGGTTCGCGTTGTCAGAGTATGCGAGCTCAAACTCGTCTTTATGGGTGTGTCCGTAAAACGCCGCCGCGATTGTCGCGTCGTACCTTTGGATAATCTGATTGAAATAGTTCGAGCCGTCATGAAGAGCATCACCTGCTCCCTGAATGTTTACTATGTTAGACGATTTTGTATGCGCAAAATTATCGCCATTCACAGGCCATTCGGGGATGTACCCACCATTGGCATGTGTCCTAATAACCAAACTCTTTCACCGGCTGCCTCGGCTGCATCGAGCTCGGAAACTAACCATGCCAATTGCCCGCTTGGATCAGTCTCCATGTTCTTCTCGTAAAGCCAGAAGTTCTGCTTATAGTAGAGATTGGTGTTGAAAGATATCAACCGCAAGTTTCCTCCTGGATACTTAGCAGAATACGCGCCAAAGTTCTGGGCCGAACTCGCCGCGGTGGATCCAATCCATCGCGCCCAGTCCGAAGAGAGGGTATCATATGCCCATTGGCTGCTAATTGTGGTGTCCACGGCGGCGGGTGGGAAAGAGTTGACTGGTGCAACATCGTGGTTGCCTACAACTCCGTAAACTAGGTTCAAGTATGTAGGCATCCGCGTCACGTAGGCGTCGTTAAGATCGTTGGTCACCTCAGTCTGGTTTACGAGCCAAACGGCGCCTTCGACAACATCACCGGTCATGATTGTGAATGCTGCATTCGGAGCGAATGTTTGAATTGCTTCATACATGCTCTCCTCTAAGCTCAAGGGCGAGTCGCATTGGTGGTTGCCATATTCGCCAGCAGGGTAGCTAGTATTCCCTGGGGCGTCAGCCGCGGTATAAGGACGACAGCAGATGTTCTTGGTGCAATTGTAACTATGTTGTGATTAACATGATATATTTAAGACCGGAACACGGCCTGCCCACCTGGAGCCAACTTCGTAGAAAAGATCAACATGAATGTCGCTAATATGAACGACCTGGATAGGGGCTTGTCCGCTTGGGGGTGGTCGAGTAGCATTTGGACTCTTTGTAGACGGGAAGCTTACGGAATATTCTCTCACTGCAGGAAAGTCGCATAGTCCAAAGATGGTAGCACAAAAGAGTGTGGCTGTATGTGATCCGATGGTCATTTGGCGAAGATCGTGCGCGAGGATGGGACCTTGCTCGGCTATCGCACCTTCACAAACGTCGGCATCTTCAATCTACGTTTCCTATCAGCAAGAATAGGACGAGGCCATATTTCGAAACAGACCCCAGCGAGAATGCAAACTTCAGTAATAACGTCAACGAATGCAGAATTTCCAGCATGTGCTATTGCTTGCAGAACAAGCAAAAGAGCCTATATGCACAATCATCAGCATTGGACAAGTCGACAAAATGATTCACTCAGAGGGAATATCCCGACCTGACAACTAGTACATGTAGCAGCATTTTCGATGTCTGCTAGGATATCGCTAACAGTATCCCTCCTAGCCAGTCCATGATTGAGCGAGGCAACGGCGGCGCTCGCGGCGCCCGCAAACCACAACCACTTGAGTAGCATGCTGAAGTACTATTTGACATGTAAAGAACGGCAATGCGTGAGGGATTGTAAGAAGATTTCAGAAAGTAGAACGTGTTGATAAACCCTTCATAATCCACGTCGTGTTTGTCGCCGGTTCTATTGCTGGTATCTAACCAACAAAAGCAAGTCAATCATACATACCACGTTTCTGCCACTCAAGCACCTATTGCTGGGCCAGATATGAAATATAACCTATGTTATTTCACCTTGGGTTTACCGTCATACAAGGGGAAAATGGGGACAATGCCGGAGAGACAGGGTAGGACGTACTGATGCTGCATCGGCGATCTAACCCAAGACAGCTGGTATGATCATCTCCCAATTTCAGCCAGCAAAAGCATATTCCTTCTGCACAGAGCTGCCGTTCGACACAATCAAGGCTTCCGTATTGTCATCCTTGCAATGAAAATATTCTTCATCGGTTTAATGGGCAACTTAACAACGCTGGGGGTCTTCTTGAGAAGAATTATTGATATCATGCGGACTCTAGTTGGTATTCTTCACCAGTAAATAAGTGACACTTAGGACCGCAATACAAAGGGGTACACGTGGTGAAACTCCGCCACCCACAAGCAATTGGTATCAATAATCACCCGACATAGAATCTCGATTTCCATATTTATCAAATTGAATGGCGCCGTCGGTGTGAAAGTACAATATTGAATTACTATTAGTATTAAGTATTTTTAATGGATACTTCGGCTTCTTTGTTTACAATCAAAGCTCGAGACTCTGCGTTAGGACAATGTCAAGTACATTCTTGCCAACCATGAATGAATAATTGCCGCGATTAAGAACCCACTGTTGGGTATCAACGTCCCAAACACTTAAGTCTCTTCTTCGAAGTGGAAAGGCATATTCCGACGAAGCTCCAGGTTGGAGCAATTGCTTATCGAAACCACGAAGAGCTTTTGAGACCCCGCTTTGGGGAATGCCAACATACAATTGAGCGACTTCTGCAGCGGCAACATGTCCAACATTGGTCACTTGAACCGTGGCTGTTGCGAGTATGTCATATAGCGAGTCGTAACCACCTTGAGGAATTGGTGTGGTATTTTGGTCTGGCAGTTGGGACTGCATGTTTGCCGAAGCATTCCAGGACACTTCTAGGGAGCTGTACTCAAACTCGGAATACGTAAGCCCGTAGCCAAATGCGAAACGTGGCTCGATTCCGTTGAGAATGAAATGCTTGTAGTCAATCGCCAGTCCCTCGGAGAAATTAGACTGAGAATAGAACGGATTGTCCACCGTAGGATAGTCAGGGTTGAGCAGAGCACCGTAATCCGCTTCATTATGCGCGACAGTGTATGGGAGGCGTCCAGATGGCGACTGGCGTCCATAGAGAATCTCAACAAGGGCGCTTCCGCTTGCTTCACCAGGAAGATGTGCATACATGGCTGCAGTCACGTTGGGATGATCGATCCACTCATCAACCAAACGCACGCCAGCATTGTGTATGATTACAATGGTGTTTTTGCATTTTGACGCAACGTTCGTCACAAGCGTGTCTGAGTACTCGTTCTGCAATTCCGTGCGATCCCAGGATTCCGGTGACTGTGCATTGATGAAGACCAGGCATGGCCCGCTCGAAGACGCAACATTCGGATTTTGAGATTTGAAGTCCGTATAAAGCGTGGTATTGTCCAAAGCGGCCTGCTGAACGAGAGCATCATACGGGGAGACGGCAGTAGCGGGTGTAATCGCTCCAGAACCTGCACCAGTGTTCATCGTACCATCAAGGGCAACCTGTGGACAACGATGCGAAGCACTTGCAGCCGAAGCCATGTTTAGGTCTTCATCAACGATTGTGAAAGGTGCTCCATTCACAAAATGTTGGGTGTTGGCAAGACCGTATTGAAAGAGAGGATCAGAAGAAGAGTTGGCTCCCGCTATGGCATCATAGCCAAAAATCGATAGAGCTGGCGGCGCGTTTAGCGGGAGAACAGCATCGACATTTTTGACAAGTACATGCCCTTCCACTGCAGCTTGGAACAAGGTGCTCTGGCTTGCGGCTTCTCGGGCATCCACCGATGCGTGATCATCCATTCCAGGATCACTGAATTTGGCATAACGGAACCAAGGCGCTAAGATCCGGGTAGCTTGGTCGTCGATTCTTGAGACATCCAAAGAACCATTGTTTACAGCTGTTGCAAGGGTGGATGCTGACAGGAATTGGGAACTCGGCATGACCATATCAAGACCGGCTTTGTTAGCAGCAATGCCCGTGTGCGACCCGTACCAGTCGCTGACAACGAAACCTTGAAAGCCAAGTTCTGTTTTCAAGAGCCCGTTCAAGGCTTTGCTGTTCTGACACGCGTGGCTGCCATTTATCCTGTTGTAGCTGCACATGACAGCACCCGGTTCCGCCCTCATAGCATCATAGAATGGCCACAAATACAGTTCATGCATGGTCCTATCGTCGACATTCGAGGACACTGATTGATTTGCCAGACCCGGAATAAATCCCAGGAAAAATGGGGCTCTGTTCGTCTCTTGCTCGTTCACTATGAAGTGTTTGACGCAAGCAATCACCGACTCTTGCATGCCGTTAATGGTTGGATACACTAGACTCCCCGCCAAATACGGGTCGTTCGAAAATCCCTCCCAATTGCGGCCTCCTTTCGCAAGCCTTCCAAGCGGGCCGACCACAGGACCAAGAGCAACATTGATGCCCTTTGTTTTGAATTCTCGACCAATATAGAGGCCGCGTTCTTGTGCGAGTTGTCGATTCCAAGAAGCGCCAACATGAATTTGAGCGGGAAAGCCAGATACAAGTTCTCCGTTTCTAACGCCGCTCTCTGCATCATTGAGGCAGAGACCAGGGAACCCAACGCTGTCGATGGGACCAATAAAGCCAGAACACCCCTTTGTTGTCGAGCTCCCAAGCGAGATTCCGGCCTTTTCTTCGATGGTTAGTTGAGCTACCAGTGCTCTCGCCTGGCTGAAAGCATCCTGCCAACCTTGCTGACCTGTGGCATTTGCTAAAACGACGTCAACACCTTACTCTCCTTCCGTGGTATCAATAAAATTTCAAATACGCACGTGAAGGATATACTGGTGGCGAACGGCCATAAGCCCAATAAAGTTCGGGATTTGGCTGTCCGCTAAGAATTTCAGCTCCTTGAATGAACGCATTGATTACAGCCGCTGCGATGCTATCTGCGGCGAGCACGAATTCCGCTGGCAGATTCAACAGCAGATTCGCTATACCAGTCAGAGATGCTTGAGGCAATGCAGTTGCAGTAAAGCTAAAAATGCTTAGACAGAGAAAGAAGAATTCCAGAAGGCCGGGTGAGGAACAAGGCTCCTGGAAGAACCGGCATTTGCCGCCCAGAAACTTCATCCTCACCACCGGAAAAGGATCAGAAGACGAAGATGGATCGAAGGTGGCTGCACAGGTCCATCAATATCTTTATGCATCCTTTGACACAGAAGCGAAGTGAGTGACACAGGGTCAGAGAAGGGCAAAATCGTTAGTCGGCACTTCGTCCATGGGCAGGCAGGTCAACGCGAAGTACGTTCACCGTTCACTTCAAGCACCCCTTGCCTCGAGCCAGCAAGTCGAATGGTTGATCTCATTATTCGTGAAACTTCACCATCAATCTTTGCCTCCATGGAAGCTACAATCTTGATCGAACGGAAGCTCCTCGATGGGGGGGATTTGGGCACCTTCGTTGGTCGACCACGGTCCTTGGTAGGTTGTGCCCATTCATTGGCTACGGCAAACTGAAACAATCATCGGCCCGGCGCAAATCACTTATTTGGACTCGGCTTTCTCATCTTCGCGAGTCATTTCACGTCCAAACTTGGAAATCCTCCGTAAGGTGTCGGCTCTAGCGGGACAAGCTCGTGGATGGTGCATTTTACCATTTAATGTGCGTAGACATGTTGACCTCGACGTAAAGCAGGGTTTCGGTGCACCGGAGAGAGAGCGACCTTTTATCCCCCATGCACAGCAAATTGTGCATGAACTTATGTAGTATGGTACGGAGATTAAAATATCGAGGATACTTGCATCTGGGTCTCGTGAGCAAACATCGTAGACTGCACGGACGGCTCGGTTCCCCCGCAATTCGGATCGCTGCAAGGCTGATCTTTTCACATGTGAATCTGCAGGTACTAGAAAACTTCCACGCGCAAGCGTCGGCCCGTAAGACTGCTGCTGCAGTCGTATATTCATGGCCGTCCAAGCAACAATGAAGGGCTCTTCGAAGCCACGCGTCCGGTCGGACGCTCAACTGGCGCGGAAGCGAAGCATCGATAGAATGCACAACCAGGCGAAAAGAGCGAGGACCAAGAGTCAGCTTGAAAATATCCAGGCGAACACAATCCAAATACAGGATGACGTTCGAAGGCTGATGGATGAGATGCACGCGCTGCGGATCACGCTTGATACGATTCCAAGATTTGGAATGCCTGGTACAAGACCCTCATGGAGCCCAAGTAATTGTAGTCGCGCTATGCAGGATTGTTCAGCAGGTTTTAACGCCTCCCCTTGGTCGATCAGCGCACCCGCGGTTCAAGTTCGCTGCAAGCATGGCACGGCATGTCCCGTGCAACATCCTATCCCCGTAACCAGCCAGAAAGACGAATCCGGCTGGCAGTACACCGGCTATGTTCCCGTCGTATGTCGATGCGATTTGCCGCACGAGACGGAATGCGAATGTCTGGAGCTGTCGACCTTCAGCATCTTGTTGCATTCGCACCAGAATCTGAGCAACGGCAACTGTCATGTCAAAGACTTGCCGCGGAATGCGAGCATCGCGAATATGTTGCTACTTTCAGACGAGGGTAACCCACTCGCTGTACTGCTGAACTCGGTGTTCAAAAGCGTACCTTCCATTGAATTACATACGATGGTGGCATCTTACTTCCTAATGTACCGATATCTCAGAGTAAGCTCTATGCTTCTCACTAAGACCCCGTGGCAGGCGAGAGTGCTGACAAGATCGATAGTGGAGAGCATATCCTGACGCAGAGTCATACGCTGAAATTCCGCTATGGGCACGCCCAACTATGACACAAACGTCAAAACCGCACCCAGTTTGCATTGATTATATTCCCTGGCCACCGTTGCGTGACCACGTTCTCAAGCACTCGGGGCAGGATCCAAGACACACCGTTAATCTGTACGTCTCTCATGTTCGTTTTAGATGGCCTAAGGAGCGAAGCTTTCTTAGCCGGAATGGCGGAGAAGTGAAGTTGAGTGACGAGTTCATATCCGCGATCAGCGAATACGAAAATTGGCGGGTCAGCAGAGAGTGGGCGAAAATGTTCCCTGAACTCGTCCATCTGGTGAATGTCGAGGAGGCAGATGCATGAGGTGCCGAATAGCGCGAATTACATTTCCTTCCATTATGTGTTTATATTAAGTACGTGAAGGTCTTCGTTGGTCGCCTTTCCTGACCATTAGCAAGCAATTCTACGTCCTCCTCGCCATCTTCATTCGGTTCATTGCTTCTAAGCTGAAGATTCGCATTTTGGAGCTTCCACCTTAGGCACAAGGCAAGGATTCCAACAAGCGCCATGAAGCCGGCACAAACCGCCATTCCCTTGAGATACAGTGGTCCTTCATCCTTGGGATAGAGCCTCGTCCCTAGCAAAGGACCCATTTGACCAAAGTATTGTAACATAGCTACACCAGTTCCTTTCTTGGAATCGCTCTCTTGGATATTCAGGGTCCACGTGATGATGAGCGTGACACATGCGAAAAACCCAGCGGTCGCAGGATATACGCCCAGATAGCGAACCCAGCTTGGGAGTCCGAGTAGACCAGCCAAAAATATTAGTAGATAGCCTAGACAGGCAATAGAGGCGTTGAACATTATGAATGGTGAGCGAACCTTTGCCTTGTCACTCGCATGTGCTGAGTACAGCACTACAACAAAGGCAACAAGATATGGGGGTGCGGATAACGCCTGTGACATGATTGAAGACCAGCCCATCTCTTTTATAATTGTAGGCAGGAAGACCGGCATGGAGCTAAAGGCAACATTGATGCTGAAAAACATGACTGCTGTCAAGTAACACTTGGCATCAGTTAAGGCTTCGAATATCTCGCGAGCCTTGAGCCTGGAACCTTTGTTTTGCGCCAACTTCTCGTCCATATTTGTGGTCGAGCTTTTTTCGTCTTCGATCCTTGCAGTTGCGACTTCTTTCTCTCTTTTGGTCAGGAATCTAGCTTCTTCGATGCTATCAGGCAAGGAATTCCACACCCAGAACGCCACAACAATGCTGGGAAATCCTTCAACCAGAAGGAGGAGTCTCCAAGGCGCCCAAACACGTGTCTTCTCGCCGAACCACGTGATCAACCAGGCAAGGCTCGACGCAAATGCGGTTGCCAGAGGAGCTGCAGATATAAAGATCCCAACCCTGGCGGCCATTTCATCGTTTCGGAAGAAGAAGGAGAGATAAAACGGCACGCCGGCGAACGCAGCTTCAGAAATGCCAAGAAGACCTCTGAGGACCAGGAGGAAGGGATAAGAGCTGCTGATGGACTGCAAAGAAGCCAGTAGTCCCCAGGCCATAACACAGGATGCTAAGTATATATGCGGCCTGATGAGCCGAAACCTTTTTCTTTCGTGTTAGCTCAGATTATGTCGCGTAGCATCATGTAGCAAGAGAACGTACAGCAACGCCATCCACTCAAACAGAATGTACGTGATGTAGAAGGCGGTCAGTAGCATGTCGTACTGCCTGCCCGATAAATTCAGATCCTTTTCCATTCCCGCGATGCGAGCGTTCCCAATATTGCTTCTATCCAAAAAACTTAGCAAGTACAGGAAGGCCACGAACAGAACCACGCGCTTGTCGAGCTTCCTCAACACCTGCAGCTCATCTACGGGAGAAAAACTTTGCTCTCCTTGGTCAGGTGGAAGTCCAGCGCCGCTGTCGTCGTTTTCGTGGTGAGTTGTTGCTGTTGTTCCCTTGCTGTAGTCATGTTCCCGGCAGTCTCCAATTCGATCTGACGCGTTCTTTGCGGAGCTCGATGCCGCTGATTCTGCATCTTCGCCAGAAGCGACGCGTTCATATCCCCCAGCAGGGGCGGCAGAGGGCATGGTCTCGTGCGTTCCCGCACGACTTAGCTCTTGGTGGTGCGGCCAAGAAACGGCGTCATACAGTGAGGAATCTATAAGACAATGAGATGGCTTCCACTTGCCATCTTACGTCGTGGTCAGCACAGTTCAGCTTGTCACGCGACAAGTAAGGAAGTTCGACGTATGTACTCGTATTGCGGGGAGGCCGTGGCGTGGCTTGGCGCTCGGGCCGCAGAAGCTTAGCCATTCATGACGTTCTTCCAGTGCCGAATGCAGGCTGACGTGAGTACAATGCGGGTTTCCGGTGACCCAATTGCAAGTCAAAAAAAAAGCTGACATACGGAACGAACCACGGCCAAATTCGAACTCCCACAACTAAGCAGTCTTAAACAAGTGGAAGAAAAGGTCAATTACATCGAGGAACAACCGCTAGTGTCCGCTGATCGCAGAAGGTAGTCGTATCTGGGACCAAGTTTGAACACTGCTGGCTAGATTACAAGCGACGCGCAAAGATGTTAACACAAATGTCCGAAACTGAAAGCAGCATCTACTTCGTCGCCTTTCCCTTACCCTTCTCATTCGGAAGCCCTGGAAATTCAGGGTCGATGCGATTGGAATCCCCTCGACTTTGCTCTTCAGCCAAACTTAGCTGTAGAGCAAATTCTAGATCATCCATCTCCTGCCGATTGCTCGCCTCCGGGACGTTCATGAGCGGTGTTGGCGGACTTCTTGATGAAGATTTGGGAGTGCTTCTGCGCCCTTTCTTGCCCATGCGGATAGGAATATCATACGCCACGCGACTAGGCGAGTACGGAGGAGTATACTCCCGTGAACCCACATCTTGGGGTGTACTCTCCAGGCTCTGGCGAATGGCTTCAGCAAGATCGGCATCGATCTCATCAGAAGCCTTTTCTTTGGTAGGTGTTGCAAAGCGGCCTGAGGATAACGCAGGAGTGTTGGCCTTGCTGCTTCGGCGTTGTTCATCCTCAATCATACTCTCTTCTGAGAGAAGAGTTGCATAAGCTAACGCCTGTTCCTCACTCTCCATCATGTCGATGCCGAATCGACCCCTGAGGCGCGCTTTCTCGCGTCTACTTCGCTCATCCTCTTGCTCAAGCTCGTGACGTTCGTTTTCAATGTAGGACTTGAGATTACTGTTCCGAATGCTTACAAAGTCTCCTCCATGCTGATTGCTGCCGCGCTCAGAGCGACGCTTCAGACGCTTCGTGCCTTTATACTGCTCCGCCGAGAGTGAGCTATAGCTCCAGTAACGCAGATGATTTCCAAGAGACACAACGCCGCGGAGTACACTTGGATCTGGGTCAAGGCAAATCGCACCAGCCGCAAACATGTTGATGCCAACGCCCGCTGGTGAAGCCTGAGCTTGGGCTAGACGACGTCGTGCCCTCGATGAAAATCGAGAGTTAAACGTGCGAATAGGCTCCATGGAAGATGCGAGTGGATCCCACGCCTGAACAAGCCCGTCACTACCACCGACGACAATTTGGAGAGCGGTCAGAGCAAGGCAGGAAATCTCGGGCGAATCTGTATATATGATTCGAACAGGTTCAACTTCATTGATGACATCCGTCGACCTTGACATGGCAGCGCGGCAGTCCCAGATGAAAACATTTCCGGAACTCGTTCCAGCAGCGACAAAGCGGGAGCGCTGTCCAGGCAGATCAGAAGGAGTGGCCGGGCGATCCTCGCCACGAAATGGTGAGCCAAAAGTCGAAGACGCTTCAGAAGACCCCAGCATTCCAAGTGCCGGATCTTCGGACATGGTCAAGGTGGCATATGTCGAACAGTCAATCGCAGTGGTAGAGATTTGTACGCCCTTGGCATTATTGAAAGAGAAGAGAGAGCAGCGCCATTCCTCAATGGTAGAAATCCTTTCAGGAGAAACGTCTACACTGCTGTAAGCTACGGAAGCGAAACTTCGACCTCGGCTATCGGACGGAGAAAATATTGCTGATTGAGTCTGCAGTGGATTTGATGGCCCAAAGATAGATTCGCGTTCGAGTACGGGAGTACGGTCATCGTCAGGTGTAGGAATAGAGCTTTCGGTCAATGTACCCTCGTGTTCAGGTACTTTGAACCGCGTGTACCGCTTGACGCTAGCAGCAGTATCTTCATCGAGGCCACAACCAAAGACTGCAATGGATTCACCGGCGAAATTACCATCATCACCTGCAAAGTCGACCTCAATTCTTCGGCGCATATCCCAACCATAGCAAGTCTTGCGGAAATCATACGGGAATTTCTTCAAAAAGGCCTCGATCTCGACAGTTTCCGCCCTGACTTGGTCGCCAGTCAAGCACATTCCAGTCCAGGAAGTCCTTGGAGAGTAGCTACCATCCATTTCAAACTCTTGAAAAGGATCTGGCCTAGACATGCGACGGCTTGGTTCCACCAAGTTCCAATACACGGATCGGCCTGTACTCCAAGCCATTCGCTCCGTGGCTGCGGCATCAAGCTTCGTGTCGCGTGCTAAAGACTGCCGCTTGGGAAATTTGGTCAAGTAGTAAAGTTCACCGAGCGCGTTGAGTGCTATCGCCCAGATGCGGTTCTGGGCTTGGCGCTTCAGAGAATAATTCTCGTCGACTGCAAGGGCAATAATAGGAACACCGGGGCTAAGCACCCATCTTGCGGTAAGTTCTCCACGTGAAAAGCGTAAATGACGCAAATCCGAAGAGCCAAGACTATATGCGCTCACAACACCAAGTGAAGATCCAACCATAATACCGAGAAGACCCTCAGTGAGGCTAGGAATTGCAGCCGTTTTCGCAATCCACACTGCCGATACTGCCTCGATCTCACGTGTTATCTTAGGAATACCGACCTCCGGTTCCGACAAGCCGAGAGGAGCAAGCAAGAACCGGCCGCGAGATTCATCCGTGGCGCGGTAATAGACACCGCCGTCCGGTAGTCCCTCGCCGTAAACCATACCGTGTGGTTGACTCACATCCATGACATTACGGATTCCTATGACATTGCCGGGTCCAAGACCATACATCGTAGCTCCGCCATAAATGTCAGAAAACTGACGGAATCCCTGTGGATCCATGATGCCTCTGTTGTCAACCTTTCCAGTTATTGGGTCACTTGCACATGCCTTTCCAAATTCATCGGCTCCATGAATCAAGCGAGGGAAAGTCTTTGCAAGCCCAGATCCCCAGTTCACATCTATGTGATTCACTGTGGTTAACAGCTGCGAATTGTACATTACTACAGCACTACCCGAGCCGGCAAAACCACGTGGCGTTGATGTCGTGGATGAGACTGAAGGTTTGCCCCTTGCCAGTGAGCGCAAAAGACGTGTTCGGATGATGTATTCGCTTCTCCATGTTGAGAGCGCGGTCAGGCGACAGAATGCACGTTTGTCGGATTGGAAACTATCCCCTTTACCTAGTCCTGTCTTTGTCGCAGGTGCAATTGTCGCGGGACCGGGAAAATAGCGAGCAAAAGCAGCACGCCAGGCGTGGGGTGATGTAATAAGGGCGTGGAAGCGTTTTGAAACTAGAGAAGAGGACGAGAGATCGTTGGGAGGCAAGTGCGAAAGCGCATGCGTCAAGAGCTCTGCTCGCAGTCAGTTAAGCCTATATATGCTAATACTCTTGTTTGAATTCCATCTTTCAAAAATGGAGAACGCGAAGAATTGGGCCAGGAATCATACCATTAGGCAATTTGTTTATCGGAGAACTTCCCTGCGGAGGGTGATTCGGATTGCCTGTAAATTTGAGGCTCTTCGCGTGTATGTCAGATCCGTCAGACGTGAATTTGCCGTCATCCTGAGCGTCTTCGTCATTGTAACTCGTCTTCAGGAGTCCAGGATGCTTCTGTATATGCCGTTCGGTTTTAATGCTGCCGCTATCGGCGTTTGGTGAGCCACGTAACTGTGCTGCAGCAGCATTTCCTGGTTCCCCATTGCTGGAGAGACCGTGGAAAGCTGGGCTGCCACTACAGCGAAGGCCATGCTGGTTCTGGGGTGAAGGAGTACGGGGGTTGGTTCTTCGAGTGGAAGCTTTTGGAGAAGAATGGTTAGACTCTGGTTGCATAAAACGGTTTGCGAAAACTTCTTTGCGTGCGTTGAGACTGAATCACAAGGTGTTGATCCAGTCTAAAAGGATGAAGAGAACGATATTCGCTTGTTCTGGGAGCAGCCAGGAGTGTGCGCTGGTGGTTGGGTTCTGTGTACAAAAGAAGAGCGAAGAGGCAACACGTCCTTAATAAAGTAACGACGCGATTTCCGTTTCAATGGCTAGATCACGTGATTTTGAACCAGCGCAAACTCATCTTGATTGAAGAAATCAGTCCACCCAAAGAACGTGCCGAGGCGCATTTTACGTACTTGATCCGGAGTCTAATCTCGTCATTTCGTTTTTGGGACTCAATGAATCGAATCGATCTACGATATGAAACCAATGCTCGTCGTGAGATGTATACATAGCCCGAGGAAACTACTTTTGAGTGTCGTTGATTTACAATTGCCAATGATCCGTTCATTGCCATGATAGCCAAGACAATTATTTGTAGACTGTACATTTAGTATAGTCTTCGAAGAACGAATAGAGTCGAGGCTTGAAATGTTCGGATCCTCAATTAGAACACATCATATCAGACACTTCATGCATCCGTCTCGACCGTCATAGCTTTTGATAACACCACTAGAGATCACCTTAACGAACCAAGTCTCAGCTCTGACATTGTTTCTATCCACTAAGAAACAGCTCGCACTTCCCCTTCTCTGCATTGTGCTGAAGGGCACGTACAGTAGGATATTACGTGTACAGTCTTGACTTGTAAGTTTTTTGCGCAACGGCAGGGCCAAAAAGCCGTTGGAGAGAGCGGATGGGATTTAGAGAAGGATCTGGATGGGAATTCGATGGATGGAACAAGAAATATTTGAAAAAAAAAAAAAGTGCATTTAAATGACACATACGAACGAACACACGGCTTTGACTTGCTCGACAGCGAAATGTAAGGTAAGCAAAAGTCACCTTCAGGCAGATGAAGGATCCTCTCTTCGTCAAGTTCTTACCATGACTCCGTAAATGGCATCTTCACACGTCTAAGCTGTGTCCCAGTTGCTTGGCGACTAGATTTCTGCATCTGCCCGTTGATACGATACGAGATGTGCACTCAGCAGCTTCGACTGTTTGCCATGGGACAAAACAAAGATTTCCGGGTATCACGAGTTACGATCTAGCTTTAGTTCTCTGATATCATATTATGTATGCGTCTTTTCCATCGCCAAACAACAGGTCAGGCTTCCTCTTTGCCAAATCAAGTATCGTTTGGGCAAAGACGCTATTCGCCCAGGCGAACCAACTTCTCGTGTAGTCCTTTTTGGCATTGACGTTTACGCTCTCGTTGATCAAGCCAAGTATGCTCACGTTCTTGACTCTGTTCAAACAGTCCATAATCTCCTCGTTGTCATCACTGGTCATTGCTTGAACGAGCACGCTCATGGGCCACGCATTGCTAAGACCTATGTGCGGTCCACCTATGCCCTTGAAGTCCTTGCCAGTGAGGTAATATGGATTTCCGTCAAGTGAAAGGATCATCTTGCGCGTGTTCTGATAGATCTCATTGTCTTTCTTGGTGAAGCCCAAGAGTGGCAGAGAAAGCAGGGATGGAAGATTTGCATCGTCCATAAGGACGTGCGATCCATAACCGTCGACTTCGTACGCAAATACTTTGCCGTATTTCTTATGCGTGACGACACCATGCTCCCAAACGGCATCCTCAAGGTTCTTCCCCCGAATGCCTAGCTGTCGGCCTGCACCAGCGAACCCTGCCCTCTTGAGCATCTCGCCTGTCCGCTGTAGTTCGACAGCCATCATTGCGTTAGCGGGAATGAAGAAACCAAGGATTGTGGCATCGTCGCTGGGCCTGAAAGCACTTCTGATAAGGCCAGTGCCCGAGTTCAATGGATTTCCTTGACCGTTGAGAGACAGGGTTTCGGTTCCTGCTCTCGTCTCTCGCGTAAATGTGTACACGTTGCGGTGTAAGTCGCCCGTCTCTTTGTCGAACGTTGCTTTGGACTGGGCGTCCAACGTCTCAAGGATTGTTTCGAGGGCGGTGAACCATCTGCTCGTGAGGAACTGGTCGTTCCCCGTGCTTTCGAAGAACTGGTTGCTCAGACTGAGAAAGGCTGCAAGGGAATCCAGCTCGTATTTGCACTCGAACACGAAGCTGGGTTCGTACGCTGGGTGCACTTGGTCTGTCTGCCCGTTGCTCGTGGGCCCTAAACCGCTCGGCGGAGGGGGCTGAAAGGCATTGCAATATGGGCTTTCTATCACATATTCCGCTTGTGTGTTGATTGCGCCCAAGATCAATTTCTCTATCCTCTTGTCCCGTTTGGCTAAAGTCTGATACTGCGCCAATTGGTTCGTGCTGTCACGTAACCACTCTGCATTTATGTCACCGGTGACTATGAAGCTCTGGGGTCCTGTCCACGGTGCGTCGCCTTCCAATCCTTTGTTCATCTTTCTCCACTTTCCGGAGTCCGGAACTAGATCCTCAGACGCGTCGACGTGCCACCGCACAGTTGTGTCCAACGTGTTTGGGAACGCATTCTCAAATATGCGCGCCAGATCTTTGTCTACTAGGTTCGCATTCATATACTCAATCACCTCTTCGACAAGGTCGGATTCGAAAGTGCGGCAAGGCTTTGCGGGTCGTTGGAATGGTAGCTTGAGAGGGCCTTGACTGTATGGCGGACTGTTGCAACCATGAGCTTCTGAATCGTAAGAGCGCGAGACGAGGCAAACTCACTGCCCATACATGGAGTATGTCCGGTAATCTGGACATGCTGCTGCATACTTCTCCTTCTCGAACAGAGTATCTTGATACCGATATTGCTGCGCGACCGCAGGGACCGTCGTGCTCAGAGCAAGTAGTAAGAGGCTATGATAACGCTTACTCATCTTCCAGAAACAGTCTCAGGCTCGATGAAATGTCTGGAAAGCGCGTGTGCGCAAGATATCTAAATGTCCTGAAACATTGAAGAGCAATCGGGCGCTAAGAACAAGGGCAAAGGGGGAGTTCAAGATCGGAGCTGCGCGACGGTAGCGAACAGAAGCTGCGCGATCCTTCAAATGCCAACGACTTCTTAGACAGGACGAAAAATATCAACAGCCAGGATGATTTGTGTGACGCATTCCTACGTCAAGTGCTGTCCAAACAGACATGAAGCGTGCGCTAGGAGGTATAACCAACCCAACGATCCCCCGCGCTGATCGACAAACAGAGCTGCTTAGTTATGACCCTCCCCCCGATTCTGCAGCCTGGCCCACAGCCTTTCTCCACCACGCTGGATTCTATGACCATGGGGTGACCAGAATTTCTCCAACGACGTGCAAACAACCCACACTCCGTAATGTTGTGTAGAGCAATCCGTTGGCTTCAGCAATTGTCCGGCCAAAAGCTATAACCACAGACCTGGGTTTCTACGGTGTGTCTCGTGCGGCGTCGACGTTGGTTCGACCACAGGTCTTCATGGGCTAGACAAACGAAATGGCTGTCATACAGACGTAAGAACTTAGCAGAGACGGCATTGGCAACAAACGGTCCCAAGCTCCGTCGCACCGGAAGACAAAGTTTGGAACGCTGAGTGGCTCACATGGGATGGGTCTGACGCTAAGATATGGGCCGCTCCCTCTACTTCGCCAAGCGCAAAGTTTCGGATGATGGAATGGGGAGCCAGATCGTTGAAGCGTGACACATAAATGTTTAAAGCAAACAGGACCTATTCTACACCAGGTGGGGTTCAGACAGCTTGGAGTGCATACTGCCCAGAGCAATCATGGCGACAAGAAAAGGAAGATTCTAATAGCGAAAAGAAGGCCCTAGTTCAAGACACAAGACGCACCAAGACGCACAAAGACCAATGAGGTGATACAACGAAACTTAAGCAAGTTTGCATAAGGCTGAAAACTGAGTGAAATGCAAAAGGCCATTCGAATGAGATCAACCCTTTCTGTTCAATCCAAGCTAAACAATCGCAAACCATGAACTAGATGGATATCAAAGTGAAGGATGAGAGCGAAGTAGTCGACCCCACAGAGCAGGTCCATTGCTGAGCACAAGTGGAATTTTCCGCCAGACACCAGTTCTCATGCCACATCACGTCGTACGCATCATAAACACCGCCAAAAGATCCCATCTATAATAGAGACACATAGCCGTCCAGAACCGTGACACCGTTTGCCAAACCATCCACATTTTCGCTTAACTGACCGCAAAAGGAAATTCTAATTTAGGTTTACGAGTACCATTGATGTTCATCAGGATACTGCTGGATTCCACTCCCGAAGCCCTGCGGCTGCATGTTCAATCCATTGGCTCCGTTTAGCCCTGAATACTGTCCTCCTGTCGTGTGATACCCGCCATTGCTCTGTGTCTGCATAGCTGGCGAGGAAGTTACATTCACGTTAGAATGATGATTCTGCTGTGCAGGCGGTGGGCTAATCGGCATGGGAAGCGACCAATCCGTGTCACCAACAGGCCATTGCTCGAATCCTAGCGCCAATTGGCTTTGATCTCTTAACCACCAATCCTGGCTGTCGCGCAGCAACTGATCTACACCGCCAAAAAGGGCGGAAGGAGAGTTGCCCGCAGGTGTCATGTTCGAGTCGATGCTCGTGCGGGATACCGGTGTGCCATGTTGTGTAGTTTGTGCTGGCGACGTGTGCATAAGACGAGCTTGCATTTCTGCTACTGTCTGAGGAGGAAGTGTATTTATTTCGCTTGATCCTTGGACAGGATGGGGCGATACACCACCGATCTGAGCGGTCTGGGGGTTTTGCGTCTGAGAATTGAAATTCGAGCTTGCAGACACGGGTTGGAACATCGCTTCTGGCGGACTCATGGCTGAGGGAGACAAGCTTTCTGATTTTTGAGACGGTGTCTTCGCCGTTTCAATTCCCCAAGCGCCATATTTACTATTCGTCCTTTGCAAGACGGTGATTGCTTCTTCGGGTAAATCGACCTTCCACTTGCGTGAGAGAACGTGCAGAATGGCTAGGGTGCGCCTAGCGCATAGCCATCCCTCAGCAATCTCTTCGAGGTGCTTGACACCATGTGTAATGTCTCGGCGCGCATTCTTATCTGGGAGGTTGAGAAGATGTATCGTACAAGCAGTGTGAAGGATATAAACGGCAATGTTGCAAATCTGTCGCAATCCATGAGATCTTTTATAAAGCCGCATTAACTTGGAGATCATGCCCGCGGCTTGCGTGCAAAGTCGTCGTGGAGAAACATTTTGCGGAAGCGGAGAGTTCTGCTGATTGTATTTCAAGAAAGGCCGAAACAGATGAATGTATAGCAACTGGAAAAACATGCTGAGGAAAGGTTACTATATTGTGCCATGAATGTGGTGTTTTGAGGAAAACTCACTGCATGACCAACATACTCGGCAAGCCACCTTCTTTGGGCTCTAGCTCCTGCGGTAAATTTCGTCTCCACGTCTCAAGTCGTTGATGTATATCACTGAGTTTCTTCAGCTCGGCTTGCTTCCCTTTAGACTTGTCAATATCAATGGGATTGTAAAAATTGTTCATGAGGTCGCTTGAAATCTCGCACAACGCTGATATTTGCAAGGCGACTGCTCTCGTCCTTGAAGGTTGCGCATGCGACTGGTTGACACCGGAGTCAGTGTATGCAGCCCATATGGCCGAGTCCTCCATCGGGAACACCTCGAACTTTGGCACGGTGACGATCGAGAGAGGAAGCTGTGGTAGACGTCCCAAGTAATTTGACCAACACCTGGCAATGTCAATGCTGCTAGAACTCGTAAGTAACAAAAGTCAAACTCACTTGTCAAACAAGAAGCAACCCCAGAACGTAATCCTTCTTACGTCTATTTCCTCGTCGTCCAGTCCCGACTCCAGCGAGCCAGAGAGTGTTCCAGAATCAAGATTCAAGCCCAAGTCGCAAGCCATGCGGAAGCTCATGCCACTGTAGACCCAGCCTTTGGCCTCCCTCCCACAACCCGCCTCCCTCACAGACATCAAGGCTAACGCCTGCACCGTTGTCAACCTCGGATGCTCGTGCTCGTCGTTCGCCATGATCAACCTTTTCGCCTCCTTGAAAAAATGATCACCTGCAGTAGCGGAGTCGTTAGGATCTTCCCTGGCATTCGGCCAACTCGTGAAATGACATCCAAGAGCTAACATGGCGTTGACAAGCAAGGGGGTGCAGTATTTCCTCACCCCGGAAGGAGGCATTCCCCGCATGAAGTCCCTGTAGAATGCCGCTTTGGACAGCGTTGTGAAGTATGTGTAGTGCCAGGTGAAGTACATTTCAATGAGATGCGTGACAAGCTCAGGGTCGATCGTCACGTTCGTCCAGCTCACAATAGCCTCCTGTTGGCTATCATATTGCTCTGGCACCCCCACGGCACCGCCTGCATCAAGATCCTCGGCCTCGCTGGTGAGGTATATCAGGTTCGACGTGCCGCCCAGGTACCGTGTCGACCCTTCCTCAAGCTGCAACTGGCCCATTTTACCACTCAGCGCACCCTCAAAATGACCCACCGCGCCTCCTCCGCCCTCGTCTACTTCCTCATCCTCCTCTTCCAGACCAGCCTCCTTGGCCAGAATACTTTCAGCTACCGAGTCTAAACTTTCGCATGTGCGTATCTGTTTGACGAGGGCAGGGACCTCATCTTCAGTCGAGTTGAGGATGGCCTGGATCAGCACCTCTAATGTTGAGTTGCGGGTCTTGAGCTTGTCTATATCCTTCTTGTATACACCTTTGCGACGGTGATCAGAGTTGGGATCGTACACGCACTCGGTATTGTAAACGGAGGAACACGCGGCGCATGCAGGGAGATTGCCGTCGCATCTGCATGTTCATTGTGCATTAGACAAGGTGAGCCTGAAGAAGCAGTGGCGTTTGTATGTCACACGGGACGCAGCCGAACACCGCGTTGGGACAAGGAAGAAGATGGGCGAGACGTGGTGTACAAAACTTACTTCGATTTACGCCTTCGACACGCTGCACGCAAGGTGGGTTACCCGGTCAGCCACAATCCGTCCTCATAAATCTGTAGAAAAGAGTCCCTCGTTCTGGGATACGCAGGCGAAACGTGCTCGTACCTATACATGCGGTGCTAACGCACCTCCTCTTGCCGTCCCCGCCGTCTGCTGCGCTGCCACCTTCGGTCTTACCCTTGCCCTTGCGAGGGCGAGCTTTGGGCGTAGACGTGGACGACGCAGGCTTTGACTGACTCTCCGCAGAAGCGGGTACCTGCTGCTGCTGCTGCTCGTCCGCAGTGGGCAGATCTACGCCGTCCATGAATGAATCTGTCCGTCACTCGAAGGTTTCGCCTTTTCCGGTGATGTGTCGCGGACCAGCGTGGTGTTTCTCCGCGGGCGCTCGCAGCAGCCAGACTTCGCCTCTAGGCCTATGCCGACGCGCTACCTATTTTTCTGCTGGCCTGCAGGTGATTAGTCAAAGCCAACCCCGCTTGGATGGCGCGCTTCTTGTGTTGGGAGAGCTCGACGATTAGCCTGGCCTGGAGAAGAAAGACGTGCAATTCTAATAAATCTCTTGCGCCCGTTCATGGCTGCTTGCGCCGACCCGTCCGGTTTCTGCTTTTTCTCACTGGCAGCAAGCCTGACGCGAGAACATGCGGGCTGTCCACTGGACAGGTCAAAGGTTGACGTCGATTGTGGCGTCGATAAGGGCATGACGCGCTCCAATCAAGTCTGTGCTTTACTGAGCAGACCTCCGCTTTGGGATTGCCGAGAGATATTACAGCCGACCGGAGACTCCAACAACATCACATTGCTTTACTTGAAAGGCATTGAAAAATTAAATGGCGCAAAAGACATCACATTGGACGGCATATTTCAGCGGAATATTTCCATTCTGTCTTTTCTACTGAAGATCGCGGATCCCGCTGTGGTACTCGAGTCTCGACTGTGGCCCATTTCTAATCCCCCGATATGTCATCAGAATCATGTCCAATTTAGCACTTTAGATAAGTCACATACTGTATGAAGCCGCTTGGTTTCTCCGGCAGGCAGAAGCCGTTCCCTGCAAGTTCAAAAGGTGTTGGCAGTTAAAGCATCTCTTGTCGTTGACAACCCAAAATCCAGTCACTCTTCATCTTGAAAGCCTTCATCGTCCGCCCAGGGGTTTGGCCTAGTCTGCTGGTCCTTCACCATGATGAAAGGTTGGCCATCTTCATCCTCACCAACGTCATCGCCAAATAACTCAAGCAATTCCTTGATGTTGAGTCTGTTCAGGTCAGCTTCAAGCGTCACCAGATCATGTGCACCGCGTTACTCGGCAGGACATAGTCCGGAGCACATACCTTCTGTTTGGCTTTCCATCTATCACTAGATCGATCTCCTCCTGCTTTCGTTGCTGCATCTCTATGATGTTCTGGTCAACAGTGTGCTCGACAGCTAGGCGCGTGAGCGACGTCTGCTGGTCTTGGCCGATGCGAAAGACGCGGCAAAAAGCTTGCTGCTCCACGCTTGAGTTCCACCACGGATCGACTATGATGACCTTCTGTGCCATGGTGAGATTGAGCCCAACGCCACCAGTCTTCAAAGACATGAGCAGCACCATAACTTGAGGCTCGTCCCGAAACCGTTCGATATTGTGTTGGCGAAGATCCTGAGGGATACTGCCATGATACGATGTGTACCCCCACCCTTCGGCACGGCACACCTTCTCCAAGATGCGAATCATGTTAAGAAATTGCGTGAACACAACGATTTTGACCTTCGGGTTCTCCGCTATCCAGTTCAGAATCTGGGCCTTGATCTCTACAGTCTTCGCGCTCGGAAGAATGTCGTCGCCTTCCTGATCGATCCAATCATGCCTCTTCCCATGGCCCTTCTCTTCCTTTTCGCTGGCCAACACATCTTCGCCGTCTCCTTCCTTCTCGGACCGCCTCGCCGGTGGCGGGAGATGATTTCTTGGAGCACGATCCAACCTGTCAAAGTCCATGCTGTCGCAAGGCGACGTGCCAGTGAACACAGCTCCGCATTCTCTACATCGTGGACCGTCAAGCCCGACTTCGGCATCTTCTGTCATCATTAACTCAAGGCAGGCGCTGCAGTATATGTGGTAGCACGATGTGACGTGAGGATCCTCGGGTCGGCCGCCGCAGTACGCACAAATCGCGCGACCGTTGAGTTTGTGAAGATCTTCATCCTTGCGCAAGGTCTTCAGGTACTTCAAAAAATTAAATTGAAGGCCGTGACTGCCTCCAACGCCTTCGTAATCGGAGAGTAGCTCTAGATCGTCGTCGTCTTCATAGCCGTCGTCAGAATCCTTCTTGGCCTCGTGTGGTTCCAAGATAGACTTTCCGTAGGGCTTGTTCATGCCACCTACGCCGGGAAAACTGTTGCGATTTGAGCAATTCTCGTATTCTTTGGCTCCCTTTGCCATCATAGCGCGGATACGCCTGATGTGCCTGATGCGAAGACAGTCTTTAGGCTGCGAACCTTCAATGAGAGCAAGGTCATAAATCTTTTCGTAATCCTCGCGCTCAACCAGGTCTCTCATGACGGTTTCCACGAGTAGAACATGGTCCGTGAGTTGGCGGAGACGCAGCAGCATCGTCAGCACGTTCCTATAGTGAGCTTCGAGCTTCCTCGAGCGTGACAGCTGGTTGACGTGCTTGATCATGCGGCTTCGCACGAGCTCGTAGATGGTGCGCTCGAGCGCATTGAACTTGACCCACCGTATCTGCTCCGTCGCCTTTGGCAGCGTGACAATGGGCTTTCCAAGGACCTTGTCCCTGTGCGTGCGGCGAATCATGATGCGATTGAGAATCTGGTTGAGACGCAAGAGACCCAACTCGCTGGGCGTCGATGACGTGCCGATGTAGTTGTGACAGAAAATCTTGTGCGAGCCCGTCTGCTCCACCCTCAGAAACTTGAAATAAGGATACAGCTCTTGCGCGGAGTTCTGAATAGGCGTCCCACTAAGAGCCCACCGAAACTCGGCCTCCAGCCCGAAAGATGCGATGAACGTGTGGCTCTTGTGGTTTTTGATATGCTGCGCCTCGTCAAGTCTGGACCAGGTCGTTAGTTGAGGAACTTCCAAAGCATGTTTCGGACAAACTCACACCACGCGAAGGAACTTGACACGATGCAAGAGGCCCCGGTTGGCTTCGTAGTAGGTGTTCCACCAGGCCTTTTTTTCCTCGGCCGTTTGAAGCTCAACGGGGATTTTCGACTTTGGGTACGACTTTCGAACCTCGCTGTACGTCGTCAACACGGCATCAAAGGTCAACAGGCAGTCCGTCGCGCTGTTGCTGACCAGACTTGTTTTGTGCGTATAGATCAAGACTTTGAGCGGATGCTTCCCATTCCTCATCGGTTTCGTATGCTTCTCGATCTCTGAGTACCACTGATGTACGAGCGCGTTAGTGGCAACGATGAGCGTGGTCTTTGGGCCCTCCTCGCCTTTGGACGGCATGCCATCAAGAATGTTGGCGATCATCGTCACGGTCTCTGCAGTTCATCAATGACCCGTGCGCTCGACGGTGCAAATGCTGTACTTACTTCCAAGTCCCATCTGGTCACCACATATGCCTCCTCGGGGCTCAATTGTATCCTTCTCCCGCCTCCGCATGAACGCTGCGCCAGTGAGCTGATGAGGTTTCAACGGAGTCACCATGCCCTTGAGCAGATACCCGCCGTCCTCGCCCGGAACGATCTTGATCGAGCGACAGGTCGAGAAGTCCCGCATGGCGTCGAGCAAGGCGCGCTTGTCGATTCGCGCCGCCGCCCGATGCTCCGGCGGCAGTGACGCAACGAGCCGCTTAAGAGCCAGGCTGCGGTTAGTGGTGCTCAACACCGGCAGCGTGCCCAAATTCTCGTTTCCGCGCGCGTCGTGAATGATATTGCTCGTCAGGAGACTGCCGATATTGAGCAACGGGTTGCTGACTCTTGGAACAGCCTTGGTCCTCGACCGTTTTCCTTTCTTTTTCTCTTTTGTACAGTTCTTCTCAACGCAATCCTTTTCCGCCTTTTCTTTGTCCTTTTCTTGTGACTTGTCTCCTTCTGAATGCCTCTTACGAGGTGGCGCGGCACCTGTGCCTCTCTTTCGCTTTCTCAGACGATGTACTCCAGGCTCCTCGATTGCCTCTCCTCGTTTTTCTGTCGTCTTTGATGCCTCCTGATCAAAACTATCCTGCGTATGCTCGTAATCTCCAGAATCAATCACTTTTGTAGGCTCCATCTCCCGGTATCCTCCAAGAGCATTGAAAAACTCATCGCTGCTGTCGTCGACGTCTTCAACCGTGACATTGAAGTTAGGCGACGCGCTCATCTCCTCAGACTCTTGCCTGTCACTACTTTTGTGATAGTTCTGGCGTCTCCACGCGGCGGTGAGGTATTCTTTTTCAAGGCGAAGGAACTCGACTTCTTCCAGGCTTGAAAGCTCGCTGACTGCTTTCTTCTCGTTGATCTGGCGAAGGACATCCTTATATCGTGTCTCCAGAGCAGAAAACTCATCGTCTTCCCGTATCTCCATTGCGACTGCGTCTCCTTCTGCATCGACGTCTCCATCTTCGATATCTTTGCCCGGCGATCTGTTGTCGTCGTATGGCACAAAAAGCCCTTCATCTGAGTCATACAAGCAGCTGCCGTCGTCCTTAACATGATTCTTTCCATCTTCCAAATCTTGAGGTCCAGCCTGTTCCGCAGCATCTGGATATGTTGGGTTATTCGGTTCTTCTAATAATGATGAGGAAGCATTGTTGAAGAATCCGTTGTTATCTCTGTTACTACGCGTCCCCTCCCCCGAAGCATAAGATCCAGCAACCAGCAGCGTGCCCGTAGTCACATCCCTTTTTGGTTCTGAACACGGACCAAATTGGTCGTTGCAGACTTCACGTTGGCAAGACAAGCGGCTGTCACGCGAGCGCGACCGGGGCGTCGAGAACAGCAACCCAGCCGCTTCGCTCTGCTGCTCGTTGGCCGCGACGTGCGTTTGACCCGCCTGCGCTTCCCTCGCCGCAAGCTGCCGCGCTTTCAGAATCTGGGCCACACTTTTACGCGCACTCTGCAAGGTCTCTCGAATCGTTTGCTTGGTTCTCTGTCCAAGAGACCCATTTTCGCCGTCGCCTGCCTCGGTCTCTGCGACACCGCAGATGTCACTTCCTAGACCACCGGCGGAAGTGTGTTCTGGGGCAGGGCTCGTAGGCGGGAACGTGCTGCGGCCGGCCGTCTGCTCAGACACCGGCTCGTGATTGACCAGCGTCATGCCTTCGGCCGATTGATGACCCAATGCTGGACATTCATCCAGATCGAGGACCACCGCGCCGTCCGGAATCATCGTGGACCCGTGTCTCGTTTCAAGTTCGTTCATGTCAGCTTCTGGCCTGATCTATTGCCTGTGTCCTGCAACTTCTCAAATGGCAAAAGTGTCGCGTAGACGAGGGCAAGCTTCCTCGTGGCTCAAAAATCAGAGCGCACGACGTGGGCGTGGAAAGGAAGCAATGTAGGGAGGATCCCGTGCCCTTGTGGAAGAAGGAATTAGAAAAGTGAACCGGACGGATCTGTCAAGGTGAGCTGAACGTGAAGAGGAAGTGAGCCGGGCAGTCGGGTCTTGGATGTAGCCAAGGCCGGGTAGACAAAGACGAGGTGCTTTGGACCGCGCATGCGTTGACGAGTTGTGGACCCGCAAGAGTCGCGACGCTGACACGCTGTCCGCGTGTGCTTGAGCGACGAGAGCGCAATCCAGCGAGGCGAGCAGCGGCGACGAAGGAGAAGAAGAAGAAGAAGAAGAAGAAGAAGGGGGAGCGAATGCGATCAAGCACAAAAAAGAAAACACCCGACCCGGCGACGCACGCGGCCCGCAACCAAGACAGAAGGGCTCTTGCTTGTGGGGTGAAGACGCGGGCGGGTTAAGGTGCAAGAAACCAGTCCGTGAAAATGTCTCCCATAAAGCTTGAAGCTCATGTGGGTAGGCTCTCAATACGTCGTCTTAAATGTTTCATCGGAGAACGCAGGCTGCGAACGGTGGGCACGGTTTGATAAGGAGCGACTTGGTCGGGTAACACCCCCAGAATCCTGGTAAAAAAGCGGGGGCCAAGGCGCAAGCAAAAGATTCGATGGCCGTGCTGCTGAAGTCGGACGCACCGCTGCACTCTACGAGCAGGCTTGACCATCAGCGAGCTCGTTAAAGCCAGGTCGACATGTTAAAACCAGAAAGCACAGACTAACCTCAAATCGATCAAAACATATCATCAGGGTCTACCGCTGCAAGGTCTCAATCTCCAGATAGAGACTGAGTTGTGGAATGAAGGATGAAGAGTCGCAACTCTGTGGCATTGCTATGATACACCAAATAGTTTGCTGTTGTAGACACCAAGCCTTTTGTGATCTTCAGAGATGCCTGCTGGTCTCCAACGGAGTCTAACCATTTTTCTTCTCCGCTTGCACTCCCTTCTCCAGGGAAACCTGAGCAACTAAAATTACAATTGTCCCTATTTGTGACGGAACTTCCTACTGCGATAGACAGATGTCTACCTTCGCGCTTTGCAAAATATGACGTAATATTCAAAAGGAGATTTCAGTACAAGTCAGCTGTAAGTTAAATCTCGGCTGGAGAGAAAGTTTTCCTAGCGACCAACGCCCGTCCGCCGCCACATACTCGGCTGAATGCTGATGGTAGAAACGAGCCGGGCACACTACCGCAATGTATTTTGATAAGAGATGTCCAGAAATGGGACACAGATGTGGGATATTTAACGTGTCCAAAATTTCGAATCTTAAAAAGAGAACAATCTTGAACGCGCCGCCGACCGTGCTTGGGCTCGAGACAAACATTAGATCCTGACGGCGTGCGAGGGAGTCGGTTGGCCATGTGATGGCCGACGTGCTGTTAAAAAAAGAGGCCGTAATAGAAAGGAAAAGGAGATGGAAGTGAGTTTACGGTTAGGTGCCGCTACAGGTGCCTGGCTGCTCCTTCGGGTAGAACCAGCTGGCCACGGCAATGATGATGTAAAGAGCCATGAGCAAAACACCTTCAAGCCAGTCTAGAAAAGCGGGTCAGCATCTCAGTGAGAGAGAGAGAGAGAGAGATAAAGGGGTTGATGATCTGGACTTACGAGACTTGCCGTCGCCAATTAGGTAGTTGACCAAGACGATCGCCATGAAAAGGACTACGATCTGGAAGTCATCAAAAACGAGCGTCATGTCCGCGCCAATGATCCAGCCGAGGATGACCATGAGCGGCAACACGAGGAGAGCAATCTGCATGCTCGAGCCAACGGCGACACCGATGGCGAGGTCCATCTTGTCCTTGACGGCCACCGTCACAGCAGTGGCGTGCTCTGCGGCATTTCCGACGATCGGGAGCAGGATCAGACCGACAAAGTACTGAGACACGTGGTACTTGCAGGTAACCTCGTTGATGCTGTCGACCAGAAACTCGGCGCACACGCCGATAAGAGCGGTGGCAGCACACAACGCGATGAGCGCACCAATCATGGTCAGTTGAGGCTCTTCTTCATCCTCCTCAGGCTCGTGATACGCGCCCTGCTGGATTTTCTGGCCAGCCGTTGCGCCAACACCCATGTGACCGACCTGCGCGAATGCGGCTAAGGCTTCGCCCTCGGACTTTTTGGCACCCTTACGCTTCTCGACCTTCTTGCTGGGCGCGTTGTATACCTCCTTGTGCGACTTCAGCTGGAAGAGCAAATAGCAAGCATACACGATGAGCAAGATGATAGCGGTGCCATACGAGAGCTTCTCGTCGCGATTACCGTCCACGTTGGCGGCACCGCCGCCCCACGTGAAGGCAGTCGGAATCAGGATTCCGCCTACAGCAAGCGCCAAAATCGAGGCTGCTGTCTGCGCAACCGTCATGTTGAAGTGCTGCTCAATACGCTGGAGGCCGCCAAAGAAGAAGCACATGCCCATGACCAAAAGAAGATTGGAAAGCATACTTCCAATAAGGGATGTCTGCACGATGATGATCTCTTTCTTGGCCAAGGCAATGATGCCGACAATCAACTCGACCGCGTTGCTACAAATCATCTGTTAGTACGAGATTGACTGCCGCAGATCACGTGGGAAAGACCGAAAGTAGGTAAACCCGCCCAATTTTAGGTCATTTCTTGGCGGGTTGTTTTGATCGACGGAAGTAAAAGAAGCAAAAAGAAAAAAAAAAAAATAAAAAAAATTGGATTCACACAACTCACCCGAAGGAAGCGTTCAGAAGACCGCCAAGCACCTCGCCCACACGCAAAGCGAGTTCTTCCGTCGCAAAACTGAGCAGGCCCGCAAGGGGGATGATGGCCAGGAAGTTCACGATGAAGACGGCAAGCGGGTCGACGCTCGTGAAATGCAGCGCGATACCGACCGGGGCAGCTAGGATCAGCCAATTGATGGTGATCCATCTGGGAAACAGAACAGTGCGGACTTGCTGCCAGATGGGGATCTTCCTCTTGAACGCGTCGTCGCGCCTGCGCTTGCGTTCGGCCTCAATGTCGTCCGAGTTGCGCGGATAGGGCTTCTCTTGACCGTCGACCGCCTTGCCCTCGGGCACGCCGTCCAGACTGCGACCGTGGGTCTTTTTGTGCGAGTGCGACCCCGTTCGCGAGACTGCTTCGCCATTTAGCGTGTCTGACTGACTGGAGTTGCCGCCGACACTGGGGTGATAATAGTCGGCAGCCGCACCGGAATGGCTCTCAACGTCGGTGTACGACGTCGGCGAGCCCGAGGGGACGTTCGTACCGTTCTGTTCTTCGGTGCTGGTTCCGTCGTTATAGGGCTCCGTCGGCACCTCGCGATCCCGCCCCACGGAGTCCACGTTGTAGCCTGGCGAGCTCGCTGCCGCCCTTCCGTTACCGGCTGCGGCCTCGACGTCATAGCCGGGGCCCCCAGAAAGGGTTCGGGAGGTGGTACGCGACACTGTGCGATTGAAGGGATTGTACTCATCCCATTTTGTATCTGCTTTCCACGCGGCCTTGCGAGCGGCGCTTTTTATTCTGTCTGCATCGAGGATCAGCGTCTCTTGCGACGAACAACTCGCGGAATCACGAGCGTATGCGGCGGTTGTGTGATGAGTGGGCAGGGGAGCGTGAGCAGGGAAGGCGGAAGGGGCAGCGGATCCGAGATCCAAAAATGAAGATAAACAAGTCGACATACGCATCTTTGATCTAGAAGATGAAGAGAAAACTTGTGTGCGCGTGCGGCTCTCGTGCGCGGACGTTGCTCTGTGTCGGGAGATAATAACACAACACCACGTCCAGGTACGAGGGACTGGCCTGCTCGGGTGAGGCTGTACGAGGCAGCACTACGCGCTCACACACGGCGAGGAGGTTCTAGGAAGGGTGGCAAGAAAGGGCTGTTACTGGTGAGGCAGACTTTTACCGTAGTTCATCTAGGCGATACAGAACGTGTTAGCCTTCTTGTAGTGAATGTCGGCCTGCTTGCATTCGCCATGCGCTGCCATCCAAAGCCACAGAGCGCAGCACGAGGATGATGGGCGATGTGGCGCAAGCTAGAAAGGGGCTGGAGTGAGAGAGCCGGCTCCGGCACCGAAGCGGACGACAGGAAGGGGGGCAAAAAGAAGCCAGGCAGCAGACTGCGCAATTGACGAAGGGATCTGCTCGCTGTGCAAGAAAGAGGCGAGCGGACGCAATTGATGAAGACGAAGAGGAAGGCTGAGCTGTGCATGTTGGGCAGAGGAGTACGGGGCGTGCTGGGGCTGAGTCAACAGAGTGACCTACCTGCCCAGCGCGTATCGCTGGCTAGCTCGCTCGCTCGCTCGCTCGCACGAAATGCGGATGCGCCTTTTGTCGTCGCCCGGTTTGCAGGGAAGGGCTGGCCGAGAGCCGAAAGTCTAACGGAGGCAATGCTCAATGTCGCAATGGTCGAAGGACACCCAGGAGCGACAAGCGCGTGGTCACAGCACAACGACGGGAGCGTGGTGCGGAGGAGATGGAAGGAAAGGGAAAACGCCAGCGGACACGCAAGCAACGAAGCGAAAGGCGAGCAACTTAGTAGGAGAAGGGGCAGCAGCAGCAGGACCTTGGCCAGGCCGGCGTGTGTCAGTTTGCGTGAGCGTCGCAGGGGCGGGATCGTCGCGACGGTTTTTTCCAAGCTTTTTGGTGCAATTTTACCGTCTTTGCGTTCTTGGCTGTCGTACACGATTTCGCTACGCAAACGCAGCGATGCCGTCGATAAGATCGTCTAAGCCCGCGCTATCGCACTTCTCGGCTAGCTTTCTTTGTCTTGCCTGTTGCTGGGCCAAAACGCTTGTTTCGCCCGCAAACTCGACGGCCCTGATTCGTCCCCTCGGTGCCCTCTGACCTGCGTCTGCGTCCGGTCATCGCTGGGCGACAATGGAAAAAGGCCACACCTGTCGCCCCGAAAGACCATCCCAGCTGAGGGACTCCGTGCGCTGGCAGCCGAGACGACCAGCGCTGAGCCTGTTTGCGCCCTGTTTCGTCATTGTTCGCCGCATCTTCGCTGCGCGCCCTGCTCCTTAGCGTGCTTGGAGAGTCTCGCCAGCTGGTCGCCACGACTGCGTCTTTGCCTTGACTGTTCGCAGGCCAGCAGTGCCCTTGCGTCACCGCTGTCGCTGTGCCGGGCCTGGGCTCCACGAGGATGCGACCGCAAGCACGACAGCCCGGATGATTCTTGCCCGGTCGATCCAAGCGAAACACGCGCAGTGACGTTGGTTTGATGAGATCTCCCGCGACGGACGAGCCATGCCTCCACTCACGTCCACTCGCTGCGTTGCCGCCCCCGTTGTTCGCTCCAGCTTCCACCATTACCGCGTAGCCGCCAGCGATGACCTGATCCCAACACGCCTTTGTTTTGCCCCCTTGCTGCGAGCACTTGTCGCGCGCGGCTACGACGCTCAAGACCAGGGCTGCCGGCACCGATTCGCGCTCGCTCGAACCTCACATCAACTCGCCGATCTGTCCTGGCCGCCGGTGCACACACACGCTCGGCCGTGAAACAGAGTCTCGAGCGTCGACCTTTTCTGCTGCACCACGCCTCCTCTTTCTCCTCACCGATCTTGTGCATGTTCGAACCGCCACACCCGGAGCTGCCAAGGCGCGTTGATGGGCCAGAACCCGGCTGGATCCAGGTCAAGTCCGGAGAGACGAAGAGATGATCTTCAAAGTGCGCGGCTGCACGGCCACACGCCCACACGACGTGGCTGTGCACTCCTTTCTGCCCCGCTTGCTTACGTCCTTTATGGCTCGGGAAATTCGTAATCGAGTGCATGCCGCGACTGATCCCGCGTTGTGATTAGATTACATCTTTCCCCAGCCTGATTCTGTGGCGCCGTCAGCACATCCCGTAACTTTGGTGCAGGCCTGGTTTGGCACCAGAACGCTTCCGTGCAAGCAGAGTCAATCACGTGCTCGTGCCACGCAGACCTGTAAGTTAAGCCAAACCAAAGCGCTGCCAAATGGAGAATACAGTGCGAATCGTGGTGCGCAACCATTCAGAGGTGCGCCAGCTCTCCGGGCTTACCGAGGACGGCATATTTTTCTTTGGACTCATGAGCAATGCACAGCTTCCTCGTATACGAGATGCTTTTCATTGGGGCGTCCGGCATGAAAGAACATAGCACTTCCTATTCACCCCCTGGCTACCACTCGGCAAAACAAAAGAGCCCGTGTTCCCTTGAAAGCATTTACAATAGCATCTACTCCGCCATGGGCATACATCCAATGAGTCGCAGCGTGTCCGACTGCAGCCCTGTCAGCAGCCAGACATCCCTTCCCAGTCAGCACCTAAGATACGTGTAAACTCGCCCTTCATCCAGGTCCACAGCGCTGCGGCCGTTCCGTCCTCGTGGTACCGCCTGAGCAGCGCCATCGCCTCTTCTCCGGGGCCTTCGTTGTTCCAGCCCACAGAGTACATGCCCGAGCCCAAGTGGCCGTCTGCGCCGGTGCGCACGCCCAGGCCCGCGACGAGGGGAGCCCCCTTCGCGTCGCCCTCGCGTGGAGCAAACGCAGCGCTCGTGGCCATGAACGCGTGTCTCTCTGCGCTCTCGTCCAGCGGCACCGCAAGCAGCCAGCCAAAGAGGAAGACAAAGAGCCGGAATGCGACGCCCAACCAGCCGCCCAGCCGCTGGAACAACGGTGTCACCACCAGCCCGGGAAACTCTTGTACAATCGACACGTCCGGCGCCTGCTCGACCAGTCGCTGCCACGTAAGCGTCTTCATCGTGGCCAGGTGGCCCCGCAGCTTGTTGCGGTCGCGCACAGTGAGCCGCTCCGCCTGCCAGTCGTCGGTCAGCAGACGGTCTTCGTGCGCGCCAGCGGCGACGTCGACAATGCGGCGCAGGCCCGGTGCTCTCTGGAGCAAGGGCAGCAGCCGTAGCGCAATCAGGTAGCGCGCAAACGTCGTCAGCGCGAAGATGGGCCGCAGTCCATCTGCGTTCTCTGCCGCGGCGCAGTCGACGTCAGTTCCCCCATGCTTTCGTCGCAGAGACTGCGTATTCGGGGGCGGCAAACCTACTCTCAACGCTCATGTCGACCTCGCCGACGGACAGGAACAGCACGTTGACGTGCCTCTCCCTTTGCTTGATGTCCTCGCACACCGCCTCGGCGTCCCTCATCCGCACCAACGTTTTCTGCACAAACACGTACTCGCCTTCCCCGTTGAGCGCCCTACACTCTGCAAGGATGCGCTCCGCCGCCGCCGCCGACCGCCCCACGATGTAGATTCTGGGCCGCACCGTCAGCCTGGCAAGCTGTTTCAGCGAGATCTCGCCGATGCCGCTCGTTCCGCCCACGAAGACAGCGACAAGGCCTGGGCTGAGCTCCGTCTTGATCGTCGCGTTCGAAGCCTTCACCACGTCCAGCGACACCATGGCGAAAATGTTTCCGACGTTCCTTTTATGTTATTTTTTTTTTCTTCCTTCTTTTTCGATTTGGCCACAAGGCGTACTGACTTTGATTTCAATTACCTCCCCGCGGCTTTATATGTGGCCTTGTGAAGCGTGCTGTTCAGCCTAGCACGACTAGCAATCGCATTTCTCGACTCTGGTTGGCTGGCGCAATGCGGAGCGAACTCTCAGGAGTCGACCTATTACAAAGCCGGAACCTAAGCCTCCGCTGAGAAGCTGCTCAGCCTGGCGCGTCGCTTTCAGCAGCCTCGTCGGCGTTATTCGTTTCTTCCCAACTGCATTCCCTTGTGAAATCGCAAGAAACCACGACTGTTAGAGGACATAAGAATTCAATTTGCTACATCGTGCAGGGCAGACGCCGTGCGCGGCATGCATGTTGTGTCTGTAATGACGACACCAGTAATATTCGTACAGTACGTCCGAACAAACAGTCCACCCGGATCAGAAGAGCCGGAAAATTGTTTAACAAAATCAGCTGCGAAATAATTCTCAGGATTGCCATTTCGCCATTGCTTGCATCGAACACCTGTTAAGGATAGTCACCTCGTCGCGCTATCTACTGTTATGTGTCGCACCACGCTTCGAGTCAAAGGCAATTAGCTTCACTGATTGAGCCTCGCGTCCGCCGCACGGCCATGGCACTTGTTGATCTGATGCTGCGAGTACATTCGACTTCGTCGCCGCACAAGCCGCATGTCCGCTTCTGTTGTGGCCCGACCGGAAGTTTGTTCTACATCACCATGGACATCGGAATCTGTTGCCGATGCGGCGAGGTACCTCTACTCAACCCTTCAGTTCCAGAAGTCCCACGCTGGTTGTCTGATACGCTGACTTGGGCGGCATACGTGTCGTATGGCTCATAGGCGGTGTCGCGGCTGTACGTCGAAGAGACGGTGTCACGCTCGGCCAGCCGGATCTTGGACCCGTCAACCAGATTTGTAGTGTCATCGTCGTCTTCGGCATCCGGAGACCGCACGTATGTGCCTCCGGACCAGCGGCTCGAACGCTTGCGGTGCTTGTCTGTGAGGTGAGCGACGGTCAAGATGACATTGTCTAGAACCACGACGATCAGAAAGCCTAGCATCACTGTCGGGATGAGCCAGTTGCTCGCGACAAACTTGAAACCCGTCTCAGACTTGTTCGTCAACGACGCTGTGACCCCGACCACGGGAATGACAAAGCCCATGATTGTCCGGTTGATCATTTCACCGAATTCGTACTTGGTTTTGTGCAGCTTCCCAAACCTAAGCACGAATATTAGCGCGCTTTCTCCATCCTTTTGAAACTTTTTTTTATTGGACAACCTCTTCAATGGTGACCCGTACTAGATAGCAAAATCGTTACGTACCAATACATGATCGCGAGGATCAGCAGCATGCCACCGGCACAAACGTAGAAGTATAGCACCACGATATCGAAGACTCCATATATTGAATTCAACGCCGCCTGGTCGTCCGTGATGGTCGGCATAATGGCAACTATCTTGTCCATCGTCTCCTTATGAGACGTGACGATAAAGAGCTTTGCTGACGTGAACATTCTGTTCACGATAGCGGCTGTGGCGTTGTTCCATTCGGCAGACTTGAACGGATACGTACTCGAAATGTTTGCCAACGCCGTCAAATTGCCTCGCCACGGGTACTCGACGCTCCACTTGCTGGATGAGAATTGCTTGTCGATAGCGACCATGGACGCGTTAATGAAGTTGATAAAGTCCTGGCTGGACGCAAAGTTTGTCCCGGGAGCGTCTGCAGGTTGAGGCTGACGTGCCCAGACAAATTTGAATCCTTGTACGACGCTGTTCCACACGATGAGTGCAGTGTTTCCCTCGACGGTCAGGAGGATAGCAATGTGCAGGGGGTAGTGCAGCAGCGCCCAGATCTGCTGTCTGATTGTTCCGAACCGATGGTGATCGATGGCATCGAAGTACAGGATCCAGATCAGGTAGATGAGGATGATGGCCGAAACGACTGTGCCGATCTCCGCGCCGCTGTTCGTCACCTGTCCCTTGGTTACGCACGAAACGGACTTAACCATCCCGATGATACCTTCGCCCATAAGAATCAGTGAGAGGAGACCCATCCTTTCAACGAGATGCGTGTACTTGAAGCTTATGATTCTAAAGAAGATTGCGATGAGCATGGTGGCGACACCTTCTCCAATGGACAGGACGAACCTAATCAGATCAACTGTGAGCGTATCGAAAACAAGAGAGGACAAAGTTCTTCTCACCAAACAAACAGCTCGTACCACAGGATAGGGCCTGCACTTGGGAATGAGAAATGGGTGATCAAGTACAGGACCGCCGTTGTGATGTACACGGCTGCCGTCATGCCCAGTGGAAGCAGAGCTTTCTTGAACCGTCTGCTCTGCCACATAACCACGATATACTGTACCGCAATAACGATCCTGGACACGAACAAGACCAGCGCGAACGCCTTATAGTATCTAGTTTCAGGTTAGAATCAGCACCGTATTTGGTATCATCAACGACAACGAGATTGACACGCTCTGCCATTGTGTTCCGACAAAAAAGTCCCTTAAAAAAATAATATAAAAAATGGAGAACGAAAAGAAAAGAAAAGAAAAGAAAAGAAAAGAAAAGGGAAAGGGGTCACATACCTTTGGTCCACTGCCTTATCGTACTTATCAAACACAGGTCCCGCAAAGACAAATCCGGCCATGACCCCAAAGTGCACCAACTTGCACACTCTGTTGTACACGGAGTCTGCGACGAAACGCACGTCGTACAGTATTGTCGACAGCCACGTGAACCACATCAGCGTGAATAGCTTCAAGTAATTGAGAACGGCTGCCGTGGGTGCAATCAGTACGCTGGGCGGTAATCCTCTCTGTGCTCGAGACACGTACACGGAGCATCGACGTGCTGATGCATCGCCGTAAAGTACGCCAGGTTCGCCACGAAGAACAGGTCGTAGAACAGCTCGATCGTGCTGGCTTCATGGTGGGACTTGTAGATGTTGGGGTTGCCACTACTCGTCGTTGAGATGGTGTCAAAGCTTTTAGGTCTTCGCGACTTGTATTTGTCCTGGTCGGGAGAATCTGCAAGTTCAGAAACGATGTCTTCGGTCGCGTTTAAAGGTGACGATATCAGTGGTAGATGGCCTCGAGAGTCGCCATTCCTGTGAGGGAGACTCTTGACTGCTGGCTTTCGCCCCCTCACCGAGAGGAAGTGGCCGAAATCCATAGCCGTTGACGGGAGGCACTTGGCAGTCTTAGACGCTTAGACCGATACTGTTCGCAAAAATCACTGTGTCTGCGAGCAGCGAGCGCAGTACAGCCTTTAGGATTGGAAAAGCTGTCGGGACCAAAGGATGGGGAATCAAGCCAAGAGAGCTCGAACCGCCGGCCATTCTGCTGGTCTTATACCAGAAAGGACTTGCTGAAAAGGTTGTACCACAGCTGATGTCTTGGTATACAGATTAACGCCACGCTATTCTGAGGGATCCTCACAGCTGCAGAACTGTCTTGCTCTTGGCGGCATATCGCCTATTCTAGAGTCGAAGCATAAGTGCCAAGCTGCATGCAGGCGCAACCAGCACAGCACGTTCGGATTCAGCCGCACTGGTGGAGACTCTTTCTTGCGCGCACAAACGGTGTAAACAGGCATGCCATCGCGGTATATCTTCTTGCATGGCGTATTTCTGACCTTCACGACACGTTTGTACGTATCCGACTGAAGCTGTGCGTTCGTCACAATCCAATTATACTTACATCAAGTGCCTGGGCTGAGCATGCGCCTTCGGAACAAGTGCTCCCGATAGGACTGCGCTATCTTTCGTAGAATAAGAACGTCCACGAGGTGCTAGTGCTGAGAAAAGCGTCATGTATCTGGGGAGCAGATGCTCCAATGGAAAACAAAACTGCGACTTGGCGAAGACGCCTGCTGGCTTGGTCACGCATCCAAGGGCTGATGTTGGCGCCACTGGAATTGCCGCGTTTTAGCGAAACAACAAGCTCCAAGCATCCTCCCCATTAGATCGAAAACATCGACAACATGTTCGCGTCGTGAGGGCAGGAAGAGATCGGCCAAGGTAAATCTCCTTGCAAACGAAAACCACAAGGACGAAATGATATGTGGTTCTTATTGTAACGACACCTTCGGACTTGGCCGCAGCATCATCGAGTCCAGGGCAGCGAGGGAATTCCGCAAGATCTAGATTTTCTTGGCCCGTCTTGTCCTGTGCTGCTTGGCGACGCTGCCAAGAATGCTTGAAGGAAGCGACTGGTGGTGAGCGCGGTTGGACCTCAGTCTAAGCTTCGTGAGAACGCGCAGTTTCAATTGCTTAACGAACCAGCTCTTCTGCTTGCTTAGACTGCGGTATTGCTGCAGTCCAGGACACGATTCGCACTGACTTTCGTCAGCTCCGGGCAGACCTGCTTTTCACAAGGGACCAAGCAGCTCTCTCTTCCTCAGCGTCTGCTTGATGCGGAGTCTCACATTCGGTGGACCACCAAAGGCCCCAGGATCGCCCCTAGCTCCTGATAGCCAAGGTGCACCGTTGACTACCAGAATTTGAGCTTAGGTGCCCCCTTTTCTAACACCAGTCCAAAGCTCTTTGGCAGATGCGGTGAACAGTTTGGTGTCACGTGTCTGTATTCGAGGCTATAACGACGCTCTCGTTGATGGGCATACGGAATATCCCACATAAACCGACGTTTATTACGTCTTTCCGTTGAAGAAAACCAGGTCTAGCTATTGGACTAAGACCCTACAATATCATAATTTTAACATGGTCATCCGTGTGCGACGTAAAACCTCCCTAGCAGCTGGGAAAAAGATTAATAATAGCGGATCTCCATCGCTCAGCAAGTGGAAACATTTCGTGTCTTTTGGCGCCATAATGCGGGATAATGGGCGGGAGGTCTCCAAATTCAGAAGCGTGGCAGCGCGAGGGCGATGACACTGGAGGAGAGTCACTCGCGTCCCATGTTGGCATTGTTAAGCATGTCTATTCACGCTCACTGTAGATGGGAGCACGAACTGGAATTGTACTTGGAGAAAGACTGTACGTGCTTTTATTTCACGCAGGCATACTGTAACCGCGCAGAGACCCATCTGATCCTTTTAGGCAACTCAAGCACGAGGCGTCAGTCCAATACTATTTTCTTCTTCGCGCTGAAGCAGAAGTCATGTTCAGAAATGGAGAAAACAGAGGGAGGTTCATCGAAGCTCCCAATAGTCTACGGTCGGGCTGGACACGTTCAAGGTATGAGCACCTAAAAAAAATGGAGATGAACATACTGGTTCTGAATCGGCGGAGTGAGGGTCTCTTGCTTTTTAATGCTATCGCGTAGTCGAAAGACCCACGGCTTTCGATGACAGAGCGGCCGTAAAGGATGTATGGGAATGAACAGGCTACGCAAAGCATACAGTATGGAGGATGTTAGAAAATGTTCACCATGTAATGTGAGCGTGCTCCGATGTTGGTTTTGAAACCACACGTACCTGGACTGGCATTGAGGCAATGAAATCTAACAAAGAGCAGAGTTGGGTTTCCCAAGCTGGCGCGATTGTTAGCACCAATAAAGAACATACTGCTAGCATCTCAAGTAGGCGCTAACTTCGACATGTACCAGTATCCTCTGCAATGACGTGATTCGCATTAGTTCCGTCATTGACAAGTTGCTGATATATACATAGCCTTGCAGATGTCGCTGGAAGCCACCCTGCGCTCTGCGAACCGTGCTTTAGCAGCAGCTCCAAGACGTGGACGATCTAGACCTGCTTGTTCGCAAGGTTGGCGAATCGATTCGACAATTTTTCTTATCAGGCGGCAGGCTTGGAGGACTTGGTCAAGCACGGGTGTCTTTAGGGCCAACTGAATGGAAGTTATTGCATGTTTGGGTGCCAGCCGTTGATACAATTCTGCTAATCGACCAAATCTTCGGTCGACAAATAACGAGTTTACGGCCGATCAGGCTGAGCTCAGAAATTAAAAGGGGCGAAAATCACGGCCGGCTTGAAATTTGCAAGACTGCCACTGCGCATTGACACGCGCGGGTTCTATGAAAGCTGTTTGACATACTTGGAGCGCCGGCTTGAGGTTGTGAACAGCATTTTGTTACATAATTCTCGTGTTGCCTCTCGCTTAACCCACTCGTTCAAACGCTTTGATGAACCAAAGGTTCCTGCATACCATACCGATATTGCATAACTCCGCCCTGAAAAATCTTGGGCTTTTGCTGGTGACTATCGAACTCAACTTGATTTGATCCTGGCGGCGGGGATCTCAATGCTTAGCTGAGCTTCGATAGCGGCTTCTTGGCCATGCACGAATCTTCACAGGACTGGTGCCAGCCGACTTCCAATCGACGAAGCAACGAGGAAGTGAGGCATGGCGATAGCGCGAACTCTACAAAGTCTATACTGGCTATCGTTATCCAGTAGTAGACGAGAATCAGAAACGATGCCCGTGCAAAGTCGCACGTTCTCAGGTTCAGAATGGGTGGAAGGTCAGACAAGATTCAACTGCAGCCTCAACAAATATTCCCGAGCCTAGCAGTCGGTCGCCGAAGAAGCCAAGAACCGGCCTCCCCACAACCGATGGCATCAAGCCAAAGCCAGTGTCGACATATAAAAAGCATGGGATGTCTAGCTTTCCAATAACGTTCTTCAACTTTGCAACGTGCCTGTTCCGCATTGAACAATCGCACGGCACCTTTCACTCGTCCTCGCGTGGGTGATGAGCCACAACTGACATTGATGTAGCTTGTGACTGGCTGAGAGCTCCAACTACATTTGCCTTGCCACTAAGACCACACATTCTCGAACAGCTGTGCATCATAACATAATAATGGATGTCATCATTCCATTCGCGAAGACACGGGAATACGATGTTCATAGCCAGCCGCCAAACATGAAAGAAGTATAAATAGCTCGCCGATATGCAATGACTTTCTGAATTATCCCGCGTGTCTGATCGCTATGAGACGTTCATTCTTGTTGCTGCCGGTGGCCGGCGTCGCCGCTGGTCTTATCCGACGTGAAGACAAAGAAGAATGCGGATCAACATACAAGCATGTTGCTGTAATCAGCGCAGACGGTCTACATGCCAGCGACATTGACAAATACGTTGCCCTTGGCCCTTCCAACTTCTCCATTCTTCTGTCACACGGCACCCAGTTCACAAATGCTTGGACCTCAGCTCCATCCGACTCCTTCCCAGGAACTCTAGCTCAGTTCACCGGAGCGTCTCCGAGGACGCATGGCGTCTGGTACGATGATACGTATGATCGAACATACTATGCCCCAGGTTCCAACTGCAGCGGTCCTGCTGGTGCTGAAGGTAAACTAGGAACATGAGCATTCTAGTTTGCACGTTGCTAACGGCACGCAGTGGTGTATGACGAGAGCATTGACTACAATGACACGCTGCTATTCTCTGGAGGGATCAATCCAGAGAATCTACCAAGAGCTATTGTGGGAGGGAAGTGCACACCAATCTATCCCCACAAGCGTGTCAGAGTCAACACCGTGTTTGAAGTTGCAGTTGCTGCCGGTCTGAGGACTGCATATACCGACAAACATGTAAGGATCCGAAACTCTCAAATAGGAGCATGCTCTGATTCTTACTTAGCCTGCCTATGACATTGTTCGCGGTCCATCTGGAACAGGCTTGACAACCGGTTATTTCCCGGAGATCAATTGGGCTGGCAATCCTACAGACAACGTCACGGCTTGCATGAAGTATGACCAGCTCCACGTCAATGCCTGGTTGGGATGGCTAGACGGCAAGAATCAACCCAATGCGGAGGGAGACATTGGAGGCCAGATTCCGGCGTTGTTCGGAGGAAACTTCCAAACCGGTCTGCAACCCCCTTCAACCGATGTTTCCATCTAAGAACGGACACTGATATTCATTTCATAGTTTCGGTTGGCCAGAAGACCAAGGGTTACGTCGCTGGCAGTCTGGCATTTTCGTCGGATCTTAAGAAGGCCATCGACTTTGTCGACGCTTCTATCGGCCTTCTGATTAACAAGCTGAAAGCCAAGGGCATTTTTGACGACACGCTGATCATTGTGGCATCGAAGCATGGTCAAGCACCAATCGACCCGACCCAGCTCAAGAAGATTGACCCTAAGAACCTCACAAGCTTGATTGGTGTCAAAACCGACCATATTACTGTACGCAGCATGGTGTGTCCTTTTTTCGACAACGGCGCTAATTTTCAATACAGACGGACGACGTTGCGCTTGTCTTTTTAAGCTCCGCCTCGGACCTGAACACGGCAGTCAAGAATCTCAACGCGAACAAGGCTGCTCTTGCCATCGACGACATCATTTACGGTCAGCGCTTGATCGACCTCGGATTCGGTGACCCTTCCAAGGATCCAGCCGTGCCTGACATCATCATCAAGCCTGTTCTCGGAGTCATCTACACCACCTCCGCCACCAAGATTGCGGAGCATGGTGGTCTCTCTCAAGACGATCGTCATGTTGCTTGCATCGTAAGCAACCCTAAGCTTGCCAAGAAGCAGGTCAACACGTACGTCGAGACAAAGCAGATCGGACCAACTATTCTGAAGGCTCTTGGACTCGACCCAAGCAAGCTGACTGGTGCCGTATTGGAGAAGACAAAGCCCCTGGATGGCTTCTAAGCAACAGTTAATACTAACATTTAAATGGCAATGAGTAATAATTATCCCAGTAACAAATGGGAGCGTTAGTCTATTAATGAAATAAATGCGAAAATGCTTTTCAAGAAAAAAAAAAATAATATGTGACAGTACTTTTCTTCTTCTTTACGACTTCTCAATTTAAATATCAAATCTTCATCATACTTCTAAGTGGTCGAATTTGTACATAACTGAGCGACCGGATCTGGCAATGTCCAACCTTGCATCACATCTGGTTGGGCCATGAACTGCATGAGCAAGCCCGCCTGAAGATGCCATGCGTTGTGGCAATGAAGAGCCCACATCCCTGGAACGTTGTTGAGAAAACGAATGAGAGCGAAGCCGTACGGAGCTATCGTGATCGTGTCTCGTCTAATTGGGTTTGCGTTGAAACTGTTCGTGCTGGTCGCATTCAGTTGCGAGTACAGATCCGTGTCCCAGGGGAAGTACAGGTAGTCGGCATTATGCATGACCCAGAAGTGATGTCCGTGAAGGTGGAAGGGATGCGAGCCGTCGTCGAAGTTCATCACGATGAGATCCACGACCTTGGCCGACGAAGGAATCGTGATCACATATTGGTTGCTGCTGAAGCCTGCGCTGACACCGGCCGTGGAGAACTTGGTTCTGTTTGCGGAATTCAGACCGGCGATGGCCTGATTGAGCGTAGGGTTCTGCAGGCTTGGGATCCACTGCGTGCCGTTGACATTGGCGCGATCCAATGCCTGGCTTCCAATCTCGAAGAAGAATTGGATCTCAAAAACCACGTCGGCCGGAGGGGCTTGCTCTTTGACGGCGGGCGCAAGCAGCGTGTAATTGAGCTCTCCGCACGTTTCGTCAAGAGCGTCAGACCAGTCGATCGACGCGGTGGGTGTTTCAGTGTTATTCTTGTAGGTTACCAAGCCGAGGACCAAAGGATCCAGAACACTATTATCAGCAGCGTAGCAATTCGTGTTCATTCTATGTGATGTCATCAGCCAAGTTTGACCTTGACCTGTAATGGTCGATCTTACTGTGCCCTTAACCAGTAATTCGTGGACGCACTCTGATTTGCTGTCAGAATCGCGGAGTAGCGTTGAGCTGTTGCGATCTCGAATCTGTGCACAGCTAGTGGTTCCGTGACGATCCCATCTGCTTCAATTATGTCCAAAGTGTGATTGTCGACTGATATCTGAAAGGCTGTGAATGCGCCTGCAGAAATGAAGCGTAAACGATCTACAATGGTGAGTTTCGCAGAGTTAGAATGGGAAGGTCGATTTCTTACATCTTTTATTGGCCTCAAACTCAAATACGGGACGCGCCGAATCATTCGAACACGTGTAACCACTGCTTCCATCGTAGGAAGAGCAATTGAAGTAGTTTGTGCCCTGAAGAAGTCCATTGTCAGGTACAGGCTCTGCATTTTCATTTCCAGGAGCCAGATATTGCCCTAACAGAGCTGAAGTCAAATCATGATACCAGTCTTGTACCATAATGACTTGGTCAAAGTCGTACAGCTTTTGGGTTTCTGCCTCTTCGGGTGCATGAACAATAAGAGGACCGCTGATTCCGTCCACAAGCTGCGTGTCCTTGTGTGCATGATACCAGTACGTGCCGTACTGGTTCTCAATGGTAAAATTGTATCTTTGCTGATCAGTCTCCGCGATTGCCTTCGACACATCCCGCAACTTACACTAGCGACTGCTGAGGTGGAATCGGACATTGCGTAATACCAGAGGGACCGTCAAACCAATTTGTGCCATTCTGATACAGTCCATGCCAATGCATTGTAGTCGCATTGGACATCGCATTGGTGACATTGACTATAAGACGATCTCCTCTATTCAACCGGATGATCGGACCAGGGAACTGACCGTTGATCGTAAGAACCGTACGATTTACTCCTGAGGGTCTTCAGATTCCTTATTCGTGCGGCACGGAGTGCGAAAATAACATACCATCTGGTGCAATGTTCGCCTCTGAAACGGTCAGATTGTAAATTCGCACCGTGGGCTCGGCGTTCAGATCCCAATTAGCAAAGTCAAGCTTATAATCTAAGGTGCTCGACCTCCACGACTGGACGTTCGTAGAAGCGTAGGAATTCGCTGTATTGTTTGATCCTGAGGTTGCCGGCGTGGATGTTGTCGTAGGCGCATGATGCTTCTTGAGTCCTAACCCCAATCCCAATCCAAGGGCGAGAGCTAACACACTGATTACGATGAGAAGGATGATCAACACAACTTTAATGCTTCGCCTAGCCAGTGCTGGTTTTTCAGACTCATCCTTGCCATCGACCATTGTTTTAACATCTAGACGGTCTATATCGTAAGACAAAAGAAAGATCGATTACGAGGCTGCTGAGGGAATGGCAAGATGATCAGATATGATAAGAAAGCGAAGCTTCTTGAATAGCTTCCCAGATGATGGCTCGCTTTCGCAGATTCTTGTTTTCAAGAGGTATTCCCGGGCCACAATAATGCGGGCTGCAACGGGATCCAGAACCACGGTCCGCATGCCTTTTCTTCCTTGTTCCATCCGTACGTATCCCGTGCTGCTTGATAGCTACGCGAGGGCGTGGCCGTTGGCGCCTTAGAAATGCAACCATAGTCGCTGCTGCACAAGGTCTAAAGACGAAAGGATCTTCCGGTCCGTCGTGGGATGTTGGTGAAAACCATGCAACGTATGGACGGGGTTGTTTCGACCCACGAGGTTTGCTGGCATGGCTTTGATTGGTCTGTCGAACTTGACGGCCCCGGTTGTCCATCTCATTTTGCCACTCAATTCACGGGCAGCGGCCTCGGATGATGTTTAATGAACACGTCTTGATTGGTCAATTGGAAGCTAAGCAAAAGCTTGAGACGCTTGATGTTGCTTGTGCGCCGAACACCATAAACGCCGAATGCACGCCGTCGCGCGATCCTGATGTTACCTCCGGTGTTGTTTATCCCATCCGATAACGTCTTATTTTTTGTCAAGATGTTCCTAATATATCACAGGGGTGGTGAAGCTCGAACACGTGGGTGGTCTGTTGTATACAGGCAAGATATAATAGCCTGGGTCACGGCGTTGCGGTCATAACCCATCCGACCAGGTCTTTCCAACCTTCCAAGGCTAACACCATGCTGTCGTCTTTGCTGCTCGCTACCCTTGCTACGCAGAGCGTTGTGCTCGCAGCAACATCTGCATCTGAACCACCAGAGAGCACAATTGAACCCACCCTAGCGGCAATTCAATCTGCAGCTGCAACTGCCGTTGCACGATCACCCGTTTCGAATGTAAAAGGCGCTGGTTTCAGTCGCTTCTACCAGATCTGGCTCGAGAATACGGACTATGCCGCTGCTGCTGGAAATGGCGATCTCGAGTTTCTTGCATCGCAAGGCATTGCGCTGACGAACTATTGGGCGGTCACCCATCCTTCCGAGCCTAACTATGCTGCTTCCGTGGGCGGCGACATTTTCGGCATGGACAATGACGAGTTTCACGCTATTCCCAAGAACATCTCAACGGTTGTTGATCTGTTGGATACAAAGGGTATTGCTTGGGGCGAGTACCAAGAAGATATTCCGTACCCCGGCTTCCAAGGTTTTAACTACAGCAACCAGCAGACTTTCAACAACAGCTATGTGCGCAAGCATAACGTGAGTAGTGCGTCTGAATATTGAATGCCAATCGCTGACCAGGACTCAAGCCTCTGATGCTATATGAGTCTGTCACAAGCAACTCGACTCGACTATCTTTGATCAAGGGTTTCGATGCGTTCCACAGTGACGTTGTAAACAAGACGCTTCCGCAGTGGGCGTTCATAACTCCAAATATGACCAATGACGCCCACGACTCAAACATTGGTGTTGCTTCGACGTGGGCGCGCAACTTCCTGACCCCTCTGTTGAACAATTCGTACTTTATGAATGACACTCTGATACTAATAACCTTCGATGAAGTCGAAACATACACTTCTGGAAACAAGGTCTATTCGATCCTGCTTGGTGGCGCAATTCCAACTGAGCTGCACGGCACAACCGACAATACCTTCTACAACCACTATTCTACCATTTCAACCGTCTCGGTGAACTGGGGCTTGCCGTCCCTAGGTCGCTGGGATTGCGAAGCCAATGTGTTCGAGATCGTCGCTAACAAGACCGGATACAAGAATGTTCAGGTCGACACAACCCACCTGTACTTCAATTCGTCTTACCCTGGTCCACTATCCGGCAAGCTCTATGTGCCGGTGTGGCCAGCTCCTTTAACAAAGGCTTCATGCGCTTCGGGCAAGGGAGTCTTGTCCTCGGTCGTCTCAACATGGAATGGTACGACCCCAATTTACAACTATACCAACGTATACCCATATGATGCTGCTGACAACAACAACAACGGCGGTACTCCTACAACCGGAGGCAGTCTCTCATCAAGCGGCACTACTTCCTCAGGCAGTACCTCCGCAAGTGGCAGCAGCGGGTCTGGTACAGCATCTAGTGCATCATCAAAAGCGTTAGCAGCAACTCATGTGCCGGCACTTGGTGTAGCTGGTGTGGCCGGTGTGGCTGGAGCTCTCGTCGCAGCTATGATCTAAAATTCGTCGTCTTTAGTGATAAGATCTGGTATGCTTAATAATTTTGGACACGAATAGTTCAATGAAACATAGCCAATAGTTCCTAAAAAGGTTTCTCAGGTTTCTGTTATTTCATGCATGACCATTTTCATCATTTTGCTGTGTCGTCCTCATATATATACACCGAGGACACCAAGGATTTTGAGGCAGGCTCGAAATATGATTCAAATGTAAGAAAAGTGCCGAGAAGGACGCATTAGACAGGGCGTAAGTCAACATATTTGAAAGAATGTCAAAGTCCCATGGCTCTCAGGACTCGGCTAATCAATGTTTAATGCCAACAGGGAAAGCATTTCGAAATACGAGGCCCTATGGTATTTTTGTCTAGTTCGATTTCGTTCTAGCTCGCTAGATGCCTATCCTGTGTCGCCGATACGGTGCTACAGAAAAAAAAAGGCACTCTCTCATGGTGTTACGCTTATCAAGCCTCAAATACTGCAACCGAGATTTTCCGTTTATTTGGTCCATGGTGGTCGAGAATTGGCGATGCTCTTAAACTCATAGGCCTTGGCTTAGAATCGAGCGGGCGCGAGATTTCAGAAGTAGCTATGACAACGTGGGCGACTTCTGCGCTCAAATGTGGTCAACTATTGCGTAGCCGAAACGGTGTGGCTGCTCATCTTGTGGACGCCACAAATACAACGAGGACTGACCCCGCAACCATCCCAAAGGATGTGTTTGTCCGATCAAGATGCCAGATGGCACAATTGAATAAATCCCGGTAACGAGAAATGGAAAGGGAAGATGTGATACGGCCGAGTTTTAAACCTCAAAATTCGTTTCTTTCCCACAAGAGAGGTAAGCACACTAGAAGTCTCAACCAGTTCTTACTGCGCGCTTGTTTTGTAGAACATCAACAGAAGAGAGTTCAGATGAGCGATTGCCCTATGAGATGCGAGCGTCCGGTTCGTGCCTCTATCTTGTATTTCTTCTCCTGAAATGTCTTCCCGCAGGGCTTCGCATGTTGATGGACCCACTTCTAAGCCAAGAAACGAAGTCTGGCCACGAGGGGTGCAGTAACTTAATTGACGAATAGCATGTTCGCGTTCAACCACTCGTTGCTTGAAATCGATCCCGCAGGTTACTTTCTACCTATCGGCAACGTGCCTTGCATATCCGCATCGAACGAGAATGAGTACATTCCAAGACAATGATTATGCCCAAGGCCTTGGAAGTATTTTCTTTTTCTTTTTTTCTTCTTTTTTGCCTCTCCACGTTTCTCCTGTCCATCGTTCAGTTTATCCCTGAGATTGCGGCGTTTCTCCGGTATCTATATAGGAATTCAGGGAGCAGCACGCTATATCCCTTGGATTACAATGCTTTTAACCTGCACTTAAACGCCATTGAGGATAAACACTCCCTCGGAACGGTATTATTAATCAAAGTTCGTAGAATATTCACCTTCCCTTGGGCATAGTCGGCATGGAAAAGATTGGCAACTCCGCGTATCAAGATTTCGGCGGGATATACTCGCATATCAGCGACCCAAATGAGCGTCGTCGATTAGCCCTCGCTGAGGTTGATAAATCACCTTTGGGGTGGCATCATCTTCGACTTGTCGTTGTTACTGGTGTCGGATTCTTCACAGACGCGTATTCGGTATGCTGTTTCGTACGCATCTGCCTTGAATGACACTTTTTTGACGGCGACTTAGTTGTTCGCAATCAGCTTGGCGTCCACCATGATCGGTATCGTATACTGGCAAGACTCTGACTCTCATGGCGTTCTTCCAAGTTCGGCGGATACCGCGATCAAGGTAGCTAGTTCTATTGGCACTGTGTTTGGACAGATAGTCTTTGGCTATCTTGCCGACTTGCTTGGTCGAAAGAAGATGTACGGCATAGAATTGCTCATCATAATAACCGGTACCTTAGCACAGAGTCTCACATCGCCTTCTCCGGCAATGAGCATTGTTGGAGTCCTAGTTTTCTGGAGGTTTATTATCGGTATAGGGGTCGGTGGGGACTATCCCTTATCTGCTGTAATCACCTCAGAAATGGCAGTTACGAGGTGGAGAGGCGGCATGGTAGCTACAGTGTTTGCTATGCAAGGTTTAGGTCAACTCTTCGCGGCGGTCCTCGCGCTCATTGTCACGATCGCCCACAAAGGCAATCTAGACAATGCGAAAAATCTTGGCAATTGCGATGCTGCTTGCCAGAAGGATCTTGATATCATGTGGCGAATCGTCCTTGGTTTTGGTGGAATCCCCGGCTGGTTCGCATTGTATTACCGATTGACCATACCAGAGACGCCGAGGTACACATTCGACGTTCAACAGGACCTTGAAAAAGCATCCGCAAATGCTGCGAGATTCCGATCCGGCCGAAAAGGTAGCGCTAGGGTTGATGGGTTGCAACAAGCAAAGGCCAATGTTGACATGCGCAAATATCATAAGCGACCGCCAACGCTAGCAGAGTTCTACAGATACTTTTCGCAAAGAAAGCACTTTTTGCAGTTACTGGGAACAGCAGGGTCGTGGTTCTTCCTCGATATCGCTTTTTACGGCCTAGGATTGAACACGCCGACGATTTTGTCAGCCATTGGTTTTGCGAGCAATGGATCCATTTATCATCGCCTTCATAATGCGGCACTTGGCCAGCTCGTTTTAGTTTGCGCAGGCGCAATCCCAGGATACTGGGTTACTGTTTTTACAGTTGACACCATCGGCAGGAAGCCTCTTCAGCTTGCAGGTTTCCTGATACTGACCCTGCTTTTCGCTGTCATTGGCTTCTGTTTAGATCGACTCAGCCAGAAATCTCTTCTGGCCTTGTATATTCTCGCGCAGTTTTTCTTCAACTTTGGTAGGATATGTTCCACTCTGACAACACTGAACAATGCTAACAAGCTAGGTCCTAACGCAACCACGTTCATTGTTCCTGGAGAGTGCTTCCCGACTCGCCTTCGCGCAACTGCTCATGGTTTCTCGGCTGCGTCCGGGAAAATTGGAGCTGTCATTGCGCAGCTCGTCTTTGCTCCAATGACCAAGCGTGGAGCCACAGCCAAGTCCCAAAATCCATGGCTTGACCACGTCATGCAGATTTTCGCCCTTTTCATGCTTTGTGGAGCAGTGACCTCTCTCCTTATACCGGAGACGAGCGGGAAGAGCTTGGAAGAACTTGCCGGCGAGAACGAGTCCACACCCACGTACGAATTGAATTCTACAAACCATTCTTGTCGAAACTCGGCAGATAGTGCTCAGGAATTTGGGAGAACTAGAGACAGCTATGATAGATCTTATGCGTGAGACTCTTCAAAGTAGACTTTTTCGTATTACTAAAAAGAGATTTGAAAGACGGTAGCTTAGCTTCGATTTTACTTCAACACGTGTCAAAACCTCACCATGTTCCTTCTCGCTTCCCTAGGCATATCTAGCAAATACTCGATAACGTCTTCAGCTTTTCTGATTTCTAGCCATCCTAGGGCAGAAGTGGAATGTCTTGAATCCAATAAATTTCTTACAGAGGGAGTCCTAATGATTGCATTTTTGCGAGAAACCTGACGCCCCAAAAACGGAGACCTTGAAAAGACTGGGCACGCCGCAGAATACGAAGACTCTTGGCGCGGCAGACATGTGTTAAGGTTGTTGTTTTCTTTTTTCTCTTGGCCTGCATGCAAAGGCCATTGCGCATTGTTTGGCGTATTCCAGAGAATTACCAAAAGTGGTTACGGGGATTGTCACCAAACTATGCCTCGTAAAAGCAACGTGATCTGCAATGCAATGGGTACAAACTACTAGGGATCTCCACTGCATCGCCGTCATTGGCGAAATTTGCCTGCAGTCAACTGAAGGGATACAAGGACTACATGTGACCCGTCGTATTCAGCGATGAAGGTCTACGCTTCAGCCCAGCAAAGCGGATGGAATGCGGCCATTAGTCTGGCTACTTTAGCTCGGCATCGTCATTATGGATCACTGTGTCAAAGCCGAGTTGGAGTAGCATTGGCTATATCTATGCGAGCATTTTGCAAAGCAAGTTCAACTAGTAGATTTTTCGCGAACTGTACAAACATGAAGACTTTTGAAATAGCCACCAGTATTTTGTTTACGCTCTTTTTGCCAAAATCTGCTCTTTCGACTGTGATTGACGGTTCAGAATGCAAATGTGTAAGTCTGCCTGTTTGTCACGCAACAGGTTTGTTTCTTTCCTGCGTGATACACATGTATGAAATGTTAAAACACCAATACGAGGGCTATCTTGTTAAAGAATTTTTGAAACTTTCAAGCCAATTTGCGACACTGTTATGAGAATTCAATTCGCCAGATGAGTTTGGAGGAGTATACTCACATCACACTTGATGGCTATAGCTGACCAAAATAGATACCTGGAGACCCATGCTGGCCTTCAATGCAAGATTGGTCGGCATTCAACGAAACGATAAACGGTAGTCTCATCGCCAGCGTACCTCCGGCAGAAGCTTGCTATCCCGGAAAATCATACAATGCCGACGCATGCAACCTGATTCTCGCGTCGTGGTTCGACAGCAACTGGCATGCGAAAAGCCCAATAAGTATTGACTATCCAGAATGGGCAAATAATTCTTGTAACCCGATATTTCCCAATGGAACCTCGCTGACTGGGGATCCAAATTCTGGCTCACGCGGGTGCACATTGGGCTATTATCCTGTGTATGCGGTCAATGCGAGTAGTGCAGAGATGATCAGCACCGCTGTAAAGTGGGCGGCCTCCAGAAACATTCGCTTGGTTGTGAAGAATACTGGGCATAGCTTTGCGGGGCGCAGTACTGGTTACGCAAGCCTGTCAATCTGGACTCATAACATGCGTGGTTTCCAGTACCATGATGATTGGAAACCCATCGGCTGTTCCTCGACCAATTCGACAGAGAAACAGAAGGCAGCTACTCTCGCGGCTGGAATGCAAGACCGTGACGTGTATGCTCTTTCGCATGAGCATGGTGCAATAGTAGTCGGTGGCTCGAACCCAAGTGTCGGAATAATGGGATGGTTTCCTGGTGGGGGCCACGGCCCCCTTTCATCATCGTACGGAATGGGCGCTGACAATTTGCTTCAAGCAAAGGTCGTGTTAGCGAATGGAGACGTGGTCATTGCTAATGAGTGCCAGCATAGCGATCTTTATTGGGCTCTTCGAGGTGGAGGTTCGGGGACTTTTGGCGTAATTGTTGAGGCAACAATGATGGCCTTTCCAACACCTCAGACAACAATAACATTATTGAATGTCACCTCATTACCAGGTGATGGCACGAATCTAACAAGTCGCTGGTGGCAGTTGATAGCAGAACTGCATGCAGACTTTCCAGCAATCAAGGATGGCGGGGCCCAGGGGTACTACGTTGTTTCTGCCCCTCCAATTGTTGCGCTTCCAAGCTTCGAATTCTTCACCTATCATTACGAGTCCGACAAAGATACGGTGGATAGCCTATGGAGACCGGTTCTCGACAGATTGAATGAGCACAAAGATTTTGTCAACTATACATTCTTCACCTACACGGCACCAACCTTTTTCGATATATGGAACGCATCAACGGGACAAGCCTTTGAGGCTGTAGCAACAGGGGGAGGATGGATGGCTTCGCGCTTATTGACACGCAGAGCTCTGACAGAGGACATCCAGGCAGTTGCGAAAGCGTTCGAGAAAGCCGGTCCAATACTGATTGGCCATATGATCGCTAATGACAAAAATCGTCGGCTCGATAGCGCCCTGAATCCTGGATGGCGTGATACCGTAGTTCACGTTGTGGTTGTAGCTGAGTACCGCGATGGTGACCCGCCCGATGTTAAAGAGAAGGCGAAGGAGGAAACAATGAGTGTCAAAGCATACGCCTTGAAGCAGATCTCTCCAGAGGCAGGCGCATACTTTAACGAGGTATCACGTCTACAACCGTGTTTTGATATAGCAATTACTGACATCTTCAGATGAATCCGTATGAGCCAGACTGGCAGTATACTTTTTTCAGCAAGAACTATCCTCGTCTTCGCAGAATTAAGGACAAATACGATCCAACAGGAGTATTATGGTGTTTGAGCTGCGTAGGCAGTGAGGACTGGATTGAGAAGGAGAATAAGAGACTGTGTCGTCCGTCTTGGTGGTAGAATGAGCGCTTTGGGCGCTTTCATCGTGAATTTTCAGTTTCCCAAATCGTGATCAACGGTTGATTTGACCTTTCAACCTTTTCCGTTCATGAGGTTAATAGTCAGATTACGTAATACAAGGCCTTCGTTGATTGGCTCGGACTTGGCTCTTCAAGCTAATCCTCTTTCAATTTTTTTTGGTGTCGCCCTTTGCCGGGAAACATTGCAACACCATACCCAAACTCTGCTGCTTCCCAAGTCGTGGACTGAACGAACGTGCTTGTGATTCTTTATCTGTAGTCCCTCTAGAGCTACAAAAAATAAAGAGGCCTCGCTTATCTGGATCTATGATAGGTCCTCAGCAATCCCATGGCAATGGCAGACGACGGTCTACTTCTTAATTTTTCGATCGGCGATACGCCGATTATCAGTCGCTCTAACCTCAAGGGGGGAACCTGGAGAGCCAGGAGGAGAGTCCAAAAACAAGAACAACATCGTCCTAATGAAGACCCGAAGTTGGAGTCTGCACTCGAACGGCCGTCAAAAAGACAGAGAACGATACAATCACAGGACTTGAATGGAGAGAGTCGTTCAAATAGCCACCCAAAAGCGACATCAGAAAAGCCAAAGCAGGTTATTTCATCCTTGTTTTCGTTTAATCCTTTACCAACGACCCAAGAAGGATCCAAAGATGGCGCTGAAATCGCTCCGGTCGAGCCAACTAATGCACCTTTAACAGCGGAACAGGAAGGACTCGTCAATTTGGGATTGCTTCCAAGACTTGCAACTCATCTCACAAACAAGATGAATATCAGTGCTCCAACGGCAATACAAAAAGCGGCAATAGGTCCCCTTGCCACTTCAGATTCAGATGCATTCATCCAAGCTGAGACAGGTTCAGGGAAAACACTAGCGTACGTTCTGCCAATTGTCCAGAGAATCATGCAAATGTCAGAAAAGGAACAAAGGATACATCGAAACTCTGGGCTTTTCGCGATTATCCTTGCTCCCACTCGTGAATTGAGCAAACAGATATTCGTCGTGCTTGAGCACGTTCTGAGATGCGCTCACTGGGTAGTTCCGGGTATTGTCGTTGGCGGCGAGAAAAAGCAGTCGGAAAAAGCACGCTTACGGAAGGGTGTGAACATTCTGGTTGCAACGCCTGGAAGACTTGCCGATCATTTAGACCATACCGAAGCATTGGATGTTAGCAAAGTGAGATGGCTCGTGCTAGACGAAGGCGATAGACTGATGGAACTTGGATTTGAGGAGGACATTAAGAAGATTGTCAGTAAGCTCGACTCCGCTGTGAAGTCGAGGAATCATGACACTACAAATCTACCGACAAAGAGAGTCAACGTTTTATGCTCGGCAACGATGCGAATGGATGTCCAGCGACTAGGGGAAATCAGTTTAAACAATGCTGTACACATACAAGCAGACTCCAGCCACTCCACAAAGACAGACATGAACGGGACCACGTCCGGAGAAACCTTTTCCGCACCGGCACAGCTGAAGCAAGCATACGGCATTGTTCCGGCAAAATTACGACTTGTCTCACTCGTTGCGCATTTAAAGCGAACTTTTGTGCGGAAGGGCGCTGTATCGAAGGTTATCGTTTTCATGTCTTGTGCAGACACTGTGGATTTCCATTTCGAAGTTTTCATACGAGCTGCTGGAGCTGCACAACAAACAAATGACCAAAGCTCGGAGAAACCCGATGCGGAGCTCATCAAAGACAAGAAGAACAACAAGTCAACATCAAGCACAGAAGCTCAGACTATTGGAACGTCACCTCTCCTCTCTAACCCGCAGAATACCGTAAGGGTTTACAAACTACATGGATCTCTCCTCCAGGCAGTACGCACACAAACTCTCCGGAGCTTTAGTCGAGATTCAGACCCTGCCGTTCTTATTTGTACGGATGTTGCTTCTCGTGGCCTTGACTTGCCCAATGTCGATCTTGTTGTTGAGTACGACCCTCCATTCAGCAAAGAGGAGCACCTCCATCGTATTGGCCGTACAGCCCGTGCTGGGCGCGACGGCAGGGCAACTATATTCTTATTGCCGGGTTGTGAGGAAGGTTACATCGACATTCTGAAGGAGGGACGTCACGATGGCGGTCTCGGTCTTATACGACACCTTGCAAACGATCTCCTGAGAAAAGGATTTGCTACGAAGGATGAGCAAGGGAGGGAAAAGGAAGCTGGATGGGAAGAAAGAGCTACGGAATGGCAGTTGGATATAGAACGATGGATTTTGGATTCACCCAAGATGCTGGAGATGGCTCGGCGTGCCTTCCAGAGTCATGTCAGAGCTTATGCTACTCACGTGGCGGCTGAAAGACACATCTTTGACATTAAACAACTGCACCTCGGTCATTTATGCAAGGCGTTCGGGCTCAGAGACAAACCTGGAAGCATTAATGTGCCTGGAATGAGACAGAATGCTGGAAAGGTCAAGCAAGAAAGACGAAAAGCTGGAGGCGGCACGAAACGTAGTGCCAACGGGGATTCTAAGCAGAGCGACATCGAAGATACTTTGGACGTATCAGAAAAGCAGGATGCCGAGGAAGCAAGGCGGATGATGAGAATGAAAGCCAAGATGATGAGCGTAGGGGCAAATGAGTTCAATTTGGGTTAAGCTGGACTCCGAAGTTAGCAGGCACTACAGATGAAAACGTTAACACGAGCATACCTAGAATAATACCAAAGTAACCTGATATGTGGAACCATAGCGGCTTGCCACGCCATACGCGACGTGCCTAGCGGTGAACAAATGAATCTATTTGGAGCCCATGATCTTCTTTCTGATCCTCTTTCCTAATTCCTAATTCCCTCTTCACTTTTCGACGCGCATCTGCCCTTAAGCTCGTGGAAGCATCCCAATCAAAATTCACCACGCAGCTTCCAAGAACCGTCGCTTGTCAACCAATCACAATGCACGCACAGCTCATCATTTTTTACCTCCACATCGCGGTCTCGTTTGCAGGTGAATCGTCCTAGAGAGAAACATGACGCCGATGTGTTGCTGATGAACAAGAGTCCCCTTAGCCACGAGTTTGGTCCGCGGTGAAGTAGACAGCTTACCTTGGCGGTGCCATTCGGCGCGTGGTACGGTAACCCACCGAGTATGCGTCATGAGCCGTTCTGATCGAACCTTTATGAAGAAGGCTGTAGGACTGATAACGACTGCTGTGACGGATGGAGCTGCAGCCATGTGATGGCGTCACCGCCGTTCATTTTCGTCTGCGCCTAGTACGTTCTCAAAAGCAGACGCTCTTTTGGTGGCGCTCATGGCGATTTGGTCAGGCCAAGACGCGTGCTAGATTGACAAGTTGAGGAAAACTGGGTATCATATTTGCGTTTCAGTTGCGCTTCCTATCATCAAAGATCCGGCCATTTCGGCCACCTTATGCAAGGACATGTTCTTCTTACAAAAAGTAGTCAGCGACCGGTTTCTTGGCCGGCATTCCCCTTGAATCCTGTGGCGCTGCCTCAAAAACTCTATATCTTCTCCCGGGACCTATTGGGCTTCCGCCGACGCCTTCTTTTCTATCCACATCTCCATTCGTCCTCCTCACATACCCGCCGTTGCTCCCGTCCTCGCCAAGTTCCAGGATCGCGGCCACATTGCCACACCTATAACAGTAATTTGGAGCGCTCCACACGGTCACGATCCGACTGTCAAACATCTCTTTGAAACCTTCCATCACGAGTTGATGGGCACGAGCAATTAGAGAGAGATCATTGCGGTGGTTGAAACACTTCACGATATCAGCGCCAAAGAGGAAGCCGGCACCTCGCGGGGAGAGTCCCCAGCCGTCGATCTCGTCGGGATCGGACCAGAGGAGGTCACACATGGCGCCCTCGTGAGGAACTTCTTGTTTACGATCCAACAGTCGAATCTTGTCGATTGTGTCTATCAGCGGGCTCAACCCGCCGTGCACGCAAAGTACAGCACCACTGCTTGGGCTCGATGAGGAGCCGTCGCTGAGTCCGGAAGCGCCCGTTCCGCTTGGACCAGTTTTCACGGGCGTCGCGAGGGGTGAGCTCGAATCCAACGGCTTATCCTCCGGAGCGTTGCGCGGGAAACGTGATATTATTTGACCGTCTGCATTAAGAATTTCGATTTCGATGTCCTCATCTTCAAGGCCCATGCTCGTGGTCATCGTTGCTTGCGACGACGCGATGTCGGCGCCAGCGCCGTTGGCATAATCTGATTTTGTAGGCTCGAGATTCGTCGCTGCGCCCGTGACAAGAGCGCCAAGAGCAAGGTAGTCAAACACTTCGCAGCAATATCTAAGTTAAGGTCAGAAATATGGATCACGCACGCACGCTTTCTAGAGCAAAAGATGTCTCTAGAGCTAAGGGATAGACAGCGACGTACCTCCACACATTGGCGCTCCCATATTTCCGCATGCATTCATCGTAGAAGCCATACACCGTTGTGATTTGGCGCGACTCGTGGTTACCTCTTATAAGCGTGATACGATCTGGGTAGCGAACCTTCAGGCAAAGAAGGAGCAAGAACGACTCCAGCGAGTAGAATCCCCGGTCGACAAAGTCGCCCATGAAGAGGTAATTTGTCTCTGGCACATCGCCGCCCACGCGGAAGAGCTCCATGAGGTCATGAAATTGGCCGTGAATGTCACCGCATATCTGGTCAAGGAGTGGTTAGCGATTCTATTCGCGTGCCCGATTTCTACAATTTGTTGGTAAAACAGAGGGATGTAGGTACCGTGACGGGCGCATCTACCCCGACCACATTGCCTTCTTCTATGAGAAGCTCTCGCGCCTTGTAACACAATTCTCGAACTTGATTCTCGGGTATCGGTCGACATGCTCGTAGTTGGGCAATCGCCCTGTAAAGGCTGTCAGCGAAGTAGATCCCGAAATTCGAGACCACGTCGAACACACTTGTCAAGATCACTCATGATTGCGCAGCCACTACGGCTGGCCAAGTTCGCTTGAAAAGATGGCTGGATTGATGCAGAATTGCGCGCGTGTGGACTTGGAGAGCTCGAAACTGGACTTGTTGGCGTTTAGGTTTACGGGAACGTAGTGCAAGTGGACTCGAATGCGCGACTTAAGCCTTCGAAGTTGGTCGCAACAAGAACGGGATATAGAGATCCTTGGTAACGCAAAGGAAACAAAAAGTGAATTGCGTTTCTTGCTGTGCTGCGTCGCCGCCGTTGCTGGGATCCAGAGCGTGAAGCGGTGCGAAATTCACGCTAACCAAGAACAGAAAAGTCTTTCACTCTTCTCGATCTTCCGCTGTACATTCGTCGAGCAAGCCGGACATCAAAGCAATTGAGGCTCCAAACATGCGCATAGTCTTTTTGTCTTTCTCAACATAGAGGCATCTGGTGCGTACTGTGCTGACACTTTTATGTGGCCATTGACTAATGTTGTGATCCGGAATCAGATCAATGCGCTTCTCTTAGTCCAAATCCAGAGTCCTCACGAATCGCTCGACTCGTGAAGATGCCGCCAGCACTGCACCCTCGTTCTTCGATGACGCTCACACTCTTCTCCTCTACTCTTGCTCTGTCCTTTTTGGTAGTAGGATTGCCACACCTTGTCCCATGTCCTGTACAGCCTCAAGCTTTCGCCGACGACGGCACGCCTCTGCCGAGGCGGCAACGAAGACGCAGGCCCGACGATTCTAGCACAGCGGGAGATGACACGTTATTGAGCGACTCGCAAATAACTAGGCGAAGAGAATGTCCTGTTCCAAAGCCGGGAGGACTTGTCGGCCAGGTCCTGGGGTTGACGAAGGGTGACGACAGTCCAGAAAAGCCAGTAGTGAGAATAGAGAAGTTCGAACCTAGGATACGAAGAATAGCGGGGCAAGAGGGTGATGGGAAAGGTTGATGCAGGTCGTCCTCATAACCCGGCATACACATACAAGCACATTGCGATGAAGTCCTATGTCTAATGTTGTAATATCTTTGCAATGCCTATACGGCGCATACTAGAAATAGGAAGGCATCGCAGTACATCCATGTTTCGCCATGGTGTACGCAATACGCCTAAAGAAATGCAATTGCAGAACAGTTCGTGAGATCATGATGAGCTGTCCGAAGAACTCTTCAAAGACTTGACAGCCTTGGGACGTAAACGACATCCAATCCCCGGAAGGACGTCGATTTCGGCCTCAGCAATGGTCACCTTCATTTTTCCTGAATTCGTTCTCACCCATTTTCCGTGCTTGGACACTGTTCTCAAGAACTTGACTCCAAATGAAACGAATAGCAAGCGCTTCCCTAATGTTTCCGCTGCTTTTGATGTTCAAGTTTAACAAGCTTTCGAATTTGACGCGGTAAAAGTTATACTTTGCGGCCTCATGAGCATATTCGTAGAGCATAACAAGTCAGACACGTCTTCATCGAATACAATGGCCACTCCGAAAGTTCCTAATTCCCAGTCGTGGATTTTGAAAACCCACGGTCCCTCTCTGATGGATGGCCCGTTAAATGCCAAGGGGTAAACATTTGAGCGCTCCAACGTCCAATTTTCGTTGCGAATTGCAAAAGGTCAGAGAAGATCCAGGTAGATTGTTAAGATCGAGTTGATGTTTTTTATTTTATTTTATCTTGCCGAAGTCGAAGCAGAATCCTCGAGCATGGCGTGCATTGTGAAAAGCACAATACCTTGGGAGACCTAGTTCGATCCGACGCAGATTTCATCTTGATCGACTTCTTAACTCTTCCCTTCTTTCTAGCCTTCCTCTCTGCTTCTCTGCTCTTCTTATTCCCAAAAGACATCTTCTGCTCTCCCATTCGTCGAGCGGCTGAATGCATGGAAATTCAAGCCGTCCTACTGACACCAGCAGACAAGCCCTCGGAAGGCTTAAATAATTCACTTCGTAGAAAAGATGCATATATATATATGTGTGTATGTAGACAACAATAGAACCTGACTCATGCGGATATGTCTCCATCTGTAAAGCACTCAGCATCTTAGGAAAACTGCACAGAGCTAAAGATGCTATTTGATGGCGTCTCTCAAGCAAGTAGGACAACTAACGCCCCAGTGCAATTGCGTCGTCTCCGCCTGGTCAATGGAGCGATTGCAAATTTTAAAGGAGTCCCAGGCCACATTTGCGGCTGCGCGGACAGAACGACACACGGTCGACTTGAGCCTGCCATGCCTTTATCCGCGCGGTTCAATTTAGAATGTTCTTATGATGAACATGACCGCTGGAGACGCGTCCATTCGTCACTGCTTGGTTCGCGTTGCTGTTGCTGTTGTTATTTGCCACGGCAAAATAAAACGAGGTCAACATGCAATTCAAAATAAAAATGAAAAGAGCAAGAAGAAATTACAAAGTTCGAGAAGATAACCCGGCTGCGCCGCCCTCGATCTTCACAAACCTAAGCCACTTGCACACGGAAACAAAATAAACAGAAGGAACTTTGGGTTTTTTTTTTTAAATGATCCTATCGTGGCATTTCTATTCATCACTATGTGATCTAGGTTTTTAATGTAACGGGAGATCCGAACGGCGACCCGATCCTGACTTGCTTTCGCCCATGCAACGTTTCAACGTAAGGCGCGCAACTCTATGCCTTGGGCGCAATCATCAATGCCTTGTTCTGGCCATCGAACACGACGTACTGGCTCCTGAACATGACGTCGCCGTAAATCTGAAGGTTGGAGCCGCCGTTACTCTGGACGCCGCCGAAGCACGTGTTAGCGTCGACCTGGGCGAAGGTGATGCCGGAGCCGGGAACGACAGCCATGTAGTTGGGTCCGATGTTGACACCAAAGTCCGGGAGCGCGGCGTTGCAAGGGTAGGTGAAACCACCAACAGTCGCATCGTTCGTGGCGCCCTGGACCTTGGAGTAGTAGGCGTTGGCGACGGCGTCGTCAACGAGGAGGAGAGAAGTACCGGTGTCTAGACAGACTTGTTAGCTTCTGAAAGCAATCGAGACGCCCCAAAAAAATGACATACCAGCAATAGCAGGAGAGGCGTTGGGGTTGGTGACCTTCTGGTTGCCAATCATGACAGCTGGAGAGGTGACCTGCCAGAAGCCCGACGAAGAATTCACAGGGACGGTGGTGAGCTGGCCTTGGAACTTGGTCTGGTCAATAGCACCGAATGTGTAGCTACCTGTAGAGTCGTTTCTCAAGTCGACAGAGAAGACCGGCATGGCTAATTGCGGCATGACCGTGTCAAAGAAAGTGGTCTGCTGAGTGGGCTTGACGGTGTTGAGTTTTGAAAAGGCGAGACCGACGAGGCCGTCGTTTTGGGTGTCCTGTACAAAGGATTGAGAGACAGCGGTAGCGAGTTCAACAGCCTGGCTAGTGGCGGTTGCGCCGCCAATGTTGACTGTGTCGGTGCCAACGATACCGGCGGCACCGGAGCCATCGCCGTAAGAAATTTGCCAGGTCGAGCCCTGGAGCAACTTGAATGTCTGGGACTTGTTTGGATCGAAAGCAGTATGCTGGCCAATTGTTCGCTGCGACAGAGCAGTGCTGAACACCCATCTAAGTGACGTAGTTTAGCGTGAGTCACATGTCAAGAAGCAAGGGAGAACATACAGATCAGAGGAACCTGTGTCGAAGTCGAGGGTAACAGTTTGTCCGCCGATGTTGACTGGAGAGAGATATTCCGCAGCATTTGCTTCCGGTACAGCTTGAACGGTTCCAGTGCCAGAACCGGTGGCGTTGCTACTCGCGGTCGTATTGGCAGCACGCGCTGGCATGGAGAAGCCGAACTTTCTGTACGCCGCAGCCATAGCCCTTGGGCCGGCGGTAGGGTCTCTCCTGTTGATGGAACGCTTCACATAATGGGTGAAGGAGCGCTTGTTCAGCGTCCGCGCGGGCGCGGGCGCACTGAGCGCGACAGCCGCGAAAAGCGAGACGAGAAAGAGGACGGTTCTTAAAGAATGCATGGTTGAGGGAAATTTGAGAGGAGGTCGAGAAGAGTGATAATGAAGCTGGCCGGCAGCAAAAGAACCCAAAGACTATACAGGGAGGGAGGGACGAAGGATATCAAAGTTACAGGCGTCTGATATGCCTTGGTGCTGCCCTCAATGGGTTTATCCCAAATATACAATGCCGTTGACCGAATGCAAGGCTAAGCAAGAAATGAAAGAACAGATCCCACAAAGAAAGAAATGTGGCGAACTGGCCGCACAACGAAAGTGAAGTTAAGAATGGAATGGGAATAAGACGAGAGGAAGGGGGGGGAAGAGAGGATAGGATGAAGAACAAAAGAAGCTTCGTCGAGGCTCTGGGCTTCGCAAGCATTAGTATCTTCACTCGATCAGGTTGACCCCAGGCAAAGCAAACATCCGAAAGCCATTCGTTACATGGGGCCGGGCGGCGGGCAGGGACGCGCACGTCTGCGGCTCCTGTGCCATATTGTTCGACTGGAAACACATTGCGTTGTAGAGAATTATCGCCGAAGGGCGAGTCGACGGTTTCCGCTTAGGCAAGGACACCACTAGGTCCGCGTTGCAAGTTGGGCCATGACGCGCATCGACCTGTCGGACGCGGGGAACATCATTGGAGGCGACGAGCAGGAGATGAGAAATCTTGGAGCACTTTGTCTCCACCGAGGAAACACGTCTTCAGGTGACCATTGGACATGAGATGTGCGTGTGTTTTGGCTGGGCAGCCAGGGGGCACGCAAAGGGAGTTTCAAGCGCCCGGGAGTCGTTTCAGCTTGTTGAGTGGTGCTTTTCGCTTTTCGCTCCTCTTGCCGGTTACGTACCAAAGAAAACGTGACTTTTGGTGCCGCCATCAGATCAGATGCTTGCAACAAGTTGCCTCATACGTTTCTGATGATGCTTGCTTGTTGTGGAAGGGCCTTTTCATCCTAAGCCGGGATGGAAGTGTGGTTGTTTCGAGCTCACCGCACAGGCGCTGGGCAACCAAGCTTACCGTAGCTTGTCATCCACAGTTGGAACAGCGATTTCATGTGTTCACAACTGTCCGGTAGAATATCGTCCGTCTAGGAGGAGGGATTTTTTTAATAAAAAAAATAAAAAAAAATCACCGTCATCAACTACATCAGAAGAGCCTCTCCATGCGGACCGCGTATTCACTCGCTGTTGTAGCGAAGGTTCAAAAATAAAATCTGGGGCGACGAGAAACGCATAAGGACGCCACTCCGATCCTTAGAAAAGCCACTCGTTCTGGCGCAGGAGAAGCCTCAGCTTTCTATGTTTCAAAGGCTTGGCCTCCCTCGCAGAGTCGGAAGTGGCACAAATGAAAACGGCACCTGTTTCGACGTCGTAGAGCGACGGGTGATGGGGGTAATGTTGCTTTGCAGGGGGAATGAGACAGGCCTGGGCTCCATCTCGGTATCCTTTTATCAAAAGCACGCTGAAGAGGGAGGAAGTATCGCACCACATTTTCCCGAGTTTCTCAAGCTCTCCAGCACTTCAATCAAAAAATTGAATGGGGCCGCCGAAAGCTGGCGAATAAAAAAAATTTTTTCCAAGCGAATCTGTTGTTCGTGGAGGAGAAACGAAGTAGCGGTGCAGTCGAGACTATTGTGAGGCGAAACACGTGTCCACTCACGAGTGCAAAGACAATAGATGATCTCTCTAGGTTGATATTGCGTAGCCTGCCTGTATGGAGCGCACAAAAAAAAAACGTATTCAACTGCAGCTCTACGAGCGGGCTGCTCAAGTCCGGCCCTTCTTGAATCTCTCATGCCACTTCCGAACCTTTGATGGAGGCCTCGTTTCGAGACCATGGGAGGCTGCGCTGGACGAGCCTGCGAGCATGTGTTCGGGCTTCAATACAACAGTGTCGGCCGTGGGCTGTGCAATGATGTCCTTGAGCGGGTTAGCGATGACGGTGAAGCCAAGAGGCATGCAGCTCTCCGTTGGATATATACACCAGTGTACGCACCTGCAGAAGATCCAGGCTCAGATCGCCTCGCCACTTCTCAAATAAAGTGTCCTTCCACGCTTCCATGAACGCAGAGACTTGCATCGCCTGGTCGGCCGCAGCGCTTGTTTCCAGTAGCAGCGCAGCGACGAGTTGTGCGCACCTCGTCTGGTCAATGGAACAACCTAGATGAAACGGTCAGCGCTTCGTGCGCGCACTCACGTGCGTGTCGCTTTGTAGCCGTACTTCTGGAGCCGTTGTCTTCGTCGCTCATGACGCTGGGATCTTCCATCCGTCGTAGCAGAGCATCAAACATTCCTCTCGGAAAGTCTTCATCCTCCACCGATCTCCACAAGTCTTCGGTGGGAAATGCAGATCCCATGTCGATGCTTGCGGCTACGGCTGCCGTCACGATTGACCTCCACAGCTGCAAGAGCACATCTGCGGTTGGGCGGAAGATGGCTCCTTGTTCTTCGAACGCGCAGATGGAGAGCCACGCGTCGTGGATCTCACCGCTCGAAAGGGGGATGTCGCTGCACACGTCTTCGTACGAAGCCTTGGCGGCGGCGGCCACGTCCGAGTTGCGCGACGAGTACTCTGGCAGCCGTTTTCTCAGGTAGGGCAGTGCAGACTCGGTCGACTGGGACAGCTCCAGCGTGATGCCGCACGAGGAAATGGCTCGGATGCCGTGCGATGGCACGGCGTCCGGATCATGGCCGCGTGTCACAGCCGGTCGCACGACGAACAATGAATTGGACGTCTGAACGGAGCGGACGGGGAACGTTTTGTTGCTTGAGCAGAGCACCGCGTGCCCGGATTCGGCTTCGGATTTCAGCTGCAGTCTGATCGAGCAGTCAGTTTGTCGGCTTCTTTCATCAGCGGCGACACGGCTTTGGCTGCGGTCTTACACGGGCGACGGACCGGCGTGGCCCGCGATCAGTTGCACCAGCTCGTCTGGCAGTTCCACGAGCTGGAAGTTGGTCAGATTCCGGGCGATTGAGAAGTCGATCGAGGGAGCCTGCTGCGTGGACATGGTAGCGTCTGTATGCGGCCGCGCGCAGGGCGACGGATTGCGAAGCGAGCAGCGCTCAGGTACGCGTACAGAACTGTATTGTATACGCGTACACACATATATGTGTGTGTGTATGCACTGCGTGTCCCACGGAATGTGCATCCACGGCGCGTTGCAGATGGCGTTGCGGGCCCGGTGGCGAGCAGCGACGGCGTGTTACTCGTGAATCTCGGTCTGTCCGTCCGTCTCTGTCCTTCTCCTTTTCTCCTCTACTCTGCTTTGCTCTCTTTCTATCTCCTGCGTCTGGCGTGCGAGCGCTGTGATCGTAGCGACGCCCAGTCTGGCCGCGTTGCTGGCCGTGGCCCGGCCTAGCGACGCCACCGGGTCGCAGCCCAACGCGCCCGCGCCCCCCGCCCCAGCTTGCTGCTCTCGCCCTGAGCGGCGGCGACGAATGAAGCGATCATTTGCCAGTCGTGAACTAGTCGCCATTACCATTACTACGGCTATTATTACTGTCGCAGCGCAGTCGCAGCCGCTCCCTACACGGTGCACCCTAGGCCTCCAACGAAAGCGTTGTGTTCTGTGCCGTGGCCAAGGCTGACGCTTCTTCCCGCACTTGCATCCCGCGCGTTGTTGTTATTCCTGTTGCTGTCAACAAAGCGCGCCACCGATCCGTCCACTGCTCCAGCTCATCCCGCAAACAACGAAAACAACCCGTCCGGCCATAACTTCATGGACGTCGGTAGCTCGACGACCGCAATCGCTCGCGCGCAACGGCGGATGAAACATTGAATGAAAATTTGACCGTGTCCTGCGCCCGACAAGATGGTCGTCGTGGTTGCGCCACCTCCCTCCCTCTCCCCGGACGTCGTGACTCTGTTCTACGTCGTCGACGACCTGCTGGCGAGATCGCCGATTCTCATCTTCTATGGCCCGTCAAGCACGCCGACCGCCGCCGCGAACAACTCGCGCATTCAAGCCCACGTTTTCACTGCAGCCGGCTTTCAGTCGTATCCTCGCCTGACCGTGTCGCCCAGCTCTCCGCTGTACTCGGCCGTCAATTGCTTGCCGAGAGAGGAGCAAGGCGACGACATATGCCGCGGCCTTGCATACAGCTTGTTCAAGTACTTCTCCGAGCTCCCAGCGAACGTCAAGCAGCAATGGGAGGCGCAGTCATCCACGGTCGCTGGCCTGCGCTCTGCGCCCACCCTATTCAGCGACGCGCACGCAGCCATCATTGCGCAACGCATGGTCAAGGTTGACAACCTGGCAGACGTCATCTCAGATGTTCGTCAGGCCCTGGCGGAGCAGTCGGTCTCCTGGCTGGATGTCGACGTGGTGATGCCGCCCGGATCAATGAAAGAGCTGGACATGGGCGGTCGAGACTCCATTCTTCCCGACCCGTCCGAAGAGGATGTCAACCGCTACCGCTTTGGCGAGTACGCGCCCATCGTCGAGCTTTTTGGCGAAGCAGCCTTCCTGCCGACCTCGCGGATAAAGCGTCGCCCGTCCAAGCCCACGCTGCAGAATCGCAACGGAAACTTCACGCGAGCGCAGAAGGAAAGTGTCAGACGGGAGTTCTGTGAGCTCCTCGACACGGAGGAGAACTATGTTGGCAAGCTGTACGATCTGGTGCACAGTGTCGCGGCCGACTTTAGAGAGAAGGCGAAGGTCAAATCGCCCACAAGCTCGAGCCCAAGCGCGGAAGCATTGGAAGGCCTGTTCCCTCCCAGCCTGGACGAGATTCTAAAGGTCAACTCGGCCTTCTTAGATGATTTGAGACGCGTCGTCGAAGAGACAGAGAATGATGCCATCAACGATATTGAAAACACGCCGGATGGGGGCTCAGTCATGCCCCAGGTGCCTAGTCGAACAGATGTCACTGGCACTTTGTCACTGGCAGCATGTATGCGCAGCTGGTTCCCTCAATTCGCTCAGTGCTACACAGAGTATACAAAGGCGCACTCTCAAATGTCCTATCACCTCCGACAGTTTATGCGCGACGCCGGCTCGAGCTTCTCTCAGCGCATGCAGGAGACGGGCGAGCAGCGCTTGATGTCTATGCTCATCGAGCCGGTGCAGCGGCTTCCCCGCTACAATTTGTACATAGACAACATCCTCAAGCAACTCCCCGCGCGTCATGCCGCCGTCAAAGGCCTTCTTAAGGCTAGGGATTTGATCTCGGACATCTGCTCCCACGATGTCACCAACGCTGGGCCCGATCAGATTTTCGAGAGGCTGCAAAGCTTCGTCGCTGCCTGGCCTCTGGCTTGTCGTCCGACCGGCCGTTTGATCACGGCAGTCGACGCGGTTGAGCTAGCAGCCCCGTACAGAAGCGAAGTTTATGACTCCAGAGCTATCTTCTGCATCATGCTACTTTTTACTGATCAGCTTGTCGTCCTTCGAAAGACCTCGAAGCAGGTGATTGCGGCTCGTGGCTTTCTGGCTCAGTTGGACGGCACGGACGTTTTGCGCAACGATCTGAACGTGGGAGACCTCGTTTACAAAGATTCGTTCCCATTGAGTGCCTTCGACGTTACCGAAATGAATGAAGGCAAACAACTTCAGCTGATTTTAACAAGGCCCAATCTGCGACAGTCTGTGAGCTCTCGGCGGTCGGGCTCTTCCCGTCCTGGATCCCCGCGTGGAGATGCTTGCATACACGTATACCACCTTGGGGGTTCATATGAGTCAAAAGCAAGCCGCTTCATGGAAGAACTTGTGAAGGCTCGTGTTGAAGGCAGATTCACAGAGGCTGAACGGGAGAGTCCCAAATGGGAGGTTCACAGTGCCGCAGCACCCGATCTTTCGCTTTTCAGCGCTGTGTTCGAGGACAGACTTGGTTTAACAGAGAGACCGACGACTTCACGCGTACGTATTGTCATAGACCCTATCAAACACGTGGAGATAGTCCGGCCCGGTCAGAAAGACGTCGAGATTGCTGCTACCCTGACGACAATTAACGAAGGGTTTTACAAGCTCGATATGGTTGGCGCGAACGACTTTGTCACGAAGGACCATCTTACTGCCAAAGAGTTCCTGCCCGTCCTTGCGAAGAGGCGTAAGTGAAATCTGACTTCCCAAACATGCTTTGAAAAACATGCTTATCTAGTTCCCGCAGTGAACAATTTCTTGCAAATGCAGAGTCAGATCAAGAATCCCGCGTTGGTGTCGGTGTTGCTGCAGCGTAATCAAACAATCTTGCAATCTCTTAACGTCGTCCTCGACGATTCGTATCAGGACATGGCCCAGGGTCGTAGCAGTAGATCACAGCAGTCGCCCGTCAAGCTGCTGTCCAGCATCTTTGGGGGTAGTATCAATCGTGAGCCAGGAAGCTTGCGCAAGCACAACTCGACGAAATCAGAGTCAGGCCTAGGCGTCGTTCCTCAATTCCGACCTCCTCAGCCCACTCGACGCACATCCCGCGACCTTCCGTCCAAGCCGAGCACGCCGACTGAAGTCGTATCAGCGGCTGCAGACGCGCTGGCAAAACTGGAGCAGACCTTGTCGAGCTACATCCTGGCTCTTCAAGCGCGCAAGGGAAACATTGTCGGCAGAGTGCTCCGCATGCGCGGCGCAGCGGATGAGCTGACGGTCAATGAGCTCTACAATGCCCTGCTTGAGGATCCCACAAACTACGAAATCGTGGCGCAGGCCTCGGTCGATGTCCTCTTCTGCGCTTTCGAGAAATTTGTCAAGATAGCGTGGCACGACAGAATCGGTCCCATCATTTCGCCTGCATTATGGAAGCAGATCCAAGCCAAGCTCGACACTGCGTATCCCAGCGACTTTGAAGACTTCTTCCGCGGCGCTTTGAGCGACCTTTCGCCTCAGAACCAGCGAGCGTTTCGTGCCTGCGTGAAGTTGCTCGTCGAGCTGCTGGAAGGCACGGGCAACGATGGCGACCGCGGCATGATCACAGCAAGTTTTGCTGAAGTCCTGGTTCCTGAGGGCGACCCAGCGGATTTTGTCTCTGTCCTTGATCGGTTAGTCGAGGATGTCGATCCACTGCTCGACAACAGTATGATGAGTAACTTCACCACGCCTCATGGCTCGGTATCTGAGGCCACGGTGAGTCGTCACCGGAACCAAAACTCGATCTCGTTGTCTTCCAACACGTCGCTGCGCAAGAAATTTGGTCTGAGTGCCTTGACACGCAAAACGAGCAAGCGCGACGAAGACGAGAAGACGGACGTCGGATCGGTGTGGCGTGCGCTCAGCAAGTCCAAGAGCGACGATAAATCCGGCAGCATGTCGAAGGCCGCTCCTCTCACACGGTCGAACTCCACGGACGTCCCGACGGGCTTCTCTCCCAAACGCCCTGTGTCCCGCGATCGCCCCACGGTTCTTGGGGCATTCAACTTTGAGAACTCACCACTGGCTACCATCGGAGAGTCCGTTCCCATCGGTCCGCCGCGGAAGAAGCGTCGCAGCTCGTTATCTGACTTGGCAACTCTGCAAGCCTCAGCTGGGAATACACCGAGCTTCGTCGGCGGCCCGACAACGCCTACAGCAAAGAGGTCCTTCATTCCAGCGCCTAGTCCAGCCACGCCATCGCCGTCCAAACCATCTCTACTGCCAGCACCGATCATCTCGAGTGGGAACAGCCCCCCTAGACGGGAAGGATCGCCATCGCGCGCGTTGCCTCGGCCGCTCAATGTGCGCAAAAATAGCACGCCATCCGCAAAATCGGACGAAGTTGCCGTCACTCCTGCACATACGCCTGGCCATCGGCGGGCAAAGTCGTCCGTTTCCGGTATTCCCAAGCTTCGTACGCCAGTTCCGGGGCTTTCGGAGCGGCCAAATTCGGCCAACGTGCGTAAACTGCCTCCCCAGCCGGCCGGTCAGAGCTCTCCAGAGAAGCCAGTCATGAAGCTCAGGATGCAAAGTCCTCAGAAGTTGCGGGAGCGCGTGCAAAATAACCAGAAGATTTTCGAAAGTGCGGGCGCTGCGTTCCAGGAGGAGATTGCCAAGATCACGGAAGAGATCAACAGCTCGCGCAGGCCTGCATCCGTATCCAACACAAGCTCGCTCGAAGCCAAGGTCGCGGCTTTGGCGGACAGTCATGCGAGCATGATGGCGGATCTGACGTCGAAGCTCGAAGGGCTGTCCAAGGACATCGATTCCAGCCTCCAAGTTTCGGAGTCGCGATACAAGAAACTCGACGATCTGTGGAAGGAGACCAGCGCAGAGAACGAGGCCCTGTATTCCAGATTCAACGAGGAGCTTGCCAAATTATCTGGTCAGATCCGGCGAGGCGAAGGGATCGAGGAGTTGCGGAAGCGTTTTGTAGAGGTGCAAGATGAGAACGCGAGGTTAAGAAAGGAGAACCAGCGCTTGAGGAGAGAGAACGTCGGGCTGAAAGCGCAGCTGCGGGAGTAAGCTCGACATACTACATGAGCGTCGTGATTCACTGAACGGTCTTACCCGTGGACGGTGGGCTTGACGAGGTTATTCTTGTATTCTTTTTTGCATTCAGCCACGGCGTTGGGGATGGGGCAGCAACCTCTGCTATGGGAACAACAGGCACTGCATAACGGCAGCAGATCATGACCCGAATACCCTCACAAGGGCTCACATAGCAATGTATGAATATGCGTTCATCTTTCTACACAGTTGACCAGACCAGTTTGCTTGTGCTTCAAAACGAGTTACCGTGTGGGGCACTCAACCCTTTTGCGTGTCATTGCGTGTACCAGGGCGGGACATGAGCGCTGATCGCCTTCACCCCTTGTTCTCGTCCGGTGTGTGAGAATGTGACCGGGAGCAATACGAACGAGCCAAAAAAGAAACGCAACCGGGACAAAAATAATCCGGGGGCTCATATATAGCGCAAGCACCGCACGTCTAGCACGCTTTGCGATCAAGCACCCAGTCCCCGAAAGTCAACGCCCACTCGTCCGCCACGACCGGCTCTCCTTTCAGCGAGCGTGATAAGCTAGACCATGGCCGCGCCGGCGGACATGAAGACGTACACGGGACGCTGCCACTGCAACGCGACGCTCTTCACCGTCACGATCCCGCCGCTCGAGACGGGCGCCTCGACCGTGACCCGGTGCAACTGCTCGATCTGCACCAAGTCGGGCTACAGCCTGGTGTACCCGCTGCGGGAGCACGTCACGTTTCTGCGAGGCGAGGGCGAGCTGCGGGCGTACGTGTTCGGCAAGAAGGTTCGCACGCACCGCTTCTGCGGCGTGTGCGGGACGAGCGTCCTGATCGACTTCAAGGACGTGCCGAATCCGGATATCAGCAAGAGGATGGCCGTCAGCGTAGGTTTTTTTTTTATTTTTACATATTTATGTTCTTGGGGGGTTGGGTTGGGTTTGGAGGTTTCCTGCGTGTGTTGTGTGTGTGTGTGTGTGTGTGTGTGTGTGTGTGTGTGTGTGTGTGTGTGTGTGTGTGTGTGTGTGAGAGAGAGAGAGATACTGCTGGCTAAGTGCAAGACAGATCAACACTTTCGACAACATCGAGGATCTGATCGCGGACGGGAAGATAACGTGGAAGACGGGCGACGGAAAGCATTTAATGGACCCTCCGTATGCGCCTCTCCATCCGTCAGCGTCGGCGTAGGAAATTTAGATCGAGAAAATAGAAAAGAAAAGAAGAGAACAAAAAAATAAAAGAGCTCGTTAGTGTCGACGTCATAGATCTTGAGTAGCAATCGAGAAGAAGACCATTTTCTATCAGACGCAGACACGCTCCATGGTGCTGTCCGCACGCCTCATGTTTCACTCCTTCCGCCCATCCCGATGCGCGCTGCCATTTCGACGGTCCAGCGTCGTCCAAGGAACCCCAAAACACTGCTGGACTCGCGCCTACTCGTCCACGGCGCCGATGGCCTCGTGGTCGCGCGTCCCGAAATATCGCGCGCCGCCTCCGCCGTTGTACCTGACGAGCCCGGACGTCAAGTACTGCCGCACGTGCGGACGGGTGGTCAGCGAGCGGAGAAGCCACAAGCGTCAGGCGACGGAAGCGAAATACTGCTCGGCGACGTGTCGAAGCCAGAGACCCGGGGCGAGAGACCGCAGGGCAGAGGCTGCGTTCGCGGCGCTGTTGAACGGCGAACGCAGGTTTGACGGCGAGGCTGTGCCGCAGTATATGCTGGAGCTCTGCGCTAGCGTCGGTTCGAGGAACGAGAGCGGGCTCGTGGTTCCCTGCTCAGCCGTGGAATGTCTGATGTTCGGCGCGCGACGGGAATCGGTTCGGGAACGCGGCCATCGTGTTGGAAGAGACGGGGCCGCAGAGGACGCAAATGATGAGAGCAAAGGGAGCGCTCAAGACGAAGAAGGAGAGCGGCGCAGGCGAGAAGGACAGCGTGTTGCGGACGAGAGAGAGCTTGTCAAACGGGCCGCAAGACGTGCGTGCGTGTTCGGATTGAAGGGGACAGATGGCGAGCAGGAGGCGACGAGGATGTGCGAGGCGATCATGAATGGGAGCGTTGTTGAACCAAGCTTTGCCAAAGGAGATTGGGGTATCAGATGGAGAACGTAGCACAGGTGCACTCTTCAATTCGAAACGCTATATAGAGGTAGCCCGTGTAAGGCCCTCCTATCCAGATGAATGAAGCATATGAAAATATGATTTATGCCCACTGTGTTTGTTTTTCTTTTTTTGCCTACCTCCCCAAGATATTTCATGATCTTTAATGATTCCGTCTGAAGATATACCAAGTTCGTGCCGAGCATGGCTGCGTAGATCAAGGCCCTTCGATGATACAAGGAGGGCGACCTCACGTCCATGGTCTCATTTTGCTTCCACATCGTTAAGTATCTTATGAAAAGCCGTCTAAAATCACGACGTATGTGGCTTAATCGGCGCCGGCCATGGCACCGTGTCGAGGTTGGCCGCCGATTTCAACAGCGCAACGTCGCTGCCAGTCATGTCCGTCCTGTACTTCTGGGCGCCTCCAAATTCGAAGAGGAAGTCCATCGGGAACCCGACCTTGAAATCGGTGGCGTTGTCGATCTCTTCGATCTCCTCTTTGCTGAGCTCCAGTCGCAGGGCTTCGATGTTGCCCTTCAGGTGATCGATCTTGCGGCCGCCGACGATAGGATACACCCACGGATATTTGTGCATCACATAGGCCAGCGCGAGAGAGGTCAGCGGCACGTTGTTCCTGCGCTTTGAGATCGCTTCAAGAGCACCCGAGACCTTGATGTGGTTCTCTGTAGCTTGGTTTTGACGACCACCCTGCTTCGACTTTCGGTCCGCCTCGGTCAGGAACTGTCCCTGACCAAGTGCACCCCATGGCGCGATGGCCATGCCTTCGTCACGGCACATTGGAATGATGTCTTAAAACTGGTCAGCACATCCCCATATGAGGCGAATCAATATTTGGAAAAAAGAAGAAAAGAGAAAACAAGCAACAAGAAAACATCTTCGTACCTCGCTCGAAATCGCGGTCCGCCGCAGACCACTTGCCCTGATACACTGAGAACTGTCTCAGATTGTGATCTCTAGCGTACTGGTTCGCCTTGGAAACAACCCAGGCGGGCGTGTCGCTGATTCCCAAGTAGAGAACCTTTCCCTGGGCAACCAGATGATTCAGGCTCTGCATGATCTCCGGAATCGACGTAGTGAAGTCCCACCAGTGGATGTACAACAGATCAATGTAGTCTGTCTGGAGCTTCCTCAAGCTGGCCTCCACGGAAACCTTTAGCGACTTAGCGTGCTGGCCCTGGTAGTTGGCCGTCAACTTTGGCGGGTTTGGACCTGTTGGGTTGGGATAGCAGGTGGTGTACTTGGTTGCGATGACCATCTGCTCGCGATTCTTGCGTGAGGCCATCCACTCGCCAATCCATTCTTCGGACTCTTCGCCTTGGTAATTGTTGGACGTATCGATGAAGTTACCGCCTGGGGCGTGCTCATTAGCTGGTCCATCGCGCCGTATGTCACATCCATGATATGTACGAACCGTTTTCGAAAAAGTAGTCCATCATCTCAAAGGCGGTTTCTTTTGTGCACTCGCCCATGTACTGCTTCCAGCTGAACATGACGTCAGTATGCTACAACGACGTCGACGCGGAGAGGGGCGTACTTCTCGCCGAAGTTCATGGCACCAAGACATAGCGGTGACACGCGCACGCCAGCTACCGGAGCCAGCACGCGGTGATAACCCAGTGCAGTCTTTGGCTTTGGCTTTGGCGCGAACATGGTTTACTGCGGCTCTAACTTTCTTCACGGTTTTCAGTGCAGGAATGGTCGGATTGATTTTCAAAGAAAGAATTGGATACGTGTACAGCTCAACGGGGCTCTGGGTGCTTAAATATTGTGCGCTATCACTAACTGTTCCCGCATGAGGGCACGCTTGCTGTCATGCACCTGATTGGACTCTCACATGGAGGTGCGGCGATTCGTGATGCAACCGACCCGACTCGAACTTATCGGTGTTTATCGGATTTTGTGGACGAATGTCTCTGCCACGGAACGTTTCTAGTCCACATAAAACCGAAATTTCTCGTCCGGGTATGGCGGGCAGGGAATTGAAGCTCGATGGCGGTGGGGCACGGCTGTGGAGATTGTACAGGTGGACACACCGCGCTGTACACTTTGTGACGAGGCCGGACGAGGCTGAAGTGTCGAACAACAAAATGTCGGCAAAAAAATGCACACCTTTGGGCTCGAGGCCAGAGGGAAACAAAAGAACAGAAAGCACCAGAAGAACAGCCTTGAATGAAAAAAAAAGGGAATAGCGAGAATTGAAATGGAAGCCTTCGCCGGCGAGGTCAGAACATGCTGGTCTCTTCCAACATCCCAAGAATGGCCCGATGATTTTCGGGATGAACTCTGGACTGGACTTAATAAGCAACGACGTTGGAATTCCTCAAACAGATGATGGAAGACGTCCAGATCCCTGCTCGAGTGTCGCGCCACTGAGCTTAAACTCCGAACTGCTCTGGGCTTCGACCTGGTCGCTGGTAACGCCTTTTTAAACAGTCAGAGTCTTGGGGGAAGGAAACAGAAACGGAAAAAAAGCCAAAAAAAAAAGAAAAAATTCGGATCGGGTCCAAAACCCCGCGCGCAAGTCGCACTTGAGCCATTTGGAACGCAAATTGTTGCATTATATATTATAAGTATCGTAGTAGTGGCATCGGGTCCAGCACTTTGCATTCTTCTCTTAGTACGTTTACATTATCTAGGCAAAGCACCCGTAAAAGACAGCCTGAGCGTCCTTCCTGTCGCTTTGCAATAGTAGTTTTTGCCACTTTAGAAGTCGAAAGGGAACTTGGGCTGCAAAAATGCCAGTGTCCAACTATGCATCAGTCGCTGGATCCAGCTGCGCGGGCACAGGCTTCCTCGTGAGCCACCTGCCATCCTCAACAGGCGTCTTCAACGCTGGACTACGGGACACTCCAGCGCCCTGCGTTGGACCTGGGTCGGAGGGAGGCCGCGGCCGGTTCAGAGGCTGGAACCACAACTCGTACACGCTTGACCGATTTGGAGCCGCTGCTCCCGAAGCTGGTCTTTGCCCTGCGACGAGAGACGGCGGCAACACAAGGCTGTTAAACTGCTCGAGCTCGGCCCCGACCTTGGAGCCGTGGCGACAAGCCGAATCTGGGGCTGGGGACTGAAGAGGGCCGTATCGCGGTTGAGGGGAGCTGTCACGCCACGAAGCCGCGCGTGACGTTCGCGAATCGCGCGAGACGACGCTGTCCGGCCGGATGAACCCCAGCTCTCGAAGTCGCGCCCGCGCAGGAGGGATGACCAGATTGGCTTTTGAGGGCGTATACAGGGGTAGCGAGACGGCTTCTGCTCTCTCTATGGAAGACTCCGCCTGGTCCACCGAGGAGATGGTCGTTGACGAGGCCCGTCGATCGATTGTTTTGCTTTCTACATGCTCCAACGCCGCCTTTCTCCTTCGACGTCTTCTGACGTAGAAGTACGCCAATGCCGCGATAGAGATCAAAAGGAGAAGTACAACTGTCGTAACGGCGGCTATGAGCCCCGCATTTGACGGATGTTTGTGGGAGACAGTAGTAGACGCAACATTTGGAGAGGAAGTCGAAATCGGAGATAAGACAGTCGATGTTGGCGACGTATTCTCCAGAACAGGCGTGCTGGAAACAAGTTGAGTATTTCCAAGTTCAGCACTGCTTGCATCTCGAGTTGAAGAAGTCGCAGTCACCAAAGTGACAGGAGTTGACGCAACGTCCGTTATTGTAGGTGTCTCGTCAGGCATCGAAGTGGCTTCTGTCGCCTGTGTTGTTGGAGCTGCAGTTTGATCGGTTTGCTGTGTTGTTTGCACGGCTGGTTCAGTCTGCGAAACAACCGTTGGTGCGTTCCCCGCTGGTGTCGGTATCGACGCTGGCGCCGGCGCCGGCGTCGTATTTGAATCAGCAGGATCGCCATGAGCCTTGGTGGCGATTGCCGGAGAGAACAAAGAGCTGAAGAAGGATTGACCAGCTCCCAAGAGAGAAACGAAATCCCGACGCAGGACATTGCCGCCATCCAATCGAGCTCCAGGCGTGATTTGGGCCATCCTGCTGCCCGATTGCGGTGAAAGAAGGAATTAAGAGTAGAGAGTCTTCCCTTCGGCTCTTTCGTGAGAATGAATGCCTTCCGGCACACGTATTACAAGTGCTTCAGAGCAGAAAGAAAAAGGATAGGCATCGCATACCCGTGAAAGTGCGAGCATGGTGTTGAGTTACGAGGCAGCCCAGAACCCGGCATCCATTTTGTATGGTTCTACACTGGACTTGGAACTTTCGACTGGCCCGACAGGAGTTTTCCCTGTTGACAAAGTGGAAACACGGCATTAGAGTGGAGGGGCGTCAGATGCCAATTGCAACCCTGGACAATCATCGTTTCTCGCGCTCGTGAATGTTTGACGGGAGCATTGGCTGCCAGCTCGAAATCATCCCCAAGTGCTCCAGCCACTGAGCGTTGCAAGGCGGCCTTGCGGCAACGGACTGCGTTGTGCTGGCTTTGGATTGGCAGTTCCCTGTTGATTGGGCGTCCCTTTTATCACATCAACCATGTTTGAAACAGCGCAAGCAAGCTCCAGCCGTTCACATCGCCATTCGAACCCAGGCTCTGCGTCAGAGTTAGATCATTCCCGAGCGGAAATCTAACCTGCTCAGCAGTAGCGCACGTCTCTCCTCGCCCCGGACTCCTTGTTACCCGCGTTGTGGCCTGCTCCGCGTCAGGCATCGCTGGGCCATAATCCTCCTCGGTTGCAGTTTGCTGTTTGTGTTCGAAAACGCTCATTAACATGCGACAAGGTCGTCTCGCGCTGCCGGTTCAGCATGCTCGTTTAAACCCTGTGTAAATCGCATCGAAGGGAGATAGTAAATAGAGTAGCAACCTACGGATGGCCATGTGTGTCTTTGTAGCTGTTCGACTGACGTCAAATACGAGTGAATTCACGTCTGTTTCAACTTGTTTTCTCCAATGTAGAAATGGTAACACCGTGGAGGGAGAATAGAGCGGCTCGTCTTCAGCTTAGCGAGCATCTCGCGTAGCATAAACCCACGATGAACAGCCTGTGCAACAGTCCGTGCTGGATGGAATTCAAAGAACGCAAAGCTGGATAGAAGCTGGGACGTACAGAGTTGCCGGTACATTTTTGCCTGCCTATTCGTTTGAAAGGAGGGAGGCCCCGTCGTTTTTCTAGCGTCTTACTAACAGATTCAACAGCTGCCACACTGCAGCCACTACCTTGTAGAAATTGCTGTTCAGCAGAAGCAATGGTGGTCTTCGTGCGCCGATTAGGTCGCCCTTGTGATCGTCAGTTAGCCTCGCAAGGTTAAGAAACTCCCAGAACAGAGGTCGTACTCCGATGACCTGAAACTTTGGATGTCCCATCATGCTGTACTTTTGAAGAGCTTTAGGCCAGCTCTAAGGCATGATTCATTGACGGCAACGACTGAATGATAAAAATCCCGACGGCATAGTGCTACGGAAGATCACGCACCGTGAAGGGTTTGGCAGGTAGACACTATCGATATGACAACCTATGTTCGAGATTGAAGAACTCCGCTAGCCTCGCCGACTGCGTTTGAAAGCTACTTTTTTTTGGATTTCACCAGGGACGTTGTTATTTACAGTTTGTCAAGAGCTAGTCGGGAGAGACAGGAAGCCACTCATAATTTGGAATACTGAACAAATTCATGCAATCGCCGGCTTCAGGATAATGTTATCGATCAACCTGACCGTGCCGATTCCTCCTCCCAATCCGCAGTCTTCGCCGTCCTGCGGGTCTTCAAGTGGTAGCATTTTGATGGCACCGCTGAGAACGGCTCCTCTTGCAGGATCAACCTCGTCAATCTCCTCTAGAGAGTCCGGATCCGCCAGCGATATGTAGTCAACTTCAAAGCGCGCCCTCTTCTCCGGCGGCAGCTCGTCTTGCTTCTGCATGCTCTTGTTCACGACGTCGTTTGCAACCCATAGAATATCTGCTCGTGATCGCTTGCCTTTGAGATACTGCGCTTCGGCGCTGAAAAGCGCCTGGGAAAGAACGACGGCCACTTCCCTTCTGCGCGAGCCCAGGTAAACGTTGCGACTGCTCATTGCGAGACCGTCTTCCTCCCGCTTTGTGTCCCCAATCCGGACCTCCGTGTTCACGTGAAAATCCTGCACCATCCGTTTGATGACGACCGTCTGCTGGACGTCCTTTTGGCCAAAATACACGCGCTCCGGCTGCACGATGTTGAACAGCTTCATGCACACGGTAGCCACGCCTCTGAAAAAAACTGGCCTCGAAGCACCCTCCAGCAGCTCGGCAACAGGTGTGATGGTCACAAAGCTGCCCTTGCCATCGACCTCACTGCTGGGCGGAAGGGTGGGATACATAGTCTTGGTGCTCGGCGCAAAAATGGCGCTGATCCGGCCACTGCCGCTCGTGCTCGCGAGCTCTCTGTCCACCGTCTCCAACAGCTTCAGATCCTCCTTCCACGTCTTCGGGTAGGTGGCCAGATCCTCATTGACGCCGAATTGCGTGGGATTCACGTATATGGAGACCACCACGTCTGTGTTCTCTGCGGCAGCCATGCGCACGAGGGACAGGTGCCCATCGTGCAGGGCACCCATCGTGGGCACGAGCCCGACGGTGCGATTGTTGAACAGGAGATTGCGGCGGAAGGAGCGGAGAGGAGGGACATCGTGGAAGATTTCGAATTTGGGCCTGAAGCTGGCATTGCTTCTCGACGGTGTTCTCGTCGTGCGAGGGGTGGATGCCGGCGAGGGCGCGAGCTTGAAAAAGGCGGCCGACGCCAAGGGACGACGCATGCGAGCTGCCGTCGAAGCCATTGCGCAGAAGTCGGCGGCTGTTTATCGGTCAGTCTGGGAGTGTGGATGTCGCTGGAGCTGGTTGCCTGGTTGTGACCTCGGTGCGGGCCATTTTCCAGCTTCAATCCGAGGATGATGGAGAGAAAAGCTCAACTTGAACCTCGAGCTTCGCTGTAGCTAGCATCCTGGCCTCTGCCATGCCAAGCATTGCATCAGATGCCAAACAAGCTTTGCAAAGGAGGGGTTGACGCCCTGCTCGTCCTGGCGGGCACCAGCTGAATCTCTACAGAGGACATGGTTGCTTCCAGGCTGCTGCTTGTCAAAGAGGGCTTTCGCGTAGAGGCTGCAAGCTCTACAGTCACTGCACGGCCGGTCGACACGTGAAGTACAGTCGATGTGGCGCCGATGCGCGAGGCCAGCTCGACCCAACACCAAGACGATCCTCAAGGCTTACGAAGCATTCTTCATCCCCAGGCTGATCTGAGTGATGCATTCGCGAGTAACTATTGCGGCATCGTGGCATCGCAACTCGAGCAGGAAGCAGCAAAGTCGACCGTGGCCCGCATCCCAGAGCGGCAGCATAGGCGCCGTGGTGTATGGAATCGTTCAACATTTGCACCGTCGAAAGACGAGCTTGCGTGACAATCAGGCCACTTGGAGCGGCTCTGTAATGAGAACGCCCAGCGTCACTCAACGGCTACATGTATTCCAATCACAGAAACACTCTGTAACGACATCGGGCTGTCGCATTGCTATGTGGCGACAACCACAAGACGGGCACTCCACATCGGCGGAAAGATAGTTACGAGAGGCACTTGTTGATTCTCTGCAATCTCGGTCGTTCGAATACATTTCTGTCTGCTTGAGGCCGACGCAATCTACGAGACGCGCTTGCGCACCACTCGTGCCTCTTTGAACACGCTGTCGCGCTCTCGGTCTCACATTGTGGACATCCTCTCTCGTCTGCTTCTTTGGAGCGACACAAACGCCACTAGCTATGACGTCGTAGCTTCGGCTGGCCCAGCTCAGCTTTCTTAGGTGGAGAGGGCCATGTGTGCAAACGGCCGGAGCGTGCGGTGGGCATGCGTGTAGAACGGAAGCCGGGTAGGATCTGGACTTGCGGCAAGGAGGTAACTCAAGCGTGAGCTTGTTCACATGAAATGGATATATAGCGCCTGTTTGTGTGGAAGCACAACATTTCGCTGGCCCTGTCCCGTCCAGCGCTTAACGATGTGTGTACTTGAATGCGACTCTGATGCGACCTTTCCGCTTCCGGCGTCCAACGTTGTGACGTCGAGGTACCCACGCCTTGCACGTTGGCTCCTCGCGTGAAATTCGACAACGATCCGGCTTCAATTCTTCCACTCTCGTGGCCGTTGAACTCGGGATCCCCTCCGTGTACTGTGTCTTGACACGATATACCCTCTACACATCATAGTTCTCCTGTCAATTGGGCCCGCGGACATCGTACAGCTTGGAGCGGTCACCAGATCGCGGGGACCGGGCCTTCCGCAGCCATGCCCTACGCAAGAATAATTGCTCCGGCTCGCTCGTCATCTCGAGCTCTCGGCCAAGCCTTTCGACCCTCTCTACGGCTGCACAGCTTTTCGTCTCGACCTGCGAATTCCCAGATACGCCTGCTAGGCAGCGTGAAGCAGCCGAACGGGCGTGCTTTCCGACGCCCACGACCCCAGTTCTTCACTCACTCCACCCAGTCCGTCCGACAGTTGCACGCTAAGCAATTACCCAAGTACGAGTCTCCGCTTCTGCTCTTCTGCTACCGTACCGCCGCGTGGCTTGGTATTAGCATCTCCGTTGTCACTGGCGCTATCGTGCTGTTCTTCATCTACGATGCGACGACGTACAAGATCGATCCCGAAGTGGACGAGCTAGAGATATCCCAGATAGCTCTCAGCCCCAGAAGAGGTGGGCCAAAAAATCTGCCTATAGCAGAGCATCTGATCGATGATGACGAGACGCCGGAAAAGAAAGCTCAAAAACATAAGCCCAAGCTTGTCATACTCGGCACCGGTTGGGGCAGCGTTGCCTTGCTAAAGACGCTGCACCCAGATGAGTATCACGTCACCGTCGTCTCCCCCTCCAACCACTTTCTCTTCACCCCGATGCTTCCGTCTGCTACAGTTGGTACATTAGAGCTGCGTTCGCTTGCCGAACCCGTGAGGAAGATCGTGGCAAGAGTGAAGGGTCATTTCCTCAAGGCGACTGCTGAAGACGTTGAATTTTCAGAGAAACTGATCGAGTGTTCGTCCATTGGTCCAGATGGCAAGGAGAGGAGGTTCTACTTGCCTTACGACAAGCTCGTTCTGGGCGTCGGTATGTTCACTCCATTTGCATACGATAGCTGTTCGCTGACAACACAAAGGCTCCGTCACGAACCCGCACGGTGTCAAGGGGCTTGAAAATTGCCATTTTCTTAAGGATATTTCGGACGCTCGTCTCATTAGGAATTCCGTCGTGCGGAACCTAGAAACAGCGTCGCTTCCAACAACTACGGACGAGGAACGCAAGCGCCTGCTGTCTTTCGTAATCAGCGGTGGCGGGCCAACGGGTGTCGAATTCGCAGCCGAATTGTACGACATGCTTAACGAAGACCTTACCAGGTGGTTCCCCAAACTTTTGCGTTCTGAGATCTCGGTGCACGTTATTCAATCTCGCAGCCACATTTTGAACACGTACGACGAGACGCTGTCGAAGTACGCTGAGCAGCGCTTTGCCCATGACTCCGTCGATGTCCTGACCAACTCGCGTGTCAAGGAAGTTTTCCCCGACCGGATCCAGTTCACTCAGAAAGACGAGAATGGCAATGTCATCGTGAAGGAGCTCCCGATGGGCTTCTGTCTTTGGTCGACCGGCGTCTCGCAGACAGAATTCTGTCAGCGTCTAGCCAAGAAACTAGATGGCCAGAACAACCGCCATGCGTTGGAGACAGACACGCACCTGCGACTTGTCGGCGCACCTTTGGGAGATGTCTACGCCATCGGTGATTGCGCTACGGTCCAGAACAATGTTTCGGAGCACATCATAACCTTTCTCCGTACGCTGGCTTGGGAACACGGCAAAGAGCCTCAGAACATGAAGATAACATACGGGCAATGGCGCGAGGTCGCCAAAAAAGTCAAGAAGCGCTTTCCCCAGTCAGGCGACCATCTTAGGCGCCTTGACAAGCTCTTTGAAGCCTACGACAAGGACAAGTCCGGCACCCTCGATTTTGGCGAGCTGCAAGAGCTGCTCAGGCAAATTGACAGCAAGCTGACAAGTCTGCCCGCAACAGCACAGCGGGCGCATCAGCAGGGTCAGTACCTGGGTCGCAAATTCAACAAGATGGCGCACTCGGCACCCGGCTTGCAACTGAACGGCGTGGACTACGGCGACCTTGACGAAGCGGTGTACAAGGCTTTCGAATACAGACACCTTGGCTCGTTGGCGTACATTGGCAACGCCGCCATCTTCGACTTCAACGGAATGAACTTTGGAGGTGGGCTGATCGCCGTGTATCTGTGGCGCAGCATCTACTTTGCCCAGAGCGTGAGCCTGCGCACGAGAATTTTGCTCGCCATGGATTGGACGAAGAGGGCCTTGTTTGGTAGAGGTGAGTTACAGCCCCTGTTGGAACCGTCAACGCGTTGCAACGTCTGTGTGTGTCTTTGCGTGTGCGTGTGTGCTAACGTGGTAACAGATCTGATGAACTTCTAAATCCGTCGACATGGTCATAGAGCCGATAGAGGCGGTCTGTCTAGAGGGTGCAATTTTCCTTTTTTTTTTTTAATTGTGTCAAGAGCGTGATTTTTCGAGCTTTTGTCAATGCTTTTTGCCTTTGCATAGAGAGATTATATATACTGTACATAAAAATCTGCTAGAGATTTGAAATCCGGCGACGAAAAGGAGTGTCTCCACGCCGCGTGGTAGGGGCGTTCATCTGCGATCCGGTGCTGGGCCTCGTTCATTGCGTCCCGGTGTCTCGTGAAGGACAAAGCTTTCGACGCGACATCTTCGTTACGTCCTTGCGCGCTTCTTCACCTTTTCGACCAAGGCGCTGAGCTCGGCTCCGTCGCTTCGGACCCTCTTCTCATTCCTCTTTGCGTCTCCGCCGACCGCTTCGCCTTCGCCTCTCTTTCCCCTCTTCTTTATACTCTCCTCCATCAACTGCTTCATACCCTCCGTCTTCTTGAATCGCGGGTTCGTCGGGTCGATGGCGAACTCGTGGCTCTCGAACAACTTGGCGAAGCGCGGGTCCTGCGTGTCCATCTTGAAGTCGTCCTGCGCCACCGCGTCGTCCTTGCCCTTCTTCCCCTTCTTGCTCTTGTGTTTCGACGCCTTGGCCTTCTCCGCCTTGCGGACCTCCCGCATGTCGAAGTGGCGAATCCCCTGCTGCTCGTCGTCGGCCATGAGCAGTTCCAGCTCGGCGCGCTGCGCAGCCGACGCGGCCTCTTGCGCTGCCTCTTCGGCCTTGCGCGCCGCCTTCGCCTCCTTCTTGGCTTTCTTCTGCGCCTTTTCCGCGTACAGCGGGTCCGTGAAGAAGGGATCGTCGAAGCCCAGATCGTCCTTCGGCTCCGCGGCGGCACCGTTCGTCGCGTCTTCTCCGTCGGAGGCTGCGACCGCATCCGGGTCGCGGCCCTCCCGACGGGCCTTCATCCGCTCCTTTCGCCGCTTCTTGCGCTCCCGCTCGCGGCGCACGTAGCGCTCCAAGGTTGTCTCTTCGGCATCGCGGGGGTCGTTCTCAAAGACGGAATCCTTCTTCTCGGCAGCCGAGATCCCCGGCGTGAACGAGATCTCCATGTTGCCGACCGGGCCGTCATCCTTTTTCCTGCTCTTTCGAGCGAGCGCAGGCTCTGAGTCAAGCCCCAACGCTGCACGCAGGGCCTCTCTCCGTGCCTGCCTGTTGACCGTGGATTTGGACACCATGGACATTGTGTCGATATCAACACCCTCCGGAATTGGCTCGTCTTCTTCTTCTTCCTCCTCGTCTGAAGACGAAGCCGAGCCAATGTACGCCTGCAGATCGTTTTCATCGATCTCTTTGCGACTGAAGGCGCGTTTCTGCACCTCCTTTCGCTTTCGGTCTTCGGCATCCCATGTGAGCTTGACCTTCGAGTGTCGCAGCGCGTCGGTCACAAAGTCGTTTGGCTTGTAATCACGTGGAACATCAGTGCAGCTCTCTCTCGGCTTCTCGTCGAACGTAACGTCGTCAGGCACAAATCTCAGGTCGAAAAAATTGGCTGAGGATAGGTATTCCCGGCCATCCATGTTGTCGTACACGGCCTTTGCGGCCTCCAAGGAGGAGCACTCAATGATGGCGTAGAAGTATCGCAGCCGGTCCAATTGATATTTCCGAAGCGCAGTCGAATTGTACTCCTCGCCTGTGTCTTCCTTCAAGAGGGTTTTCTTTATGCGCTCTTCCTCCTCGTCTGAATCCTCCTCCTCTGAGCCGGATACGGACTCGTCTGACTCGTGCTTCTTTGCGCTCGCAAAAATTTCCTTTGGCGGCCCCTCCATCTCTTCTCTCTCCATGCGTTCGCGTCCAAATTCACTGGGATACACGGTAACACTTTCTATTCGTCCCTCGGCAGGCAGGAACGAGATCGCAACAGCCATGATATCCTCTGCCCGTATGTTGTCCCAGTCCATGTTCACCACTGCTATTCGCCTTGTTACATCTCCAGTGGGTATACTGGCAACCTGCTCCTCTGTCGCGTAGAGCTCTGCCTCTTCCACCTCGTCCTCGTCACTGCTCTCCTCCTCAGACGACGAAGACTCGGAAAAGCCGCCGTCACGTGCAGGATCATACTTTTTGTCCATGCGCTTCAACTCCCTACGGACGTCGACTTCGTCGTCACCGCTGTCGTCGCTGGAACCCTCGTTCTCGTCTTCGTCGTGCTCATCTTCGTCCTCGAGCTTGTACAACCGTTCCAGCTCCTTTCTCCCGGCATCTCTGCTCAATTTTCTGCCATATCTGTCCACGCTAGCTTTTTTGGAGAAATCGTCATCCTTCAATATGCGTCCAAACCGCTTGTCGAGCTTGGTTCGAGTGTGCTTCTTGGATGGCAGACGAAAGCGCGGGTCGGTGCTGAGACTCGCGAATCGTGGATCGGCGCTGTCTTTGGACGACTGCGGTTCCGAAGCGCGCCCGAGGGGCTTCTTCTGCTTGGGAAACGGCATGATGCGTGCGCGCTGTCGCTGAATGCTGCGTATGGGTAACTCTTGTCGCCGATATTTTTTTCGGCGCCTCAGCCTCGAAAAAAGTTCAGCCACAGCGGGCCAGGGTTCCAGCACGCCAAGAGTTCGTTGCCCGCAGATCCCAAAGCGGAAGGAAGCTCGGACGACGCATGGGAAGTTCGCGCGAGTGTGACGTGCGTGGTGACGGGCGTCGAGGCGTCTCTTCAACTCCTTCTCCGTCTTGAACGCCCCTCGCGGCCTCGAATCGCAATGATAATTCGGCATATAAATAGAGCATGGGACGCAAATGTCCTGGTCTGCTCCACCGCAGGGTCAGCTAATGAGCTTGGAAAAGTGTAATCTAGATCGGCCCTTTTCCCTTCGACGCGGCAGCTTCCCCGCGATTGCTACTACCAATCGCCTTTCCACATTCGCAACTTATGACGCGCAGAGTTGGCCCAGGTCCTCGTCGCCATTTCCCAACGTTTTCTGCTTCGTCATTTTCCTCTCGGACAATTGATCTTCACTGACCGTGCAGCGAGCCTCCCGCGCAGTAACCCAAGCAGCTAATCACGAGAGAAACCAACATGGCCTGGCACAGCGCATTCACGTGAGTCTGGCCCTCTTATCGGTCCTACGGTGGCAAAAACGATCAAAAGGTCGACGCTAATCTTGCGCTCCAGACGACGAAGCGTTCTGCTCTTTTCTGTCCTCGGCCTCGGTGGATCGTACTTCATAATGAAGTCAAGAGCAATGGCTGAGAAGGGACGGAACCAGCAACTGGAACATGACTTCACGGTGCGAATAGATCGCTCAGGTATACTCTCCCCAGTTTTGAAGACAAGTGTTGGACTGCTGATGGGTTTCAGGAGGCGGAATATGAGTACTCGTCCAGAGGACATCGAAGTGCGTGCTTCTGACGAACTGGGAGGCCAGACACGTGAGCCAAGGGCGCATGAATAGGACGCCTACCATGACCGGCGCACAATGTATTTCTCGACTGATAAGACAAGAGCAAGAGCAACGTCGAGCGATCATCCACAGTACATTCCAGCAAAGGGTGAAATGGTCGACTTTCGGCTGTTTGGAGGGAAATGACGAAGGAATTTACGTGATCTAATCATGGCTATTGCAATCCATCATGTCAGCACGATATGTCATTTGCAAGAACATCATTGTGACCTTTCCCATTGATTTTCATGTTTTTCTCTCTCGCTTCTCTCTCTCTCTCTCTCTCTCTCTCTCTCTCTCTCTCTCTTATGCTCAGTTGCCGATTACAAAGTACTTGCTACGCAGAGAAAGGAGCCTCATGTCTACTCTTTGCGCACGATCTCATCAGCAACCGGACTCCAGTCTAGCAGTTTCCTCTCCTTGATCTCCTCCAGTAGGTCCTTCATCTGCTGATTTCCCTCCGCGGCCTTCTTCTCAAAATAGGGCAGATTGTTCTTCAACCAGACCTTGTCCCCTCCAGCCGGTGGCAGAGATACGCCCTGCTCGTATCCAGCCACAATGTCGCCCATGATGAAAATACGTATGTCGCGGTCACTCTCGACCTTGAGGCCGCGAACACGTCTATTGTCAGCCCGGGTCCACGCTAGCCAAGATCATTCGGCCCTTTTCGCGACATCAACCCAACATGGAAGTGACTTACCGTCTCGGCCCACAGCTTGCTGATGCTGCTCGTCAACTCATCGTACATGACCTGCGTGCGCGAAGGTCCGTGTCGCACGTGGCCTGTGATGGAGCTCACGGTGGAGCGCTTGCCGCCCACGTAGCCGACGTATTGAGAAGCCGGGCTGAAGCGCACGTTGACGAACAGGGACGGCGCGGTGAATATGCTCGTGTGGATCTTCGTGATGCCCTGCGCCAGCCTGTCCCGCTGCTCGTCCGTCAGGTCCTGCGCGTGCGACACCAAGTAGAGAGGCATGATCCGGCCGCGTCTGGGTAAACTGTGAACTGGGACTCGTCGCTCCGAAAGGCTGTCGTTTCTCTTGTACGATACGGGACGGATGATGTGTGAAGGGGAAAAAAAAAAAAAAGAAAACAAAAAAGGCAAAATACAAAAATCCGGGTAACCAGGCTGAGAGGCGGAACGTGGGGAGGCCGTTTTTACATATGTCCCGCAAACCGGCACGCGTTTCTTTTTCTCTATCCTCCCCTTTCTTTTAAAACACTCGCGCGAGCCTGCAGCGGGGTAGCCACCATATGACGTACGTCTGTGGTCAGCGACCGTAAGCTCTCTCTCTCTCTTCCTCCGCGCAGACGCTTGCGTTTCCTGGTTTACTGATCAGCAGAAACGGGGGTCGGCGGGCGCGAGGCGGTTGGTGGGTTCAAGGACGGTTTTGCAACCCCCCACCCATCGATCCCCGGGAGATCGTTGCGCCCTTTGGTACTTATTCCACGACTCCCCGGTTTGAGCGACCGCTCGACAGCTCGGGATGGGCTCTGCAAGCCTGCCGGCTGAGCTTGCGAGTCTTGTCCTTCTTATCTTCGGAAACAAGCCTGTCAGAAAACGCTCGGGGTGGGGACCAGTGGCGTTGTGGGCGTCTGTCGATGTTTCAATCTGTGTGACCTTCCCCACGAACATGTAAAGGAGACGTGCGTTTGGAAGCAGGATATAGTTTCGAGGGTAAAAAAAAACAAGAATAAATTAAAAAAAAACGGCATTTGTGCACCTCATTCGATATATATATGTGTGTGGTAATAGTCCTTTTTTTGGCTTTCAATGACTGCTTTTTTTGCTCGCTTCGTGCGATAAACCTATCGTTGCTTGGGCGAATGGGCTTCACAAGAAGAACGGTAAAAAAAATAAAAATTTGAAACAAAGGCCAAATCAAACAATAAAAAGGCGTTCTGTTTGGCCCGGGTATCGATGTCGCGCCCTTCACACTGACTCATGCCATACCAAAGAAAACCAAAAAAGAAAAGGATCCTAACGCACACCTACTTCAAGTTCTCCCCCATCTGGCAGTCATGCTACCGTGTTTCATATGTTCACTCTTTATTTTTTTTTTTTCCTCGACTTGATCGTCCCGCCGAATGAGTCGGGGGCAAACCGCAATTGGAGGTTTGCCAGGACCTAGTACTTGTCGGCGAACATGTTTGTCTTGTCCGAGAAGTAGATCTCTCCCATCTTCTCGTCGTCGACGATGATCTTTCCCTGCTCGTTCAGCGTGGCTGCCTCGTCCGTGATGGGGATCACGCGGGGGGTCTGCTGAATCTCTTGCGCGGAGATGCCGAGCGGGTCCTTCGGGATGACGAGAATGGGGACGTCTGACCAGACGGATGGGGGAAGGTACGCGTCGCGGACCATACCCTCGTCGAACTCGTCATCTTCAGGTATCATGTCCGGAACAAGCCGGCGCATGGTGTGATAGTCGTTGTAGATGTGAGGCTTTAGGAACTTGGTGATCATGTTGGGCTTCTTGTGCGGAGCAGGCCCGTCGACGACGGCTGCGCCGTTCTTGACGCCGTTGTGGGCTTCGACGTCGGCCTTCTCGGCTTCGCCGTCTCGCGGGACCGTTGTCTGGCCTTCTTCGACCTGCAGCAGGCTAAGGCGCTCCTCAGCCTCCAGCGACTTGGGAAGGAACTTGATGAGAGGCTCGAGGGCACTGTTGAGGCCAACGTGGAACAGGGCAGTGAAGATCAGGAGCAGGATCATCAGGACGAACGGGCCGATGGCACCTTTAGAGTTCAGGCGAGTCGCGAACAGGCCAAGCAAGCAGATTTCGGCAATGTACAGGCCCACAAAGAGGTGCTGCAAGGCGCGAGGATAGACGGCACCGCGGGTGTCGACGCCGGTGTTGTACACGTACAGGAAGTTGTAGCGGTACGCAAAATAGAAGAAAAAGATGCCAATGGCGGCGAAGATGAGGACGAGTGGCGCGATGCAGGAGTAGCAGATAGCTGTCACGTGCCATTAGCAACTTTGTTTCAGTACCAAGACAAGCGCAGGAGACATACCGATGACGAGGAAGTTGGTCATGATAGGGAAGACCTGGCCCCAACCCACACCGGCGAGCCTGTTCCATCGCAAGAAGATCTTGCGTGGCGTCGAGCCGAGGATCTTGACAAGAATCGGAGTGACAATCAGGCCAGCGAGGCCGACAAGCATGCTGGCAAAGACACCGAGGCCTTGCAAGACGATGTAACTAAGGTAGAAGTTCGATGCCTTGGGCAGCGAGGTGGACAACAAGCTGGTGACGATGGTGGGATCGTTGATGATTTGGGTGACAACGGACGAGGCTGCCGAACCGAGTGTGGCGACCAAGAAGACCTGGACGACTTGGAACGCAAAGTAGTAGTTCTGAAGCGTGTACTCTGCGTCGGAGTACGTGGGAGCACCACCGAGGCGGGCCATCCCTGGAGCGTTGTGTCAACTAACGAATAAGCTGGCTGATGATGGTCGTGAGGAACACTTACAGCGCAAAAATGGAGGAAGCAAGGACATGAGAAGGGAAAGCAGAACGACGGGCAACAGGCCTGTTACGACACCGAGGATCACGCTGGGAATGTGGTTGATGAAGCGAAGCCACTTGAAGGCGTTGATGTTGGTCAGGTAGTTCAGGTTAGAGATGGCGCCGACAAAGGCGACCGGAATGGACCAGAAGATGATGAGCGCGACAACAACGGCAAGGGTGGCAGAATAGCGGATGAAGCGCTCGTAGCCCTTGATGTGAAGGTTGCTCCAGATGACGTCAAGAGGGTGAATTCCCGTGTAGCGCGGAGCCATCATCATGACTCTGTGGTGCGTCAAGCTCTGGTAGGCAGCCTGGGCCTCGCGAAGGCTGTCGAACTCGACGAAGACGGCGCGAACCTTTGAGACGCCTTCGGCAGCGTCGCGATGCTTCTGCTGCTCCTCTTGAATCTTGGGGATCTGACGCTCCAGCTCTTCGCGAGACCAGCTGATCGTGTCGACCTTTTTGCCGATGAGGAACTTGAGGCGGTGCGTCGGCCTGTCCTTTGGCGAAACCCATCGGGCGGCAATGGAGCCGGTGGTTGTGGCCTCGGCGTCGCCAGACTCGGCCACGGCGGAGGCAGGTGCAGCCTCGCCCTTCTTCGCAGCGGCCTTGTCAAGCTTGGACTTGTTCTTCCACGCAGTCTTGATGAGCTTGGTCTCTGCGCCCTCGAGCTTGAAAGCAACCTTGTCACGCTCACCGACCAGGTCGTCAAGCTCCTTTGTGTCGGTGGGGAACCAGATGTGCCTGACCGCACCGCCGAGCATGTCGCGCAGACGCTTCTCGTCGAGGTAGTCGTCCGGGACAGAGGTGAAGAGCACAGTGCGCGAGGACAGCTTGCGAGAGTACAGGGGGGACAGGAGATACGCCTGGCGCAGGTTGATGTAGAAGATGCTCTCGCGCGCGATCATGAACATGACGAAGCCAAAGAAGATCCAGGCGCAGCCAGCGTGGGCGAAGAACCTCCACGAGTTCTCTACGTTGGACATGCTGAGAATGTCAAGCTGGTGCTGTCCAGCCCCGCCGGTCGCGTTGACGGGGAACAAGACGGGCATGGTGATCAGGCATCCGACCAGACACGTGACGACCTCGATCTTCATGAAGCGCAGGAACAGGTAGGCATCGATGCTCTGGTGCTGCAGAACGAAGGTGTCCGGAATCTTCCAGAGCTCTGAGATCCACGAGAAGAGGCCGCTGCTGAGCTCGGGCGAGTAATCACTGCGAGAGGGCAGGTTAGCATCGTTGCGGGCTGGACGGTGTGTGTTCATGACGTACCCCTTCTGCAGCGTCTTGGACCGGGTGCGCGGCGCATACTTCCACGCAGCTCTCGGACGGATGACGAGGAAGATGCCGAGCCAGACGGCGGCCACGAGAAGGACGGGGACGAGCGTGGAAAGAAGCGACGAGGCCGAGTTGGAGTTTTTGGAGCTGCTCTGCGAAGAGCCGATGTTGCTGTCGTTGTTCTGGCTCTGTTTGCGCCGGGCGTCAGCTCCAGGCCTGGTCCATCCAGTGCATGAGCATGGTCAACTTACAACAGCCTGTCGCCGGACAAAATACTTTGCAGCCTCCTCGAAGGCGAGATGGAGATGCACGGCCTCCATCTTGAGGCTGCGGACGAGGCCTTGTCGCACCCCTGTGTATCAGCAAGGTGGACACGACGGCTGCGGTTCTGGAGCAGAGAAGAGGATGGCGGCGGCGATGGTGGTGGTGACAGGCGCGCAGTCAATTGCAGACAGTCTGGATGACAAGCCAGCAATTGGACGAGCGGACGGCGGCCTGGGGGGGTTTTTGACGGACGAGGAGCAGGTGGAGGAGCACGACGACGACGTCGATACAGGTCTGTTTGGGCGCTGTGTTTGGTAAATTGGGACGCACGCACTGGCGCTATTGGGGCGATCGGCGCGTGCGAGGCTCCAGTGACGCAACGCCGGCGAGTCGTGACCGGGGGGGCTTCGATCGATTGCCAGGCCTGGTCGAATGCACGCGTGAGCCGACGGACGACTTTGCGCTGGCGCCGAGCAGAAGGACGAGAGTGTCGTTGGGCACGGCGAGCTCGAAGGGCGGACTGCGGATGCTGCCACGGCCTTTTTATGCGGCGGTGGAGAGCGCCGCGAGCACGACGTGACGGGCGCGGAGATGCACTCCAAGAGCGTGTCGGCTGGCTGAGTCGAGCGCACACACACGCACACACACGCACACACACGCACTCGCTCTCTCCCGTCGCACCACGGCCCAGCTGAGCGACAGAAAAAAAAGTCTTCGCTCACGCAGACGTGCAGCGTTAGCACCAAGGCAAGTCCCCTGTCCAGCAAATCTGCTGCGCGCCGGGGGCCGCTTCACGACGAGTCCGCGCGATCGTCTCAAGCCACAGGCCAGCGCCGCCGTTGCTGCGCTATTCCCCTCCGGGACTTGACATGTCGCCCGTCCGCCAGATCGAGGGAGACAGAGGCGTGTGTCGCTTTGGTTTGTCTGCTCGCTGTGTGGCCGTCGTGCTTGAGCAGGACATGCACGACGCCGTCTGCCCATCGCGCTCCAGCAGTCACACTCACGGCGCGTTGACACCTGCATGCACATCGCCTTCCCGCAGTCAACCCGCGGTCAACTCGCAGTCAACCCGTCGACGCACCACTCGCCCCCCCCCCCCCCGTCGTTGCTCCTCCAACTCATGCCCGCCGAGCAACGTGCAAAGACGAGTCTGGATCTCTCCACCCGGGGCCACCTCCAATTTCGCGGCGCCGAGTCGGGCGTCTCGATGGAGCTCCTGCGGGCCGCCCTGTGATGTGTGGCTTGACCCTGTGCTTCAGCATGAGGCGGTGCAGCAATCTCCCGCGTCGCAGAGCGCTCTGGATCTGTCTGTGTTTCTCGCCCGCCCTGCATCGCATGCCATCCTGGTGCTTGAAATTCCCCTTCTATTCCACCTGCACCAGGCGTGGATGCAGTCGTGCGAGCCTCATCGTGCTCTACCCTTGAGACTCCATGAGGCGGTGCACATCTCCGCGTGCGGCGCGTCCGGTTCTGGCCCCGGCGCTCGCAGCGCTTAATCCTCTTGCCACCACGTATTTCTTGACAGGCCGCTCGACTACGACTACGGGTGTGCACGCGCGAGCAGCCGTGTTGAGCTGAACATACGCGTCCTGACGCATCTTGCCATCATGCTTGCACGATGCCGTCGTCTTGCCTCGTCTGGCCTTTCGCTTCCTTGACGCGTCCAGCCGGTTGTTTCTGGCCTCAGTCTCGAGCTCAGATGCCGCTTTGGTAAGAGCGCATCTTTTGTCATCACAGGACGCTTGCACGTGTCAAGCGTGGGCGGGCGAATCAGCATTTGGCTCCCTTGCTCGGCTTTCCGGCGTTCAATTGGACTTGAATTGCAATGCTTATCGTACATACAACGACGAGCTGCAGAGGCCCGCAAACGAACCAGCGATTCGTCGCGCCCTTGCCTTTTGTGGAGCAAGATTTGGACGCCAGCTAAACGAGATGGAAAACAGAGCGACAAAAGAGGATCGAACGAAACGAGTGGCGGACTAGACATGTGTGCGAGACCATCTCTCAACGTGCAGCTCTGGACGTCCTCTTGCCTCCTCATTCATGGCCACAACCACCTTGTAATAAGGCCCTGCTAGTCCTCGCCGTTGCAAGGACCCTTTCGCTGCGCACAGCTCTTCCGGTACCCGTACACACAGCACCCACCGGAGCTGTTGCACTGGTAGACCTTGTCGAAGCAGTCGCCCTCGTTCGCCGCTGTGCACGAGATGACTGCGTTGTGCGGAGACGTGCAATATCCGCAGTACAGGCCCGGCTTGAGCCCCTTTGCGCACTTGCAGCCCGCAGTGCAGTCGCGCGGAAGCAGTCCTGTCATTACGAGTGAGCGACTGGCGACAGCACGACGACGTGATGCAGTCCTGTTCGGAACTGAGGCCATGTCATACCCTTCTTGACGTTGTTCATCGGGGACAGGTTCGCCGTGCGTTTTTCCACCTCGGACGCTTCGATGAGCTCGTCCAGGACAGGGGCGTCGAGCGAGGCGGCGCGTTCCTTGACTGCGATGGCTTTGCTGTCGGCGGCTGCCGCTGCCGCATCTACCTCTGATGGAGGCGCTGCCAGGGTCGAGACTGCAAAAGCAAACACGGCAAGGAGAGCGAAGCGCATTGTAACGTCGATACCGAGTAGTTTCAACCAAGCTTTGTCTCTTCTCGTAACAAGATCTCTCAAGTGCGCGCGTTCTTGTGTGGATTCTTAATCCTCATCGTTCATCTCGGCCGATCAATCTATATATATGCATAAAGGGCACGTACGTGTATTTGGCATTGCATGTCACGCCTCCTTCTCGTGGCTTTCCTACGGTCCGGCGCATCTGGCCACTGAGTTGCCTAAGCAAACTGAAGCGTCACATCAAGGAGCAAGGCACAATTCTCCTACGGAGAAAGGAACCACTCAGCGCTCGGTTAGTGCTCCACATGATGCTTTGTTCGGGCCAGGTAGTGTACGAAACACCACATCCAGCCGGTCTTGATATTCTGAGTTACAAATGGGCAAGCTTGCAGTCAACGCATAGCATGCACGCAAGAGCTAAAATAAAGGACAGAATATGCATTTTCACGTATCAGATGACGCTCGATCAGTTTGTACGTTCCTCTTTGAAATAGTTAAGGCGAGGTGCCTGCTTGAGACGGCATTGCTCTAGACAGAAGTAAAGCTTGGGGCCCTTTATGGTAACATATAAGATAGTGCACGTACGACGCTGTCTAAGTAAGTAGAGCTTGCTCGAGCTTACTGCGAAGTTGACCGATTGGCCATCCATCGTCGATGGAAATTGAGATGTGCTGATATGGTGTTCCGACGGAATGGAGATGTACAAAGAGAATGATTTGTCACTTCTCATCATTGCAGCGCTTCATTCGACCATGGCTCGTGTCCCACGACGGAGAGCGCAATCAAACGTTCTTCGATTATAAGTTTGGTGATCCGCTACATGTAGAAGAATCAGTCATGCGCTAACAAGAGACCGTCTCGGCCTTTCTCCCATTGGCGAACCCGGCGCGTGCAGGGTGAAATAACAACGTACCACAGGAACTACGCGACGTGTAACAAACGTCTCTTCGTAGACTGCGATGTGCTACACGACGCATGGTTGTCCTATAGGCACATGCTTAGTAGCGCGGTGATTTCTCTGTCCGTAGGTGCTGAAGGGCTCCTTTGTCTAGCACTTGGGGCGCCAGCAAAGACTCTGCAACTTGACACCGCCTTCTTCCGAATCAAAAGACAGAGGCTGACATCGAAGACGGCGTTCAGCGCCTGTTCAGCCGTTCATTTCGGAGCACCTGTACGAAGCACATGAGGTACAACGACAGCTGACTGTCCGGACGTGTGGGCATCACAACGCTGGCACAAGAGGGCTCTCGCGGTCATGTGCCGTCGGAAAAGTGCTGGTCTGCAGCTGTCCCAAAGAATGCCACGCTGGCCTGGACAACTTAATCTTGAATCATTATATAGGCCAGCGTTCAGGTCCAAGGCCATCAGTGCCTCGTCTGTACCAGGCGTGGCGAAAAGAGAGGCACGTAAAGCGAGCCACGTCGCTCGCCCGCAAAAAAACCATGTTCGAGTCTTGACAAACAATAAAGTGCACGCCTTCCGTTGTTGCGAGTGTCCTGCTTTTTCTACGCCGCCAAAAGTCGGAAGCTCCGTTCTTGTACGCGGATGTCATGTCGAACAGTGAGCTAATCGTAAAATCCCGAAGCTTCGGACAGACCGCGAAACGCGTGTTGCTTGGTGTGGCTTATGTAAGCGCTTTTGCATGGAAAGTTCGTCACCCAAGGCGGCTTCTTGGTTGAAGGTCGATCGGGTGAAGGCGAAGCAACGAGCTTCAGGTTCCTGTTGGCCTCGCATGTCCGCTTGAAGCCCTTCGCGACAACACTAGAACTCAAACGCGCCAAAAAAAAAATTTAAATTGTCATCCTTGTCCGCCATGTCGTACTTCCCATTTCTTGACCTGCCCGTCGAGATCCGCGAGATGGTGTACGGCTACCTGATCTCCTTTGACGGCATCCAACGATGCATCGACGCGTACAACGACGTGTTCGCGGACTACAAGGCCGTCCTTAGGAACCCGCATCTGATCGAGCAGTACAAGAAGACCCCGTCCATCCTGCTCGTGAACCGGCAGATCCACGCCGAAGCGCTGCCCTTCGTCGGCAGGGCCGAGCTGTATCTCCACGCCCCGTTGTACAGTTTCGAGTTCGGCGGGCTCGGGCTGTCCATACAGGGAGCGCTGCTGCCGGACGGCGTGCTGGAAAGGATCAAGCGCGTGCGCTTCAGGTTCCGAATCGTAGAGTCCATCGCCGTCGACATGGGACCTGGCGACTCGTCGTCGTCGTCGCCGTCGTCGTCGGCCTTCGACGCTGACGCGTTGCTGGGGACCGCAGGCAGCTGGAGCGACGCCACCACGGAAACCGTGCTGCTGTTCAGCAAATTCTGGGCTGCGCTCTGGGTCCACGTTCTCACCGTCTGGATCGATGCGCCAAGAGACGACAGGACGCTCGTCGTGGAACGACAGCTCGAACACACCGAGTGCGTCGACGAGACCTGGGTCCCTCGTCTGGACTTGGCCACGTACGATTTGCCTACCGACACGGAGGGGGTAAGTCCCACAGAGCGGTTGCGGGATCCCTTTCTTTTGCGTTGACGGAAAGCCAGCTTCGAAATCTCAAACGTGCAATTTTTGACTGCTGGAAGGAGGACCTCTACGAACCTCTCCTCAGCTTCCTCCGACCTTATGAAATCTGCCAGGCTTAAGTAGATTGACTATCCTGATACGGTACATTCGCGTACAGAATGTGACTCTTACGCTCCTCCTGTCGAATTTCGCAGGACTGCTCGCAGTGGAATCTATCCGCTGCTGTTTTCTCCCAGCGTGTCCCGTTGTCCCCACCGGTTAGCACATATAACGAACCAACTAGCGTTCAAAAGCGGAATCCTACAATGATCGTGTTCTCGTTCCACGTCATCGGGCCAATGTACAGCTTGACGCAATGCTTGAATGAATTAAGTATCTTTTTTTTTCTCATTTTCCGAACCTGGAATATCCAAGACGAACGACTAGGTCGTAGAACTCAAAAACTTTGCCTTTCTAGCGTGGATCAATCGTTGTTCACTCTTTGTACACTCGGAAATATCCAGTGTGTACGACATTCGAAGCGTATAGCAATGTCCTTCAGTCCGCAGCGCAAATGCGATGTGAGCGAGCATTTGAGAAATGTCTTTGTAGAGAGCAGGTCTCTCGTCGGATAACACTTCATCGGGATTCGACGTACAGAACGAGAGAGAACTACAGACTGCTCAAGACGGTGACGATCTTGTAATCTTTGTCTTTCGGATGCCATCACCAGTGGGCTTAAGAGGATTATCAGCGATTCTCGAGAAAAAGAAATGGTGAGTTCGGCGTTTAGGTTTTGACGTGACGGTTCTTATAATTTAAAATTGGGTCTTCGCCAGATATTATCTCTGCGTGCCATCATTTCGCGTTGAAGGACAGTTGAGCAACTGGAGATCTCCAAGTAGTGCACGAGTGGAAGCAGACAAATTCCTCAGTGTGCGAATTGAAATCACAATATGGGCTCCTCGACATCTGAGATGTGGAAAATTAGAATGCTCAAAATCTCATGGCAGTTGGTGTCTAATCCCGAGGTTGCCAACGCGGGGTCTCTGTGTGTCCACGACCATTTAATGTACGGCGGAAAGGATGATTTCTGATTTCGTTAGACCCCCAGACACGACGTCTCCAGCTTCATTTGAATCTTGCAAAGGCCTCGAGCATTCGCAGGAATCTTAGAGTTGTGCATTTTGAACTCTTCTGGAAACAATCCTTCCCGCCTTTGACTCCTTCACTCTTTCTATTGACAGTCGTCATGCCTCATGTTCAGGAATTAGGTATGGAAGTGCCAGATAGCCCTCAATGCGATCCCCAGAAGATCCGCATCATTCACGTTGGCATGGGCGCTGCAGGCATGCTCTGCGCGTTCAAGGCCCGGAAGATGCTAAAGAACTTTGAACTCGTGTGCTATGAGAAAAACGATTCTGTTGGTGGTAAGTTCGTTCACAGCGACGATGAAAGTGCTCAATTTGACATCATCTAGGCACATGGTGTGTTATTGTGAACATGAGTCTGTCTCTGCGAGCTAAAGATATTGACCGATCGTGCAGGTATGAAAACCGATATCCAGGTTGCGCATGCGATATTCCAGCGCATACGTATACATTTCCTTGGTTTCCGAATCCGGATTGGAGTGGTTACTACGCGTACGCGCCCGAAATTCATGAGTACTTTTTGAGGTTCTTTCATGAGAACAAGCTAGAGCCATACGTCAAAACTGGAATAGAGGTCACGGGGGCCGAATGGGACAGCATGAAAGGCATATGGACGGTCGAGTTGAAGAACCGCAAAGATGGCAGCATCTTCTATGACACCTGCAATGTCTTGATCAACGGATCTGGCGTTCTCACAAAGTGGAAGTGGCCATCCATCCCAGGTTTACACGACTTCAAGGGAGTGCTCGCACATACAGCAAACTGGCCCGAGGGCCTAGACTGGAGTGGCAAGCGAGTGGCGGTCATAGGCACTGGCAGCTCTTCAATTCAGACCGTGCCCAAAGTCGCAGAAACAGCTTCGAAGCTTACCGTCTTTATGCGCAACAAGACTTACATAGCTCCCCAATTTGGCGCCAACATCACGAACACAGAAGCGGATCCGGACGCTCAGGATCCCGCGGCTGCTGGGAAACATCGATATACGGAAAAGGAGAAGAAACGGTTCCGAGAAGATCCAGAATACTTGCAAGCCTATCGCACGCGTATGGAGAGCTCATTCGCGGGAGGATGGTCCATGTTCTATCGAGGCTCCGAACTGAACTTGAAGTTCAAGGAGTTTACGCAAAACCAAATGAGGGAACGTCTAGGCACACGCGACGACATCAAGGATTTGCTCATTCCTAATTGGAGCCCCGGATGCCGCCGGTTGACTCCAGGGGAGGGCTACCTCGAAGCTTTAACAAGGGACAATGTCGAAACTATCTGGGGTGAGATTTCAAAGGTTACCGAGAAAGGTCTGGTGACGGAGTCGGGACGAGAGGTGGAAGTAGACATACTCATTTGCGCGACTGGATTCGACGTTCAATATCTCCCGCACTTCCGCATCAAGGGCATTGGCGGCCGAATCATGCAGGAACAAAAAGATCCCAACATATACGCCTCGATAGCCCATCCTGGCTTCCCCAATTACTTCGTCATTAACGGCCCGCGAGGAAATTGGGGTCAAGGCTGCGCTTTGCCGTCGCACGAGGTGCAGGTTGAATACGCGATCCAATGCGCGAAGAAGATGCAAGAGGACCGGATCAAGTCCATGCATCCGAAGCAGAATGTGACAGATCAGCTGAACGCGTATGAAGACGCATGGCACGCGAAGCACTCCATCTGGTCGGAGGATTGTAGATCGTGGTACAAGGACAACACGAAGGACGGAAGGGTGTATATCTGGTCGGGATCGATGCTGCATCATCTAAAGTTCATGAAGCGGCCGCGATATGAACATTACGAGATTGAGTACAACGATCCGGACAACATATTTGCCTTTCTAGGAAACGGAAGGACAATTAGCGAAGACAAGTACGCTCCAAACATTCCCGTTCCTTACATCCGGAACAGGGAGGACGTGGTTTGGGACATTGAGTAGTTGAGACCCTGCTTGGGATATTCTTTACTGTACACATATGTATGTACATGTATATGAGCCTTCATAACCCAATGAAGGCCATTTGCCTTGAAATAAATCCACGTGAAGGGGATCAACGATCTCTCTCCGTCCTTGTTTTAGTCCATCAAGGGACGTCTGGCATCGCTTCTGAAGCGACTGACGACAGTAGTGCTTATGCTCGGTCTAGAGATTGGGGCAGTCGCACAACTTTGCCTTATTGCTGGACGTAGTACGGTTGCCCAACAACCTCGACACTGTAGTTTCATGCTGCATATAGCATGTGCAGCTCATCATTGGCACAAGGAGCTCCCGTGATTGGGGAGACGCATCTGCAGGGTATTTTTCCTACGCCTCCAACAAAATCGATTCGGCCGCTGCCAATATCCAGCGAACTTTGATACTTCTTCCTTGATCCACCAGGCGAAGGAAAATTGCCACAGAGAAGGTCGCAAAGATCGTCAAGAAGGCAAACAATAATGTCGAAGAGGGTCACGAGCTAGCACGATTCGTCGCTGCCGACGCATCCAAGACGGCACGGATGATCAGCGCGACAACAATTGCACGAGGGCTAAATGTAGCTCGACCTTGTTCTAGTGCGTGTGAGAACCTTTGATGAAAGAAGCTCGTACCATCCGTTTGAAATTTTTATTTCTCTTTTATCTAACAGCGAAAAGTACGAGACCAGGCAGAAGGCCAACTGATCCCCGCCAATCGCGGCTTGTCTTTCCTGACGGCGACAGTCGAAATTTCGCCAAAAAAAAAATGCCATTGAGCAGAAAGTAAGACAGAAAAAGAAAAGAGAAAAAAACGTCCATTCGGGAGCAGAGAAGACCAGTGATATAGACGGCGCGCTGCCGAGGCCCCGTCATCACCACAAATAGCTTATTACGGGGATCATTTTGGAGTGGCGGATGGAAAAGGGGTCGTTCATGGCAAGGACGGTCCTCTCTAAAGCATTATCATCATGCGACTAGCACGATCGCGGGGTTCGGGTGGAGGCCTTAAGGCGCCAGATCGTCGTTCTCTCTGGCAGAAGTACCCCGACTAGCACGATGGCGCGCTGCCAAAAGTTTTGTTCTTTTGGCTCCCTGGCGACGGCGACTCCGAGACGTCGAGGCTGCGCCGAGACCGCGTTGGTAGCCCGCAACGGACACGATGTCATATTGGCCCGCGATATTCAGGCAGCTTTGCCTCACCCAGAATGTCGGGGTCGCCGTTGGCGACAAAAAACTGCCCGAGTTGGTCGTCGGAGGTTTCTTAAGTTAAGCCGGCGAACTTCGTTAAGGATGTTAGCATTCCTCATGCTCGCAACCCCACCTTTCCACGCCGTGGTACCACCATGTCCACCACGTTCCACATTCAGCCAGCTTCACGTTGCGCACAATTTGAAGCAATAGGACTTTCTACAAAGCCTGCGAAGTCGTTGACGGGGAATGTTGAAAACGAGCCGGCCGCCGAGAAGAGCTTCATCTGCCATTTATGTGGAACGAGCTTTATGCGAAAGGAGAGTCTCCTGGATCATCTCAAAGGTCCGCAACACGACAACGTAAAGCCTTACGCGTGCGCAGACTGCAAAAAGGCATATACTCGACGAAGCGACCTCAAGCGCCATGAAAGAGAAGTCCACAGGGGGACCAAATTTGTGTGCAACGTGCTTGCCTTGGGGGAACGACGAGGTTGCGGCAAGCGATTCAGCAGGGCTTTGACTCTCAAATCACACCAAGACCATTGCAGAGCATTGCAAAGCGCGCTCGCCAATGCACACGCTCCCAACTGGTCCCGAATGGCTTGGCCGACAAATGTCGAACTGCTTTTGAGAGACGAAACGGCGAGAATACTCGCCGAAGCCAAGTCATTAGGCGCGAAAGAACTGGAATGTAGGATATGTCATGCACAACGACTGCCAAATCATGTCGGCTCCTTTGTTCGTCATCTTATCGACCATCTCGAGAGCATCCTGTTTGGCGCGTACCAATGTGAACTGTGTGGGTTGTCCTTTGGCTGGGACCTGCATCTGCAGAAGCACCAAGAGGTTTGTGCCGGATATCGTGGACCGGCAGCGGGCTGTCAGATCTCTGTAAACGGCTTTGAAAGAAGCTGCGCTGTGCATGGGGCGGACGCCACTCTTTTGGAAGATGTTCTTGCCGGCCGACGAGGTTCATCGTGTGTCTTGATCTGTGAACAGACCTTTCAGCAACTGAAAGTTCAGATTACCTCGCAACTGGAGCAGTCGCTAGGCCAGATCATCAAATACGAACCGCGCAAGCCACTAGAGTACCTTGAAGCTGTTCGAGAACGGTTGCGACAATTGGATCCATTGTACTCCTTGGCGCCCCACGAGTCACTCCTCGACGGTTACGATACAAACAATCAAGCTTCTACGAAAGCGAATCCAGACATGTGCAGGGACGATTTCGACACAATATTTGCATTAAGGAAAGATATAGATGTAATTTAATGTTCGTCGTCGCCATTTGTTCGTCACACATCTTTTAGTGACAAGCCCGGGCGGAAATGACGCTGCTTACCTTAGAATGTTTTTATCAAAAAGGCCCATGAGTCTTCGAAGCCCCAGCCAACGGTCAAAGAAGATAACTCGAATACGGTGTTTTTGTTGCAGGAGTTATTATTATCAAATGATAGCAATCGACTTGCAATCATTCAGATCAGAATAGCCCCCGTCCAAACATTTTGCATTCGAAGTTGTATCAATGCTACGTCATCTTGCACCGAAAATTTTGGAGTGAACCACGTTGATTAACTCACAGACTTGGTACCTCGCCTTGAGGCGTTACTCTGACCAAATGACGTTTGGCTCCATTTCCCAAAGGATAGTCCAGCGTGACTGAGTGTTGCACCATGCGGTTGTCGTAAACGACGACTGTTCCATTCTCCCATTTTGCACGTGTTTGAAAGTCCAACCCGCGATGGATGTGGTCAAACAAGAAATTGAGCGACATGTCTGACTCCGCTTTCCTCATTCCAAGAATCTTCGTCGTATATTCCTGGTTAACCCAGAGAGCCTTGCGGCCCGTAACCGGGTGCTTACGGACCACTGGATGCACGGTATCAGTTCCTGGACGGCGCACAAGATTGGTTTTGTTCGAAAGCAAGTTCATCCTTCAGCTGGCTCGTCAAACTCGTAAGCTGTAAACCGCGAACCTCGGTCCCGATGTTTGGAGTCATGTCCTTTTTAGAGGGAATTGCTGCAAAGAGCGCCTTTTTCTCAGGGTCTGCACGCAAAGCGACATCTATGTGATCGTATGGAGTAAGTGGATCTTCAGAAGTTAACGTATTGTAAGGCAAAAAGGCCTTGTCTTTGTAGTCCTGTGTACTGTAGTCATGCTGAGTTTTCAAAGGAATCTCAGTAGGACCACGGGGATTGATGGGAACCTGTTGCAGGCTCTCTGGTATTTTGAAATCCGGCGGAGGGACAAAGTCGAGATTCGGCACGCAGCTTGTATATATTTTTGCTGCTGCCAATGGCACGGAGGCAACAGATGGCTGAGTGGCCGCGGTAATGGTAGTCGACATGGCGAGTTCTTCAAAAAGTGCGGTACGTTAATCGGAACTTAATGCACTATGTTTTTATAAACTGATAAATGAAACATCTTATATACCACTAGATGGACAAAGATGATGCTTAGTTTGTAACCAGAGGGTCGGATATGTTCTTTACACATGGATCAAAGGTGAGACGATTTGCCTATTGCGGATGGCAATGAACCTGAGCACCGCTCCATCTGATAAGTGCTGGATAAGTATAGTCCGTATAAGTGCAACATCGACGTGCTGATGCTTCTCAGCATCGACTTCAATTACATCACCTTCAGCAGTCTATGAGGCTGAGCCAACAAACATCAATGGTCTCGTTAGCTTTATCCATGGTAGAGGTTGAAAAATCTAGGTAAAAATTGGGTAGAAACTTGGCTGTCGTGTGAAAAATTTCTGGAACCGAGATGATTGTCGCTCTGCATATATGTTTCTCATCTCCAATACTCGTTATCAACGTTGAGCAATTCGCTATCAGGGACAATGACGCCCGGGAGAGTTAGCCGCTGTATGACCGATATTTGAGAGGCTAAGCTGAGGAATGTCACGGATGAGTTGCTCATACCCGGTCTTGCGCTGGTAATGGCTAGGGTTTCGAGTCAACTTGTATGTCCCATGCGGCAACAAGCCTGCATAATCAGATGCTTAAGCTCAGAAGGTGGATCTGGCGAATCAGCCTGCCGAATTCGGAGAGGCGATTCGAGGCAGAGAAACTACAGATCAACTATCCGCATAGTCGTTTCAGAAACCATTGCTATCGCATCCAACAGAATGCCCATCACCCAGCATGGAAAGCACGAATTATCGTGCAAATATAGTTACGGTGCACGTGTTTGTAAAGTCGTATTGCTAAAACGAGATTTCTGGTCTCGTTTGGTCACGAACTTGAGCAACTTGTGCTTAATCTGAATGCTACTCTACTGTCCCAACAAAGAAGCTCTTTCATATAATCCGAACCAAAGCCATGTCTTCTACTGAACTCATTTCGCAAACTGCACAGAAAACAACTCTCAAAACCCTAAAACATACCAAGGCAACCGCCATAATAGCTTCCGAAGAAAAATATACTGCCAAAGGCTTGGAATCTTTGCCCGTTGTCCTCGTCCGTGGTCAGGGCGCAAAAGTCTGGGACATTGATGGCAAGGAGTACATTGACTTTTTGTCCTTTTTTTCGGTGGTGAATCAAGGACATTGCCATCCCCGCATTTTGAAGACCATGATCGAACAGTGTCAGAAGATACAATAGTCTCCAGAGCTTTTCATAACGGGCACTATGGACCGCTCTGCGAGAAGTTCTGCAGGGCAAGTCAGTAATCACTCGTTTTGTAGCAGGAAAGCTAACTTCGTGGCAGCTTTTGGACTTCGACCTCACGTTTCCAATGAATTCAGGGTCGGAAAGGTGGATCTTACCATCAAAATCTCACGAAAATGGTCACAAAAAATTAAAGGTGTGGAAGAAAATGAGTCAATTATTGTTACTATAGCCGGAAACTATCACGGTAAAAGTCTTGGACCTCTTTCGGCCTCGTCAAACGAGTACATTCGAGATGGGTTCGGACCCTATATTCCAGGTGTGGGTCCAATTATTGATGGCCATATCATGCGATTTAGCAATATTGAAGATCTCAATCATGCCTTTGAACAACAAGGAGACCGTACTGGGGCTGTAATACTAGAGTGTGTCCAAGGCTACGCTGGATGCATTCCGGCGGATAACGCTTACCTAAAAGAAGCCCATGCATTGTGCAAGAAATACAATGCCCTATTTGTTGCAGATGAGATACAAACTAGATTCGGTCGCATTGGATATTTGATGTCCTATCAAGCAGCTGGAATTAAACCCGATATGATAACACTAGGTAAAGCATTAACTGGTGGCGCATATTCAATGAGAATGGTACTAGGAAGAAAAGAAGCTTTCGGTCTGCTTCTTCGTGAACAGTAAGCGTTAGTCCCTGCTGCCGTTACTACTTGCTTATAACTCTTAGACACAGTTCGACGTTCTCGGGGAAACCCTCTGGCATGTGCAATAGCTTCAGAAGCGGTCGATGTTGTATTGGATGAGCGTCTCTCGGAGCGATCAATGAGACTTGGCATCGAGTTGAAGAAGAGATTAGAATCGATCAAATCTCCGTATACTTCACTATCTGTAACTGGTCGTGGATTGTTCTTAAGTCTCCATTTGGATGAATCGCATCCTTCTGGTCGGATAGCAGCAAGTCGACTCTGCGCTTTGACGAGAAAAAGGGGGATATTGGCATACAGCTATCCCAGTCGTATCAGACTTGCACCTCCACTGATCATTGAAGAAGCAGATTTGTGGCTCGGAGTGGGCGTGATAGAGAAGTCTCTTCACGATCTGGTCAGCTCGGAGGAAATTCATTAGTCGGCATCTTACCAGACTTTTGAATCAGAATGTTATCTTAGATTTTTGAAGATAGACCGCTAGTCATCCAAGTCATCCGCTTCAGCCGTTAATTAGCTTGTCGTTTAACAAAACCATCCATACCAAGACCAGCACTAGAGTCAGCGAGTGAAGTTTGTAATTGCAATCCTAGAAAGGCGCAAAGCTTTCTGTATCGGGAAAATAGAGGCGCCGCTAGCAGCTACCACATGCGTATCTACGCATCAATAGTCTCAAGGCCTAGAACGACTTTTTGGGCGGCGATTCTAGTCTCATTTATGAATCCAAGCGGCTATCTATCAATGCTTCCAATCCAAAGTCTCCATTTTACGACTGAGCTCGACCAAGCAACATCGTACCCCGAGAAAAGAATAATTTTTCTATGAGGAATACGAACGCTTAGAATGCCAACAACGACAGAAGTAATCACGCAGCTGCCTCTTCCAATGATTCTACCCGTTGCTGATAAGGTTGTACCCAAAAAACCCGCCAGGTACGACTCAGATGACCCTACAACAAAAGTATATGTTCTTCCTGTCTTTTCGTCGAAAGAAGAAGAGCGCAAGTGGGCGAAAGAGCCGATGGTAGGAGTGTTCCGTGTGTTTGCAAGACACGGGTTTGCAGATGGCTTTAACGGACACATAAGCTTGCGAGGTATGCATAGTTGAACACGAATGTGCACTGTACTTGCTAAAACATGTCGCATAGATCCTATTGAACCGGACAAGTTCTGGATCAATCCCTACGCAAAGCACTTTGGAATGCTATGTGTATCCGACTCGGTCCGCGTGACAGCCGCTGGCAAGTATGTGGAAGGATCAAAGTCCAAGATTAACACGGCTGGGTTCATAATTCATCTGACGATTCACCGTCATCGTCCAGATATCAACGTTGTGTGCCACGCTCACTCTACATACGGTCGGGCTTGGTCATGCTTTCCCGCACACGGCACGTGAAAGATCCTCACCAGAGTCCCGTATTAACACAAGCTACTGTGTTCCTGCAACTGGGGATCCCGATGGTAAGATTCCGGTATCATGGTCCCATGGCACAGACACCAAGACAATCAACAAGTTTCTCAAGCAGGATCTAGACGTGATAGTGCTTTGCATGCCGCTGACGACGTCATCGCGACATATAATTTCTGAAGAGCAGTTCCATATCATGTCGCAAAAGAAGAAGCCCTTCGTGATCAATGTCGGAAGAGGCCAACTGATCGAGCGAGAGGCTCTGATCAAAGCTCTGGAAGAAGGTTGGATTAGTGGTGCCGCGTTGGATGTTACGGACCCAGAGCCACTTCCAAAGAAAGATCGATTGTGGGAGACACCAAATCTTTTCATTACACCGCATGTGTCTTGGAAATCAATGAGCTACTGGGAGCGGGTGTTGGACATCCTCGAGCTGAATCTACAACGACTGGTCCAAGGACGCCCAGTATTGAACGCAGTCGGGAAGCCTTAGCTTTAACTTAGCTGATTCAATCTGAGAAGAATGGGTTATAGCATATATGATGCTGTGGGGTGTTTTCTGACAAGATTGACCTGGCCTCCGCAAGCTGCGAACATATCGATGAGAAGTCAACGATGTACACGCACCTTTTCATTCCACAGATTCGGGGTTACGTCGCAATGTAGAGTCAATATCTATCCTTACGAATGTTTGCATATTTCAGATGGCGTGTTGTAAACAGTCTGGCTTGTGCTACACTGTTCCTCGGCGGATCCTCGCTGCTCTGACTGAACATCCCGTCAAGTTTCCCAATGACCGTTTCTTCGAGTGGAATGTTAGAAATCGCCTGATTAATCTTCTCGCTCAGCGTTCCGACAAGATCAAAGCTCACGTAAGTGGTCCTGGGTGGAAGAAAAACGCGACACAGCAGTCATCAAGTGGCTTAGGCAGGGTCCCCCACTTTTGCAGACGGCGTTTGCGCCGATGGCGTCACCGGCCAGAAACTGCGAATTGCTAATCAATGCCCCAACCGCAGAACAGACATCCAACTAATCACAGTCTTGACCGCACACCATTCCCGCCCCCACCTAGCATAACTCCATTTGTTTCACTTGCCCTGCAGCGTGTGCTCCAACACTTGCATATATACATGTCTGTCCCATTCGCCGTCCTCAAACGCACACTGCTCACATCCGCGCCACGACTTAGACTGTCCACGTCGACGACGACGGTGCTCGCATCCCGATTTTCATCGAGACCGAGCTTTCACGCATTCCAGAACATAAACTACGCCTCAAGAAGAGCATTCGCCATGGCCACTGAAGCTGCTAAGGACGGCGGTGTCCACAACCTCGCCTCGTACGTTGAGGGTAGTGCCGTTTCTATCGAGCTGGGTCGCTAACAAAACAATTCAACCAGAAAGTCGGACTGGGAGAACGTTCTCAAGGAGAAGGGCCTTCTCGTGCTCGACTGCTTCGCAACCTGGTGCGGCCCTTGCAAGATGATCGCCCCCAAGGTCGTCGAGTACGTTTCCTCCCCCACAATGCCCACCCACGACCTCGTCGCGCGATGCTGACAATGTGATGTGTTCAAACAGGTTCTCCAAGGAGTACACCAACGTGCGATTCTACAAGATCGATGTTGACGAGGTCCCGGACGTCGCCCAGGAGCTCGGCATCCGCGCCATGCCCACGTTCCTGCTGTTCAAGGACGGCGAGAAGGTCGAGGAGGTCGTCGGCGCGAACCCGAACGCCATCAAAGCCGCCATCGAAAAGCACGCGTAAGCCGCTTCCTCGTGTTGGGCGGTGAATTGCAAAGCACCATCTGATGGCGTACAGTCGTAGCGCACACCTATAGGCGATGGTATTTTGATCATGAGCTTGATAGAACTATGAAACGGTACAAATGATGAGGCGGCCGATGCCTCTAGAAGCACACATGAGTAAAAAAAAAATGCATTGCTGTCGCCTCCATGGGCGCACATCCTTTTTCGAAACTTTTCTTTTGAAGTATTTCAGTGATGCAGTAAACGCGAAAAGAAAGGACTACAAACGATCTCTTTACCGCCTCTGATCCATAAAAACTTAGTATAGCCGTCAGAGCTCCCCTAGTCTGGCAATCGTCATGAATGGCGCTAGGGATGAGATCACGTGATAGCAACCCTGCGCGGAAGTGTTTACATTGGAGACGAAAACACCAAAACAATGAGAATGCAGCCACCACACCTCACATTGCACAACTGAGGTAACCCTCTGTGTTGTCCCAAAATACGATAAATTGAAATCCTTTGAAGGCCAGAGAAAATGGACTTCAATGGACGGATGAGCATGGCGCGTTCGTCGCAAGCGCCGGGCGGGGGTCGCAAACAACAAGAACCGGAGGATGCCTTTATGATGGTGAGAGAAGAATCATGGTCGAAGAGCAAATGCGCAGACGCTGACGGGCTTTGGCCTTTTCCTTTTTCAACAGCCCGACTCAGAGCTCGCGTTGTGTATCACAGAGATCGGTATCCCGTGCACGGTGGACGACCTTCGCAGACCGAACCCGCAACACGTTCAGAAGATATTCGAGTACTTTGCCTACATCCTGATGAACATCACCAGAGACGTCGTCTCGCCTGCGATGCGCGCCGCAGCGGAGGAAATCGTGGGGCCGGATGCAGATCGGCTGTACAGCGCAGACACTAGAGACCTCATGGGCTTCTTCGTCATGCTGCGCAAGCTTTTGATGGAGGTACGTTACCCCGCCGAAGAAGTCTACGGCGTCTTCCTCGGCGCTTTCCCGTCGCAGTACACGAACAGGATGGCGAACTGACCGGACATGCAGTGCTCGATTGACGACTTCACGTTCGCCGATCTGTACCGGCCGACATACGGGCGCGTCACCAAGATACTGTCTTACATCATAAACTTTGTGCGCTGGCGCGAATCGCAGACGAGCATCATCGACAAGCACTTCGACGAGGCGGAGCGTACCAAGCTGCGGGTGCAGCAGCTGTACGCCGAGAAGGAGAACCTGGAAGCGCGCCTCGCCCAGCTGCAGCGCGAGCGGGCCGGGGTCGAGAAGGCGAACAGGGAGAAGGAGCAGCAGTTTGCCGAGCTGAAGCCGAACCTCAAGAACCTGATCGAGAAGAAGGACCGGCTGCAGGACGAGTGGAACCGGTGCCAGCAGGATCTCGACCGGCTGAAGCAAGCGTACGAGGAGAAGGCCACGGCGCTGGACGGTCTGCGCGAGGAGGCCAACCGGCTCAAGCCGTACACGCTGCAGAAGCTGGAGACGCTCGAGGCGAACCTGCGCGAGCTGAACGCGACGCTCGCCGCCGAGCGGTCGCAGATCGACTTTCTCGACCGCAGGACGCGCGCGCTGCAGACGTCGTCCGACTCGTTCGCGACCGTCGCGTCCGACGTCCAGTCGCTGCACCGGCTGCTCTCGGACCTGGCCTCGGACCTGCAGAAGGAGGAGGAGGAGGCCTCCAAGGCGGCGCGGCACAGGGACGCCCTGTCGGAGCGCGCGAACAGCGTCGAGGACGTCGAGCGCCAGGAGCGCATGATGCAGAAGCAGCTCGAGAGCATAACGGCGCGCACGGAGAAGATGCGGAGGAACGCCGATCAGAAGAGCGAAGAGGCCAAGGCGCGCATGGAGGAGCTGAGAGGCGTGATCGCAGAGCTGCTGAAGGAGAAGCAGGAGACGAGTCGCCAGGTCGAGAGAAGAAAGGTGCGCATCGAGCAGCTGGAGAAGAAGGTACGTGAGCTTTTTAGTTTTTTTTTTTTTTCTTCACTTCTTTTTCGTCTCTCATTCTTCACTCATCATTACCCTTCCTACCTCCTCAGTCGTTCCTTGAAAGAGGCAATTGGTGGCAGTACTGACGTGCGATTGTGCAGATGGCCGATCTGAAGGAGCAGATTGAGCTGGAAGTGCAGGCCGCTAAGGAGGAATACGTGAAGATGGAAAGTCATATCCGATTATACATCAATGAGATGGAACAGGCCATGACCTAGTCTTTTCTTTCTTGGAACATGTCTTGACCACTCTTCCACATGAAAATGGCGTTGGTTGGGTACCGAGGATTGTGATGGGACGGTGCTGAAATGAGAAACTAAGAAGATACCACGGATCACGGCACATACACAGGACGAATTAACGGTTCTCACTCTTGAGAAATGCTCTTTCTCTCTTGGTTTGTTGTTAATAATAAGACAAAGCCAATCGGGCTTTCTTGCTCTTTTGCTGAGCGTTTTGGGTCTCGTTATCCTTGATGTCGTGAATCTAACCATACATGCAAAGTACCCATATAAGCCTGAGACTGTTATCAGACACCCACCCAAGAAGGACGTATCGAATAGATAAGATATATGGCTTTACGCCATGCGAGATGTTTTCGTTGTGTCGCCGACGCCGTGTTCCAATGCGGTTGTCCGTAGAAATTCTTCGATTCGTAGGTCATCGGCTCGAGTCGCTCCTGCACACAATTCGAACATAAAATAAAACCCCAGCAAAATTAAACCCCCCTCCTAGTTATCCTAAAAATCCTTTTTTATGTTCCTCTGTCATCTTTCCATAGACGGATTACGAAACTCCAAGTTTTGAATATGCACAAGTATGTGCCAATTACTTATTTCCGGTCCACATCTCCTTCCACTTCACTTCGTCAAAAATAGCCAGACGAGCCGTGCCTCGACATAGAAGCACTGCCCATGTTTGGATTCTGTGCTACATAATGTGGCTGATAAGATTGCTGGGACAAGTTGAAGTCCGTTACGGGAAGCGGATTCCGTGCTTGTGATGGCGATTGCTGCTGCAGAGCGCCATGCCCTTGACTCGGAGGCGTCATCGATTGTTGCTGATGGGACGGTGCAGGTTGCTGGTGGGCATGCACACCAATTTGCGGGAAGCTCTGTACACGGATTGGTGCTGCAGAGGGCCCGGCGACTGAAGGCTGAGGATGTTGCGGCATCTGCGGTAGCGTAGGAAGAGGTGGGGGAGCAGGAGCCTGCTGCTGCTGTGGAGGTCTCGTTACACTCGAAGGGGAATCAGGAGGAGCCGTCCACCCCCACTGCTTCAAAAGCCCGGGAAGTACGGCACCCAAGTTCCACCCCGAGCTCTCTGCAATGGATTTGATGACCGCGAGAACTTCGTTTTGCTGCTGGGCATCCGTGAAATTCTCGCTCGCAATGGCCATGGAGCGGATGGACACGCATGCTACACCCCTAATGCTGTGGTTAGTAAGGATGTTCCACATCAAGTGTGTAGGCAGAGCGCTCACCTGTCCTTGGTATGCGTCACTATGCCGCATATCATCATCGCATTCTCCTGCTCCATGTCCCGCATCTCGGCCGACTTGTTGCGGGGATCCATCGGATTCAACCGAGAAAGCAGCACGAGTCCCGTATGGTAGAGGAGACGAGCCATTATTGCCGTCCGTTTGATGAGCCAAACCTCCGGGTACACAGATCCTATCGTGGTCTTGAACGCATCGACGCAGCCCATCGGATGCATTGTGCGTGGCGCCAGACGATTCCACGTGTCAAGCTGTGACTTTAGGTGCTGCCACTCGCCCATTCTTGTTTGTCGTTCCAATGGCAAGTCTCCCTCAGCGCTGCTGCGCGCGCGAAAGTTGACAATCTTGGACATGATGTACAATATCCTCTGAGTCCATACTTCGTCACTCTGAGGTGCCGTCGTGTTAGAGGCGAAATCCATGTCAACACCCCAATCCGCCGGATCCCAGGCCACCGGAACGTTCTTGGTCATACAATCCAAGACCTCCATCATCACGTTGATCCAGAAACAGGCCGCCCCGACACCAGCAGACTTCGCGTTCCATCCGCATTCTTTGATCAGGGCCCGGGCACCTTTAATGTGGTTCATGCGTTGTATGTAACGTTCGGACATGACCTCATACACGTTCAGGATCGTAGCCGTGGTTGCGCACATGAACGTGTCACGCTTGTCATTTTGCAGGTTCTGGAGCAAGTACGACGTTGCGGTGTTGTAGAACTGCGTCGCATTCTCGTCCCATTGTTCCTGTGGGTGCACGAGAGCAAGGTGGCGCGCTCCGCAGGCGAGAAAGGAATTGTAGAGCATATTGTTCGCAAGCGCACGGTGGGGCAGTTCCTCTGAAAACTTTACGGTGTCAGTGTGAAGTTCGAATGTCTCGTGGCGATGACTTACATGCTTGTGGGCATCCAAGCAATCCATCCACAGCGCAACTTCTTCAACAAATGCTTGCATACAATACAATTCCTTTGGGTCCCGAATGTAATCTCTGGATTCGGCCGACACGGGATGTTCCACCTGCGCGTACGAAGGCGCCGTCATAGAAGCCACATTAGATCCAGAATATGCTGAGTCCGAATGCGAATGGTTATAGTGATGCGATGTCTCGCGCTGCTGGCGTTCTTGTGCAAGTGCCATCTGCTCTTCCGCGTAGGGATCCTGGACGATGCCATGTATGGCTGGCAGAGGCGGTGGTTGTCCCGAGTGAGATGTTGGCCCAGAGAAGTCGAACAGCATACCATTCTCAACACGATACGATAACTGCTCGCCTTCCTCTGGAAGACCATACTTCGCCAGCCCCCCCTTGTATTCCGAAGCGATCTCTCGCGACTCGTCATGGAATTGAACGTTCCAGTCGCGTACAGGGGCCATTCGTGGAGGCGTGCGCACCTGTGTGTCGATGAAGTTCAATCTTACCCCGCGTTTGCATTGTCGATTCGACTTCCTACAGTTCTGGCAAACGGGTTGCGCCTCGTCGCACTTCAGATGTCTTTCGCGACAAGTCAGACATCCTGTCCGCACTCTCCTCGGCTTGCTTGTCGGGCTGCTCTCTGTCGCAATCAGGACGGGGTCGGCGATCATCTGGTTCACGCCATGCTGTGAGATTATCATGCCAGGGCTTTCGTTGGTGTGATCGGCCTCCGAATGGCTCTTCTTGCTTCTCTTGGTCGCTCTGGGGCTGTCGAGGGAACCAGCCAAGCTGGCGCGTTTGCTGGCGCGCTCAGCCGCGATTGTGAGGTCCGAAGCGGTCGACGGCGAGATTGCCGGGTCGCTGGCATAAATGTAGGGGTAGGGTTGTAGCACCCCGCTGGGTTCGTACGTTGCCGCCACGTTGAATGCTGGCCAGAATGGCCGGTTGGGGGTGGCAGCGGTAGATACGAGTTTGCAGCGGGTTTGGTCGTAAGGTGACCAGGCAATTTTATATAGCTTGCTTGAGCAGATGCATGATCCTGCTTCGACTATTCGTCTCGAGGGTACTCGTACTCAAAGATGCCGTGCGCGAGACTGTGATTCCAGCAGGCCCAGACACGCACTCCGTCTCACACACATACAGAGGGGAGAGACAGAGAGAAGGCGAACGAGAGAGCTGACGTGTGGCGTACAACGGGTATGTGTCGATTTGCACTCGCAGGCGTCGTAGCAAAGACACCACGCCAATTGTCAAAAGTCACCACTTTGCACTGCGCCCAGCACAGGTAGAGTATGCGGAGCGACAAACGTACCTATAATCGGAGCACGTCGGCGTCACCCTCTGCACACATCATACACAACACGCGTTTGCGACTCTCGGTCAAGCGTCGGACGAGGGTTTTGGAAACGATCCACGAGGGTGTCGAGTTCGGTTTCGTCGGATGCAATGTTTGAGAACCAGGGTAGAAACTCGGAACGTGGGTGAGGTGAGGCGCAAGCTTGACGCTGGGAGTTGGGAACACAGGCTACCCAGACGGATGTGCAGCAGTTCAGTCGAGGCGGACGCAGATCTCCTGGTGCAAGCAGCGTCGTTTTGGTGTTGGAGGACGGTCTCAAAAGAGGCGGATGCTGCAGGTCGGTTTCTGGTGGGCCCGTTAGAACGGAAGGATGCGGCGCGCAAAAGGAACTGTAGAACGAGGAAAACGGTCAGTGCTTGTGGCGCCACAAGACAGCACGTCAGAAGCAATTCGCCGGGGCCGCGAGACGGAGGCGGGGAAGGACGCTGTGGAACGTGGATGAGAAGAGTCGAGAGTGGTGTCGGCTGTGCGATGCGAAGCGGACGCGAGCGTGGGAGCAAGCGAAGAAATGCGGTGACGGTGAGAGCGGAGGACGCAGATGAGTTTCTGCGATGGGAAAAAAAGATGATCTCAGCGACTTGGGGCGCGGAAAAAACAGCGGCCCAGCAGGGGGCGTTTTGGGGGGGGGAGGGGCCCTGCGCCAGAGGGGGCGCCCCCGGCGGTTCCCGGCCCACCTGCTGCGGCGTAGCACGGTGGTTCGCCAGCGGTGGCCAGTCCCCCCCGGCACGTCTAGCCCTACGGCCCAGGCGATGAGCTGTCGCTGGAAAATCTTCGTCGTCGCTCACACAACGCTCTACACCTCCTGCTGCACGTCCCGTAATGCGCGGGCACTAGACGTGCTCGGCATTACGTAGCATCAGAGCAAGCAGCTCCATACGCGAACGTAGGCCAATGGGCCGCCGTCGCGGTGCTCGTGACGTGCTCTGCCACGGTCCCGTCTCTGTAGCGCGGCTTCAGCGACGGCGTTTGCCCAGAAAACGTGTGCAGTCACCCTGGGCCCTCGCTAGGCTTGAGCGACGGAAATATACAAAAGTAGCTTAACTACCGCTCTGCAGCTGGCTGCTGCTGCTGCAGGATCAGCAGGTCCCGCATGATGCACGTCGCGAAGTCCCTAAAAGCTAGCAAAACTTCCGTGGCTGCTCGCGCTGCCAGCCAGACCGTAGATCCACAGCTGCGAGCTGGCCGGTTTCCTCTGCCCACTCGCCGCCGTCCACGCCTCCAAGGACCGCGCCGTTTGGGGCAACAGACATGTTCTCCTTGACTCGATCCAGAAACAGACACAGAAGGCCACATTGCACAATGGCCGGTTGACGGTTCGTGCTGCGCCGAGGCACTTATCTTGTGGGAAGAACAAGAACGGGACTGCTCGTAGTGAAATGGGTCAAAACCCCCATGCGCCGCTTGTCTTTGCTGGCAACGCGAATCGACGTTTTGTCCAGACAAAGTTCGCGATGTAGCACGTCACGATGCGGGAGCGGCCTCTCGTCGTCGGGACTCGACGTTGTCGGGGCCGCGCTGTTTCATTCGCTCTTGACCGTCATTCGCTCTTCGAGGATCTGAGCTGGCATGCCATAGAGATCTCGCTCGCCTCCTCGTCTAATAAGATCTCGCAAAACGTCGGCCGCGGAAGAGATGACCGAATCGAACCAAACGGCGGCTCGTTTCGAGCGAGGCACGTCGTCAGTGCCGCCGCAATGTGAAAGTCACCACATGCTCGGAAACCACCGCCAGTCTCTCGCCGTTACGTATCCGTATTTGCTTGATGAAGACGGCCCACAGTGCAGACGACGAATGGCCATGCAGCGGCGCATCGGTGTTCCCGCGTTGAATGGAAGGACCGATTGAATCACACCACGTTACTCCTGTAGTACCTCGATCCAATAGTCTCCGAAGACTCCTTGCCAATCTTTCCAATTTTTTGAACGGGGAAATGAATGCATCGCATGAACAGCATGGCCGCCGCTGAAACGATGGAATAATGCCGACAGGCTCTGATCACGTCGTTCTCTTCCGACAAACACGAACGCTGCCGAGCTCCTACAGCGTGTATCTGATGCTAACTGTGCAATGCAAATCCAAGCTACAAATGTCAATATGGTCGTAAACGTAAGAAAGACGGCTTCGAACTTCGCCTTGGAATCTTTTGTAGCGGGCAACTGGGACGGACACGACGTCGGATTGCCGGTGCCTATGCATAGGCGATCTACACGCGTAGATATCGCGAGCCCAAAGTCTACTCTGAACTCGAGTAAATGTGTCTTGAGCCACTCATTTGAAGGAATGCACCTTCTTTCGATTCACGGCTTTGTCTCAAGGACCTATCTCGTGCATAAGCAATGTTTTTTTCGATCACTTTTTTCCACCTGCTCTCACACACTGCATACGAAGCTATCGCAGCAGTGTCCTTTGAATATTGTTTTCGTGGTCGAACGTACGCTATTATCACAGATGTGGACACACCAAAGAACATGGTTGAAAGGGAGAGTTCTGCAGACTTCGGCTACATCATGGCGCCTTTCGAGAATATCAAAACAGAGAACCGTGTGATTTAATTTTTGGGGCGGCTAAATGAATTTTTGCTCTCCACTTACTCCTTGCCTCCCAGGTATCTATACACAACCGAGAAGTCCTTTGATTTGAATTCAGGCTTCGCCTGGACCTCATCGTAGATCTGTTTGGCAAGCGGTCCCATTTTGATGTTCACGCCGAATTCTTCACAAGCTTTGATCGCGAGCTTCAAATCCTTGTTCATCAATGCCACGCCAAATCCGCCTTCGTAATCTCTGGAGGCCGGCGCTGTCTCAACGACACCGGGAACCGGGTTGTTCACCTCACTTGGCCAGCATTTACCAGTGCTGATGTTGATCATACCAGCCAGCGCCTTTGGATCCAAACCCCACGAGACGCCCATGTTCATGGCCTCGCATGTGGCAATGTTGTTCAAAGCCAGGAGGTAGTTGTTTGCAAGCTTTCCCTTCAAGCCTGACGTGGGACCTCCGAGATGCAGCACTCTCCGTCCCATCAGAGACAGGACCTCGGTGGCTCTACCAACCAGCTCGTCTGGGCAGCCAATCATGAAAGTTAAAGTTCCTGCGCCAGCACCAACAGTACCACCAGACATAGGAGCATCGACAAATTTGCCCTGCTTAGTCGACAGAGCGAGATTGGCAACTTCCGTAGAAGTCATAGGATCAATTGTTGAGGTATCAATGAACAAGCGCTCCTTCTCTCCTTCCGTAGACAGAGTGGCAGGCTCCAACATGGCCTTGTACACGGCCTTAACATGTTGAGGCTCTGGTAGCGCCGTAATAATGGTAGACTGCACAACATCAGTAAGGCGCCATGGGCAAATTACCGAAGAATAAGCAAGGCATGTAACTTGTATCAGAGGATTGGCTGTAGTAAGATTTGAAATCATAGAAGAAGCTACAAAAATTTGCAACTCCCCGACTTAGTCATGGATAGGACAAAAATGATCATCATTAAGCGATAAAGGAGGAAAACGAGTAAGCTACTTACCGCTTTCTCAGCAACTTCTCTAGGGCTTTCGGCGGCTAGAACTGTGAAACCAGAGAGCTCATCAACGAATTTGCCAACGGCATCCTTGTTGACGTCGTTGACGATGACTGTGTCTGTTTCGGGAAGCTTCTGTCGAAGATTTTTTGCCATCCGATACCCTGCGTAGACATTAGGATCATGGTCATGTCATTGTGTTGAAAGTACCTTACCCATCTGGCCGAGGCCGATGAAGCCGTACGTTGCCTGTGGAGATGGCGTCGATGAGAAACACCTCCTCGCCCCAACATTGCGAATTGTAGCGGCCCGCCACGAGGACGAGGCTAAACGGGTGACTCCTCTCATCGCGACCCTCGAAGAACTACAAGGCAGGGAGAAAGGTGCAACCAAGAAGCTACAGAGCCGGGTGCGGAGATGGCCCCCTTGATCACGGAGCCGAAGTTGCCGTGAGACGTGCGGAGTAAAAATCTCGAATGGGGAATGAGCAAACACGCAGTGCAAAGCAAGCCTATACAGTGAGGTCAAGGAGGCTCATGTTGTCTGAAGAGCCTCATCAAAGACGTTTGAGAGGCAGCGGCCGCTGCTAGCCGTGCTGTCGGTCCGGGCATGATCTGCTCGATGCCGACGTGGGCACAGGAAAAGAATTTCCATCTCGCCGGAGTTTGTGCTCATCGCCTTTGTGCCTCAGACATCCATTCCCCGTGCCCCTGCCCCACAGCTTGAACATCAGAGTGTTCATTTCACTGCGAAAGTAATATAGGCACAATTGCTGGTGACAAGCTGGCGTTAAAACTTGCAAGTTACGGTATGAACTGATCCCAGCTAGTTCCTACACCCCTTTCACGCGGTGCGGCGCCATATTGATTGCCGCTTCGCGCTCCAATAATTGTTGTTCCTGATTTAACAGACTATTTATTATTCTTCACTTGTGTACTCCTGATTTCCCTTTTCTTACTGATGAGTAGAATTTTGAACTACTTGATTAGATGAAGAGGTTCATACTTATCTCCCCTTAGTTCCCGAGGCACGATGTAGTGACCACATTAAATGCCATTGTAATTCTCAACTTTGCCAGTACCCGTCCGGAAAGCCGGGGCACCGAGCACCCACGTCCCCAAAGGCATCACTCAAGTCTAGATTGTGAAGCGCGTCCAATCCCGCTTTGTTTGTGAACATGGACTCTTGGTGGCCGATCAAGTCATAATAGCCATTCTCAGCGCTGTAAATGAATTGCCCCTTTAGTCGAAGTGGAATGTGGTTAGAACGAAGTCATATATGATCGGGTGCATCATAGGGTACAAAAGAAGATCTAAAGTCGTATCGAAGATGGACTCAGCAAAGATGTAGTGTCAGTTGGGAACTCGCCGGTAGTGCTAGCGCCAACGATAGGCAAAGCGCAGAGGATGTGTGCGTAGACAGAGCTCAGCTTCTAGAACGATTGAACAATAATCTATATTTCCCTTAGGCTTCGCATTTAGATACATAATCGAGTTCAGGAGCCTGCCAAAAGCAACAGTCTGGTTGCCAGAATGGAAGGATCATAGGCTATTCTTGATCAAGTTGCTTTTGCCTGTACACAACATTGATTTCTACCTGCTATTGCTGAAGCCATCGCGCCCTGCTTTAACATTGTTACATTCAACACTCGAGGTTGGTAAGCAGCGAGATATTTCAACCGAAGAAGAGATTTTCGTATTTGCTCAAAACCTCCTCGAAATTTTGACTTCAACACCCACGCTGATGGAGAGACATCAATGAGATCTTGAAGACAGTTGATCTGACAAAGGTATATGATAGACTGTGCACAGCGTTTATTCGTGCTCAAAAACTTGCGAATTCGAGTCTGATTGATAGGAAGATGACCAATGGCGTCAACATCCAGAGCACAGGCAGCGAAGATAGAATTCCTCCCGTAGGGGTTGATTCCGTATGTAATAAGATTCCACACCTGAGATAAAGGCCAACTTTATTGATTGCAAATATATCAGCGTGCTTGATTTCAAAGGATGGTCATAATGCGTGAGTTAACACCAACCGCTGTCGCAGTCGAAATCTCAACTTCGCCATTTCCAGTTCATTTGCCTAAAAGCGGGATGTGAATTTGTCAACTTCAGGAGTTTAATCATAGAATAATCTACTAGAGTACGACGAAAGCCCGACATGCCTTCTCATGCTTGTTTCATTCAGTTGGTGATACCTGGCAACTGCTAGGCAGTGCCTACGCTATCTACAACAAAGCGGAGACCACCCAGACTGGAAGGCACATTGCTTGCACCAAGATCAGATTGCTCTGCTCTACATGAGCTCAATACCGTGATGCAGAATGGAGCTAAGATCTCCAATGAACGGCTTGGCGAATACCACACGGACACTTGCACAGCTACAATTCGCACTTCCACATCAGTGACGCTGAAGATCTGTTGATCACAGGCGTTGATAGCCATTCGATAGCCTGTCGGCGTGCCATTAGGTCATACTGTCGAATACTTGCAACTCGATGGTACGCGTTCGCAAACGGGGAAACGAAGATAGGAGCGGCATGGAAAAACGAAAAAACAAAAAGAAGAAAAAATATAAAATAAAAGTAAAAATAAAAAAAAAAAGAAGACGTGCATAACTCACGTAGCAGTCATTATGAGACGACTTTGTCTTCGTCTTTTTTTTTAAATTTTTTTTTTGGGTCGCGTTCGAGGAAACTTCAGAACGATCCATGGTAAAAACTTCAGGACCTAAAAGCTGTTGAAAGCGTGATAACATAGCCTGAACCTAGCCCAGACTCAATAGTCAATACATTGCAGCATGGGTGAGAATCCAATGACCAGCTTCTTACTGTAGATACTTCAGTTTACCGTCGATATACATGTTGCATTTCACGAATGTTGCGACTTGCACGTCGTAATCACATGACAAGAGTTGGTTTTGCTTGCGTCTCATTGGCAGGAAGACTAACAACAAATGAAATAACCTCGAGAATATTAGGGAAACAACAATGACGATCTGTCTCTTTGGATGACCAGGGCGCGAAAGAAGCATAGATTGCAAGAAACACTTCACGGAAAAGACCATACTTGCGCCTTTTGAGAAGTCCAACTTCATTGTATCCATAGAACGGTGTGCTGTCCTGTTGTAGACAAAGGAGTCCAACTTAGACAATTGTCACCCATCGCGCTCGGATTTGGCCAATAGAAGAAGCGCATATACGTGGTCTCACAAAATCTGCCCCTTCCGGGACATATCAAGGAATTTTCAGCCTTGAGGGACACAAAAACAGGTTGATGACGCTGATGTACGCTTGGGGTGAAGATCTTCATTTCCTTGAGTCTACGCAATTCAGAAGGATCGACGCGTGCCTCGATCTCAGATCGATTGGAGCGGGTAGCCCAGAGGAATCTCCTGGAGAAAGCATCTCTGATCGCGCCTGTGGACCTGCTCGGCCGGCAGCGCATGGCAGGGGTCGCTCAGCTCCTCAAGCGCGCTGTTCGACTCGCGCGACTGACACTCGGGGCTGCCGTAGCGGGTCATTAGGTTACGCGTCCTGCGTCTGTGACTGCTCTGAGGCTCTTCTGGATGAAAAACGATTTTGGTCGTCGCGTTCGCAGGGATGGGCTAGGTCTGGACATGCAAAAGAAAAAGTGGATTATTTACACCGTGGGTTCTGCCTGGAGAAAGCTCAGGCGGGTCACAGCGCCCAACGGCAGCTGAAGGTGTGCTCATTTCGGCTGTCGAATGTGGATCATCCAAACCGGCTCGAGATGGGAGGGGGATAATTTTCGGCCGCGGAAGAAAACAGCAGAGGATTTGAACGGCTTCATCAGGTCAAGCAGCGTGATTCGAAAACATGTTCGCGTTTTCTGCGTTGAGCCATTGCTCGAAGGGAAGCAAAACATGGGATGAGTTGATCCGTGCCAATGGAACATGACATCCTGGACAAAGTCATTCTAATCTATGTTTATCAGCTCTGACCCACGTTCATCTCCCGCAAGCGAGAGCACGTGGAGATCTAAGCCGGTTTGGTGGGAGAACTTGCCAGGAGAATGTCTGCTCTCTGAGAAGGCTGGGCTAAGAACGCCACACGACATTGCCTCTTGTGGAACGACTCCACATCAAAAGGGGCAATGAGCGGCACGGGGAATTTTGTTTTGGACGACAAGTCTGTGTTCGCCGCTTTGACTCGCCGCTTCGAGGATACCACGACGTATCGACGGCACATTAATAATGGACTTTCATGCTCGCGTTACGATGTGTCCTTGATATGATTGATCTAAGAATAGCGCTCACGAGCCCTGCCTCGGTCCTTCCTATCTACAACTAGTCGACTTCCAAAGCTGCGCTATTTGTGTAGACAAAGTGCTGTCATCTCGTTTCCGCAGAGTCTGCGGATCAGTCGAAATGCATGATAGACGGAGGCTCCACAACAGACTGTCTGGGCTGTCAAGCCCGGCACTTAGCATACTGAGAGATCAACCGAACTTGAGGGCCGTATGTTCCTGCATTGTGGCGCTGCCGGTCAACTTAATCTAGCTAGTATAATGATCCAGGAACCTTGACATTTGCAGCGATGGCTTCGCAAAAGCATCACATACGCGCGCGGTCTCAATCGAACGTGATCATTATTGGTCAATTTCTACCAAGCATCACCGCCTCTCCAAGGACATGCCCAGGCTAACGCCAGGAGTATTGCCATGGCGTTGTTAGGACGTGGAAGCAAGCTTTATCCTTCAATAGTCCTCACCAAAGGGGTAATGCTCCAACGGCACTGGAAATGGTGTCTGCGAAAGATGTCCAGTTGTATATACCTCAACGATATCGCTCCCTGACTAACATTTCTCTTCTCTCCTTTCCTTAAGACTGCATTCTCTAGTGTAATCACTGCTCAGCTTCTGAGCGTCCATTCGTTTGAACTCAGTCTTCAGTCGTTCGTTATTTCGGAATGCGTTCCAACACGATCCTCTTTGGCGTCAGCCAGTTTGCAGCTTCAGCTGCCGCAATTAACTACAAGTTGATTGACTCGTACACTCCAAGCAACTTCTTCAGCAAGTTTGACTTCTTTACGGGCGACGATGGCACTGGAGGTTTCGCGAATTATCAGACCGAGTCTGGTGCCACTGCTGCTGGCTTGATCAGCACAGGTTCAAGCTCGGTCAAGTTCGGTGCCGACTACTTACACACCGTCTCAACGACCAGCAGCGGTCGTGCGTCTGTTCGTCTCGAAGGAACCACTAATTACGACAAGGGCATCATTGTCGCAGACATTCAGCATATGCCTGGAAATGCATGCGGTGCATGGCCAGCGTTTTGGTCATTCAGCAACCCTTGGCCATACCAAGGTGAAATCGGTAGGCGTTCCCCATGATGATGAACATGCGCAGCGTGTTTAACCCGTCCCTAGACATGATCGAAGGAGTCAACTTCATGACTGAGAATAAGGCTTCTCTTCACACTGGTCTGGGCACCTGCGTTCTCACTGACGAGGGCTCGCTTGAGACGGGTACCGTCGCTGCCACCGATTGCCACACCTTAAACCCGACAACCGGTAAGATAGAGAACACTGGTGGCTGCGGTATTGACTCTGGCAAGCCCAACAGCTTTGGAACTCCCTTCAATGCAGTCAACGGCGGTTACTATATCACCCAGTGGACTGATGATTTCATCAAGGTCTGGTTTTTCGAACGTGCTAACAAGCCTGCAACTCTTGATTGTGACGTTCCCGACGTCAGTACTCTTGGCACTCCGGATATGTACTTCAGCGGTTGTGACTTCGGCTCCCGTATTTCCAACCAGCACCTTGTTTTCAGCACTAACTTCTGTGGTTCGTGGGCTGGTGCCGTCGGCGTGTATGACCAGACATACGCTTTGGGCTGTCCTAATTACAACCTGGATACGCCAGACCTCAACTGCCGCAAATTTGTTGCTGAAAACCCAAGTGCATTTGCCAACCAGTAAGCAGGTCGCAATTTTGTTTCATGCTCTTGTCGCTAAATCCGATGCAGGTACTGGGAGGTCAACTCCATCAAGGTCTATGGCGAGACTACAGATACAGTATCGGGTGCTTGCCATGCCTCATCCTCTGCGTCGGTTTCGTCAGCGCCAGCTTCGTCGGCTCCAGCATCATCTGCTCCCGCCTCATCGGCCCCAGCATCATCTGCTCCAGCTTCGTCGGCCCCAGCATCATCTGCTCCAGCCTCGTCAGCTCCTGCATCGTCCGCACCAGCATCTTCCGCGCCAGCCAGCTCAGCTCCAGTCATTTCAGCACCAGCTGCCGTATCGTCTTCATCTTCTTCAGTTCCGCCATCGACTTCTTCCTTCGCTTCGGTAAGCGCTCGCAACAGCTCTGCCACTTTCAATTTCCCAAGTATCCGTCCAACTGCATCGTCCCATGGAAACGGCGGACATGGTCATGGCGGTTCCATCACCCGACCCGTGCCAAGCGCCAGCGCCACCAAGTCATCAGGCACATATGGTAGCAGCAACAAGTACGAGGGCCACTCGACCTGGGGCAGCAACCAACCAGCGGGCTGCTCCCCAGTGAAGGTTCCTTTCTCGACCACTCTGACCACGAAGATTGTTGATGTGTGCGAGACGGGCTTGACCACCTCAACTCTCACAACCACTGTGAAGTACTGCCCAATGTGCCATGAGAACCCAACTTCACCGTACTGGGGCTTCACCGAGACTGTAAAGGTCTGCAGCACCGGCTGCGCGCCATCGCCAATTTCAGTCACGGTGACCATCCCATGGACTGCTACTCCCGTCTCGGGCGGATCGTGGAATGGCAACCCGTGGAACTCTCCCGCCGCTCCTGCCACGACATCTGCTGCTCCTGGCTGGGGTGTTGGCTCCTGGTCCACTAGCAAGACCACGGCATCAGCGTCCCCTGCGTGGGGTGCTTCTAGCGGTAGCGCCTCTGCGCCAGCCGCTCCGGCTTGGGGTGCTTCCAGCGGTAGCTCTTCGGCTGCTGCTCCGGCTTGGGGTGCTTCCAGCGGCAGCTACTCGGCCGCCGCTGCTCCAGTTTGGTCTGCGTCTGCTGGCTCGTCTGCTGTTGCGGGTGCCTATGGTGCTAAGCCCAGCGGTACCGTTTCGTGGTCGTTGTCCAACGGCACCAGCACCTACAAGCCAGTCCTAGCTTCAACCAACGGTGCCTCGACCACTTTCGCCAGCGTGGTTGTCATGGTTGCTGCTGCTGCTGCGGCTGTTTTCATGTTGTAAACGTCCTTTTTCTAAGCCGATCGTTTCTCTTCTCTGAGCAGGCACCTGTTGTGGTATGATGAATCCATTGTGTATAGAAAGAGGCAAGAGAAACTCAGCCCATTGCAGGGTCATGCTCCAGTATATATATCTATACCCACAGATGTCTACTCGTTCTTCGTTTTTTGATCTGGCATTTTCGCTGCCAATCTACACAAAACTTATATGGGTGTCATAACTATTTAATTTTCCTTAATGATCACGAATAATGCATGGCGAGGCGCCTGGTATAGACACCAATTCATTCGATTGATCTGAGCATGATGTTCATGGCTAGCAACATTTGAAAAGTGAATGTGGACGGGTGATAAACGTGAAATCACCTAGGTGCCCCTAGGTGTCAGGTCATGAATATGTGGCTGTGCTCAATTGTTGTGGCGCCGACCATGCACCCGAGTAGGTCACTGATGAATAATTTCCTCCTTTGCACCAATCGATGTCATCTCAAGTTCCGCATGCTTGGAAGGTAATGACACTCTGTGCAAGAAATCGAGATGACCATCCTAACTACATTTCATGAAGCACCGTCAGTTCGCGGAGTTAATGGTCTCCAGTTCTAGAATGGGCCGGAGTTTAAGTATGCTTGCAAGACCCCGAAACTCCGTCATGGAAACGCAAGCAGCTATCCGCGATAAATTGAATTCCTCGCCAAATCCACTGCCGTCGTCTTCCTTCTCAAATTCTAAATCCAGCTTCGAAATTTCAGCAGCTCTGCTCCATTCTGTGTTTTTTTTTTCCCAAACGTTCAATGCCTTCCTCGCTCACCTTTAATTGCGCTATTGTGACCGGCGGCGCTGGAGGCTTAGGCAGAGGGATCGCAGAGTATCTCCTCAAGGCGGGAAAGAAGGTGATATTGGTTGGGCGAACGGAGTCAAAGCTAGAAAAGACGCATAAAGAAATTGGATCGGCCGGTTCGACCTCGCCACAGTTTGGGCAAACGGATATGCTAACGAAGGGCAAAAGGATACTATGTGCTCGACACGGGAGACGTAGATAGCGACGCCATTGCCAAGTTCGTGGCCCAAGTGACCGAGGAGCATCCCGACGTCGACTGTCTGATCAACAACGCGGGCATTCAGAAGCCTCTGTTCGCGACAAAAATGGCGCCAGAGGACTTCATGCGTCTCGGCACCAGCGAGATGAACATCAACATCCGTGGGCCCATCGCGCTGGCTCTGCACATGCTCCCCCATCTGAAGTCCAAACAAAATCCTTGCATCATGAACGTGACCTCTGGCCTGGCCTACGTCCCTGTCCTCGCCTCATGCCCTGTCTACTGCGCGACCAAAGCCTTCATGCACAGTTTCACCATGAACCTGCGCACGCAGCTTGAATTTGATGACAGCACGAAGCACATCAATGTGATTGAAATCGTACCGCCCCAGGTTGAGTCGGATCTTCATCGAGACCATAGTGATCCTGATAACAACAAGAGAACCAAAAGTCCTACATCCATGTCCCTGGAAGCATTTATAGCCGATGTTGCGGAAGGCTGGGAAGCGGGTGACACTACAGTTGCAGCAGGGATGGCAAAGATGGGTGTGAAAGCGTGGTTCAAACAGTTTGGAGAAATATACGAGCAGCGAAAAAAGATGGACGCATAGCGACTAGCAGCTCAATCCCATCCATAGACGGGATTCCATAGTATAAGAAGGATAAAGAATGACTGCAAAAAGACAGGATCCATGTCTAACGATGTTCAGCACGGTCTTTTTCCGCGCAGTTCGCCAGCGATGCATTTCATGTTGACGGAAGAATGTTCTCAAGGATCCAAGCGCAAGTCTTTCCAAGCGACGAGACACCAATCTAGGACTGTGTGGTGGTATACTACAGATGCATCTTCCCTGCTTTCTTCCTCCCTACCATCTTTTCTGTATTCGGTACTGCTGATCACGCCGCCAACGCAAGAAAATGCGCCCGAACAGGTGCGTCTATCTTTTCGACTTCTGTGACCTAAATAAGAATGAAGAGCCGCATAAGCAGCCTCTTGTCATCACGATTCATTTTTCTTCTCACTGCCTTCAACTTCCTTGTCGTCCCCCTTTTCCAGAGACGTGCGAGTCTGCGTTGGATTCTGTTGTGACACAGACGATTCAGATGATGTCTTCACCGCCGCAGATCGCGGCTTTTTCAACTCCTCGGGGAATACTTCAGAAAAAAGATCCGGAAGAAATCTATCAAGTCTCTTCCATGTCTCATTCCACAGGGCTTCACGCTCTCTGTTTTCTGCTGGCGGGACAAGGATGCCCTGGCTCGAGAGCACAAGTAGAATGTTCTTCGTGTTCTCGGCAATAGCTTCTTCCTGTAGACAAATGATCAGCTCCTGTTTCTTAAAGTTCACAATTCTGAACACAGCTCTCCTTAAGGAAACTTATATTCTCGCGCAGACGGACATACCAAGGTGTCACCTTGTCCACTCTTGATTAACCGCTCCATTACCTGGAGAATCTTTGCCCACAACTTTACCAAACCTGGCCATTCACTCAGTGCCCCGATATAATATAAGAAGACCTTGCACAAGATTTGAGCAGCCTGAATCCTCGTCTCAGCCATGCCCTGTAAATCCGTTGCGACGACCTCAGGTTTAAGTAATTGCCCAATGAGTGGGAAAAGGATCTCGTCAAAAATAGCTTTCCACTCCCTGTCTCTGTCTCCGACCTCTGGAACTAGTGAGGCGTGAAGGAGAGTTTGCTGAAGCATTGCAAAAGCACGATGTCTCATCTCTCGACAGGGGTTGAGACATTGTTTCGTAAGGGCACGGAAAATAGGGCTCCAGTATGCGGTCCAAGCCTCTCCAGGTTCTAGATGTGACTGTTGGATGAAAGATGGGACGCGCGCAGTCATTGAGTGAACCAGACTTAGTGCTTGATAACCTCGTGCAACCTCGTCTCTGTGCTTTGGCTTGGGCATCTTGGAACCTTTGCCTCTTTGCTTCAGCGCCTCATCTCGTCTCCGTTCATCGACTGCACCCACAGATGCTGCAGTGGCAAAGTCATCAAGCAATGCGATCGTCTTTTCATAATTGTCCGCTGTGATGACACTTTGTCCTGCGTTACCCATTTCTTCCAGAACGGTGAAAACATGCGGCGCAACTGTGGAAATGGCATGTAGTTTATGCAGAATATCCCAAAAGTCAGGAGATGTGGCCATCTCGCTGCGCAGTGACGCAGATGCGTGCATACACTCTGAGATTCCCTTGATGAGTGGTTCTGCGCAATGCTGTAGCAGCTCGTCATCAAATGCAGCAAATGCGTGAAGTAAGACAGGCGCTCTCAAGAAATCATGCTCGTCGCTCACACGCAAGAGTTGGAGGAGGTAGTATACTAGCCTACTGACAGTCACATAGTGCAGGTCTGCAACGTTTCTTAGAACTGTCTGTAGTGCGACTGCCACATCCTTGCCCAATTCTGCAGCTGTTGCGGCGTCCCGTACGGCCAGCAATGTACTTAGCTCAAGAACCCAAACCAGCGTTGGATCGTAGGTCGGGGCGTTCGCCTTTCGTTTGTTTACCGGTCGTGGAGATAGTGGAGGTACATTCTCGCTCTTGACAACAATGACCCTTGGGCTGCTGTCCTCTGGAATCTGGCTAAGCAACGTGTCAACAAGTGACCTCAGACTCTCCACGGATAATGTTCCGATCCGTCGTATCAAGTCTTCAAAATGGCATTCCGATATGCAGTCCACCGCACTGAGCGTGTTTTCAATCTCCTGCTCACTTGGCTCTGGGGGCTCGTCATTCGCGAAGCTTGACACGTAACTGGAAAGCGCAGAAAGCAAACCACCTTCAGCTTGTCTCTGCTCACGATCAACTACTGCCGCGGGTGGATGCAGCGGAATAGGTGGGAGATCAAACTCATTTGTGGAGATTGCTTTGAAATGAGCAGGAATCAGTGAGTTGACAAAGAGATTGAGCATAATTTTGACGATGTGCTCCCATCCATCTCGAAGGAAGTCTTCATTGCCTTCAAGTGCGCGGAACAACATGACTGCGGCCTGTTGAGCTCTGTCGTCACGTCCAAAACGTACCGCCGTCTCGCTGACCATGATACGCTTATCGTCCTCAGTCGGAACCTCTGTGTTCAGGCTAGTACTGGGCAGGAGATTCGGCGCCAGAGTGCTGATGCTGCTTAGAGAGAACACAATCTGGTCTAGACAAGCGGTGATCCCGTGTCGAGATGCTATGTGTGCACATTGTGCAAATCCAATGAACACTCGCGAAAAAACCGCGTCCTCGCTCGCAGACTTGAATACGTAGGACAGGGTAGCAACGATAGGTCGCCATGTCGCGGCGAACATATCCGCGTCGAAAATATTCGTGTTACACACTGTCAAATCACTTGCTGACTGAATCTTGACTAACAACTCCTTCCAGGCATGGTCGTATGCGTTCTTGTTGTTGTGCTCTTCTGGCAAAATGATTTCATTCGTCTTAATACTTGTGAATATATTCAGCAGGTATTCTGGGTCGAAATCTTTTGGTTTGCCTTCCTCATCAGTTCCGTTTGTGCCTCGCAGGTTGCGCATGAAATCTTCGGGTGCCATTCGTTTCTGTTTGCTTAGTGTAGGGTTGTGCTGATCCGTGTTCAGCATGATTATTGCGTAGCAAAGTACAAGGACGCAGTCAGCATTTGCGATGTTATCGTGATTTCCATCTTCGATATATTTCTTGCTGAATACCGTGATAATGCGCTCGATTAACTGCGACTCGCCTGGCAGGCGGAAAGTGTACAGCATTTCGCGCAAGCTCTCTTCCACTGTTTTGCCGCTGAAATCAAAGAGGTCAATGAAGGCGACAAGAATTCGCTCGTTCTCTCGTTTCGTCAAGAATTCGCCTAGAGTCTTCTTGTCAACAAGTGCGGTGCTTCGGACGAAGCGAGCGATATGCGTAGGGTCATCGACATTCTCAATGACTCCTTCCTTTCCGAGGAATGCAATGCCTGCTTTTGGATTCTCGTTGAACTTGTTCGTCCCACGAATGATGATTTTCTTCAAGTCTCGTTGTTGCCGTAGTTTCTCCAAGGACGGGAGGCCTTCCGTGACTGGCGGATCATCCAGTCGATCATCTATCGTCTGGACAAAGCCTAATAGAGCATCTAGGCACAATGGCGGCACGTTGGTTGTGCTCCAGACATGAGCATCTGGGAATGCATTTCGTGACAGCAAGCCCACCATGTCTGCGCACAAGTCATGCCTGTCAATTTCGCAGTCATAGTTGACGAACAATTCAGTCATGAAACCAGGTAACCTAACCAGAGCACCGATACTCTCCACCATGGCTTCTTTCGCATCTGGTTTGCGCGCCCCGCCTTCGAGACCAAGCCGTGCCCTGTCCTTGACGGGTACAGGAGTAGAGCGTCCACTGCTATTTTGTTGCAGTGATGGGATAGGTTTGATGGAGCTTGGTGCTAAAGGAACACCTTCGTAGAGTCTGGGGTCAATGTTGGGATCATGAGGTATCTCTGCTCGTGGATACAAGCACGAAACTAGATAGTCCAGATAGAGCTCCTGCTGCAGCTTGAGAACCGACCGACATGTTGCGATAAGTGTGACAGCAACTCGCAATGATTCACTAAGTACCGCCATATTTTCAGACCGCACTAGTTGGAACAGGTGCCTGCACAAAGTGTCCTTGGCTAGGAACGCTAAGCTCGGATGGCTTGCAATAGACGGTCCTGCAACTTCAAGAGCAACGTTTACCATGCGGAGTGCCATGACACGATGTGTATCCGTATATTCCTTCGCATTAGGATCCAACAAATCCACTAAACTCCTGAAGAGCTCTTTGATCGAAGGCAAGGAATAGGGTTTGATATGTCCATCATCTTCACCCGATTCTGCCACACCGGCAGTCAAGTCAAGTGTACTGCTAGATGGATCTTGGGGAGCTTTCTCCGTGCCCAGCAACGGCGCCTTTTCACGTTCCGGCCCGTCTAGAGATGGTTTCGCACTGCCATTGGTCTCGACACCATCTGCAACGAGTGTGGTTTGGCTACCATTGGTATTAGCTGACACACTGGAAGATGCAGGTTCCATCTTCACGCTGTCCATGGTAGCTCTGGTTTGATCATCCAAAGCGCCGGGCTCATCCCCAGCCTCCCACTCCAAGTACTTTAGCCTCTGAAAAATGACTTGACACATGCTGACCATCATAATTTCCACGCTACGCTGTAGCAGTTGCGTCCGCATAGGGTCACAACACATGTTCAAGCCTGCCTCCATAATACTGCACACACTCTCGTCGCTAAGAATGTCACCCACAGGCCCTGAGATCAGAGCTTCCATCAGCTTGAGTATTCGCATAAATACCACTTCGTCCGCGGCATTTTGCTGACTCGGTGGGAACCGGCAGTGCGTTATAGCTGCGGCGAGCAGCTGCATTGCGGGAGACAGCCTTGGTGAATCTCCTCCAATAACGCCGTACGATAGGAATTTGGTGACCGCTATCAGTGCCAGCGATGTGATGCTAGCACTCGTCGAGCTGCTGCGGATTACCTGCAAGAAAGGGTGTAGCAGGCTGGGCGTGTCAAAGCTCTTTATATCCTTACATGCCCTCAAGTCGCTTCGTAGCTTTGTGAATGCAGCGATGAGCGGATTGTCTTTGACCTCTTTCCCCCTCTTGCTCCTGCTGCCCCATCTCCAACCTCCGTCGTCTTCGTCCTGGATCACGGGAGCAACGACCCTGCGTGTGTTGGTGTCCAGAGGTAAAGCCTGATTCGGTCCCCCGCCGAGGATGGCAGAAACAGAGGATTGGGCCCACCATGGGTGCTTGCGCATAGCAGAGGTAACGGTGATGCATTCTGTTATAACGAGTGCGACTGGGTCGACAGCGATAGTTATGGGTGCGTGTCGCGTAAGCGTTGGAGGGAGGGGAGAGGATTCCGGGGCCGCCGTCGCTGCTGTATTCGGCGCCACGTTCTGACGTATAGCCATGTTCTTCAGCCGGATTTTTATATACGTAACGTATGGTCTTGTGGAAGTAAGGCCCCGTTGCCTCTACTTGCGGCAGCCCGTTGCAGCGGCGACAGTGGTTTTAAACAGTCAACATGTGGCAAGTGGAATCCGCTTTCATGTCTCCCAGGCAATGGTCGGGTGCGCTATTAAGAATTAGGAATACGCGGCGTGGGATTCCAGATGGTAGGAATTAGAAGAGCAGACGAGAGCATTCAACGGTGGCTCTTTGCACCCAAGGTAGGTCAAGGTGGACTTTGTGAAAGGGTCCAAAATGAACGTCGCGATTACTACTTCTGGTTAGACCCGGTCAGCCTACCTTCCCTGGAAACAACGAGTAAGTCAAGGTAACATAGGTGCAACTGTCAGAGACACGAGAATTGCACGTGCCGGGCACTCTACAAATGACTCCAATGCTCTGGAGCCACAAGAAACGCGTCGCTACGGCACACGCAGACTCTGCAGCTCACTCCACTCGCTGCTCTTGCTCGACCTGTAGGTCATGAACGAGGCTGGGCAATATACTAAACTACATCGACCGACGTTTTCGGGATGGGAAGTGCACTTGACCATGGCGGTAAACGTACTTCACGTTCAACTGTGTTGTTCCCACGCTGCTTTTGCACAGGTGTAAACGATACTAGCTTTTTCTATTCTTACAACGCCATGATCCGTCGTTATCGCAAGCGACGCTGTAGTTCGCTGCGTTACAGTCCTTGGATGTTCTACACGAAGAGCAGGCGGGTTTTTTTGTTCTCTTTTGAACCCGTCACTCAGTAAAAGCCACACAAAAAAGGGTCCTGCCATACTCCCACCAATGAAAACACCGTGTCCCATGCGCAAATATGATATAAGTATACGTATGAGCTTATACGCATTCGCTGCTTTATCAGCGGTTGCGGTAGGCCTGTCATGTATCATGATGTCCGGTCTCTCCATACGGGGTAGGAAGAAGGAGCTTATGCGTCCTTCGCCTTCTCCTTCTCGGAGCTCCTGGGGTGGAATTAGCAAGCCAAAGTTTGAGGCGCACATTGCACTAAGACACATACTTTTCTCCGCTCCTCTCGTCCGCATCACTCTTTTGTTGCAATGTTGGACCTTTAGGCTTCTTCTCCTCGCTATTCTTCTTCCCCGCTTCAAGCTGCTGCTTCTTTACACTCTTCTCAACGCGGTCTTTCATCGCAATATTCTTGATGTCGTTCTTGTCCTTATCCCATTGGCCGGATGGGTTCTCAAACTGCTCATTGATCTTTGCGAGGCGCTCCTTTTCTGCCTTCTCCTTCTTTTCCTTCTCCTTACGCTCCTTTTCCATTTCTTCCATATGTTTCATGTCCTCTACAGAAGGCTCGTACAAGTGCCAGATTGTGTAGTGGGGCAGACCAACCACCGAGAATTGCATCCGCTTTGCCATCTGAGTCTCTTCGTTAGCGCTAGCCAGATAATGAGTGCAGAACGATCATGCTTGCCTTGCCGAAGCCCTCTGTCTCTGCGTGCTTTTCGAAACTGAACGCTGGAAAGTGCACACCCGCTCTAAAAACCTTCGCCTTGGCCAGGATACTGACACCTCCCACACCATCTAGTTCCATCTCCATATCAGGATCGCCATATGGATCGCGAAGATACGCCAGATGCGGTCGCCACGTCGCATATTCTGCATAGCCTTCAACGATGACAGCATCCTCATCAAGAGTGTCCGCCAATGCGAGAGCTGTCTCTGATTCCTGCCATGAGTTCAAATCGTACGGTTGCTCGCCTCCAAGCCAGTCCGGTAGAGGCCTCCAAACATCTGTGAAGGTTGCTCAGTCAGCCGGTGGGTCTAATCACGGGACGGAGAATGCGCAATAGAGAACGTACTAGGAACGATGATATCTTTGTTATGCCTCATCAAATCCTCCAAAATTGTGACCGGTGCAGTCTCGACATCCACATCCCTCCAGTAGACCCAGCTGTGCGTCGGTCTCAGAGCCGCACTGAGCAGCCAATTGCGTGCCTGAGCCATGCTCTTTCGTCTACTAGCCTGTGCCGCAAATCCATGTCGACTTTCGACGTCCTGCTTAACCTTCTGTCCAAAATCCTTCTCCATGATGCTGATCTCGCCATACCTCTGTTTGGGGTTCTCGTGTGCTTGGAGTTCCTCCAATAGTTCTGAGAGAAGGGACAGTGTATTGTCCTTCGAATCGCCGACCAAGAAGGCCAGGTCGATGAGATTGTGCGGATACGTCAGGTTGCGAAGATGCGAGAAGAACATGGGGAGATGGGGAGCAGCGTCTCTCAGCGGCGCGCACAGCAGTATCCGCTCCTCGCGCTCCCAGCCTCTGGCTGTGCCCTGGACGTTGTTCAAGTCATAGTAGCGTACTGTCTCAAGCTGGAAGTCGTCTCCCCCTGCACTTAGAATCCCGAAGCTCAAACTGCCCACGAGGAACGCCCGTAGCCCAGGAGAAAAAAATGAAATGACCGCAAGCAAGCCACATCCTAACAGAGCAAGCCGTAGTATAAGTTGTCTTCGTCGCCGCAGGGCAGGTGTGTGATTTCGCGGCTGGAACTTATGGCTCGAAAAGTTGAATTGCGAATGGGTGCTGCCGCTATACGGGTACGCACCGCTGCCGCCGCCGGAGTAGCTGGAGCGCAGCATCTTCCCCTTGGAGGGCGAGGAGCTGCTGTACAGTGGAAGCATGCAGCAAGCGGAGCGAGCGAGCAAGATGCCTTCTTCCTCGTGGTATGTACTGTTGCAACTGCCGCCTTTTGCTCCTGACACCCTGGCCCGCCTCGGGGGGGAGGATGGATGCGGCAAACGCTCTACGTTAGCGCCACTATCTTCGTTGTCCAGAGATAAGGAATCCGCCTCTTTCAGGCATAAATCGAAACGAACACGGTTGTGTAGCGAGCGAAAGGAATTGGAGGAGAGCGTAGGAAGCGGGCACCAAATGTTGTGTATGTGGTGATTGCACACCGTCCGCGATTGCTCGCGCCCCGTTTGGGAAGGCTGCCGCTGCACTAGCCAGATACGGGCGCCGATGGCCTCTTTACGGCTGCAGACAAGCCCGGCCGGTTGATATGAAGACTGGATGGAAAAAGATGAGAGGCCCAAAATGCGCGGGACCGGACGTTCACATGGGGATGCAAAGTGAGCGACCCACCGAGAGAGTTGATGTTCTTTACGAGGTGGAACGCCGAAAGTCCGTAACACCGCCCTTAACGGCTGAATTTAGCAGAAAACGCTTACGTGGAACCCGCCGTAGTACATCAGATCGATAACCTAAAGCCACGGCCTGGACGATCGCGCAGTGCTCACAAGATACTAATGATGCTTTCGCTCAATTCGGGCAGCCATGCGTGTTCAGTCTGCCCTGTGGTTCTTCACTTCTCCAGCTGTCTCCATAGAATAAAGAGCCCTTTAATTTGCATGGTGCACAGGGACGAGGCTCTGTTCAGCTGCCGAAGATCGCGCCTCATCCAGCCACAGATTGGCCGTCTCAAATCGGATTTCACGAAACTCCCATCCACACGATCATCGCCTTCACTGCCTGGCCATTTTCAACGGAACAGTTTTCCACGTCAAACAATCCCTGATCCAGTTGTATGATCAAGCAATACTTGCTCGCTCTACCACGCACGTTACATCTTCATCCCGAAAGAGCTTTTACAGGAAGTCCATCATGAGTGGACAAGAAAGGCGCGGTCATGACGCCGTGAAAAATCGAAGACATGTGCGTGGATCTAACTACAGATATGGTCGAGGTTGCGGACAAGAGAACCCACAGGGTAAGATGGAATCTGTCCCATCAGCACAACAAGTCGTCTCTGGTGCTGGGGTATCCATCATCCTGAAAATCGATCAGCCCACAGGTAGACAAGTGCAAGGCATAGTCGCAGAAGTGCTTGGTAGAGGCGACCATCCACGTGGTATCAAAGTAAGACTTGTCGATGGACGTGTAGGTCGCGTCCAGTCCATCGTGTCCGAGGAAGAGGCAAAGCTAGCGTCTGCTGGGTTGTCAAATCTGGGTCGTAATGGTGAACCTGCAGGAGATGTCACTACTCAAGCAGTGACGATGCGAGGATCCAAGGCTCGGTCCAGGGATGTACGATTCAACAACGCTTACCATTATGAGTCAAGCCAAGCGGAGAGGGAGACTATCAACTTGATGGACTACGTTAAGAAGAAGCCCGCAAAAGCGGGGAAGTCGAACCCCGTGCAAATGACATGGGGTGAGAGAGAAGCGATAGCACACGTTGATGGCAATCCAACCCAAAGTATTCTTTGCCCGGTCTGTGGCGACTTCGAAGGCGACGAAGAAGCAGTCGCACACCACGTGAGCAGCCACTTTGAAGAGCCTTAGCAATGACAGGGCCGCTCCAAGTTCATGCGTTAATCACGCTTATGCGTACGACCCTAGGATGCTGAGAGACCTGTTTGGAGAATTGATTCAATCAGTCACACGCAGCTACATTATGCGTTGACTTTATTGGACCCTTGTTTCAATCATTCAAAGCGAAGCTTTCGAGGAGTAGGCAGAACAGGGCTCCCCCTGGCGATTCTCTCGACAAAATGGGCGAGAAACTGCTCTTTGTGGCCCAGAACCTGGCATATAAGTTTATGCTGTATACGATTGAAGGCAGTGAGGGGAGCGGCATTTACAAGAAGGCACCCTCTCACTCCACACTTAAATTCCGAACGCGTCCAGTTCACTTACATGTCGCCTCTTTCGCGCTGCACCGTGATTCGAGGTGAACGGAAAAGCTTGAAAATACATTATTTGAATGTGTAGGCGAACCTTAGGTGTCTGTCCAGAACGACATAAACATGAGGAGCCTTCTAACTGTGCTATCGCTCCTCTCGGTTGTGTAAGCTCTCCACTCTGCATGTCGTATCGTCCCTCCACAGCTGACCCTTGCCTAATAGTTTCGCGCAAAGCCAGCTTCTCAAACGTTGTGTCCAATGCCCCAGCGAAATACCCACATGCCCGTCCTGTGCCGCCGACGAGGTATGCCAACAGACTGTCCAAAGCTGTGAGACTTGCGCATCCGCAGAATGTGTCCAACTCTCTTCGCCTACGGGCTCAGTCGCAACACCTTTTCATGGCCCCCATACGGCTACGTCTTCAGCGTCGGCCTCAGGTGAAACAGAAACCTCTATCATCATGACGTTACCGCCGATAACAACGTCATCGGCCTCAGGGTCTACAAGCACAGAGTCGGCATCGAGTATTCCTTCGTTGATTGGGGGATCGTCTCTCACAGGTCATACATCATCTTTGACTTTGAAATCGACCGCGACAGCATCTTCTTCAACAAGTCCAAGTGCGGTTAGCTCCCCGGGCTCAGTCGGAGCACGTATCATGGCCAACATCGGAGTTTCAGTTACCATTTTACTTGCGGCTAGCTTTTGGTACGTCTGATTTAGTAATTAAATGCATGCATTGTAAATATATAAAATGCTATAATTAGGGCAGGGCATAGTACACGCACGTAAGTGCTGGGCGGATTTGGGGCCGCGCGTAGCATCGCTAAGCAGGATGACACTCTCGAAGCTAAGACACAGCCTCGAAAACAGCACGCGCTAGCACATATGCGGTGACCAAATCGGTACCCTATCGCTACCTTAATAAATACACATTGTCTGCGCAGTTTCTTGGCCTGTAATTCATTATATCCAAACCTCGATCAAATAATCGCACAAGGTACTCTGCCTCAATGGACAAGAGTCACGGGAAAGAACTGAGGACTTCGAGGCTGCTCCTGCGCGGTGCCAAGGATGGTGATGCGCAAAGCTTGTTCGAGTGTTTCTCAGACTACGAGCTGATGAAATACTGGTCCACTCTTCCTCACAAGTCGATCGAGGAGACTGAAGAGTGGGTACAAGGTATGGTTTCGAGTTCGCAGAATGGTTATACCGACTTTGTAATAGTCGATCATCAATCCAATACCGCCATTGGAAAAATAGGTATATGGAGCGGCAGCGAAATAGGCTTCATGATCGCAAGATCACGTTGGAGGCAAGGGCTTGTATCGGAAGCTCTAGCGGCAACTCTGACATATTATTTTAACGATCTTGAACTGGAACAGATCACTGCCGACGTTGATCCGAGGAATGCGGCGTCTATCAACATTCTAAAGAAGTTCGGATTCGAGGTGGTCGGTCAACGCGAAAAGACATTCGAGATCGGTGGAGTCTGGGTGGACAGCCTCGATCTATCTCTGACGAGAGAGCAGTGGAAAAGGCAGTAGAGATGAATCATGCTACCACATTCTGCGGTGTGCCGGCTATGAACGCTTCGATGTTCGCTTTGAGCATCGTGATCAGATTATGCCTCGTACGTTCTCCAAACCACGCAGCATGTGGAGAAAAAGTCAAGTTCAAGGATTGGACATCTGGTGCAAGAAGGGGACTGTCCTTTGCTCCCTCTGCGGGTTCGATTTCGAACACATCGGTTGCGTAGCCTGCGATCAGCCCTTCTTTGAGTGCTGTCACGATAGCACTTTCATCAACGATGCCGCCGCGAGCGATGTTCACGATGACTGCGTGAGGATTCATGGTCTCTAACTCCGCTGTTGAGATCAAATTCAGTGTTTCTGGAGTCTTGGGAACGAGGATCATGAGAACGGTGCTGCGGGCAAGCACTTCCGAGAAGGGGATCCGTCCCTGTGAGCCTTTCTTTTGACCGTTGGCCTTTCGATCAGCCAGGAGTACTTGCATCCTGAGGCCTTTGGCAAGTGCCTCGATTCGTTTGCCTTGGAAAGGATGAGCTGCATAATTTTTTTGAGGGCGAAACTGAGACACATACCGATACCCCCATAGCCAATAATTCCACATATCTCATCTTCACAACTTAGAGGAGCATCTCCTCGTGCAGTCTTCATGTACTTGACTATAGATCCTTTCTCCTTCCACTCGCTTGGCTCTCGAATAACCATATTATGCATCATGACCGTCCGACGTCTCGCAGCAAAATACAGTCCAATGGCGGAATTTGCCACGACGTCAGCACTGGCGTGAGGACAGTTGAAAACAAGAATCCCCCGCGCTTTCGCTGCTTTCATGTCGATATGGTCCGTCCCAGTCGACATTGCCGCGATGGCTTGCAACTTCGGCGTGACTTCGGGGGACAAAATTTCCGCCGTGATTTTGACCACGCTAGTAATGACGATTGTTGCATCTTTGACACGGTCTTTGAGGTCTTCCGCAGAAGTGTTGACATAACTTGTTAGAGTCACAGTGTGGGGTGGCTGCGCAACGATTTCGGGATACTGTACATGTATAGCTTCGAGCCCAACAACATGGTGATGCATTTTTTTTTCTCTTCTAAAAAGAAGAGTTTCGGTTTCAGTTCGTTCGGTCTGCACGATTCGAAACATACACGAGTGCCTTTTGTACCGTCTCTCTTTCGTGCGCCCTATGCAAGTCATCCTCAAAAGTGTGGGTCGCCTGTCGATCAAAACGGGGTTCAACTGACGGAGGAGGTCCAATTCGATAAGCAGAGGCTGTTGCTTACAGCACCACGGTGAGAGCAGTCTATGATCAAATCAAGAAATTTTGAGACATATCACCCTACAAGCTCATTGATTTGAAACAGAAATGCGCAAAGGGATTACTTCTAGCTTCAGCCGTAGCCGTTGCAATGTGAATGTATCCCACAATCAGTGCGGATGAACTGAATCTTTGAACGACTTTGACGGCGTTTTCTCAAATGAAACGATGAAAAGAGATATTGAGCCAGATCAGTCAGAGGAATGTGTCTTGGATTTTCTTGGTCATTTTATACACAGTCTTTGTATCAGGCTATGCAACATTCCAATAAGACGTACATGCGCAAGACTAAGCCTTAGAAAATAAGTCTGGTCATGATCGAGGTAAGTGAGAAATACAATTTCTCCAAACCCATCCGCAAGGAAACACTTGTTGAACTGGAAGCATAGCCAAGTCTCAAAAGTTTTTCTTTCAAGTAAGAAGATCCTGGAGGAAGTCGAAACATCGCCTCTTGCCACATCTTCCGATGTTTCCTCCAGTTTCTACGATAAGTCAAACCCCACGCACCAAAAACCCCCGATCCCGAATACTGATAATGTGATTGTTCGACGTTGGGGAAACTGAAATGGCGCGAATCGTATTCGCTCATAAAAAAAAAGACAAGCACGATGGAGATAGGAAGCCTAATATTTCCCGTGCACTGGAAAAGAAACTAGATGCGGGGTACATCCCAGCACGTAAATGTATCCACCACCAGTATAAAACGGAAGCTTCATCTTTCGCTCATCATTTTCTTACAGTTTACAGCGCGTTATAAGGCACCCCTAGCGGAACGTTCCTCTTCATCATGCCAGAGACTGGAGGTGCCCCTCCTGGGAAAGTTCTGAAGTATACGTCATACTTGTTCAAGAATCCGAAGCTGAGCGAGGAGGAATTCCACGACCACTGGAGGAACCATCATTCTCGAAATCCTCTAGAGGCTATGGTCAAACATGGTGTTATTCGCTATACGCAGTACCATTGCACAGAGGCCACAAGAGGACTGCTCAGCCCTATGGTGCAAGCTAGGAAGGACAACCCCAACAGCGAGCTCAAGTTCGAGATCATGCCGTTCGATGCCATTGTTCAAATCTGGGTGCCAGACTGGGAGACTTGGCTGAAGGTTGCGCGGGAACCCATCTTCGGCAAAGCGATTTTCGAGGACGAATCATACCTGTTTGATTGCACGAGGTCCTTTACAACCTTGGGATGGGAGGAAGACATGCTCTTAGATGGAAAGATAGTCATGCCAGGCTACCAAGGTCTTTCAAAATGCGATTGCAAATGTGGACTTTGTAGCCACAAGTGCGAAGCGCAGCCGGATGACTGATCTCAGCGATGGATTGGGAAGGATAGGCATTCTGCTATGCGTCAAAACCAGTTGTTCTACAGGTAAGTTACAGGAAAGTCCCAAAGTCCAGCTTCCACCTATCAAATACAAGAATTGAAACGTATAATCTGAAACAGAGCCATGTGTGAGAAGATCGTCCGCGAACTCAGACCGGACCACGTGATGCACGATTGATAGATAAAGGAACTGAAGTCAAGCTGTCCGTTCGTCCTTTATACACGAAAGTTGTACATGAAGAGGTTAACTACATCAATGAGAGACCGTGTGACAATCAAAATTCCAGCAGAAGTGAAAATTGCAGAAGGCGAGAGCAGTTAAGACAGAATTGACACTTGAACAAAACCATCTATTCTATTCTTCTAATTGGTGCTGTTTAGTATATCAATGTTATCTTTCGTTCGCAACGCGACTATAACCTAACAAAAGTATGAGCTGAAATAACATGTTCAACGTACTTGAGCTCACTATAGCGCTCGCAGTTCGTAGTCTTACTGCGTTCAACATCAAAATGCCATCAGAAATGCAGTAAGAGAAATAGTGCAAAACATATATCTTGCTGTTGGATGGCTATCGCTCCAAACGTAGCTTAATATCTTAAACAACACTGTTCAGAATGATTCATAATAAATCACATACTAGCTGCCGATGTCGGTTCTTGGACAGTAGGTTAAAGAGGACGGCTGCATTTAAAGCCGAAAGTCCTTCATGATACAGTTGCAGGGCAAATTGACGGATGGGTGCAAATTGACGATGGACGTAAATTACGTCGTGCCAGAGAATCTACACGTTGTCCCTCTAGCAGAACTTGATCTGCGACCAGACCACGAAGTCGACGCCGAGTTGACGCTCTTTAGGCCTGTTTCGAGCGAGAAGAACATCTGGCTCTTCTGGCATTCAGGCTTCGATGGTCTGCACCCATATACCAAACGAAATGTCCGAGCGTGGCACCGTCGCTTCTCCAAGAAGGGATGGACCGTTCGTGTCGTCAACCGGCAGGACTCTGATCCACTTAACATCGAGAACTTTGTTGATGTAAACGACCCGCAAAATTTCCCCGAGGCATTTAGAAATGGCTGCATGGACGGGAAGTACGCCGCACAGCACACCTCGGACCTAGTTCGCTGGCCTCTGCTTCTCAAGTACGGCGGGGTATATGCCGACGTTGGCATGATACAGATCGGTGATTTGGACCGTCTCTGGAACAAGACGATCGGAGACCCCTCCTCAGGCTATGAGGTTTTGAGTTACAGAGGTCCTCAGCAAAACGGAAGGAACTTGACCAACTACTTCCTGGCTTGTGGGAAGGGGAACCAATTGTTCATGCGCTGCCACAAACTCCTGCTCAAGCTATGGGAGCGTCGAACCGACACAACGGGTCTGCACGCCCATCCACTGCTGAGAGGCGTGCCGATGCAAGGGGGAACTTTCGAGATCGTGGAGGAAGGAAAGCCAACGATTGGCAAAGAGGAGGCGGGGAAGATGCTGACTGATTACATCATCCAAGGGCAAGTGATCTCTATGGTGATGGGACTTGTTGACGAGGAGGACGGCTGGAACGGACCGGAATATGTCGAAAAGCACGTATATGGAATAGACTTTATGAGCGGCAGCCAGTTGATCAATGAGATAACCGGATTCAACGGGAGGAAAGCGTTTGAGCTGATGTCTCTCTCTATGCCAAAGGATGGGGAGAAGGAGAGCGAGGCACAGAAAGAGGCGAGGGAGGTGCTTCAGACCATTTTGCGGCGAAGCTGGGGCTTCAAGCTCGCGCACGGAATGATCCTGGAGGTTTTCAAAGAAACGTTGGGAAGCCTGTGGAGAGCCAACGAAGGTTCAGACGTCGAACCCGGAACGTATGCCGCATGGTTTCGGCACGCAACGCTATATTGGAGTCAAGATGTCCTACCCCCTCGTGTCGAATTCCCGATGAGTGAGCCGTGGAAGAAAGGACCGTTGCTGAGACAGACAGGTGATGAAGTCGATTCGACTGGATAGGCAGGGCCTCATCTTTGAGAGCTATCTGCGGTCGAATCCTTTCCTTAGGTTTGAATTCAGACAGGTGCCCAGATCCTGGACTGAGTACCGATCACATCCTGGGCAGGGTAGAATATCACTTAGAAAATTTTTGTGTTGACATATATGTGCAACTTGCACGTTCGCGCGATCTGATCACGGGCCAGATTCGTGCATTTTCATTCTGCCTGACGAAGCAATAGAAGCACGCCCTCCGATCAGATCACAAGGCGCGAATGCAAACACCAACTGCGGCAACCTGGTCGCCAAAATTTTTGTATCTTCCTCCAAAGCAGGTCTGAAAACTCGGCCACAAACCTTCCGTAGTTGTCTCGCATCACGGAGAGTTTGGGAAGTCCCCCGGGTGAAGTTCTATCTCGGAGCCTCAAGGGTGGAGCATGCGTGACGACAAGCATCTCAACGACGAGACCGAGATTCTCTTTGGTCACAAATCATTCCCACTTGGATAAATGAAACAAGGCAAGTGAAGTGTTGGCATGCGTTCGGGAAGAAAGAACCCACCACTCGGTGATTTCCTGTAGACGTTGACCGATGCCTCTTTAGGAAATTCTGACGAGCACCTTCGCGCGCTAGTCCCAAAGACGTTAGGCGTTCAGCCTCAGCCTTCTTCTGCATGTCCAGCAAGGGAAAAGGATCCACAATGAGACGCGCGCTCAGGATATATATATCGAGAGAGAGGACACAAGCACAGCAAGCCATTGCTCTGCAATCTCTGAAAGCCTGGCGTATCCGCTGAATCAAGACGCCTAAAATCCACTCGAGTTCACACCATGCCGTCTGGATCGTGCTCCTGTGGGAAGATCAAGGTCTCTGTCGAAGGAGAGCCGGTTGCGCAGGTATCCTCCATGTCTGCTAGCCTTCGAAAGCCCTGTAATGCTAACGACAAAGTCAAAGGGTCTATGCCACTGCTTGTACGTCACGTCCTAAGACCGATCTCATTCTCGATGAGGGCTCCTCAGTCGAAAGAGGATCAAATCATTCAGTTGTGCTGGCGCTGGACAAGTTTACGCCACCAAAATGAAACGCCTACTCTTTCTTCTCCCAACAAGCGCATGATGGTTCTTTCTTTCTTTCTTTCTTTTCTTTTCTCTATTTTTTCCCTCTGCTTTTGGGTGTCTCGCGCTAACGACTGCTGCTCAAGAGACTGTCGCAAAGTCAGCGGAAGCGCCTTCACCGTGAACGCGGTCGTGAAAGCCGAGCATTTTCACGTGACGGGAACCCCAAAGGCGTGGCACAAGGTCGCCGACAGCGGAAACAAGATCGTAAACTACTTTTGCGGCGACTGCGGGTCGCCGGTCTACGGCCGGGGAAGCTTTGGCGACAATTACGTCGTGCGAATGGGACTCATGGACCATGACGGCCTTGAGGGTGCAAAGCCCAGTGTGGAGTGCTTTTCTGAGCGCCGGCTGACTTGGATTTCGCCGTGCGAGGGCGCGAACAGCCTCGTCGGGATGGGAAATGCTCATTCGAAAGTGGCGGAGTCTAAAGCTTGACTCTTCTCTTCATAAATTCAAATCGGAACGCCAGTGAAGCTTAGGTCGCCAGATTTGGCCGTGGACGGCATGAAAATAAAGCAACGCCCAATGAAAAAAGCAGTTAATTGAATTGCACAATCAAACAGACAGGACGCGATTCTCGATAGCGACAGCGTAGAGTTCGCTTCTAAGAGGGGTATCATCTTATCTAGCAACATGGAAGACGTTTGAGTAGAGAATCGTAAATCGTTTTCGAAACCAACAAGCACGAAAGAAGACCCTTCTTGTTTCACCTCTTTCCTTTCCCAAGATGCGCGTTGGAGAATTCCTCCAACTGCTTGCGATATTTCATGTCTTTCCGGACCAGTGGCGCTTGAAAGAATCGCGGCAAAAACATGTTCGAGTCTTGCACAGGAGGTGAGCGAGTTGTCGACAGGTTGCAGTCAAAAGGGCCACTTACTAGCATGGTCGTCGGCAAAAACGATTTCCTCTCCTCCCCGCCTCTGAGTCTCTCTGACGGCTTCCTCCAAGAGTTCAGTACCGACGCCTTTCCCTCTGTATCGCAGTTTTACCGTCCACGCTCGCACGACGCCTCGGCCCCACTTCTTCCTTCTGTTGCCCCTGCCCTCACCCTTCTCCCAGCCGAGCACGAGCGCCGCAATCACGGAGTCACCAAACTTGGTGATCAAGATCTGATCGTCGTCAAGCCAGCTCTTTCCGATCGCCTCTGCGGCGAAGATGTATCCTGAAGTCATCTGCCGCACCAGGACCAACGCAGCCATGATGATGCCGGATGCCGTGGTGAGCATTTTCGTGATGTTGCCGGGCTGATACAGGTACTGCATGACGACACTAAGCAGGGTTGTGAAGACAACGATGTTCAAAGGGTGAAAGATGAGGACTCTGGCGGCAACATTGCGTTGCTGAGCCAAGCTATCTGCCACCAGCTTGAGAGCTGCCACCACGTCCTCCTCACTCGTTGCGGTTTCTGTGGTCAAGGGAGGAACGCCTTGAAGTGGATCATGCTGCTGCGACCCCGCTGCACTGCTGGTGTCGTCCGCGTCGTGGTCAGTCATGACGGTATTTGCAAGAGGAGACAGAGGCGGAAGATTGTGCGGAATGTCGTAGATGGTCGGTCTCAGTACAGGCGTGTTACCTGGAGACGGAAAGAGGTCGTCGTCTGCGATACGCAAGTTTGCGCTGAGGGAGCTTAGAAACGCTGTGGAAAGGATGCTGTTAACAAGGACAATTCAACCGTATTCTACGCATCAAGTATCCGTCAAGCGCGTCTCATTTCGCGGTTCCTGCCGCGCGAGATTGGAATTTGATGTTGGAGCAGAGGGTGCCCAGGATAATTCTTAATCTTTCCCCTCGTTTTTATTCCTTCCTTTTTTCTTTCCTCCTCAGCTCGTCTTCCTGTCAAAAGCGAGGCACTTGTGAAGTAGACCTGCCGTAATAAGAAAACTTGAGAAAAAAAAAATTACTCACCAGCGCTTGTTTTGAACCCCGGTATGACTTGAATTCGCTCCCCGACGGATCCCCTCGACGCATGTCCTTTCTTCCAGCTCGGCACGCTCAAGGCGTCGAGTCTGCCAAAGACGCTGGCGGGCGGCGCTGTCGTTGCTGCAGTCGTTGTCGAAGTAAATCCTCGCATCACGGCCACTGAGCGATTGACCATGTTTTCTCTGTGAGCGACCGCACGGAGCTCGCAACAGGGATCCACCCACGCGGCTCAAGCGCGCCGTCTGATGACCCAAAGGAAAAACTAAGGTGCGAATAAAGCAAGGGCGCAACTTGAACGAGCCAAAATGAGCCTTAGAGGGCGGCAAAAGTCGTGTCTAAGAGTGATGAATGGGGATGCACGTTTTATCAGTTCCCATTCTGATAGGTTCCTTTGCCAAGCTCGTCGTGCAGCAGCCGACAGTAGATCAAGCAACGCCTCAGGCGCAGCCAAAGAATTTGTACGAGTGGCGGCGCGTAATACAGACGGCAATAGCAAGTAGCGTTTCTGGCCGTGGTGGAGCGACCGTGAGTGGGATTCCTGACGATCAAGGGGAGGGGGGAGGGAGCAGTGTGGGAAGCTGTTCAGACAGGGAGAAATCGGAGACGGGACATTAAACTTTTAAGCTTCGCGGTGGACAAGGACAAGTATTTCTGAACGTATGGAGGCTCTCCCAGGTGCTGCTATCGAAAACAGCTCTCAAGAAGAGCGCTCCGTTTGATAGGCGTGACCATTCCTTGCTTGGATCGTCTCCCCCATGGCGTGTCGCCGCTGGCCAGAGCTCAGCAGATCCCGTCCGTCAGCCATCGGCCGAGCTGAACGCTGCCCGTCGACGTTCCCTTCCAGTGCCGATGGCTGCCCTCCTGCGCACACGTCCACCGCCGTTCGTCTCGATACGTCTTGCTCCATCGCCGGACGGTGACCGCACCGTCTGAGCTGTGACACTTCACGCGCGGCCAAGCCGTTGAGCGCCGGTCCCACTGTCGCTGACGTTGACTGTCCTCCCCTCCCCCGGACTATGGCGTTTCAAACGCAGCCCGTCGTGCTACAAGGCCCTGAAGTCGCTTAGTTGCGTGTCAGATAAGGCAGACGACTGCGATGCGCCAGACTTCATGCACCGCGATAACACGCGATAGCGACTCGAACACGCGCGCACAAGCTCGCCATTTGGACCGCTTGCGGCCTTGAAACCGCACGCCTGCGTCTCCTCGACGTGCTGCCTCCTCATTCTGCTCGTTCTTGCCCTACGGCCCCGCGTTACGTTGTCGGCTCCAGTGTTCTTCGGACCGCTGTTACATTGTTTCCAAGTCCCGCTCGTTCGTACGCGTGTCTGCTGCTTTGACATCACGCTGCAGCGTCTCCTTTCGTCCTTGCCTCTGTGTCACCCGATTGGGCCTCAGCACTTTCTTTTGTTCATCTTCCATCGATCTTCCGCACACCAGCAGCGTAGGGTTGCGCGAGATGCACTCGAATTGACGCAACCCTACGATGAGATCAACCTTGTCGCAAGGGGATGGCGTGTGAGCCAGGGCATTGCATCAAAAGCTCGGGAAAAGAGACACCTGTCGATATCCTACTTCAGTGATGAGCAGCAACGTGCGACCAGTCTCAATCATTGCACTGCTCCATCAAACTTGCGCACTTCGCGCAAGCCTCTCAGTTTCAGCCTTACGGTCTGAGCTAACCGCTGCAGGCATGGCCCATCGTAAGCCTAGTCTAGAATACCATTAACGTGAGGCTAATATACCTTCTTCGCGATGGCACGGCCGTTCTCTACTCCTCTTATACCCTGTGCTAAGATCCACGTAAACAAGTAGCAGCACTGAGCACTGAATATGTGACATCCGTTATTTTGAGCTTTGTGGGGAGTCACATGGATTTCACTGTAGGACGAGACTCTCCGCTCGTGATGCCACGCGTCCTCGTGAAATGCCTTGATTGCAAACGCTTTTTTTTGGAATTATTTTCTTGCATATAAGTTATATCGTCCGACTTTTATATGGACAGGGCTCTATACTCTAAATCGCCTTGCCCGATACACAAACGAGAACCCGCTCGCGGTGCCAGAACTGGCGTCGGCTGCCGGCACCGCCGACCCCGTGGCAGAAGTTGCCGCCGAGGTCATCGCGCTTGCATTCGCCGAGGCCATCACGAAATCCACGCAGCTCTCGTACGTCTGCTGGGCCTTCGTCCCGAACCAAAACCACTGTATCGTGCACTGCCCGGCCTGGGCGCACTGTCCGTCCGCCAGCTGCGGCATCGTGACGCTGAAGTCCGTATTGTTTGCCGGCAGCGCGGGCAGATTTTCGTCCGCATAGCTCGCGAATTCGATCAGCGGCTCTCCAATCACGGTGTTTGTGCTTGTGTCGACGATGGACACATTCATCGGGCCCTCGTGCGGAATCGGCAGCTGAGCAAGCATGCGGATCGTCTGTCCGGCGCTGTACGTTTGCACGTTCGCGCGGTTGTCTTCGAAGGTGGCGCCGCGGCACAGGCTGAGTTGGCAGCTTGCGGTGGCGGCAGACATATCTATGTCTTCCAGTGGCGTCGTCCCGTCTGACAATGCGGAATCAACAGCGGGTTGGCCACAAGCCGCTGCCATTGCTGGGCCGGGCGTTCGCGCGGGTGGTGAAGTGATATTGCCGTGTGCGGCTACAACCGTCGCTAGAGCCGCAAGGGCCGCGAAGTTCTTCGAAGTCATATTAATTAATAGCCTTCTCCAGTGGTATTATCCCAGGTTCTCGACTGAGTGCATGCGCTCGGCGCATTCAACTATTGTATGGTCAAAAGGAGTGTCCAGCACCGGGAAAACGAAAGACGTGGATGGATTTACAGGTTTTGCAGACAACTGCCTCAGATAAAGGGATTGTAAGCTTTAGCATTTTCGCTTTGGAGAGCTGAAACTGCGGATGATGCTGGAACCGAGAATTTTCTCTGGGCATTTGCGGTGTTCATCCAGTCTCGCTGTCGGACTGTGGGAAACATGAACTCTTGGTAGACAGAATGAAACAGATCGACGTCATCGATAGACCTTATCACAAAGAACCCAATAGCCACGACGTGATCAGAACAGATCCTCCGAAGGATTGTTGCTGAAGAACAGACATTGAAAGGAAGAAGAGATGCACGCATTGAATAAAGTACGCTATGCAAGATGGTTAAAATATCACATGCTAGTTACTGCAAGACGAATAGCCCAAAGAATAAAAGCACACTTGATGTAGTTACAGACCTGTGCGACTTGATCAAGCCATTGACTCCCGAGCACGCCAAGTCTGGTCAAACCGCCGTGAGATTGGCCTTCGTACGTTTGCAGAATTAGAGCCCAATTAAGCCACTTGTAAAGTGAGAACTAATTACGCACATTTATCCAACGACATCGCTACCGTAGTCTCAATGATCGTGTACGTCAGATCGTTCCTTGGCCCGCTCAATCGTGTTGGACTTTGTAGTCGCCTTTGACCGCATCCGCATAAGTTGGGGGTGGCGCATCAGGATTCACGCTGTGGGCTGCGGCCTCCTCAGCTCCAGGTGCCGGTGCCGGTGCTGAGCTTGAAGATGTCGCCGCATACGAATTCGCCGGTGGTGCAGGTGTCATCTTAGGTGCCTTGCCAGGCTGCTGGTTTGTGAAAGCGTTCGCCGTGCCGGAGTGCTGGCCTGGGAACTGGCCGTGCGGTGTCACTGTGCCATACCCGCCTGCTGGAGCAGCATGCACGTAGTATACAATATGCTCTTCATTTTGGATCGGCTCGTAGCTGGGATCTGGGTAGGACGATATTATATACTAGAGCACTCATACGTTAGTTCACGCTGGGTGATCCGGTTCAGAGCCAGAGCCACTCACCCATGCATGTAGAAGGCCAGGGAGATAGCCGAGACAGCAAAGAGCAATGTTAATTATCGAGTCTGCGCTACAAATGCCACGCTTGACCCACACTGTCCGGCACTGTTAGCTCTTCCCAGGCAGCATTCGGGAGTGGAGAGACTACATACCCGCGACGGGCGGGAATAGGACTGCAAGCAAGCAGAGAAACAAATCTAGCCCGTCGCACATGTTTGATCCCAGCAATTAGGACGTTCAATAGGTGAAAAGGTAGAGCAGGAGAGACTCGTTGAGTGAATGGTAACTTAAGAATGATCGCCTGATAGGCACCCGCCAATTCTATAGCTTCGGAGAGCGGCGATGACGCACGGATGTGGCTGTGCGAAAGGAGCCCCTCGTGATCTTCTCGAAAAATTTGCCCTCCATTTCTGCTCAGATGGCTTTTTCTTCCCCATCTAATTTATCGCTGTCGTCATGTTCACCAAAAACTCGTTCAGTGATTTGTGGCGCGTTAATGACGAGAATGTGTATTATGAAATTGCAAAGCATCTGTTAGCGTCTGCATGACAGAGCCTGATCGTCTTCGAACGGGTGTGCAAACAAGGAGTACCTCAAGCTTTTGATGACGGAATGCTCTTGACAACCATCTGCTTTTCCAAAATAAAGCTTACGTTTTTATGATGACAGGACTTGCACACTCCATTGTTCAACTTTCCAATTTGGCTTTAACAGTTTGTTGTGGTTCAGGAGTTATTAGTGTCGGTATTTCTACACCAAACCTTTACGTTCCAGATATAGTTTCCATGGATTGATTATCTGGAACGTACGAGGCTACCCACAGGCAATTGTGCTAAATCTGTATATCCGAATTTGGGAGCAGTAACACAAGTCCATGTACGTGAGTTTCCGAGGCACAGAACATGTTTTCACAAAATCGACTTAAGACTACGTTTGGAATCAGGTTCTCCGCTATGCAGTCTGCCCACAACGCCAATGACGATGTGATATACCCTGGACCCGCCTGCTCTTAGAGGGTAATGGAATAAGAGCAAACCCACGGAGGCAATCAGTAGATATCCCAAAGACTGATCTTGCCGTCTTTACTTCCAGCCGCCAACCAATGTGTTTTGCGCGATAGATCTTCCCGCCGTTGACGGACAGTAATAATATTCTGGCCACTGAATGTAGCGGTCAAGCTCTGCTCAGCGCGATTTTCATGATCATCTTTGATCTCATCATCTCTTTCTAGTCTTGCAGGTTCTGATACAGTAACCATGGACCCGTCAACGTCTTCCAATTGTGCGAAAGCAATGGAGTAGCATCCTTCTTTGTGCCATTTCAAGACAGCAACTTCTTTCAGCGTCTTCGCAGAATAGACTCTTATTCTCCAGTCCCAACCAGCTGTTGCAAAGATTTTTCCATCTGATCGCACGCTTAAACCTTGCTGACCCGAATGCTTCGTGTTGTTGACCTTCAAGGGCTTCCTTTCATTTGTCGCTCTGAGGCTCACTGAGGCAATGATTGCATCAGCACCTGAGGTGAAATATACGCCTGAGTTTGGAAGCACATCTAAGGACAAAATGGGTTGTGTGTGCGGTTTGCAGATAGATGTAGTCTCCCAGTCATGATCAGCCCCAGCCTTGAGACGCTGAACACTTGTCAAGCCGCTCTCGTAGCCAGTCACGACATGTAGACGATCCTCGAAGAAAAGGATGCGCAGCGCCATAACCATACCAGTCTTACCGGTCTCTGCAGGAGGCAGGAGGTACTTCGCCTGTTCTGATGGCAACTCATGTATGACGGTGCAACCTTCATTTGCGGCCGGGGTCGCAACCAAGATCCCATCGCCAGTTTGGGTTCGGCACATGGAAAAGGCGCAAAAATTCAATGTGTGTACTTGGAGCGAATGCAAAAGCCATGGCTGCTTCCAGTCTCCCTCGGTATTTTCTTCCACTGGTAGCTCTCTCGACAAGTAATTCTCGTCATTTTCCCGAATTTGCCAGACGTTCAATTTTCCATCGCGTCCATGGCTGATGATTTGATCATCGCTCCACACGGCAAAGCCAAGGATAGCCCCGGCGTGGCCTTTCCAGACGGCTTTGGGACGCTTGATGGAAACATCCCAGATTATAATGATGCCATCAGCGTCTCCGCTCAGAAGCCTGCTGTTGCCTCGGAGAAATTGCAAAGCATGGATTTGTGCTTTATGGCCACGCAAGATATAGGCTGGTTGCGCTGGAGGCAGCTGAGATTGTTGTATTTGCCGCTGCGCAGTCATCGAGTATAGCAATCCATTCTTAACTGCAAAACATCGAAAAGCGTAGGGCGGCTTTTGGGGTCTCGACTCGCGCCACACGCTTAAGACCGGGTAGACTATGTGGCTGTGCAGTGACGTAGCTTCGTCATTGGCCACAGAAGGCAGCACTTGCTCGTACATTCCAGTCATCTTGAACACTGAGATCGGTTGTATAAATTCCGGACTTTGTTTCGAATCGAATCTTTGTTCAAACTTCAAAAACAGCCACAATCAAAAAAAACCATGCCTATTCCAATTCCCACCACCGACAAATCATCCACCTCGGATGCGAGTGAATCCAGCAAGGGATCTCACGCTGTCGCTGAAGTCTCAAGCCAACAGTCAAGTGCCGCACAACATACTAGCAAAACCGAAGCTGAACTTGCTGCCGAAAAGCTCTATGAAGAGCGCATTGAGGAGGAATATGCCAAACGCGAAGGTGGAGCATGAACATGACGTCAAAGTCTGAGAATGTCCAAGCTGTATTGGTTTGCAGGGCTGGATGGGGTTTTCCATAGTCCCAATGAGACGGTTCGTTTCATACATAACGTTACGTTTCTTTCCTTGCGTGATTCATCCTTCAAGTGCCTTTTCTATAAGCTCCTTTGGCCGTCCGTTTAGCGGTATCTGTAGAGCAAGCTCATGCCCTTTCTCAGTCATCTTGCCCCATGTCTTCCGCAGTATGCCAATGATCTTGTCCTCGTCGTGATCCTTTTGAAACGCCTCGAATTGGTCATCTAGAAATACCAAGCATGCCACGTCTTCGAGGATCTGTGTCTCCTCATCGCTTTTTAGATCCTCCTTTCTAATCAGCGCAGCCACACGCTCGGCGTCCTCTGCCGAATACCCACAATCCAAACAGATCTGGGCTACCTGCTCCGCTTGCCTCTTCTTTAAAAATGTCCGCCATGAGTGATAGCCAAGCTTTGTCATGGGGTAAGAATTGCGAGGAACCTCCCATCGACGGAAGTGCTGGCTTCTTATTGCGAGTCGAAGGGTTTCGGAAGCAGAGGAGGAGCGTAGGGTCAAGTAGTGGGTCATCTTTTGGGCATAATGTAGCTCGTACGGTACTTCTTTGCCGTCAACGGTGATCTTGTTCGGATCTTCTGAGTGCGCCTTGTCTATCAATTCAATCGTGTTATCGAACCGAGTAGCCATGCTTAACCAAGCGATCGTTATGACAGATGCAAAAGATGCGGATGAGCGATAAATGGATTGAAACAGGGCTCCTTGACTTTTATTCTTACTAGCAAGACACCTCGCACAGTCGTTATCTGGGTCCCAAAGTTTTGTTCCAACCCAGTGGGAGCCGCCCGCGGAATCTTCAATCGGAGATGCAACACAAAGATCTAATCTCAAGCTGCCCTGTAATTTCCTAGCCTCTGATTGGACCACGCCACTCACTTGCGTGCCAGGCAACGGACGTGACCTCGATCATCCTGTGGCTCTCACACAATTATTGCCATGCACTGCTGAAACAATAGTCCAAGCTTCCGATAATTTCTTCAATTCTGTATGCGCAACTTCTCCTCTCCGCACTCAACCACGCGGCATTGAGCCTGACAGCCTGCAGTCTTCAACCCTGCGTGCTTTCGACATTCACGTCAACAGCGACACAGCACGACATAGTATGAACAGTACTTAGCGATAGAGTCATGGCCATTTTCAAGAACCTGTCGAATAACCTATTCGGCTGGATATCGCCGCGCGAGACGCACGAACGCAATGCAAAATCATCTAAATCACATGACCTCAAATCCCCAGCGGTGACTGCAGCTGTCAGGCGAAAGACGCAGATCTCTATTGCTGCCGCGAAACAAATTACCGAAGGACCGACCCATGTGGCTACTGGAAATGTACCATTCCGTCGTAAGGGCCGTAACTCCGGAAGCATCCCCTGGGAAGATGCCCCTCCGAGTTCTCCGCTTGCTGACACCATTGAAAACCAGCTTGCATCGACTGCTTTGCACGATGGAGATGCAGAGATGGAGGATGCCGGAGAGGAAGGGGCTGTTGACACCATGAGTGAAGAAGATGAATCGACATTTATCGATGATGAGGTCTCGGAGGGGTTGGAAGCTGAAGAAGACGACGAAGAACGCAAGGAAGCATCAGAGGTCGGGGACGATAGAAAAGTGGAGACCACGGCCGAAGGCGAATCAGAACAAGCAACCGAACCTGACGAAGTGAGATCTGAGACTTCTCAGGACGATGCTGATGACGAAGCTGATATTCGTGACGCAAACGAAGGCACAAATGTCGTTGACCTTGCCGAGGATCAAGAAGCTGCGCTAGAAGCAGCAACACGTCAGCTCGAGATTGATCGGCAAGCTAAGTTTGAAGAGCAGAAGGAGGCGTACATTGAGCTAGAGCGCGAAGGCTGGCACCCAAACACAATAGATTTGTATCTCTTGGTTGATCGAAGAACTGTTGAACCGCTTTTGCCAGCCGATTGGAAAATGGATTTTCCTCTCTTCCCGTGGCATGTTTTCACATGGGACTATAAGGAAGCTTTTCTTGGAGGCACCAGACCCGAGAATGACTTCATTATGAACAAGGCACTTCAGAATCTTTGCAAGCTACCAGTCCATATGCGCAATCAGATTCGCATCAACGCCTGGTATGGACGACGCGCAGAGGCTATGGTGGTAAAATATTGTGAGGACTATATGAAATTCATCCACAAAGACTGCAAACTATGGATTCCGATCAAGAAGAAAAAGCTGTGGTCTTTAATCTGCTATGCACCTGGCGACCCGGAGAAGAGTGCAGATGAGCTGGAGGAATTGGCTCTTAAACGATTGCGCAAGCGGAAAGAAAAGGTTTTGGATCTTTTACGAGTGGCGGACACATCGCGCCGCGATTCCGACTTCTTCTGGCATGATGGTTCAGCCTACCTTGTCGAGCCACCTACGTTGTACGGCGTGGTTGCAAAGCAAACGGTAGTCGCGCTGGTCGCCTATGAGCCGTTATCTCCTCGAGATGCTTTGCGAACGATCGCTTTCTTTCACATGTCAAAGCCGAAGTACGATGTCTGGAACGCGCTTGCACTGGCAATCGTAATGATTCATTGTCGCGACCATCTGCTGAAGATCAAGAAGGCAATCCCTGAGAATCTCGACGACCTAAAGCTGACTGACGACGAGGAAGATCTTTAATGTGTGATATCCCCAAGCTAAGCAGGCGGAATTCTGTTCTTGATGCTGTACGTGAATCGAAAACTCCTGTCGACAACCACACGACACTTCTAGCTTGGCTTTGCAGTCGAACTACCGACAGCACATCAGGTTAGCCATGTGCAGGTATTGGTCATTCTCGTGGTATGTTGTTCTGGGGATATAGGAAAGGTATTCTACTCGATTTTTTTTCTAGCGCTATACCCACGAAGCGAAGGTATTATTAAAGCTGAATTATAATCTCATATTAATTCCAAACCTTATTGTTCATGCTGCTTACTGGAGACGGGACGACCTGCGTTTCGTAGCTCGACAACCTTACGGCGTATTTTCCGTGAAATGACAATACGGGCAAAAACACCATCGGAACTTTCATTAGATCATCAACCAAAGTATAGGGCATTTGAAACCATCGGGTGGTGGCGCCTCACTTCATTTTCGTGTTTTCACCCCTCCTTTTCATAAAACACAGCATAATATCTGATATGATCATATTCGCGCCTGGTAGCAGCCAACGCTTTATGACCCGTCATGCAGCGCTTATCACAACCAAATTACGTTATCGCCTGGCAAAACACCTCTGAGCAACTCTGGATTGATTGTGTTCGGTCGCGGATACATGAAAGAATCCAGGAACTTGCTGCAATGCAACGGTGTGCAATTGGTGCGGGCCGGTCGGCGAGACCGATCAGAAACCTAAATCCAGTGCTTTTACGGCATCCATATAAACACTCATCATCTTCAAACTCCACATCTTATCACGTGGCGAGTGCTATTCAGGAATTTAAGACGTCTTGAGGATGAAAAGAAAACCGCAGACTTCATCTGTACAGGATGACACGCCTAGTGTTATTAGTGATGGGCCCTTTGTCGGCCTCGACAGACAGAATGTATACTGCGATCACAGGGTTCATCGTCGTACCTCCCTCCCTTTTTCTGATGCACACATTTTATTTTAGCCTAACTTACGCCACGAACCTCGAGCTCGTTTTATTTCTTGCCATTCCCGTTGTTATTCTTGGAGTTTTTTCCATCAAAAGCTTCATTGTTCGGATTTCCTCTTTATCAAGAAAGAAAAGAGAAAGAAAAAGAAAACTTCGCACAACTGAAGGAATCAGCGCATGTACTACAGAATTCTTTGCGTTGTCGTTTCTTGTGGTTCTTTGTGTGGTTATAGCCATCCTATCAACTACGACCATGAAACTACCTAGAACCAGAGAGGCTAGTATGGCAAAAGCTACGTTTCTGCATATCGTATATTCAGAACTTCTGTTGGACAGTGATCTAAATCATTTTGGAATGAAGACGTTCATGCCCCTTTCGATAACACCACAGGGAGAAAGTAATCCACTGTTGCCTTATTCGTCATTGAGGAAGTCGTTGCTTTTGATGGAACCGGCGGACTAAAGAATCGAGAAACTTTGATAAGGAGGTCCGCCTGTCCAGATAGACTGGCTATGGGGCTTGAAGGGATTAGTTCCCCCGATCGCCGTCACGTCAGTCACCTTGAATCCAAGCGAGATTGTTCCATCGGCATTTGAATGGTCAATTCCATTTGCGTGGATGGTCGTATGGGCTTCAATCTCTCTCGTTTGGTGAAGCAAAGACCACCTACAAACAGAAGACGGTCCGAGGGCCAGGCTGTCTAGCCAATAGAACTTCTTAACAGGAATTTATTCAAAGTCTCCCGAATCTCACCCAGCGAATAATGCAGTCCTCAGCCTCTCCATCTCTTGCTCCATTCGCGCACGTTCCATCTCGAGGACCTGCAATCGCTGCATCATTGCCTGCCTATGCTGCAGATCGTGAATTGGAGAGGACGTAGAGGCGAGTTGCATCAAGCCATCATCGTGGCCTGACAGATTTTCCAGCGGTGCGGTGTCATCTGTTGACGCAGATGGCGGCAAAAATGGGAGAGGCGAACTTTGGAGCGTATGCTGCATTTCCATGCTGTCATTTGACAAGGGAGAGCGTCCTAATGGCTCCGCTTCAACATCTTCTCCTCGTTCAACAGCTGCCCGTTCACTCTCGGTAATCACTTCAACCAATCTCATCCCGTCAGTTGCATGATACCCTGCTAAGCCCCAATGCTTCATGCGAAGCATGTGTTCTCTCAGGGCAACCTTCGTTGCAAAACCTTTGCTCCGCTTGTGTCGGTGACAATCTTTTCTTGGGCACGTAAACATCTTGTCACTGTGGTCGTGCTTTTTCTGCTCATGCTCGTCTTTTTTATGTCTCGCAAGTTCCTTCGCATCTTTGAAACTCCTGTTGCATCCTTTTACATTGCAAGTCTTCACACCCTCGTACTTCTCTTTCTGCTTCTTGAGGGTGGTCTGATCAAGCCCTGGGTAGGCCGTACGCAATTTTTGAGAGAAGATATTTATGATTTCTCGACGCTCAAGGTACTTACCTCCAGCCTGGTCGAGGAGGAAAGGCAATGACGGAGGTGCATTGGCAGGATCCTTGAGATAGGCGAGTATGGATCCACTTTCCCAGCCGGCGAAGAACGGATCGGCAACTAGAGCGCGCACACCACTACAACGCTTGATAGAGTCTATATAGTCGAGATCATGGCTGTGAGCTTCTTTGCTTCTCTCCAGGGTTCGTATGCCATTGGGCTCCAAAACCACCCTGAACTTAGCGGGACACTGGCCTGGCTGCCGCCTATTGCGCTTACGCCCACCAGAATTCGTAGGATCTCGATCTTGCTGCTTCCATTGGCGTTGAAGTCGGCATCCTCCCCAAAATTTTTCCGTCTTTCCGGTTGTGGGAAGATGCGCGCTCACATCAGCCTTGTTGTGGAGACACCACACATTGTCGATGAACCTGCACCAGTCACATTAGCTACTAGGGCATATGACAAGACCGGAGAGTCTCCTACGGCCAATAACGATCCCACGCATTTTGGTCAAACTGGACCGGAGTTACAAGGTCAAACAGTAATTGACGATGATGGCCAATGTCGAGAGGGATGCGATTTAAAGGTGAGTTGGGGGGATCTGTTACGACAAGGGCTGAGGTGGTAGATTGATGCAGAGATCCAAGAGGCTGTGCTTCAGGCTGCGCTTCAGGCTGTGATGTCGGCGAACCTGCGTTCATTGTGTCGTAGGGTGCGACTATCTTGAGCAGAGAGGTCGTTGTATCGTGCGGATCGGGCGATGCTTGGCAGATAGTTCTAAGGCAGGGTTAGAAACTTGCGCTAGTCTATTCTTGGAAGGCTTCAACTCTCTTCACATCACGTAAGTCGATCTAAATAATTTAATTGACCAGCAGCCTTGCTAGAGCGCCTCAAGCATGGCCGGGTGTCTCGTTTGGACTACTTCGGTATGGCTCATCCTGCGTACAGAATTTCAAGCGTCTTCTTCTTCTTCTTCTTCTTCTTTTTTTTTTTTTTTTTTTTTTTTTTTTTTTTTTTTTTTGGAAAGAAAGTATCAGGCCATACATTGCAGCGACTTCCAGCGCTTAACAGCTGTCAGCTTCTCTTCCTCCGATGCAGCTTTATAATCCTCCACACTCTGCCTCAATCTTATGAGTGCTATCTCAGCCTTGATACTAGTCAGCTGTCTCTTGCGCACCTCCTCATATAATCCCTTCGTGCTGTATCCGTACAGTCCAAATACTGCTGCGCCGATATTCGTACTAAAGCCCCTCCACGCCTGGAACACTCCCTTTCCGAAACCTTTCGCGCCTCCCTGTTTTGCTCCCCTATAGGGCCATACTACAAGCCCTCGAAGTGCATCCCAATGGCCGAGTATGAATTCTTTGCCGGCCGTTCGTAAACCTGTGCCCAAGCCTGTGATCTCGTCACGGCGGCGGACAGGAACAGACCATAAAGAATAGCTTGGGATGTTATGGAAGCCGTTTGCAAGATTGTACATCAGCCACATGGGAATACTAATAACGGCAAGTGTAAGTTCACCGACCAATTCACCTGTCGCGATTGTGACCTCCACTGGGCGGCTATGCGGTTTCTCTTCTTTGTAGAAGGGAACGGTCGGCTTATGTCTGTCTTCGGCCAGGTTTTCGTCAATCTTGGCCCGGATGGAGTCATACGCTCGCTCTCTCCTTGTCTTCCTCGCAATCCTTCGTGCTAGCTGCTCGATCTGACGATTCGTGATCTCCTCTCCAGCTTGCCACTCTTCCGGCTCAATCTGGACAACGCTCGCTTTTCGAATTTTCGACTTCTCTAGGTCATTCGTGACTAGCTCGGGCCGTATCGCGCGGCGTTTGAAATGAGTCACGGCGCCGTCAATGGCCCTGATGAAGTTCGTTCCGGTGGCAATTATGCCAATAATGGGATGCTCTGCCCCTTCGTCGACGTACCAATGGCGTCTCTTTAGGACTTTCAGCTCGTTATATTTGATAACGTGGTTTTGTATGAGGGAACTGGCGGCCATGCCACTCAACTGCGACCCGGTCTTTTTGTGAAGCCAAACGGCCAGTTTGTCTGGAAATAAGTCACATCTGAAGTCACTGACATCAAGGCGCTCGTTAATGTCAGTTGCAGTATCCCTGGCGCCATTTTCAGAAGCTATTTGGTCCGCCATAGCCTGAACTGCCTTCTTAACTTCGGGCTTGAGTGCATACGTTATACTCTCCGCGAGCGACTCAGCTGTCATTTTCTTGAATGGCACAGGAGCAGGCCCAGCGCCCGCTTTTGCTATCATTTGACCCCAGAATTGTTGGTCACCAAAGAACGGAACGACGACCGTTGGCCGTCCAAGAGCAATACCAGCTGCTGTTGTGCCAGCACCGCCATGATGCACAACTGCGGAAACTTGCTTAAATAGCCAATCGTGTGGGCAATTGCCTATGAGATAGATGTTTTTGGGGATATCACCGCTACCAACACCTCCCCAGCCTTTGGACACAATAGCGCGCACCCCTGCGAGTTTCACAGCTTCCAAGAGCAGCTGGGTTAGTGCCTCGGGATCATCGATTACAATAGACCCGAAACCAATGTAGATGGGCGTTGGTCCCTCTTTCAGAAAGTCTACAAGATCTTGAGGCGGCGTATAAGTGCTGGCTTGTTCAAGAAAAGAGAAACCGGTGATTTTGATGTGATCATCCCAATCGTACGGCTTTGCAATCAAGGTTTGCGACCACAGGTACGTGTATGGCACACGCATCCTTGGAAGCAGCTGATAGCCCCACATCGGGCTTATTGGGTCCAATTTCAATGTTTTTCGCCGAAAGTCGTTGATAATATCTCCAAGCCTATCATCAAGGTCAGCCAGCAGTCACCAGACTTAAAAGGTGTTCCAACATGCCCTTCCCAGGTCAGCAGTTCCATCAGCATAAAAGACATGTAATTTGCAACGCTGTGATCTGCTTCGTCATACTCCATAGCCGCAAGTGGATGATGAAAAACTTTTGTTGGGCTCCATGGCATCGTAAATACCATGTGGAGTGGTATATTCAGCTTCTCTGCGCAGTGGATATGGGCCATGCTCGGGGGATTAGCAATGATTGCGTCAGCCACGAACAGGTCTTTCACGTCCTTGACGTGCGAGGCCACCAATCTAGTCCTTGTAGTCCCATCTCCCGCCTCTATGCAGGACCGCCATGCACCTTCAAGTATCTCTGCCATTTCACGCTTGCGTTTTCCAATTTCACCAGCTTTGATCGACTCTTTACTGGGAAGAAGGCCAGGATTCCTGACCATGTAAGACATCAAAGCTTCTGGGTCTCCCCCAATACTGAAGAACTCGACCCCATTTGACTCGACAAAGGACTTAAAGTTGAGATGAGTACATATCCGTACTCTGTGCCCATAACCTATGAGAAGCTGCGCGATGGGAATGAATGGTTGGACGTCTCCCCGGGAGCCCACAATATGGATAGCGATGCACAGCCGAGGTGTTGATTCAGGCCTCTCTGGGTCTTCGAACTTGTGTTTTTGTTTCGGCCTCCTCTCGGGACGTTGAGCGAAGGCTTCTTCAAAGCGCTCAAAGTACTCTGCTAATTGAGTAGGATTGGAGTGGAACTTGACATCAATTTGGCCATTGCTGTTGACTCTCGCCGCCGATTCAGTGGCATTGACCTTGTCTTGAATTTGAACATGGTCATGACGCTTCTTAGTAAGTAGGCTGAGAGGCATGGCGTGCCAATTTGTAACGACAGGTATATATTGTTCGTCCGATGACCCTCCTGAGGTGATTAAAATCGAAGATACTTGAAGGAAAAAAAATTTTTGGTGCTGGAAACTACCAAGGTGACGATTCCTTTTACGACGCTTGTTGAATACGAACGTTATTTTGATTGAGTGATGCCCCCGTGCATCTGAAAGCTCGCTGTTCAAGATCTGGCCACCGGCATACCAAAAAGCTGTTCTTAGTTCCAGTACATGCGGAAATAAGTTACTTAACAACACAGGCCTGCAGTTCGTTCCGAGTAGGCAGTTTCGCAAAGATTACTTTGGAAACCCATATAGGCTACACAGAGAAAGTCGTGACAATGCAGCGATGGGCGGGATCCGTCTCTTCTCCAAATTTTGCAAAGATTGTAAATTTTTTTAAAAGAAAAAGGGCAGGAGAATTGGAGGGATCGTACAAAGTTGTGAGCGTAACTGCGTGGAAGAATGTAAAGCGCAGGCCTGACGTTTGATCGGTCAAGATGAAAACACTTAGTATGTGCAAAGCGGGCATAGATCTGCCATGCAATCTCAGTGTACGGACGGGCGCAGCTGCGAAATCCCCCATTGGCTGATCCAAAGGGCGTCCGGGTCCTTGCTAAGCAATTTCGGCCGCCATGTCAGCAGATCCTGCTCTGCCATTGGGTAGACAGTTTAGAACTAGCCTGCGTGTTCAAGGCTCCTTGCAGCTCTTGAAGCCAAGAAACGGACGCGGGAAGCTTGTCCACGAACTTGACGAACGTCCTATCCTCCACAATCTTGGATCCAAAACCTCGAGGCTCAAAGAGGGCTGTATTGTTGCGATTCCCAGCCTTCATCACTTCCAGAAGTTCACATAATCCATTGTTCCATACGGTTAATTTCGAGTACCACCCGCAGGATGCAAGTATAAAGGAGCGATTTGCGGAAGCAATAACAAGGAAGCGATCGTCAAAGTCCATCGGCCTGGGGACGTGGAATATCGCGAGTTGGTGTGTGTGTGTGTGTGTCCAAATTCGAGTACCTTCCCGCGGACCGCTCTGAATCGAAGTCGACTTTGGCCGGCCCACGACGCCATGGAGGAATCAACACCAAGCAACAAGGGCATCATCGGCCGCGTACGCGGCGCGTCCTTGTCTCTGATGAACGCCAACCCACAGCTTGGGATGTGGCAAGCTTCGGGGCTTGCGATAGCACAGGCGCCCAACCTCAGCGAGTTGCGCGATCCCGAGTCAGGCGGAGCCAAGATCGAGTTCAACGCCCACGGCCATTCCATGCGGACAGCCGTCGAGGAGCCCGACGGCGAGCTCACCCTGGTTAAGTCAGCATCTCGGACGCAGACGGTCGAAATGCCAGTTGTCCGCGATGGCGAGGCGAGCTCCGAACAGGACGGCAAGGGCGAGAGCCCTGATGAACAGGGTCATCACCATAGCCATCGAACCATCCACGAAAGGGCCCACGATCTCCACGAGCGCGCTCACGAGTTTAGGACGAGGCGCAGGGCAACGCTGAAGGAGAAGCACAAGTCGGACTCCAAGGAGAAGTGGGGCCCAACGGTGAGAAACGCCGCGGCGGCCTTCTGGAAGTTTTTCAAGACGCCGTCCGGGTTCGTGATCACGATCTACTTCTTGAACATTGTAGTACGTCTTTGGTTTTTTTTTCTTCTCTTTCCGAACCGTCGCCGAAGATCTCAAGTCCGAGGACCTGCTGACCAAGTGAACCCTTGGGGGTTGTAGGCTTGGGGGGCCATGCTGTTCTTCCTGCTGCTCAAGGCCGCACCGGCCATGAACCACCCGGACGGCGGCGACGCCGACAGCTCGCCGCGCAAGATCTGGATCGAAATCGACAGCCAGGTCCTGAACGCGCTCTTCTGCGTGACGGGCTTCGGCCTCGCCCCCTGGCGCTTCCGCGACCTGTACTGGTACGTGCAGGCAAGGTACTTCCGCAACCGCCGCGCCGTCGCCAGGCTGTACCAGCAGAACAAGGCTTGGTTCCGCCCGCCGGCCTGGGCCACGAACGAGCCAGACGGCTCGCCCACCGACGGGGACGAGGCTGGGTCGAAAAACGAAGGAGTCACGGTGCGTGAGGAGAGGATCGAAATGCCGGTGACCTTCACGGGCGAGAGGGCGAAGCCGACCGCGTGGTGGAAGCTGGCCTTTGTCATCTGGATGATGGTCTTGAACACGCTGCTGCAGGCTGTGTTGTCGTTCTTCATGTGGCACTACAACAGAATCAATCGCCCCGTAAGTTTTCTGCCCGTCAGCGTTTGGCGCGAACATGCTTGCTCACGCATATTTGTTGCAGACTTGGGCCACAGGCACTTTCATTGGCTTGGGCTGCGGTGTGGCCATGTTTGCCGGCCTCATGTCATGGTGGGAAGGTCGAAAAGTAAAGAAAATAGAGGGGCCGGAGATCAAGGTCATCGACAAGAGTGCCGGAGCATCCGCATAGCGGCAATAAAGATGTATTGAATCAGAATGCTGCATACATACAACCCGCGGAGGGAGAAAAGCCAAGACAAAAAACAAGGCATCATAAGAATACTTTTGTGGTATCTAAATTCTAACTCTCCCGTGAACAGTTTGTGGATACCCCAGACATGATCCTTCTTGAAAAAATAAAGGGAGAGAAGTAACGTGGCAATTCCCCACCATCGTGCCATAATCTTCACAATTTTCCAAGACGGAAAAAGACATGGAAAGAGACAATAGCAAGTAAACAAGGGAATCCGTCAAACCTTCTCGTGAAACATCATCTTGGGAACCGCACATTAAGGTTTCCACCAGGCAGCGTTTCATAAGCAACAAAGCTCGGTATACCGAGCACATCCAGGCTGGTAGAAGCCATCATTCCTACTGGCATGTCAGCCATTGTTGATGAGATGAACGCCTGATCTTGTCCATGCGACATCGTGTTCCAAGCTTGCGGCGGCTGCACGGCATTGTGATCGTGCTGGACGTGTGTGATGGCAGGGGAGTATTGCGTTGAGGCGGGCGAGGGATAGAACGAAGCAGATGCACCAGGCGAGGCCAGATGGGTCGGGGGCGTCATCGGAGCGTTGGACGGATTCCACATTCCAAAAGCAGAGTCCATCGACTGCAGGCTGGCCCTGCGTTGGTAGAGTTGCGAGAGCAGCTGTTGCGACTCGCGCTGGAATCGGTCGCGGTAGCTGATGCCCCCGACAAAACCAAACCTGGTGCCAAAGTAGGAGAGCACCTCGATGAAGTGATTCACTGCGTCGATTGCTCGTGTTGTTGGATCTTTCGGAATACTGCCGGGCTCTAGAGCCGAAGGGCTAGGAATAGGAGGAGGAGATACTGCCGCCATTGGATCGACTTCAGCATCCTGTGTTGAGTAGCCGCCAATGTTGGATAGAGGTGTCGTCGAACTCGGTTTCAGCAGGTTTTCCATGTTCTTGGCCAAACAGTCGAGGAAATGTCGGCCAGTCATGTAGACTCTTATCGCATCATAGAACGACATCGGGTTCTTTGCTTCGGTAGGATTCGATACGATGGAATGTATCTTCTCAGCGTATGTCATAGCATGCTCAATGATAAGCCTTTGGGCGTGCTCACTGGGGTGTGGACACCGCGGACTTGGAGACAGCAGATAGATGTAGCTGTAGAGTAGTTCGAGCTCAAAAAAGTCACGGATGGAGGGCAGTGTTGTTGGCAACAGCTGATTAAACCAATTGCGCATCTCTTCGTACCTCTGCCAGATGTAGGTGTAGGGCTCGCGCCAAGCCTCTCGTCCAGACTGGAAAAGGTCGGTATACCACGAGGACTGTATGGACCTGAGCTTGAAGAAGTCGAGGGCGGTGTTGTTTGCAGAGAGCCAAGGGCTGCGCTCCTGCTGGGGACTTGAGGGCGTTGACTTGGTCCCTCGTTTTGGAAAAGGCATAGCGACATTGGAACCATCGTCAGAAAACGAGAAAGCACGTGTCTGAACAATCGATGTTGACCTACGGCATGGTCAGTAAAGTCAGTAAATCGGTTCGTAACCTTGGGCAGATGTCTTACCTGTCAAGAGCATACACACACCAGAACACTCTCCTGCGCAATTCAAGTTTTGGTTTGGGCATCTGGACGGACTTGGACGGATCCTGATGCATGCCAAGATCGATCATCATCCGGGAGGCCGCCCCGATCAGCGTCCAGCTGTCAAAGTGCGCTGGATCCATCATTGCGTAAAGTACGAACAGGAGCATGGCCTGGATGCTAAATACTGAGCCCGGATGGAGGACTTGCTCGGAAACTTCCAAGGCTGAGCAAATATGGCCAACGGCGTCCGAGTACATGGCGTCGCCGCGCTGGTTTGATTTCATGGCTGAGGCGATGGCAAGTACGAGACGTATTGTCCAGTGGTCAAGATTCGAGGCCAGGGTGGTGTCTTGGTGGTATACGGCGTCGAGAGAGGCATAGAGTTTGGTTTCCTCTACGATCGGTAGGATCAGATGAAGCGTGCTGAGATAATGCTGTACCAGAGGTTGCGCTGCAAATCTAGGTGGCAAATCTTTCCTTAGACCCTCCGGCAGGGGCTCGCGCCCTGCAGCACTCAGAATGAGTCTGGCATACGAGATGGCCGACGTGAAACCGTAGAAGTCTCTCGACGTCGCATTAACCGTTCTAAGGGCGATGAGTTTGGACAACGGCGTGGAGGGTACACGCGTACTTACAGGAAGCCAAAGTCCGACACGAGCTCGTCAATGTCGGCAAGCTCTCTCCGCCTGGCGGCTCTTGGGTTCTTGGGCTTGCCCGTGTCATCCACGGAGATCCTGCGGGGAGAGAGCGCGGCGTCAAGCAGTTGCAGCGACGATTTCCGTCGGGCACGGGCCTCGTTGATCTTGCGCTCGAGCTTCTCGACTTTGTTCTCGAGCGTGGCGACGTAGCTCCTTTCTTTCCCTCGCGCGAATTGGTCGTTGGTGCTCGAGCACTCGGATGCGCGGTTCGACCGCTCGCACGCACTGCAGGCAGGCAGCTTGCCGTCGCACTTGATCTTGGCTTGCCGACACCGCTGGCAGGCGGCGACGGGCCGGCTCACCTTGAGCAGAGGCGTTTCCAAAGGCATGAGGAGTTCTGCTCCTGGGAAAACAAAGTCTTCTGTCTTGTACATGGCGGATCAGCAGGCGCACTTTGAGCAAAAGACCCAGTGATGACTGTGATGACCGAGCTGCGGGGTGTCCGGCAGCAGTGGCGGCATGTGCTTGAGATGGAGCGAGCAAGCGAAGTAAGCTTAGAGAATTCTTGAATCTCCACGGTCGGTATATGTGACGTCCATGACGCTCACGCGAACGGGTGGGCTGTGTCGGCTTGACAGAAGAGGCCGAGACTTGCACCCGTCGGACAGCGGGCTGCGACGCGGCAACGGGGGGGGATTCATCAACAGCAATGAATGACGGTGTGAATCACAGATCAAAAAAGCTCTCAGCCTACCTTGACGCAGGGCCCGGGTGTATATGACCGCCGGCGAGACAGTAACAGGCGAGATCAGAGCCTGCACGTGGAGGCGCAAGAAGGTCCCCAGCAGCACAGCCTCCAGCGAGCTGACCGCCGTTGCAGCAGAGGGCTCACGCTGCGATTGGCCGAAACGCGCGAAAGGGGAGCAGATATGCCTGCAGCAAGCGGTGCGACCGCGAAGATGGCTGGGTCTTGGGAGTAAGGGACGGGAAGGGATGGTGTTGAGAATTTCGGGGAGAGCGGCAACGCTTTTTGCTTCTTTTCGACAGCACCGCTGGTGAGATTCTGCGCGCTCGCCGGGACAAGGGCGCGGGCAGTCCCTAGCGAGGACGCAGCTGGCCAGGCGTCGTCCGCACTGAACGAATCTCCCTCCCCCTTCCCGCCCGCGCCGTGCTGCCGCCGACGTCCTGTTCTGCCCTATGCTAAGGCTCACGACTCCCAGCCCGTTCTGATAGGGGGCGTGGAAGGGGGCGTCTCCACTCCGCGTCAGTGCTTCTGGGCGGCGCGAGGGGAATGCGTGCGCGAGGCCGGCGATGAGGGATGAATCCATTGCCCAGCTCGAGCCCGCCCATCCTTTTCTTTTCCCTTCTCGTCCTGACAAGTCAGACGCAACGTAGCTCTCTGGCCCGGGCTCGGCTTGGAGGATAAAATCGTTGCGGCAAACCATCCCTTCTGGCGCCAGCTCCAGCTCCAGCTCCAGACCCGCCCCCTCTCACCACCTTCCACAGAGCCGCCGCAGTGCTGGATCGTCTCTGCCCACAGGGCCAGCCGCTTTCCTGTGTGCGTCCACCGTCGCCAGAATTCGCATGTGCAACTCCCGGGCCCTTGACCTGCCGCCGCGTTGATTGCCAGCATCTGTCAGACGTCGCCAGTCCCATCTAGGCTTAGTCGCCCAGTCGGTCGCCGCCTTTTCAGCTTCGGTACTCGCGCTAGCTGCGCCGACACCGTGGGCCGACTCGTGGCTGAGGAATCTGATTGTTCACCTGCAGCCGTGGTCGAATGATGCCGGCTTGCGCAGGCTCACCACACGAAATTTGAAGACCTGCTGGCCCTTGATATACAGCCGACATGGCAGAGAACGTCGCTGCCCGGACGGCAGTCAGTCCGCGAAGACCAATGCACATCAAGCGTGAGGGGACCGCGCCCGCGGGGCCCTCGTCCGACTCGCCTCGAATTGCGCACACCTTGACTGCCTGCTGCCGATGCAGAACGGTAAGTGTTCTAGAGCACCTCTTCACACGACCTCGTTCGCGGCCGCTGACAGGTTGGCTCCAGCGAAAGACACGATGCGACCCAGGCCTGCCGCGCTGCGGGCCTTGCGAGCGCACAAACTCGCACTGCGAATACTTCGATCAGTCCAAAGGCACAAAGATACCCCGAAATTATGTCGTCCACCTGCAGCACAAAGTGCGCGAGCTTGAACGCCGGCTAGAAGAGCTTGAGAAGGATGACCTGGAGCCAGAGCCGGAGGAGATGGTGCGCCACGGTGCGCGCGTTCACATCCAGGAAGACGACGAGTCGAAGTTCCTCGGCCCATCCAGCGGCATCGCGATAACGCGCCTGGTGATGCAACTGGCAAAGCAGTTCACAGACTCATCGAGTATCACCCAAATCGTGGACCAGCAGCAAGCTGCGCACATCAAAGAGCAGTTCAAGCAGGAAGAAGAAAAACCGACGTCCAAGGTGTATCCGCTGATAAGCGACGTCGCCGCCGAGGAATTACCCCAGCGAAATCTCACCAACTTGCTGGTCGAGTTGTTCAACCTCAAAGGTACGTACGTACGGAAAAGCGCCCCTGCGTTCTCATGGGGACGCAAAACTCGCCTGGACAGACCTTAGCTGACCTGACCGTAGTCATGGCCATGTATCCTTTCTTCCATGAGCCCACGCTTGCGCAAGACGTCGAAGATGTCTACAACAACACCGATGATCCGTTCAAGAATTTTGCCGTTCGCATGATCATCGCAGTCAGTCTTCAACGAATGGACACGCAGTATGCCGGCTTGGCAGACAGCTATTATCTTGCTGCGCTCAAATACATGGAAGCTGCGATCAAACCCATGAACGTGCAGACAATCCAGTGTTTCATGCTCATTGGAGCCTATTCGCTGCTGACACCAACCAGGACTGCCGTTTACTATGTCATTGGCCTGGCAGTGAGACTGGCACAAGCTCTAGGGCTTTGCGAGGAAAGGACGCTGTCACTGCCTCTGAACGGGAAAGAGCCCAACGCAATCGAATTGGACATGAGAAGACGCATCTTCTGGAGTGTGGTCAACATGGACTACGGCCTAGCACATAGCTTGGGACGCTCTTCGTGCTTTGCCACTCTTCAGCAGCACATTGACGTGAAATGGTACGAAACTGTCGACGATCAGTTCATCACCCCTCAAGGCGTGAAGCCCGGCGCACCAGGATCGCTAAAGAAGTGGATTTCGATCCATTTTCACAAAATGCGGCTGCATCAACTAGAAATCCGGAGGAAGTTGTATCAGCGAAAACGAGAAACGCCAAAAGACGAGAATGACCCGTGGTTCATAGAGATGGAACGCAAAATCACCGAATGGAAGGACGCAAGCCCTGAGACTGATGTGGGCACCGGTCTAGACAAAGCTTGGTAAGTCTCTGCGCATCGGATGTTTGGAGTTTTGTGTATACTCAACTTTGCCAAGGTTTGTTGGTCGCTATAACACAATGATCGCCATGATGTTCCGACCGACGCCACAAATACCACGACCAACGCCGAGGGCGGCTATGCGATGCTACGATGCCGTCGTGTCAAACATCTATATGCATCGAGCGCAGATTCAAGCCCGTAATGTCGACATGACTTGGATCTTCACGCAGGCGATTTTCATGACAATCAACACCATACTTTGGACGCTCTCGTATTACGAGGTACGCGTCGCTCACCCGAAGGAACAAGTCCAGGCTCACCTTGACGTAGCTTTGGAATGCACCAAGCAAGCTATTGAAAGGTGGCCAGGTGTTGCATCCGCCATCGAGCTCTATGGCAACTTGATCAAGGCCTGCATGAACATTTACGAGAAAGACGGAGATATTCCCATCGCTGCAGGATCTCCCCCAGAAGCTGGTCCTGATGATCGCTCTCAAACAACGAGCCCCGTCTTCCAAACACTTGTGCCAGACATGACGGCCGTCAAGCAGCAACCGTCGCCGGAAGAAAGGAATGTCGCACCGTTTGGTTTCGTGCCGGACCAGACAACTTTCCGTTCCCCATCGCAATCGCAAAATATGAACCCGCCTGATCGCATGGGCCGAATGAGCATCATATCGGAAGGGTCAACGTCGAACCAACTCCTAAACGGACGCACGTCCACCGGCTCATTTGGCAATGTTTCTCAATACTCTTTCGACGCAACCTTTGATCCCTCGCGGTACACAAATCCCCTGCCAGAAAATTTCACGAATTTCAACTGGAACCCAAGTTTCAACCTCACCACGGGAGGTGCGGCGGCCAACATTCCGGCCTTGTCGCCTTTTGATCAGCCAGCCTCGGGAATGAACAACCTAAGCATGGCACTTCAGGCGCCTGTGCAGTACTCCGACTACCTGTACCCACCTTCCTCTTTCGACATTGACCGAACCGCCTCGGGGCTGAATCAACAACAGCATTCCGAATTGATGCACAACCTCGAGACACAAGGCACAGGCCAGATTCAGCACATGATCAATGCTTCTCAAGCATTCTTATACCCCCATGGACGAGGCTACTGAGCTGTCTGGCACTGCTCGTTTCTTTCGCTCGTTCTTGCTAGCAAATTCTGTTTCCCAAGATAATACCGTCACCCATGGTGGTCTCTTGCCGACAAACACATAGCATTTGCAAACAATATTTCTGTTTTCTAGGTTGTCTCTTCTTTCTGAGTGGAACGGCGTTCGCTCTATCCTAAACATTGTATTGAGTTTGCGTGTGCATCTTAGCGTGGAGGAAATGACTCGGAATGATCTCAAGAAGTGGACACGAATTGATGGACTTCATGTACGATCAGATATCTTCAAAGCAACACCAGTTGATCTGGTTATACATGAGAAGGAATTTTATCATACACCGTAGTTTCTCTATCAAAAAGCTAGTATTCGCTCATCGAAGGGGTTGCAGTCCCATGTCGAGGCGCACGTGATCGGGCGAAGGAGATCGCCCAGTAAAGCCGTGGAATCCGAAGAGGAACGGTTCCAGCTGCCTATTCCGGATAGCTACCAGTTCGACGCAGCCTCAAGCGGGGAGTCAGATGCGAATTCGCCGCTAGCTCCATGATAAATATCCCGACCGCAGTCTGTATCTAGAAGACATGAATTTGCACGGTTTTGCTCCTCGATGTTTCCCAAGCCCTGCACTTGGGCATCTTCTGCTAGGTCATTCAATCAGTAACGATACACGTTATGGCGAGCAACAACAGTTCGGCGAACGGACTGGATCCGTTCAGCTTTCACAGCAACGAGGTGAACCCCAATACCGCTGCGCCAGTTGACATCTCGTCCACCAGTGCTCCCACGAATACAGCCAGCTTTGGCAGTTGGCGACAAGGACTGGGCTCTTGGACCATGGCTTCGCCAATCGCTGCACAGGCTATCGCCCAGGACGCTGAGGAGAATCCGTCGTCTCCTTCCGAGTCCGAGTCAGAGTCCGATGCTTCCACTGTGCGGCCCATTGGAACCCATAGCATGTCAACTGCATATCGGAGACCCAGCTTCTTTGCCACTGGATCACGTGGCACTGTGCTAAGCGGGCAGATCATTGGAGAAACCGTTCATCTGAGTCGGCAGGAGCGCGAGAGGATGAGAGAGGAAGAGAGGAGCCTGCTGAGGGACAATGCTTTAATACCGCCAAAGCATCCTAGACATCGGGCCAGTGAGGACAATATCGGGTCAAGGCTTCAGAAGAAGTTCAGCCTCGGAGGTGGATTGAGGAAGACGAAGAGTCAGGGACAGAGCGGGGATGTCGAGGCGGGAATTCCGAACATCAGGATCAGTAATGACGAGAACGGCGAACCTGTGAACGAAAGTTCCGCTCTACTGGGCAGAGATCCACATGCCAGTTACGGTGGAGAGGCTAGTCCGAAGAACATCGATAGGAGGTGGGAGGAAGCGGTCACGAAAGGCATGATACATACCACTTGGCAGAGAGAGGCCAAAGTCCTGGGTAGATACTCGCGCAGCCTGATTCTCACGTTCATACTGCAGTACTCGCTGACCATGGCTTCGATCTTCACTGTTGGGCATATCGGAAAGGTCGAGCTTGGAGCGGTCAGTTTGGCAAGCATGACGGCCAACATCACGGGTTACGCGGTGTACCAAGGCCTGGCTACGAGTCTGGACACGCTCTGTGCGCAGGCGTTTGGCAGCGGGAGAAAGACGCTTGTGGGGCTCCAGCTTCAGAGAATGGTCTACTTCTTGTGGTTCGTGACGATTCCAATCGGCATCGTATGGCTGGCTGGTACGGCCATCCTTTCCGCCATCGTCCCCGAAAAGGAAACCGCACGACTCGCCGGGCTATACCTCAAGATCATCTTGCTAGGCGCTCCTGGTTACGCTGCATTCGAGTCGGGCAAGCGCTTCGTTCAGGCGCAGGGCTTGTTTCACGTGAACTTGTACGTGCTTCTCGTCTGCGCTCCGCTGAACGCTCTGATGAACTACGTCTTCGTCTGGCGTTTGGGCTGGGGCTTCGTGGGTGCACCGATCGCCGTCGCCATCATCGACAATCTGCTGCCGCTTGTTCTTTTCTTGTACGTGTACTTCGTGGACGGCAAGCAATGCTGGGGTGGCTTCTCCAGGAATGCGTTCAAGAACTGGGTCCCCATGGTCCGTCTTGCACTGCCCGGTCTGGTCATGGTTCTCGCTGAGTTTCTCGCTTTCGAGATCCTGACGCTGGCCGCCAGTTGGATCGGAAGCACGCACCTCGCCGCGCAGAGCGTGCTCAGCACGATCACCGCTCTCACCTTCCAAATCCCGTTCCCCATCTCGATTGCCGCGTCAACCCGGATAGCGAATCTGATTGGTGCCACGTTATCTGAACCGGCAAAGATGGCCGCCAAGGTCGCCGTAGTCGTGGCAGTATTCGTCGGCATACTGAACGTCACGTTACTGAGCAGTCTACGATCATATATTCCTCTACTTTTCACCAATGACAAGGACGTGCAGAAGTTGGTGGCGGATATTCTGCCTTTATGCGCGGCCTTCCAGCTGTTTGACGCGCTCGCTGCGTGCTGCAATGGAATTTTACGCGGACTTGGGAGACAAGAGATTGGCGGTTACGTCAACCTGTTTGCCTACTATGCTGTAAGTTGTGTCGTCAGTCGAAGACGTGTGTCCATTTTATTGACTGGATTAAGGTCGCGTTGCCTATTTCCTTTGCTACAGGCTTCGGCTTGGGCTGGGGCCTGATTGGCTTGTGGATTGGTCCTGCCATTGGCTTGGGATTGGTCTTCGCAATCGAAGCATACTTCATTCGCAGAACATCTTGGGAGCAAGCCGTCGAAGAAGCGAGAAAGAGGAACGTAATGGGCTGAGGAATAAGACAGATTCGCCAGAGATTGATTTCACGGCTGCTGAGAGCAAAGGCATCCTCAGGATCTCACAACCTGAGCGTTCTAGCGACTCCGGCATCTTTGAAGTGCTCACCACGTAGATGTTTAGACTTCAAGTAGCGCCAAATACCCATCTCTCGCGGTTCATCCCCTTGGCAACCAGTACAGAAATTTTTCCTTCTCCCCTCCTATGCGTTTACGTCCACTTACTCGTACAAAGCGAGTCGGTCCGGGATCAGATTCACACTGCCTACCAACAAGCAATGAACGTCCGCTTGATTCACGATTTTGACAACTGTAATAGCATAGATCCGTTGCTCCAGCCACCAAGAGGCCATGATCACCGAGCGACGTCGAAAAACGCGTTACGAACATGGCAACCTTACCATCACAATCGGCCAAGACCGCTATGCCTAAGAATGCCTTGTTCTTAAAAACAGCTTGTGCATCTCTAGCCGAGCTTGGATGACTTTGTTGAACGAAAAATCCGTTCATGGGATCTATTCGCCGTTCGTTTTCTTCCGTGCGCCGCAGCGCGGCATAAAGGTCTCTTGCGGTTTTGTGCCCAAGTATGACTTTATGGAGGCGCTTCTTATCCCCTCGTACAGTTATGGTAGATCTCGGCTTCAGAGAATGAGCAACTTCGCGTCGAACCTTCGGGTTGACACCATGTATGGACGTTAGGCTGACCCGATGCGCAGACAGTGCGATCACAACATGCAGCAGAATGATTCGTGAGCTGCTTCACGACGTGTTCACGCTAGTCGCATATGTCTAACATGATCTTCGAATGTGAGAATACGGAGCGCGATGCTCAATCGCCGCGTCGCAGGTACGCACTACCTGGCGCTGGCGTAGAACTCTTCAATAATGTCGTCGGATGAGAGGCATCCAACTGCGGGTGACGACGTTGACAGAGGGCTCTGGATCTGGTCGGAGCTTGCTGGAGAGGTTCCAGGGCCATCGGGGATATGATGCCGAGGCACATGAGCGAGCGTAAGTGCAACGATGCGAGGGCGGTTTGGTTCTTGGGCAGGGCCATGTCGCCTAGAGCACGCTTTCTGAGTTCGATGATGAGCAGGTGCAGCATATCCGACGGCAAGGGACGAAGTGAGAGAGAGAGAGAGAAAGAGGGATCTTCCTGGCGGAACAAGTATGGCAGCAATGCAGACGCGTCACAATGGAGTCAGGGTCGCACGAGTTCTAACATGCGGAGGCTCTGAGCACAAGAAGCCGCCCTTAACACTGTCCGTTATGGTAGCAAAGATCAAGCTCCTCCGCCTCACACGTCTTCCCTTTCGAAGGTCAGTCAAGGATAACCTCTGGGTGGTAATGGAGAGCCATCGTCATCATCGTGGGGGGACAAGGTTTGCCGTCCCCTGTGCGTTTCCGTGCTTTTCATTAGAGCGACGACCTGGTGGTTTCGACTACTGCGAGCGGCCAGAGGATCTAGATGCGGAGGCAGGGATGCTTTGAGCCGATGCATTGCTTGCGTCTTCGACTAACTTAAACCTCCCGTCCCGTGTGTTCCGCGTGCCCAGCGACACGAACATCCTCAGTGAAGTTACGTTAGCGGCTTTGCGTGGGCGCACGTGATGCGATGGAGAATCACCGCAAAGCGATCGAGAGCACACGACACTCGGCGATCAATTCGATGCTTTTCTTTCCTTTTCTTGACTTCTCCGGTATGACGTTTCATCGATCCCCGCCATGCCCTCGTGGCACGCCATGCTTCCAGAAGGGGAGAAGGGAAATGGGAACAAATCCCACTACTCAGCAGCGAGAAGCCAGTCGTTTACTGCGGGGCAGCCTTGTTACAGGGCTCCGCCCCGCTGCCGTGAGGAGGCTGCAGCGATGCTAACTTTTTTTACGAGCTGTCCATCGATGCCATTCACTTCATACCCTGTCGCTTCTCCCGCTATCTATTGGAGCACCACACAGAGACGAGCAACGAAAAAGCGAGGAACGAGCAGCAGCCATCGGAGATGGCAGACCCTCTGGCGGACAGCTGAGCGATAAGAGCGCGCCGCGGCGAGGGAGGGGAGGAAGAAGAAATAAGGTGTCACACACAAATGAGCAAACTGCAGATCGCGTTTGGCCCGGGGGATGGCCAACCAAGCCGAGACACGCCCAAGCCTGCGATAAGGTTTGGCTGGGCAAGGAGGACGGAGGCTTCTGCCGCTGGTCCTGACTGTCGATGACCGTCGCGGACCGCCAAACTGAGGGCGCCTGAATGGCCGGTGGCTCTGCATCGCTCGTCGGCGGCGATTGGCTGGATGCGCGGGCTGGGCCCACTGCTCGCTCGCCTGGCCCCAGCGTTCAGGCTGATCAGCCCAGGACAGACGAAGGGCGAGTGTGCGGGGTGCGAGCCACCCGCTCGTTTCCTCTTGCTCCTCGCCCTCCAGCAAACGGCAGCGCGAAGATCTCGACAATTGATTTCTGTTCGTCCTGAAGCGGCCGGCGTGAACGCGCATCTCAAAAGGTGTGGCCATTGCTCGCCCGTTTTGCCTTGTCAATGAGCCTTTCGTAGCCCTACCGCGCGAGCGAAACAGCGCTTGCGACCCGTTTGCTACCGCGATAACACAGCATTGGTCCGCCAGCCGTTGTACGCTCCCGTCTCCCAGTGAAACAGTATCTGCGTCCGCGCTGACATTCGAACTTCACAGACGTTGCCGTCCCAGGGAACGAAAGAAACAAAGCCCTGCAGGCCGCTCGACGACTTTTGTCGACGGCTTGTTCTTGTCCAGCCTCCGCCAAATCACCCCACTGCCGTGGTCGACGGCGATAACACCCGTTCCTGTCCCAAACGTGCTCGAAATCCCGTAATCACGACGGTACACCTCTTTGTCAAAGCCTGAAACTCCCAAAGGCCGTCATTGTGTCAGATCTCGTGGCCTCCCGTCATCGCAGGCGTAGATTGTATTCTCTTCCGAGCGGCACTTCGATCCCTCGCTGTCAGGGTTCGGCAGCCGTATAGATAAGAGCATGGCAGCCGCTGTGGCAAGAGCACCAGCCATACCAGACCGCCCGTCCACTCCCCCACCACATCTCAAGCTAAACACATCATCGCGAGGTACGCCGGCGGCAGTACCGAACAAGCACCTCCCGGTATGCTCGCCCGGCCCCCCGCCAGTCCACGGTCTTGAGACGCCGCCTTCTTCGCCTCCTTCTGGAAATTCTCTTCTCAAGCCATCCTCCTTGCTAGACCCTCCCACAGGACACAGGCGGCTGCAGAACGACCCGCCCGTCTACGAGATTAGCGCCGCAAAGCTATCCAAGGCAATCGACCATCTAGCGTCACAGCCGCTCCCAGACACTAAAAACGTCTTCCCATGGCTTCACGGCTTGCATGCGGACAATATTATGCAGCTGGGCTTCTTCACTGCGCGAAAGAAGACTGTGCGCAAGATCCCGCAATGTCTTCGTGGAATCGCAATAGTAAAGTGTGGAGGAGATCTCAGCTCGTCCAAGCTTAAAGGAGCCTTGTTGCCAAACGAGCTGCTGCGCGAGCCGTCGCATCCGAAGGAAACCCCGTGCTTCCAAGAGATAGATCCTCGGGATGGCTTTTCCGTGCGCAACTTTCAGATCCAGGCATGCAAAATGGCGACCGTGTCGGACATTGTGGTCTACGGCGACGTCGACACCTCTCGCGAGAAGGTCATGGAGCTAGCACGAAACCTCTCTCAGGCGCAGAAGTCGTGGAAGGCGCAGCAGATAGCCAATGGCTCCGAGCCACTAACATTCCACACATTTGTTCTGACGGACTCGTTCGACGCGATCGAGCGGAAGCAACCACACTTGGTCGCCATCGACTCCACAGGCGCCATGACCGGAAACGTGCCGGACTTCTTCTTCTTGGAGCGCAAAGAGATGTGCGTCATGTCCAAGGCTTCGGAGATCAGCAAAAACGTCTATCTAGGACCGACGCCTGACCCTCAACTCCAGGAGTACAACGTCGACGACCCAGATTTCGACGTCTTCATCGAAGCAACGGACCTGGCTCAGGTTGCAACGAAAACCGCCCTGGACCAGCTGAAGTTGACTTTGCAGGAACCGGGCCACCCGAAGCTGCACATCGAGTTCCCATCTAGCGGCAGCATCATGCCTCCAACATGGTCACACGCCGAGGTGGATGGCCTTTTAGCCACGTGCAAATGGATCTATGAAGTGTCTCATGCACTTAATCTGGATGAATCCACGGAGGACGATGGTGACAGCATCATGTTGTGCACGCTAAGCAATGCGAAAAAGGTCCTCATCCATTGCACGGATGGCTACACAGAGACATCACTACTGGGCCTGGCGTATTTCATGTATGCCGAGGGCTTGCCCGTTCACGAGGCGTGGGTGCGCCTCCACACAGAGCGGGGCCGCAATTTTTTCGCCTACCCGACCGACGTGAAACTCCTCGAATCGATCGAGGTCCGCATCCTTCAGGAATCGCCAGCTTTCACGGGTAACATCCTCAAGCTCGAGGAGCCCAGTTGGTTTGGTCGTCTCGATGGCAGTCTGCCCTCCCGCATACTCCCTTATATGTACCTTGGCAACCTCAACCACGCAAATAATCCTGCATTGCTCCGGGAGCTAGGAATAACTCGCATACTCTCCGTTGGCGAGTCCCTCGCGTGGTCCCAGGCCGATCTCGAGTCCTGGGGAACGGATAATCTTATGTACATCGACCGTGTGCAGGACAACGGCGTGGACTCGCTTACCGACGAGTTCGAACGGAGTCTCAAGTTCATCGAAAGGGGGAAACTTGACGGCAGTGCAACATTGGTACACTGTCGCGTGGGCGTGTCGAGGAGCGCCACGATTTGCATCGCAGAGGTAATGAGCGAGTTAGGCCTCAGTTTTCCCAAGGCGTACTGCTTTGTGAGGGCAAGAAGGTTAAATGTGATCATTCAGCCGCATCTAAGATTCACGTAAGCTCTCCTTCCCCCCCAACCCCCCCCGGAGGATCCAGACACTTTCCTGAAAAGGAGAAGAAGAAGAAGAAGAATCCGAGTGCTGACGATTTGGCGCGTAGATATGAACTTCTCAAGTGGGAGGAGACGCTACAGGTTAAACGCGGCGAGCCCATTCGCCGCGAACTCGAATGGGCGACCATTGCACGCGAGATCGCAGCGATGAACAAGCCTTACTCTCGACAATGAGAACGCCTCTTCATTTTTCATGACGTAAAAATTGACGACTTGTTACGTGCAGCGATGAATTCTTTCTTACGACAAACGACATGAACTAAACGGGACCAGCAACAAACACATAAGGAGCTCGGGCTTCTTCGAGGATGTTACACTAGTACGGCTACTTCATGATTTCCTTTTTTTTCTCTTGGTAACGTCTTTCTTGGCGAATCTTTTTTAAGGCTTTTTTTAAGGTCAAATTTGCTACTCATTCAACGGGTTTCCTTGGGCTTGCAACCCGGATGTCTACTGCTGCTACTACGAATGCCATTTTTTAAGACTGGGCGTGCTGGGCAGGCCAGTGGCGTTCAGATAGCCCCCGATCACATACGTCGGGTTATTGGTTTGGTACAGCATAGCCATGCATTCTCGGGCGTTAAAAGACGTCTTTGCTTCTACGGAAGGTGGCTGAGTAATATCTTGGGCATAAATTTTTCTTTTCCTGACCAGACGCAATATAAATCTTCTCATCCCACAGTTCTCCATTTACAGCTTTTTCCTCTCTTCCGTCTACTTCAAAAAGAAGGGGTTCGTCTTCTTCATTTATTTTTTCTTCTCCCCTCCTCTCACCGAATGCGCATTCTTTCTACGTAACGGTACAGATCAATTTGGTCTCCTGACGTCTTGAGATTCAAATTTTCCTCCTCTCGCATGTATCTTCCACCAAGAGGCTTGACGTGTTCCTGTCACAAGTCTGAGCGAACAATCTTCGCGAGCACGTCTCGTTGCATGAGACGATCCCCGTTGCTGCTCAACCTTTGGTCAAAATTCAACATTTCAGAAGCCCTAATGAATATTCCTTTGCCAGTGTCTTCCCCTGGCGTCCAAGGACGCTGCCTGAAAGACTGCCGACGAGTTGGCCTTGTCCCTGTCACCGAGCTCCGGTGACAGGGACGATGCCTTCAACGGAGCTGTGGAGAGATGAACAAACGAAAGCAACGACCAAAGGCTGTGTGCTTGACAGAGTGGCCATGACAACAGCCTCTCGTCACACGAGACAGTCCGTCGACTCGATTGTATTTTTCTGCACGCAAAAACGATTTGATCAGAGCGTTTCTAAGTTCAGTTAAGTCAAGCTTACTCTATTCCGGATTTTGAAATCGCCGGTGATGCGATTAGATTGCTAAAACACTATTGATGTTCTTTATCGTCGTTGGGGTACTTCCCAACCACCACGTGTTGCGCAAGGCGTCACGATTGGCTGCTTTCATCCCAGATCAGCCTTGTGACCTGCGCCGGATCACCCAAGCCTCACACACCATATTCCGACGACTGTCTGAATTGTTTTTTTTTCTCTCTTTCTCTTGGTTTGTCAAATATCACCAAAGAGCTGGCCAAGGCAGAAATGTCAGCCGACTCGCACCGCCTGCCTAGCCTTTCCGTCTGTTGTAGGTTTCGACAAGAGGTATGGAACGATCATAACTTCTTCTGAGGACGCAATCTTGTCTCTTTACATCCTTATCTGCGTACAATAGATCAGTCATGGGTGCAGCAACGGAGCGTTCACCGGAACAAGTGCTCGAAGACGGCCTGCGCAAACGGAAAGACGGTTTGTCGCCGGAGCCCGGGAGGAGGCGAGACACTGCCTTCGATGCGGCTACCTCCAGGGTGATGCCGATCACTCAGGTCTGGAAACCAAGCCAACGCGTCCAAAACATTACGATCTGGGTTCTGCTGCTGGCGGCGACATTTTTCAGCGTCGCGGTCGTGATCGAAGAGCTTCAGGCGTCCTGGTACCGTTTGCCCGCGCTCGATGCCTTGAATAGCCAATTCTTCGGGTCGCAGAGCCTCGATCTAGTCCTGAAATCGACCGTACGTCCCGGAGGCGGAAGGGATGTAGTCGGACTCCGCTGGAATGTGTCGCGAGGCGCAAGAAGACCGGATGGGTTGAACTCCATGGTCTGTCTTATAAACGGCGAGCTTCCTGGCCCTACCATACAAGCACTACCTGGCGATACGATTCATCTAGAGGTCACGTCTTCTTTTGACGGCGAGCTTGACTTGACATTTGGTGGCTTGGCGCCTTCGAGCAAGAACATATGGGCGGCGATGGGCTCTGCCCAGAAGCCAGTAACGGCGGGCTCGACCAAGATCTACGAAGTTCAAGTCCCCAGTGACAAAACGGGAACCTTCGCATATCGCGCCGCCTCTCGGGACCTGACGGCATGCGGTGTATTCGGGGCGATCGTAGTGGCAGACCCGGCCGCCGAGATCCTCAACGGAACAGTGGACGAAGAGAGAGTCATTCTCCTCAACGACTGGCTCCCCTCCGCTCTCGCCTCGCCTTACGAACCGTCGACAAGTGCACGACCACCGGCCTCGGTGCTGGTAAACGGCAAAGGTGCTTATAACTGCTCTCAGCTCCCTCCAGATGCCAGGACAGACTGCGCTTCCAGGCTAGGCAAGAGCCGCCCTCACATGAAGTTTGACGCCGGCAAAGTCTACCGTCTGCGACTCGTCAACGCCGGCACGGCCTCCGGCATTTCCGTGTCCATTCCGGGCACGTACATGACCATCATTGAGATGGATGGCGGCCAGAAGGTGCAGCCGAAGCGGGCGACGTCCGTCGGTGTTCTTCGTCCCGGGCAGACCGTGGACGTGCTGATCGACTGGACCGCTGGCGGCGACGACGAGTTCATCGTTTCCGTGGAGGATGACGCTGGTGACGCAACTTTATCACAACACTTTCCCATCAAGGTCAGTGGCTTTCTCAATAGGAATGCCCAGCCTCCACCGCCAAGGCACCGCGACCTGCTTCGCTTGATTCCGTTGTCTTGAACAAGAGATGCCTGGGCTGGTTACATCAGCGGACAGCCGGCGAGTCAATTTCTTTTGAATCTGAGCATTTGTTTCTTCTTTCGAAGCTGCGTGAATTCTTTTGAATCTGAGCATTTATTTCTTCTCGCGAAGCTGCGTGTCTGGATCACATTAGATTGCTAGAGCATATGAGCATCAGAAGCATGGCTGCCCCTTCGCAGCGTAGGGATCACGACTTGGAATTTGGCGGAGCTCGTGAACATATATTGGTGCATAGTGGATCTTGGCTGCGAATACCCCATTGCAGTTTTTCCTCTTCCCATACAGTGAGGTCTTACAATCGAATAATGTAATTTTGCTACCAAATTGAATCTGTTTCACACTACGCACAATCTGATACAGCACACCACCCATTCGCAAATATAAAAACACATACAAGAAGCGTGCAGTGGGTATATCCGATCTCTGACCCATGTAGCCATTAGAAAGTCAAACCGTCAACTCCATGGCCCATGGTTTCGGGTCCAGTCAAACAACCTAAGGGGCCTCCCCTCTTGACCCCATCGCCATGCAGTACAACCAAGAGCAGAGTAATCTTCATAATACAACAAATGAAATGATCTTCACACTTAATGAGTGCTTATCCCTCTACAATTTCTTCCATAACGCGCTCCCCCTCTTCTAGAATGCTCATGACTAAGCTGAGCTTGTCAATGATCTCCTTGGCTTGATTGACGAGCAACAGCTTCTCAGCATTTGCCGGCAGACCCAAGTACGTTGGAGGCTCACGTTCCGGCAATTCATCAACCCACCCAGTGAAATCTCTCCAGCCAATGCCGCTTGGCAAGATCAACTTGTCCTTTCCGGCATCTCCGCTTGGCTGAATATTTGCGATGATATCATACTCATCCTCAAATGCCTGGGGTGATAGGAAATTATGAACCAATGAGCTCAAAATATTGAAGTCGCCCTCGTCATCGATCTTGCCACCATACATCTCCGTGGTAAGAGTACGAATCATCGACCATGGAATGTTGCGGGGGTTGATGTTGGATCTTGATTGAGAGACGGATTCGATCCAAGTGTCGACGATGAAAGCACAACATTCGATCTGAGACAGTCGTTAGCAAGCGAATGGGTAAAATTTTGACTTGTTCGAAACGTACATCACTATCATTGAACTCCCAGAAGCCTTTCCAGCCCAAGTTAGGCGCATAGCGTAGACGTTCCTGAACCACGGCATGCAACAACGCTAGTAGTAGGTAGACACGGGCACGTTCAACAGGTTGCTTCACAGCCCTTAGCGACATGGAGGAAAGCGAGTCCTTCATATTGGCGCGTATGCCAGCTGGCTGTTCATTCATCAAGATTCGCGAGGCACGGAGCAAGTTGACCGGTATCTTCGGACTGGTTTCCATACACAGGAACAGACGGAACTCGGGATGAGGCTTCAGTGAATCAATGCGCTTCTCCAAACTCTGAAGCCATGCAGGCGCAAGATGGACGTTCTTGATGAGAACCCAAGAGCCTGTTGCTGCTGCATTGCTGACTGCCTTGTCAGCTGTGGCAACACCCTCGTTGGAGCCCATGGCAATCTTGGCACATGTTGCATTGGTTCGCTCAACGAGAGTCTCAACACGATAGCTTGCGTCGAAGCCGGGAGTCGAGCTGAGGGCAATCGGTGTGACAGCTGAAACTTGCTTGACAATGTCACCAAGGTCACCACTAAAGTCAAGCAGACCGCGACCGAAAACTGCCGTGACAAAGCGCTCAACAGCGGGTACGAATCGATCAACTCGGAACAACTTGATCAAGATAAGCGAAAGAAGTTGTTGATCAAGGCTGTCAGTGCCAGCAGGCCATGAAGCTGGAATGTTGTCTTCAGCGAGCTCCGAGCCCAAAAATTTGTCCCAAGCAGCGTTGTCAATAACACTGAGTACGTCCTTCAGAGGTCGCAGCCGTTGGGCACGTTGCATAGCCTCATTTCGACGTTCTGGTTCGGTTGAAACGTCAACGCCTTCAAGGTCACTTCGCAAGCATAAGTCGATCAAGCTACGGTCCAGCTTGAATGGCGTGGCATGGGCAAGCAACATCGCAAGAGCGACCCTGTCCTTTTGCAACATCGCAAGCGAGGTACGACGGTATGTATTAATGAAGAGCTCCTTGACAATGACATCGATGCGTGCATTGTTGTTCGACTCTCGCGAGTTCTTTGCCAGACTGAGCACGTCCTTGAAAATATCCGTGAAATACTGCAGGGAGAATTGGTAGAAGTGATTCATACGATGTAGTTGCTCCAAGACCGCGAAGATAGCGGCGCAAGAGCTAGCGATGACCTTGTACTGTTGCGTGATGCTCTCAACCTCTGCCCAAATGCCCTGCGTCTGAGCCGCCTTGGCGGTGATCTCAGCAGCGTCTTTCTTCAATCGCTCCAGGGTTTCCAAAACCTTGTTGTCTTCGAGAATGTTGCCTTGAGAATTGTTGAGTGCTTGAAGAAGTTCCTTCTCCAGACGGCGCAAGTGGACGCTGAATTCGCCCTGCATCTTGATGACATTTGAGCGGCGCTCATCGACATCTGGTCTTTCGGACTTGAGAACTTCATTGAGTGACTGTGTTTCCAGGCTGCTCTTTGTAACCGTGAAGTTGACCAATGTAGTTCGACTGCAAATGTCGGGGGCGAAATTGGCAGATGGATCACGTGTAGACAAGAACATTTTGAAGGACGGCGAGAAATCGATCTCGTTGCGACCGAGTTGGATGAGCACTCGACCTCCAGTCTTCTGATGTTCTTTGTTGAGCACGTGGGTCAGGATTGGATCAAGATGTTCAGCATCCTGAATGAGGATCGGCTTGCCGAAACGCAGAGAACTCTCCAGTTGTTTGGTAAATGAATCATCCAAAAAGCTTGTGACGGTGAGACGACCCTCAAATTCCTTGCGCAAGAATTCAGTTACCCGACCAGACGGGTCAATGATCAACGGGTAGCGATTGAATCGCTTGAGCATGATGGCATTCTCAGTGCACAAATCGTCTACGGGTAAGGTATTCTGTTGCCACTGTAAGCGCTCATCAGCAGTCGACAGATACTCTGTGACAGGATTGTGCTCCTTGTAGCGGATTCCCGACGCTGCCAGATGGCTGAGCCAATCATTCATCATTGTTTGCCGGTATTGCTGGTCGTAGAAGCCGCCGTACGCCATCAAAGCCGCGGAAACGAGAACGTCGCCGACGAGAGTGTCGATTTGCGTTTCGAAGGATTTGCTTGTCTCCTCCCACCTGCTACGTTCCGATGACAAACTATCAAGCAGTCTCATGCTACGATCAACCTTGGATTCGACTTGAGTCATTTCTGACTTCAGAGCCTCAATCTGCGAAGTAAGCAGTGAGAACTCTTGTTGATAGGTTTCGAGATTTTGGTTGATCTCAGCGATCTTATTCTCGATCGCCTTCGCCGACGCCTCTGTGTCCAGTGCACTCTCCTCGAGCTCTCTAACCTCATTGCGCAGAGGGCCAACCTTTTCCAGTATAAGAGCGTACTTGACTTGAGCGTCGACCCATTGAACGAGGGGACCGCAGGCTTTGGACGCACGGTTGACCCGCTCGTAGCTGAAATCCTCCTTGGATAGGTACTCGTTTTGGATCTTTATCGCCAAGGCCCTGGTCATTTGTCGTTCGTTGTCGTAGTTGACGATGCTCGCAATAAAGTCGTCACGCTTCATGATGGCTTGGACAGCGCTCCAGTCGGAAACCTTGTGTCCTAACAGTACACAAACAGCTTCCACGGCCATACGTACACCAGTTGGCGGACGCTGCATAGAACGAACTTCGGTAAGATGCTGCTTCTTGATGTTGCTGACACTTCGCTTCGCCTCGATGACTGCTGGTTCTGCTTGCGCAAGCTCTTCTTCTACAATAACCTTGCGCTCCGCTATAGCTTTTTGTTGCTTCTCCAAGTTGACCTGCACTTCTTGTGAAGCTTTGTTTCTCTTCTCCGCCTCTTGGGTGTTCGCGACGATATTGTTCAGCTTCTCCTTTGCCTCTTTGTTCTTCGCTTCCAGCTCTGCCTTTTTAATAGCCAAACTACGCCGAAGCTCGGAGACTTTGTCCACTGTTTCTCGTAACTTATCTAAACCGACGTTGAGATGGCGCTGCTGTTCTTCCAAGTCTTCTCTCTTCTCGCGGTGAAGCTTGACAAATTGGTCAACGAAATCAAGGTAGTGTCTCGGAGTAAGATACGTGATCTTATCCTGCTGCTTAGCCAAGCGCTCGTTCGTACGATGTAGAGAGTAGTGGATATGTACCATGGCGTTGACCACGGCATCACGATGACTTGGGGGCAGTTGAAGGTCACGATAAGCAACTGGAAGACCCTCGGGCGCCGTGTAATTGGCACGATCGAGATCAATGCTCTGCGTAAGCTCAGAGCCGACTTGGTACAAAGCTTGATCAGACCAATCGCCGAACCAGTTCAGGACGCAACGGTTGAATAAAGCAGGACTAGTTGCAGCCTTAGATGAAAGTCCTTCTGTGGGAGGGTTCATGGTGAAGACGACGTGCAGGTTCTTTGCAATCTGCGCCTTGAACCATTTGTAAAGCTCTTCTGGAGAGTCGAGCATGTGCCCTTTGTCGCCTTCACGCTGCGCGCCTTCTCGACACTGTGTCATAAGAGTAGCGAACTCATCTCCTTCGAAAAGACCTGGCACCTCCGCATTGGCAAGCAGAGTATTCATGCGTTCAAGGAAGCCAGAATCAAGAACGTTTGATTCATCCATTATGAAGCAAATCTTTTCACCCTTGCATCCGCAACGTCGAAGCACGTTTCGCAAATCTTCATCAAAGTCTTCGGCGGAGTATTTGCCATGAACCTTGATCTGGAAGACTTTCAGACCGTTCATCCAAGCAACAAAACGTGATAGCGTAGTTTTGCCTGAACCGCTCACACCTATGAGAATCAAATGTCCTTGTGATTGCCTGAAGACACGATCAATGCGAAGGACATGCTCCAGTAGGTCATTGAAGGGAATGAGGCGGACATCAACTTCTTCCTCACAGAAGGTCTTGAGGCGCTCACTGACAATATCACGAAGGCGCTCTCGCTCTACTGGAACATAGTGCTTAGAATCCCAACTAGAGAACAGAATTGGGGCGCCAAGAGCCTTCTCTTCGTCAATGGTTGGGAAGTGTTCCAAAGCAATGCGGTTGATAGCAGCTTCGGTCCATTTTCGCTCTTCCTCCTCGATGAGACGATCCTGGAACAAGCGCAATGCTTCATGTGCCCAGATTCGAACGAGGCCTTCAAGCGACAAGCTTTCCAACGGACGAATTGCCTCATACACACCGCGAACCCACCTCGTCAGCTCACGAGGAGAATAGACATAGTGTGGTTGAATGTCCGGAGTGAATCGCTTTTGAGACTCAGAATAAACTTGAACCATGGCCTTGGTGAGCGGATCAGCGTAGCCGCGCAAAGAAGGTATGATCTTGAGCACGGCGTTGTTAAACGTGCCGTAAATCTGCTGGAGAGAAACTTCACCGGGATAATCGACCATGACGACTGGCGCATGGCGAAGGAAGCGCAGGCCAAGAGGAGTTCGTCCCGGGTCGGTAGGTGGATTACAAGCTCCGATGAACTGGATACGGTCCAAGGTAACCCACTGTTTGTCAGAAGTGCGCCAGAAACCATTTTGTTCGACGAGTTGACGCAGGAAAGAGATCGCTCTGGGAGTACCGTATTTGTCTGGGGCGGGCAAATTGATTTCGTCGCAGAAAATTACTAGCCATCGACCGACTTGTGACGGTGTGAGCACAACACCATTCAGGGTCTTCCGGTATTCGCAGTATTGTTCGAACGTCTTGATAAGCAGGTCTGGTGTGGTGGCACTAGAGAAGTTGAGGCCGACGACTTCCATTTGCTCTAGCTTCTTTAGTGAGTTGAATAAGGTCATCGTCTTTCCTGAACCTGGAGGACCACAGAGAATAAGAGGCTTGTGCTCTGCCAACCACGAGTACAGAATATCTTCGTGGCGGACGGTATCCAATGTGGGAATGACCACCTCGGTGTCGGTGACGGCGTGAGTGTCGACATCAATGTTAACGACGTGATTCTGCCACGACGACCACTCGGACTTTGGCAGAGTTACATCGAAATCGATGAGTGACGAGTTCTCGTTGAGAGAAGGAAGATCATCGACAGTGGTCATGTTCACAATGTCGTCGCCAAAACTCTTGCGGTCTGCCAGTGGGCAATCACCAGTCAGTGACCAGACCAGGGAGAGAAGCAACTTCTTCGATAGATAGGACTCAATTTGACCGGTTTCCAACGGGAAGTCTGAGTGCTGGATATCGTATTCGATGATATTTCGGCAAGCCTTGTTTAGAAGCGAAAACAAGGTATTGAGTACGCGGATGTTGGTGAAATCCATGATATGCCGGTATTCGCTAGCCTTGGCAAGCGCGTGTTGTACAAAGTTTCCTTCAGTAAGACGCCTTTGCAGAATGTCGGCGACCTGGCCTTGCGTCGCCAAAAGCTTTTGATTAAGCTGGCCTGGGGCAAGTGAGGCATCTTCAATGTCGTCGAAAGGCACCTCACGGAGGTTAGAGATGTAGTTGGACACAATCATCTCGGTTGAGACGATGTCATCGCTGAACCAGACCATACCGCATCGACTGACAGTAGCAAGAGTTGCATACTTCAGGGTCTCGACCTCAAACATGATGCGGACGTTCGGGGGCAGATTGAGACGCTCGCCATTTGGTAGGGTAAGCATCTTGTTGTCGTCCAAAACACTGTTCAAGTTCTCGACCCACACGGGATCCACGTCACCGTCAAACACAATCCAGTGGCGCTTGGAGTCTTCGCCTCGAAGGTTGTCCACGATTTTGCGTAGAATGTTGGTGAAAAGACCGTCGGTCCACTCTCGAGTTGTGCTGTCCAGCGTGCCATACAAGTGTTCCTTGGACATGACTTTCGGGTCAATGACATGGCAGACACCTTCAATCCCATCAACCTTTTGAAGAGCCTTGAGCAGGATTCTCCAAGCGCTCGACTTGCCCGAGCCTGAGGATCCGACCATCATAACACCATGATGCAACCCTTGGATCTGATACAGCTGAAGCACCTTTGTCATCCAGTTATCAGAGGCAAGCAGCTTAGCTTCCGCGGCCTCGGCACGAATTGCATCCTGTAGGGCGTCAAGAGGGGCAGGAATGTATTCGACACCAGGGAAAGACTCTTCCTGGATGCCACGCATGAGATCCGCATCTGACTGGATGAGCTTTGGCGCAATTGTCTCTCGGATACTTTGAACAATGATTTGAGGCTCGACAACGTCATCCTTCATCTTTTCTTTCTGTGTGACAGCAAGCCTAGCGCGCTTCAAGCCACCGGAGCTGACGAGAACACTCTTCAATGCACGTAGACCGAAGTCGTAATGTGCCTGTTTAGAAAGTTTCTTGGAGCACTGGTCGAAGAAAGGAACAGTTTGCCTGGAAAGTTCCTTCGCACACGAGAAACCTTGAGAGTACAACATAACTTCAGCAATAAGCTCCTTGTCTGGTTTAGACATGGCCACACTGCGGAACAACTTCTTGAGGTTGTCCGGCAAGTTCGATCGACCCGCATATCCAGGGTTCATGGTTATGAATATACCAGTGTTTCCATGAACCTTCAGATTGCGGCCAATCAGCTCGATCTCAGCCTTGTTATCAATTGCAGCTTTACGCAAACCGAGCTGGATGTTTTGGATCTGTTGAGACACGGCCGACAGAATTCGCTCCTCGAGACGATTGAATTCATCGAAGCAGCCCCAGGCGCCGACACGGCAGATACCAAGGAAGATACGACCCATAGCCTGGAAGTCGAATGTGTCATCACAGCAGAAGACGAGAGTGAAGCGACCCAACTGAAGACCAAGTGCTTTGACCGACTCGGTTTTTCCGGTTCCTGCGGGGCCATAGGGCGAACCACCAAGACGCTGACACAGAGCCTGAGTCAGAGTCAAGAAGCATCGATCCGTCAGTGGAGTGCGGACAAGTCTATCTGGTACGCCGAGATACTCGTAGCCGTAAACAATACTGGCGTTAGCCATCTTGACATGTAGTCGGTCGAGAGGCTCATTGTCGGGTCTATACGTGTAGCGCATTTGAAGCAGCCATGATGGATGTTGCGGGGAGTCCGCGCCAGCCTTCTGCAGCTTTACGACACAATCTCGCTGATGAACGAATTCAGTGATGAGATGCTCGCACTTGCGACGGGTGAGCGGCTCCAAATCTCCAAGTACAGCATTGGCAAGAAGCTGTAGTAGGGAAATCAGTCGTTCATACAAGCGCTGAAGTGACGCGCCACCTTCGCTGAGAGCAATCTCAACCTCATCTGTCCAGCAGACCTGTGAAGCAAGAACGACGATCTGCGCGGGATAGCCATTGATGTATTGGTCAAAGTCCTCGGAGTCTACGGTTTCAGCTTGCATGATGTCCGCGTACTCCTTAACCGCGTCAGACAGATGTGCAGCAAGAGACATTTTCATGCCCTGCTCAAGAGCAGCAAGCCATTCGTTGACTTTGGGAGTTCGCGTAAGAGAGATTTCCTTTCGCAAGTACACTAGTTCTCCCTCCTTCGACAGGAAACCGACGATGTTCGACTCGTCTTCCTCATCGGTGACGAGGCTTGCGATGCCAGCGAACATCTTCCGTAGATGCTTCGACACACGCGTTGTATCCGAGCTGTTGCCAATGATTTCGAGCAGATCTTCGTCACCAACGAAATAGAATCGTGGGAATGACAAACGTTCGCGCTCCAGATATTCTCCGAGAGCCTTTTGAATCTTCCCAAGAAGAACGGCTAGCTCCTCAAGACGGCTCTGGATGTTCTCGATGTCGAGGACATCCATGACGTTGGGCGACTTGGCGACCTGCTTCATGATGTCAAAGAAGCGGCTGTTTATCGTTCGGAAATGTGCACTCTCTGTCTTCAGCAAGTGCTTGATATCTGCGTTACCAGTGAAAACTCCCTCAAGATAGACCCATTGACGCTGTACATCGATCCATACATCAAAGAGCACGTGGACTCGGTTAAGCTGGTCTTCATATCGCGATGCTTCTTGCTGAAATTCCCTATAGTACGGCGAATGTCGCATGGCCTGCAAGGAGTTAAGATGCTCGCTACACTTCGCGAAGAGATCGTCCCAGCCACGGATGAGTTTGCATTTGTTCTGGTACATGACAAGATCAAGACTGTACTCTTGCCACGTCTTACGAACGTCCTTGAGGAACTCCTCGAGTGCAAGTTCACCCTGGGCTTGCACGAGAACATCCTTAACAGTTGCCTCATTAGCAAGCAGCTGAAGATCCCAGACATCGCCAAGCGTCAGCGAGCTCTTGGTGTAGCGTTTGCTTGGGTTTAGCTGTTTGAAAAGCTTGATCCAATGTCGGTCTTGCATGGCATCCGAGCGAAGGTCATTCAAGAGCGGCTGTACCTTCTGCAGTTGACGTATTCTGTTTTGCATGTGCTCGAAGGCAGCATAGTTACGCATTCGTGGTGGCATATCTCTTGTCATCTTCATCACGCCTTCAAGATGCTGACGCAACTTGCGGGGCTGAACGCTTGCCCACAGCTGATCACGGAGCTCGTTGAGATTATCCGAGATGGTCTTCAAGCTTGCCCAGACAGATTTGAGATCTTGCAATTCCTCAAGCACAGATGGGAGAATGTTTTCGGGGGAGGGCTGTAGGTCGAGCGATTCCTTTGCCTTGGACACGCCTTCAGCTTCATCTCGCAACTTCGTAAGCCGCGACTCAAAGTCCAAAAGCACCTTCTGAGCCTCATCTGGAGGAATGGTGCCAGACAATGGTTTGTCTTCAGCCCACTGAATTTTGATCTCTTCAATCTTTTGGTTCACGAGTGTATCTTCGGCTTGAATCTTGGCCCGCAGAGCGTCACTCTGTTCCTCCACGATTCTGGTCTTTCGCTCAAGGACTTGAGTGAGTGCTTGCCACTCATTGTCGATCTGCTCCATAGACAGCCAATCCTTCTGAGGTAGACGGCGCTGTCGTCGAAGCGTGGTTTCGCCTTGCCGGAAGAGATCCACGTCGGTAGCCCAAGCCTTGGCACGCCGTCTGCATTGTTGCACAGTTGTGATGAAGGTAACGGCTTGCTGCGTTGAGGACGCCTCCAGAGCTTGACCTTCTAGATCTTTGCGCGCCTCAGAAATCTCAGAGTACAGCAGGTTCATACGTCCACCGAGCAACTGCGCAAACTTGACCAGAATCTCCTGCTGCCATTGGTCGAAGCGGCTGTTGACCTTGTTCTGCACCTGTTCATACTTGATCGTGATGTGTCCGAATTCCTTGCTAACATCTGAAGTGTCAAAAGTGTTTCGATTCTTGAGGACTTCCGAGATGATCTGAAGCCATTTAGACAGGTCTTCCGACAGCTCGTCAAAGACTTGTTCTGGACGAAGATCCCACAGAGATTGATACTGCAGCCAGATGTCAACATACTCCGCAACAACGGCAAGCTTTCGCTTGATTGCGGAATGCACGTTCAGCAGCGAGTCCACACATCGTGCAGGCAAGTGTGAGAAGTAAGACTCTGTCTCTTCAACGTCAAGTCCAAGCCGTAGCTTGTACCGGGAAGCGTTGAGCTGCTTCTGCGAGCAGACAACAGCAAGCCAGTTCTCCAAATTGACGAGCCATCGTGCTTCCGCAAAGTTCAAGGGTGGGTTGAGGAAGATGGTCTGGTTGCGGATAGAGATCTCGTGCGCAAGTGGCTCGAATTGGGGTAGGACTTTCTGTTTTTCTTCAAAGTCCGCTTCAGGCAGCTTATGCTCCCCGTCCGGACTCTCGAAGACTTCAAGCCAGTCTTTGATGGCATGATTCAGACGGCTGATGAGAATTTCGTTCAGCCGAGCATTCATCTGGTCTACCCACCATTGCAGATTGGAGTAGTTCTCAAGACTGAGCTGATCTACCGCCTTCTGAATGATCTGTAGCTTCGATTCGAACTCCTTAAAAACATAGGGACACGATTCCAGATCTTTCAGCGTGGTCTGCACGGTAGCGTGTATTGATGCAAGCGTAGAAGTCTTCGTCTGTAGCGTTGAGATGGCTGAGGCGAAGTCTTGCACAAACTTGACGTGCATGCTCTCGTTTCGCTTGCCGACTGGAGCTGCAGCAGGACCAGAGAAAGTGCTTCTGGTTACAACCTCGTAGACGTTGACGAATGACTCCCACTTCAACGCAATACCCTTCTGGATGAGCGCTTCGGACTCGTTCTGATAGCCGTGAAGCAGGGGCGACACTTCGGCGATATCTGCAATATTGCGCACCGTTTGCGTAAAGATGCGAACAGTTTCCATTAGCGTGACGGCATAGGGATAGACCCGCTTCGCGTCCTTGGAAACGTTGTTGATGGCGTGCGGGACCTGAAACCCTAGCCACCATAGATTTCGGACTTCCTTGAACAGTGTGATGACTTGTGGGTCAAAATTCACCATGAGCTCGTAGGTGTTGCCGAGCGAACGGATTCTCTCAATTTTGAAGAGACGTCCGCGAATAGCGATGTCTTTCCTAGCAACATCTTGATACCAAGTGTTAAAAATCGGCTTTGTGTCAAGCTTCTGTCTGAAGTTTCGGCTGTCTGCATCGAGTTGCTCGCCTTCCGTATGCAATCGCCACTCAGGACCAAGCACATCTTCCACTCTCCGCATGTAGCCCTCTAGTTGCCTCTCAATTTGTCGAGCCCATATGATGGCGCCAGATACAGGCGGCAAATCTCGCAGCTGAGCCATGGCATGCGCTTCCGAAGAACCATACTGCTGCTTGAAACGCTCGTGCAGTTTATCAATATCCTCTTTCACCGTCTCAATTAACTGTGTCTGGTACTGAGAGATGGCACTTCGAATCTTTGGTCTCACAAACAGGGCATTGAACTTCGAGAAGACACGGAACATCTCATTTGCGGAGCCTTTTGCGGTGGCAAGACGATCACGAAGCTGCGCAATGATCGAATTCTCCACTCGTGAAGTCCGCTCGTCGTAGGTGGCTTCTGCGCTCTCCCAGATCCTGGTGCCCTCTGGAGACAAGTCAAGCACATCAACGTCTTTCAGAGCCGCATATGCTTGTGCAACTTCTTCCACGGCATCAACATCGCCGAGCTCGTCGACGATGACGGCACCGATGCCGTCGTTTCCGGATGTTCCATCCTTGAATGCAGATGCGCCAAGCACATTGACGATCGTCCGCTGCAGCTGCTCGTGGTTGTTTCGGAATCTGGCGATGTACTCAAGTCGATCCTTGGTTCCCATGTGTTTTGGGTTGATCTTGATAGGGATGAACTTCTCGTTTCGTCGTTTTAACACTTCTCGGGCAACGTTGGTGAACTCCTTCTGGTGTTCATTCCACGCGCGGAACACTGCTTCTGCTTCTGCCATCTCTTTCTGGAACTGAGGATAGTCGAAGTGCATAAGCATACGGCCATTCAGAATCGAGTGAATTCGCGTGTCTAGGTCTGCAGATATGGCCTCGACAAGGGGTAAGGCCCTGCGTATTGGATAAGTGCTAAGACGAATCTTCTTGTTAAGGTGGCTGAAGATCAGTCTAATGGCCTCAGCAACCTTGTCAAGGGTTGTAGCAGTCTCCAGCTCGTCCAGAGGAAAGTCCCGCATAACTAGGTTATACTTCTCGACGATATCAAACTTCTCCTTCAACCCGGTATCTGCTGTGAAACTGACAGTGGCCTGATATCGCTTCGCATGTCGCAAAACCTCAAGCGTGAGAACGACTCCCTCGCTTTTCAGTTGCTCCTCGATAAGCTTGAGAGCATGTTCCATAGACAGCCAGAAATTGATCTCTTGCCGAGCCGACCCGGCGGCCGGGTCACGGTCAGTTCTCGTGGTCTTCTGTATCTCTTGAATCCAACCGTTGACCTGACCTTGGAGGCGGTTCATGAAAGAACTGTCGGACAAGTGCTTCGCATCTATGAACTCTATGGAAGGGGGCACGCCCTTTCGTGCCGCTTCGTCTAACGCAAGTTGTATTATCGGATCGACCTGAAGTGTAGGTGCAGGAATATCTATGTTCTGCTGTAAGTTGAGCAAAGCCTGTATGAGCTCCTCCATCTTTTTCCGCGTGGCGGGAATCCCGCCGACTCGTGAGTCTTCACCGCGCCCATAGGCCTTCTGCTGTGAGGCGGCATCGTTTCTTTTCGTGTACGCGTCAAAAGAAGGTGCAAAACCAAGCCGCAGCATGGAATGGAAGTCTTCAAAGCCTGAGGACGATGACGGTCGCTCGGCATTCGAGGAATCGAAGGCAGGCAGCGTCATGAACCGTACCTGGTTCGCAAGGGGTGTGTTCATGTCAAGTGGCGAGCCATCCTTGAAGATGCCGAAGCAGGCAACGCAGTGAGGGGGGTAGGCGAGGTCTGACGATATCGAATAGGAGTAATCTGAGAATCCATCTACGACGGCACAGTTAGACGACAAATCTTTGCTAGGAGCGTAGAACGCACCAGTGACACCGTTCACGCCATCTTCGTCCGAGTCCTCGGTGGGTTCGCTCAGGGAGTGTGTCTTGTAAATGTACAACGCGGCTGCCTGGGCCTCCTGGGCAAATCGCGAGCATCGTTGGAGTGTTTCCGGCCGTCTCAGAGGGTGTAAGAGACTTCCGTGCGCCTTCAAGTCGTGTTCCGTCGCTCCAAATAGTGCCTGGAGGACGCTCGAGAGGTAGGAGACCAGCTGTTCTGGATCGATAGTCGACGCCACGGTCTCGTTTAACCCGTTGCCGTTAACTGTGACGACGGCGACCGGGCCATCCATATTGCGACACTACCGACTCGGCTGGCGGCGCATAGATGTAGTTGATGCTCTCGAGTGAGGCTTCAAAAAAAATAGTTGCGTGGGGAGTATGGGGATTGTTGAGTTCAGGGAGTATCACAGCTCGCGTCGCGTGAAAGTAGTTTAGCTTACTTCCAGGAACGCTAGCACGAGTTGGGAAGCCAAATCACATGATGCTGACACAAGACAATTCTCGGGGTTCTGCCACGCTCACCTTGCCTCGACGAAGGCTGTGTACTGGATACATACACGTTCTCTCGCTCCGTCGTGATGAAAGACGCGCTTGCTGGGAAGAATTGACAGGAGGCGTGGCTCACGAACTTTGGCCTCAACGATCGCGCTCGTCGATTTTGGCGAAAGTCTCAATCACATGTCCAACTCCCTCTTTGCGTTTACCCAGGTCTGTCTAGAGCGCAAGGGGGAGCGGAAGAATAGCTCTTGAACCTCTGGTCCAGCTCAACGGCGATAATGACATAAGAAGGATCCAAAGAATACGCGAATGCAAATGTCAAGCGCACTGTCCTCAGCCTGCTGCTGACCCGTTGTTTGTCGTGTAATACAGCGCCCTTTCCTCTCACAGAGAAACCTCTCTACCGCAGCATAATTAAGGCGAACAGCCCCAGCTACGTCAAACCTCAAAGACAGCCCACGCAAACATGTCTCGCAATGCGCCAGCAAACGAAAAAAAAACAAAAAAAAAATCTGGGGAATGCCAGTAAAGTCCTGTCGATGCGCTCAGCGTTGCCATTGTCACACTCGCCTTCGCTCGATCGGGGCCAGAGGCCATTCCGAACGGTCCCTGGTCCTGTGCTCTCGCGATGCGGCATTCCTTATCTTCCCAGGCAGGTTAGCGAATCGCGTGCAACCATCGGGCAGTAGTACAGTGCACACTTTGTGAGTTAGATCCGGCTGCAGGTCGAGCAGTGACAAAAAGTCTCTCAAAGCCTGGCGACAAGAGAGGGAATAGGCTGGCCAGGCGGGAAGTCCTTGCTTCCCAACCCCCCCAAACTAGCGGCCTTTAGCCTACGGAGGATGCAGAAACGAGAGGGCACAGACGACGTTCCCGATCACTGGATTCTGGTGTCTCCAGCGCAGAACGTGAATTAGGACGCAAACCGGTTGGCCGTGATACTACATAATGGTTATGCGCCTCTTGTTCGCAGTTGCACTTGCAGCCTCTCTTTCTCTCACACACGCACGCTGGAGCTTGCGACACCTCACACCGGTGTGCGAATGCCATGACACAGTACAGAGACCTCGTGGCAAACGTCACGTCGCTCCAGGCTCTGCTTGGATCCGTCGCTGCGGTTCGTGCCCCTCTACAGAGAGCTTCGCGCTCTCTCTGCCTCTCAAGCGCTGGTGACACAACAACGGCCGCGCCGCACAATTGAGCCAATCTAACGTGCCAAACCAGGTCGTTGCCTTCTTCATTGGCCGGCTCTTCTACAATGCCTTCTTCCATCCGCTGGCCAAATATCCAGGACCGAAGTCCTGGGGCGCCTCCGAACTACCGTCAATACTCTCGTCCGTGAAGGGCAACATTGCCTGGGACGTCGCTGCGTTACATGAAAAGTACGGCTCCGTCGTGCGCATAGCTCCGAACGAACTGTCCTACAACACCGCTCAGGCGTGGAGTGATATCTACAGCTCGCGACCAGGCTTGGGCCAGATGCCTAAACACGGCGGTCCAGAGAAGAATTCGGAGGGCTTTGGAAGGCTGAACATGACCAATGCCACCATCGAAGATCACTCGAGGATGCGAAGACTGGTTGCTCATGCGTTTTCCGACAAAGCCATGAGGGAGCAGGAGCCAATCATTCAGCAGTATGTCGACTTGCTCATGGACAAGCTGCACGAGCGCGCTGGCCAGAAAATCGACATTGTTTCGTGGTTCAATTTTACCACCTTCGATTTAATGGGCGACCTTGCCTTTAGCGAGTCGTTCCACTGCCTGCAGCAGTCGCAGTATCATCCATGGTACGTCTACCGCTGCGCCCCAAGTCCGTCCAGTGGGAGGGGCGGTAGCATTGTGTACTAGCTTGCAACGCTTGCTGACACGGGCGACAGGATCTCAATGATTTTTAACAACCTGAAGCTGATGGTCTACGGCAATGCGGCGAGAAAAATACCCGGTCTCACAAAACTGCTCATGTCCATCACGCCCAAGAAGGTCATAGAAGAGGGCCAGGCGCACATGCAACTGGCCGTGGCACAAGCGAACAAACGTCTCGCCATGAGGACGGACCGGAACGACATTATGTCCTACATCATCAAGCACAACGGCAAGGAAACCGGTATGAGCGTAGAAGAGATCCAAGCCAACAGCTACGTGATTATCATCGGCGGCTCAGAAACCACAGCGACACTGCTCTCAGGCTGCGTGTATTATCTGCTCACCAACCCCGCGACGCTGGAAACCCTCGTGGAGGAGATCCGGTCGAGCTTCAAGAGCGAAAATGAGATCACGTTCGCAAACGTGTCCAACCTGAAATACTTGCTTGCAGTCCTCAACGAAGCGCTACGCTGCTATCCTCCCGTGCCAGGTGCTCTGCCCCGGGCCGTTCCCGGTGACAAGGGTGCCATAATCGACGGCGCGTGGGTGCCGTCTGGTACCGCCGTGTCCGTCTACCAAACAGCCGCATGCCGCTCGCCCAAGAACTTTCGCGACCCCGACGCGTTCGTCCCCGAACGCTGGCTTGGCGACGCGCGATATGCAAACGACGTCCGAGACGCGTGTCAGCCATTCGGCTACGGACCGCGAAACTGCGTGGGACGCAACCTGGCCTACATGGAGATGAGAATCATTCTGGCTCGGCTCCTGTGGAACTTTGACCTGGAACTTTGCGACGAGTCCAGAAATTGGAGAGAGCAGAAAGCCTTCATACTGTATGAGAAGCCGCCGCTGATGGTGAAATTGACGGTAAAGCGCCGATGACGAATTGCATAACGACGCTTTCGCAGCTGCATCTAGAGACGAATATCAGCCAGCTGTGCGCTATCCCCCGCCATAGCTGGCAAGAGAGTAGCGCTACGAGTAATGACAAGGTGAATTTGCTTTTCGTTTTCATTTTGCTCCTCTCCACCTGAGCCCTTCCCTATCTCCCCCTTTTTTTAACGTTACAGTAATCTCGTGAGAAACAAAAGGACGTCCTCCGTCACAGGGTTGGTCTTACCTTTTGCGCTTTGCTTGGATCCGACAGCAGGAACTAGTAAGCTTCGCCTCACGTCAGTAATCTAAGAATTGGAAGAATAGCGCAATAAGGATAGTGGCCAGCTGCCCCATTCCCTTTTGTGCGTGCAATGCGACGATCACTTCCATTCTCAGCACGACAGAGTCCCCCAAAAGGAACTATCTCCACGTGTCAAAAGCTTCCCAAAAGGATAGTCCGACCAAATAAAAAAAGGGGGGAAGAACTTTATTCATTTCGGTGCGCCTGCTTCTCGAAGAAGGTCGTGTCCGCGGCCAGCCTCCAGCACGCAGCAGTACATGTAGCTACCGCAGAACGGCGAGAGCGGGCGGCGACGCGGGTCTCACGTTCCGCAGGCGGAACGCGACGATCGTCATTATTCTTTGGCGAGTGCAAAAACGAAGACTTTCAGCCTCGTTGTTCGGGTCGCATTTTGCGGGCGATATCACTTTTTTTCTTTTTTCTTCGTCGAGCTTCGAACGGGCGATCCCGATTGGCGACGCGGTCAGGGACACGGAGCGATATACCTTCGCAGCGATGGTGCGAGAGCGCCATAGGAAGGATCGAATGAAGAATCGCAAGGCTTCCACGAGCAGCGATCTGTAACGGTCGTGGACGCAAGCCACGGGCCGGCTCTCAGCAACATTGATGTTGGTGCGTCAAAGCGACGCTCGCCCTTTTTCGGTCACGAATCGCTAAGTTATACCGTAATGAACAAACGATGACATCGTTCAGCAAGATCCCCCTTTCCGCGCAGCCTGGAAAAAAAATAAAATAAAATAAAAATAAAAAAAATAAAAAATAAAAAAAATAAAAAAAGAAAGAAAGAAATTGAGCAAATGGATGCGTTTAGCTGCGCACTGCGGCAGAACGGTGCGCAGGCATCGCGAAAAAAGTCTCTCGGAAGAGGATTGGCTTTGCAAACGCCCATCGGCTACGCTACGCGTTTCCGCGCACCCGAACGAACCGTACGCGAACGCCGAATTTCTCCTTCTCTCTTTTTGCCTGCGCACATTGATTATTGCCTACATCTTTTTTGGGGTCTCGTCGCGGGACGCTCGCCGTGACGGAGCGCGCACCGAAAGAAGAAGGGGGGGGGAAAAATAAGCGCGCAAGAAAGAAAACCTTTCGTAACGGCGAAAGGCCAACAGTTCAAAGAGGTGCTGGTGAAGCTGTCAGAAAGGATGGCACCCGGCGCGGATCCCGCGCCGAGAACGATGGTCCATCAGCTACTTGCACGGCACAGGTATGATGCGGTAGTTGGGGCGCTGCCGAGTCAGACGATGGTTCGCGGACGGGAAGGTTGGCCGCCTTCCGGCCACGATCGGCTGTTCATTGGGCTGCCGCCACGCTCCGCGGAGCAGGATCGGAGGCCCCGTAGTTTTTCGCCGGAGCGGGTGGCAGCGCTCCTCCCGCGCCTCCCCATGCGGACATCAGCAGGTGATGTTCTGCCTCCACGCCCGACAACCTGTCAAGCATGCGGAGTACATCCGCCAGACTGATCCTGCAAACCTGTTTTGTACGATGCCGCTCCAGAAGGATGCGTCCCGATGCACGTCAGAAATGGAAGCCCCATTTGCTTCTCGTCTAATTTAATTTTTCTTTTCGCGGCGGGGACGATCGGTGGTCGTAGAAATCATGTTCTTGTGCCGCCCAGACCCCCCCTCCCACCCCCACTCCAAAACCTTAAAAAACATGTACAAACAAGATTTCGCCAGAAGAACCGGGCCGGCCCATGCCCGTAGACTCGCCTCGCCATGCGAAAATCAACACGAATGGCAAACGGGCGTGTGAACAATTTTGCGTTCTTGTGCGTTTTCGCGGGCTGCTTTTCTCGCCTTTTTTTCCTTGTGGGCGCAAGGGCTGCTCTTCGACGACGTCGAGGCGGAATTTTCACCGGCAGGGCGACCAGGTCCATCTCGTCGACCTTCCGTCCGCGGGCAAGTGAGCAAAGGGCGACTTGCCCGGCTGGAAGACGATGCAGAGCGCATGCGAAGCAAAGTTCGTTCCTTCTGCAGCCCAAGCGGCTTCACGTCGTTTCCTGGTAGCAAACTTCTAGGGGCGGGTTGGTGATCGAAGAAACAGACAAAGGCATGGGCATAGTGGAACGACGGAAGGGAACACGGGAGGCTTTGAGGCATCTTTTGTCTATCCGGCAGGTCTTTTGTCCACAGGAACCGGGATGCTTGTCCAGGACTTGGTCATGGGAGACGGCGACGGTTCAAAGGTCGCAGACGATAAAGCGTATGTCTCTCCGCTGCCTCTACTTCGTTCGAAAGAGGAGCAGGTACACTACATGTGAATTCCGAACGCATTTCAACGAACAGGCCAACCATGACAGGCTCATACAGTTCGACAAGGCGCGTGTTGCTTTCAACGTGGCTGCAACAACAAATCGATGAAAGCACAAGACTATACAGCGGCAAAGTCGGCGGCTTAAAGGCAGTGCTTGAGGACGGAAGAGCAGCTAGGGACGGGTCGAGCTAGCTGGGGACCACTGTTGCATGGCCAGTCACCCGGAGGGATTGGTGAGGATACTGTCGGCCTTAAAGCCATGTGTCAATGTGAGCAAGGTCCGTGGTGTTACAGAGTCGCCTGGATGAGGTGGAAGGATTTCCAAGACACAAGGACGTTATTTTGCGTCGTTATTCAACCCTTCGTGTAGCCTCTCCAGCCGTGACCATCGTCATCTACTCCTAAGAACACAGAAGTACTCCCGTCCCGTCCGCACGCTCGCCTGCGAGGAGCATCATCATCACCATCGTCGTCATCAATTGGCGCAGACATGGGCGTCCCTCCCCCCAGACGTGGCGCTAATCCAAAAGCACACGCATCGATCTCGTTCCGCTCCCTGTTCGGGCGACGTGCACGCCCGAGCCCGCTCATTGGCGCCGTGGCCCGGTCGCCTCCACTTTTCCCGAAGGTTTCCAGTTCTCCCGGCTTCCTGGAGCCAGCCAAAGGCGGAACGATGGCGCCAGCCCAGGAGCAGGGAAGGCATGGGCACAGATGCCCCAAGCTTGTTTGGGACAAACGAGCGGCAGGAGCCGAGGCCCGGCCTTCGCTTTTGCTTGTTTGCTCCCTGCGCATTTGTGCTTTTTTGACCCCAAACGCGTGGGTTGGGGGGAAGAAGAAGAAGAAGAACGGCGAGCCACAGGTCAGCGGTTTTGGGGACCGGTACGTACACCCCGTCGTCGAGGCGGTGGCGAAGTTCACCACGTCGGCCCTTCTTTGTCCTCTCCAACAGTGCCACCAACGTCGTTTGATCAGTAAAACCTCGTGCCCTACCGTGGGCGCCCATGACTCTCTACCACGCCGTCGGGTGGACCAGCGCTACTGTACCAGCGCATGCAGTATCACAATGCTCAGACGGCTTCAACACGACTTTGGCCGTCGACTCGTGCTCGAGTTTCACGGTCATGCAAGGACCGTGTCTGCATTCGTGGGAAGCTCGTTTCTGCATCGTGCGCTTGCTCGATCCCTCTGGGAAATTGCAATATGCACAAAGTGCAGGAAGCATTCGCACCAGCGCACTGCTGCCGCCGCGCCGTCTCTCCCAGCGTCCTGCTCGTCGGTGCTGCCCATCTCCCAACGGCCGGCAACGTCGAGATCGGAACGAATAGCGTATCGCCAACGCTCGATCTATTTGAAATCGCCTTTGCCCGTTCCCTGTTTCAGGTACGGCAGAGCTTCTCACGCATGCAGACGAGTATTCAATTCTATGGCGCTCCCTCGGAGGCAGGTGCAGAGCGAACAATTTTAGAGTGCAGAGGTAGCGTGCCTTGAAACGAATTCCATTTCAGTCAAGAGGACACTAAGATCACTTCACGAGCCACGGTCGTGGAGACTTTGTCTGCTCCTGAGAGAAGTTCCACACGCACTGACAACTGGCACGGCGTGGGATACGTCTCCACCGTTCCGTGGCGCCTAGCAGAAGCACAGAGACGCCGGACTCGTAGTTGCAACTTACACTGCAGAGACACGGTACACACGCCAATAGCATCCAGACCAAAGTAGCTTGGACCACCGAACCCCCCTACCACCGACGAGCAAGATCAGACCACCTGTCGACTTCGAAGGGAAATCCATCTGAATCACGTATGCAAAGCCACACCAAGCAGAACGCGAGGATGGATCGGCAAAGACAAAGAACTCGAACCCGCATTCGGATCGAACATCAGGATGGGGGCCAACGGAAGTGTGCACAAGCCGACTCAAGTGGATGGATGCGAAGATCATGGAGAAACAATTTGGTAAAGAGGTGGAAGTTTCGAGGCGGAAATGTGCAAGAGCGATGAGTCTCTGTATTGAGAGGCAGAGATGGGGTTCCCTTTTCTTCCTCTTGTGTTCATGATAGCACAGTCTCAAGTCTGCCTGACCATTCTTTTCGTACCGTAAGCCCTGTCCCTCTTTCTGTTCCACATTTTTGGTTCGGCCAAAGTGTCTCCCATAAGCACCCGGCCCCAACGTCCACCTGTAATTTGATCTACGAGTTATTATGCAGCGACTTGAACAACGACGTGCCTGCGTATTTTGCAAACAGGTATATCTTGACGCCACTAGAACGCTCAAAAAAACTCCATCAAACCAAGCAAGAATCATGAACTCGTATTCCGATGACGGACTCTGCACATCACGACACTGACTGAGCGACGGCTTCTGATGCTGGTGCTGGTTCTGGTGCTGGTGCTGTCTCCTCCGCGGCGGTAGGCTCGGGACGTGTCTCCAGTCTCCGTCTCTTGCTTGGTTGTCTAGTGCAGGACTTGCACCGAGTATGCATGCACTGGCTGCAGGTCCTCGACCTTGGCCCGAACAAAGTACCACATTGATGGCAAAAATGCCGTACCCTTTGCCTGCATGGTCGATATACTCGGAGCTGTTGTGGCCCATTGACCTGACCGCCTGCCTCAATGAGGGGGTACGAGATGTGTACAACCTCACGAGGACAGCGAGTGCACTTTTCGTGTCCACAGTTGCTGCAAGGTGTGTTCGTAACAGAGGCAAATTCGCCAGAACATTTGTGGCAAGTGTATTTGGAAAATTCAACGATTGGCAGGGAAGCGTCTGGTTTTGAGGTTTCTGGCCGCGGCTCCGCATCCTTCGCGCCTTTCGCCGACTGCTCGTCGTCATCCGAAGACGAATCGATGGATACAACGACGGCACTTTCAGGTGTTGGCCTGGGCTCGGTCACAGACCGTCGCGGACAATCCTCGCATTTGCCGTGTCCGCATTTCTGGCAAACACGCTCGCCTTTGAAGACGGACTTGCAGACGTGGCACGACACACGAACGCGTTGCTTGGTCTTCCTTGGAACGCGTAGCTGGCCCGGAGCGTCTGAAGTTCCGTCATCGTACTGCAGGCCGTAACGAGCACACAGCACAGCGAGACGCTCACGAGTGGCGGCATTAGGCAGAGTTGAAAATGGCGTAATCTTGAAATTTAACTCGAATGTCTCATTTGGATCAACCTCCAAGCGATTCCTGTAGATAATCAGCAATGTGGCAGCGAGAAAGGATCGAGCGTGCTCTGCATACCCTGTGCTGGGATCGTTTTCGGTGGGCGGGACATTTTCCTCGTTGTCGTCGACGACCAAAGACTGAATGGGCGGCTGGGGCTGTGCAGGCACATTGGTCCTGGAATCTTTGGCGGCGGCACCGAATTTTCTCCAAGCAGACTTGCCGAATTTCTTGAGCACATCGAAGCAGCTGGTTCGTCTCCTCAAGGACGGGTCGGTCTCGACCGGGCGCGCGGGAGGAGCTGGGTCGGGTTGAGACTCCATGTCGGCCGAGGAGATTCGACTCCCAAAAAATCGAGTGCGATGAACGATCGGCAAGCAAAACACAGGCGGATGTTAAGGCAGAAGCTGAAAGGAGGCAACAAGTTGCAGCATCCGCCGCAGGATGGCCGGACTGGGGCTGCGCGACCGCACAGCGGGGGGCGACGACGACTGAGCGAGCTCCGTGGGCGCCGGTCGGGGCACACCAATCAGGCGGGACAGTGCGAATGGCCGACGGGGCCCGGAGCGACACGGCGCGGTGCGAAGCTCAAAGCACAGCAGAGCGCTGCAGCACGCACACGAAAACGAAGGTAGGACAAGCGAGGCGGGAAAGGGAACAAGAAGGAGGACAGAGAGGAGCAGCAGCGCAGTGTTTGAAGGGGGGGTGGGCGGGTAAGTAGTGGTTTGCGGTGGTGGTGGTGGTTTGGCTGGTGGTTCGTGGTGGTGGCCGTGGCGAAAGCGAGACCCAGCAACTTGGGACGGGATGGGCTCTGGTATTTAGCGAGCTGGGCGGGTGAGGAGACCCCGGGCCTGTCGGGCAGGACGGCCCATGCTGGATCGCGCGGCCGATTGGGGGCACTGCGCGGTGGCAGTAGGGGGGTCCTGGCAGGCCACTCACGCTCCCGCGCTGAAGCCTTTTCCTTCGCTGCGTGAAACCGCGTGCTGCACGCTGCTCGATTCACACATCTCGCTTGCACCGCCGTCCACTCGTCCCTCTCCAAGCGCCTGCCTTTGCGCTGCAAGAACAGTCATGGTCCGCTGTGCTCTGGCGCCCATTCTTCGCGCGACTGTCGAGCGACGGAAGATCACGCCAGAGCCACCAGAGACCGCCCCTGCCGCACCCTACATCACCCTATGCTCATCCTCACCACGCTTACACGTTCTGAAACGTACAGGTACTTGGGCCTGTGGTAGCGGTCGTGGCTGCTGTGATGGCAGTGATACGGTTCTACTCCGTACAGTACAAGCCCAAAATGCTACCACGGCATTCCCCGCCCCGACTCTTTCTCTCTCCAGACATGGCGCATTCTTCGCGGCGTCTGCGCTGCCACCTCATTCGCCAAGGCACTGTCCTTTTCCGCCTTCGCGTGCCCTCTCGATTCTTATAGCCTAAGGCGGTCGCTGCTTGTCTTCGGCACCATCGTAGCGTGGTTCGTGGGCATGGAACCCCGATACCACTGTCTTACTTGTAGCCCTCGTCGGGCCTATTCCTTAATCTGCCTCTTACTGCTGCGAAGAGATACATGCCCTCGCTTCTCCACCACGCGCGCGTTCGCTCCACCTTACCAATACTCTTCTGAACGGATCGCCGAATCAGTACAGCCTTCCTCCTGTCATCCCAGCCAAGTGACTTAGCTTGACTTAGCTTTGCCGAAAAGGACGCTCGCGGGGGCTTGCACTGCTACCACTTTCACGAAACGTAGGACAGGTCAGCGGTTATCGGCACACGGGCTGCAGATGGGCGTGCTCCCTGCTGCAGAGAAAAGTGGAAGCATGTGCTGCATTTTTGCCGCGAGCGGAAGCTGTGCTGTGTCGAGCTGGACTGTACTCGACCTGCACTGTGCTGCACGGCCGTCCGGTCGTGGCAGCAGGAACGTGCTCGGCTCACCCCATTTCAATTTTTTTTTTTTTTTTGGAGCCACTGCTTGATTATTTCCAGACAATGCTTCTAAACAGTCGCAGCAGCAGCTTTGACTCGGCGACGTGGGCGGGATGGATTTTAGCTTCCGCGTCGCCCCAGGACGCTTGCGAGTGGCCCACCGCGCACGCCATACTGTACTTGTATATCCAGTATTTCATGCCGATCGTGGTTGGGAAAAGCAACAATGGCTGACAACCCGCATCAGGCGCTTGAGGCTTTGAATCAAAAGAGAAGGTCGAGCGGCGAGTAGCTTTCGGCCAAAAATGCCATACACGTCATTGAATCTGCCACCCGTCTCCTCGTCCATCGCAGCCCGTCATTTAAAGAGCTTCCTTCTTGGACGGCCTCTCCGTTCGCAGTCTTGCCTTTATGCTCCAGCTTTTTCCGGGAAGGCGGTCCGGTAGAGATCGTGCTTTGCAGTCCAGATCCCTGTGCTCGAGAATCCACACAGCGTAGCCGAGAGGTCGAAGAGACCTTCCGTGCAGTGGATGGTCTGCCTGGATGCTTCGCACCGTGTCACAAAAACGCCAGCAACACAAGGCTTATCCATCCCCAGCCTCGAACGCAGCACTTGTGGCCATTGTACATGACAAATAGATCGTCCTAGGGGGAAATCTTGTCTCGCAAATCATCTTTCTCGTTTCCACGTGTGAGGCCCAACGGCGTGGCCGAACCCTCACCAGGTGGCTTTTCATCTTCTACGCATGACATTCCCGGCCATGAAAGGGGCTTGCGCATGTAGGCGCCCGGCCAAAACACATCGTTCTTGTTGCGAAAGAAGTTCACCGTTAGTCCCAGCTTCGCGGTGCGCAGGATTGTACGTGTCTAGGTTCCTGGGATCTCTCTCGTCTTTCAGCCACAAAAGATGAGCCAGGCAGATGGGAACTCGACAGTTTCGTCGGTACCGACTCAACGTCTGCTGCGAACACGACTGAGAAGGCGTTTGTGCTCCTCAATCGGAACATTTCCCACACGTCACGATCGACGCGCGCTTGCCGCTGAACATGGATATTTGGGCCCGTGGAACTTTCTCTCCGCACGCATTTGTCCGTCATAAGGCGAATCATGCCCGCAAACCCTGGTTTGCATCCAAGCGATTTCTCCAAGGGGGCTGTCTTCCGCTTGGCGGCTGCCGAGTAAGAGGACTGCGTTCCAGCCTACGTGTCCCAAAACGAGTACAATATGATTCAGTCGCTGCTATCTTGACACTCTGTGCTCATTTCCGCCATGCAGTCCGACATCAATCGAGAAAGGCTCGTCCAAGTACGGAGGTTCTGATTGTGCATCCTCAGTCGACATCGCCTGATCCACGAGGAGCCGTGCGCGACCGCGAACCCACAGTCCACCTGTCGATTGGAACCACGCAGTCGGTTCTACAATCGTCTTGTGGACGTTGCTTCATCCCAAGACCGTTCAAGTCTGCGCTCCGGGGAAGACAATCACGGCGAGTGACAACAATAATGCATCGTTCTGACCAGTCCAAACGCGAGCGTAGAGTCATCGACTAGGGTAGACCTCACAATATCTCCGAAATTTCCTTGCTTTGAACCCTGACACCCAATAAACCTTAAGCCAGCTTTGGACAATGGTCCCTCCTTACCTAGGGCCTGGCATACTGTTTTATTCCCGAACGTGATATTAAGGTACTCTCTGAAGTGAAAGGGGAGCTTTCAGAAAGTCTTCAGTTTGTTACGGAGAAGGAGTGCATCTGTTTGAGGATAATGGGCCAAATGAAATAAAAAAAAATCTAATCCACTCCGCGTTTCAGGCATATTCCTGACTTCCAATTATGTTACCCAGGTACCTGGATTTCCCGCCCATCTGAGCGCACGCACCATCCGCAGCATGGCCATGCCATCCGTTGTGCTCCAGGACCAGCATCTCGCGGTATATAGGATTCCTTGCCCGCCCGCGGAGCGGAAAGACGGCCTTGCGAAAATAGACTTGGGGTTGAATCAGATCCATTCTCGAATCACGGCCTTGCCGTGGCATGATTTTCGATGGCAACGGAATTCGAAATTGGTCGCGAACCTGAGCGTGATCTTCGGAACGTCAACGATAATGTTTTTATGGAGCTCTACCGAGTGACAAAGATGCATTGCGTGGTTGGCTTTGTCGGTTCGATGACCAGACAGGCTACTTTAGGGTGATCTCACCGTCTCGGATGTCAGAAGGCACGCGTAAAGCCGTGCGTTTCTAAGACACACGAACGGGCTGTTTGTTGATCATGCAGTTCCAGGAACGAGCTCCGACTGGTACGGCCAGCGATTGGGAGTGCCGATCCAAGAACCCAGTAGACTGCTGCCTGTGGCTGCTTCCCCAGCATAGCTCGTATACACCGCCTCGTGGGAATCGCATTCACGCTGCCCCGTACGGTCGGCGACATGGCTGTCGCATGGGCGGCTACATTAAGATCTCCTGGGATCTTTGCACGTCTTATCAAGCTATCGCAATTCGGCGTACATTTCTTGCTTGGATTTGACATCCCTTGGGAAACAGAAAATAAATAAGAAGAGGCTATCAAGTCGGTCCTTAAGCGCGATACGCGTCTCCTTTTTCTAAATCATCTCCAGTGTCTCCACATATCGAATTTCGCTTCGGCATTTTACTAGTTGTGATGCGATGCTTAGAACACCAACCCCCTTCCACCCCTTTGTTCATCGTTGGTTAGACCTTCACACATCTGAAAGAGCAATCGAAGGTCTATCCAGAGACTACAACACTATAAAATCACGGAAGAGTCTGTTTCGAGAAGAACTGCCCTGTGACGTGAGAAGTGAATACTGTGACTACTTTCGAAGACGTGCTGCAGATATAGACTTCGCTAGGTTATGGACACGAGAACGATATGAGACATGGGCTTTGTCCAAAGAAAAGCGACCTTAGGTCTCTGAGAACAGACCTATCAACATAGTTCGATGTACGTCCGTAAAGCAAGCCCTTTTGGACTAAAAGACTTCCTGATCAGCCAACAGCCGTTTCCTGCAGAACGATCATAGATCGATTGAGCTCATTCGAGAAGTTCTCTGTTTCAATTAAGCTTCGATGCATGTCATGATTCTAGATGCGTCTGTTGCTAAGTTTGACGGTCGTTTCCGAGTTATCGGTTCTTTGACTGACGTCCCTCGAGCGTTATCTTCTATGAATGCCGGTGGAACATTCGATCAGACCTTGATGTTACGCATTACATGCCATAGACCATAGTAGATTGGGTATTTTCGACGTTTCAGGACGGAGAAGGATGAGAGGAAGAGCCTCGCAGAGACGACGCTCGTGAAGCGTCTGAGATCGTATTTCCAGTTGCAAGGTGGATGGTGTGGATGTTCCCAACTGTGAATTTCCCTCCAAGAATCCGCACTTGCAGTGTCAAATTCCATATCTGTAAGGGGCAGAGTTCTCTGAGATATTTTTTGCACGGCTTTGGGACGTAGCGATGTACGTAAGGTCTGGCTAGTGACTGCTCAAGCCGGCGTTGGAGAGTTAGTACTGCTCAAGCTTCTCCTGACCGAAGCGGTACTTCTTCACCAAGCGCAACGGACAGGCTTCCTTGATAGAGTAGAGCGTTGTGAACCATTCGCTTTCATCCCGATGATCCGCAAGATACTTTGCATTGCTTCTCCCCGTAGATACAGGTCCTCCTCCCCCTCTGAAGAGCGTATGAACGCGTCAGCTTCGTCCCTACTATCTAAACATAAGAGAACTACCTTCGAAGGCTGTGCCTAGAACGCACAAAAGGGCCGTCCAACGCTCGCGTGGACCCCCTTTTCCCTTTTAATGATCAGGGCCAACTCCTGTGCTGGCACGAACGTGGCCGCTCTTTTGCCGTGCCGAATGTCACGAGGTTGTGCTGCGGTTGGTGGAGAAGAACCGACATGACGCCCGTACGTAACAGTGCCTTTTTCAGTCAGCGTACGCGTTCGACTCGACCGCCTCTCGAGAGTCGCGGTTCGTCGACAAGGTCGTGCACATCTCACTTGCAGCATGGTGGCTGTGCATATGTTGAGAGCGCACAGAGTTGTATATTCGGTTCGCCATACATCTCCCCAACTAGCACCACTGACAACGCGGGGATGGAAGGAGGCATAAGACAAAATACGTTGGTTGACGTGTCCTCAGCTTATGTGATATATGCTTGCATGCTAGATAAGCAGGTCACGCACTTGAACATCTCCATGATATCTTCGTTTCAAAGAGGATTGCGTCTACATGAGCCCCTAGATTTCCCTTTGAAATATCCCGTGTATCCTCCTGATTCCGATCAAACTTCACAAGAAACGCCGTACGCTATGCTTTCTCGGACATCGCCCTTCCCAAGATAACAATCTTAAGAGAATGATACAGACTACTTCCGCACCGGGCCGTGTGGACGATCAGCAGGTTTCTTCACGCTTTTCGCCTTCTTGGCTGTGGCCTTCTTCTCCTCGATGATGGGTCGATTGATAGCATCCAGATACTGTGTCGCATTCCACTCCGCTTTCAGCTCATTTGCGCCGTTTACGTCCTTCAAGATCATGGTCTCGTCAAACAGCTCGAAGCTCGCCACATCTTCCTCGTCTCGATATCCGAGCTTGACCCAGTTCTCGTCGGATGCAGCGTCCAAGAACTTTTCGGTAGCTTCATACGTCGTCGATACCTGGGTGTCAGATTCGGCCTTGATGCGCTGCGCTGCAAGTGCTGTTGCAGAGACGGGCTGCTGTGGCTTGGCAAGTGATTTGGACGCATTTCGTGAAAGGGTGGTTTTGGCTAGTTGAGCTTGGGCGTCAATGTGATGAAATTGGGGCCGCATCTGGACTATTCCCGTGATTTCAGTGAGGTGGAGCTCATCTGATTGCATGATTCGTTAGAGTTTTTTCTTGAGATCGTGTTGTGAGGCACTGCAACGGGGTGTTATGTCACGTGATAGCACTCACTCCCTCTAAAAGTGCCAGCCATGTAGTACGGCCTTCCTTCATCAGGTTTCTTAATCGTCCCTCCGAATGTCTGCTTCATAAGCACTCCACCTCGCTCGACTTGGGCCTCAAAATCGTTTAGGGGATCTTCGTAACCAGACTTCCCTTTACCTGATCCACTGCCACTGACGAGTACCTTCATTCCGCTCTCTAACTCATTCCCTCTCCCAAAGCCACTGCTCAGCCCAAATCCTTTCGCCTTGGCGTCTTTAGCATGTTTGAGAGCCTGGCCCCATTGAAGACCTTTCAGCTTATCGAATCGCCTTGCTGGGGTAATTCCGATGTCAACTTCAAGAAATCCTGTTTTAGGTTTTACACGCATTTCGGTGGGTAAAGTGCCATGTTCGGCATTGAATGGATCTTGACGCTTGCGTGTGGGATATTGAAGGAGATAAAGTTGCTCCTTTAGCTCTGGAGTAATATATACGTTGTACTCCGCGACGACGGGGTCGTCATCGGAATCGACCTCCATGGCTGCTCAAAACACGGTCAGCTCTGAGATTTGAGCGTATTCGATTCCGTATTGTATGCTTACAAGACATCTTGATCGCCTTTCGTGGTTGTAGTGGTGAATTTCCAAATTTGATACAAAGGCTTGACAAATTATAGCGGGTCGAAATCTTGGCATCTTGCGCGCCGCAGTTCTGGTCATAGCTTTGGTAGCTCCATCTTAACGCCGGCGCGTCATGCACGTAAGTAGTGGAGAAGCGCATAGACAGAGGCTTGCCCGTGTTTCTCACCACCAACACGACCAGTACAACTCTTATCTAAGTCAGAGAGATGGCCTACATTGCGCCCATCCATAGACCGAGCAGCGTCCGGCATGCGCTTAAGCTGCGATTTCTCGACCCAGACGAAGACTGCTTAGTTGTTGCGTGAGCACAAAATCCTCCCTGCGGCAGACCGACGAACACAGCACTGATACCACTTGCAGTAAATCAAACCGCCTAGAGTTTTACACGCAGTCTCCTGAAGATGATGGCTTTCTCCAACTCCGACACTCACGTTTGCTGCATGGCAAAATCACTGTACTAAATAAGATCAAGCCCTCAACTTCGCGGAGAGAGCATATCTTTGTAGGGACCGCTCGCCACATGTACTTTACTCTATCATGGGATCCAGAAGAGAAGCAATTGCGGACCGAAAAGAGCTACATGGATCTGGCCGACAACACTGCGAGGGAGGTTCAAACGGAACAGCGGTGCCTAATTGACCCCACCGAAGAATTCCTCACGCTTGAAGTGTATGAAGGTATCATCACGACCATCCCGCTCGTACGAAAAGGCAGAAAGAAGGAAATCCTGGAAAGTGGAGTCTTGGGTGAACCGGTTGCGGCAAGAATACCAGAATTCATAGTGCGTAGCTCCGCATTTCTACCAAGACCACCAGGACAGAACGAAAAGCCGAGACATGCATTATTGTATGAAGACTATGAAGGGAAAGTCAAACTGCGGATAAGAAACCTGGCATATACTTCTGCCGGTGGGGGCGAAGCCTCCGTTGAGTTCGAGGATGACCCTCAGCGATTACCGTCATTGCCTATGGATATGGGAGCGAACATCCTGATACCAATCAACGGGCCCCCATACGGGCTTCTTATTCTAGCAGAAACGCAAATATCATATTTCCACGACGAGAACTTCACCATCATTACTCGACCCCTTGACGAGGCGACGGTATTCAAAACGTGGGAGCGAATCGACAATCAACGATACGTGCTTGGCGATATTTACGGCAAATTATATCTTCTGATGCTGATCATGGATTTTGAGGATAAAGTCCAAGAGTGGAAATTAGACTTATTGGGTGATATCCCCGTTGCTTCAGCGTTAGTATACCTAGATGCTGGTTGCTTATTCGTAGGTTCGCATCAAGGTGATTCGACAGTCGTTAGAATAATGGAAGGAAAAGGTGGAGGTGCCATTGAGACCGTCCAGACTTTCTCGAATATCGCACCCATTCTGGACTTTACCATTATGGACATGGGTAATCGGACTGGCGAAGGACAGACGAATGAATACTCTTCAGGCCAGGCAAGGCTTGTGACAGGCAGTGGTGCCTTCGCCGATGGCAGTCTAAGAAGTGTGAGAAGCGGCGTGGGGATGCAAGAGTTAGGCATTATTGGCGAAATGAGTCACATCACCGATTTGTTTAGCCTGAGAACGGATCCAAGCTCGCAGTTCGACGACACACTCTTGGTTAGCTTCATCAACGAAAGCAGAGTGTTTTATTTCCATCCTGAAGGTGACGTCGAAGAACTACCTGACCATAAGGGGCTAAGTCTGGACGCGCAAACATTACTTGCAAAGAGCTTGGCAGATGGGCATCTGTTACAGGTTACCCCATCCTCTGTTGTGATCAACGAGCTGGAAAGTGGGATGAGCATATCTCAGTGGTCACCATCGTCTGGATCAATCACCGCCGTGTCAGCAACAGAATCAAAGGTGCTAGTTTCCGTCGATGGGACGTTGCTGGTCGTTCTCGATATTGCCCGGAATCTTGTTATACAATGTTCAAGGGACTTTTCGGCAACCAAGCAGCTTTCTTGTGTTGCAATCTCCTCAGAACTGCCCGAAATTTGCATTGTAGGACAATGGCAAGGCTCTTCGGTCTCTATTCTTTCGCTTTCCGACCTTGACGTTCAAGCGACCGTACAAGTCAGCGAGGACTCTATCGCGATCCCTCGCAACTTGCTCATCACCCGTCTTTTTGAAGCACCACATGCACCCACACTTCTTGTGGCCACGGCTGATGGCAATGTTACTACCTTTGACATCGACTCATCATCATACCAGCTCAGCTCAAAGAAGAGCACAATCCTCGGCACACAAGAAGCAAGCTTCAGGGCCATACCGCGTGGCAACGGTCTTTTTAGTGTATTCGCTACATGCGACCATCCATCGCTCATCTACTCCTCCGAAGGACGTATTGTCTTCTCAGCTGTAACGGCAGAAAAGGCAGTCTCAGTTTGTGCTTTTGATGCCGCAGCGTACCAAGGAGCCGTGGCCATTGCTACAGCCGATGACTTACGAATATCCATAATTGATACGGAGCGCACGACACATGTACAAACCTTGGCTGTAGGCGAAACAGTCAGGAGAATAGCGTATTCACCTACACTTCGAGCTTTTGGTCTCGGCACGATTAAACTAACACTGAGGGATGGAGTTGAGACGCTCACAAGCCATTTCAAATTAGCAGATGAGGTGATGTTTAAAGAACTCGACACATATCGATTGCATGATAATGAGATTGTGGAAACAGTCATCCGTGCTGAACTCAACGATGGCACCGGAGACACTGCCGAACGCTTCATCGTGGGTACGAGCATCGTCGATGACGACGAGGCCAGCGAGCACCACGGCAGAATAATTGTATTTGAAGTCACGGAGGACCGTATTCTCAAGGAAATAGCCGAACATCCGGTTCGTGGTGCCTGCCGAAGACTCGCTGTTCTCCCAAATGGCAAAATCGTAGCGGCGCTTGTGAAGACCATTGTTATATTCGACTTTCAATATCGCACTGCATCAACCCCAACATTTCAAAAAAATGCGACGTACCGAACATCTACTGCCCCGATCGATCTTTGTATATCAGGAAATAATAAGATTGCCGTCGCGGATCTCATGAAATCGTTATCAATACTGGAGTATCGTCCCGAATCCAAAGCAGCAGCCAGACTCGATGAACTAGTTGAAGTGGCTAGGCACTATCAGACTCTTTGGACTACGGCCGTGAGTGATGTGGACGAGGACACTTGGGTGGTCGCGGATAGCGAGGAGAACCTGCTTGTGCTTGCAAGGGATACAGAAGGCGCCACCGAGGAAGATAGGAGAAGACTCAGAGTCACCAGCGAGATGGCATTGGGCGAAATGGTTAATCGGATCAGGTCTGTGGATGTGCAGGTCCAGAATGGAGCTCCTGTCATTCCGAAGGCTTTCTTAGGCACAGTATGTTTTCGATCACTTTCTTTCGCATTCCATTCATCTGGAAGCTAACATCTTTTGAAATTACAGGTCGAGGGCTCCACTTACCTCTTTGGACTTATCTCTCCATCCCATCAGAATATTCTCATCCAGCTTCAAGATAATCTTGCCGAATTGGTGCAATCTCCCGGTGGAATCGATTTCAACAAGTACAGGGCATTCAAGAATCAGGTCAGAGAGGAGGAAGAACCTAGAAGATTTGTGGATGGAGAGCTAGTAGAGAGGTTCCTAGATGCTAGCAGTGAAGTACAACTGCAAGCTGTGAAGGGATTAGGAATTGGGGTGGATGAAGTAAAGGAGCTGGTGGAAGGATTACGAAGGCTGCATTGATTGTTAGAATTCGAGGTACACAAGATGCCCGAGCTTAGAAAAATGACACGATGATCGATTCGCTGGCCTCATCAGTCTCTTGTGCAGCTTTCATTCTGCCATTCCACGGGAGAAACCCACATTTGGGAGGAAGATATATGCTACACTGTGCTTATGCTCCTCCGTTATAGTATATTTGATCTTGAAGCACTTTCAGTAAGCAGATATACAAGACTTAAGTGAATGTTTTGAGTATCCTGATTTTGAGAGGATGTCTTAGCGCGCATTCATATAGCTGGACAAAATCCTATAGCAACTTTGATATCACGAGTCAACACCGCTGGATAATCAAGCCACCGTTTGCAAGCTCTCGAGCACGAATCTGGAATGAAATCCATCCCAAAGCTTCCTTGGCGGCTTTCTTCAGAGAACTCCGAATCCACAGTCGATTCGAAACACGATCCATGCTCTAAGATGGGAAACGATCTGGTTGCGCTTTCATTCTAAACCAGAATACAATCACACTTGCTAAAACCACTTGCATCGTCGTATCTGATTGTTTTTGAACTTCTTCCGTGAATACCACATGCCGCGGCCGATTCTCGAGTGCTTATCTTAGAAAGGTCCGCACACCTTTCTGGCAGAAATTACCTAACAACCTGACGGCCACACCAACATGAAATCGAGGCACGCACGTATTCACCAACAAAAGAAAGAGGAAGTTGGGCTGAGAGTCGAAAAATGACGACAATCACCCCTCGTCATTGTGGCCACGATGTGGCATGGCAGCATCTCAAATACGACCGTTGGCTCTGTTGGCTTCCCGAGTAACAAATTCTGGCCAAGCAGCTCGCCAATTTGCCGAGAATCACGATTTAATACAAATGATCAGAAGTTCAACGTCTGTGTGAGGAAGGGCCGCTAAATCAATATTACGTATATATGGAGAAGATTGTACTAAAAGTCCGTCCTGATTTTGTAAAGAAATGAGAAATAAGACCTTCTGTTGGCAAGTAAAAGTATCCAATATCGGCAAGCTCGGAGCCACATGAAAGTCCGGGATCACCCATTTGGATTTCTCTGCATTCTTCTGCAACATTGGGTGCTTCGCTCGAGACAGATCCATAACTTCGTTCATGGCGCTTTCGATGAGTTTTCGGATGGTTAAGCCGCCTTTCGAAAACACTATGCAAAGTCGAAGACAAGTCCTATGGCGAAACTTCTCGTGATGGTCAGAGACATTTTGGTAGTCTCATAAAGAAATTAGACTCTGAATTCAATATTTTCAAGAGTTTCTTACATGAGAAAGGGATGTCCGTTGCGTCGGAAGGGATAATTTGTAAATGTTGGTCCACTTTGCGCTTGTTGTTATGATTCCTGGACGTCGCCTTTTGCTCCTGATGCGATTCACTTGGTTGTCGTCAATGCCATCGATTCTGACCTTTGGCTGAGGCTCACATCTTTCTGACGTTACGACATGCTAGTCATATAATTCCTTGCCAACGAATGCCCGAAAGCACCTTGGACATTGACTATGCTTTCGATGTTTCTTCTATAACTGGTTTCTGCATTGAATTAGCAATTGAATCAAAATTACATTGTAAGAGGGCACAAGTGGAACAGAGAAGACATACTGCAATCGAGATATACTTTCCCATCCAGGCCCAGGACATTGTCTCCAATTTTGATACTTCGCTGGATTGTTCTTGGAAAAAGGACACGCCCGTTTGCAAGCACTCTTATGGACAGTTGAGGCTTAGGGCCATAGGCTCTGCGGTTATTTCCATCCCCTCCCTCGTTGTCATCTCCACCTTCCTCATTGGCAATACTACGGCGAGCACCTGAATTGGTTTTCCTCATCTTTTTCGGTGAGCACAGAGGCTTGGTTCCGGAACTGCCGCTTGATGAGGACGTATTGTCGCTGACGTGGCTACGGATTGATGAATTTCTTTGAGGTAGTACATATTTTAAATGTTCACACAAAGTTTCTCACCCTGGTCTCGGTGTCTGTTCAGAACGGGCTTGATAATCAGCCAAAGAATGGCTTCTGCGGCGAATTGAACATCGAATTTAATATAATCGTCAATTTCATCTTCCTCTGCAGAATTCTCGTCGGATTCTCCGCCTGGTCGAACGACTGTTGAAGAACCCCGGATTTTCTCCTCAATCAATCTTGTCTCGATCGGGCGATGCACTAAAAGTGTTTAAGACTAAAAAGAGATGTAAATAAGGGAGGAGTAAAATACTCTCTTGGCTGGGCAGGTTGAAACCGATCCAAAGGGTGCGAATCATCCTGAATCCTATCCAACTCAAGCCTATAATCTAAACTCTGGGGCCAATTACCCCCATTGAAAAACATCTCTATCGTGTCCGAGACTCATCGACGTTGGTAAGCGGCAGCCATTCGAGCTTAGGCCTGATATGGGTCTGAGGTGTAAGAAACTGGTAGAGAGGTGTGAAGAGATCGAGAAAGAGTGCTGCTTCCGTGGGAGATAGAATCAGAGTACTGACTATACGTTGTCGCTTTATAAATTTGATAATTTTGGCACGAAGAGCAATAAATCTTACTTTTTTGACGTCGGATGCCTTTCATTGGGCTAAAACTGTGTCGTATCTTTAGCATAACTTGTAATTATCAGCACACGGAAAAGAAGTCTGCCAATTTGCAGCTGCGGGCGAGTTTTCACGCAGAAGAGTCGCTTGCTTAATACAATGAACCATGCTGATGAAGACCGCAGTTGCCATTCGATCGCGCAGTAGTCCGTCAAAGTATGTGTACTATGTATAGTTTGTGAAAAATCTCCGGAGCAGGAAAGCCATTGAGCTAGGCTATGCTCATCTAATAATCGAACGACTTTCACCTCATAGGGGTACTTACTGGCGCAGAGTCGATCGCACGGAAAGTAATACACTCTGTTTGTCACTGGCCCAAGGTGGACTCCTTGCATCCGAATCAACATTTTGCTGGACCGCGAAGTGTGACGGGTCGTTTGAGAAATTTGAAAATGGGGGAATTGAGAATTGCACGAAACGGTCTTTCGTCATTTCCGACGCGCAAAATGTATGGTAATGGGGAGGAAGAGCTAATAATTACAAGCCGAGCTAGTAACTGACCTCCCGGGCAACGAAACCATGGTAATACCAGATGTAGGTTTAAAATTGCGGGTAAGTGATTTTGCGAAGCAGTGAAGATTTTGCAAACAAGTACGGAAGATGGGTGATTTTGAAATATTCTACAAGACAACGTGAATATAGTGTGAAATTTGTGCTTTGTAGAGACAATTCTCCCCAGTACATTTTCTCTAGAAGAGCAACATGTTTTACGTTGACGCGAAGGATGGATGGCAAAGGTCATGGAGACGTTGTGGCAGAGTTCTAATGAGACGAGCTCAGCACTGGGAGACGAATGCGTTCGCCAACCAATCATCTGCGGCCATTTTACCGCGATGAGCTACGCTTTCTAGCCTTTGTCCACAAGGCTGAGCCAAAGGGATCGCACGTAGCATTGCGTCTACATACCAACAATGTCGGTACAGGTTGCGTATGCTAAAGGAGGGTATTTGTAAAGCATTTGGCAATTTCGGAAAAGACTCGGTATGTGGATGGATGTGATAGATTCGTCTTGCCGCTTAAGTGATGTTAGCAAACAAGGACAATACAAGTTTGAGAAGCGTCCTAAGGACTCGAATCATAAAAGATATACCTTCATTTTAGGCGTTAATGGATTCTATGAAGCGCTTAAATCTGACTGCTGCATCCAGTGCGTACGTTAGGGTAATAAGAAGCCCTGTCTTGCTCCCCGGCCCTATGATTCGCGTCAAAGCGCGTGTGGAGAATAAATACATTCTCAGCTTATCTCCAGCAAGGCGAAATCCTCTGTTCTTAACAGCCAAAGTTCAGACTGGGGTTCAGAAGTGGTGTCCTTTAACAGCGCCGTTTGTGCTGCCATAATCGGTAGACTACCCTTCCATACTTGTTTGCATGCCGTAGCATCTCTACGCTGACTTTCAGCCCATCTAGACCAGCCTTGCAGGGCAAGGCGAAGACAGGGATATGTGACAGCTCTTCAAATAGCTTCATTAATGGGAGGCACCTTTAAGCCTTAATCGACATATTTCTAAGAGAAGATGATATAAAGTTGGCTGCAAACTAGGCGAAGACCTCTTGAAACAAGAAACATGGATCATGATCATACTTAATGGAGATGATTCAAGTCGTCAGATGGCACAATAGTCATGTCTTGGGGTTGATTCAGTGCATTTGGCTCTTCATCACATAGCAAGTGCAAAGGTTTGCAGAAGACCCTTTGTGACATATCGGGTATGTAATACTTTTAAGACCTTTGAGGGATGGACTGCTGGGTCGATTCTTGTACCTCTGAGGAACCACGCGGATCAGAGCAAGCAACTATAGAGTTGGAAATGCTGGGATGTTCCGTAATGGCCATCATGAGGCTCTGCCGTGTGACAATTTCAAGACAATCCCTGAAGAACACAGCATGCTTTGTGCTCATACAACGTCCAACGATTCGAGACCCATGTTGAAGTTGAGATGTTGCTTTCTACAGGGTGCTCGTTACTATATTGATTCGCATCGTCAGCTGCCTCAACGTAGGCCAGATAGAGATAGCACGTGGATGCCCCTCAATGCCAGCGATACATTGTCCTCATGGCCTTGCTCAGCCGTGCACTCGAAAATTAGTCTTGGCAATGAGGTGTCAACTCAGGAGTAGCCAAAGCAGTCAGCAAGGGCCTGCTCAGCACAACACCATTCGACGTTATGAAAGCCGCCTTGCACTCGGTAGCTTAGTCATGTGTGGCTTAGGCATTTTCTTTTGTAGATCTTCTCGCAATTGTCAAAAGTGATGAAGAACAGAGTACGGCGGAAAGTCTTCATACGGCCATGAAGCTCGCATGCTCCCGCTTTGATCGCATGGGACAACCGCATGTCTGAGCGTTTGCGGCCAAATACGCACTGCAGCGTCGTTGAGAATAAATGAGTTATCATGACTAGCAGACCAGGGGATGCAGCCAACCCGTCTGCTGCGGGCGGCACATACTTGTATGAGCAGAGGGAGGCGAAGAGGTAGGAAGGTCACAAGTGAAGAATAGGAGAACCGCCAGCCAGAAATGGTTAGTGCCTAAGCACGTGCAGCTGGTGGCACGGTCGGGGCGCGCGCCGATCGCTCTTACCAAGCGTTCCCGCGCCCGGACCCCGAATTTTAGACTTCGCATGCGGCTGAGCGTTGCGCCTTCCAACTCACTCTGACAGCCAGCGCTGAATGCTCACATTCTCGTTTCCTCAGTGGAGGCGGCGAAAGCACCGCAAATGTCCAGACATATGATTGTTGACTAGTTGCACAGCTCTCGAAAGACGTCGTGCATGCTTAGCAAATGTCGGCTCTGACAATGATCTGACCCTCCGTACCGGAATCATTAGCCCTGGGCGTGGCGCCACGAAATTACGCCCTGTACGGTGGTAGCATTTGGGCGAGAGACCAACCGCCGCCGAAAGCACCATGGGAGCCTCTTTTAGGATCTCCCAACGTCTTGAGTTTCTATCCTTCTCCGTTCCCTTTCATCTTTCCGTTTTCCTCTCGCGTGTCTCCGCCCTCCAGTCGTTACAGTCGTGATGTCCATGCCTCTGCTCGCGTATGGCTGAGAATACGAGAAATTCGGAACTCGTGCCCATCTAGGACGCCTTGCAACCCCGCGGAAATTTGGTAGAGCCCAGTCGAGTGTAGACAAAACGAAACGCAGAGCTTCGCTGCATTTTATACGCACAGCGTCGGGTCCGCAGCAGCAGTTTGGGTATCGCTGCACCGTTTTTATGACCTGAGCATCGCTGCTGAGGCGTGTAAAAGGTATCTGCGGGCCATGGCAGAACGAGAAGGAGCTTGGCCTCTGCCGGACTGGAACACCAGTACCGACAATATCTTGCACACAACTGAAAGATCAGAAAAGCCGTTTGGCGTGACAGCACAGTACACATTTGCGCCTCCGGTTAGAACGAGGAAGCATAGCCGACTATGTACGTTGGTTCGACATCGGTTTATGTGGAGACGTGTCTGACATTAGAACAGGGGTGGTGCTCGCTATGATGGCCGTCATAGTGGCCATCGTTGGTACCACCATAGGTGCACTATTCGCAGCAAAGGTCGTACACACGAAGTCGAACATGGAATCGGATTCACAACTGGCGGCAGACGGTGGGTCGCCTACCACGTCAACGAGCCCGACGCCCACCAGTTCTGCCGTGGCGACGAGCACCTCCAAAGTCAGCACGTGCCCTACCGCCGACGATATTCCCAGTGACGCCAAAGGGACCTGGCTCGACACGACGAGCTGGTTGGACATGAGGGACTTCAACTGCACGTTCACCGATAAAATGGTCGGCGGACTCCCAATCGCGGGCCTTAATTCCACCTGGAACGACACCGCTCGGGCGAATCCAAACGTTCCGGCCTTGAACCAGACATGGCCCTACGGCACGCTGCCTATCCGCGGCGTGAATCTCGGGGGCTGGCTCTCGTTGGAACCGTTCATAACGCCCTCGTTATTTGATGCCGTTCCCGGAGCGGTAGACGAGTACACGCTGTGCCAGAAACTGGGAACGAAAGCCGCGCAGACTTTGGAGGAGCACTACTCGACGTTCATCACGGAGGACGACTTCAAGGCCATCGCCGCCGCCGGTCTGGACCATGTCCGTATCCCGTATTCGTATTGGGCGGTGAGGACGTACGACGGCGATCCGTACGTTGCGAACGTGTCTTGGCGTTACCTGCTACGAGCCATCGAATGGGCTCGGAAGTACGGTCTTCGCGTCAGCCTGGATCTTCATGCCGTTCCTGGCAGTCAGAATGGCTGGAACCACAGTGGAAGGCAAGGGTCCGTCGATTGGATCGTGGGTCCGGACGGCGCACTCAACGCGCAGCGCTCGCTGGACATACATCAGCAGCTTGCAACCTTCTTTGCGCAGCCAAGATACAACAACGTCGTCACTTTCTACGGTCTCGTAAACGAGCCGAGCAAGGACATTCCGCTGAACGAGCTCGAAGCCTGGACATCGCAAGCTTACAACGTCATCCACGGCGCAGGGTTCAACTCCACGCAGGTCTTCAGCGAAGCCCTGCGAGGTCTACCCGCATGGCAAGGCCAGCTGCAGGGCTACGGCAACAGTTTGGCTCTCGACGTCCACGAGTATTTGCTCTTCGACGACGCTCTCATCTCCAAGACCCACGCGGAAAAGGTCGGGTTTGCTTGCGAAACCTACAAAGAAACGATGACCGCCAGCATAAACACCGCGACCGGTTTTGGCCCCACGATGGTGGGGGAGTGGTCGCAGGCGGACACTGACTGTCAGAAGTACCTGAATGGCGTTGGCATGGGCTCTCGATGGCTAGACACCTTCAACGCAGACGGGAGCCAGCCCAACTGTCCAACACACGACAAACAGTGCAGCTGCGACCTTGCAAACGCCGATGCGTCGACCTTCTCGGCAGACTACAAACTGTTCTTAAAGACATTTGCGGAGGCCCAGATGAGCGCGTTCGAGATAGGTTGGGGATGGTTTTACTGGACGTGGAAAACCGAGTCGGCACCGCTATGGAGTTATCAGGCCGCACTTGAAGGCGGCTTCATGCCGCCCATCGCCTATCAGCACGATTGGGACTGCTCGCAACCGGTACCGAGTTTCGGTAGCCTCCCGGAGACGTACTGAGCTTCGGCTTAGAACACTCGTAACACGGTACGGCGTTTTTTTTTCTTTTCTGGAGGGTTTGACTTATGATGGGATGAACTACGTGAGAGATACCAGGAGGATTTCAATGTTTATTGTATAATGAATAATTCTGCGATTGACAGAAGTCATGCTTAGCAGATACCAGCGACGTCTGCAAATCAAAAAGCATTTTTTATCTTGACCAACACTACGCATGTTTTAAATCCAAATTCACGGTGCAGATCACTAGGGCGTGACAGTTATCGTGCAAGTCTCCGCTTCTGGGGGACAGAAATTGGCCTTCGGCGTTCAAATCTCTTCAGAACGAACGACAGATTCTCAGAAACCTGCCTGCTTGGTCCAGTGATCCGGAACGGAGTGCCCTGATGACTGTCCTAGTGAGACATCTTTGCACCTCCTTCGGCGTGTCAAAGCATATTATAGCTCGCGTCGAAGGAGATGATTTTCGATCGAAGAAGAAAAATGTGCATTCATCCACTAAAAGAGGCTGTGTACCATCTTAGCACCCCGTAGTTCTTGTCAGCATTTTCCCTTCACATCGTGTCCGAGATAAGCGGAACTTCGTTGGCTTCAAATGGTAAAGAAATGGACTTGACTAGTCATGTGTGTATTGGACTTAAACACGAGTTGTGCCAAGCCTGGGCAAGCGTACTCACGGAACGGAATCTTCGACGTAAAGTCATCAAACTTAACGAGTACATTCTTCTTTGTCAATGACAACGCATTGTGGTTTTCAACTTCATTCGTTGGGCTTCCCTAATGGAGAGATTTTGTCAAGCTGAATGGGCTGAGTTTTGCCTGAGAATACGGCTGACTCCGATTGGGGCGCAGTCGGCCGTCTCGCCACGTCTGCACAATGTCGAACTTGTTAACACGTAAAGTTGGTTGCAACACTCGTGATGTCGTCGTACACGGACAAGACACGGTTACGAAGCCATGTTCTAAGCATCCTTTGGTATCAGGAACCCTGACGCTCACGGTAAAACGAGGCAGAATTCGACATGAATAGCGACTCAGCCCCTCTGTGCCCAAGAAAGACATAAGAACTGAAGCGGTGATCCAAGAATGTTGCTGGAATGTCGAGGCCAGCCAGGGAAGTCACAGGCGCGACTACGCTAGATCAGAGACATGTGCGTGTCACTGATGGTACCTGCAGGATAGATCATAGACTGGGTCGGGACACAGTTTGCACGGTGGGGTGCTTGCGATTCTCGAGGCTGTGCCATAATAAGCGGTTGTCTGCCTCTTCTCCTCAAAAGGCAGAGTACAGTATGGAGAACGAGTCGGAACTGGGACATACTTCCTGTACGTGTCCAGTGCGTGGGTACGGTTAGCGTATAGGTATGGTCGGTTGCTCGCGGAGAGAGTGAGATGGCCGCATTTGGAAAGTCGCTTGCAGTACGAGGCATATGATCCGCCAATGATTATCAAGATCGTCTAGCAGGGGAACGATCAGACAACAATATCGTGTCCAACAAGTGGACACGAGCGTCTCAGAGGTACACGGAGGTCAGCATGCGTGGGTCGAGGATCTGAATTCTTCTGGAATGAAACAAATCCACTTTTTGCAGTCCTGGCTTTTGAGAAACGCGGCCAAGGGTGGGACAAGCACCCACAAAATGCCCAGCAGAGGAGAAGAGCAGTTATCACGGGACAAGAAGAAGCACGGATGAAGATGACGATGACCCATCCAACGCTGGCCAGCATATCGCAGCACGTCAGTCGGGAAATGGCTACTCAACGAGGCCAGCCGAAATTTGTCGCCATGGCGAGAGTCCTGATCTGGCTGCTTGTGTCGCGCGGCGGGATCTCCCAGTGCCACCGACGTCGGCCAACCCAACGGATCTTGGGGAAATTGGCGCCACGAAGGCAAAGGTTCTTGGGTGTTATCTCTGAGATTGAGAGGCCAGGGTGTCCAGGAGACAGTTAAGAACGAAAAATTTAATCGCGCACACAAGAGAAGGCAAAGCTCTCAAGAAAGCTGACGGTAGTTTGCCATGCAGCAGCAGAGCTTGTCTAGAGCGAGGCTGTGCAGCGCGCAGAAGGAACTGGTGGGAAGCTCTTGCCTGCCCTCAAGTACCGCTCGCGGGTCCTCAGGCAGCCAGGCCGAAAAGGCGGAACTGCCGCGTCGCTTGTGCACGCCTGCTTTGGCTGAGGGCATCACACGTTTCGACGTGGCGTCGCGACGTGCAGGCGAAGCAGTGCTGAAGGACAGGGCCCGCTACGACATTGGCGATGACGATGCTGAGATAGAGGAGCAGCAGCAGCAGCAGCAGGAGCAGGAGTGGGAGGAGTAGGATGACGACTGTGTCCTGCTGCGACAAAGGATGCATGTGGAAAGCTCCCCTGGCTCGTCAGGAACCGATGCCTTGCGAATACCATGGGATAACATCACGCTCGCGTTGGGGCGGTTGACCAAGCCCAGCTTGCAACGCAGCTGGGCTTGTACGGCTGCGGCGCTAAAGACAAGTCAGACGGTGCTGATATCATGTCTAATGAGAGCGTGCAAATGATGATTGAGTCGCCAAGTCGGCGTTGACACAATTCCAGGTCTTGGGTCTTGCCAAGTGTTGGCCAATACCAAACCGCAACAGTCTACGGCGACGCTTGCGAGGCGGGTTGGCAGGAGTCGAAGTAGCTGGACGACTAAGCAAGCTCACACGCGCTGGACTACGTCAAGGACGAGGCAGCCCATCGATGACACACTGACGTGGAGGGACAAGAAGACAAGGGGCGAGGAAGGGAAGGAGGAAACAGGATCAGCTTGCAAGCAGGTGAGCGCGCAGACGACGGTGGACGGTGCTTATGTACGCCTTGGGAGAGAGCAGCGAGAGCGACGAAGCGCGCTATGCCAGGCCTGGACCACGGCCTCCTGCGACCACATCCGCTACACGCAACGCCGCAGCAGCCCGTCCGTCCTCCGCGCAAGAGGTGCTCTCTGTGCTCCGCCGATCGACCACCACCACGCCCAACGCTCGCCAGACAGGCCAGTGAATTGCACAATTGCCGGGTCCGGTCCGAGCGGCGACCTGAGCATGCGTGAGGGTGCTGGGATTGGCGTATGTGCCGTGTCGCCATTGGGCCCTCAGACCCGCCAAAGCTCGGCGCGCGACTGCATTGAGGCTATGCTCTCTTGGCTGCTCCCGCAAGACAGTCAACTTTCCTGTTTCGAGCACATCTCTCCAACTTTCACACCTTCTCTAGTCCACTGCTTTTCGCGCTTTTCTCCATTCCCACTCCCAAGATTGCCACCTTGAGTCGAGACATCATGGCCTCCGCGTTGCCATGAACCGCTGGTTGATCCTGGAGACGTGCCGGCGGCAACACAGCTAAGCCACAATCTCAGGACACAAACTCCCGTCTTTTCTACTTCCGCTGCTCCCGCAAATCCCAATTCGACTCGCCAGACAGCCTTGCGCCCGTGTTGTCGATACCGGTCGGCACGTTTGCGCCTGGCCTATACCCAGACAGTTGTATTGCTCAACCCGTCGCTGCGGACACGGCCGAACCTCACTATCATCTCTTTGTACTATACTTGTCTTCTCATACTAGCGTCCTCCCCGAGGATACCCCGTCAGCCTAGCACCACTCGTCGTCAATCGGATTGCACCCAGTTGCCGGTCAGAAGAGCTCGACACCTTTTGATAAACCCCCTAATTTATGCTTTTCCACCTTGGAATCCAGTTTTCAAGAGGGATCATACCCCTAGTTGCTCAGTACGGTCGACGGCGGTGCCGCCTCCAGCGATAACGTAACGGGACCCGCGCTGCGACCGTAGCAAGTCGAGCGGGCAGATCGGCCATCTGACAGTGAGAAGACAGGATAGCTACTGTGCTGTGCCCGCTGTGAAGGCTAACGGAGAGCCGTAGGGCTGGAAGTGTACGGAGACAATTCTTCGATATGGGGGACAAAGACAAGCCGGCGGCATTGAGGCGGCCGCGCGCTCCTACAATAACTGTCGACACGTCCAACGTGAACGAGCATCATGGTATGTGAAAATCTTCGTTCCCTTTTCGATGGTTGGTCCGTTCGATGGCCTGCGAGAACTCCGCTGGAAACGCCGGAAGAATGAGGCAATGCTGCGCATCACAGCTTCAGCGATTCGTGGCGCACGATTACCATGAGCGCCAAGAGAGCACACCGTGGCGAATGCTGCCGTCTGGCTTGCAAGCCGCAAGGAGTTACGTGTTGCTGGAAGGCGCAAGCCTGTCAAGGCTTGTGCTTATGTGCGTGCCTGCGAGGTGAATCAGTGTGCATGTGCCGAAGCAAAGGCCAGTTTGACTGCGGTCTTGCGAATCGCGACTTCGTCGACAAAAGCATCCGCATGCGAAACGAACGATGGCTGCTGCACATTTGGCCGGCCGCGGCTTCTCTTGCGATCTCTTGCCACATATGCCAAGTCTTGCGGTGCAGTCATTCTTCAATCCTCGCTGCATGACCGGCCGTAAAAGGCAGCATGAACTTTAACCACACATCTTGCCACATGACGTTGCTCTCTATTTTTTTTTCTAACATGGTTCATCCAGATATCGAAGTTAACTCGCCATCCACGTTCTCCGGTAACACGAACACGCTAGCTGTGCCGACCGGAAACAGAACGAGAGGAGGCTCTGTGGATTCATTCTCGTCAGCCGGAGCTAGTAGTCAAACGTACGTTGAGTCCATTCCGGCATCAGCATCTAAATATCAGAGTTCTGAAAGATCGAGATCCAGTTACTCCGAGATGGGCGAAGAGGATGTATTAGCTCCCCGGGAGGGAGAAGACGAGACGTTCAACATCGAAGACAATCCATTCGCGTTCGTGCCCGGTCAGATGTCCCGTCTCTACAACCCAAAGAGCTTGGAGGCTTTCAAGGCAGTCGGGGGTTTAGGAGGTCTGGAGTACGGCCTGCGAACGGACATCAAGACAGGTCTGAGCCCTGACGAGCAAAAGCTGGACGGCAAGGTCACAATAGAAGAGGCAAGGGCCAAAGCATCAGATACGACACGAAAATCAGCGGTAAAGCCTGCGGTCTCGGGTGGTGATGACGCGATCACGCCTACGAAAGTGGCCAAATCTGCCTTTGAAGATCGCAGACGAGTGTTTGGCGAGAACAGGCTGCCGGAAAAGAAGCCGAAAAACATCTTGCAACTGGCGTGGATAGCGCTGCAGGACAAGATCCTGATCTTGTTGAGCGTTGCCGCCGTCGTCTCGTTAGCACTTGGCTTGTATCAAACGTTTGCGGGTACCGAGCCTGGAGCCAAGGTCGAGTGGGTTGAAGGCGTGGCCATTATTGTGGCTATCTTTATCGTAGTGATGGTTGGCGCTGTGAATGACTGGCAGAAGGAGAGGCAGTTCATGAAGCTAAACAAGAAGAAGGACGACAGGCTTGTGAAGGTCATCAGATCGGGAAAGACGATGAAGGTCAGCGTCTATGAGTGCTTCGTAGGCGATGTTATGATTCTCGAACAGGGCGACGTTCTGCCTGTTGATGGCATTTTTATCGACGGCTACAATGTCAGCTGCGACGAATCTTCAGCCACGGGTGAGTCTGATCTCATGAAGAAGACGCCAGCAAATGAGGTTTGGCGCGCAATGCAGGAAGGTCGCAGTTTAAAGAAGATGGATCCATTCATACTCTCTGGCGCGAAGGTTGCTGAAGGTGTTGGCTCATTCCTCGTCACTGCTGTTGGTGTGCATTCGAGTTACGGCAAGACCATGATGGCTCTGAGGGAGGACAACGAAGTGACTCCTCTCCAGTACAAGCTGAATATCCTTGCTGGTGAGCTAACATCATTTCACTATTTTTAACATCCACATCGGTGTCCTAACGAGAACACAGGCTACATTGCAAAACTTGGTTCCGCAGCGGGCTTACTTTTGTTCACGGTCACCTTTATCGAATTCCTAGCCCGCCTTCCGAATAACGATAAGGATGCACAAGGCAAAGCACAGGAATTCCTACGCCTCTTCATCACGGCTGTGACCATCATCGTCGTGGCTGTGCCTGAAGGTTTGCCTCTTGCAGTCACGCTCGCCTTGGCATTTGCCACCAAACGTATGACTAAGGATAACAACTTGGTGCGACACCTGCAGTCGTGTGAGACCATGGGCAACGCTACGGTGATTTGCTCCGATAAGACTGGCACTTTGACTCAGAATGTCATGACCGTGGTCGTGGGCACACTTGGATCCGGTGGCTTTCGGTTTGGCGACAAGAATAAAGTGCCTGAAGATGCCAACGAGACAACGGATGAAAGGGAGCCGAACCTTGCTGCTTCAGACGAAAGCAGCCCAACCGGCGGCGAAGCGGATCCCATCTCACCAGTCTCTGATATTGAAGGACGTCCCTCTACTGATTCAGGAAAGAAACGGATGTCCGTGGCCTCATCGCAGAGCCCTCACGTGGTGGTCACAATGAACGAGATTTCCAACAAGCTCAGCCCCGAGATGAGAGATCTATTTAAGCAGGCTATTGCGATCAACACGACTGCTTTCGAAGGCGAAGAGAACGGCAAGTTTGCATTCGTGGGCACGAAAACCGAGACTGCTCTCTTGGATTGGGCTAAGCTATGCCTTGGCCTGGGCACCCTCAGCGTTGAACGTTCCAACTTCCCGGTCGTGCAGTTGTTCCCGTTCGATTCGAAACACAAGTGTATGGGTGTCGTTGTCAAAGTCTCTGATAACACGTATCGCGTGTTCTTCAAGGGTGCACCCGAGATATTGCTTCCTCAGTGCAATCGAATTTTGGAGGATCCATCGGAGAAGCTTAGTGATGTTCCGATCCGGGATTCGCACAGGAATGAAATCAAGGCTATCCAGTCTCATTATGCCTCGCTCTCTCTGCGTACGATTGGTTTCTCGTATGCAGACTACGAGCAGTGGCCGCCAGCCAAGGCGAGCAGATTGCAGGACAACCCGGATCTGGTAGAATTCTCGTTCGCCTTCCGCGAAATGATATGGATGGGCATCGTGGGTATTCAGGATCCTGTTCGACCAAGCGTGCCAAAGGCGGTGCAGGACTGCAAACGTGCCTCGGTTCGTGTTAAGATGGTCACTGGTGACAACGTCGAAACGGCCAAAGCCATTGCTCGAGAATGTGATATTCTTCCAAAGGATGGATTGGTCATGGAAGGCCCCGAATTCCGACGACTCTCCGAGACGGAGATGGATGCCAAAGTGCTCGATCTATGCGTCCTTGCTCGTTCCAGCCCGGAAGACAAACGTATCCTCGTAAAGGCGCTCAAGAGACTCCATCAGGTTGTCGCTGTCACGGGTGACGGTACGAATGACGCACCTGCACTCAAGGCAGCCGATGTTGGGTTTTCTATGGGAATTACGGGAACTGAAGTCGCAAAAGAGGCATCGGACATTATCCTCATGGATGACAATTTCGCGTCAATCGTCAAGGCACTCATGTGGGGTCGCACAATCAACGATGCTGTTAAGAAGTTCTTGCAGTTTCAGATCACGGTCAACATCACCGCCGTCATTCTAACGTTTGTTTCGGCTGTTGCCAACGATGAAGGTCAAGCTGTGCTAAATGCCGTGCAACTTCTCTGGGTCAACCTTATCATGGACACATTTGCTGCGTTGGCTCTTGCTACGGATCCCCCTGCAGGATCTCTGCTCGATCGTAAACCCGAACCAAGAAACTCCTCCCTTATCTCACTCACCATGTGGAAGATGATTATTGGACAAAGCATATTCCAGCTCGTTGTCACATTCATACTTTACTTTGCGGGTCCGGGTTGGTTCCACTACCCAGCACGTCAGCAAGCCGCTCTTGTCTTCAACGTCTTTGTCTGGATGCAGATTTTCAACGCTGTCAATGCTCGTCGTATTGATAACAGCTTTAACATCTTCGAGGGCTTCTTCAAGAACTGGATCTTCATAGTCATTCTGCTTATCATGATTGGTGGTCAGACTCTTATCATCTTCGTTGGCGGTGAAGCTTTCGTCGTCACGAAGCTCACAGGCCCTCAATGGGGCATCTCCATTGTCCTAGGCTTCTTATCTATCCCGTGTGGTCTTCTAGTCAGATTAATCCCAGATAGGTGGATCTCGAAGTTCATCGACAAGCTTATCCCGGAAGCATTACGACGCAGACGTGTTCGTGTTGAGGATACTGAAGGTGGCTCCTACGATCTTGCGCGTGCACTTTTCGATGTTCGTGACGATCTTGCCTTTCTCAAGCGGGTCCGTGGCGGCAGGATCAATCAGCTGAAGCACAAGATACAACATCCTAAAGAAATTCTCCAGCGTTCACGTTCTGGGAGCCGGCTTAGTAGTTCGCCAATGCAGTCCGCCTTGGGTATGCCTGGCTTGCTAGCTGGTAGCATTGCCGGGCTGAGTCCAATTGAACGGCCAATACACTCTAGAGATCACAGTACTTTGAGTCCAGAGTCGGCAGGAGAGGCAAAGCCTCGAGAGCATGTTTGATACACAAACGTGTCAACAGGAACACAAGCATGCATCCGCGTCCACAGATCGTGGAGAACAATGTGCTAAATAGCATCCTGCTTTTCAGCATCAACGATAGCCGTCGTATCATGCTGCATTCAAAGTTGAGGATAGAAAATCGTCAGGATCCTGGCACCCGCCATCATGGACAGAAACCTCGCGGTCTCTGCCTGAGAGTTTTGGCCGCTCTATCACGAACGCCTCCGCTGCAGCCTTTGCACAACATGTGCAAGGAAGTAGCTTTCAACTTACCAATGCCGAATTTATAGATCTTATCGGAAGACGCTATGGGTTCCGAAAGGTAGAAACCAAAATCGCGCTGGACTCTGTGGATTGTGTATATCTTAAACATGACACGGGTCGGATTCTTGTCTGCGGAGACAGGAATGCTTTTCACAACCAAGACGGCATCCAATTGCCCCACAAATCCTTATCTCATCTCACATAGCATGGTCGAAACCGCACACTCTCGCTTTGTCATTTCACAGACGTTTTAGCAGCATACAGAAAGCATGGGCATGGTGTCGAGGCGGCGCATTTGAGTACGGCACTAGAAAGAACGCCGTGTATTCTTCATGTAAAAAAATATTTTCTGATTGGGCAAAAAGCGAGATTGTGTGACATCTCGCACAACAAGACTTTTATTTTTGGATACTGTACCTCTGGCCTGTGCATATTGGCTGTCCGCTGTGATTCTTCGTAGGTTGGCTGTCGACGCTGTGATCAAATGACTCTTCTTTTCCGACTTGACTTCTCGCTGACGAGAACATGGTGTGCGCTGCCTTACAGCGTCGTGGCTGTAAAGAGATATAACGTTTTCGTCAGCTCTACGAGACGCTACGTTCGCATTTCTGATGGTAGCACCGCTGCTAGCCTAATTCGAGATTGCGCGAGCGGAAGGAAGAGCTGAGCTTCAAGTATCCAGGAACTTTCAAGCCTCAGGTTCTGTCCTCGGCTGCTCTCAGCACCACCGACTTCTCTCCCAAAACCTGTATTGCGAAGAAGCTAGAGGTGCCAAGTCTTATTCCTACCCAGAGTTCGCCTTGGCACAGATAGGCACGGTGAAAGGCTAGGAGCACTGATTGGCTATCATATACTATTTCTATCTTTCAGGCTCAGTAATGATGCACGCGTGCTTTTAGTAACACGAGATTGACCTCACCAGCAGGATGCATTCAAATCATTGCCTTACCACACGTGGGCCAGAGCTACGCGGATGGAACCTGACAATGTCGCAATTGAGACTAGGCCTCAACATCGCTTGCTTATCACGACACGAAGCATGACCGTGATACAAAAGGTGGATTGGATTCTCAAGATGTGCCCCCATGGTCTTGAATCATCAACTCGATCTCCTCAAGAACCAGGTTAGTGTAGATCTGTCGATCTTCTGTGGCTGCTGTTGTGCTGCGCTCCAGCTCATTTAACACGATGCACATTTCTTCTCCACTCAGCCTGGCGGCGTCGGCCTTGCTTGCCAATGGAGTCGCTGCGCTTCCCTGGTACCACACGCCTGCTGTCAAACAAACGCCAAAGACGGACTATATGGTCTCTTTTGATCCGCGGCCTTACTATATAATCAATAACATGACCAAGGGTCCGCTGAGAAGTAAGCTGGAGAGCTGCGAGAATGGTCCTTTTGCGATTTCATCTTGGTCAATCGGTCATCGTGGGGGTGGTACCCTCCAATTTCCTGAGGAGACGGTGGAGAGCACCGTCGCCGGTGCTCGTATGGGCGCAGGAATTCTCGAGTGCGACGTCGCTTTCACCAAAGACAAGCAGCTCGTCTGCCGCCATTCTCTTTGCGATCTTCATACGACCACGGATATCTTGCTCCGACCAGAGCTAGCGGCCAAGTGCACAAAGCCATTCACCCCAGCCAATGCCACACACTCCGCCAGTGCGCTTTGCTGCACAAGCGACATCACTCTCAAGGAGTTCACTACTCTCTGTGGAAAGCAGGATGGCTTCAACGCGAGCGCAACGACGCCAAAGGATTACCAGTACGGAACACCAAAATGGCGGACCGAGCTGTACGACACGTGCGGAACCGTCATGACGCTCGAAAGCTACATCGACCTGGTCGACTCGCTCCCGGGATACCGCAATTTCACCCCGGAACTCAAGACTCCCCCGTCAGCCGTGCCGATGCCCTTCAATGGATATACCCAAGAGCAGTACGCACGCGACATGATCGAGATGTTTATCAAAAAGGGCATCGACGCAGACCGAGTCTACGCACAGTCGTTCAACCCCCCGGACATCTATCAGTGGATCAAGGAGTACCCTGCCTTTGGCAAGCAGGCCGTCTTTCTTGACGAGGATGGCGACGACGCTCCGGGCCCAAACTATACCGCCGCGGTCGCTCGCCTGCCCGAGCTCAAGGCTAAGGGTGTCAACATCATCTCCCCTCCCTTTCCGTATCTTCTTACCTACGGCGACAAGAAGAACAGCACCATCGTCCCATCCTCGTATGCTCTTGCTGCAAAGGCTGCGGGCCTTGACATCATCGCCTGGAGCTTCGAGCGCTCGGGCCCGCTAAAAGGCGCCGGTCTCAACGACGACTACTACTACTTCACCATCGCTGACGCCACCAAGTATGATGGCCAGCTGTACGATGTGCTCAACGTCTTGGGCAACGAGATCGGCATCATCGGCCTGTTCTCGGACTGGTCCTCGACCGTGACCTACTTTGCCAACTGCTTCAGCTTGGCTGGCCCTGACCCATCCAAGTATAAGGTTTAAACATGTGGGCTGCAGGATGAGAAAGATCAAGGCTCTTTGGACGTGCTGCCGTTCGCACGACGTCCTTAAACCCCAGTGTATAAAGCGCCAAGCACGACCTTTGTACATAGTGATAATGAGTACGTAGAATGAAACGAGATCAAACGTGTTCTAAGCGCGTTTCCTAAAGGTATAACTTTTTGCTCAGTGAGGAGCGTTCGGCTGGAGAGTGGTCTGAAATATTCGGCCGGCTCGCACGCTGTTTGCATAACACTCAGCCGGAGAAGTTCTAAGGGGAGGAATGTCATGCGAGATTACGTCGCGTTTGTGCTTTCGCGAACGCTGGCCTTGTATTTGCCCTCCGGTCTTCACCAGATCCCTGAAAGCGGACCTTTCCCACGATTCTCTGCTCAGCGCTTACAATCCTGACTTCCTCATGCGAAGAGCTCCGACGCCGGCAGAAACATCCCAACGTCACCTTTGATTAGAAAAGGCTCAGCCTTCAGACGTACGTCCCGTTCAAGAAACGTCTTTCGAGCAAGGATGGCCGCCAAGGAGACCATCACCGGCTCTCCAGATCGGGCTCGCTGATATATAATCCTCGCGCGTGCTGCAGCCTTTGAGTAATCCCAAATCGTAGGCTCCCTCCCGTTTGAGAACGTGGCAACGGAACGGAATGACAACGGACAAGAGGTAAGAAAGGCTGGGTGCGTACGACTTTTTTTGTCTTTGCCTGGCTCGATTGAGCGGTATTAGCAATGCTTATGGGCCAGACCTTTGACGGGCTCATCGCACGCTGGATCGTTGCAAGTTCAGGCTCGCTCGCTGAATGTGGGGTTTGTATATATGATATGCCATTTTTCAGCCGCCAGTCTCCTCTCCTCGCCGAGAGTACAACTTCATCGTAAGTCAAACATTCCACTGTTCTAACAAACTTCATTCACCTTCGTGTCACGCATTTAAGACGATTGGGATAGCAATCGGTCGACATGGCGGCGGTGTACACAACGTCCAACGGCCGCCCGGTCACGTACGCAAAGGCCTCGCAGACCGTTGGCCGCCGCGGCCCAGTCCTGCTCCAGGACTTCCACCTCATCGACCTGCTAGCCCACTTTGACAGGGAGCGCATTCCCGAGCGTGTAGTGCACGCGAAGGGAGCCGGAGCCTTTGGCGAGTTCGAGGTCACGCACGACATCAACGATATCTGTGACGCCGACGTGTTCAGTGAGATCGGTAAGAAGACTAGGGTCGCAGTGCGCTTCAGCACCGTGGGTGGCGAAAAGGGATCGTCCGACTCGGCCAGAGACCCGCGCGGCTTCGCGGTCAAGTTCTACACCGAGGAGGGCAACTGGGACATTGTCGGCAACCACACTCCCGTCTTCTTCATCCGAGACGGCGTCAAGTTCCCCATGTTCATCCACACCCAGAAGCGCAATCCAAAAACGAACCTGAAGGATCCGACCGCCTTCTGGGACTGGCTGTCCTCGAACCAAGAATGCGCGCACCAAGTCATGCAGCTGTTCAGCGACCGCGGCACGCCGCTCAGTTACAGACATATCAATATGTATGGTGGACACACCTTCAAGTTCACAAAGAAGGATGGCACGTACCATTATGTAAAGATCCACGTTATATCGGTGAGCTGCTCCCCCTTCTATCTTCTGCGCGATCAAACGCGCACGCACACGCAAATGTCTGAACGAGCCGTTATCAAAGCTAATGTGCTGCTGCTCTTGCTCTCCAGAACCAAGGCAACAAAACCCTAACCAACGAAGAGGCCGCCCGCCTCAATGCCGTCAATCCGGACTTCCAGACTCAGGACCTTTTCGAGGCAATAGCCCGCGGCGAGTTTCCCTCCTGGGACATCGGCGTGCAGGTCTTGAGTCCCGCGCAAGCGGAGACCTTCCGCTGGAACATCTTTGACGTGACCAAAATCTGGCCACACGGGGAGGTGCCAATCCGGCCGATCGGGCGAATGACGCTGAACAGAAACCCAGACAACTACTTCGCCGAGGTCGAGCAGATCGCATTCTCGCCTGCGCACCTGGTGCCCGGGGTCGAACCCAGTGCTGATCCCATGCTGCAGGCTCGCTTGTTCAGCTATTCCGACACGCAGCGTTACCGCCTTGGTGTCAACTACCAACAAATCCCCGTAAACAGGCCGCTACATGTGTACAGCCCTTTTCAGCGCGACGGCTCTGGGGCCGTAAATGGCAACTACGGCGCAACGCCCAACTACCCGTCGCCTCTTGCACCGCTCACGTACAAGGCCGTCGACACAAATGTCGCCCACGAGCGGTGGGTTGGTAAGGCCACATACGACTTGCAAGAGGTCACGGACGAGGACTTCATCCAGGCCGGCTGGCTTTGGGACGTGCTGGGCAGGCAGGACGGCCAGCAGGACCACTTTGTGCACAACGTGGCTGTCCATCTGTGCGGAGCCGTTGCCGAAGTCAGGGAGAGGACGTACGGCATGTTCAGTAGGATAAGGGAAGACCTTGGGAGGAGGATAAAGGAGGAGACAGAACGTGAAGTTGCGAAAAGCGGGCAGGAAGATGACATGCTGGCTGACTTGACGGACAGACTCAAGTGAGTCGGGTAGAAGGGCTTTATTTCTCTTGTGTGCGCATGTCTGCATGTAGCAATGTCTTGATAGTTGGAGCGTGGCTGCGTGCGTGTGGAGAATCAGCATTCCTAGTGTGAGGAGTGTAATCTATGCCAACCTTGAAATAATCAGAGTTTCTTGGACTTCTTCCCCGAAGGAAACAGCTCCCTTTTCTCATTCATCTGCGTCAGTAAACTTGAGTGGCGAGGAGAACAACTAAGAGAAAAAGTAAGCAGTTCAGCACGACAGTAGAAAAGGAGATCGCAGGGTAAAGAGATCTTTCAACATTATCCTATGAAAAGAACCACGAATGGCATCCTCGTAGTGGCGGCGTGCGAACACCAATTCTTGATCCGTAATAGACACCAAGAACCCCGTTCAATGTGAAGAGTAACCTTGGGAAGAAACGTTCAACCGTGGATAAGAAAATAAGAAGTGGCTGAGAAAAGAATTTTTTTGGCCAAGGGGGGTTGAAGAAGGGAAATAAAAGAAGTACAAAAGCCACAAGCCTAGATACGTGATCGGAGAGGGGGAGAAGAGATGTCGTCAGTGTTAGAAACAACAAGGCGCATTCGAGGACGCGAGCAAGCAAGCAAGCATTGGGGGGAGGGGCAAAAGAGAAGAAACTTTGATGCAGCGCCGCCATTCGAGGCCTTTATCCATCACGTGGACAATGTTTCCTTTTTTCATCCCCATCCTTCGTGCCTGCCCGGCGGAACAAGATGATGTCCGAGAGAAGAAAGAGCGATCCAACCGATCCCGTCGTCCTTCTTTCCCATTCATTCCTGTCTTGGCCAAGCGCGACCATGATTGCATGTCTACGTCCACACCTTTCACAGCGGGCTCCTTCCCCATGCGTTCCTTGGGACCCCTCATACTACTGCGACTGCAGGTAGCATGTCATGTATGGATCGATATATGTCTGCGTGCGCGTGTATGTGCGTGCTGAGAGTGAGAGTGATGATATGTGCGAGATGAAAAACCCAACGACGTCTTGGGACCAGAGGCTGCTCGGTCCATGTTCTTTTTGGAGAAAGCAATAGCAAAAACGTCAGATTCCCGTTTGCCCAGTTTGCTGCCCTAGAAAAGTGCCCATGCTCATCAAATTCAACCAGGTCGGTCGACAAGACAAGAGAGACAAGAACGGAGAGAAGAAAAATGGAATGGACGGAGTTGCATCTCCTTTTTACATGACCGTGCAGCACCCGCACGACTTGCTGTCCTTCTCGCCGTCCATCTCGAACTTGTCGCCGACAGCGCCAGAGCCGGAGCCACCCTGGTTATACGAGCTCATCTCTTTGTTGAACCGTCTGATCTCGCGGACGATGTCGTAGAAGGCTTGGTCGACGTTCTTGCGGGACTTGGCCGATGTCTCGATGAACTTGCATCCGAACTGTCGCGCTAGGGCTTGTCCCTCTGTGATATTTAAGCTTGTGTGAGTATTCGCTCTGGATTCATGGCAAACACGACTAGGCTGCAGCGAAAGTTGCCAGCTTCGAGTACGTACCTTCTGTTGTGACCTCACGTTCGCTCTCCAGATCGCACTTGTTGCCTACCACAATCATGGGGAACACGTCCTTGTCCTTGACGCGCAGAATCTGTTGCTGGAATGTGAGGATTTCTTCAAACGATTGGCGCGACGTGATCGAGTAGACAAGCAGGAACCCCTCGCCCGTGCGCATGTACTGCTCCCGCATAGCCGAGTACTCTTCCTGACCTGCAGTGTCAAGGACATCGAGGAGCGCGACCTCGTCGTCGATGACGCATTGCTTGCGATACGAGTCTGTTGCACGCCAGTCCTGTTAGCGAATTGAAAAGAAGATCTTTTTTTTGTACCGAAACATTGCGCGAGGTCTGGCGCAACGAGCAGGGTGCGCAAGAGAAGGGCTGGAATTCGTACCTTCGATTGTCGGATCGTATTCATCGACGAAGTGACTTTGAATCAACTGGATGGTCAGGCATGACTTGCCAACACCGCCGCCGCCGACTACGACAAGTTTGTATTCCCGAAGAAACTGCAGGCAAAGAGACTTGGTCAGCACAAGCTCAATCCTCGCAAACAAGCCGACGCTCCGATCTGGCAGTAGGCCGAGCGTTCAAGATACAGGAGAAGAATGACCAGGGAAAGCGGAGCTCGTAGCGCAAACACATTGCCGCGGCGAGCTTAGGAATGTGGAGGCGACGTTCGCACATGAGCCAAGGCGGATGCGGTACAAGAAAGGAAAAGCGGAATAGAAGCGAGGAGAAGGGAAGGGGAAAAAACGGGTGTGAGCAACCTTTGATGCCATGATTGCGTATTGGGTATAATCGTTGCTGGAAATTCTCGACCGCCAGAAACCGAGGATAGGCGGGTCGTAGCGAGAGCGTGCACAGCACTAGGTGGGAATTGAGTGAGGAAAATGGAACCCAAAAAAAGAAAGAGGAAGAGAAAGCGCTGATTGGGGTAGTGCGGCAGTCTCTTCGCGAAGACAGAGCCAGCAGCGGCCGTATGCAGTTGCGAATGGAAGAGAGGCGGCACGAGGAGGAGCAGAGGAGGAGGAGAAGCCGCTGGTTGTGGTGTTCGAGAGAGGAGGAGGAGGTCGGAAGCGCAGGTGGAGTAGCAACAATCCAAGGGGGGCGGCGGAGCACAATTGTCGGCGTGCGGTGGCGCGGAGGCGAAGGAGAAGAAGAAGAAGAGCAAGCAGGAAGAAGCAAGGAGGTGTGTTTGGGTGGCTGGCGCAATTGCTGACGATGTTTGGTTGCTCGCAGCAAGTCAGGATCGGCCCAAAAGAGGAGTGAGTGTGGATGGTTTTCTCAGAGGGTAGCAGTAGGTTGGGTAGGTAGGTAGGGATGGGGGGGGGAAGGGACGGCCGGGCATGGTCCAACCACCACAACCAGCACCCCCCATTCTTCGCATCCAGCAGGGCTGCCGAATTGGGCATGGCGCCTGGACAAGCATAAAGGGAAGCGCGCGTGCTTGTGCTGGAGCGAGCGAGCTGGGTGGTGCAGCGGGGCAGCGAGGTGCTGGCTCCGGCTATGGCTCTGGCGCTGGCTCTGGCGCGGGCGCTGGCTCTGGCTCGTCGCGCTGCGCACCTGTGCCAGCAACACTCCCTCCGATGCTGCCGGGGCCGTGGGCCCGCTGCCACGGCTGGACTCTCGACGCCTGGCGCGCTACCGAGTCGTTGCCGGCCTGCGGTCTTCGGCAAGCATGGAACGCTCTTGAAACCACCTTGAACGACGCTTCGTTCTTTGTTCTCCACGGATCGTGATGCACATCTGAGCTACCTTCTTTCTACATGCGTCTTGCTGTTCCCGAGCCCTTACCCCTCGGCCCTTGCCGTGCTTGCGTGCACAGAGTCGAGACTTTGATTTGTGTGCGCGCATCGCTTGCTGCTGGCTGCTCTCCTTGCTACCGCTTGTTCTCCTTGCCCACGACCGGCCGCGCGCAACGAAGTGAGAAACGTGCCCGCGGACATTCCATAGGGCAGCTCCCTTCTCTTCATCCGGCATCACTTCCCCCCCATGAGCCAGACCCGCTCGTTCTCAGCCCCCGAGGCTGGCAAAGACGACGGCCATGGCCGCCGCCGTTTGCTCCAGCATGCAGAATGCGTTCGACGCAGATAGGCACGGCACGCAGAGCAATGACAGGCGCCGCATCGAAGCGTACGCAGATTAGGACAGCAGTGGCGTGTCGGCCTTGAGCAGCCAGCCCACCACGCACAACCCCCGGCCGCCGTCCTGTGTGCTACGCGCTAAGCAGCCGGTGCAAAGGGAGGTGGGCGACATCGTTCGCAGGAAGCAAGGATGCGCTGCAAAGGTCCTTCTGATGCAGAACGTAGAACTTCCACGGCACGATCCAACCCCTCGGCCCTGCAGCGTGTGCCTGCGTTGCGGATTCGCTTGGTCGGCTACGCGCCTCGCCTGGTCGAGTGACGGTCAATATTGTGCGTTCTCCGTGTGCAGTAGCGTGTGGGTATGTGTGCGAGCGTGCGTGTGTGGGTGGATGGATGGATATGTGCACAGCGTGGCCATGATCTGGTGTTTTCGCCCTGTGGCTCTCCATCGTAACCGCGCCCACCATCGCCCATTGCCTGCCCATCCCCAGCCGAGCCAGTCGGACATCACCCGCTCACACAAGCGCACATCCTCAGACTCTTCGCCGTCTCGCGCTCTGTACGGTGTTCTTTCTGTTTCTGTGCCCTTGGCCCACCACCACACGCCCTCATTCCAGCCTCGCGCACCCCACTGCCCCATCGAGGGCTGATTCCTCTGCAACGAGTGGATGTTTGATATGATACGATCTCCGCCTTCTGTGACCATCGATCGCTTACTTTCCTGGTTTAGACTTGAAGACCCCTCTCTGGCCCTTATCATTCGCTTGCCTCCCCCTCTCAGCGCTTTCCTTGCTGCGCCACCAAAGAAAACATTACCACCGTCAACTTTCACAGAAGAATGAAGCGGCCTGCGTAGTCGTGAGCTAAACAGACTCGCACATCGCGCCTTTCATGGGGCGAAACAGATCGAGTGTCGCAACGGCCCGTCGTCCTCAAAGCCCGGACTGAAGTTCAAAGCGCAGACAACCACGAGCGTTTTTGTGAAAGTCCGTGTGGTGGACACGCAAGACAAGCAAGAAGCAACGGCATTATTTGCTTTTTCCCTTTGCGGCGGGTGGCAGTCCGAGAGGCAAAAACGGTCGAGATAGAGAGGCAATCATGGACAAACGTTACAAACTGAATAATGCCAACGCTTTTCTCAAGGCGATAGCAGCCGTCGTATGGCAACGCCCCGTGGTGCCATCTCCACACGCTCCGTTGGCAGCGGAACAGCGCCCCTCTCCTCGCCAAAACGCCCTCCCCCTTCTTCGTCCCATTCGCTGATAATACTTGTATGCGCGCGCGAGTAAGTCCGCTGCTTACACTACTCGACGTTGATCTTCGCAGCCATTCTTCTCGACAACGATCCCGGATGAAACAAAGAAACGAACGGAAAGAAAAAATAAAATAAAAAAAATAAAACACACCCCTCCAGCATCGCAGACAAAAAGTCTTGGATCACCGTCCCAGGCTCCCGTCGTTCCCACGTTCCTCCCATGTCGTGCGTGTTTCTTTAGCCCAGCGCACCACCTGTGCTTCGTTCGCTGCTGGATTTTTTTTTTCGCCGGCCTGTTCGTCGCAATGCCTGCTCGCCACGCGCCAGCTCGCTTTTCTCTTAGCCAATTTATGCCTCCCGTCCGCGAGAGTAGGGAGAGAGAGAGAGGCTACGCCGCTCGATGGGTGCCTGCATACTGGCTTATCCGTGCTTCTGACCTAACGGAGGCAAAGGTCACGACGCCAACGCCTCTGGCAAACCCACCAAGCAATGCTCCGTCCAGGCAAAAAAACAACACCTTGTCTCTTCACCACTGCTGCTACTGCTACTGCTCCTGTGCCATTACTACTCTTGCACGCCTGTTCGTCCCCTCCTCAGGCAACACCACCGCTCATCACGGCTTTGGGCCGCCGTGGGAGCGTGCTCTTCCGTCTTCCGAAGCTCCCGCACTAGCCATGGGCGTCATCTGGCTTGTGGAGCGCCGCTCCCCCATCCTTCCTTCCCTGTTTGGTGCCCATGTTCCGATTTTGCTCATCCCGTTCCCAGCCTCGTTCTCCTTCTCGTTGTGTCGTCGTTATTTTGCTTCTTTTTTATTTCCCCCTCCACGCTGCTATTGCGCTCCACGTCGACATTGGATAACGGCTTACGTGCCATGTGAGACCTGCCCGTCCCCTCGCTTCCGTTGTGTTCCGCTGGCCTTGGATCGCGAACAACTTCCCGAGACCGTAAGACAACGAATTCAGTTGACGGCCCGGAGATTTGATGCGCAACGACGAGCCAGCTAGTTTGTGGGACATTCTATTATTTTTATTTTTCCTTTTCCTGTCTTGTGCGGTTGCGAGTTCACCGTGGTGCGCCAAGATACGGTTCGCGGCGGCGCCACTACTGTTCAACTTCTTTAGGCATCGTCGAGGGCGAGGATGGCCGTAGCTTCTCATTAAGCCTGACCGGCAGAGCGACTCTCGTAATGATTCATCAAAAGCTATCCAAACAGTGCACCTTGTCGCGGAAATGTTCAGCCTTTTCGCCCCTTATTAGAAATCAGAATGCTGACCAGCCCACGCCTGCTCTGACGAAAGATGCTCTCCCACAGCTAGCTTACCGCAAACCTGAGAATCGCCTCGAGCTCAGTCATGACCGATGCACCAGGTGTCAGTGACGTACAAGAGCACGGACAGCTACCACTTCGAAGCTCTCAACCTTCTAGCTAACGTCAGGAGTGGTATGATCGCAACCTGCGTTAGCGTACCATGATTCGTTGGACTATTCGGGTAGATCCTTTAGCAGCGGATATAGTAACAAAGAGGCATCGATATATCAGCTCCATGATTGTTTCAACAACGGGAGTTCATACGTGCATTGCCGTCTCCCCAATTGCAGTCGCTACGGTGACTGACGACTAGCATGTTACTCGCCTCGGAGCACTTTTGGCCACCGTCTGAAAGGATGTAGATTGCCATCTAGGTCTGGACGTCCAACAATCGACTAGTGAATGGATATGGATGCTTGGGCCGTCTGATGCGTACTACCACCTGAGGTTCTACCTGATGTCATCACCAAGACATTTTCCGTGTCTCTATAGTAAATTGCCATAGCATTCGGTTCTACAAGCCTTGTATTCCAAGAAAAATTCCTCCCTAACGCGACGAATCCTATCCAGTAGCAACGAAAACGTAGACTGAAGATCAGAATGTCCAAAACCAACATTTAATTGGGATATGCCGATCGGCCAGTTGCGAAGATAGTTTAGTAACCCGCAACGGAGTAGACAAAGCAATCATTGAGAAGAAAAGATATAAACAGGGAAAGAACCCTTGATGCCAGCTCATCAACGGTGAGAAAATCACCGGCATTGAGGATTTCTTTTTTTTTTCTTTTTTTTCCAAAAGCCCTGTAGGAACGATCTAGCTTCAGACCATGTTTACATAGCCTTGCGTTGCAAGTTCAGATTCCTCACTGCAAGGATCGGCAAGAGCGGATTCGAAAATCCTGTGGGAACGGCCTCACATGCAAAAGCAAGGCTTTTCGCTTGAGCACATCCTCATGTCCCCGAGGTAGCCCGTTCTTCTGGAACCCAAATCCTTAACCGAACGCATGGATAATGGTAACGCGCGGTGTCGCGTGCTGAGGTTAATATATTTCTCCAAGACTCCTTTTTTTTTCTCCCCACGGGGAAATGCCCTGGTTCAAACGTTTGACTACGTAGTCCTGGACGAGTCTTCGTGGCAATGTGGGGCATAAGTACCCCTATGCATAGAAAACCAGCTGACAAGAGCAGCTGGCAACGCTCTACAGACAATTAGGCTATACGCACAGATAGAAAAAGTCGTCCATGGCAACAACAAGCCAGCCATATGGAGAGGCTGAGGTCTCCGGTGTTGATCGATTAGGAAACCTTCTGTTCATTCCGCACTGGCTAAATCATGGTTCCTGTACGACCTTATCAGAAGCGTATTAGGGAAATCAAAGCTGCTCGAATTTTTTTTTTTAATTTGCTTAGAATAGGAATATCTCTCTGGCTCCAGTACGACTTATGTTGGCGCCGGGTATCCCATCATACAAAAAGCTCGTAATTGGACAAATCACAGATTAAGTTCTCACCATTCGATAGCATCTTGTTGCTATGCCTCCCCAAATTCTCGGCCGAACCAAGTAAATTCAATGTCATCTTCTCCTGTATAAAAGGCTAAGAACGTCGCGAGATCTCACGATCAACTCTTCTCTACACATGCATTTACTCCTTAAAAAGAACACATAGCGAAGCATGCAGCCTTGTTGACGACCCCTTGACGGGAGTTCAATCCCTGCCTACCCAATCTCAAACATATTTTGAAGCGATAATCGTCCTTTCTGGAGTGGTTCTCCGACTTCTCAACGTGCTGACCCTCTAAAGGATAGACTTGACTTGAATTTGGTTATCATCTCAAGACTGCCGACGGGTATGGGTCATGTGCTGCATTATTGGTGTAAACAGGTGAGAATCGCGTTTACGGCGTAGAGAAATCACTTTAAAAGTAGGATATAAGGGGTCCAGAAGACGCTTTTCCTGGAGAATTTATCACGAAACAGCCTGCTGTACCAGAGCGTGATAGCCATGCCAAGGGATTGCATTCGACCGTCACAGTCTCTTATTCCCTGGAAACAGCCTGCAAACAATGTTCTCCTCAAAACGCGATTCTGAGAAACTATTGAGCAGTCTTTCATCAAAAGAGGCGCTAACTTCACTCCTTTGTCCAGACTGTTGACAAGATTATGATACAGCAGGCAGGATCCAGTAAGCGTTCTGTTCTTCAAGCAAAGATGTCTACTCCGAAGATGCGAACAAGAAGTCACAGAAACCGAAAACTTGTTCAAAGAAATACAGATGCACAAAATCGAGCTGCAACATGTCGTTTCACCCAAGCGCCAAGCTGGCGCCAACACATTAACAAGCACCACCCACAGAGGCCCACAACGAACAGTTTGTTTCCTTGCTCATACGGTAACTGTGTCGTCCTGGGTATCCAATTTTAACATAGCGATTTACATGGATCGTTACCTTCGACCTGTGCATCATGAAACGCCTTGGCTGTAGTTGTTCGAATCGTGGAGAACGCCGATCGCGAGTCAAACGACAGCGGCAAACAGACCAAAGATTAGTTTGCTTTCAATTTAATCAAGATCGTTGAACCTCTAATTCCCTTTTCAAATGTTTGCAGAGTATTGGCTTCAATGAGAAGATTCAGAGGCACGTAAAATGATCATTTCGGCCAACGGGTTCTTCAGGAGAAGGGGGGGAGGAATAAAATCAGAATAATGCTGATACTGAAAGTAGCAATGGATCCTCACGCTGCCTGTAATACCCAAATCATGGCGTAAATAGAAAATTACTCAACAGCCTCTTGCTCTATGTTTTATAACCAAGAACGCTACTGAAAGTAAAAACAAGCAAACAAATGACATGAGAAGGTCTTTTGACTGTTGGAATTAAGAGACTGGCAGTCATTTTACGCGTCTTTATCACTTCCTGCATCGTCGTCTTCACCTTCCACCATGATTCGCCGTCCCTTGACATCCTTTTCAACTCTCTCTACAAGACTGTCCATGTACTCTCTGTCTCTCCCCACCAGCGTAACTGTATTACGACTTTTGCCCCACCTCGGATAGCTCCCTACTTTTACTCCCTTGGGCTCAACTTCTCTTGCTAGAGTCGTGAGCGCCTCGGCTACTTCACTCTCGGGCAACGGCGTGCTGATCAAGATTCTGTAGACGCCTTTGCCTTCTGGATCCGCCAGCCTGGGCATGATCTTCTCTTTGTAGCAGTCCAAAATCTTCTCAAAGAGCCGCGGCACGCCAGGCAGGATGTGCACGTTCTCGTTGACTATCGCGAGTGGAACCCACAGGTCGTCCGACACGAACACGACCTGTTCGTCGATGGGCTTTGACGTGTCGATCGGTAGTTCGACCATGCGCTTCTTCGCCGTCAACGCGGCGGAGGGAGTCTCCCAGTCGAAGTTCTGCTGTGAGGGGCGGGGACGCGACAGTTTCTTCATGCGAGCGAATGCCTCCTCGTGAAGGATCAAAGGCAGGTTAAAGGCCTTCGCTATGGAGGCGTACGTTATGTCGTCGTGGGTGGGGCCAATGCCTCCCGATGTCACAACCATGTCGTACTTTTCACTCATGCGCCTCGCCGCCTCTATGATTTCGTCCTCGTCGTCCGCGATGACCTCTATTCTCTTGAGGCTTATGCCGAGGGAGAAGCAAAATTTGGCAAAATACGCCGAGTTCGTATCAACCGTCTGCACCCCGTCGCGTCAGCCTAATAAAGTGCAGCTTTAAACGAAAAAGAAAGGCTCGGCTTGCGCTGCCGCCCGGTTTGACAGCGACGGGCAGCATCTGCAAAGTACCACGCACCTTGCCGCCCAGCACCTCATCTCCTATGATCAGACAAGCCGCCGTTTGTATCAACCTCTTGCTGTCTCCCATTGTGCTCTGGGTGCTTGCAAATGCTGCCGAGGAAGGCGAAGCGGCAGATAGGTGCGCGTAATTAGGAAGTGGTCGCGAGAGGTGCCGGGCCAATTGATTCAGTCGACTGAACATATGGACGCTAGCTCCACATTAGAAAGGCTGTGACATGAGCAGAGCCCGCGCAAGGGCTGTATAGTTGGGGACGCAGTGGTGAATGTTCTTCCGTTCATGCACGACATCATAGATTGGGACGTGGATCTTACCGATGCCGCCCACCCACCCCACTATAGATTGATGTGGGGCTCGAGGCTCCGCAGAAGTCTTAAGGCAATGAGTTTTGCATACTTCAACATCGTAGATTCGCTACACGAGACCTTTCCGGCCGCGCAGTCGTAATGGTACGTAATGACTGGATGCGTTAATTCACAGCTGTCCTGAGTCTAACTCATGACACAGGCTTCCGAAGCCCGGCTCTACACATTCTCCTCGGACACGAAAGAGAAGCTGCGAAAGTTTCGACTTGGAACGTACGACACAAGTTGCTCTTGCTGCCGGCATGACTGAGTTCACTAACTTACTGTACCTAGGTCTCGAGCCAAAGATCCGCAAGCAGTCATCTGTACACTTTGTCACCTCAGTTCCTCGTCGCAATTCCGCTGACCGCCTCCGCAAGGAGTAGACCAAATCGACAAAAAGACCCTTGAGATAAAGCCTGCCTCCGACGAGGTCTTTACCAAGTTGACGGACGTTTCCGATGAGCTCCCCGACAACAACCCACGCTTCGTGCTCCTCTCATATCCCATGACGCTGTCTAGCGGACGCATGAGCGTTCCGTACGTCATGTTGAATTATCTACCGGCGACGACGAATCAGGAGACTAGGATGCTGTACGCCGGCGCAAAAGAGCTCATGCGTAACACGGCGGAGGTGAATAAGATCATTGAGATCACTGAGGCAGAGGAGGTTGAGGATATTGAGGAGAAGCTTAAGGGCGAAGATTGAGTTTGAGTCGGATGTAAATACGGGGACGGAAAAGCACATGTATGCCGCAGAGCTCTGGTCAAGATGGGCTTTGGGCTTAGATGCACGCAGGATGCAGAACACGACCGCAATGACATGTCAGAGGAATGTCTTTCTTCTGTTTCTTGATCATACAGTACCATTGAAAATGGACCGATCGTCCTCCGGAGAGACAAAGCCACCGTGAGCCAACAAGCCTTGGACTCCGCGCGTGCAATCCCGCCAAAATCACTACCTCTCCAGCCGTCTGATCCACAGCTTCATCCAAACAGCCCCCAGAATTTGCCGCCCGCACCTCCGTGACCCTGCCTGCTTGCTTCCTTCTCGATCCAGCTCCTCAAGAAGTCCTTGCTCTTCAGATCCTTCAGATTCGTGACCCTCGTCTCAACCTGTGGTTCCGACTTGTCAAACGCCATCAGCGTCGGGATCGAGTTGATCTGCTCACCGACCCGACCCGTTAGCATATCCACGTAATCCCCTAGCCGTTTGGAAAGCGTAACATGTCTGCAAGCCGTGCTCGTGTACAGATCTGCGATTGCGTGCGATCGAGGAGTGTTGGGGGAGATGACGAAGAAGAAGAAGAAGAACGAAAGAAGGAGAAGGAGAACGTACGCTGTAGGTCATTGCTAGTCCCGCCGCGCCACCTAGCAACACGCTCTCGACGTCCACCTCCGCAAAGCCAACGCCCCCTTCCTTCTCACCCACTCCTTCGTCCTCGATCAAGCTCTTGACCATGGGAAGCACAACCGCACACGAAGAGCACCCCGCCGTGGTCCACAGCGTGATCAGCGGCCGTCGAGAACTCGTCGAGAGGAGCAGCAATGTGGACCACTCGTCCTCGCTTCTCGGCGGGTTGTAGATACGATTCTTCGCGAGCGCCGGCTTCGAGGTGGCGAATTGGCGTCGTATCGCGGGCGCGACGTCGGGAAGGAGAGAGCGGGCGGTCGCCCGCGCGACCTGTATGATCATCTTTGCTGTTGCATTGGTTCTAGGTGTTGCGCGCCAACAGGTTTAGCAAATCTCCTACATTTCCGTGTTGGGCAGATGACGTAAATCTCCGCTACCCATGCCACGGCAATGGCTCACCACCACGTTCAAAAGAGAAAAAGCAGAATACTTGATGTGTCGGAGACGTGAAGTTATCGAACGCGTCTATAATTGAAGCACCCAACGATTCGCTACACGCGCTCTTGGCCTTTGAGACAATGACATATTCTGGGGGCTTAGATCTTCACTCCGTTCAATCAGTCCATCGACACAAAAACGAGCCGAACTTTGACAATGTCCACTTCACCTCTGCTTGTCATCCCCGGAGATAAATATGCACGTGTGATATTGGCATTCTCAAAAGCTTTTCATCATTACTGTTATATTGTATATTTAGTTACATGTGATAACATGTGCTCCCCCCCCCCCCCCCCCAAAACAGCTCTGAGTTGTAGAGATTCGAGCTTGATAACTCGACCAAGGACGACCTCAGTAAAATCACACATGGTTTGATGCCCGTCATTGCTTTCATGAAAAGCGTCCTATGCTTTTATGCATATTGGGTATATCAGATGCTCTCGTATTCAAGATGAACGCCGTGACTATGCAAAACATTTGAACTGTGACTCCAACTCTTTTAAGCTCGTCATGGGGAGCCAAATACCGCACAGAATTTTTTTCTATGCAGAGAGTGATATCCAAAAGTAGACACGTCGCTGCAGAATGAGAAGATTGCATAATAGAATAAAGACTAGAGAGACTCACCAGAAGGTAACATCGCCTGATTATGTCTAATTAATCAACGCGACTACGCAAAGATTGTGGTTGCTCAACGCATCAACCAAAAAGATAGCCCCATGTTCTCCTTTGCTAACAATGCTATCAGCAATAACCAAAAGGCGGTAGATTTTGTAAAGGCAAATAATGCGACATCTTATAACAATGCGCATATCCTTTAAAGCACTGTGGCCTCTAATGGCCGATAGGGAGCCGTCTGGGGTAGTCGTCGAAGCCAGCTGGTCTCGTTCGCATGCGAGGGTTGAGTGGTGAATGCGGCTCTCTCGATGGTAATACATTTTCCGGAGTCACCGGCCTAAATCTCATGTCCGATGGTAATGCTGGGAACTCACCCTCTCCGCCTGGTAATGGACGAAGGCGGATTGCTGGTTGGTTCACTGGAGGAAGTGGCCTCCAGTGGATATTCGGATGTATAGGAGTTGCAAGGCTAGACTCCATATGCAAGTTGTTCTTTGAACCTGTTCCCGAAGCATTCCATGGTACAGGGGGTGGGGGTAGCGGATGCCGCGAGTACGGATCCTCATCACGTGGAACCCAGCTAAGCCTCTCAGAACGATGGAGTTTCGCACGTGGCTCTTGCAACGGTAGAGGTGGAGGTGGGAGTTCTTCAGTAGGGGATAGCTTCCGAAAATAGAGACGGGCGGCGGGATGCTGTCCATTCGGATGTGGTTGTGTATAATGCTGAGGTAACTTTGGGCTTTCATCAACAACACACACACCGGGACGAATAGGTGAGGAATTTGTCAAATCAACTACTTGAGGCAATGGCCGATAGCGAAATTGGTATCCCTGAAGGCCATGGGTCCCAAAATGAGCTGGTGATGGATCTCTGGACGGATTGGGCTGTTCAACCTCATGGTGTCTTGTACTTGGTCTGGATAGAACTCCTGGAGTCTCTGTGCTACGGCCTGTTTGGACCCAATCTTGTGGGAGGGGAGGTGAGTAGTGTTCGTCATCCTCTTCAAGGACCACTTCGGGCTCCTCTTCGAGATTAACAACTTCCTGGAATTCCGTGTCCCACTCGTCCTTTTTGTCTTCTCCTTTCCACTCAGCCAACTTAGCAAGAAGCTCAGGCTGTATGGATTTGCGAGCCTCATTCTTATTGCCATAACGTAGCAACTTGTCATAGTCTGTATGCGCATGTCGGATATGAGAAATGACGGCCAACTCTACTTGCTTGTAAGGGTTGAGATTGGCAGCCTTGCCGATCGAGGACCCATTTTTCTAAACAACAGTTAGCAATTGTGAATGTATGACTGAAATTGATCTTAAAGAGGCTGCGCTTTTACCGGGTTAAGTCGACCAATGATTGTGTTGCGATCTCTATCGGGAATGTGTGGATAGATTTCTTCCAGACAGGCCTTTAAGTCATTCTTTGTCAGTTTAGGTCGGTGTGCATTTCGGTCATCTTTGATTTGCCCCCCTTGGATACGGATTTCGAACCATTTGCAGGCATTTGCAATGAGATCCTTGTGGAAATAGTATCCGACACGGCCTACATGATAGCCTGAACGAGACGTGTCGGGAGCTTGAGCTTCTGCGCGCTGACTCTGCACAGTGCTATTGGCAACCCAGACAGGCTTTTTATGCTTGCGAGACAAGTTGAGAAGAAACTCTGTAACATCCTTACGACCGTACTTAACAAGGCTGTAGTCTGAGGGAACATTCGAATCATATTTCTAAAGCGATCGAGTTAGCACAAGTGCTCCAACGTGCCTGTGATTACTGCAACTAACGAGTTCTAAGGGTTTTTTCTTCACTTGAACCTCTGTCATCGTGGTTTTATATTTATACCGTTTTGCTGGCGGCTCTCCGCTTGAGGGAAAAGTCTCATCGTGGCGTAGTCGTTTGATGGTGCTGAACTGATTGTATACACTGTTCGCCTGATGGACACCTACAGCACGGGAAGCGCTCATGGGCGCAATAAGAGTTGTGGACATGTTGGAAGAACATTAAGCAGAACGTGTTAGCAAGGAAATAGAGCAACGAAATGGATTATGCCAATGATTAAATATTTGTGACGGGTTCAAAACATTCCGAGAAGAAACACCTGATCAGAAAAGACGTCGTGCTTGCTTGCTTGCCTTGCGGCGCAGGCAGCTGCCGAGGTCAAAGGGAGTACGGAGAGAACAGCCTGAACGAAAAAGGGGAAAGACAAGACCAGAAGAGAGGAGCTGATTTCACCGCGTCCTTTCGATGGTCGTCACTTTGGGTATGGGCAACTTAGCCGGCTATACGGGGTGTCTGCAGTGGCCTCTTTCGCCTGCGCTCGAGATGGTGAACAACCGCTATGTCATCGGAAACGATGGATCGACGAAAACAATACGCATCGATATCGCTCGACGCTAGCGGGCCGCCAGTCTCAGAATGGCTCAGCAAAAGCTCTAGATTTCGAGGATTTCAGATGTGGATAAAAGGTTGGAGGAGGTTGGAGGTGGAGTCAAGCGCGGAAGAACTTTGTAGGTGGCGGCGTCGTGCCTTGGCGTAGCGCTAAGCTTGTTCTGGTTCCTACACAATCTTGGACATGTACGCAGCATTTGCTGTTGGAAAGGGTTCTCGTTCTTTCTTTGTATAATGGCTTCCAAAGAGGCGATCATCGGTGCATACCGCTCTCTGTACCGTTCGGGTCTTCGTGCCGTCCAATACTCCGCACCTGCGCGTTACACCATTCGCGATCGTCTTCGTCGAGCCTTTCGTGAATGCCCCATCGAGGACTTCGAGCCACATCGCATCGCCAATACCCTCGAGTTCTTGGATGGTGCTCGTAAAAGCAATGGTTTGGAGCATAAAGTTCTGCGCAGCTTGCTAATGACTTGGTACTTTGAGCCTTACCAGTGGGCTAAGAGAGGGAATGCTAGGGATAAGGTTGACAGGGTTGCGCGCATGAGGGCATATGACTGCTTTCATCATACGCTGAGGATGTTGAATGAATCAATGGGTCTATGCCTTAAGTGAGCAAGTCGCGGATGGCTACATTTGTAATACACTCCAGAAGAGCGTTGGACGGATCGGAACGTCTTGAGCTGTCTACATGAAGGACTTCCACTCAGGGCATGGAGGAGCAAACATCAAGAGGCACCGTGAAGCTTCTAACCGACTACGTCGATCGCGGAATCGAGACGTACTCGCTCCCACCTACATTCACATAAAGTCGTCCTCGAAATCACTTGCGCGATCTTGGTTGCTGCTAGCGGCAATTGCCTCCTCGTCATTCATGAAATCATAGGCGTGGTCGCGTTCGTACGCCTTCTTCTTGCGCTCCTGCTCCAGGCGTTTCTCTTCTTTCTGCCGCTGCTGTTGGGCAGCTCGGTCACGGGCTCGCAGCTCCTTCTTGCGATCCTCACGCTCCTGACGGAGATCAGGAAACTTTTCGACCTTAGTTTTGTTGAGACGGTTGACGATATGGTTCAGTCTTTGCTCGACGTGGACTCTTTTGACCTGATAGGGTTTTATGAGCTTTCTGCGAAGGATCGTTCATAAAGGAGACTGGTGGAAGGCCAACAAGAATGGCCAGAAGTGAGTCAAAGATATAAGGGTGAATATGGACGAATTAGCTACAAATAGAATCAAATGAATCACTCACCTTCTTCGGATCCTTGAATCCCACCTGACCTACTGCCATGCTGCCATCTTTCTTCAAATTTGACCACGGTGTGTAAATAACCGTAACGTTGTCCTTTTTGTTTCCTAAAGGTTGTCAAAGCAGAGCTCAACACCCTAGCACAGCTTTGTATGTACCTTCTATGGAGTTTGCCTTGGTCAACTGCGCACAGTCTGTAATGAGGTCCTTTGGTATCTGGTCCCAGGTTTCACCATCCCTCAGTCGCACATAGATATGGGCAGACGACAAATTGTCGACGTGAAACCACACATCCTCCTCCCATCCGTATTTGATCAGCTCTTCGTCTAGTCACAAATGGAGTTCGTCAGCCTTTCGAAATTGGATCAAGCTTGATATTTGAAACTGACTCTCGACCTTGTCCTTGCCTACATAGATGAACGCGGGAGGGTCCACCACGTTGCTTGTAAAATAATACACCATACTGAGAAAGACGAATGAGGGTGACGGGGGCCTTAAGTGGGACTTTGCCGAAGGTTGGTAAAAGTCACAGGCCGAGAAGTTGCAAAAAGCGTGACCTCGTACGTGAGCCAATCAAAACTCGGCATTTCTTTGCTACAGGTTTGTGGCCGTGTTGTTGACTGGAGCAACCTATATACGATGAATATTGTAGAGCTGATCACTTCACGAACTTCGAAAAGACGCAAGTGATAGTGGCGACATCTCCAGGACCGCAATACGAGCCCATAGAATCTTTTGCACAAGATTTTATTCATTGCCTCTCAACTCGTACCAAGCCGGACGTATCATCACCCACCATACATTTGATGATCAAAAACAAACTCGGTACGCGTCATATATCTGCTCTAATCCTTCTGATTCGGGATCCACTGAGGGACAGGCTCGCTACATCTCTGGTGTGGGCATTCTGGCTCTCTTTCGTGAAGCGAAATGAAAGCACGGCACTCTCTGTTTCCTTCCATACCGCGGCTGCTCCTAAGTGCTTTGTAAGAAGAAAGTTTGCAGTTGAAGCACGTCAACTACATAGACTCTGCAAGAGCGTTCGCTCATGCCGCTTCTTCGCCCTCGCTTTGAGGAGGCTCCGGATATCGGTTACGAAGCTCCTTGATGACATTCTACAAGTTTCGTCAGCACCAAGAACCGTAACATGTGCGTGAAATTTAGAGGTGGTATTAGAATGGTTACTCACAGCCAGAGCCTCGGGATTAACGCCATTCTCGATTAGCGAAACGCAGTACGAAAGCTGCTGACGGTTCAACCCGGTGTTCTGAATATGATGTCAATGAGATATCCCCTAACTTCTCTCGCGTATATAGATACCAGGAGAGTTGCTATCTCATGAAGAATATCTATAACCTCGCGTGCTGCCTGACGTTTCTCCGCTACTTCTAGTGACGGCGCCATAATCAACTCGTCGCTTTGCAGATGCTTCGCTGAATTTATCCACAGCGAGGAATTGAAAGATGATCAAAGGAATTCAATGCGCCCGCTGCACGATCTAAGGGTGCATGTCGTTGCTGTGGTGAATGATGCAGGCGTTTGTTGTTCGCAGACGCGTGGGCTGATTGGTGGCGGAAGCGACCCGCGTGGCGGACTCGCGAACTGTCGAGAAATCGCATTTGGCGATCTTATATTAGCCTTATAGGCTGCATACTTGTTACGTTTTCTCCAGCCTGCAATTGCTATCTCACCATCTCAAGCTAGAAAAGCCACTGTGTATGAAATAAAGGCTTTAAGGGGAACAGGAGTTGAGTTTAAGCACTTTAAACCATTTCAATGATTGTTGCCTCATTCAAACCATTCCAGTAACTTTAATCTAAGAACCATCAACTGAGAAGGGTTTATAAGTGAAAGTGCCCGATGCATTGGCCTTATAGGCCACTTTTAGACACTTCACAACGTGGTTTCCTGGAAGACATGGTCAGGGATGAAATTTCTATTCCATCTGATCCAGACCAAGCCCGTAACATCAAGTCAAATCTTTGCACCGACTAAGTTCAATCTTCAACTAAGTTCACTCTTCAAACCACCTTGTCAAGGGGCTCAATTATCTGGGTGCCGCCCATGATTTCAGCGACACGCCATGCTCTCACAAAGGTGTCAGTATAATGAATGAAGTCATCACCGGCGCCGGTAACGAGATGCCTGCCGTACTGGAGAGCAAGAAGGCAGCCACGGGGCATGAATGAGCCGCTGGCTAAAAACCATTGAAGGCGTTGCCAGCACCATGGCAGAACGCGGTTTTGTTCGAGAGGCACAAAGGCGAAGGGTCCAAAATAGACGAGTTTCGTGGAGAAGATAGAGTGGATCACCTAGCTATTGCATCGCGGAGTCGACATAGAATATAAGGCTTGGGTATTCGCTTGGATTTTTGCCAAGCTGACGGGTAGTCGTGTTGAATGCTTTGCGTCCAGGCAATAATACCACCACAACGAATATGAGAGACGTCACCATTAAACTTTTCTCTGGAACACTAGTGAACAAATTCTTATTTCAATCGACGCTGAACCTGGGTCCTTCATTGAGGATTTGCTTGCTGGAAGTGGCATTTTTTTCGGCTTTTATTTCTTTACTCTGCCGAGTCTGTCGACGAGAGCGGAATAGTCAATACCCAGGCGGAAGAAGTATTGATGAATACAATTTCATCTACTCATCCGATATCAACGCGAGAAACGCTTTACAAAAGAAAATGAATGTAAAAGATATGTTCGATAAACTAGGACTGTAGGGCAGGAGAGACGGAAGCACAGACGGGGCACGCCATGGCCAATGATTGAAAAGCGTTTTGGGACATGGCAATTTCGCTGGTGAAGTCGACGACATTACGCGAACGGATTGGCATGGCAAGATAGCGACGCGAAGAGGTCGCAAACCAAGATCATGATCCAAAATGTCAAAAGAGCACAAATCAGTCGACCAAGGCCTGCAGCTAAGGCCGAAAGAGGCGCACTGCAGCGTGGACTTTTGTCGGAGACCTCGAAAGGACGGACATTTTGGGCTCCTCGGTCTTGTCTTTCCGCGATGTTGGTGTGAAAAACCGTATGGGACCCGGGGCACGGTCGTCATCTGGCGATGCGCTCCAATGAAGGCGGAGGAAAAAGGGCCGGGGCGTGGCGCGATATCAGATTGTCTTTGCGGATGAAAACGATTCATGTTACTACAACAAGCGTGCCTATCGTCCGGCGCTCGTATCGGCGCAGCGCATGACAGCGAGGAATGACCAGCACCTCAGCGGCCCCTGGCGCCAGCGAGCTGGGCCAAGCAGAGCCGCCAAGAGCCTCAAGACTCGACCGCTGCACGCCGGATCCTCCACTCTGGCTGATTCCAAGACCGTAAGCGAGCGAGGAGACACTACGGGGCGGGACGGCAGGCTACAGCGTGGGATCTTCGCAGGAACAGCGGAGCGCGGAACGTGATATGCAGGCCGTCTGGCGGTTCTGGAAGGTTGCTCGGCCTGGAGTCGAGACAAGCAGCGGACAACGGACCATTCCGCGAGCGTGCATTGTCAACCTCAAGTGCGCGCGAGCGAGGAAGAGCCGACGCGATCGTCTGCAGCGCCAGCGCCAGCGCCCGGCCAAGTCTCACCTCACCCTCAAGCGGCCACGCTGCCGGCTGCTTATCAGCGGGAGACTTCGGCGTCGGACAGAAAGCCAGCCTTTGTCAGACGACGACAGGGTCCTTGCTCATCGCCTCCACTGTCGAACGTCGTTCCAACCATACATGTACGAACGCCCCATACTTTAAGAACAGATTATCTGCTTGGCAAGAGGCTTGAGTTTGCCTGTCAAGACGCTTTGTCTCGGCCACGAGTGGATCTTGTCCCGATTCCTTCGCTCTCTCTGTGAGCGCACGGTTGGCCGACGCGCTGCCCTTATCTCGCCAAGCTCTCAGTACCCATCTCGCCGCTGTCTCTGGGCGTGCGATGCATCGTGGTCCGGTGCTGGTAGCGAGGCGGGAAGCTTCGACTACGGTGGAGACGGATCAGAAATGGAATGTTTGGGGAAGGATGTTGCTGGGCAAATGTCCCAATGGTAATATCTATATCAGTAGCTGGGCCCCTTGACAAGATTGTGTTCTCTCCGAACATTGTGGTTGAAGTCTGTTCCTTCTTCATCCCGTTCCTTTCCCTTCGTCTTCTATCTATTTTGCTTCGTTAATCAGGTCCCGAGCCGACCTTGGCCAAAAACATGGCTACCGAGACATCAGCTGCACCCTACCCAGCGGTTGTAAGTAGGCCGCGGAAAGCAGATTGACAGGGCGATTGCTGACATATCGCGACTATACCTAGCCGACCTTTGATCCCGCTCATCCCAATGGTGGCGACTCTCTGGACGTCGACGTGAACGCCCAGTATGCCGGTGTTGAGTTCCACTATACATATCTGGTTTTTTGCGGCTTCATCGTCTGGTACGTTGTATCAAGGAAGCCCCATAGGTGCTATCGGCATATCTCTAACACAAGGCCCACAGGCTGATTATCCCTGGTATCGGCCTGCTCTATGGCGGTCTCGCGCGTAGAAAGAGCGCTCTCGCGCTACTCTTCCAGTCCATCATGGTTGCCGCCGTCACCACGTTCCAGTGGATGTTCTGGGGCTACACCTTGGCCTACTCTCGCACCGCTGGTCCTTTTATTGGCGACATGGCAAACTTTGGCATGAAGAACGTCATGTCCGCTCCATCTCCAGGCAATCCAAACATTCCAGAGATCGTCTTCTGCTTGTACCAGCTTCTCTTCTGTGCTTGTACCGTGCAGCTGGTCATCGGTGGTAGCTTCGAGCGTGGCCGTATTTTGCCATCCCTTGTCTTCGGCTTCTTCTGGGCCACCATCGTCTACTGCCCAATTGCTTGCTGGACCTGGAACTCCAATGGCTGGCTGTTCAACCTCCCGTCGCTTGACTTCGCCGGTGGTGGACCTGTCCACATTGCCTCCGGTTGGGCTGCTCTCGCCTATGCTCTCGTCCTAGGCAAGAGAAAGCACGTCGGTGAGGCCTCGCACCAGAAGCCACACAATCCGACCTTAGTCTTCTTGGGCACAGTCCTCATCTGGTTCGGCTGGTTCGGCTTCAACGTAAGTTTCTTACCCGCCTGTCCTACACGCAATGATTGGAACTAACATCGTATCACAGGGCGGTTCTGCGCTGAACGCTTCCATTCGTGCCATGGCTGCCGCCTTCAACACTAACACCGCGGCTTCCACTGGCGTTCTCGGTTGGGTTATCGTCGATTATATCCGCTTCAAGGGCAAGTTCTCTGTCGTGGGTGCTTGCTCTGGTGCTATCGCCGGTCTTGTTGGCATCACACCAGCTGCAGGTTATGTCTCGCCCTGGATCGCGGCTCTCATCGGTTTCCTTACAGCCATTGTCTGCTCGTCAGTTCAGGACATCAACAAGTGGCTTCACATCGACGAAGGCATGGATGTCTTCAAGCTCCATGGCATTGGTGGCATGTGTGGATCCTTTTTCACAGGTATCTTTGCTCAGCAATGGGTCTCTGCCCTCGATGGTGCCACCCTCGCTCCTGGTGGCCTCGACGGTGTTGGTGTACAAGTGGGCAAGCAGTTCGCTGAGATCACTGCTATCTCGTCGTACTCCTTCGTTGTCTCAGCTCTTCTCCTCCTCATCCTCAAGTACATACCTTTCATGCATCTCCGTGTCTCTGATGAGGCCGAAATGATGGGTCTGGATATCGATCAGTTCTTCGACGAGCAGATTGGTGACTGGTCTGCTTTCGAGCAGGCCGCCCCTACTCTTGTTCACGGCAAGAGTCAACCAGTCTCTTCCGCTGGCAGCACCCACGACGCGGAGCATGTCAAGGAGACTACCAAGACAGCTTAGAGGCTGAACAAATTGTTCGTGGTGGACACGTGCTTGAAGGCTGGGTTAGCTCTGTGATGCTAATCTTCAATGATACCTGTCAGAATGGAATCTCAAATTAATTCAGAGTATATCAGTAATAAATTTTAAAATATTGTTGATTCTACTTTCGTGGCAGATTTGTTGTTGGAATGGATGTCAAAGCGAACTTCGTATCATGTGCCGAAAACCTCAAATATGTTCTACTCTTCACAAAGGACTGTGCGTATTCTCTCCACCTTTTCCTTAAGATCCTTGGCAGGTTTTGTCCACTCTTCCCTCTCTAGCAAATCTACAGCTTCGTTAACATCGCACAGGGTAACAAGTGTTTCTGCCGCATAAACTCGCACTGCGGGAATAGGATGTAAGAGCATCCTCGCAATCTTCCTTATCGCTTCAGTCCTGATCTCTGATGCTCTACTGAGCCCGCGGTATACGTCCAGGCAGACATGCAATTTTGTGATGTTCTTTGATTTGTAGTGTGCCTTTTGTACGCTCATGAAAAAGGGTCTCCACCTACAAGCACGTCAGTATTCTGAATAGACAGTTTCGAAATACTTCAAACTTACTGTAATGCACTAGCTTGGAGCAAAAGTCCTGTATCAAGTGTGAAAGCGACCACCTCCAAGATGGCAACAAGGCGCTGATCATTTTCTAGCCTGATGTTGATATCTGTGATCTCCTTCAGCAACTGTAGTACCGTTGAAGAATTTATTTCCGCGTTGTTTGGTTCTGAAAGAAAGAACTCCAAGGCTTGTCTAGCATTAAGCAGATTTTGTGAGGCCCCAGAACCTGAGCCACCAGCCGTGGAACAGAAGCCCTCCATAACGCGGAGCTTTATCAGTGACTGAGTCGTTTTCCGAACGAGGAGCTGGAGAAAGAAGTAGAAGTACTTGACGCTATAGATGTCATAACACGATTGCGTCTTCGGCGGTAGCGGTGCACCATTTTCGAGCAGGTGCAGTGTATCATGATCGATGATAATATCTGAAAGTCGAGGTTGCGGAGATACCTTCTCATTTTCCACGGAAACAAGGCCTTGGCTGTTCCAGCAGTCAATGGCGGCTAAACGAACTCTATCTAATTTTTCCAGGCTCAACTTCAGTACGGTAGCAAGGAGGTGCTCAGACTGTGAAGCGCCGGCAGCATAATGGTGCAACTGCAGGGCATCAAGGTACTTTATATTCGTGCCATCAGGTGGTTCAATTACTTTCCCACAAAGCAGAAGACCGTGTGACCAAGCTTCACGCACCGCAGCCAAACCCGCCAGTCTGACTAAGGAGCCGACGTCACCTCGTTCCGAAATGGTGTAATCGTGTAGAGCAAGAAGCAAAATCGTCGAAATTTCAGGAACGTACTTCTCTCGTTGCGAATTAAGCAAGAAATGCTGGTGAAATGATTGTAGTATCAGTTTCAGGCTTTCCAATATTGAAATCCTTGCTTCCGTGTCCACGTGAACATATCGATGTAGCATAAACTGCAAGATCGCTCTATGAACATCTATGTTCGTACCTGTGGCTTCTGAGGGAATCTCATTGAAGGCAGCCCCGAGAGCAAGAATTCGCGCATCCGCCGACTGGCCCGACTTACGGTTCTCGGGTGCAAGCTCATTTAGCCAGTGCTGCACTAACTCAGCTGAATTGAGCGGGCCTAGTAGGGAGACTGAGAGTCTAACGGCAGCAGGGACTTGTTCGAGCACAATCTCGTCGTTTCTCGAAAGACATCTGTCAATTAGTGCAAAATATTTTCGCTTATCCCAATTGCAACGGAGACCAGGATCCAGAGCCTGTAAGACTCGCAAAAAGCCTGCTAACTGACCCGTAAGCCGCAAAGCAGCAGATATGACGAGCTCGGAGCGAGGGGAACGTGGTTTGAAATCATCGGATAAAACGTAGTCAAACTCAGGCGTCGATAAGGGATCGTGTTTCAACAGGGAGGTACTCAAGTGTTCAATGGCAGCGTGATCTCCATTGAAAAATGATATGTCGCTGGTTATTCTGTAGTTCAGAGCCGACAATATCCATGACGCTGCCAAAATCAAACCTTGCCGTTCCTCCTGGTCCCGCGATCTGAGCTTGGATAGTTCTTTCCGGATTCGAACAAAGAGCTCGTTGACAGTCTGTGAAAGATCGTGTAAATTCTGTACCAATTTTACGTCTATACCATTCCCCAGCAAATGGCCAGCAATGAATTGGCCCAAAAAAAGAGAACAGTCACTCCTGTTTGATAAGCTTGCAGCAAAGAGGCCTCGCCATGTAAAGAGACCCAAAATGAACGCCTTCTCATACAATTTGTCCAGCTGTGCGGCTCCATGAGCAATCTTGGTAGCAGCCCTTGGACGAAGTCCGACCGCCTGGTAATCGACTACTTGCACAAGGGAAATGCCCTCAATGATTGTATTTGGATGTCGCCCAATAAGTTCTTGCAGAGCGGCAGAGGAGCCGCGTCGAACATTCCCATCTGGATCAAAGCAGGCCGAAAGAAGTAAATCAAGTGCAATGTATTGTATTGAACTCAAAGTCCGAAATTCATCTCGGATTGCAAATAGGCTGGTGGAAATAGATTCGAGCTCCTTCGATGTGCATCGCCGAGCAAGCGCCCAGAGTCCATAATTAGCAGCATCACGGACGTTTGAGCCCCCTGACTTGCCCGTTGTCGATCTTTGCTCAAATGAGAGCGCATAAAGTATTGACTTCAGTACCTCAGGTACTTGCTCGATGGAAACAGCTCGTCGATGCAGTAGATGACCAAACGTTAGAACGATTCCATGCCACTTAGCTGCATTGACAGACCAAAACGCCTTCGTATCATCTCCATTAAGTTCTTCTGTGAATGAGGCAATGATGGCTTCCACCACCTCAGCGGCCATTTCTGGATCCAACTTGAGCGTGACCAGACTCAGAGCCTTCGAGGCAGTCATGCGCACAGGTGTGTCTACATCTGCTAGCAACTCTATCAAGGAGCCGATGACTTGCTCGACGACTTCAGTTGTGTCGAGCTCGGTCTGCTCCGCTTGAAGGCAATGAATGATGGTGCTTCGTTGGATCTTTATGACAAGTTTCCGTGCCATAGCCGAGTTTCTGATAGCTTCCAATGATCCACCGTCTAAAATTTCTTGACTGAGCCTAAAGATCGAAGCAAGGAACGGCCCAAGCATCTTTTGGTCTCCTGACGCAACGAGTCCACTAAGAAATGTAAGGCTGCCCAAGCACGTGTGTATTTGTGACTCTCGCGCTGCCTTCTGGAACTTAGAGATCGCCCACTTTGTCATGATTCCGAGAATCCCGAGGTTCAACATATCCTGTCTAATACAGATTCGCACCAAAAGCTTCGCGGCTGCTTTCCGCTCGATCGTTGCAGCGCTGAGATACTTTGTACAAATTTTGATGACCTGGCTGGTGATACTAGGGGTGCCATCAGGTAACCTCGGATCGACTTGAAAGTCATTGTCCGTGAAAGATGAGATGGTGGCAAGGTCGAAAGGGCTTAACATCAAGTGGGCCATCCAAAGCAGTTGGATGTAGCTTTGCTCCCACGGCAGCTGCTCATTTTCACTGAAGACCGCGAGAAGCGGCTCAATCCATCTAGGCTCGTTGTTGAAAAGACCTAAGATAACCTTCTCGCCACGCACTTTGCAAAAAGTGTACAAGATTTTGGACATTTTCTGCAGTGCATCTTGATTTTGCAAATTTTGCGTGAACTTGTCACTGAGGAGGGGAATAAACCTTCCTAACTCCGCATCCAGAAGTTGTGGGTCTTCTTGATACGGCTCGATCTACGCATGTTGTCAGGGTGGAAGAGGGAAATGCCGTTTAATCGAATCTACCTTGCGAATGATGCTTTCGAGATCTCGCTCGTTAACATTTTCAACGTGAGCAAATGCATCACCGAGCTCTTGCAGGAACTTCCGAGATTGTCGCAGTAGAGTAATGTCGTCATCGTCGGTATTTGAATCCATTTCCCATCTGCAGCTCCGCCGTTGTTACTGTCTCAATGTTGACGGGATAACTTGGATGATACCTGACCCCGTGACTTCGAAGGTGACGCAGGGAAGCCCGCAATCACCATTCCTAATTCGGATAGCGTATGTGGAATATACGTGACGCAGCACGCGTCTTATACTCGAGCTGTTTGCCCCCAAAAACTTGTGAATGAGACGAGCACCATGAACGAGTACAGAAAATACCTGGCCACCAAGGTCCTTAATGAAGATGCAATTGTATGACGTGAATCGCATGTACTCAGCATTTGAGGCTAATGGCTCCGCAGATCAATTATCGGCAATTGAGTAGAGTGTTAAAGGTTCATACGCACCTCGCAAAGCAGTACGTTAGCTCGATTGATCCGCGGGATGATGTGCATATTGACACTTTTCAGGATGCTGTATGATTTCCATCACACGCAGAATGCGAAGAAATCGGGCACTGTGCACGCAACGTACTATATTGCGGGGATTCTTCGCTCCGAGAAGGAACAAATTGCAAAGCCAAACCATGAGCCGGTATCACAACCTGACGAAGATACTCCAATGGAGAGCTCACCTTTTCCTTCCTCGTACCCAGAGCCAGACCCGGTACCTTCCTTCGAAAGCGACGACGCCGAGCCCACAGAAGAACCTGTCCAAAACACAACTGTTTTGCTAGTGCGGGAAGAGGAGCTAGAGGAGTCTAAGGCAGACTTTGATGAGATACACTCGATCTTTGTGTATAGTCTTGAACCAGGACCGCTGAAAGATTTCCAACTTCTTGCACAGTGCAATCGAGACGTAACTACGGAATTCTGGGCGGAAGACCCGCTAAAAGCATATCCGAAATACGGCCTCATCACAAACAAAGATGTCAGAAGAAGGACTGGTACGCGGCCGCCTCCGAATGCGACACCAGCGTCAGCGCCAGCGCCAGTATCTGCGAATGCAAAGCCACAGGCAGCAACAAGTGCTCCGCAGATAAAGGCGGAAAATTCAGCCAAGTCTACTACGAACGTAAAACCTGCAAACATAAAACGTCAATCGTCGGATCTGTTCAAGTCTTTTGCAAAATCGAAGCCGCCCAAACTGAAGAGCACAGATAGCAACGCTACATCTGCCTCAGGATCCCTGAACCCGAGCCCTGTAGACAAGGAGGATGAAGAAATGCTGGGCATGTCCGAAGATGAGCCTCCATCAGACATAGACGAGGCGGCCATGGCTGCCGAGGCTGAAAGGGCGGATGCAGCGAGGAAGGCGAGGAAGGAGAAGGAGGAGCGGCTGAAGCAGATGATGGACGATGATGATGATGTAGAGATGGCAGACTCCACTGCAGTTGCCGAGGAGCTGCCACCTGAGGCTCTCGATGATTCAGCCGCCTTGGACAGGCCCAAAGAGCCAGAGAAGAAGGAAGAAGTCACGGTCTCAGGTGGCAGGCGAAGAGGACGACGAAAAGTGATGAAGAAACGAACGTATCAGGATGAGGACGGTTATCTGGGTAAGGCCATTTTCGATTGTATGCCACGGCTTCTGCTTGGGCAATGCTGACATTGAGCATAGTCACAAAGGAAGAGGCTGTATGGGAATCCTTCAGCGAAGAGGAACCCGAGCAGAGGAAGCCGAAGGTCAACGTCGCCGCTCCCCATGCTGCGAAGAAGAGTGCTACGGTGCCGAAGGGCCAAGGCAACCTCATGAATTTTTTCAAGAAGAAATAGATTCAGGCCCAAGTGTTTAGCGAGCAAGGAGTTCCGCTTGGGTATCATATTGCAACATGTGTGCCTAGAATATTAGTGACCAGTTGTTTCTCTACTCTCCGTTGGTATCACGCATATGTCGAGAACGCAATGCATCACGCCCGGGGCGTAGGTCTTTACTCGTTCAACATGCTCGAGCTCTACCCGCCACTCGCTGCCCCTCGACTCGCGGACCAGCACTTGTATCCGCTTCCGCACGTCCTCACTTTTCAGAGCTATCTCTTTGGTAGCAAAATTCTCGTGCACGTGCAGCCACCCTCCAAGTTCAGGATCGAGGCACTGCACCGCACCGGCATATGCACCTCTCGACGTGGGCAACAGCCCAAGATTTACGTGTCTTACGGGCGGCAATTTGCCTCTGTTCCGAGCAACGACGCTCGCGGCAATCTCGTTGCTCATCTCGAAAACGGTGACGCGATCCGCAAAGTCAAGGTCAAGGTCTGCACCAAGTTCGTCCGCTCTGACTACCCTGCACGACCATTTATTCACCCCGGCACCTCGCCTCAATCCTTCCACACTCCAGGCGTTAAGCTCAAACCCCAAGACTTTCTCGCAGCCGGCTTTCACGTACGAGAAAACAAAGTACCCTATCCCGGCGTACATGTCCACGGCCGTGCACCCTTGAGGTGCCTCGACGCTGACTTTCACAGCCGGCAAGCCGAGCAGGCGGGCTTTCTCGGTGATATTACCTCGCGAGAACATGGTGTACAGCGGGGCCCACGTCTGCGTGATGCCGTTCTGGCGAGTGGAAACCCATAATGCGCAGCTCAGATCCTGCGTGGTGGGCGCCTCTGCGACGAACGGACCGAAGTCACCGAACAGCGGCGCGATGTTGGGTCTGCGCTGCACATTCGCGGCCTCGCGATCCGTCGCTTTCAGCACCGGCGCTATGGGTGCGTTCAGCGCTATGTGTGTCACGTTCATGTTCGCAGCAAGCCTCTCCATCAGGCCGTCTCTCCCCTCACCTCCCAACTTCTCAAAGAGCCGCATCCATTTGTCGGATGCAAAGGCGTGGCTCGGCAGCAGGAGAAGCGGACAGTAGATCGAGAACGATTTTGGCGTTGACTCGACCAAGTCGTCGATGGTAACCTGGATCGCGACTAGGAGATCGGAGGGAAGGATCCCCAAGCTAGTCCGAAGGGCGAGGTGAAAAGGGTTGGAGGCCATTGGCGGTTTTGATTTGGTCCAGGGATTTTTATTTTAGGTAATGTCGGATCTCTTTTTGAGGCGAAACGAATTTCCTGAGACTGACCGATGGAAAAAGGTTCTGAAGAACAGGACGATATCGGACATAACGTATCACGTGCTGAACCGTTTTGGGTTTACGAACCAAGACCTTTTGGAAAGTTTTCGTACTAACTTAACGAGTGTTCATTGTGCCCAGGTGACAACCAGACGCATCACGTACACTGCATTATCAAGCAGAACTCAGCCCAGCGCTGAACATGGGTGGAGTTTAAGCACTCTACTAGATGCACTGGATGCAAGATGGATAGGGATTGTGAGGAGGGTTTCTCCATATCTCGTGACAATTATTCTAAGCGAAGGGGTTGCCAAGCACTTCAGTGCAAGCACCTTAGAGCGTTACCCGACAATTTTCCAGCAGGGCCGATGGAATCGGGAAATAGAAGAAGAACATCACACGAACGAAAGAGGTTTCGCTGCTTTGCTACACGGGGTCTTTCTGAGCTACCGCATTGGGCCTCGACGTGACTAAAATTTGAGTTTCTAAACCTGATGGCGATTCGTTTTGAAAGAGTCGAAACGGTGGTGGAGACTGGGGAGGGGAGGAGGATCCAAATAAGGGAACGTGGCGCCCGCGATCACTAGGCCGGAACGCGCCCTCAGGAATGGTGAGGTCAACAACGTGTAGGAACGAGCAATTCCGTATGCAAGAGGCAGATCGGATGGGAAAGAGACCGTAATGAAGTTCGACGAAGTTCCCTTTTTGCAACAGGATGAGCAAAACGGCCGGCGTTCACGACGGCGAGGACGAAGCGTAGCATGAACGAACGAAATTGACTTTTGTTCAGTCTAAGAGCGGGCCTGTTTGTATTTGTAGCGATTATGAAAATTTGCATAACATTCTAATCACCTCGCACCGGCCCACAGCGCTTTCTGATGGCTGTCAGCCCAACGGTGCACAGGCGGGTCCGTAGAGAGTGAGGGTGTGTGAGTGTGTGTGGTGTTTTGAGACCGAGGCCGTCTCAGAAGACAAGGGGCTCCGCCAATCTGCACGAGTCTGCCACAGGCGTCGGCCTGCACCGTGAGGAGCAAAGCCACGGGGGCGAAAAAGCGCTGTCCAAGAAGTCTTTGTGCTTCCGTACCTTCTTGTTGCAGACTCGTAGCAATACGGCATCTGCAGCGGCAGAGTGCTCAGATTTTACTCGACGACGTCCTTTCTGTGCAGAGTTCTGGCGGCGTCGTCAACGCATGAGCGAAGCCTTTGATGAGCATGAGCCAAGCCTTGCGCCAAGCCTTGCGCCAAGCCTTGCGCCAAGTGAAGCAGTTTTACACCCGCGGACACACCACAGCGAGGGATAATTAGAATTGTGGGGTAGATGGTCAAGCAGCTCTGATCACGGCCGCCTGTTTCCAAGGCGGTGCTGGCAGTCTCCTCGCCAGGATCCCAAGCGTCGCCTGAGCGTCGCCGGGACGAGCGAGCACGCGAGAAACCCTGGCTCTCGCGTTGCAGCCAGCTGAGGGCGACATTGATGAAAGGCCCGCTGACGTCCGTGGTCTGTGACTCCCGCGCAAAACATGATCTCAGCGCCCAGAAACACAAGACGCCGAGAGGATGGCTGACAGTGCTTGTGCGAGGTTATGTTTGGCCTGTTGGCAGCTGTCTCCGCCTGCTTGACGCAGGCACTGCTTCAAGTCGCCAGCGTGCGAGGCGGGAGAGGCTCGACGCCACGAAACGCACTCCGCTCGGGACGAAGACTGCCGGGCGTTGCGCCGGGCCTCTGCTTCCCAAAGGCGACACCATCACCACAACACTCAGCACTGCTCTCTGGATGGCTCTGGACGGCGCTGCAGTCGGTCGGGGCCTGTCAAACATGCGGCTGAAACTGCCGTCTAGACGTCCAGCATCGCGCTGGTCTGACGTCCAAGCCAAACAGGGAGATCATCATTACTGAATCTTGATGGCCCATCTGCGTACAGACCATAGCCAAGCGGTGTAGCTTAGATGCCTTCGACACAGTATATAAGTGTGCTGAGCCAAGACGGTTTTCTGGGCATCCCTCAAGCTTCCCATCTTCAACCGCTTCACTTTCGTTTACCTTCTTCCATCAGAGCTGTGCTCGACTTCTTACTTGGCTTCGCTTCGATTCTTGCAGAACTACTGGCTAGTCATTCTTTGAATAAACCACATTCTTTGTCCGATTTTTGGCATATACCCACGTTTCTTTCACGACCCGCTACAACGCTAGAAAGATCCCTCGAGTCACAATGCATTTCTCCAAGTCAGCCGTTGTCGCCTTCGCCTCCACCGCCCTCGCGGCAAACCACAACATCCTCGTCGGCCTGAACGGCGGCCTCACCTTCACGCCACAGACCGTCAACGCCGCCGTTGGCGACACCGTCACGTGGACCTTCCTCACCCAGAACCATACCGTCACTTCCGGCACTCCAAACACCGGCTGCGCCCCAGATGGCACTTTCAACTCCGGCTTCATCCCCGTATCCAGCGCAGCTGCCAACGCGGGCAACGCCGCCGGCGCCAATGCCGCAAAGACCAAGGGCAACTTCATCGTCCGTGGCATGAACAACATCTTTGACTCTCGCAGTGCTCTCGAGGTTCGCCAGAACACTCTGCCCAACTTTGTCTACAAGGTTACCTCGACGCAGCCCCAGGTCTTCTACTGCGCGCAGGCCCAACATTGCCAGGTCAACATGGTTGGCGTCATCAACCCAGCCAGCAGCGTAAGTGTATCAGCCGCTTGAGCGGATGCTCCTAGAAAGAACTCGCCGCTGACAATGGGCAAAGGGTCCAAATTCGCTTGCCGCCTACTCGCAGCTTTGCGCCAAGGCCCAGACAAACCAGCTACCAAACACTGCTGCTGGCACCGGCGGGTGAGTCCTTGCTCAAAAGAGAGACACAACCTTTAGGTGAAGAAATATGTGACTGACGATTTTTGCAGCACTCTTAACGCCGCTGCCAAGGCCGTCGTAGGTAAGAAGGCGAGTACCACTGCTGCTGGAACCGCTGCTACTGCGACGACCGCCGCCAACGGCGCGACCAAGGCTGGAAAGGGCGGTGCTGCAAACGGTGCCGCAGGTGCCGCAAACGGTGCTACCAAGGCAGGAAAGGCTGGTGCCGCAACCGCTGCCAGCGCTGCTGCAGGCGCAGCGGGCAAGGGCAACAAGGGCAACTAAATGGGAGGAGTGAAATAGGTAGTAAAAGGGGGGGGGGGGTTTCTTTCTCGGAGATGTTACCATTGTATATAAGTGCGCATTGTTGCCCTTCGAGAATGGGACAGGCCGCTTGTACCATTACATCGCATTTAGCTCACAGCTTTCTTTAGCACGGGAAAGGCGTGTGCTTCATGAAATGCGAAGCATTTATGACGAGAAATCTTGTTTCCTAATCCGTTCATCTCATTGGTCCTTTGCTTTTGGACCCTTAACGCTCGGTGTGAAGCAGCGCAAGGCTGCAGTGATTCCCCAATACAGAAACCCCACCAAAGGGAGCAATACGAGAACGATCACCGTCACGCTCCAAGCTTAAATCGCGCATATCGAGACGTCGAGCACGATGTCCCCGCGACAGCTCACATTGATCTTCGACTCGCTCGGCCTTTCAGCAGCTGCTGCGAAGTTCCAGGTCGGGAAATTGACAGAAGAACAATGAAGAAAGAATCATTCGCAGAAGACTATCATGGGGAGCCGCCCTTCCCCCCGTCCGCACAGCTTTGTGACGATCTCGAGTTCATAGCCAAGGAACTCGGGTTGCGCAACAAGAACTTCAGACGGCCAAGACTGCCGGGACGACCGCAGATTGAACTGTACAACACAGCGAGGGTAGTCGAGTATTGCTCGGAAGAACTGTGCACGCCTGAATTCGACAGCTTGGCCCGTGGACGGCTGTCTATTCGACTCTGCAACGAGAAGCAACACTCCTTGTCAGAATATGCCGTCCTGTCTCGGTCCATAGTCGTGACGGAGAACCCAAAGCTCCACTGCGTCTGGGACGACGACAAGATGTTCATCAAACCGATCCCGCCGTATCTCGCCTCGCACGCGTTCTGGCACTTCCTCTCCGTGCCCCAAGCCGCAGGGTCCTCCCACAGAGATCTCGTCGCCGCGGCGAACGGGTTCCTGCGCTCGTACTCGACGCTCATCACGCACCCGTCCGACTTTCACATCGCGAGGAAGCACCACCTCATCCCCGAAGACTGGGACTTCGACGCGCTTGTTCTCTTTCTGCAGCACTTCGCTGACCTGCCCGACTCGGCCGTCACCCCGCGCTACACCCTGGGCGAGATGCAACTGCAGACGCTGAACCGCGCGTCGTGCTTCCGTCACCGCAAACTGTACCTTCGCATACATCGCAACAGGTACAACGCATACTTTACCCGCTTCTACGCCCCCACTTTGTTCGTCTTCGCCACCTTCTCCGTCGTTCTCTCTGCTATGCAAGTTGCCATTGCCGTCAGACAGTCGGAAGCACCAATTGACGCGCACAACAATCTGCCGGAAGCTGGGTTCGGAGGCGGGCTGGGCGCTGGATGGGCGCATATGGGCTACGCATTCAGATGGTTCAGTATATGGAGTATATCCTTTGTCGCGAGCATGGGGTCGTTCCTGTTTTTCAATTTCTTGGTGTTGGCCTTGTTGGATAGCTGGGCAGATTGGAAGGATAGGCCAGTGGCAACGCAAAGGAGAAGCATCGTAGCATGATAATTTCTTCATTTGTTTCCCTATTTCTTCCTTTTTATCTGCTATCACACAGAGCCTAGTTATTGGAGAGAAGTGTGATATTGTCCCAGTCAGTTTTGTGAAAATCAATGCATTGGCACTTTCCTACCGGAGCATTGCAAGCATGCGACGCCACTGCATGTGTGGTGGATGGAGAAAAGTGACCCTTCTAGTCCATAAAGCTAGCTAAAGATTATGCTACGAGTGAGGGTTAAAGCCGTGTTTCTGTGATAGAGTGCTGCTCATCTGCATTTGATGTGAATTCTGCACTTCTCCTGATTAGCTTTTTGGTACTTTGTATTGTGGCGAGCACAAAGGGTCCCAAGACAAATCGTTCACTCTTCACTATCTGAAGCGAGAGCCTCGTGCGTTCGGCCGAGCCCAAATTCAGCCTTCCAATCGAAGTAATGTTGCTCGACAAGTGTCTTGTACAACTTGCGTCCGTCTTCACCTAAGTTTGAATAGACGACTTGAATCGCGTAAGGTGCAATTCGCAGATATTCACGGTCAGCATACTCGAGAATCGCATCAATGACATCTCCGACCTTAATCCCAGCGTCGTTATCCAACGGAGTCGAAATAGCCTGACGGTCAGCGATGCCGCCACGATCGATGGCGACCTTGTCAGGACAGTAAAGAAGAACTCGCGTGACTGGTGGCTGAGTCAGATACATGTCACGGTAGGAAGCCTTAACAACCACGTCGTGCTTCAGCGAGGCTGGAACAAAGAGCAGGAAGCATGTCCTATGTATGGCCCAGCGGATACTCGTGTCAGGTGAGACGACCAAGCGTTGCGGAAAAGGCAGCCTACATAACACAGAGTCTGGATCATCATCATGTGGTTTATGGCCAGCGTTTATGGAGTAGAGGAACGGGTTCAACTTTAGACTGTGGATCCGCGTGGTGTTATTGCCCCTGTTATCGATGATCTCAGACTGATCAGCGTAGAGAAACAGTTTCCTGCGAAGAGACTTCACGTGCTTGATACGCGAATTGAAGAAGCGGCAGACATACTGCATCTGAAATAGAGACTGTTTGTTCAGATGTTCGAAGACGAGATCGACGAGTTCAGGACTTCTGAAGAGTCTCGTGCTTGCCGTTTCAGAAGAAGCCATGTTTTCTCTTCTGGCGCACACGGGTGTCAACGTGTTGGTTTGAAGCTTTAATGGCGCTGTTTGTATCATGGTAGCTTGCCGATGAGTGGTACATGGTCACTCTTGTCAGAATGATGCCACGTGACTCAGCAAGCATTCAAGTCACTTTCTCTTATCTCAGCAGGCTCAGACCCTCAGAGGGCGTTTCGTGCCTTACCCTATGGGGTAAGGCTTTTCGCACTAAACTCCTTTAAACTCCTGCACCAATTAGATGCCGTTATTTCGAAAACCCTCTGAGGGTCTGAGTGCAAATGGTCGCAGTTTGTTAGTGGATGCAAG